TTAACGCACTTCTCTTCAAGATTACTTGGATCTGCTTCTTCTAATAATAGACATTTTTCTTCATATTTTCTACATTTTTCATCTGTTAGGTTATTCAATTCTTTTTCAACTTCTGTTTTAAAACTATTTAATTCTTTTTCAACTTTATCTTTCAGATCTCCACATTTTTTGTCTATATTTTCACAAAGTCCCTTAACTTTGACATCCACACTCTCCAATTTTCCATCTATTTTCTTCAATTCCTCACAATAGTGTTTGAGGTTTGCCTTGCATTTATTATCATCACTATAATCACTTTTCACAATTAAACCCAAAACCTGTTCCTCCTTAATCTCATCATTTCCTGCTGCTTGTCCTGCTGCTTGCCTCTTAACCGGCCGTGCCATCGCCGCCTCTTTCTGGGCGACTTCCTCTACCCATCGCTTGTCCCTGAGTAGCATATGACTGGGTGAATCAAATCTAAATCTTGAAATAATTCTTTCAAAATAACCATACATTTTAATTTTTTTATGATAAGCATAGATTTCCTTAATTTTTTATGATAAGCTTGGACTTTACCCTATAAAGCAAAATCGCGGGGTAAAATTGCGGGGTAAAATAATCAAAATTTCAATTCGCAATTCTTCATGCTTTATTAAAAATTTATACATTATTCTTCTACATCTTCTATATTATATATAAACAATGGGTATATGCAAATTTTCATTATTATGGCTTTTTTTATTCATTTTATAACATTCCTATAACCATCACTCCCAATAATATTATTTTTACTATCTCTGGAACTCTCATTTTCATTCCCTCATTCGGTTTCACTTCTTCCTCTTTCTCTTCCTCTTTTTGTGCTTCTGTTTCTTTATTTGAATCACTTGTACATCTCGTAGGTTTGCATTTTCGCATCGACGTCAATGTCACCGTAGATGTCAGTGTAGATGTACTTGTCATCGTACTCGTATGCAACGATGTACTCGTCACCCATGTATCTGTCGTCTGAACTAATGTACATTCATCGGTTACCTTCCCTCCATCTACCGACTCTGTCGTCGTTGCCGTCGTTGTCGTTGTCGTCGTCGTCGTCGTTGTCGTTATCGTCGTTGTCGTTGCCGTCGTCGTCGTTGTCTGTGTCGCCGTTGATGTCACCGTATAATATGGTGTAACTTTTAATCCTTCTATTCCTTCACACAACTTGTCTATTTCTGTACAAGCCGCATCACACTTCGGGCAATCCTTTCTAAACCCGCAGTCTCCTTGTAAACCTTTACATTTCTCTTTCAATTCTAAATATAATTCCAATGCTCTCGCCGTTGCAACAAATGCCTTCTTTTCTGCTTCTGATACTTCTCCACTTACAAATGTTCTTCGAACAAGTATAACATTATTCGTGTTTGCCCCTCCACTTGGTGTTGATCCTCCTGGCACCGCTGGTGCTGGTGCCCCTCCTGGTGGTGCCGCTGGTTCAGCTGCACTGGTATTCTGCACCTTTGATCCTGCATCTTGTCCATCTTTCCCAAGTCTTGATAATAGTAACTTAACTTCCTCCGAAAATTTTTCTGATTCCTGTTTCACTTTTTCGTATTCATCTTTCTTCTTCTTTAATTCATCTTTCTCTTTACTCAGTTCACTTTCTAAGGTTGGACATTTTTCTTTTACTTTTTCAACCAACTTTTTGCAAACTTTTTCCTCAACATCCTTATCTTTATCAGTATTACAAAAACTATTGAATTTCTGATTCCCTGAATTTTTCTGCTCACTACAATGCTTTCCCAATGCTTTTTTACATTCAGTTTCATTGCTTAAACTACCTTTTAATTCATGCGTCAACTCATCCTCCAATTTCAACTTTTCAAAGAATGGTCTGCAATTCTCTTTCAGTTGTAAACAGACTCCTTTTTCATTCCCATTGTCTCCTTTTTTCAACTTATCTGGGCAATTTTCCATAAGTTCATCACAATATGGATCCCATAATGTGCAGATTTCTTCAACCAATGTTTCATTCCCATTTTTACTTTTATTTACAACATCATGTTTTTCTATGTTGTTTTTAAAGGCATTACAATGGTTTTCAACTTCTGAAACCATAAATTTACATGTTTCTTCTGGTAAAGCACATGAAACACCAAATGCATTAGTTCCTCTTTTAAACAATCTATCACATTTTTCCTTCAAAGCTTTCATACAATTTTGAATATTCGCTAACGAATCACTTTTATCTTTTAAAAAATCATATTTTAGTTCTTTTGTAACTTCCAAATATTTACAACGCTTTTTTAATGTAACACACTTTACATTATTTGAACCTAAATCCTTTAAAATACCTTCACATTCCTTTTTCAATTCAACACAGTCCTCTTCTTTAGGAAAATCCCGTGCTTGATCCAAAGCTTGTTCTAAGTCTTTCGATAGAGTAAAAATAATTTCTTCAAGTCTAAGACATATTTCTTTTGGTCGAAGGCATATTAAAAAGTTCCTAATATCACTATTTGCAAGTGCTACACACTTCTCTATTATTGTTTTTTGACATATTTTAAGCTTTTCATCTTTTGATTTTAAATTGTATTGTTCTTCGATCAATTTACTTTCAATTAACTTAATAAATGATCGTTCTTGTAGCTTTTTATTATTTGCATAATATGCAGCTCTACATCCTTCAAAGAAATTGTTTACGCATGACTTTCGAATAAAAAAACAGTTTGTATTAAAATTTGAAAATTCTCTGCTATTAAATGATGTTGAAAGCCTATCCCGAGAGATTTCTTTCCCTATTACATTATCTTCAAAATGTGAAGAAAATCCAGCTAGATAAAGTGTCATTTTAAGCTTTCTACATCTATCTATTATTTTTGATGCATCTTTGCATCTTTTCTTTATGTTATCTTGACATAATTCTTTAAATTCAGGACTCAGAAATTTAAAAAAATCACAGTTTTTGTTCAATTTATTCTTGCATATATTTTCTGAAAAACCTGTGTATGCGTTAGACAAATAGAGTATGATGTCGTCCGATGTTGTTTCCAAATTTTCAATATATATTTTTTTATCTTTTATTTTTTTATAAAAATCTTCCAGTTCAATCTTTAACAACGTTGTTTCTGGCTTAATTGGATTATAATCTTTTCTTGGAAGCTTATATGTAATATTCTTTTTCTCGCATAACACCTTCAATTCATCACACTTTTTTTCACATTTATTTTTGAGAAAATAACAGCTTTTGAGTTTTTCGTAACATTGTTCTTGCAATTTGTTATCATTAAGGTTAACATTTAAAGAATTGCATGAATAATTAATATATTTATTTAATTCTCTAAAAGATTCTTCAATTTCAAAACATTCAGAGATGAAATTAATGCCTTGTTGAACCAATATTGGACATATTTCTTTCATTTTTTCTTTAAAATCATCATAATTAGCAATACTATCACCGACTGCACGAAGAATAACTCCATACATCAGTCTTAAATGCTCCCTTTTTTGATAATAATATTCTAAAAGATTACAATATGCTAAAATATTTCTAGTTAAATCATGTAAAAACAAACATTTTAGAAAGGCTTTATCGACATCCATATAATCTATAGATCCTGGTATTTTTGTAGAAAGGTCATTAGAAACTTGGTTTAGATTTTTTTCAATATTTGGTTTTAGGTCTTTGCATTTTTGTCCTTTATTATTATTATTACAAATTTCCTTAATATTAGTATCCACTTTATTTAATTCTGGATCTATATCTTTTAATTCTTTACAATATTCCTCAAGTTTCGCTTTGCATTTGTTTTCATCATTATAATCTTCTTTTAAAATAAAAGCATAAATATCTTCTTTAACAATAAAATCTTTAAACAACGGATTTACTGCATTTTTCTGAGAGCTTCTAATACTTAAGTCTACGTTTTGATTTCCATATGTAAGAGCTAAAAATAATTAAAAATGAAAATAATTAAAAATATAATTACCAATTAAATTTAATATTGCTATCAGTATAATTTTATTAATCATAGAAAAAAGTATATTCTATAGCTTCTTTTCCCTAAATATATAATATAAATATTCGCAATATGCTTTTAATTGAAATTTGTGAAATTTAATGCTTTTATTTTAAATGGTTATCAAAAAGATACAAAATTTCACGATTTTGATAAACCCTAAAAAAATATAAGAGAAACTGTTAAAAATAAAAATCATTACAACTCTTGATTATAAATTTTAAATTTTTATTTTTCTTATTTTTTTCTATATTCTTTCTCATTTTATTCAATAATCTTTTATAAAATAATATATATATACATTTTGTTTTATTTATTAACTTTGAATTTTTTTACAATTCATTCATATTTTTATACCTTTTTTAATACTATAATTATCATTCTTAAATTCAACGTTTTTCTTATTTTTGACATTTCTTCATTTGAATAACTAATTTTTAAATCTTTTTTAATTACTACATTGTTTTCAGTATTTGTTTATAATCAAACCCTTTTTTGATCTTCACTTTTAATCAAAAAATGCTTCGCTAATAATCTTTGGTATGCACCTCTGATTTCATTCTATATATTTTCCTGTCCATTTTTATTTATACTACTTAAATTTTTCCAAAAAGTTTATCTCGTGGTTCATCTATGACCAATAATCATTGTATTTTGCAGGGCCTATACCAAAATGCAGCACAATTGCGCAAAAAAACGTAAAAGTGCAGTCTTGACAATTACATAAATCAAACAAAAATAGAAAAATAATATCCAGTTACAAGGATAAATGTTAGACAAAGGAGAAATGTTGGCTGCGAACTGCAACTTTATCACGGTGTAATAAAAATTAACGAAAAGTTTAAGACTCTCATTAACCCTAATCCCTTTCAAAAACTCAACTCGTATATCTTAGAAAATGTTCTTATAAATCAATTTCTTTTAGATGTGTATATTAATTATATCCAATAAAACAGGAACAAATAAATCATTACTAGATACTTCTATATATTTGCTATTCTTACAAAAGATTTTCACAATTTAAACAATTATCCATACTCCTAATATCATCCCTATAATTGCACAAATCAACCCTGCCTTCTGGAATCCATCTACACGAACACCGTGACCTTTTTCGGCTGGAGTCAAAGATCCTTCAGGTGAGAATGTCACCGTCACTGTTTCTGTAATTGAACAAAGAGATTCAGTATCTTGATCTTCGGTATTCGGCTCCTCATGCGTAGGCTCTGGCTCTGGCTTTTCAGACACTTCTTCATCAGATGTTGGCTCAGCAGGTTCAGGCTCTTCAGTAGGTTCAGGCTCTTCAGTAGGTTCTGGCTCTTCAGTAGGTTCAGGCTCTTCAGTAGTCTCTGGCTCAAGTGTTGATTCTTCTAGTGTTGTTTTTGTAGGCCTACCCAAACAACATGTTTTTGTCTTTATTAATGTTCTTATATAAGTATGTGTATACTGTGCTGTTTCTGTTACCACTACTGTTGATACAGTAAGTACAGTATGAGTCTTAGTAAAATCTGCTTCAACGGGTAATTCCGTAGGAGCAGGTTTATTTAATTCTAAACACTTTTTCTTCACCGTTTTACATGAATCCGTTAAAATATCTTTACAAAAGTCTTGTAGATCACAACATTTATCTGTTTCTTCTTTGCAAATCTTTTCAGTAAAATCGTTAATTGATTCTTGTTTTTTTTTGTTTCATTACATAGTTCTATTAAAAACCCGGATAATCTTTCACATACAGATTCGTTGGGTGGACACAAAGAGTATAAACTATTCAAAGAAGAATTTTCTTTCTTTTTAGTTTCAAGAATAGAACAGCACTTTTTTGATAACTCCATACATTCCTGTTTAGTAAAGCCAGGTTTGAGTCCATATAAAAATGATCGTAATACCAAATCATGCTGTTTATCATGTCGTCCATCTTGTAATCCAACTTGAAGCTTATTAAGTACCTTGATAGCACTTTTATCTAGCTCGGACAATGAATTTACAAACTCAAAATCCGAGGTAGGTTCAGTTTCCTCAGAATAACCAAGTTCGAAAGTTTCTTTTGAAATAGGATCAAAAGTATCACTAAATCCTAAAAAAATGTTAAAAAATAAAAAAAAGAAAAAAATAACCTGTATCATAAGCATATCTCGAAAGAACGCGTGATATGCAGATAAAAATGGCAAACAAAGAGGTCTTCATCAATGAAGCAGTAGAAACAAATAAAATTTATTGTTTCTATAAAAAGAGATTTAATTTGAAAAAAATCAGGAGTCACTCGACGTTCCGAACTTAAATCGATTACAATAAATATTTTAAAAAAATATATAAAATAAATATTAAATAAATATTATTTTTTGATTTATTATTTATTACTAATAATTCTTGAGATCTATAACTTTACTTTCTATAAAGATATTTAGATTTCTTTATAAAATAGAATAAGATGGAAAGTTTAAAAAATTGATATATTTTTATTAATATTATTATTACATAGTATATCTAAAATATTTTTTCGAAAATATATTATGTTTATATATTATTGCTTTCTTGGTGTATTTAATTTACACTTTTATTTGATATTCTCGTTACATATTTCTTTTCCACGATTTTCTTTCAAATCTGAATTTTTTAAATTATCATTCCCGAATTTTTTTTAGGGTTAAAATTTTCAATGGTTTTAATCGTTATCTAATTATTTACCATTATTAGACTATATTTTTTTACTAGTGTATATTTTTCTGTTATTTTCTAGACTTTTATTTATTAAATATTCTTTTTATGAATATAATTATTTATACAACATATTTAAAATCATTTCTAATCTAAATAATTAGTTTTCTTGATTTTTTAGTTTACACTTAGTTTTCTATTTTTTTTTTTTTTCATTTTACTTTTTTTCGAAGAATCACATAATACAGAAATATAAATGTCTAGTTATTTATTTTTTTTAAATACCATTATTAAATAAATATTATAATATTTGAATAACTAAATAATAGAAAAGATAAAGTTAATGAATCATTCAAATTTTTAAATATTGTTGAGAAATTTTATAAAATTATCTGCGCTACTTAAATAAAAAGCATTTAAAATATTTTTTTTATTTTTTTTTGAATTTTTAATCATTTAATTAAAATGATAATTTTAACTATATTTTTATTTAAATAAATGAAAAAAGAAATAGCTGTAGACATCTTAATAGGTTAAAAAAATAACATTATTTTTACATAAAAATAGATGTTCCAAAGTATTTTTATAATTAATTTCAAACAGAAACATTGAGATTTAAAATTAAAAAATAGATTCAAAGAATAAAAAACGTTATAAATAAATCATAATATATTATTTTTAAAATGTTAATAAGCAAAAATCATATTTTTTAAACTTTTAAGTATTAAATAATTTTTAATAACAATTTTTATAGATGAAATATTATTCCATATTTATATAACTAAAAAGACATTGCCTAAAAATTTATAAGAATATGGTTTTTTATTTTGAATATTTTTTATTTTTTTATATATTTAATTTTTAAATTAACGCGTTAAAAATGTGTTGTCAAGACAACATTTAGATCAAAATTATATCAACAGGACAATTTAAAATATCAGAGAAATAAGGTTTATAGAAATATTTTAAAAAACTTTCTAAGAAATTGCTACACATTTCCAACTGTGTTCACATTAAAAGGCATTTGGACTAGTTAGTTTTGATATGAGCTCTGAGGTATGTTTAAACATGATTTAAAAAGTTTAAAATCTAATAACTATTTAAATCATTAAAATTTCCATTAAACATTTTTTTTGCTATATTTTTTTTAATTAAGAGGAAATTTCTTCTTTTGGGGGTATGTTTTTATAAAAAATTAACTCATAAATGTATAGGCTCAAAAGTCTCTTCCATATTGTATAAAACAGAATGAAAATATCAAACTTGTTCCACAAAAACAATATAAATGCCATTTAGGTTTTTCAGAACACAGTCATCATTCTCAAACGATTAGTAATATTTCTAAAATGACAGCCAAAAGAATAGTACTTTCTGATGTTAGCAATAATCATATTAAACCTTCTTTTATTCAGTCGAAATTAAATAGTCAAAAAGCTCACAATATTGAAGGGAATGACTTTTCGGAAATTTTACGTCAATTACATTCAAAAGAAAAAAACAGCTTAGAGTATGAAAACACAAATCAAAAAGATTTAATCAATCATTCTTTATATAACCAGCTTCAAGAAGAATTGAATGAAGATTTTAAAGATAAAAGACTATCCTATAATTTTATTCCTTATATTTTGAAAAATAAAGAAAATACAACTCGACATAAAGCAGACAATACTTGTACCGATCTTCTAAAATATACTAAACCCGATATTATGGAGTTAAAAAGAGTCAGAAAAGAATTTTTTGAACAAATTGACGAATGGGATACTACAATGGCTCATGAATATTCTGATGAAATATTTGCTTATATGCATGAACTTGAAGTTAACAAGCTTTTTATGTTTATTTATTGTTATTAAAATTTTTAGGTTAAATATAAACCGAGCCCAACGTATATTGAACATCAACCTGATATGCAATGGTCAATGCGTTCTGTATTAATCGATTGGCTTATTCAAGTGCATTCTCGATTTCATCTTCTCCCTGAAACGCTCTATCTTACAATTAATTTAATCGATCGTTTTTTATCTGTAAAAGTTGTATCTCTTCCTAAGTTGCAGCTCGTTGGTGCTACAGCGCTTTTTTTGGCTAGTAAATATGAAGAAATTATATGCCCGTCGGTTCACGAAATAGTGTATATGGTAGATTATGGATATTCTTCAGAAGAGATTTTAAAGGCAGAAAGATATATGATTAATATGCTTAATTTTGATCTTGGATGGCCTGGTCCAATGAGTTTTTTGCGACGAGTATCAAAAGCGGATGAATACGATTTAGATACTCGTACTCTTACAAAATATCTTTTAGAATTAACTGTTATGGATTTTCGGTTTATAGGAATTTTACCAAGTTTCATTGTTGCAGCTGCTCATTATCTTTCTCGTTGTATGTTAGAAAAAGGAAGTTGGGCAAGTTTTCATATTATAGATATTACAAAAGTGTAATAATAAATGTAGACAGATGCACATGTTTATTATTCATCATATACTGAACGTCAATTATTACCTCTTGTTAGCATTATATTGCAATGTTTGCACTCTCCAAAAAAGCATCATAATGCAATTTATGAAAAATATGCAGATAAAAAATTCAAAAAAGCTAGCAAATTTGTAGAAAGTTGGATGGCAAAGCATGCATAATTAGAATATATCCTATCGTTTTTCTAAATACAAATAATAACGAGCCCTATAACTGTGAACTAGATTGGTTTAAAATACAGATTTTTGTCTTTTTAATTTGTAATTTTTGTGAATAATTAAGCATATCGGTATATTGCATTTCTTCATTTTCTTGTTATTCACATAGGCAATTATTTTAATAAATTGTTATTTTAAATTTATTTTTATATTTCTTTAAAATATGAAAACCAACTTGAAAAATTAAGAATATGTATCAAGTAATGATATAAAAATTGAGTCCTATATAATTATGCTAGAATTATGGCCCAAAAATATAGACAGAAAAATACACAAACATAAAATTACATCAAGAGTTGGTTTATAAACATGAATGAGAAATGACTATGGAGTAAAAACTAAGCCATATATTCTAAAATCGACTAAATAAAATATTGATATCTGCAACGTCTAAAGGAGATAAATAAAAATATTTAACTCATCGTAGTATCTCCGTTCGTATTTATATTAGAAAAATCGAATTGTTGTGTAGCAGGAAATTCTGCATTACTAGCTATATTTCCAAAGCTGAATGTTTGACCTTCCACTTGAGGTGCTAATCCAGAATCGATCTAGAAAAAATTAGTAGTACTTTTATTATAAAAAAAATACTAACATCATCTTCATCGTTAAAATATTTTTCAATTATATTATATGATTTTAGATAAATTTCCTGATTTGAATTCTGTTGAAGGTTATGAATCTTCTCCATACCTCCTGCTTCTTCAATATACAATGCAAACCGATTTAATCCTCCTTTATTTTCTTTATCTAGTTCACCAATTTTTAAAATATTCTCAAGACCATCTAAAGCCACTTGGATAATTTTATTATCCAAACAAGTCAATAAGTCACATAAAGGCTTTATACATCCCTGAGAAACTAGATATCTTATTTGATCGGGCCTAGATAACCCCCCAGATGTTGCATTACTTAAGGCCCAACATGCTTCCTTTTTAGTCTTAAAGTCCGCATTAGCAAGCAAATTAATAAGAGGAGGAATAATATTGGCATCAATCACTGCTTGAATCTGAGTACAATTACCAGCAGTTATATTCGAAATTGTCCAACAAGCTTCCTTCTTAATTCCATCTTTTGGAGACGAAAGCAAAGATAACAACGCCTGAAGTGCACCACAATTAATTATAACTTGAGTTTGAATATCATCTCCAGTAACAATGTTTCCCACTGATCTTAAAGCAGGTGTTTGAACAGAAGTTGAAGGATGCCTTAAAAAATTAATTCTATAGCTTTAAAATAGATAAAATATACATAAGTAATTCTACTAAGCGTCTAGGAATTCCCGCGTCAATAATTGCTTGAATTTTATCATTGGATCCGTCACTTAAATAACTTATAGCCCAACTAGAATCAATCAAAACTTCATCATCCAATGAAAATATTAATTTAGCTAAGACAGGCAGTGCTGGCGAAATAGTATTCCAATCAGGTTGTGGATTTTTTCCTCGACAAAAGTTAGAAAGTGTCCAAGTGGCATTACGAAGCATTGAAAGTTTCCGAGACTCAGTCAAAAGAGAAAGCAAAGGTTTTAAAGCTCCTGCACGAAGTACGAAATCCCTGCATTCTGGTGAATCTCCTGCAATATTACCCAATGCCCAAACTGCCTAATTCCGATAAATAAAATAAATAAAAAAAATAATAGTGAAACCTGCTCCCTAACATCTGCCTCAGGACTTGATAAGAGTTCCACAAATATAGGAACTGCGCCTGCTTCAATAACAACTTGAGTTTGACTAGAACTACCGCTAGCAATATTAGTAAGGGCCCATGCTGCCTCAAACTAAACCAATAATTTGATATAAATTTAATGAAAAACAGTATATTTACCTGAACCAAAGTATGAGGACTTTTTAAAAATTCTACAAAACGACTAACAACGCCACATTCAATAACCTTTTCGATGGGCGGATTTCTTTCCTTTGATAAAAGCTTCCTGAATTTAGTTGTCGCAGGAATTTGTTCCTCAATATTATCAGAAAAAACACCCGCAATCATCAGAGGTAATTCATTATTAAGCTATAAATAATGTAAGTTTATGAATAAAAAGGGGCAAATAATATATATATATTATATGAATTTAATATAAAATCCAAAGAAAAAAAGGAAATATTCTACAATACGTAGTATTAATATCCATATCTTTCCCTTAAAAAAGTAGTGATAGAACGTCAACTTATAAATAAATAATATGTTAATTAGAAGTCCAATGACAACTGTTTAAAAAAAGCCATAAAACACATAGTATATCATATAAACCATAAAAATAACCTAAATTCAAAAAAAAAATAAAGAATATACCTGATTTTCAAGATGAAGAGCTGATTCTTCATCATCGCTCTCTGTAGTTTCCAACCCTAATGGAAGATTTAAATTTCGTCTTTTTGCTAACGATTCCTCCTTTATCTGCTTCCTAATTTCCAACCGTTGTTCTTCACGTCTTCTTCTTAATTCATCTATTCTAAATATATTTTTAGATTTGAAGTTGTTTCGACGATATTCTGGTACGAATCTACTTGTATCAAGATTCGACATATTATTTTTCTATATTAAGCTTCTGTATAGAATCTTCAGTATTTATTTAAAATTTCCCTTTAACCCTTTTTTTTAAAGGTTTCGTGAATATTATGAAATTATTGTTAAATATTAGGTTAAAGATAAAAATTATGATCGATAGCTTTCTTTAAAAAGCAATTCAACTTTAAAATAATAGAATCTAAATACTTTATAAAAATTGAAATAATTTTATTAAATTCAAGGAAATATGAATATCAAAAATAAATAAAGAATTTAATTAAACAATTATAATATTTAGTCAAAAAAATATAAAATAAAATTTTATTTATGTAGGGAAAAAGTAAATAATTAAGATTTAAAAAGCCGTCCTCTTAAGTATTTAGTAAGCAGAAATGCGTCTGCCGGGAATCGAACCCGGGGCCCATCGATGGCAACGATGGATTTTACCACTAAACCACAAACGCTTTTTATTGAAAACAAATTATTGTTCTATAAAAATAAAAGTTAATAGATTAATTTTATTAAAAATAAGTTTAATAAAAAATTAAGATATTTTTTATATCAACTAAGATTTTTTAATTTATTTAAATATTAAATACAATGCATAGTTAAATATAAGATATACAATATTTTAATAAATTTTTTATATTAAAATTTTGGAATAACATCTAAAATAATAAATATATTTATAAATTTGACTATAATATGAATATAAAAATTAAAATGTAAATATATTTTATATAATATTAATTTTCTATATAAAACGTACATACAAGTATTAATAAATTATAAAAATAAATAAATAAAATCTATAATACTGGAATAAAAAATATTTTTGAGATTTTATTTATTTTTATAAAAATAAAATCAATTTTTATGATCAATTAAAATTATATTTTCTATATAATTAAACAAGAAGATTACAATAGAAGTATATTTAATTTGCTTATATTTTTTTTAAAAAATTATATGTTAAATAACTAATGAGAAAGTTTGTAAAGGGCTATATTCTTTTGGAAAAAAAAACTTAAAGTTATTAAGTCAATTTTTAAAATAAATGTCTATAGAGTCATTTCCATCTAATGCAGTTTATTATTTTCGTACTCAGGTTTATTAAATATTTTTTTAGAGCCTATATTAAATATTTTAAATAGTATAATGAATATCAATATATTAGTAATCTTCAAACAGGCTCAATAGTTAATCTTACAGGTATTGTTGCTTCATTTAAAGACTCTAGAAAATCTAGAGGGACAGGTAAAATTCATTCTTTTAATCATGAAATTTAATACTTTCAAGATTTTACAAACAGTTGTATTATATTTGACAAATCTTGTGCTATTCCTGGCGGTGGATTGTTAATTAATTTTTTCAGACCTTTAAAAAAAGATCTTCCATTATTTAATGATGATACAGGTGCTATTTTACTACGAAATCTTAGAATAAATCCATACAATATTAATATGCAAGGTATTAGCAGGATTGATACAGAGTGGATATTATTTGATAAAAAAGGTAATATGCAAAGCAAGTCTAATAACAAGATTTCATTATTATTTGAGGAAGAAACATTTATAAAAGATTTATGTTTTTGGTGGAAGGATAAAAGTGGATTAGCTCATGGTATTATTTCTAAAAAAAGACCTATTCTTATTCGCGATATCATCCCAAATTCATTTTATGAAATTATTGGCGAAGTAGGTCATTTTATATGCTTTTTTTTATTAAAAAAATCATAGATTGTTAAAACTTTTCCTATTAATTCAAATGGGTATACAATTTATTTAACTGATTATACATCCAATTCTCTATTACATTCTTACGAATGGGGAATGAGTTCAAAGTGGAATGGTCCGTATGGAAAAATGACTATTCAATGTTCTTTATGGGACAGTACAGCGATGTTTGCAAGAAATAAACTTTATGAAGGCGAAATTGTCCAAGTATCTAATTTATTAGGACGCTTAAATCGTGATGGTATACTAGAAGGTGTTGTTCACGGAGACAAACAATATCCAGATAAAATTTTTATAACAAAACCTTCAAAAGATAATTTTTATGTCAAGGAACTTATAGCTCGCAAATCTTTATATAATAAAAAATTTTTAAATGATAAAAAGATTTTAAAGGAAATATCAAAAGAAAATCAATATAAAGAAAAAACTACAGTCCTTACATCTTCTGCTAATATAAATTTAAATAGTATATTTCGAAAGTATATATTAATTATTAATAAGATATAGTTGTTTGCGCACACCAGCATATACCAATTACTCAAATAGGTGACATATTATCATCTCTAAATCCGAAGCCATTATATGTTGCGCAAAAATTTCGTATAAGAGCTAGAGTTATTGACTTTCTCCCAGTAAATCTAGAAGACTTTGCTCGCCCATTTTGTAAATCTTGTCAAGAAACGTCAGTAGAAATATCATTGATTCTTCTTAACATTATTTAGATATATTAAAAAATGTAGATGTTATTCTGTATATCCTCTTGATGAGGTATTCATATGGCAATTTGCTTTTTTGTTTGAAGGACAAGATAGTGCATGTATTCCTGTTATATTTTTTGGAGATGACGCACAAATGCTTTTGAATAACGAATCTATTATGCCTACTAAGTAAATTAAAAATATGTAATATCAATTTATTATTAATAATAAAAGTCTAAGAAAAGATAAAAAAACACTTGCCTTATTAAGGCAAAAGCTTTCTTTAATATATGGAGATTTAGAAGAAACCCTTTTATCAGGACAACATTATAATCATATACAAACACCTTGGTTTGAACTTTGTATTATGGAATATATTGTACATGAAAGTAAAACAGGGAAAGAACAAAGGAGATGGAGAGCATTTGGAATAAAACTAATATGACACTAAATAAACATGAAAATTTTGATAATATTTTTCTGATTTGTACAGAATATAAATATATATTTTAAAATAATTTGTCTATATCTCCAAAAGTTATTTCGAGTTTAAATTAAACTATAGTTTCTTTGATGTTCCAGTCCTATTTTTTAAATGTTGTTCTGGAATCCAGTTTTCATCATAATGTAAATTAAGTATTTTTTCTGGTTCTTTCTTTTCGCTAATCTTCTTTTTAGAATTCTTTCTTTTCTTTTGATATATATTGTATATCCACTTTTGAAAAATTAAATAAGGGCCTATTATAAGGCCAGCAAGAATAATGTAAAGAAATATTGTTTGAAAATTAAAGAAGGAATATTCCGGCTCTTTTACTGTAATTGTTGAATTATAAGCGACATAAGTAAAAAAGATGCCCTAGCTAAATAAGCAATGGATTTATAGTGTTTTAAAAAACATACATATCTTCTAATTTTCGCGAGAATAGTAAGACCATAATCATTTTCCGCTAATTCAGTTGAAAAATAAAATGAAGCCCTTGTAGAATTTAATCCTGGTATAATAATACGTTTTTTTATATCTCCTAACTAAAAGAAATGAGCAATTTATTAAATCTTTGGATCATTATACATTAATTACTTGCAGAGAAAAATTTGTGTCAAAAATACGAATAGAAAACGATTCAAGAACAAGCGTTTCATTTTTTAAATTCTTAATTTCGACATTTACATTCATTTTCTTTCCATTTAAAACTGTTCTTGATGTTTGAAAAAGAGCTGGATCATCAGTAATATTTGTATTAATAAAAATATCTGGCACATTATGAGAAGTTGCATTTTGTATATATTCACTATTTTTCAAATCAGATGCAATTGTCCCTGAAATAAAAAGAACTACAAATAGAGTTTTGAATATCTTCATAAATTAAATAGTAAAGTGTATAGTTTTTTTAAGTTAAGAAAATATTTTCCCGAAACGTTATGAAAAATTATATATTATTTCAAGAATGTTAAATAATTATATAACTTTCTAATTCATCCCTTTTATTTCAGTATTATTTTTATTTTAAATTCAAACGTCTATATAGGTATTTATTTAAATGTTTATCATAAAAATTATTTTTATAAATTCATTTAAATTTTTTATTTTAATATATTTAGATAAATCAAACATTACCTTTTGTAGAAAGTGTTAAATTTAAACTTTTATTATTATTATAAAGATATACATGACCAAGTACTTAAAATTAAATAAAAGTATAATTTTAAAAGGTTATTTTTAAAAATTAAGGTCTTAAATTTTGTAGTTAAATCAATAAAAAAATACTAATAAACTAATTAAAAATGTTTTATCATGAATATTTTAAAATCTTTAAAATAAAATATTTGAATTAAATATCTTTTAAGAAAAAATCATAAACTATTAAAAGTTAATCTTTTTTAGATATTTAAATATATAGAAATATTAATTCATGTAGAATAATATTATGAAATTATAATAATTCTGAAGTTATTAAATAATATTTTTAGCTATAAAATTAATAAAATTCTGAATAATTTTCCAATCTCAAAAATTACTTATTTTTTTCAGAAATATTGAAAAATCCTAATAATTTATATGTATTTAATCCTTTTATATTTCAAAACTTTATTTAGATAAAATTTAAACAAATCTATATATGTAAATTTTTATAGTGATATAAGTAATAATATTACATTAATATTAGAAATAAGATACAATATATAATAAAAAGTAAATAAATGCAAGAAAATATTATATACATATTTTTCATAAAAATTATAGCTTAAGAAGGAAAAATAAATACCTAGCATTATCAGTGGAGCTTTTTTTAATCTTATGCTAATTTAAATAAAATAGATGTTTTTAGTTAGAAAAACATTTATATATAAATCTTAAAAATTTAAGAGTTTATTACGTTCTATCTTTATAAATTTAAAGTGTTTTAAAAAATTTATTATTTTTTTAACTTGTATTTTTTAAATTTTAAAAAACTGAAAATATTTCTTATGAAAAAAAAAAAACGTTTTTTTATAAAAAATGTTTTCAGAAAACAGCAACAATAAATTGTCTTAAAAGGTAAAGTAAATATTTTCCATTTTAAAGTAGTCATTTCTTTCAAATTTAAATTTTAATATAATATTTGCATTTTAGTTTATTCAAAATATCCGCTTTAATTATATATTGTTAAAACTTCGGCAATAAATAGAAGTTATTATATCATTTTTAAAGTTTCTATATTTTGTATCTCATCTCATAAAAATTTCAATTAATATCTAGAGGATTATTATTTAACTGGTTTATAGCATTATATTTAGCTTTTTTTGCCTAAAAGCATCAAAAGCTTAAAAAATATGTTTGATTCAAATGTTTTGGAAACAGATTTTTTTGTAAATGATAACACATCTCCAGATTCACAAGTGATAATAAAAACTATTTCTAACATCATTCCTAAGGATCCTAAATCACATACAACTGTATCATTATCTAGAAAAAATAAAACTGAAGATTTTCGTTCCATGGGAAGCAGATATAAAACTTTAACAGGGGAGCTCAAATATAAAAAACGTCTATCTCTTGTTCGTGCTATCTATGATTTTAATTTGCCTAAACTTTCATCTTTAAAATTTGTTGCAGGAGATATAATAGAAGTACTTAATAGGATGGAAAATGGCTGGTGGGATGGTGTATTGGGTGATCAAAGAGGTTGGTTTCCCAGTAATTATGTTCAACATCTGGATGAAAATGAAATAAATGAATTTGAAGAAGATGAGAATAATGATCACGATACCTATAATATACAAATTGGTTTGGAACAAAACATGATCGAAGAGAATTCTATTGAATATTTACATCAAGAATCACAAGATATTAAAGCTAATGACCATTCTTTACGTGATTCTATTTGGATATCAGATGTTTTAAATGAAAAGCCATATTATCCTAATACTGAAAAAGAATCATCAGAAGCTAGTTTTCCATATTTTCTAGCATCTAATGATCAATTTAATAGTAATTCAAAGAAGGTTCATAAGAAAAAATCATTATCACTTACAACAGACAAGAAGTTAAATGATTTAAGTTTTCTTCTAGATATGTCTAGCGTTTTAAAGAGTCCGTATTTTGAGAATGATATAACTGGTAAGCACTTTAATAATTAAAAGAATTTTACGAATTATCGAAATTTAGAAAAAATGCATCGAATTGAAAATAAAGAAGAATCAAAAGGAGTCCATTTATATACATTTCCACAACGATCTCCATCTATGAAAGGTTTATCTCCTCTTGAAGCATTTATTATTTCAAGTTATGAAGATAAATTAAATATTGTTTCTTCATCTGAGGCTTCGTTGCATAATGAAGATAGCTCCAGAATATCTGATTCTGATGATGGTTCAAGCATTTTAATGCCTATTTATTATTGTCCTTTGCAAAGCTCTATCGACTCTAAAGATGATAAAAGTACATATTTAAACTCTAAAGCACTAAAACTTATACCTGAAGAATTAATACCTTCTTATAAGAAAATATTACAGAATATGCGTCAATCAATTAATGATTTACATAAATTTGTTGAATTAAAAATGAAAGTTTTATTTCAAAAATTATGCGATTCAATCAGAATTACAATAATTTATCTTGTACATGCATCAGGTATGCTAAGAATTGTTTCAATTCTTGGTAATTCTCTTCCAACTATAATATCCATATCAGAAAGTGATTTTAAAACTATTAAATGGTATTATTGGAGAATTTTGACAGCATTAAGTAAACTCATTCTTTCAACAAAACTTGCATCGAGTGAATGGTTACCAGAAAATATAAAATCCAGTGTTCTTAATGATGCAGAAGATATAATTATTATAGTTGAGGAATATATTAAATTTATAGTATCAAAAAATTCTATATATAGAACACCATGTAAATTTCGATTAGGATTTATTAAAGATCGACAAGTTGGTGGAGGTTGGAGAGGGAATGGTTTAATCGTGTATACGAAGCCTACAGTTCACAATAATATCTTGTTAGAGTTAGAAATACAGTCTTCTGACAATTTAACTTTGAAACCATTATCTCAAGAACTTCTCTCAAAACTGAATACATCGTTAAATGAGATTAAATGTTTACTTAATTATTTCCAAAAAAAATTATTAAAACCTAGTTTTTCTGATGATGAAAAAAAGGCGTCAATTATAATTTCTGATTTCTTTATAATTCATGAAACAAAAACTATTTTGAAGTCAATCAGGATATTTATGGAAATGATCGAATCTGTTGATGTTACACCATTAGAAGAAACTTGTGGAGATACATATTCACCTACATTATTTGATTTTTTAAATGCTAAACAGGCCTTATATGATTCGATAAATACATTCGTACTTATAGTTCAAAGTTTTCCAAAATTTATAAATATTTATAATAATAATCCTATTATGTCAATAGTTAATTCTTCAAGAAATATCAACTGTTCTTTACAGAGTTTAATGATGACGATTGAATTTCTTGTAGGCGAAAAAGAAATACGGACTAAAAAGTGTTCTGAAGATCCAATGTATTCGCATCATCGTACTTCATCTAAAAAACTATCAATGTCTAGTAATATATCTATGGAGTCTGATGATTCTAAAAGTGTTTTAAAAGCTTCTCCTACGACACCTAGAACTAAAACAAAATTAAAAAAGATTTTTGGAGATGAATCCCCTTTTGGAAAATGTTCCCCTCAAAAAGTGTTTTCAATGCTTGAAACGCAAAATGAGCCAATTCCATGGTTTTTAAAATATAATCATGAAGGAAAAATTATATATGATGAACAAGGTTGTTTAAAAGCTGGGACATTAGTGGGATTAATTGAACATTTAACAAGACATGACTTGCTTGATTCATTATTTAATAATACACTCTTGTTAACTTATAGAACTTTTACATCAGCTGAAAACTTTTTTAATCTTTTAGTAGAACGATTTATGATAGCTCCACCAGAAAATTTAAAACCTCATGAACTAGAAATTTGGATCGAAAAAAAACAAAAACCTGTTCGTCTTAGAGTATTCAATATTTTAAAAATTTGGCTTGAAAGTTATTTTATGGAGCCTATGGATGAAAATTCAGAAAGATTACTTAATCAAATTAAAGAATTTACTATTAATATATTGTCGGAATCTATTTCCGGGGAAAATCTTGTGCGGATTATAGATAAAAGGATGAAAAATGAAGACAGAAATTATTTTCGTAAACTTATGTTAAATATTGGTTTTGTTGCTCCTCCTATATTGCCGAAAAATTTAAGGAGATTTAAATTATTGGATTTAGATCCATTAGAAGTTGCAAGGCAACTTACGATAATGGAAAGCAGGATTTATAATAAAATCAAGCCAATAGAATTCTTAAATAAAGCATGGAGTAAACATCTTTGTAATGGTATTGCTGAAAATATTAGATCAATGATTTTGAAATCAAATCAAGTATATTTTCAAAAGCATTTCTTTTATTTTAATAATTTTTATTTTAGATTACTGGATGGGTTACACAAACTATTCTTAGTCAAACTGAAGTAAAAAAAAGAGTTCGTATTTTGAAACATTTTATTAATATTGCTGATGTTGAATTCATCTTTTTTTTTTAAATATATTAATTAATTATTAGAGATGTCGAAGCTTAAATAATTTTTCTACAGTTACTTCAATCATTTCTGGAATAAATTCAGCACCAATACATCGTCTCAAAAGAACATGGGAATTGGTTACTAAAAAGACTATAAATACTTTTGATTCATTAAATAAAATGATGGATTCAACGAAAAATTTCTCTGAATATCGGGAATTATTACGTTTAATTAATCCACCTTGTGTCCCATTTTTAGGTAAATATACATATTTAAGATAAAACGTTTAAAATAAAAATAGGTGTTTATTTAACTGATCTAACGTTTATTGAGGATGGAAATCCGGATATGATTAAAAATTCTAAAGATTTCATAAATTTTTCTAAACGAATAAAAACAGCTGAAATTATACGAGAAATTCAGCAGTATCAATCAATCTCATATTCTTTTCAAGTTGTTCCTGAAATACAATCTTATCTTTTGGAATGTCTTGAAGGAATGGATAAATTAAATGATATGTATGATCTCAGTTTAGGAATTGAACCACGTGAAAGGGATGATGAAAAGGTTAATATTATTTTAATAGATTTGTATTTATTAAATTTTAATAGTTAGCAAGATTGCTTCAGGAATCAGTATTATTATAAAATATGTTTGAATAAACACTTAGGATTTATTATACGTTCAAAAAATTATAGTTACGAAATTTAATCATGCTAACATTAAAGAATATATTGCTTATAATCAATGAAAATATATTTGTGATAATTCATAAAGAAAAAATAAACAGCTATTCTAAATAAACCAGCTTTTTGAAATGTATCGATGTTATTTATTACATTATTAAATAATTTTATTAGTCAACAATACCATATTTTTTTTAAATAATTTAAAAATAATCAGCATTTTTTTCTACCAATTTTCATTAAATCTTTCCAGAATTTCTATATTTTCTTTGATGTCTTTTTGAACTATTTTGGTTTTTAAATAATAATAATAATAATGCAGTATAAATACCCTTTTTACGCATATAAAATATGGGGCAATCTTTTGACGTACAAAGCACATCCTGATGCAAGCTGCTTTGACATCGTTGACATTGTGTCCAAAGTTTAGCAAAGCGAATTTCCAAATCACTAACTAAATTAAGCTAGAAATATTAAATATATTCTGAAGTAATTATTCGTCTTTACTTGTTTTTGATATAATTCAGCAGTTCTTCCTACACAATGGTTACATACCACGGCATTAGAATCTTTTCAATAATCAGTAATAATAATTATAATCTAGTAAAATAACCATTCTTTAATGGTATTCGACATCCTATACATGTTGCTGTTTTAACAGTAAATTTCACTAGTCCGCCAATAGCAGGTGATGTCATTGAAATTGTTCTAGTATGATCTCCAGAAACTAGACATAATTAGAGCGGTAATGATTTTATTCAAAAAAATATACGAAGTGAATTTGCTTTTTCACCTAAAATAGGTTCAAAAATCCTTAAAAGAGGCTTTGATAACTGATTATCTAGATAATACTTGGTATCAATAGGAATATTATTTTCTAAAACATAAATAGGGTCTTCTGAACGTAAAAAAGTTTGATCGCCTTAAAAGCTAAACTATTTTTCAAATTAATAAAATATATTTACCTTTAGCACCTTTAACAATTATATATGCTACACGATCACCAAGAGTTGGCGCCAGACCAGAATCTCGTTTTCTTATTCTTTCTGCCAATTCTACATGAGCTTGTTTACTTACATAATCTAAACAATATAAGAGAATTTTTAATAAAAATATTGAAATACCTGATTTTGTTAAAGTTTTCGTTATAACTAAATTTGAAATATCAATTTTATTTTGAAGCAATTCAGAGATAACTTTTTTTACATAACTATTTTTTAGATAACATAGAATATCTAGTATTACTTACTTTTGGGCATCATCTATATCTCGATCTATTAATAGTTTTCGAAGAGCTGTTTCTATAACTGTAGAAACTAGACGACAATTATCTCTTCGAATAGTCTAATAAGGAATTAGATACAATAACTAAACATTGTAATATACTTCTATTCCTTTCGAATCCATTTTATCAAATGTTTCCGGTTTTGTCCAATATAACCCAGCATATCTCTTTTTAGAAATAAGTAAATAAGGAAAATAAACTTTCTCGAACTCCAATTTAATAGGTTTAATAAGTTTGCTTGTAACATAATCAGCTGCCTCACAACCAAGTCTCATAGATTCTGCAATATCTTTTACGCCAAAATCGATCATAACAGAATCAGTATCACCATATATAACTTGAGCATTATGGGTATATCCATTTTCTAGCGTATATTTTAATTCTATTTCCTAAAATTCTATGTTAAATAATTTGTTTATAAGCAAATTATTAATACATCTTTTGCTTTTTCAATCATTTGACGTCCATATGATGTTACACTAGAGGAAATAGGCAGACAAGGTAACTTCCCATTAGTTGCGCCAGTAAATCCATATACAGAATTTGCAGAAATCTACTGGTACATTAAAAGCGGTTGGTTTACAGAAATATTACTTTTAAAGCCAATTGTCTTCCGTCAAGTACCGCCTTTTTAAATGGCTCAGTTTCATTTTTCAAATCCAATTTAGCCTTTTGTCTAGCAGCTAAGAGATTCTCAAAAATCTGTGGAAGAAGACCTTTACGAATATGTGGCTTAACGAAACAATCTAAAAACATTAAAAAACAACAGAATAAAAAAACTGTTTACAATTTTCCGGTGTTACATGATAATCCCTATCTTTTTTGAAACCTAGTATTTCTATTTGTTTATAACTAATAAGGGTAGTATAACACAAATTATGTGCTTGCATAATCGATGGATACAAAGAAGTAAAATCTAAAGTTGCAATTGGAACATTATAATATCCCTTTTTTGGATCAATAACAGTTCCTCCCTCATACTGCTCATCAATTCCTAAAAATATTAGTATAGTTATTATTTTTCAATCAATTACCTTCTGATTTAACATTAGGAATAATAAAACCTTTTTCACGAGCTTTACGAGAAAGTTGGCTAACAATTCTAATTTGTTGACCCCTAGATAATATATAACTAAAAGGAACACCTGTAACCCTAGCTATCTCAATGTAATTGACTAAAGACATTAATTTGTCCATTAAACGTTGTGGAAGATATGCATCCTTTAAACAGTAAACAGCAAGTCGACGCCTTGATTCCGATGTCCCATTTTGTAAATCCGTAATAATAGAATGGTGTACATCTTCTTTTTGTTCATTTAGAAACTGAGAAGAAACTGCATTAAGAGTATATGATCTTAGTTTATAATCTCTTTGCATAATTTGAAGCATATCCAACTGCAATCTTCCACTTATATCTGTAAATCTGCTTTCTCTAGTACCATATGCTCTAGATGAAAATGACGTATTATTAATCTCACATTTTTGTCTAATAATCCTTCCAAAATACGGAAAATCATTTACTTTAAGATGTTTCGCTCTATCAATAAGATAAGGTATATCAAAATTTGCAATATTATATCCAATAATAACATCAGGATCCGTCTTTTGAATAAACTTAGACCATGCCAGTAATAATTCCTTTTGATCTGCATAACTTAAAATTTGAGCCCCAGAAATTTGAGCACATGTATCAATAGTGAAAACATTTCTTATAAAAGGTGTTTTTTCTCCATACAAAGTAACTACATTGGCTATTTGAATAACAGGATCGATTTCCGGTTCTGGAAAAACTCCTTTTCTTCCAGCGCACTCAATGTCGAAACTTAAAATCCGTAATGGGGCTATTTTTTGCCAATTTCCTTCAGGTTGAAAAGTTTCTAGATCTTTCCAATCAATAAAAACTTCTAGTTGGCAATTTGATGTTTTTTCATCTACAATTAAATATTTAGTTTTTGGAAGTTTAACCCAACTCATCCCGGTTATCTAATAAAAATTAATAAGTATTCCAATATCAATATTTAAATTCACAGATGTATCAATCATAAACCTTAAAGCATAAGGAAGATTACTTTCAAAAGTTATATATTGTGGAGGAAACATATTATTAAAATTGATATCACCCCGTTCAAATAAATTACGAACTCTAGCGATATGTTTTGGATCATTAACAGTAATTTTAATATATTGAGTTTTTCCATCTTTATGAAATCCATATATTGTTTGTCTCATTACTAATTCAATATTGTTTATGACTTTACTGCTAAAATTAACAGTATTCTAATCATGTGAATAAATAAATTTCAATAAAATTAAAGACCTCTAATGCTATCTTAAATGAATTTATATGCTCTTCATAAAACCCTTGTGGTGATGGGACATAAAAATATGGAAAAAAGCCTGTCACTGTACACAATACGCTATTTTCTTGCTTTGAAAAAATTAACTATATAAAAATCAATCAAAAATATCAACCTCAGTAACTCCATAAAGCCGAAGAATAGGCCCAGAAACACTCATAGTATCATCAATTTCAATTTGTTGAAAATCTATAAATATAAATATACATATATAAACAAAAAAAATAAAAACAAATATCGTCATTTATTGGATCAATCAAAGGTAATGAAGGTCGTTCCCATTTTTGATTTTCATTCTTGTTTTCTAAAACATATCAGAAAACAGATAAGATAAAGATTTTAAACCCAACCCTGTTGATTTTCTAAAAGTTCTTGTATAATACATTCTAAATCATTTTTAAAAGATCTTAAAGTCTTTTTATATTTCAATGCTTTCTTCTGAGTTATAAACTCTAAATCATATGAATTTTCTTCGGAAATACGTCGTTTTTTAATATCATTGTCCATAAAAAGATCATTTTTAATATCTTGTAAAACTTCAATATCTTTGCGTTTAATCTTTGATATTTTTGACATTAAAAAATCTGTTAAATAGAATAAATAAACTTAAAATGCTTTTCAAAAGTTCCTTAATTTTTAATAATATCCTACTACTTTAATTTCATCTTCTAATTTTATGTGAATTATCAAAATATTTAAACTATATCGTGACCATTTAAAGATATAAATATTTTATTACAGTTAAAATATAAAAATAAGAGCCATTAATATTAGCTTTTTATATGGTATAAAATAAAATTATAATAAAAATGCAGAAAAGAACCAAAACCCAACTCTTTTTTAGACTATAGAAGAATAAAAAAAATAATTTCGAGATTAAAATGATAATTTAAAAATTTAGATAATAAAAAGTGGGTATTGATAATGTAATATAATGTTATCTTCATATAATATTTTTTGAGTGGTGAAAATATTCATATAACTTTTTTGCTATATCGTTATTAACTGGAAATGATTCACCTGTTCCAAGACTAAAAATAAATATTAGAAAAAAAAAAGAGAAATAAATCATAAATTGCAATCATACTTATTGACAATAGGAAAAAACCAAAGGAATTTATTGGAACCCATAACTTGAATCCAGTTTTTTTTCCATCCAAGATCAAAAGCATTTCGAATCTTGGAATTTGATCGTGAATCATCATTATTTAAGTTACCAATATAACAGGTTTGTTTAAGAGCTTCAATAGTAGTAAGGTTACGAGAAACTAAGAAAATATGCCAAATTGTAAAAATTCCTAAAACAATACTAAATACTCCTGAAATAACAAGCAAAAGCATCCAATTAACTGGTATAACATTTTTTGAAGGTATATTTAAAAGTATAATAAATTTATAGAGAATAATCAAAGATGATATAAAAAGATAAATCGAATATATTGAAATATAAATAAGAAATAAAAGAAACTGTTTATAATTAGCAAATCCTATACAATTAGAAAGCCATGGGCCTATCATATGGTAAAAGTAATTTACGTTATAGAAATATACATACAATGATGGTCCATCTCTAATAATACATTAATAATAAACATATAATAAAAAACCTTACTAAGAATACAGTAATTGCATATAGAACAATGATGCGTACGATCAGGCTATAAAATTAGTTACTAATATCAATTATCAAAAAAATATACTTTCAAAATTTCACATTTATTACAAAAACGGGCTGAACCATTTTGCTTTACTGAGATAAAAGTTGAATAATTACGCGACTCAATACAAACATAGCCATCATTCTAAAAATTCTCAGTATAAATTTCTAAATAAATACATTGTATTACACCCCGAGGAGAACCAGGAAATGTAAAAGTAGTAGCAGTGTAACACCAAAATGAAATGATAAAACCAATACTGGCAAAAAATATTAGGATAATACCTTTTCTTATAAGCTTAGAAATATTATAATAAACATTTAAAAACCATAAAAATTAGAAACTGTTTTAATGCAAATAGTCCAAGTATATACCCAAAAAGACCATAGTAATAAACAATATACAATGGCCCTCGGAATATAAGTAGTTAACTTATGTAAATAGGGTTTTAGTTTCACATGAAAGGAGAGCATCTAATGATTTATAAGTTTTGGTAGAAAAAATCAGATTTTCGAAAAAGAAAATAATATATAATTTCTAAATAAATAGAATTGTCATATACAAATATAATAGATACACATATCAATATTTATTTATTTTATTATATTTCATATATTTACACTATTTTTTTATATTTTTATTATATATCTGTTTTAGACTTTACAAGTAATGTACCCAATGCATGAAACGTCTTTATTTAAAAAAATGAAGACGCGATTAATATGGATTATTAATTTTAGAATTTTATTTGACATAAGATGCTGTAGAGTCAATTTATGTTCAAAGTAAACTCTAACGGTATTGAAAAAAATCATCTGGTTATATATTATATATATATAAGAAAATGTATAATAATTAAGAATAAGGTATAAATTAATAGATTAGAATTAAATATAGTAAAAAATTGAATTACAAAGCATGTTAAATATAGATAAATTTAAAATATTTCATAAAATAGTATATCAAAAACATTAGTAGTAATATAGTTTTATATTTCAAAGGTGCCATAAAGAATACATTTTAGTAATTTATATAATATAATTACCCATTTTTTCAATAAATTAATCTATTTAAATGCGTATCAAAATAATTTTCCCAAGTTTGATACATATGAGTAATATATTTGATATTATTTAATAGATAATAAAGCAAGTTTATGACAAGCTTGAATATGTTAAGATCTATTAATAAATAATTACTATATAAAAAACTTTAAATATAGTAATATTTAATATACCAAATTACTAAATAAAAGAATTAATAATAAAGTTCATGATTTTAAATAAATAAAAATAAAACCAAATACCTTTTTTATGAATGAATATTATACCATCTTATTAACATAATTTAATTTTTCTCACCAATAAAATTTGGAAACTACAATCAGATAAATTCTTTAGATCTATGGAAACAAAAACAATATTTTATATAAAATATTATCTACTAACTATTTACGAATCAATAACATTTTTTAAAAAAAATACATAATATAAAAATTCTCCAAACTACTCTAACAATTGTTCTATATCAGGCGTTACTATAAATTTCTGTTTTATTTTACCCATTAACCATGCCTTTTTATTATTTTTATAATCCAGAGCAACTATATCCTGTAAAAATCTGCAATTACTCCCTAAACTGACATTCATTTCAATACCTCCCCATAATATTGTTGTTTTTCCTGATTTTCGAATTTTTAGTTGTCCAACACATCCATCAGGAAGATACTGTTTAAATGTATCAAACTCCTGAGAATCAGGTAATGAGGACATTCCTGATAACTCATCACCATGCAAAACAGTATGATCTAGCAATATAGTTTTATGAGGAATATTTTGTTCAGAATCAACATTCATAATATCATTATTTTCAATCTTAATTTTTGGAACTTCAACTTTCGTATCTTCAGTTTTTAATAATGCTGGTAATATAGGTGGAAACTGAAAAAAAAGCAATTCATCTGACTAATTTAAATTAGTTTTTTTTTTTAAAAAAATAAATTAACATTTTTCATATCACCAGCTAGTTTATCAATAAAATAACGCGTAAATATCTTAAAATCATCCAAAACTTTTTCTCTTTCTTGCTCTTCTTCCACTGATAAAGCTCTATTATACTTTTTTTTCGTTTTTTTATTTAAAAAATGCGATGATGTAGATTTAGAAACACTTTCTTGAATTTCAAAAGTCAAAGAATCATTCTCAATAGCTTTAAAGTCAGCTTCTTTTTTATTTATAAGTAAATAGTATAAATATAAAAAAGTATCATAAATACCATTTGATTTATCATTTAAAACTAATTGGGCTTCAATTTTATTTTTTTCCTTTAACAATTTATCTGAATCTCTCCCTTCTAAATTCACAAAACTTTCTTTATAATCCATATAAAAAGAAGATACAGGCAACATCATATTATTTAGACCATTATTTGTCAATATATTTAATTTTTCCATATTTAATTTAAAAACACCTTCATCATCACTTTCAAAAAATTCTTTTTCTTGGCCTAGATATAGTTCTTCCCTTATAATATTCTTTTCTTCTTGAGACCCTATAGCAGATACTGAATAGCCTGTTAATGATAAACATTCATAAATATCATTTTTTGACTCTTCTATATGATTGAATAAAACAACCTAACAAACAAAACTCATACCCTCCTTTATTTCAACCATTTCGTTTTCTACTTGCTTGACGTCCAACATCATCTTTCCTTCCTCGGATTGATTAAATAAGGGTAATTCTTCCTCCAAAAATTATAAACAAATTATAAATAATTTCATCTTATAGGGTACCTTCTTTATATCTATATCTGATAAGTCCTTCCCTCTAAATTATATTTAACAGAAAAAATTCTTTATAAATATAATATTTACCCTTCATTTTCTCTTTTAGAAACAAACTTCGGTATAAATTTCATTTTTGTATCTTTTTTAGCCATATAATCCCATTTATTTAACATAATAGATCCAAGACGTCCTTCACAAGGAGCATCTGGATCACAATCATTCATAGTATAATAATATTAAAAAATTGAATATTAAATTCCGGACTTTATAATAGTAATAAATAAAATTAATAATAGAAATTATAGAAGAAAACGTCTAATAATAACATAAAGCAAAATAATAACCAATAAAGCAATTACAAGATCTATCCAGAAGGGTATAATTTCATATTTTTCTATAAAGGCGGATGAAAAAAAATAAGTTCTAAAAATTGATAACCATCGTTTAATAAATATTTTTGTTAAAGAAAAAAAAGTAAAGATTCTATTTTCCTTAATATTTCCATCATCCTTATAAGAAAAACATAACTTTGGGATATCAGAATGTGAAAAAGCTTCAAATTCATTTTCAAGATCAGGAAGAATATCAATATTTCTTTTATTGCATTCAGGACATACCCAATCACGAGATCTAGAAAGATAATAAAAAAAAGGAATCTTTAAAATAGATTTATACTTACTGTAACGCTATTTTTTTTTTCTCGTTTACAGTAAAATCTAATCCTCCAATATGTCCATCGGCTGTTGATTTCTAATCAATAAAACGCAGAATCTATATATAACCAATACCTTTTGTAAGCATAAAATTAGAAAGACTTATAAGGGCGGTATGAACTAAAAAAATAAATCAAAAAAATTAAAATCAAATAATAAAAATACTTACTCCCCCAAACCGGCTGCCAAAGTTCTTCATGAAAAGATGATATATTAAGACATATATCTTTGTTTACCTAAAAAATTTAGACCCTTTTTTATCCAAAAAATAAACTATTCACAGAAAAACGCCCATTTTCATGACAAAAACGAAAACTTGGAGGACGAAATGGATATTGAGGAGGAAGAAAAATTTTTCCATGATATCTCCCCCCATTAAACTCTGAACCAGGTACACCACGTATTGTAAAATGCCTAAATACTTTAACTTTCAAAAATTCCTTATTCTTTAAATTACCATTCAAAAATGTTATCTTCTCGCGGCGTTGCTGCTACCTCTTTACTACCTTGAAGTTCACGTATTTCCTGAAGAATACGACGAACGCTTGCATTGTTTTCATTTAACTTTTTATTAGAGAAAGGCTTCTCCATATTTTTTTTTAAACGTTGAATATTACAGCCGCTTAAATAAAAATATTTAAAAATGTCTAAACTTCCTGATGAAGTTTTAAAGAAGGTTAAAAACATATTAAAATACATAAAAACATATTAAATTGGTTAATAAATTAGATTCTTAATGAAATACAAACACAAGCAATTGCTTCTCAACAACATATAACAACAAGTCAAATACAACGTCAAGCAAAGGAAAAAGAAAAAAAAATATCAGAATTAATATTTAATGAATTATCAAAGTTAACAAGGGATACGCCAGTTTATAGTTCGGCAGGAAAAGCGTAAACAAATTTTTTGAATAAATAAATAAGATAATTTAATTAGATTTATTAAGGAAGATTTAAATCAAATAGAGCAAAAATTAACAACACAAATTAAAGAAATAAACAATGAAATCGATGCTCTTAATAAAAAAATTATATATCATGAAACAACTCTTGCTAATACACAACCACATATTGAACGTATTATGAACAGTTAGAGACCGTTTTGTTGAATAATATATTATTTAATGACGATTATTTTTAATTTTTTTCAGGAATTTTTCCATTTATCTCTAATATATCAAGCTCACATACTATGTGATTGTAACTTAATCCTAATTTATCTCTATTTGCTATAAGATATGAAATATATTCATTGCTCATTGCACCATTTAAAATCGCTAATACAACTTTTCCTGCAATTTCACACATAAATTTTTCTGAAACCAAAGATGTTTTTTCATCACCTACTATAATCAATATATATTATAATTTTATATTTAAACTTACTATTATCTTCAAGCTCTTGATCCGTTTCTTCATCAGTTAAAAATTTAACACCTTTAGATTCATTTAATTTGGTATATTGCCTTACATAATAATTAAGTAATGATATAATAATATTTTGCATTTTTTTAGGTATAATAAAAATAGTCTCATCAAAGATTTGATGTGTATTTATCGTTTTAAGATTTAAAAAAACTACATACAAATCTATCAAGAAAGATACGACCTTTTGACATTAATCATTTTTTAAAACAAAAATAAAAACCTACATAATATCCAATTCTATAATATTTCTTATTTTCTATTATAGGGTAAAATTTATCAAAAAGCTTATCGCGATCAGCAATTATCGCATTAAACTCTTTAGAAGATATATTGTTTTTATGATCAATAAGATGCTTCACTTTCCATAGATATAACCACTTCAATGTTCTCAAAGAATTTATAATCATCTACAACCGTAAGTTTAATAAAAAAAGAAAATAAAATACCTCTAATTCGCTATCATCAAATGATATTACTCTTTCCGCAACTTCAAGTAAAACTAAAGAAACACTAAAAGAATTAGTTTCAAAAACCTTTATACAATCTGAAATTGAAGATATATAATCTAATCGCTTAATTGCAATAGTAAGATTTTCAATCATTTTACTTGATAAATCCGCAGTTTTCAAATCCTGAAAAAATCAAAAAACATCACGTTATTTTATATAAAATACCCTATTCAATCTAATGCTTTTTAATTGATTAACGGCCTCTTCCTGGATTTCTATAATTTTTCCTTGAGTTATTGAAGCAAGTTCATCAAACTGTTGAGCTTTAAGTAAAGAACTAATAGCTTCTCTCATCACCAAATTATTGGGATGTTTCATAAATTGCTTTCCAATTAAATCTAACAAATTTTCATATGTTTTATTTTGACGAAAATGCTGATAAACGCTTAACTTTATCAATTGCTCTAAACGCAAAATAGATACAGAGGCATCTGCCGAAAAATTAAACTTTTTTAATAAAGATGGAACCAGTCCAAGTAAAATTCTTGAAACACTTTCTTCATGTTCATCTTTAATCTGCGAATATAACTAATAAAATCATTAAAAATCATTAAAAAAAAGAACGATTGCCTTTTTTTTTGATTTTATATCATAATCTGGAAAAAAAATATCAAGATAAACACAAACATAAAGAACCTGCAAAAGCACATTTTCTTCCTTTTCAGTTGGAGCAGATATTTGATAAAATCTATGTTTAGGTTGTTTTAAGGAATTAAGTTTTGAAAAAACGGCTACATGATCGTATAACAAATACTCTGCTAACGATTCCCAATTCTAGAATTATTTGAAATCTTAAAATGAATAATAATAGCCATTACCTTTAACTCTTCAATATCAGAGCATATTGCCATTGAAACCATATGTATTCTACTTTCAGGTTTTGAATCAGAAGCGATATCGAGATACTCTGTATTACTAAAATTCTTAACAAATATATTTTCCTTATTAGAGGAATTAATATTATCGGCTGTTTCATCCAATTGAACCAAAAGCTCGGCAATAACTTTATATTTTACCCATAAAAGCTTATTCAGCTCAAAATCACCATTTTCAATATCAATTTTGCATTTTAATGCAGGATCACCTAACTCCCGTATTTTATTTTCAAATAATTCCTCAACTTTAGAAAGAAAAAAAGGAGATACCCTTTTTCTTATCTTAGAATCAGTATCAAAAAGAAGAGTACATATTAAATCAATTTCATGATCTTCTAAAAACCCGCAAAGCCGTACTCCATTTAATAAAGTGATAGATGAACAGCGAATATTTGAATCTATTTCGTGCAATGCCATTTCTATAAGCCTAGGTTTAAATCTTTCTGTAAAATGTCTAAGTCCAGCAATAAACTCATTATTAGAATAAAGTTTAGACAAGGTTTTTACAACCTCCAGACGAGTCAAAGGGCTCTAAATATATATTAATTGGTTTAAATAATATCTCAATAGAAATACAATATCTGAAAGAACCCATCCTAAATATCGAAGATATATACCATCAAAAAATATGCTAGGCAATTTGATCATCCAGAGACCAAGTTCATGGACACAATCACATCGAATTTTAGGATCTACATCACGATACCGGTGAACAAATACACTTAACTTATAAGTCTAAAATAGATTTTAAGAATAGTATAAACCTATCAAAAAAATCATTAATTGTAGTTTTTAAAAATGCCATTTGTTTTCCAAAGGTACTAATCCTAGTTTTAACAATTTTCATTCGTTCTTCATTTGAATGCCTCTTTTTTTCCGTTTCATACTGTTTATTAGCAATTTGTTCCTCCTTAGTAACTCGATTAAGAACACCAGATAATGATGTAACCATTGCCAAACTAATCACCGTACTCGTATGCCTAAATGAGCGAAATGTAGAACTCGACATTGCAATTACCCATGCCTGAAACTGTTCCATTAACTCTGGACTATTATATAGATGCTCTCGTAAAGAAACTTGATCTATCCAGCGATCTACAAAATCAACTAATCGCTTTTTAAATCCCTTATACAGATTTGACTTAGAAATAATAGGATAATCCCGCATCAAATTCTTCATTTTCTTTAAACTTATTCATGAAAACTTAAAACACTTACTATACGTGATGCTTCTTGTATTTCATATAATGTGTCTGCTACAGAATCTTGGTCAACAAGATGATCTGTATTAATTGTTTGATCAGATCCACAACACTAAGAACATTTCAGAAAAATAAATTCGATAAAACTTTACAATTAACCTTTAGTATACAATTAATAAATTCGACTAATGCCTGCTGCCCATCTCGTTCATACGCGTCTATCCAATCCAAAACTAATACATCCAAAGATGCTTCATAATCTATAAGGGCTTCTACAAAGATATTAAACATGTCTTTAAACATATTTTCACCTACCAAATAGAGCATTATTTTCTCCTTGGTTTTCCTGAGAGAAGGATATTCGTTTTGATTTAATCCTATTCCATTCTTCTTTTGTCTTTCGCGGTTCTTTAACTCCCTGTTTAACACGCTTATTAACCGATCCAGTACTACGTCGATGTACACCTTCTGACTCAATATATTCATCTTCAATTAATGTTTCAGTATCGGTCGACTCTAAATCGCTTGTGCGTAAATCTTCTAACGCTTCTCCTGTTTCTAAATAATGTTAAACATATTAAATTAAAAAAAATATCCAATTTACCAAGGCCAGAAAACATTTTGCGTTGTTGACGCATTCTTTGCGACCTTCGCACTTCATCATTCTGCATTTTTACCATCTCGTAATTCTTTCCAATTAGTTAAAACCTTCAAAAACCTTCTTTATAATAAACTATTTATCATAATAAATAGTGAAGGCAACGTGCCCGAGTGGTTAAGGGGAGAGATTAGAATTATCTGGTCATCTCTTACGGTTTCCGTGCGTAGGTTCGAATCCTACCGTTGTCGCCATGATGTTTTTCAAATAGGATTATGGGGAGTCTTTTTTGATTTTTTACTAAGTTCTTTGAAAGTTTAGAATACATTTTATAGAGTTAGTTTATCTGAAAAATATACAAAATTAAAATAATTAGCCAAGATGAAATTTGATTTAAACCTTACTAAAATAGAAAGATTGTTAGAGGGTTATAATTTACAAGTCAATATTTTCCTGAATTTAGTCTTTATAAGTTTTAAAATCAAATGATATTAAATAGTGTTCAAGTATATATTGATAAAATGAAATTTAACTGTTCTTTAATGTTGAAGATAGAGAATGGGTTTTTAGAATGGGATACTTGGTTCAAAGAAACAGAAGATCAATGTATAGATGAGAAGATTCAACGACTTAACAACTTAGAAAATATTCTAATAGAATTGGGAAAAGTAGAGTTAAAGATTTACTTTAAAAATAATAAATTATTATTAGAAACAAATAGTAGAAAATATTGTATGGGAAATTGTTCCTCGAATGTTATCTTTTCTTAAAAAAGAATCAACATTAACTGAAGCTCAAAGAATTCTTAAAATTTGTACAGAAATAGGAAATGCTAAAGAATTGTTTCTTATGTATATTGAAGGATTGCGTTCTATCAAAAATGATATAAATCTAAAAAACGATGAAAGGGTAGCGAATATTAAAAGATATCAAAAAGATGGTCATATAACTCAAATTATAATACTTTATAAATGTCTTGAAACAGGTACTTTTTTTAGTTATTAATTTAAATAACTAAATTTTAGTGTTATTAAAAATCAAAACAAAACATTTATCTAAATTCATTTTGGATTATTCTCGTACTTTTATATCATCTGTTTCTGTTCTTCACAAATACAAGGCAAATGACAAAAAATTATACGATATTATTATTAAATTTGCAAAACAAAGAGTAGTAGGACTCAGTCAGTTACCTAATGATTATGAAGAAGAAAAAGATAAACAACGAAAAATTTTACATAGTTTTATAATTCAAATTTTTGAACTTTTCTTTAAAGAAAAAAGTAATCAATGGAGCTTACGGTATTATAGACTAATCAATCCATATAAAATATCATTTCAAAAAAACGAACATGATATTCATCTCGATAGTATGGTAAACTCTTTAAAAGTAATGTTAATTTTTTCTTATCAAATACAAACATTAAGATTATTAGAATGTTGCTGTTGATACTAATTTCGATTTTACAATATCATGGAAACTAGGGGAAATTCTTGAAATAAAAGATAACTCCAAAGAATATCGTAATAAAACAAAAAATTTAAATAAGATTAATTTTTTTTAGAATCATATAATTTGTTTTCTAACAATTCTATACCATCATATGGTTTTTTATTTTTACTTGGTGCTTATGTTTTCGAAGATCTATATGTTATACAAGATAATACAATTTCTAAATTTCTTGATCATATGAAGATGACAATCATATCTTTAAATCATGGGCCAATTACTCTATCGTTAATAGATACAAACTTATTTTTGGGATTATGTATTTTAAATAATTTACAGAATATTTCAACAATTAATCAAGAATACTTTTTAGAATATACAAAGGTAATATTTTTCATCATATTTAAGTATTTTTAAAAAATAAAAGACTCTTTCTTTAATTTCATCATCATTAGAAGATTCTTCATTAAGATTTTTATCATATACTTTAATATATCAGAGTTTAATACGACATTCAGAAGATACAACAATAATATATATCAACAACATATTGGATACTTCTCCTTTCAAAAATCTAAAAACTGTAGTAATTAACATACTTAAAGATGAGATACAAAGACACTGGGATGTAAATTATAAACATTTTTTATACAATAATTATAATAATTTAGGATTCTTCGTCACCTTTTATATCTTCTGTTTACAATTCTTTACTTATAAAAATATTTCGTCCAAATTCATCCAATCAGTTTAATTGTATTGAAACGTTTCTTCAAAATTTTAATTTTATAATGCAAGCACTTAACTTGTACATTTTTTTATTGAAAAAGCCTGGTGATGACAAAGTATCTTCATTTTGTTTTATTATTATAATTAATTACATAATAGACAGGTACAAAATCAAAAATAAATATTTTGCAAACCAAAAAATACTGGATTGATCCTCTCATGTACATTACTATTTATTCAATATCTCAATTGACTCAGTTAGAATCATTAAATCATTCTAAAGAAAAAATCGTATATTTTATCAATTATTTTACTTATTCTAATATTTATTAGAATAACGAAATTTTAAATAAACTATTCTTATTGAAATATACACTTGACCAAATTCAAAAAATAACAAAACATTTATTAATTTCTAAAAGTACATAGTAAAAATACACTAAAAATACACTACACTAAAAATACATATAGTAGATAAAAATACATATAATAGATAAAAATACAATTTGATATCAAATTATTCTTTAATATAGTAATGTATTATAATTATGTAATGCTGCAGAACTATTATGTATTAGTATTAGATAATTATGCAATAAGTGATACATCAGGTGCAAATCCTCTTGATTCTGATGTTCCATCAGGAATTCCAATAATAACACCATCAATTTCAAGCTTTCCCTTAACTTCAAAAATATCAGTAACTTGAGTCATTTATCGCCTTAGGTTTCAAAGATATTTATTCAGAAATATAGTATTATAACTTGATCTACGCAGAAAAAAATATGGGAACATGTTGCCTTTTTATGCTTGAAAATGAGCAAATTTACTAACAAAAAAAAAAATAAAACTAATTGTATTATAATCTTTTCACAAAGAAACCAGTAAATAATATCAATAACTAATACATTTTGAATACAATACCATTATGATTGTCGTCAGAAATATTATTTATTTTTTTTAGTCTATTGTTTAAAAAAAACAATAGTTTTTTTTTTCGAAAGAATCTTCATTGTAATTCTATATAATATTAAATGCAAATAAAACAATAGCAAAAAAACAATGTATTGCCTTCATTTCTATTCGTATAAATGTAATCTAAAAATTAGATCTTTTAAAGTTAGTAATTTAAAAAATTAAACAATAAATAATCTTCAGAAAAGAAATATATTAATTTATATTATACATTTATAATACAATTGTTTTACATATAGAGCCCCTTCATTGTTATTTATAATTTTCGGCATTAAAGAAGAAATAATAATTTTAATTTCTTGAATATCCACAGCAGGATGAAGGATACATGCCAATTCAGACTAATATCAATAAGTATTAAAAATTAAATATTCCAATATTTTTACTAAATTTATTCCTGGACGCTGTATAATCAAACTTAATATAGTTTGGAGATATTGATCGTATACGCTTTTTAATATATTTCCTGAAATATCTACCCAAACATAATTCTTTAAAGAACTTTCATATTTTATAGATTTGTCAAGTGAAATATATGAAATATCTTTTAACTGAGCAACAACAGAGAAATCTATAATATAATCTTCTTTAAAGCATTAATAAAATATCCTTATAAATAAGCAAAGATACCCCAATTTTGAGTATTATAATGATGAATATGACTTGAAAAAACATCTAAAACATTTTCTATAGAAAGTGTAACCTACAATCATTAATTTTGCAAATATTAATAGTAAAATTACTAACATAATTATGTGCAACAAGATCTAATACGCAAGCCATAGAACCGCTATTAATAAATTCAGATAATGTAACAGTATTATTCTTTTGAAACTCTTGTGTAATTTGTGTATAAAACTCAACAGCTTGGGAAAACAAAAAATCAGGAAAACATGTTTTAAAAGTAAGTAAAAATCTTAATATTTTAGATAATAAAGATACAACAAAATCAGGAAAATACTTATCAGAAAACCTATAATTTCTTCCAGGTAAAATTCTATTTAATTCAGATTTTGATCGTACTATAAGTTTTTCTTGAATTAACTCTTGTAATACAGATTCTATATGATCTTCTTCATAGGATTCTAATAATTTTTTGGCAACTTCTGAATCATAATTTTCTTCTGGAGTTATAAGTATTGACTAAATAAATATTTATTTAATAAATCCCTTAGACTAATATATTACATACTTTTATTATAGATTTAATTTCATCTTGATTTTGAAAAAAATTATCTGTATCAGAATAAGAAAATGCAGTTTCATATAATATAATTTCTCTAGCATTTAAAGAAAGAGATGCGTCAAAAAAATTATGGCGTATATCATTTGTTTTATTTACATTCTTAATAATATAATTCGCGGTAATCTCCTCAATAGTATCAGGAAGCTCAATATTATCATAATTTCTTTTAAAAAAGTTAGTTTTATTAATAAATAACTCATATATACTCTAAAATATCAAGGGTTTTAGAATATTCTACAAGTGTTAATATATCGGAATAATTCGATACAGGTGAAATAGGTGAAAGAATTTCGTTTTCTATAGCATTTTGATAATGTGATTCCCAAAAGCTAGCAAAGAAGTTGCCTATTTCTTTAATGTAATTTTTTGAGCGAAGCGTACTAAACCGTGACTTTATTTCTGCCTCAGAATAATGGGGTAAAACTTTCTTAATGAGTTCCCAATCAATGAACCCAGAATTTCCACCATATGCCCATTTACTAAGAAAAATCGCTCTAACTAAAATATCATCATCGTTTAAAGTAAAATTATTTTTCCTCCGTATCGGGGCATTCTTGCAAATCCTTTGATAATCATTTATTTCATTAAATCTATCATCCAAATTGTTTTTACTTAAAAAACGATGTTTTCCAATAAATGGAAAAATATCTGCAGTATTATAATTTAATAATTTTTTACGAAGCTGTAATTTTCTATCAGGTTCAGACTTCGTTTTTGCTTTTGTATCTGGCTTCTGTAATACCAACTTATTATCATTTATAAAAGTAGAAACAAAAGATGTTTTTGTTTCAGAAACTATAGATGAGAGAGATTGATTATTAATTATAGAAGCACTCTGAGATATTAATTCATGTTCTTGCGAAACGTGATTTTCAGAGGCATGCTTATATTGAATATGATTTGATTCCGCAGACTTAGAGCTATCAGTAAATGAAAGACCTTTCCTTTTGAGTTTTGCAGGAAAATCAACAACCAAATTCTCTATTTTCAATGGCAAAGGCCTATATGTCTTAGTTTTTATTGAACGTTCTTTTAAAATTCTATTTTTAAAATTGTTAATTTCAATACCATCAATATCATATTTTGCATCTGCGACAATCCAAAACATATTGTTGGTACCTTTAGCATTTGTATAAGCTACACAAATATGATGAATTTTTCCAGTTCTTTTTAAAGACTCAAGAGTTTTTTCCATTGTTTTTCGATCAATTTCATGATCTGAAGAAGAACGTGTTTTACTTCTAAATGCTAAATTATATTGGTCATTTAAATATTTTCCTCCCTGCAAGATTCCACCATTTTTATGAAGTATTTCTAATATTAAATTTTGTCTACGAACATAAGCAAGACTTATTCGTGAATCATATTTTGAAAAGGCTAATTCAGATTTCTTGTTATTAGCAGTATTATTATTCGAAATGGAATCTGCATTTTTTAAATATTAATATAAATTATTAATAATCAAAGAAACAATACTTTCTTTAGGAATAGAAACATCGATTTTATTAATCCCATAATCCAGACTTCCATTAAAATCGTTTTTATCTATAATAATTATTAAGATATCTTTCTATAACAAAAATTTATCTTACCTATATGTTTTTGAAAAGTCAATTTCTCTAAAGGATCGGTAGAAGTTTCATGTAAAAACGTAGAAATTGGAGTAGGAGTCGGAGAATCATGATTTTTCATTATAAATGCAAAACGTGGAGTCTTAGAATCATCTAAAGTATCACTCGTGTTTAAAACGGGAGATGAATTTGTAGGAGTATTAGTTGGGCACTTGATAGATATTTTCTTTAATCTTTTATGTGGAAATATTTCTTGAGTCTTTTCTTCAGAATTTGTCCTTTTAGATCTTATTTTTGAGCCTGCAAAATCAGAATCAACTAATTTATCTTCTGTCTCTTTTTCTATGGAGTCAACATGTAAAGAATTTTGAGACATATCATTCTTAATATGAAAATTCTTAAACGATTTCCCCTCTTCAAAGCTCTTAATTATATCTAATATTTAATTAAAGATTTATAACATTTTAAAAATATATAGTTAACCATCTGAATATTTTTTAGTTTTTTCTAATTTTATATGTTTATTTTTAATATTTCTATCAGAAATATTCGGATTTTCATCATATGAATAAAGCTTAAATTCATCGTATATAGGAAATATTACATTCAAATCATTAAGTTTTGTTCTATTAGTTATATTATTTTCCAAGCAAAAAGTCTGATAACTTAAAGATGACAAATAGCGATATTGATTTATTCGACCAACAAATTCTTGCTCCCTATAAATTGTAAAATAAGATAAATGTTTTGGCTGTATATTATTTAAATTCAACGACTTTTCTGGAACTAAAGATAATTTATCTAAAATAAGCTGTAGTGGTCGCGACCATTGATCTCCTACAATTCGTTTCTTAAGATCCTAATTAAAGTATTAGATAAGTTATAAATAAAAAATAATTACAGGTCCAGAAATTCCACTTTTTCCACTATTTTTTATTTCTTGAAAAAGAAGAAATTCAATTGTTAAATCACGTGAAATTGTAATAACAGGTTTTATTAAATCAAAAAAAATTTCTTCTTTATTATCATCATTATCTGAAGAACTATTGCTGTCATCATCACTATCTATATTAACTTGGCTTTCTTCTTTCACAATATCTATATTATAAGGTTTAATTAATTTTACACATTTAGAATATCCCTTATTATTTGCAACCCTACATCTTTCCAGAAATCCTAATTGCTCCATAGATCTTATCTGTTTGGAAAATCCACGACGAAACAATTTATTATTAATTTTACAAAGACGCTTAAGATCAACATATCGCATAACATTGTTTTCAGCTTTAGAAAGCAAATCAGTAATACATATCCTTAAGTAATTTATATCTACAATATTATCTATATCTTCAGAACCTTGAGAATTATTCTGATTTCTTTTTAAAGAATCATTAGCATAATGACTATGGATCAATAAAAATGTCTGAGCTTTGGAAATAATAATAGGAAGCCTTATACTAAAAAACATTAGAAGAAATAATAATTAAAATAAACAAACATAAGTCCTTTTTCAATTAATGGATTTATACGAGAAGGTAAACTACGAGAATCAATATTTAATTGTTTAGCAAGATCAATTTGATTAATTCCTTTTCCCTTATGTTTAGATATTATAGAGAGAAGATCAAAATATCTTGCAACATACTATTAAACTTCAAAAAAAAATATCACTTAGAAAAAATTAACCTTATTTTCTTCATCAAGCTCTTTGCCAGTAAGAACTAAAAATTGTTTTTCAAGTATTACTGAAATTCTTAAATTATCATTATAACGTTTTTTCAATAATTTCAAATCGACTTCTTTCGTTTTAATAATTTTTAATATCTAATAATAATTCAAGATAATCAATAAAATTAAAATATTTCTCTACCATGTTTGATGATGTAGACTTCTCATGAACCTCATTAAGCACTATTTCAGGCAACGAAACGAAAAATCCCCAAAAATAACTCTTAAAATCATCATCAATACAATAAACAGAAGAACTAAAGTGTATATTATAAAACTCTTCTATAATTTCCCATAATCTTGAAAGGTTGCAACCTACTAAACTTAATATTCTTTATAAATATTTTATGTTTATATATTTAAAGATTTTTTAATAAAAAAAAACAAAAATAATATATATATTTTTAGAATATTGAAATTCAGCCCTTCTTTCAGGCAAAATAATATACCTTTATTCCCTTCAAAAGCCACTTGTTCTACTGAATAAACTAAAAGATCGTCCATAATAAACCATAAATAACTTGGTTTTTTTTAAGACGATAAAACAAAACCCTCAAGCCGATTAGATGTTTGTAAACACCTTATTAATCCTTTATTATAAAAAAAATAAATAATTTCGAAAATTCGATATTTTTAATATTAATATAATAGAATATAACTTAATTTTTAAGAAAATTTTATATAGAAAATACCAAAATATTTATTTTACGGCAATATTTATATATATATTATTGATTGTTATCTTATATAAATAGAAAAAAAAAGTTTTTTTTGGAATTTAATAAGCACATATATTTAAAATTAAATACAATTTATACACAATCAAGTCAAATATTATCAATAAGTAGAAGAGATGAATATTTTTCAGAGAATTTTAAAAAAAAATATATCACTATATAATGGATTACTGAATAATTATAAAAGAAATTCATTTTCTGATATGAAAAATGACAAAGATAGATCAAATTTTGTGCTAAAATATATTAAAAAAGATATTAATATATCAAGTAGTATATGTAATTTTGAACAAAAAAAAATATCAAAAAATAATTATATAGAAATATATACAGATGGTTCTAGTCATTATTATGAAGGGGGAAAGGTTATTACAGGAATTGGTGTATATTTCGGAGATAATGATAAAAGGAAAGTGTTGAGTTTATGATTATAAATAGTTATTAAATATATAGAAATATATCAGAGCGTATTTTTGATAAGAAACAGACAAGTCAACGAGCAGAAATTATAGCAGTTATACGTGCTATAGAATCTGTATCAGATGATGAAGATATTAGAATAAATACAGATTCAAAATATACAATAAATTCGTTAACTATATGGCATAAAAAATGGGAAAAAAATAATTGGAAAAAAATAAATACAAAATCAGTAAAAAATAAAGATTTACTTGAAAAAGCTGTTGAATTAATTAAAAAACGTTCTGGGTGCACTGAATTAAAATACGTTTCTAGTCATAGTAATATTCATGGTAACAAGCAGGCAGATTATCTCGCAAATATGAGTATTTCTTTTCAAAAAAATGTGTAATCTTCAGGATTTTATTATAAATATATTTTTTTTTTAAATATAATTTTAAAAAACTATTTAATATAAATACATAATAGACCTATAATTAAGAATTTAATTTTAAAATTATAATCAACCAAGTAATTACATAGCCTATATAAAAAACAAAAGAATTGTATTTTTAAAATATTTATTAATTCCTAGTTTAAACTTAATTATTTTAATTTTTTAAAACTTAATTTAAAACGATTATAATATAAATGACATTTCTAAACCATATCCAGTTTATATTCTCATGTTTTATTAACAGGCATTTTATTATGTTATTTTCTACTAAATATATAATAATAATAATGAATTACGATATAAGAGATAATATATATTAATTTTTACATGTAAAATATTTTATACAGTTGGATCAATAAATTTTCCTAAAAGCATTTTTGCTTTTTTAACCCTGCTTTCTTCTGATTCTTCAGTATCATTATATTCAACTAAATGTGACACACAAGATAATGATCGTTCTGAAAAATTATGCAAATGATGCTTCTAATATTATTAATTTACTTTTTTATAAATATTTTAGAACCCACATGATTAGAATGTAAACAGTTAATTTTCGTTAAATTACTTTTTATAATATTTGACGACATTTTTTGAAGTTCAGTGTTTTTGTTCTTATAATTTAAGGGCATATTAATTTTAAATGGTATATATTCACGTTTAATTTGAGATAATTTTTCACGAGAACGACGTTGTATAAATTTATCTTTTACCAAAGATCCAGTATGACCTATAATAGCTTTAATTATCTCTATTAAAGATCAATGAAAATCAGAATCAAAATCAAAAAAGAAAACCTTTTTTAATATGAAGTACCAGATCAAGATATGACCATGTTTTATTTCTATATTCAATAGTAGGTATACAAAAAACAAAATTATTAAGATCTTCTATATTTTTTTTTCTCGGTCCCTTGAAGCTATTAATTTTTTTAAAAAAACATACATTTAATTACCTTATAACTTAAACAAAGTATTAAACTTGGAACTTTAACATAAAGAAGAGTCATATTATTATTGGCTCTTAGAACCATTTGATTTAGATCATCATTAGGTTTATAATAAGGTTTATTGCTAATTCTACTATTTTTTTCAAAAGCATTTGAATCAGTTATTTGAGTCTCACTCTTTGACAATTTCAAAGATTCAATTCCATAAGGATCTTCAGAATCATAAAATATTTGAAAACTAGAATTAGATTTAATAGATTCGCGAGATAATTTCGACAAACATGAAAACGATTCAATAGGTGATTTAATTGAGTTCATAAGTAAAGAAAAAGAACTGCTCCTACTACTATAAAATGGACGAGAAATATCTGTTTTATAATAATTTTCTGTGCTTGATATATCTGCATTAATATCCTTTTTCAAAGGACTAGACTTTTCTTGTGCTATAAAATTGACAACACCTCTACCAGGAAAAACATAATCAAATATTTTTTTACCTACTTCATGTTCTAGCTTTATACTAAGGGGAAAAAGATTAACTTCAAAATGATCCATTACTGGTATCCCTCCAATAGAATCTAGCATATGCCAATATATTCTTATCATTTTTTTTTTTCTTCCATGTAAAACACTTTTTGATCCACAAAAATAAGGCGATAATAAATCAGGAAAACATGTCTTTGGTAGCAAATTTATGCCTTGAATCATTTCTATTTCTAAAATATTAAAATTAGAACCATCAAAATTATCTGTTCGTTGATATGTAGCATTAGAAAGACCAAAATCAACAAATGGTTTATTATTTTCTAACAAACCGTGCCAAACAACTTCTGATGCTGATAACAACCACGACATATTTGCTACGTTTTCGATAATGCTACCATCATGTTTTTGAGAAGCCGCAATCGATTTCATTAAATAGAATAATTCATCTTCACAATCACGAAGCTCAGCTTCTATCTTCATTCTAAGTAATCTCTGTTCCATGTTATAATTTTCATAATAAAGTCTATGCTGCGTTTTTATTTCTTCTAAATTTCTTATTCTTTTTTGTAGATTAACAACCATTTCAGCTGTACCAGTTAAATCGCTGAAGTCTACAGCTAACATTAGCTTTTCTAATCTTTTGGATTTTTCTTTTTGCGCTGGCTCAGTATATATTAAAAGATCAGTAACTATTAAAAAAATTATATAATATTGATCAGAATTTGCAGTAAAAATAATTTTTGGAAAATCGACAAATATATTGTTAACATATTTCTCGGGTGATTCTATTTTAAAACTTTCAAATAAATCATTTTTATTATGATTTAATTCATTTTTTTTTAATCGAAGATGATTATATTTGATAAATCCAAGAGAAGCAGAAGTTTGATCTATTATACGAGTAAATGCCAGAGGAGTGCCAGTAAAATCATAAATAGACTCAAGGGGTACCCATGGAGACCAATTTGATTGTAGAGAGCCATAGCTATTTGTATAAAAAAAGTTAGTAGAATTTTCAATGAAATCATTTTTTTTAGAAACAAAAATTTGAGCATTGTTCATTTTAACAATAAATCTATGTTGCAAAAGACCGCTTACTGTATCGTCAACCATATTTTTATCTATTATAGAAAATACTTTTAATTGCATATTTTGCGCTGTTATAATTGCCACTGCTTGATTATTTTTCTCGCTTTGTAACTGTATTTGAGGTGCAAATAATTTAACAATATAGCTATGCTGACAATCATAATTTTTTGATAAAATATAATCAAAATCATCACGAAAAAAAGGATTATCTATACTCGAAAATGATTTTTTATTGTTTTTCTCATCTTTAAAATCATTATTTGTATCGTTTATTAAACCATCTATTAATTCGTTTATTTCTTGATCATTAAATCCCTGTTTATTAATAATTTTTTCATTTGTCATCATAGATAAACTATTTTCTAATTTTATTTGTTCTTTGATAAGGTCGGTAATAAATTTTACAGCTTTTTGAGACATATAATAAACAAAACCTTCCCTCTGTGTAATTTGATGTATATAGGAAAGTAAAATATTCCTAACAGAATTATACCACTTTAATTGAATATTATAAACAAAAAAGCGATTATTAAAGTCGGAAAAATGCTCAGAAATAGTCTCTTTTGATAAAGCTCGAAAATTTTCACTAACATCGCTTGAAATATGGTGATTGTCAGCAGACATATCTATTTCATTTGTCAATTTGTTATCCTGATCCGCCTTCATATGTAATAACATAGCATTAATAAAGTTGTGCTTATCAAATAACATAGCATTTTCATCTATAATTTTTTTATACTAAATTGATTAATAAATTATAATGTGCTAACTATATATACTTGAGATTTTAAAATAGAAGCTTTAGATTTTTTAGAAATAACGTTTTCAATACAACTTAACTTGTTCTTATTTCTGCTTATTCGTCTCATAATTTCATTTTGTCTTTTCTGAATAAGTTCAACTTGAATATCATACGGGTCTTATAAAGTTAGCAGATCCATATTTATTTAAAGAAAAAAACCTTTCTTATTATTTAATATACAAAAATGTGTATCACCGTTTCTAAATTGATATTTTGATAAACATATGTTTTCAGGACCTGAACCATTACAATGATTATTAGTCTCTCGAAAATAAATAAATTGTGGAATATAAGCAAGAGGCAAAATTTGAAAAACTGGTGCACTTTTTAGTGAAAAATCTAAGTCCAAATCAATGAAATCGTCTATATCTACCCATTTCAAATCTTCATCCACAATAAAATGATTAGAATTATTTTTTTGAAAAATCATTCTAAAATCATGACTTTTTTGAGAATCATACCTAAATTTGTTGGAATCTTCTATATCTACTTCATTAAAACGAGATAATATTACTTTTAAATCTGTAGAAGTAAAATTTATTGTTGCATTATCAATAATTAATTTTTCATCTTTTCTAGTCTTATGCAATTTTTTAAACTGAAGGTCCTTTTTTTGATGAACATCAAGGATAAACTTTTCTGTCTTGCCTTTTATGCCTATAGAAGTAAAAGTTTTATCTACCCAATCAATATCTGTCCTATAATTATAAATATGACTCAAAAAAAGCGGAGAAAGCTCCAATTTATAGCTAAAGGTCATTAAATAACGATTAATTTTTTTCTTCGTATGTGGAAATAGGAACAATTTCCCTGATTTTAGAGGAAAAGACATAATTCCACTAAAAAGAGACCACCAATTAAAAAAATGCTGGAATACTTTTGGTGTTAAATGAATAGCATTATAGCTTTTAATTTTTTCATTAAATTTTGAATCCGGTAAAGATACATCGATAGGACAAATAATAGACAAAGATCCATGAATATAGTGACTTCTAAATCCTTTAAAAGCATCATATTTCTAAAAAAGTAAGAACAGCATAAATAAAAGAACTTAAATACTTGTCCATTTTCCGAAAAGGCAAACTTTGGAATTCGAAGAATAATTTTATAATGAGGCTTAAAATGGAATATTCTGCATTGATATTTCCCATAACAATTTTGACATGCATCATCACAATGTTGTTCAAATACCAATCCTGCTGTCCACTTTACTCCTCCTTTTAATTTCATTATAATTTTTTGAAAATGAATAGCATTCTTTTGATATGTATTATTTGTCAAATTATCATATGCGGAAATTATAGTATTTGGCCAATTCATAAGACTTTGTGCTTGTTGAATAAAATCCGGTATAGCTAGTAAAAATTCATCACTAATAATTACCATAAAATTTCTAGAATCTAAACTACAACCAACACTCCATTCAACATTTCCTTTCCAACATTTTATAAAACCAGCACCATCTCCAGTAATAAGATATGGATCTCTAGAACCTATATAAAAATAAATAGTTGTTTAAAAATAATAAATTCAAATTTTACCTTTTAATGTTAAATAAACATTACCATCATTCTTCCATTTAAATTTAAAAGAAGTATGCATAATTAGTCTAATTTTATCCCAAAAGTTCAATTTATCAGAAGGATCTTCAAAAGGCCTCGAAAATGTCCCAAATATACGCATAATATCTTGTATAGCAGGTTGTAGCGACATACCCCATGTAATTTGAGTAGGATATAGTGTATTTATATTAACATCAACCACACCATAAATTTTGACAGGAGTTATCGTTCTTGCAACCTTTATATTAAACGAAGATCCTTCTTTTCCTGAATTGTTAGGAATAATACAAACTTCTACATAACGAATCGATTCTTTTTCTGAAAATTGCTCTGCAATTACTAAATCTGATGAAAACTCCCATGTAGGAAAATTCTGTGGTCGCAATGAATTTGAATCAGGAATATAAATCAAAGGTAAAGGATAATCTCGCAAACATATTTTTGCTTCTGCCATTTTCCAACTAAAATTAAAAGGTATTAAAACAGAAAATTTAGTTTCTAGAGGTAATCCTTTGCCTGTATCTCTCAAAAATTGATAAAGATTTTCTATAGGAAACGATGGTTTATCAAAAATGAATTCAACTTTCGAAAATAATATACTTAAAAGAGGTGGTCTAGTAGGAAGAGGCAAAATATTTTCCTGAAAAGTTGATATACATTTTATACCATCTAATGTCCAATGTCTATGGCGTATAGAATACAGTTTAAAGGATTGTAAATTATTTACTTTTTGAAATTTTTTAATCCATGAATGAGAATTGTATTCCTGAAGTTTTTCATACGCCTGTTCAGCTTTAGAAGATAAATTCGAAAATTTAGATTCTGAAAAATCTTGAACATCCTTAACATTTTTTATATGAGAGTCTTGTTTATTATATAATTGTTTTAATTCCGATTTTTCAAATGAAGTTCCCAAAAAATATTCATTTTCATTATCGGTCTTGGTTTGTTCATTATCATTTATTAGTTCTGATTCATCTTTAATTTTTTCAGCCTTAATATCAAAAGTTGTTTCGCGCATAATTCTAGCCTTCTGTTCTATTAATCCTATACGCCAAATAAGTCCTAATCTTGCTTCAAATGGATCATCTTCCATGTCAAAGGATATAAAAGAAGATTCTAACTGAATTCTAGGGATAACTTTTGCCTTAACCGGATGATTTGTTAAAGTAGAGCTATTAGAACTTATAAAGAAACAATAATAAAGTTGCTTTACACTTTTTATATTATTTTGTATACTTTCTACCATTGAATGCAAAACAAACTTATGAGGAATACGAATTCGTATAGCATCTGCATATAAAACTATTGTTGATTCATTTTTTTGATCGATTTTAATACGTTTGTAATAGATAGTAAGGGTATTAATATTAACAATCCTATCCCAAAATTTTTGAATAACTGGACTAGGAACACAAAGAACTATATTTCCTGCCTTACATGATAAAAACTCGTCTTTATTGTGTGAGATCTCCAGTTTATGCATATTAAGCATCAAAAACTGTTTAGATGGTAGCTCTATTTTAACTTTTACCGATGAAATAGATATATATACAAATATGTATCCCCATAACAAATTGTTAACTTGACCATTATCCTCAGTATGATAACCTTGTGATGTTTTAAAAATATTCTCTTGAAAAAATGTTTTTTCTAAAATTTTTAGAGCAAGAAGAATCGTATAATATTTAAATATAGAATAAGTCAGACATAATTGATCTAACTCAATTATAATTTGTAACAAATGATCTTTATTAGGCTCAGTAACAAATGTTAATCCATATTTTATAACTTCTATAATTGGTTCTTTCATATCCAAAACATTTTCAGCATGTATTGCAAATATTTTAAAGCCATTGAGTAATAATGTGCCTCTTGAAGAAGGTATTGTATTAAAAACAAATGTATTTAAAATATGTTGGAAATTCGGAGATTTACTTTCTTTATATATAGAGAAAAGTAATTCTTTAGAAATCATATTTAAAAAACAATATTCGATTTTCCATGAATCTAATCTCAGTAAAATTCCTTTATGATCATGAGTTATTCTAGGTTCATTTCCGAAAAGGTAAATATCTAATTTTGATCCATGAAACTCTATCTTCCTTAACAATAGAGAACACTTATATAGCAAAAACATATCCAGTAATCCAATATTTTTTTCACTTAAATAATCGTATCTAATATTTGAAATACTATAAAATATATTATTTAAACAATAAATTATTTCGATGTTATTTAAATTAAAAATCACATTCTCATGAAAGATTCCAATAGAAACATTGTTGAATGGAGATAAATCAAATTTAAAATGAAGAGTAAAATTCTCTATGGTAAGAATGTTGTATTTTCCTTTAAATGAAGTATGATAATATAACTTTTGTGAAATAAATAAAATAGAAGTATTAACAGAAAAAAAACGAGATATATCGTTACCAGATATGTTAGTTTGAAGATCCAGAAATATATTAGATAAACTCAATATAAGTATTGTAGGCCTTTGTTTCGAATTTTCATATAAAGAATTATTAAAAGGAAGCAATATCCGTATTACTGGTTCATAAATAGAAAAATTAAAATTCAATTTAGGTATAAAATCTTTTAATAATTGTAATTTTGAAAATACTGATGTATGAATAACATTTCTAGATTCAAATATTGAAACTATTGATAATAATCTCTCAAAACGCAGATCAATTGATGGCGATGTTATAGATATATTTGCAATAATATTAGTAATATGCAGCCCCTTTGTAACCATATTACTTTTGACTAAATGGTCAAGAGTAGATATTTTACAGGCAAAAGTTATCATAGGTATCAAGATAAAATCTGCTTCTTTTTCCTGCACTGTTTTTTGAAATATGCTTATTGATAGTGAAATACATGATGCAAGTATTTGATGAGAAGCAGGAACGTCGAAAAATTGTCTATAAATACTTGAATTTTTCCCAATATGATGTATATTTATCCCAATTTCTTTCAATCTCAATAATAAAAATGAACTATTGTTTTTAGAACTAGAAAATGTAATAGATTTCTTTATTTTTAAGTTTCCAACATGAAATTGTATTTCATGTATTATATTAAACCAATGCATTTTTTCAACCATATTCTCTTTTAATTCCATAATCGGTTCCTTTGATTCATCTTTTACTTTAAAATAATTATTTAATGTAGAAATAAATGAATCAGTTTTATTATTAAAAAAATAATTTATATCATTGTTATTCGTAAACTCATCAAGAGGTAATATAAATTTCCCACATTTTAGTGAGAATTTTATATTCTTTATTATATGATCTAGTTTTCCTTGGATGTTAATTAAAATTTTATCTATTAATTCTGATGACGTCCCCCTTTTTGATATAAAAAGTATAGAATCCACTATATTTATCATCTCAAATCTCTTTTCTCTTGATAAAAGCTTAGAAAATCTACCAGTATAAATCCCAGATGTCGTATTATAATAAGATGTATTATTAAAATGCATATTAAATGTAGTTATAAAAAATTTCCCATAGTCTTCAATATTAATACTGGTATCTATTATTATAATATCAACCCAATCTTTAATTTTAAAAATAATAGATGATTTCATGATGTTAAAAACAAAATAAATGCTTTTTTGTATATATTTATTAAAAAAATTATTAGATGACTTTTTTTTTAAAATTTCTTCCCTTTCTTTACAAGGTTTACGAATATTTATAAAAATCTCTTTAACTGAAAAACTAATCCATCTTTTTGTAGCTAATCTCGGCCTATGAAAATGTACTCTTACCGATTCAACATATAAATTAGCGTATTCTTTATAACAAAGCTCGATCCCATGGATAGAAAAATATCCAAAACGCCGTATATGCACTCCTCCCACTTTCTTAATTACTTTTAAAAGTATATGCGTTAAAAGAATATAGTTTAAAAAAAAAATACCAATCCATAAAAGTATATTTTCCACAAATATTTCCATTTGATTTATTAACCTTTAAATAAATCTTATTCATTTAAATTCGGATTTCTTAATATTTCTATATATTTTTATCTCAGAAGATATATTTTTTAATAAAAATTTCATGTTTTTATTAAAAATTAGATTTTTAATTTAGACTTTTTATAGTACTCAAAGTTGGTTTTATTAAGATCGCATATAATTCTAAAAATAAAAAAAATATATAATCTAAAATTATTCAAAATTATTTAAAAGATTAAATAAAGAAACCGATCATTTTACTTATATTTATTGATATAAATCACTTTATTTTGTTATTAAATATATAAAAAAAATTAAAACATATATTATTAATAAAAAGAGGGTTTATCTATAAAAAAAATAAAAAATTAATAATATTTTTATATTGAGATCAATCTTTCAACTATAAAGACTTTATTTTATCTTTTTTTTTAATAATTATTCAAAAACCTTTTATTTAATTTTTATTTTTAACATTTTAACCTTAATATTTCAATATAAAAAACGGATATATACTAATGAATGCTATAAACATAATTGTACATATAAAGATTAATATTAGTTAACTATTATTATAGATATTTAACAAATTTTTTTAAAATTTATAATAAAGTTTTTTAAGTAGATTTAATTAGATTTTATTAAAAATATTAATAAAAACAGATTTTTAAGGTTTTATTTTGGAAATATCTTTAAAAAATTCTTGTTTTTTAAAGAGAAACTTAATATTTAACGATTTTAATATTATAAATAAAAATCTGTAAAAAATCGTAAAGTTCTTAAAGCTTAAGAAAAAAGATTAAAAAACAATAATAATTAGTATAACAAATATAGGCCTTTAAGAATCCAGAATTTTTTAAGAAAAATATGGGTAAGTTTTTTTTATTAGAAAAAAATACTTTATTATATAAAATATTTTTTTTAAAGTGTACATTTTTAACATAAATAAATATAGGTCCAAAAAGGGTAGGAAAGATTATCTGAAGATTTATTATGTTTTTGATTTTTTAATATAAATGTATTTAGAATAAGGGAGAAAAATTAAGTTTAAGTGATTTTTTAAGTGGTTCAAACTGGGCAGATGAAATGGAGGATATGCCAATTGCACGTATTTATAATTAAAGAAATATATATAATTGGAAGATTTAATATGGTTTTAGCTTTAATAGAAGGAAAAGAGACTAAAGCTAGTTTTTATGAGCGTGATTATAATGATGGAGGGTATAGGAAAGATATTGAGATATCTTATAAACATGGTATTTTTTTTAGATTTTTTAGGATATATGAATATTATTAGATCGTTCATCAAATAAAGAAGAAATACAATTGCCTAAGGAACCTCCGTATACGGCGCATTTAGGAAATCTTTCTTTTAATATTACAGAGTCAGAAATTTCGAATTTTTTTGGGGAACCTTTTATTACTAATATAAGACTTATGCGTGATCGAATAGATGATAGGCCTAAAGGGTTCGGTTATGTTGAATTTACTGATTTGCAAGCACTTGTGAATGCAATATCTTTAAACGGAAAAACGTTAAGTGGTAGAGCGATAAAAATTAGTGTTGCTGAACCTCGTATATTAAAAATCTTTTTTTTTTCTAATTTTTTACAAATAATAGCTCGAAAGGGATATATAGATCGAGAACCTGTTGAGGATAGAACTGCTGGGGAATGGAGACGTACAAGTTCTCTTCCTCTTTCCGAATCTTCATATGAAAAACGATCTACATATGAACGAAGAGGTCATTTTGGAAACAATGATAGGACACATAATTTCAATGATAATCCTAGGGATTTTTCGAACTGGGAATGTAAAGGGCCATTACAAGATTTACCAGAGTTAGATTCATTTACGAAAAAAAGAAGTCATCTAAGTTCTAATAGAAGAAATGGGGACAAATATAGAAATTTTGGGTTTGGTGATCGTAGTTATGGAAGTAATAATATTTCTTGATTTATTTATCAAAGTATCTAATTCCTTTTAGATAGTTTTAATAGTACCGGAACAACTAATATAGGTGAGCGTCCAAAATTAGTTCTCAAGCCTAGAGGAGAGAAATTAGAAGAACCTCCTCAAACACTTAAGCCTTCAACAAAACCTAATCCATTTGGTGATGCACGTCCTGTAGATTCTGGTGCTCGTATTCGAGAAATTGAGGAAAAAGAACAAAAGAGAAAGGAAGAAAGACAGGCATCTGAAGAACAAAAAGGTTTTGGACGAGAGAAAATATTAAAAGATCCTTCCTATAAATCTGATAAGACTGATAAAAAAGAAAGGAATAGAAGGAATCATTCCTTAGACTTTAAGTATGACAAAACTGAAAAAAATAAAGACCATAAGGCACAAAACTATAAAATACAGTCAGTAAATTCATCAAAATCTACCAATTCTACTATTACACTTGAAACAGAAATCAATATAGATGGCTGGTCCACTGTCAATAAGCTATCTAGAAAACGATAAGTTTGATTTCATTATTTTTATGTATTTAAAAAATATTAATAAAAATGATTTATAACTTTTTAAGTATTTATATATCTTTCTGGTCTTAACCCTATAAGTCACTCAATTTTCTTGCGATTTTACCAGGCCTCAAGAAAAATGGTTTCTTCAAAAACACGTTTGGTTATTGTAAAAAAGCGAAGAAAACGTTTTACTAGGCATCAGTCGGGTGTGTTTTTATATGTTTTTTTTTTCTCTGAAAATTAGGCTAATTATTTGATTTTTTTAGACAAATATAAATGTATCTCACCATCATGGAGGAAACCTAAGGGTATTGATAATAGAGGTAACATTAATTGTACCTAAATTTGATATATTTATAAATATTATAGTTCGACGTCGTTTTAAGGGACAAATACCTATGCCTAATATTGGATATGGATCAGATAAAAGAACTCGTTATATGCGGTAAATAAAAACAGTATATAAATTAAGACTTTTAATACTTTAGACCTAATGGATATTATACGTTTCTTATTAGAAATGAGTCTGATGTTGATCTTTTATTGATGCATAATGATGTTTATATTGGAGAGATTGCATCGAATATTTCTTCTAAAAAAAGAGTAAATATTGTTGAAAAGGCCAGAAAACTGGGTGTAAAATTAACTAATGGTCTTTCACGCATTAGATCTCAAGAATAAACATGTAAATTTCGTTATTATATTTTATAAAATCAAAAAATTATATAATAAATAACAGTTGATATTAGTACATGATTTATTAATGTATTAAATCCAAGTAGTTATGATAATATATAATATTTTTATATAAATTTATACTCAAAAATCGTTAAATATAAGTATCCTAAATATCTTGTATGATTCTTGTAATAAATTATATTTAATAGATATTTAAGAATATCAAAGTCATTATTTCCCTAGATCACTTTGAAAAAGGATAGAATTATAATTAGCATAAATTTATTTTACATTAGTAAATATTAATATTTTTTATAAACTTTTAATGTATCTAATCAATGAAAAATACAAAAATACATATATTATATAGATAGAAATACCATTTAATTATGATTATAATAAACTTAGGAACTATTCGACCCATCCCCATTCCCAACGTTTTCCTTCATTCCAACTTCTGATATCTTCTGCTTCATTATTCTGACCTTGTCTCCAAATTCTACAGCTTGTATCATCACTAATACTTGCAATACAATCATCATAGCTCCATGATATTCCAGTAATTTCTTTTTCGCAACCAGAAATTAATGCAACACCAATATTTTTATTTTCAGTCATACTAGCTGTATCTGCTATTATGACCTGACTATTACTACTTCCACATCCTAAAAATTGTCCATCTTTTGAACAGGAAATCTTAACAAAAAAAGACTTTACCATAAGCTGTGGATGTGTAAAACTACCAATAGGTTCTTCAGGATGCGTTGATGAATATGCATATATATAATTATCTCTACTAAGCCCATAAAATGTTGATCCAAATGAAGGCATAGCAAGTGATGTAATACCATGATCCCTTTTATTTTTTATACTAACAGCTGGCTTTGATTCGTAAAGCTTTATAAATTTTTGAGAGTAAAAACGAATATCCCAAATATTAATAAAACTAAACAATATTAATAATTAATAAAACATTTTAATTAAAAAACCTATTAGCATCACACGCACTTGCTAAAAGATTCTTTCTATGAAGCCATTGTATAGAAGTAATAGAATTGCTCATAGGCATCAATTTAGATCTTCTAGAATGATGTTTTATTTTTCCATGTGCATTTAGAATAGAAACAACAGGCATCTGAGCTGATCCAAGAAATCAATATGATTTTAAAAAACCCAAAACAATTACCCGAAGATTCGACTCCATGTGATCGAAGATCCCAAATCAATATCTTTCCATTACGAGAACATGTTGCCAAAATATCTAAGTAACATAAGACTTAACATATAACTAAAAAACAATTTACTAGGGTCGTCTTTTTGAAATGACACTTGTTTCAAAGTGCTAGAAGTACATTTAGAAAGAATTGCAACAAACTTCTGATTGGATATATCAAGTACACGAGCAGTCTGATCTCCAGAAGATGATGCCTATAAAATTCACAATTATAAACAAACATTTTACCAACAATCTTACTAGAAGTTTATCGTCGTAAGACCAAGAAATATCAAATATAGCGTTATCATGACATTTTACTTTCAAAAACTCATCTAAATTAACTATTAAATAAATATTGATAAATACAAATTATAACCAATTTGCTTCTCTTTTTTTACTGTATCAATAAAATGAATAAATCCAGACTCATCTGATACCCCTAGAATAGGATGATCTAATTATATAAATACAATCCCTTCATTACATTTCACATACTGTTTGAAAACGAAACTGCAAATGGAACATCTAAAGTATCTTCATTTTCAATTAAAAAACGATCAAACGGCCGACTATAAAACGATCTCATCAACTTCTTTCTGACTATAAAATAATTAAAAATCATTTTGATTCTTCTTATTTATTAACTTGAGATAGATAAATCATAAATATTATTTCCCGATAAATTTCTTTCTAAAGTTGACAACGGAAACTTATATAAACAACACCCTTCTGATTGGCCTCTTAATATATCATTTCTAGTTAATTTCATATCTCCAACTGCTACTTTTTATTTATTTAAATTTATTTATTATTTCTTTATTTTTCTTGAGCCGTTTTTTTTCCTTCAAAAAACTATAAAATTCAATTAATATAAATACAACTTATAATATACCTTATATTTAGTTTTTTATCTTCAATGGCTATTTTTTAAAAATATTTTGTCATTTATAATGTTAGTTTTCAACACGAGATAATTTATAAACGTGTACTCACGTGAGAAGGACAACTTCCAAAATTCAATTTTCTGCAAAAAAGCAGGAAAAAAGCAGGATATTTTGCAATAAATGAGGAAAAACTGCCTTGGACATTTTGAGAATAAGAAAAAATATAAAAGTATGTTTTTTTCTTTTTTTTTTTGATAATTGGGAGGGGAAATTGGAAAATTATTTTTTTAATAAAAATATATTAATTAAAGCTAGAATTATTGAGGGAACTGAATAAACTTTTATCTAAATATAGCATTTCAGATCCTATTAGACTTGAGGAGTTTTCTATTGATCATATGATTCGATTATATGAAGCACTTTATGATACGGAATTTCCATTTACTAATAAAAAAAATGATTCAAAAAAAACACAAATTAAATACTTAAAGTTTCTTCTTGGAACGATTTCACATGAGTCTTTAAGAATAGATCTTAGTTATATTGATCCTGTTTTAGTAATTAAGCATGATATAAAATCTATTATGAATATTGTTGAAGTGCTTGTAATAATAGGCCATTTGCAACGTTTAAAAGAGAAAATTACCACAAGACAAGAAGTAAATGTTGAGAAAGAATCTGAGGAAGGAAGTGATTCATTTGTTTCAGATGAAATATTGAAATGTGAGGAAGAAGCTGATTATTTAGAAAATAATGAAGCATCTATTTGTAGTTCTTTAAAAGATTCACAAGATATAGTTCATACGCCGAATTCTTTAGTTTCATCTGAATCTGTTTCTGTTATGTCTTATTTTACTAATCGAGCAAATAAGGTATTTAATAGAATCCGTTCTTTAAATCTAGATGCAACACAACCTACATGTGTCAATGAAGCATCTAAAAAGAATTTAGTGGAAAATAAAAACATAAAGGATGAAAGGAAGCAAGCAGTAATTAAGAATACAAATCTTTGTGGAAAAAATAAAATTGATAAAATATCTAAACATTGTCGATCTATTGGAACACAAACATTATTGCCTTATTTTTCTGAGACACCAAATTCTCAAATTTCGCCATTATCGTCATCACCAAATGCATCATATCAATGTTCTTCCAAGATAAGGACATGTTCTATAAAAAAAATGATGCAAAAAGTTTCATTAAATACATGGGAATCTCAAAGCTCCGAAGATGAATCATTAGAGTCTGATCTTTTTAGAAAAGAAAATATAAAAACATCTATAAATAAAAAAATAGAAGACATAGCTGATTTTCAATCAAATTTTCAACAAGAATCTCTAAAAAGAAACGATTATTATGATCAAACTTTGAAAGATAAAATTAAAATAATGCCAAATAATGGAGAGAATGCGCATTATCATCTTCTTCATACTTCACATAAAGTTACACCTTTACGTTTTAGGCAAAATATATCTCAAGAATCTTCACCTAATAGTGATACTACAAATATAGAATTTTTCAAGCAGAAATTTCGCAATGGAATATTAGGAACAGATTCGCCATATACATTGTATTTACGAAAACGAAGAAAAAATGCTTTAAATGCATTATATGCACAACGTTCTCATTTAGAGCAAAATTTAAAATTATCTATAAAAGAAAATAGAAAAATACCTGCTAAACATTCAAAAATAAAAGCCAAAAATATTCCTTATCAAAAATTATATAATCGACCTTTAAGTGATATTTCATTTTATTCTCCATCAGAGCTTAAATCTCAAACATCTTTTTTTTCTAATTATGAAAATTCTATTACGGGTCTTGAAAAACAGCTTCTATCTACTAAAAAACTTTATTTTTAAGAATCATAAAATTTATTTATCCAAGATAGTTATTTATAATATACTTTTTATTTATTACATTTATATATATTTTATAAGTTATATTTTTAGCTACGGCCATACCTCAGAGAATATACCGTATCCCGTCCGATCTGCGAAGTCAAGCTCTGAAGGGCGTCGTCAGTACTATAGTGGGTGACCATATGGGAATACGACGTGCTGTAGCTTTCTATGAATATTTTTAAAATTTATTAAATGTATTATTTAAATTTTAATTAATTATAATAATAAAAGTTTATATACATTATAAATATTAAAAATTTACTTAAAATTTGAAACATATTCAATAGCACGTTGCTTTACATTTTCAATACTTTCATCAGTACCATGGTTTTTTTCATATATTATCCACTTTTTAAAAAAAAAACTTGCCTTTTTACTTGAAATTCTTACAGACAAAATTCTCTGAAATAATTTTCTAACATTATTTTGTTCACCATATTTAATTTCATAATCTAAAAAAACAGACCACAAATCAGTAGATTTAGGATAGTTACTTATAAGATTTTCAAAAAGTGTTCTACCTCTTTCTGGATCACCATATTTAAATTCTAACTGCGCAAACTTACTTTTAGCTTTAAGAACTATATAAATTAGTAATAATAAAATAAATAGATCAAATACAATCTGATTCTGGTAAATTTTTGAGGCTAAGAGAAAATAATTCTCGTGAAGCATCTTGATCATTATTTTCCATTAAAAACGAAGCATAATTTACCCATACATCAAGAGACTTATTATACTTTTTAATCATGAGTTGAAACAGTTCATTTGCTTTCTAAAATTTTAAATTAATTTTTTCATAATTAAAAATCCTAAAAGTACCTCATATTTTTTTGATCGTATAAATATGCTACATAAATTTTTCATCATAAACTTTGGATCATTAAATTGACATGCCTTTTTAAAGACATCATTGAGAGACTCTTCAGTACCAAAAGTATTTTCTAAGTTCATAAGAGCAATCCAAATATTGGATTTCTCTTTCTCATTTCGATAATTTATAGACCTAAGAGCACGTTCACCAATTTCTCTTGCCTTATCAAATTCAAAAAGTTCTACGTGAAATGCCATAAATTTAATCCAAATATATGAAGAATCTGGAGAGCCTAACAAAAGACGTTCAAAATCTATAGGAGTCTTGGGCTCTGAATCATTAAGAATAGCTGTTTTATCTTCTGAAAAATCAATATCCTTATTTCTTTTCTTTGATAAAACATGATTGTTTGTGATTTCCTGTGTAGTAATTACGTTATTACTATCAAACCCCAAATTTCCTGTCCAATCGAATTTTCCTATGGATAAACCGTCAACAAAATCATCCATTTCTTCCATTTGAATATTAGAATCCCTATTTTCCGTTTGATTATTATTTGATATAGCAGATGAAATATTAGTATTTTCTGCTAATTCCTATAAACCCATTAGTATTAAAGATCTTTCAAAAAAGAATTATAAACATTATCAGAGAAACTTTTAATTTCATCATCAGAATTATTATCAAATAATTGTTGCTTTGTTCCAAGATAAGAACTTTTAAGGGCCAATGAAATCCGACGTTTTTCATAATCAACATCCAATACATATGATTTTAATATATCCCCCTCAACATATATCTTATGAATATCTTTTACTTTAGAATCAGCAATCTTCATTGATGTTATAATATGAAGAAAATAATATGTAAAGTTTACCTGAGATATATGACATAATCCACTAACGTTATTATAACCCACAAGATTTATATATATCCCAAAATTTGTAATTTTTCTAACAACACCATCAATTATCTGTCCTTTAGAAACTTCTGAAAATTCTAATAAGGGTTCTAATGATTTTAGTTTACTTTTTTTTAAAGTCATTTCAATTCTTTTATTCTCATCTATTGAAATAATTTTCCCTTCAATAAGATCATACAAATGGAAATTTGACTTCCAATCCTGAATAAATTGATCCGATATTTCATCAATTCTAACTCTAGCAACAAGATTTCTACTCAGACTTATGAATAATCCTTTTTCTGCAATATTCTTAATGAAACCTCGAAAAAGCGCGCCAATTTTAAGTTCTTCTAATGAAATGATTTCTGGATCACGTTGCTTAAATGTTGATGATGCAACCCGAGAACTTCTTGATGACAATGCAACATTTTTATTATAAATATCTACATCTAAAACATAAACTTTAATAATTTGATTCTTCTGGTATTTTTTAGTTAAATTCACACTATATTCATCATCAATATCAGTTAAATAAATTTTTCCTATAACGTTTTCGCTAATTTGAACTATAAAGCCTGTTTCTATTGTCTTTATAATTTTACCAGGAATTATAGAACCAACTACCACAGAATTATAATCAGATATATAATTTGAATTTAAAGCTCGAACTGATAAACCTAGATAATTAATCTCAGTACTAGATTTGACAACCTTGCACTGAATTGCTGAACCGATATGTATATGTTTCGGAATATTTTGAAGAATATCAATATTATCACTAATATCTAATATGTTTATTCTTCCTCTAATATTAGGTGATATGTTAACCCATATACAATCTTGAAATATATTATTTACAAATGCAAGATGCACTGAACCGATATTAATATCATTTGAAGATAATAAAGGGTTTGTTTTTTTTTTTAAATCACTTGGTCTTGCTGTAAGTTCAAAGATTTTATGAATGTTTGAGGATCGATGAGTAATAGCTAAAAAGCGATGATTTCGTATGTCATGATAACCAATTACTTTCGCTTCAATTTTTTGATTAATCTTAAATTTTTTAAAAGGATTTTGAGGATCATCAATTTCTTCAAAAGAATCGAATACTTGAGTTATATCAATTCGTCCATGATATTTTTCAAATATCTCAACGTTAAGTTGAGTTTCCTTAACAGAAATTATTTTAACTTGAATTATTTTTTCAAAAATATCATCTAAGTTTAAATTTGATTTAAAATCTTGCATAGTTAGCCTTTGAGGCGTATTTTTGAAAATATCTATCTGTCCTATTGAAAGTTGTAATCTTTCTTTTTCTAAATCAATATCTATTACTGTACATAATACAGTTTGATTTAAAAAAAATGTTAAATTCAAATTAACTAAATATTGATCCGATATATTCTATAAATAAGTCATATTTGAATGATAAATATTAATTAAAAATACTTGTTTTAGCGCAAGACCTGTCAAATTCCCAAGAAATCCTACAAAAACTCCATAATCTTGTATACTTTTTATATATCCAGAAAGACAAGAACCAACTTTTGCTTGAAACAACATTGATGGAAAATTCCCTTCTTCTAATAATTTAATAAAACTCGGTTTAGAACTAAGAGTTATAACTCGTTGGCTTTCTCTTTTATTTAAAACAATTAACTTTTTTAAATGGGTTCCATGATTCATTTTCGAAATTAAAACTTTACATTTATCAAGAGTCTCGTCAGAAATATGCCCTAATTCAATAATTCCAGTTAAAAGACTGGAATCTATAGAAACAACAACAATATCATTAGAATTACTTATAACAGTACCAGATACAAATGATCCGAGTTCTAATTTATTAAACTTCTCCGACTTATCTTCATCCCATAATGTTGGATTTCTACAACTTACTCTTATTTTTTGTGAATCGATATCTACAGAAACAATATATACATTAACTGTCTGTCCGATCTTGAAATACTCTCGTGGATCACTAATATACACCTCACTCATTTCAGAAATAGGAAGAAATGACTTAATTCCATTATAGAATTCCACAACAGCACCATTGTCCAATATATTTTGCAAAACTCCTACGGTTTTTGTATTAATTTTTATATCATTATAATTAGTTATTTCTGGATATTTAGAGTTAATTAAAGACTTTTTTAATGTTAATATTATTTTTTTTTTTTCTATATCTTTCCTAAGTACCTACGTTTAATGAATAAAGATGATTTAAAACTCTAAGAAATAAAATTTACTTTACATAGAACAGTATCACCTTCTTTAAATTTTCTTTCTGGATGAAGCAAAAAAACATCAGATATATGTGAAGTAGGAACAATTCCAGTAATTCCTTCTGTAATATGTATTAAAATTCCTTGAGGTATAATTTTCCCGACAGTCCCGGATACTAACTCTGCAATATTGAAATCTTCAATTCTTAAATGAGATTGATTATATATACTGCTTTGCATAGATAATATATAGATGCCATCAACGTTTGAAAATCCTATTACTCTTGCTTGATGAGAAGAACCAATCTTATAATTGCCTGTTGTAGGCGATATAGACTTTATTTCATTATCCGATAAACGAGATATCTTAAAGTTTTAGTAACATTTTTTTTAAAAAAAGGAAAATATACATGAACAAATCCAAATACATTTCTAAATCCAATATCGCAAAATACACCTATTCCAGGTTCAGTTTTTTTAATAATTGCATTTTCTATCCTGAATCCTATTGGGATAGAAGATAATAGGTCAATTTCTAATTGTTTTTCGTGCATAATGGTCGAAAAATTTATTATATGATTAAGAAGGGATATAGCAACTTTTTTAGGTTCAGAATCAATAAAATTAAAAATAATTCTTGCTTTAACCTATTATACAATCAGAATTTTATGTTTTTTTTTAGAAATAAAAGATTGTTAAATACTATTTTCCCAACTTCATATTCAGTATATATATCAGATAAAACGTCTCCAGAATGAAATATATCTGCAGTAGCATTTAGAAGACCCATAATTTTTCCACAAAGACCATTAGGATAGATCTTCGAAATCATAACCTTTACAAGATTTCCTGGAGAAAAAACATTAATATCAGAAACTTTTGTTATTGGTGTTTTTGCTATTTTAGAAAGATCTGTTGACAATTGAACAATACGTCCTTTTGAAGCATTTTTTATGATATAACATAAAAGAACTTGTCCTTCATATAATTCAGAATATTGTGTATTTTCTTTCTTAATAAATCCAGAAATTCCTTCGATACCAATATCTGCTATATATCCATGATCTTCAATGCTAACAATTGAAGCTTGCAAAACTAGGGGGACACTTATAGAATCGGAATTTAAATTTCCATTCGTATAAGCAGGGTCAAGACTTAGTTCAATTTTCTTTTTTTGCTTAGTATCTTTTAATGTTAACGAATTGTTTTCCAACGATTCTATCGCACAAGTAGCAGTAACATATACTTTAATCCACTGACCCTTATGAAACATTTTTTTCAATGACAATATATTATCTAGATCATTCTCAATTGATTTTTTAAGATATGTAGAAAAAGTTTCTGATATATTTTCTATAAGAACATATCCAACCAGATTATTAGGAAGAGAAACAACAATATCCGAAAAATTTACTTTTTCAATTTGCCCTAATATAATCATACCTTTAGTAATTGTCTAATTATTTTTTAAATGTCTGTTAAAAAATCAATTAAAATTACTTTAAACGTAAGACTTTCAATCTTCAAATTCTCATGCATAATATTATTTTCAATATTTTTTATTTTAGACTTGATTTTCTTTTTATTATCTGCTTTTATTCTTTTTGCTAGAGTTTCTTCCTATTAAAAATTAAATTTTCATATTTTATCAAAAAAAAAGATAAATTTAACATCAAAAAGAGAACCTCTTTTAAAACCTCCACAATAATCATCTATTTTAGTATTATCTAAGTCATTCCCACCTCTTGGAAAATCTTTATCTGCTTTTAATGACAACTCTGATTGATAAAATTTATTTTCTTTATGAATCTTATTAAAATCTTTTTTATATAAGAAAAAACCCTCTACTTATTCTTAATTACCTCGAGGTTCTTTATTTCTATCTTTTATATCATTTAAAATGTCTTTTGATCTATTTTCTTTAGATCTTTGCATTTTCTGGCTTTAAAAGATAAAATCAAGATTTAAACGATTTTTAAATTAAAAAATAGTTAAATATTATTTAATAAAGTTTATTAAATCAAAAAAAAAAACAAAATAAAAAATATGTTTAAAGTTTTATATATTTTTTGTTTTAAAAAATAATTTAAATATATTTAGTGTTAATGTATTTTATTTTTTTAAAAAAATTAAGATTCTGTGTCATCTTCTAATGAAATTGCCTCCAAAAAGTCTTTTTCCCAATCCCCATTCTGAAATTTTGACCAATCTATAGTATTTTCGTTTAATATGTATTTTCCTTGGCGACATCGTACAAGTTCTACTATATGTGCAGCAGAATCTAAAAATATAGCAAGATCATGAATAAGTGATCGAATATATGTGCCAGAAGATGCAACAATACGGAATTTAACTGCAGGCGCCTTTCTTTTTATAGATGAACGTATATTAGATGTTTTTTGTTCTTCGTTATCAACATTATTAGATAAATTATCTGATATTTTAATTTCGTTAGTAGAATTAAATAAATTGCGTTTTTCGCTTTTGTAATTCATAGCTCCTTGCTCCTGTAATACATTGCTAGAAATATCTATAGCATCATCAGTTGTTGGTTCTTTCCAATTATGATCATGTGTTCATTTTATAATATTAAATGAATCAACAACAACAGGACGGGGTTTAATTTCTTCTGGAAGTTCAATGCCTTCTCTTAAATATTGATATAAACGTTTTCCTTTCATATGCAAAGCAGAATATCTTGAAAAATTATAAAAAATTTTTAATAATAAATTTATTCTTACATTGGAGGTTTCTGTAATATATTACCTTTAAAGTTTTCAAGTGCTTTTGTAACTTTATCTTCTGTTAAATGAGACCATGGCATACACTTTAAAATTTTTCCATTAGAATCATATGTATCTGTAGAATAACCGAATAAGGCTGTTGCTTCATATTCCTTAAATGATTAACTTGATTTTTTTTAAAAAAATATATTACTTTAGTGCAATTTAGAAATTTCTTAAGTTTTTTTGTACTCTTTCCAATACCTATTACTTAAAAAAGTTATAAATTATAACAAATTAAAGAAATATATACCAAGTACACCACTTGCTAATGGATCTAAAGTTCCTCCATGGCCAAGCTAGGTTAAATCCTAAGAAAGCTTAAATATAAGTAAGAACATACCTTGATTTTTCTATATTTCGAATCTTTTGACTTTCTCCGACGTTTATGTGCTTGTTCTTGAGAAATATCAACAAGTTGATTATAAAGATAAGATTTTCTTAAAATTTTTTCTAATTCTATAAAAAATGATTTTTTTTTTACTTTCTAAATCTTAATTACCATTTAAAATATGAGTACAGACCCATCCAGATGGCTTGTTAATTGCTATAATACCCCCTTTATTCATAGAATTTTGATTCTTATATATATCTTAAGATAATCTTGAAAAAAATAAGAATTTCAATTATTTTAAATCTCTAAATAAAGATATTATTCATAAGATGCTCTAAAATTCTAAATAATATAAATTAATTTAGATTATAAAGATTAATTTTTAAAATAATCTAAATAAAAATAATTATTTGATAATAAGGTATAATTTTTTATAAAATTAAATTTCTAATATTATTGTTATTTTAGTTAGATTTATCTTAAAAAAATTAAATATATAACTTTAAGGTTTTAATATTATTTATTATTAAAATATAAATTATTTAAAAAACAAATATTTAAATTTGAAAATCAATGATTATAATTTATGATTTAAATGTTTAACTTTTTTATACAATATTTTGTCATATAATTAATATAGATACCTATTTTGAAATTTCTTAATATTTTAATTGGTTGATTAAAAGATGTCATTGATATTAATAAATAGTTATCAAAAAAATGAAAATGTTAAAAATTAACATATCTAATGTAATTATATGCAAAAAAGGAGCACAAAAATAAATAACATACAATTTTTTATTGTATCGTAATGAACATATTCATTTTTCATCATTATTACCTATTTTTCATTCATATTATAGCCCATCTATCTTGTACTATTTTTTGTTAGACTTTAATTTAGAAAATAAATAAACTTACATTTTCAATATTTCCAGATTTGTATTCTACATCACTCACAATTTTTAAGTCAGTAATTTCGGTAGGATTGGGTGGTAATAAAGCCAAAAGACTTTTTAATTGCGTTTCTTTGAAAAAATCATTAGGAGGAAATTCAACAACAACTTCAAGATATAAATCTCCATTTTCATCACTATCTGAGCTCTTAGGCATTCCTTCTCCTTGTATAACTAATATTTGCCCTGGATACATTATTTTTCCAGGAGGATGTGTCATATAAAGACCTCTTCCATCTAAAGTTTTTAAAACTACTCTAGAAAATCCACACAAAGCTTCAGATAATGTAATATTTAAATTAGATTTTAAATTGCATCCTGAACGCTCGAATCTATCATGTTTTCTTTGCTTAATAATAATTATTAGATCACCTGTTTCCATGCCAGGCTAATTTATTAATTTTTTAGAAATTAAATTAGAAAAAAAAAAAACAAAATACCTCTTGATCTGCTTCGCCATAAAAAACAATTTTTTCTCCATCCTGTGTTCCTTTGTTTATCTTAATTTGATAAAAATTTTTTTCTGTAACAGTTTTAATTCCTTTGCATTTTTTACATCTATCTTTTTCTTGAACAGCTTCTCCTGTTCCATCACATTTTTGGCATTCAAATTCTTGTTGTATAATCATTCCAGGCCTTATTTGCTTTAATGCTGTCATTATTCCTTTTCCATCACAAAATACACATTTTTTAGTGCCAGAATACGCTTTTCTTCCTGAACTAAAGATATATAAGACTCAATTAATAAAATATCATATAATTTAAGAGACCCTTTGCAAGTCGGACATATAATATTCCGTGTGCCAGCCATTTTAACATTTTTTCCTCGATAGAGTTCTTCCAATGTTATTTCATAATCATAATATACGTCTTTCTTCGTATTTTTAAACGATTCCTTATGCATTGACTCTCTTCCTAATCCATTAATACCCATTTCTTCAAACATTTCCGAATAAAGATCATCAATCATAACGTTATTACAATCTTCAACACCATCTAAACCATATGTATCATAAATAATTCTTGTTTCTGGATCTCTTAAAACATCATAAGCATTTTGTGCTTCACGAAAACGAATTGATGCTTCTTCTCGTTCTGATTCTCGAACTTTATCCGGATGATTATGAAGAGCAAGCTAATCTTCATAAGTATAACCAATTATAGATATTATGAGCTCTTATACTTTATGAAATGCCTTTTTAATCTCTACTTGACTTGCTTCGGGATTAACACCAAGTATATCATAAAAACGTGTATCAAGAACCACTATTTTTTAATAATAAATAACAATTCTACTAAAATTAAGCAGCTTACTTTTAATTCTTATAAAAATCTCTAGATTTTATCCCCATTTTAACTATAAAATTGAGTTTTTATTAAGATTTTGTTGATCGTTATCTTTTATTTATTTTTAACGAGGTAAACCTCCAAATTATCTGTGAAAAATAAAATTACTAAAAACTAAGAATAAAATGTTTATAATAAGGAATTATATATATATATTGAATGGGAAAAAGAGAGTTTTTAAGTTTACCGAAAAGAACGGTCGAAAATGCAGCATTTTACGAAGAGTTAGAACAAGATTTGCGCCATCTCCTACAGGGCAAATGCACCTTGGATCTTTAAGAACAGCACTGTATAATTACCTTTTCGCTAAGAAAATGAAAGGAGATTTTGTTTTGCGTATTGAAGATACAGATAAAGTAGATTATTTTTGGTTAAAATAAAGCTCAAGGATTTACTTTTTAGAAAGACACGAATTGTTAAAAATTCCGAAAAAAATATATATAAGATACTTAGATATACAGGGATTCATTGGGATGAAGGCCCGATTGTATATATCTGTTAAATTTTATGCAATTAATTTAGATTTATAGGTTGGAGGAAAACATTATCCTTATAAACAGGTAAATTTAATTAAATTACCATATTATTTCTGAAATTTTAGTCTCAAAGAATAAATATATATTTGAAATATGCTAATATACTTCTTGAGGTATTTTTTGTATAAATTTAATCATTTTATAGAATAAGTAGTCAGGTAATGCATATAGATGTTTTTGTTCTATAGATCGTCTTGAAAAATTAAAAAAAATGTCTAAAATTCAAGGACTTTCTGGGACATATGATAGAAATTGTATGTCAATTCATATGCATGAATCAAATGAAAGAGCATTAAAAGGGGATAAATTTGTACTTCGTTTTAAAGTAAAAACGTAAAAATATAAGCATAAAATTAATTATATAAGATTCCTGAGAAATACCCAGTAGTTCATGATATTGTTTATGGGGATATTGATTTTTCTGGTCCGATTAATATACAAAGGAAAATTTATGATGATCCAATAATTATAAAGTCAGACACTTTTCCTACATATCATTTTGCCAATGTTGTTGATGATTATCTTATGAATATAACACATGTAATTAGGGGAGAAGTAATAATTTCATTAAAGATTGCTCTTTTATCAATGTTTTTTAGGAGTGGTTACCATCAACATCAAAACATCTTGCTATTTATCAGGCTTTTGGATGGATTCCGCCTAGATTTGCTCATGTATCTCTATTGGTAAATCCAGATGGTTCAAAAATAAGTAAAAGATGTAACGATACTCATATTCAAAATTATATTGATGAAGGATATTCTTCAGATGCTTTGTTAAATTATGTTGCTCTTATTGGATGGTCTCCAAAAACATCTAATGATGTATTTACTATGCAAGAGCTGATTGATAGGGTATATAAATAATTAGAAAAAACATTAGTGTGACCATTTTATGTAGTTTTCACTTGACAATCTTACTAAAGGAACTGCAATAGTTATGCCAGAAAAGCTTAATTTTCTTAATAAACAACATTTTCTTCGCTCTACTGAAAATGAAGATGGAATTAAAAAAATTATCAAAAAAATTAAACCCAAAATTGTATCATTATATAAAAAAAAGTATTAATTCAATTTTTTATTTTTTTTAAATATTATTAGAATTTTAGAAGATAATGATACAGAGCGTCTTGAAGATGAATATATTTATAAAATTATTCTAGCACTTAGAAGGAAAGTACAAAATATAAACCATTTAATTGAGTCAAGTAAATATTTTTTTGTCGAACCAGATTATAATGAACATATTCTTAATGAATTTAAATTAACATCAAAGGATTTAGGTATATTATTTCTAGTTATTAATATTTGATAAGTGGTATGTTTTTTAACTTATTTAGAATTAACTTTAAAAATCATTCAAGAATTGAATAAGATTAATATATGGATTTCTGATGAGATTATTTCTACTATTACAAAAATTGCAACTACTGAGAATATTAAAATAAAAAAAATAAAGATGATATTACGATTTTGCTGCACTGCATCAATTGTCGGCGCAGATATCATTCAAATTATATATATATTGGGCAAAAAATCTGTAATATTAAGAATCAACAAAACTATGGAATGGAATAAAAGCTTTTATCACAAATAATATATTATTTTCTGAAAAAATCATAATGACTTATATATTTTGAATCAAAGGTATTATCATAATTATAAATTCAGAACATATTAAATAATTTGTTCTTTAAAATTTGTGTCGATATTCTATGAATTTCTTTATTAGCAAGATCATTTCTAATATTTTTAAATATTTTTTTCAAAATATGGCTATATTACATATCATTAATTATCTTATATAAAACATCATCCTTTTTTTTTTCATGTACATAAGATTGCTGAGTGCAAAAATGTGATGTAGAAGAGAAGTTATCAGATTCATCTTTCTCCAGTAATTGCTGAATAGAATTTATTCTTTCTGATAAATTTAATAGTTTAGAAGGTAAATATTCTTTATTCTATAAAATTAAATAAATACTTTAATAATTATTTTATATACCATAAATGATGAAGACAGAGTTAATGTTTTAAACCAATATTTACTTAAAAGTAGCCATAAAATATGAGAATCCAATGACGATTTAAAATAATTCACTTTAAGAGCATAATATCTATAATTTTTTAAACAATTTCTAATACTATAAATAACATTACTTATGTGAATGAACATCAAAGTCCTCTATTTTATCAGAAGGTATAACTTCATGATAATTTTGTTGTAAAATATCTGGTTTATAATTTATTGGATAAGTTCTAAACGCACCTAAATCAATTTTTCTTGTTAAAACAGTGCGTATTGGATCAATCTAAAATAATATAAACTTTTTTCAAAAAATTCGCATTTTTATAAAAATAGCTACCACAATAGCTAAAAATGGGTCTTGATATTTTTGATTTTGAAGTTGTGTTTCAACATCAATCCCTGAAAGCCTCAAAAATTTAATATATAAAAAAATACACAAATAACACATGAACTCACCAAGATCCATATCCTGGATGAGAGTGATACCATCCTATAATATTTTCTGGACGATTTACCTGCTTTATTATATCTTGATATGTAACCATATATTCATATGCTTCTGCTTGAGCATTCACTCGAGTTTCTGTTCCTTCAACAGGAAGACAAAATGCATCCATAACAATCATTTTATCTTCATAAATCTTCCCTTGCATAAGGCCTTTTATACATAAAATAAGATTTTAATGTTTAATTCTATTTCATTTTCTACCCATTACTTCAATTGAATTTCCAGACCAACAATGAATCATCATCTTCATTAAAGCAACTAAAGAGATATGAACTGACTTAAAATAACAAGGACTATTCGTCTTTAGTTAAAAATGTTTTTTTCTAAAATATATTTCTGTTTTACTCTTCTTTCCATGTTTTTTTATTTAATTGTTTTTTTTGATATTTCTCATCATAAATATAAATACAGTCGTTTAAAGGCAGTGGATCTAAAGGCATTTCTCAAGTATAAATTAGGGGAATATTGTGGATTTCTATGACCCAAAAAATGAATGTCGTTGATAGTCAACGTCTTAAAAATTGAGGTTAAGATGAACCTTAAAAAGAGGAAAAAGGACAGGAATTTGGGTTCAGAAGAACAAAATACTGAAAAGAGAACTAAACAAATATCTATGAGGTCTTTTTTGGGGGCAAAAAATGATTATTTTAAGGCAATTGAGAGTAAATTTAATAAAGAAGTCTGGGTTAATGGATTGAAAGAAAAGGAACGAGAATTACTTAAGTATTAGTATATACTTCTAATTCTATCTTATGGTTTTAGGGTTGAAATTGAATTTTTGGGGGAAAGTTGGCTTAAAGTTTTGAAAGATGAGCTTACAAAACCATATTTTTTGCAGGAAAGAAAAAGGAATATTCAGGCTTAAACTTATTAGTTTAGCTTAAAAATTTTTTAAATCAGGAAAAAAAATTATACACAATCTTTCCTCCAGGTATTTTAAGTTAATTTTGTTTTAGAGATTTAAATTTTAGTAGATAAAGATATTTATTCATGGTCATATTATACTCCATTGAATATGGTTAAGGTTGTAATTTTAGGACAAGATCCATATCATAACTATAATCAAGCACATGGACTTTGTTTTTCAGTACGACCACCGACATTACCACCTCCATCTCTTAAAAATATATTTATTGCACTACAAAACGATTATCCATCTTTTAATATCCCGAAAACTGGGCTACTAACGCCATGGGCTAAACAAGGTGTTCTTCTTCTAAATTCATCTTTAACAGTGCGTGCACATCAAGCAGGAAGCCATGCGCAAAAAGGATGGGAGGAGTTTACCAGTAAAGTTATTCAAGTTGTACAGAAACACCGAACCAATGGTGTTGTTTTTCTTGCATGGGGCTCTCCTGCTGCTAAAAGGGTTGAAAATGTTGATGTATAATTTTTCTTTATGTTTAATTATATCTGAATTTTTTACTAGAAAAACATTCATCTTATTTTAAAAAGTGTCCATCCTAGTCCATTGTCTGCAAGTAGAGGATTTTTTAATTGTGGGCACTTTAAAAAAACAAATGAATGGCTTTCTCAAAAATATGGAGAAGATGGTATAATTAATTGGAATTGTCTTGATACAAAGGAAACTATTAATTTTTCTAAAACAAATGCCATTGTACCAGGAAATTGTACTAAGTCAGAAACTACATCTCTAAAAATACTATCGCATTTTAAAAACGAAGAGACAAATCAAGTAACCGATATAGTGAATCTTTCTCAAGAAGAATTAATTGCAATGGAATCTAGTATCACACTAGAAGAACTTAATGATAGTTTATCAAGTAGTTCTAAATCTAATGAAGAATAATTATATGTTTTTGTATTTTCAAAAAAGCTTCATTACATAAATTATTTTAGAATTATAAAACAGATCATAGTATAAGTTTTTATACATTTTTAAATAAATCTTAAAACAATTTATTTTCTTCTTTTAGCTATACGTTTTGCTGCTCTTAGTTCTTTTTTCATTCGAGAGTCAACTAATAATGTTTAAAAAAAATATTATTTAAATTATAGATTTTACCAAATTTATATCTCCCTTTTACTCCTTTTGGTCTTCCTTTAATTCCCTTATTTAGACCTTTTGCAACTACTATTTTTACTTTATTTCTATTCTTGAATTTTACGGACTTTTTTAAAAGTTTCTTAATATTTTCCGATTTCTCTTTTTCACTCATATCATTGGTTTGGATTATTAAATCTGTTTTTTCTTGTATTCGTTTCAATCTTTTCATTGCTTTCATTTTTTTACGTGCTTTAGCTTCCAATACTTTTTTAATAGGACGTGCATTCATAGCTCTAAGTTTTTCTCGAATAACCATAGCAGCTTCTTTAGAAATAGGAAGATTTCTTCTATTATGTTTTCTTTCATCATCCAAAAACCATTCTGGGAGATTCTTATTATCTTGAAAAGACCATTTATTATAAGAATCATCAATAATATCTTTTTTAGATTTTTTTTTAGATGCTATACTTCGAGCTAATGTCATTTCCTCTGCTGTTGTAATATCTACTTTTATATATTCTGTTAATTTTTTTCAGAATAAAATAGAATAAAATAACCTAATTTATTTATTTTTTTTTGAATTAAAATATTTTGATTTTTTTCAGTTGTTCCATTTAATATTTTGATATTATCATTTGATACGTCATTATGAATTTTACATGATGGTTTAGACTGATTTTTACGAGTTTTTAATAATCTATTCTCTACAGTTTTAACATTATCCAAATTCTCAAAATAATTATTATGAATTTTAAAAATATCATTATCAAAAAATAGTTTTGCTTTTTGAGTTAATTCGCCTTTTTCTTCTGGATCTATAAATTCTGATTCATCCGAACTACTTTCAAAATTACTACTCTGGTTTTCATCTTTAAGATCAAAATCTGAATGTTTTTCCGATTTATCATCAATTTCAATGGTATTTAGTTCATCATTGTTAGTTTCATTAAAATTACCATTAATTTTTGATTTAAATTCCTTTTTTTTAGATCGATAATATTCATACCTTACGCATATTAAAAGGATTAAAATCAATTGACATAGACTTACATTAGATTAAGTTCCTTCTCCATATTATCTAAATTATCTTCACTATCTTCAAATTCTGTCTCGGGTTCTGTTGTATCAATATCATCTTCAGAAATTAAATCCATTTCTGCATTTTCAACTTCTAATTTATCGAGCTCTTTAAAAGAAGGTATTTCAAAAATAGGGTCTTCTGAAATAGTTTCAGATTGCTCCAACCCAATATCGAAAGGTTCAACCATTCCCAAATGTAAACGAAGAATGCTTTTTTTCTTTGATTCTAACATTCGTCGTTTTTCTCTTTTTTTTTTCATAATTTGTTGATTATTTAATCTGTTCATCTATAATCTTTTATTAATTGAATTTTTAAGATTAAAATAAAAAAACAAAACCTCTTGTTCAATTTCTTCTTCTTCATTTAACGGTATTATTTCGACTTTTTCTTGCAAATTGGTTTCTTTTTTTTCAGATAAACCTAACTTTTCCCTAACAAGTGTTCTCCATTTAAGTAAACCACGAAAATCTTTTTTTCCAAGAACTTTAAGATCTTTACAACATTGAATAATCTCTTCTGTAGTAATATCGAAATTTTTAATTCCTTTATAATTTTCTAAATCTCTGTCATCAAGACTGATCACACTAGCAATACTTAAAATTTCGATCGGGTTATTCGAGTTCAAAAATTCTTCTGCAGTCACTGTTTTATGTTGAGTATAATTTCCATCTTCATAACCATCTCTTTGACGCTTTATTTTCTTAATAAATTAATATTTAAAGATAATTATATGATTCGAGATATATACCGAAGGGTTAAATAATCTTGTTACATGGTCCGGAACTGAGCAAGGTAAATCCTCAAAAACAAACCTTGGATCTAAAAACTTGGGATCAATCTTATCAGGTGCTTTATATTGTTGACAAACTACAAATATTTCTGCCGAAACATCCCTTTTTTATATCATTTTTATATAACTTTTATTATTAAGTTATTACCTTGAAGCTAAGGGCTTAGTTGCCTCAACTTTTCTAAATAATTGATTTAAAACCCATAATAAACTATTATAATCTTTTGACCGAAAAATTTTAGTAATAAATGTACCTAATATATTAAATTTTAGGCAACAAAATTAACGTATAATACCATTAGAAATTAAAAATTCGGTAACTATTTTTAAAGACTTTAAAACAAGCTCTGCTTGAGAATATGCATCGTGAATCCATGCCATCCCTACGTTTGGTGCTCCATCATGAAGAATACTATTCCAAAATTAATAACAAATAAAAATTCAATTAACATACGTATCTGCTTTCCATGTTTTTAAATATTGCTGAAGTTTTTTACGACATTTATCAGTAGTAATATCTTCTACAAAAGTTTCAACATTTGGAATTGGTTTTATTGGAACTAAATCAACACCGCATATCAAGGATCCTGGCATACAATATTTAGAAGCTACTTGAAGCCATCCTCCTGGTGCTGCACATAAATCAATCAAGACTTTAGTTTTTTCTAAAAAACGGTACTTTTTATTCAACTGAATAAGCTTAAATGAAGAACGTGACCGATATCCTTGTTCCTTTGCAAGATGATACCATTTATCTCCATGTTTTCTCTGCTTTGCTGTTGATTTTCTCATTATTTTTAGATTTTAAATTTTGATTTCGCTACTCTAGTAACTTATATTTAATATACTGATTAATCTGTATTAAAAATATCATAAATTTACAAAAAAAAAGAAAAATGATGTGTATAATAAGACAAAATTAAGTGTCCCCTTATATAGCATAAAATAATAATAGCTAATTAATTAATATACCGAAAATTTTTAAAAATTTTACAAATTCTAAAAATTTATATAAAAAGTTAATATTTTTTGTTTTTTTTTTTTCAAAAAAATTACCTTAGAATTATAGGTAAAGAAATGAAAACTTTTAGTAATATATGTATTATTTCTGTATAAAATTAATAAGGTTTTAAATATATTAAAACAGATTTTTTACGTTTTAAAAAAAGTCGATAAATTGTAGATTAAAAATAAAATCTATGAAAAATAATATAATATTAATTGCATAATTTTCGAGGCTCTTATTTAAGATATTAGTTATATAATCATCTTTTTTTTATAATTTTGTTTTATTTTGAATAAATATTTATTATATATTATACTAAATAAAGTGCAAAATAAATGATTAAGATTTTTTTTAAAAAATTAAAACTTTGTTTTTCGTAGAATATCTTATAAAAATTGTTTATATCTATATATAATGTTTAAAAGCTATTCTTCATAAATTATTAAGGGATTAAATATCTTTTAAATGATCTATAATGTTAAAATCATATTTATTTTTTCGAAATCAATAAAATTGTCATAAAAATATTCTTATTTTTGATTTTTGTAAGTTGAAATCTTTAATTTAAATTATATAGATAATACTATTTTTTTAAATAAATCATAAATTTAAAGAATTCTTGAAATATTCAGTCTTTATGTTAAGAATTCGTTAACTAGAATTTTTTTCCTAAAAATTGATTTTTGTTGATTCTTTTACAATCAATATAAAGTTAAATAGGTTATATTTGAAAGTATTTTATTATAAATTTAGAACTATGTGAAACATATTAATCAATATATAAAGGTAATGTTAATAATCATAAATAATAATTTACCTTTGATATATTCATTTTAATAAATAACATAAAATTTGTTTAATACTACTTTTATTAATTGTTTAATAAAATATATATTTATAATGCATATAATATATTTTCTAATGCACAGTTTTTATTAAAAATATTAATACATCTTTATAAATTATGAATAGTATTTTTTTTAAAGATAAGCTAAGATTTTCTAACTCTTTTTGTATTAGTTTTCTATTTAAATATTTAAAAATTATCTTTAAAAGTCCTATTTTCTTTAAGATTCATTCTAATTCTTCATGAATATTTTTTTAGTCAATCATCATTCATTTAGAATAAATTTGTTTCCAGATAAATAATTTATAAAATATTCAAAATTTTTTAAATTATCATTTTTTAAATATCAACAATATGTTCTTTATTATGATACTTTAAAATAATTTAATTTATCAATAAAAACTGTCTATATTTCTCCAAATTTTTCCTAAATTATTCACAATATTAAAATTACAAATATTTCATATAACTTTCAAGATATTAAATAATATTCATATTCTTTTGCATCCAATTATCTTTTTTTCATTAAACAAATTTTTAAGACTTTCAATAATATTAATAAATCTATCTTAAGATAAAACAATCTTAGTAAAAACTCTAAATTCTAAAACCCTTAATTTATTTTCTACTATTATCAACCTTTCACTTGTTCATGTTGCTATAGCAAGCATTTACAATAAAAAGATTTTATAAAAACTCTTTTTTTTATAAAAAACCCTTTTTAATATATTTATTATTTATACATAAATTCTATTTTTTTATTTTTAAAAAATATTTTAGATCTCTAACTCTAACCTTACATCAATTTTCTAAATCAATTTCCATAACAACAATTACGCGTTATTTGGTAAACGCGTATACATGAATTTCACGTGATTAACAAAAAGCAATTACAAATATATAAAGCAAAGGCGACCTTGAAAAAAATCTAAAACTTTATTCATCACTAAAAACAAATAAAGTTAATATAAGCAGAAAGAAACATAATACTTTAAAGAAATTCTTTAGAAATGGAACATGAGTTAACACCGTCTAAGAAGGTAAGATCATGAATAACAAAAGATACGTCAAAAATATATTTTGATTAATAAACACGCGAAACTAATATGATAAATAGGTCGCAGAAGGTATTCTTGAATTAAATTTGACAAAAGAAGAACTGGAAGCAGCAAAAAATGCGAAAGAAACGCTTATTAAGCTAAAGATCAAAGCTAGAAAAAACAAAAGTGACATAAATGGATCAGATCTAGAGGAGAATGCTCTTAATATAATGGAGGAAGAACCTTTATTAATGGAGAATAAAAAACGATTTGTTCTTTTCCCTATTAAATATCACGAAGTAAGATTAGTTAGGAAAAAATATTTTCTTATGTTTATTAGATTTGGCAAATGTATAAAAAAGCAGAAGCATCTTTTTGGACAACAGAAGAAATAGATCTTTCAAAGGATCTACATGACTGGGATAAAAAATTGAATGATGATGAGCGGTTTTTCATTTCTCATGTCCTTGCTTTCTTTGCAGCATCAGATGGGATTGTGAATGAGAATCTTTTGGAACGCTTCAGTAATGAAGTGCAAGTTCCGGAAGCACGTTGTTTCTATGGATTCCAGATTATGATGGAAAACATTCATTCTGAAACGTATTCACTCTTAATTGAAACGTATATTAGAGACCCGGGCCAAAAAAAGTTTCTTTTTGATGCAATTGAAACAAGTATATTGAGTTTATAATTATTTTTCTACATTACTAATGTACTTTAGTTCCAAGTATAAAATTAAAAGCAGATTGGGCACTTCGATGGATTGCAGATGAACATTCAACCTTTGCAGAACGTTTAGTGGCGTTTGCTGCAGTAGAAGGCATTTTTTTTAGTGGTTCTTTTGCATCCATTTTCTGGCTTAAGAAACGTGGATTAATGCCTGGATTAACCTTTTCAAACGAGCTTATTTCACGTGATGAAGGTCTTCACACGGATTTTGCATGTTTGCTTTTCAGTCATCTTCGCAAACGACCATCAAAAGAAACAATTCAAGCTATTATTGTAGAGGCTGTTAGTATTGAGCAAGACTTCCTTACGTCTTCTCTGCCTTGCCCTTTACTTGGAATTAATGCCAGGCTTATGAAACAGTATATTGAGGTAAATCATTTTTTTTATATAAATAATCTCTATATACTTATTATTTTCAAGTTTGTTGCTGATAGACTTTTGGTTGCACTTGGCAATAATAAATATTACAATGTTACAAACCCTTTTGACTTTATGGAAAACATTTCATTACAAGGTAAAACAAACTTCTTTGAAAAACGGGTATCCGATTACCAGAAATCCGGAGTTATGGCTAGCATTAAAAAACAGAGTGATTTCGAACTTATTGATGGTCATGTTTTTTCAGTTGATGAGGAATTCTAATACATCATCTTTTAATTGTTAGGGGTATTTGCATGCTTTTTTTGTTTTTTTTTTTTTTTTTTCATATCTTTATCTCGCGCTTTGCCATTTTTTGTATATTTTAGCCAATATTTAGGAAAATCAATCTCTTTTTGCATCCTATTTCTCCTATATCTTTATCGCTTGCTTTTTTTCTTATGTTTTTTTCCTGATTCCACCACTTTTTGTTCTGTCAGATTTGCCATTTGCTCCAACATTTGTTCCAATGATACTTACGTTTTATTAATAAATAAATAATATACATATAATAACTAACCATTTATATTTGCCATAACATGTCCCAACCTAGATTTACCTAAAAAAAGACGACTAACATCAACTGCTTGATCTGTTCTAAATCGAATACAAATTCCAGAAACCGGATCATATGTTTTTACTGTTAAAAACCCTTTAGACTCTTCATCAAAACGATATTTTGTTGAAATTCGAGTCTAAATATGAGCTTATTAGATAAAAAAATAAAACTTAAATTAAAATACTGTTACTGGCGAAGCTTGAAGAAGTGAGTAAGAAAGGTTAAGAAAAGCGTCAACAGTTTTAACCAAAGGCATTAAAAAATTTTTAAACGAAATACTAAAGATAATCGAAAGACTAACTTGATTCTTAAAAAATATAAATTTAGAATCCGTTTTTTTAAGAAAATATAGGGAAATTAAGAAAAAATACCTATTTTATAATATTATTTTTAAAATATTTAAAAAAATATTTAAATAAATTTAAGAAAAATATGTTAAATCCTTTTTTACATATTTACATTTTCAATATTTTCTACACTTTTTTTTTTCAAATATTAATTTCTAATAAAAACCATTTGTTATTTTCTTTTTAATATAAATGTGCTTTTTACTTTTCTATAATCAGTTGATTCTTTTGTTTCTTTTGTATTAATTCTTGATTTAATTCACGTATTTGCGGTAAAAAAGATTCTAGTCGTTTAAAAACTAAATTTCAATAAGCTATATATATTAAATAAGGAACTATAAAAATACGAGGAGTTGGTTCAGGACGTTTAATTATAGGTTTAACTGGGAATTCAGTTGATTGAGATGATGTTTTTTTTTCTGAATAGTTAACTAATAATCCTTATAAAATATTAACAAAAAATTAAAGAATAATAAAAAGATTTATTTACTTTTCTCAAGAGGCAAAACCTCATCAAATTCAAGTTGTTGCATATGATAAGAAAATATATAAAAAATATCGATCGAGACAGCATTCGTATTTATAATAAAAGATTAAAAGTTTTTTTTAAAAAAATAGATATTAAATATATGTAAGAAATATTAATAAGGAATACAAATATAAGTAATATAAGGATTTTAAAATATTAAGGTATACCAATTGGTTTAGAAACCCATTTGCCATGCCATTTTTTCCATCGACCGTTAGCCAAAATAAGAGGCTTTTTTTCTATAGAATTAGAATCATCAACTTTTCTTGTTAATGTATAAAAACGTTTTTTAAAAGCATTAACTTCGATTTCTATATCGTCTAAAGTATGCTTTTTTTGAGGAAAAGTAGCAATATTTAAACGTAACGAGATAAGCGTATGATAAGATTTTAAAAGATGTTGATCTGATAATACAATATTCTTCAAAAATTGAGCAGTACTAAATAAATAAGTATTACAATGAATAGATAAAAATAATTACTTACTAAGAATCAGTTTGTAATAAACAAGCATGAATTATTTTATGAATAGATAATTGAGGAAAAAGTGATTTTGCAGAAATGTCACCTTGATACTTTTCATTTAAAAGATTTTGAAGCCATAATAATAAAATATGACAAACATCATTTATATCATTTTTTAAAGAACCTTTTAATGCAGAGAGAGAAAAGATTGGTAAAGGATCAATCATATAATCTAAAAAATCAATTTATATATTATAAAATAAAAAAACATACTATTTTTTGGATCATTAGAACCTAATTTTGAAATAATTTTTAAGGCAAAATGTTGTACTAAATCAGAGATAAATGAAACTTTTTTAATGAATGGTAACCAAATTGCATATGATCTGTTAAAAAAATCCTCTTTTCTACTTATAATTAAAATTATAAAATAAATTTTAGAAATACTACTTCATATTTTTAGGTAATGCCATAATTTTCTCTAAAAGATAATTCGTTATTATTTCAACTCCATTAGAACTATTACATAGAATAATAGATTCTTTGATTATTATAGACATTTCTTTAGCACTATCTTTACTTTTTGATCCCTTATCAAGGTTTTTTTCTTGAAATATTTCCCATTTTTTAATAATGTCTTGGATTTTTTTTTCATCCATTCCTTCTATATCCTCATAAGATCTAGACCAATATTTATCTAATAACCATTCTAACGCACGAATTGTCATAGAACGTAAAACCACTAATGAAGGAAGCTGTTCATGTGTAGCTGCATGTCGAATCTCAACAAATGACAATGGAAGATTAATATTCCGCGCAAGTGTTTGCATCGGTATAATATATTGACCCTGTTGTTCTGGATCTAAAAATCCATTTACAAATCTTATATAATCAAAAAATAGATAATTAAACACGTCATTAATGACCTTATTAATGCCATTGCGTAAGATAAACGTAATCCAAGAGGATTACATATACCACGTTCTTCTTCCACCAAAACACATACTAAATTTGCTGTTGATTCAACTGCGTGAGGAAGTCTGCCACGTACTTGCCATGCGTTTACCTAAAAATATTCAATATTCATTAATAGTACTTTTATAAAAGAAAAATAAACTCTTGAAAGCCCTTTCATTAACGATTCCTGGTTTCTATCAGTACCATAGAACCAATCCCGAACCTGATTAAATTCTGAACGAGATCTCCAAGGAACAATGCGAAAAGAAAGGTTCATTATACTGTTATAAAAAGATTTTATAAATTTAACATAAAATTTCTGAAAAAAACTTATTAATATCTTAATTTATAAAACTAATTTAGATTAAAAGTTAAAAACATAGTTTTAAGAATTTATATAAATTTATAAGGATTTTTAAATATTTTATAAATGGATATTAAGAAATATTCAAAAGACAATATAAATGAATGTATAAGAAATTCTAAAATTATAAAAAGATAAAAATCTAGAGGAATCTTTAGAACGTTTTGATGATAATTATTTAATGCCAGAAAAAAAAGTTTTAAGACAAAGAAGTCGTTCTTTTAATACTAACTCATTAGAAACAAGAGAATTTAGAAAAAAACATATAAGCTCAGATAATTTTTTTGATTGTTATCTTGAAAAACAAGAAAATAAAAATCAAGATAAAGAAATAAGTTTAAACTATCAAATTAAAGATCTAAAAACAAGATTTATAGAATCCCATAGTAAAAAAAAGCTTTCTGATATGGTATTTAATATAGGAGAGCTTTATGTAAGTTTTTATTTTTTATAAATTGATTATAATTTAATTTTTAAAGAAAAGCTTAGGTATTAAGTATTTATTTAATATTTAAAATTTTATTTTATATTAGATGAAGTACGCATTATCCTTGAAATCAAAAACATCCTTATTATTACTAAGGCACATGATAAATCTCTTGTTTTATTAACTCGTAAATTAGTTATCTGGCTTTTATCTTATGAATCTAATCCTGAAAAAAAATACAATGTGTATGAGAAATTGTATAAATCCAAAGTCAATAATTCTTTATAGATATGTAGAATCAACTTTTAAAAATTCATGTGACTTTGATTCTAAAAATATTATAAAGTCGAATCCATCTTTTGGAAATTATTTAAAATATTGGACATTTGAGCTTTGCACAGAATATTCTTCATTATTTGATTTTGTTATTACGGTATAATAAAAATTGTAATATTTAGATATATAATGTTATAGCTTGGCGGAGATGGAACTGTATTATATAGTAGCTGGCTGTTTCAAAAGACAGTTCCCCCTGTTCTTTCTTTTTCTCTTGGTTCATTAGGATTTTTAGCGTAAATAAAGATAAAAGTTTTATAAAATAGTAATATCTAAAGAATGTTTGATTTTTCAACTTTTGATACTACGTTGGGCAATTTATTTTCTAATGGAGTTATTATTAGTTTAAGAATGAGATTTCAATGCACTATAATGCGGGTTAAAGTTGATGATAATGGTGAACCAATTGATAAAACAAGAAATTTAGATCGTTCTATATTAAATGATAAAAAATCTGAAATAAGTCTAACTCATGAACCTAAGGAATCATTTTCAATATTAAATGATCTTGTTGTTGTAGGAAATTTTTATTTTATAACCATATTTTACAATTTTAGGATCGTGGTCCAAATCCATTTTTAAGTTCTATACAACTTTATGGTATTTAATTAATAATTTGTTTTTGTTTAATCAATAATATAGGTGATTATGAGTATTTTACCTCTGTACAGGCAGATGGAATTTGTATTTCTACACCTACGGGTTCTACAGCATATTCTGTAAATTATCTCAATAAATTAATATTAAATTAACACAATTTAGCTTTCCGCAGGAGGATCTCTTTGTCATCCAGATATACCAGCTATACTTATAAGTCCAATATGTAAAAATGATCTTTTATATACTAATATTAATATCTAATTTAAAATAGGTCCTCATACATTGTCATTTAGACCTTTATTGGTACACGATTCTATGATTTTACATGTCGCCATCCCATATAATTCTAGAAGCACATCTGTAAATATTTTATACATATTTATTTATCAAAAAAGTAATATTTTATAGTGGGTTAGCTTTGATGGAAGAAATAGAGTGGAAATTAAACGTTTGTTTCATATTTTATTAATATTTTTCCAATAAATTACTAATATTTTAATTTTAGAAGGAGATTATGTAACTATTTCAGCATCTAAATTCCCTTTTCCTATTGTTCTTCGATCAAAACAAAATTCTGAATGGTTTACTGGTCTTGCTACTCGACTTGGATGGAATGAACGCACAATAAAACTTAAGCCTTTGTCAAATTAAAATAATTATAAATCATATCTTGGTATCTTAAAATATAAAAAAATTGTATATTATATTTTTTCTTAATACATATTTAATACTTAAGTTTTACTTTTTAATTCTTATGTATATACAATGACAAATTATATTATTTTTAAATCGTATTTTCTACAGAAAAGTAAAACTTTTTTATAAGTAAAACATATATTAGCATTATTAATCCATGAAATTACTGATCTATATTCTTGATAACAAAATATGAGAATTGTTCCACTTGAAATCTTGAAAACCAATAATTATAGTTATATTATTATCTGTAATAAAACTCTAGGTAAATTATTATCTATAAAAAAAATTAAAAAAATACATAATATATTTCAGAGGCAGCAATAGTAGATCCAGCAGAACCAGCGGTGTAAATTCTTTTTTTGTTTGATTTTTTTTTTTAAATATCTTCAGAATATTACCATATCTTGAGAGACTTAAAAATGAAAAAATACATCTTAAGTCTATTATAACAACACATCATCATTGGTTTATCTCTTAAGAATAACTGTCAATATTCTCTAATTTCATTAGGGATCATGCAGGCGGAAATAGAAAAATGGTAGTTAGATTTTATATATAAAAATGAAATTAAACAATTAAATTTAGCTTGAAAGTTACCCATATGTAAAAATATATGGGGGGAAGGATTCAGAAGCAGTTAATCATTATGTTAAGGACAAAGAAACTTTCAAAATTGGAGAAATTTTCGTCAAAAGTCTTCATACACCCTGTCATACAGTATAAAAACATAATATAAGAGCAAAACTTAAATTTTTAGAAAGATTCTATATGTTATTATGCGGAGGATGAAAGAGAAAAGGCAGTGTTTACAGGAGATACTCTTTTTAATGGAGGGTGCGGTAAATTTTTTGAAGGTATATTAAAAAATAATCATTTTTATACTTATAATTAGGAACTCCTGAACAAATGTACAAAAATTTAAATGAAATTCTTGGATCTCTTCCTGGAGACACAAAAGTTTATGTAGGTTTTAATTTTGATAAAACTTAATTAACTTTTTTTTTTTAAAAAAAAGCCTGGTCATGAATATACAAAATCCAACTTAGATTTTGCAAAAACTATATTCAGCTCAGATAAATTATCTGAAGTCTCTAGATTTGCCGATGCCAATAGGATTACATGCGGAAAATTTACTATTAATGATGAAAAAACTTATAATCCTTTTATGATGGTTAATGTATATTAATATTTTTTGTATTATACATTTTATTAATTTATAGTCAATTTGTATTCAAAAGGTCATAGGAGAATCAGATCCAGTGAAAGTTATGAAACAATTAAGGGAAATGAAAAACAAGTTTTAGATTATATCAGTTTTTATAATCAAAACACGCTTTATAATGAAAGACAATATTTCATAGAATCCAATGTAGATCCTAAATAATAAAAATGTTTTAATTAAGTATAACAAGTCGGACCAAGAATTAAATGTTTATTTACTCAATAAAATTAATAAATTAAAATTTTAATAAATTTATATAATATTAGTAAAAAGCTGGCAAGTAAACCCTATAATTAAAAAAAACTATAAAAACATGTTTATAAAGGAAATTGAAATTAACAATTTAAATATAAATTAATTAACATGCACAACCAGGCTTTTCAGAATCAAGATTGATTTGAATGGGATCCGGAAATTCAGAAACATATTCATCTTCGTTTTCCATAGAAAGTGCAATCCTTGCAATAAGTAGAAATGCCTCATCTATATTTGTGCATTCTTTTGCACTTGTTTCAAAATATGGAATATTTCCTTTTGACTGACAGAAAGAAAGAGCACGTTTACGCGGAACCTGTTTCCAATTACCAATTCCTCTTTCTAAACAGCAATAAATAATATATACCATTCTTTTACTTTCCTCGATATCACATTTATTTCCAATACAAACAAATGGAAAACAACTAGGATCACGAGGACTTGCTTGTATAAAAAACTCATCTCTCCAAGAATCAAGTGCTTCAAATGACTTAGAATTTCCAAGATCAAAGACAAGAACACAACAATCTGCTCCTCTATAAAAAGCAACCCCTAATGACTGAAAACGCTCTTGACCCGCTGTATCCCATAACTTTTTAAACTATTAAACCATATCTAAAATATTAGTCACTTACCTGCATAGTTACAATACGATCATCTACCATCACTTCTTTTGTAAGAAAATCCGCACCGATAGTTGCCTTATATTGATTACTAAACTTTTTGTTGACATATTGATTTAAAAGAGATGTTTTTCCAGCACTAAATCATTATAAAACAATTAAAAATATTCAAAAAATCCTACCCACTATCTCCTAAAATAATCACCTAATATTCATCAACATTATCTTTTTAACTAAAATAACCAAAAACTAACCTTTAAAAGTACTTTTTTTCGGGAAGACATATTCTATTCTGTTCTTCCTTTGTATTTAAGAAAACCTCAAAATCTTTTAACTTTCTAATCCTATTTTTATTAAATTTTTATTTTTTTTTAAACGTTAGACGTTAAATCTGATCACTTGATCTGTTTTTATTTAAATCGTCTTTATCAAGGATATCTTTTACTATAAAAAATCTAAAAGCATAGCTTGATTTCAAGAAATAAATATAACATTTATAAAAGAATATGTATTTAAAATTTAAATTAGTTAATATTTTGATTAAATTAAAAAAATGTATAAAATCTTAATAAGATATTACTTTGAAATGATAGAAAAAGAATAAGAAAATTAAAAGAATCATATAAAATAATATATAAAATAATAATTTTGAATTATAAGTTGTATATTATTTATAAAAGGTAGAAATTTGGATTATTTTATAAATGTTAAAAATATTTTAAATATTATAAAAAAATAAAATTACAATGATATAAAGAAAGGAATTGAATAGATCTTATAGATTTTAAAGTTACTAATAAGTCAAATTAATAGTTGAAATATTTTTTGTTTTAAAAAATATATCAGATAGATTAGATTAAAAAAAATAAAAAACATTAATAAAAAGTATATGAAAGTATTATATTTGAATTAAATTGAAGATTTTTTCAAAAATTTAAAATCTAAATTAATGAAGAGAAAATATAAGTCTTAAATTTGAAGATATATAGATAGAAAAATAATTATTTGAAAAAAATGAATGGAGACTCTTTAATTAATGAAAATCCAATAGTTTATGAAAGAAATGAGAAATCACTGAAAGGATGGATCAATTTTTTTGAAGAAATAAAAAATAAAAAAGAAGAAAATGATGAAAAAGAAGATATTATTGATAAAAAAGAAATATATGGTATAATTTTATAAATTTGGGATATTGACTATATTTTATTAGATCTTTTAGCAAATATTATGGACCCGGAACATCCTTTAACACTTGAACAACTTGCAGTAGTTAATTTTGATGATATATATTTAGAAAAGGATGAAATAAATAAAATAACGTATTTAACAGTAGAAATAACGCCTACTATTCCTCATTGTTCAATGGCCACACTTATTGGTTTATGCATTCGTGTACGTCTTGAACGTTGCTTACCACCAAGATTTCGTGTTACTGTAAAAGTTAAGAAAAATACACATCAAAATGAAAAACAAATAAACAAACAATTAAAGGATAAAGAACGTGTAGCAGCTGCTTTAGGTATACATTTTGAATTTTTAAATAATTTTTAATAATACAGAAAATCAACAACTAGCAAATGTTATTCATGGAATGATGGCATCTTGTGTTTAAAAAAATGCATTAAAGCATTCATTATCATTCCAGGTTTAAATTAAATGTTTTTTTTTGATGATTTAGATTCTTTTATTTACATTTTTATAGATTTTGAAATTTTAAAACATAAATCAAAATAATCAGCATCAAAAATACAAAAATGATAAAAAAGAAATATAATTTCCATATTAAAAGTTAAATTAATTCAAAATATATACAAGAAAATTTAATATTATTTTATATTTTTTATATATTTTTCTTAAAATTGTATCCTAACCATTATAATACAAGCAGAACAAATACAATTGATAAATACATATTCTGAAAGAAATCGATTTCTCTATTTTAACAAATTTCACTGCAGGTAACTAGTATATAAAAAGTATAATCATAAAAAAACTAAAATATATTATTATTAGATGTTCTATAAATAATTTAATATTGATAAAACCTATGAAGGAATAAAAGAACATATTTTTTTATAGTGATAACTAAAAACATGAATTACAATTATTTAAAAGATAAGCAAAGATAGAAATTTATATATTTTTTAAAAACAAATCATATTAATACATTTGCGTATTAATATTACTTTCTATATAATATTTTTCTTCCAAAATATAAAATATATAAATAATTCTATTATAATAATATGTAAAAATATATTTTCATATCTTTTTTATTTAAAAAATGAACTATTTCTAAAGTTATTATATATATATATATGATTTATACATATTTTTAACGTCTACCTTAAAATATATTTAAAAAATCCCATCTTTTTTAATAAAATGAGAATTCAATCTTTTAAAGATGTTAGATATTATATATTATGAGAGAAGATCAAGCTTTTAAACCTCTTAAGCCAGAAACTATAAATGATTTACCGCAATGCGAATTGGCTTATGTATATATTACACGGCATGTTTATCCAAGATTAAAAATAGATGAAAAAGATGAACCAGAAGATATATTTGATGCAATAGAAAAAGGACCCTTTGTTGTGACAGGAGTAATTCGTATAATTAAGGATGAGCAATGTATTATATAATATTTTAAGATACAGAAAGAATAAACAATTATTTAGCACAATATAGGCATAATTTAGAAAAAGTAGTATTTATTAAGCTTATGAATGTGTACCTTTACAAAATTGAACGTCTTTCTAACAATTCATTATTGATATGGATCATTGGACAACGTGCATTATATGTTATTCAAAGTGTTTGTGATGAATACAAAGAAACATATAATATTGTTACAGAAAAGGCAGATCTTTATTGTATGGAATGTATGGAAAAGCTTTTTCTAATTTAAGTAGCAGATCTAAGAACTATTCGAGAAAGTGAAACAAAAGAATGCAAATTTACATTTCATGAGTATTTAGAACAAGTAAATTTGATAATAGATAGATTTAATTAGTAATTCAGATAGATTTCGTATGTATGGGAAGAAGAAAAATCAGAAATTAAAGATAAAGTTATTAAATATTCCAAGTTTTTATTTTTTATGATGTTAGATGATACTTTATTAGATTGGCCGAAATCATTATTTTTCAAAGACCTTGTAGAATTATGTAGCGTAAGATTCCGAATTATTTCAAATCATTTCACTCAGATATATAGGATTCATTTGAACTTGCAAAATTGAATAAAAAAAGAGTAGAAATTCTTCGTAATAATGCAATTGATATATTAGGACTTACAAATGGCTTTTCAGATACTAGGTATAGTTTATAATTATTCAGCTTTATTTGTTAATTAGATGAATTGATATTTTAGTATGGAAAACCATGATCAAAAATTAAATAATTTTCAGTTACAAAATAATTTTTTTAATATTAATTTTTCATTAAGAAAATTACAAAACAATATATTAACATATCCATTTCCTCGTACAAATGCAGAAGGAAGGAAATTATATAATGATTTAAAAAAAGCGTTAATGCACGTTTCTTTTAAACCTAAAAATCTTGACATTGATATGGCAGCTGTTTTTCTTGGAGATGATCTAAATTCAGTAGATGATATAAAGGAAAAAATAAAAAGCCATGCAGAAGGGTTAATTGACTTAATTAAAATGTCTAAAAAATGGGAAAAAAGCAATTTATTTAAACAACTTAATAATATAACTAAAGTAAACATATGTACAAATATATGTTATTAGTGAGTAATAGTATTTCTTAGGGAATTGATATGCCTCTTAAGAAGACTAAATCTATGCTTTTAAAAAATGAAAATCAGAAAAAACTTTTATATAACCGAAGAAATAGAATAATATATGACATACCATTCAAAAAAATTGATAAAGAAATATCATTGTTTCATTTAATAGATAATTCTTCATCAGAAGGTGACAATAATACAACTTTTCAGACAAATATACATCCTAAAAAAGAATTTCTTCAAAAAATTATGAGTATGTTTTTGAAATTTTGTATTGAATTTAATAAGTTTTAGATCTACTTGTTTCAGAACTTATTGACTCACAAAAATATGCAAAAAGGTACAATCTAAAAATATTTATACACAATGTAAGCATTAATTACTATCATTTAAATTTTAAAATCTTCAAGGTAACCAATATTTTTAAAATCTCATATAAAACTATATTAAAATTTATTCTGGAAAATATTGAATGTATTATCGGTTTAATTACACAAAAGCATACTGAAATTTATAAGGATTTAGAAAATATGTTAATAGTATGAAATTATTAACCACAGAGCATATCTAATTATTTAAAGTTTAAGTCAGAGTTTTTAAACAATTTTAAAACGAAGTCATTAAATAATAGAAAGAAAAAAGATTCCTCATGCTCGTATAATTTGCTAAAATCAAATATTTTAGATTCTATTGAAGACTTGTCTTTTAAGAATAAAAATGAATCAAGCGAAAAAAGCATTACAACAGATAATACTTACGAATCTTTAGATGCTAAAGCTTCATTAGAATCTAATACAATATCTACCGAAAATAAAATATCAAATTCATTAAATAATCTTTATGAATCTTCAAATATTGAATTGAATATTCAAAAATTTAACAATGCATTAATAAATCTTAGAAAAACTGAAAAACGTTTAAAGAATGCCATTTCTCATAATTTTTCCAAGTCGCCATTTAATACAAATTCTATATTTAATGATAAAAAAGGTATATTAGCATTAAATTAAAAAAAAACTAAGCTTTTAGAAAATGAAGAAAAAATATATCATAATAATCCTAGACCAGATATAATGAGCATATCTTCATCCGATATAAATCTAAGGGATAAACCGTGAGTGCTTATTTTTTAAAAAAATATAAAGTAATTATTATTAATAGATTATCTGATAATATTATAAATACACCTAATAATGAAACAAAATCTTATGATTTAGATAAAATATCCAGCAAATCACTCATTTCAAGCAAAAAAAATATAATCAATTCCTCTAACTCTAATAAAAATCATGATAAAAGCATTTATTTCAATAAAAAGAATAAATCAAACGATCCTGTTATAAATGATAATTCTACATTCAACCAATTTACAAAATCATTGTTTGAATTTAACTTGATTGAACCCGGACGAGGCAAACCAATGTTACAGATCATACAGCTTCCTTCAACTCAACCTTCTCAGAATTCAAAATTATGGTTTTGTCCTTTTAAAAACTGCAATTATTTTTCGGAAACATTAGTACCTAATAAATATTTCAAGGCAATTATTAAGCATTTAAAATATCATAAAGATAGTTTTTCATCAAAACATAAACATAAAAATTTCAATCAATCACAAAATAATATGGTTAGGGATTTTGTTGAAAAACTTGAAACTATTGCCGAGTCTTGGAAACCATAGTCTAATGAAGCCTAACTATAAACCATAATGGACCGTATATAACAAATCCAAAAAAAATACAATATTTTTTTAAATTAGTATCTTAAAATAAAATCAAAAAATTCCAGCTCTTTTCATAATATTTTCAAACTCAACAATACCTACATATCCAGAGGGAGACGCTTCATCAATCATTTCCATTAATTCTTTATCAGATACATTTTCTCCTATATCATTGGCTACACGCCTAAGATCTTCAAGGGTAATTTTTCCCTTAGAATCTTTGTCAAATAATGAAAATGCCTCAAATATTCATTATTTTAACTGCTGAAGAATGAATATTACCTTGATAATATTTAAATTCGGATCTTTATCCTTTATTTTTAATATCATTATCTCTTTAAAAGGCTCATATTCAATCCATCCTGTACGTTCATGATCCAAAATATCCTTTAATTCATTTAATTCATTTCTATTGACTTTAATGTCAAGTTCTTGCATAATAAGAGGCAAATCTTTTGTTCTGATTTTTTCTATATGTTTTTTATCAAAAATATCAAATTTATCTTTTATTTTTTTTAATTGATAATCCTCTATGGAATTTTCCTCCATCTTAGATTTTAATTGTTAAAACACTTTTATAAAAAAATCATCTCAGTTTTAATATTAAAAAAGAAAACAACAATTAGGTTAAAGATATATTTTTTTTCCTTATAAAAACCTTAAATTCCCTAATCTTTTATAAATATTTTATTTTTTTAAAGATTTAATAAGTTTAAAAGAAAAAAAACATGTTAAACTAAATGAAATATATCAAGTTTACTCTACATGGCAATATAAATCTATGATAGATGCTTTTTATATCTATTATATTGAAAAGTATTAAAATATTTTATTTTAAATTTATATTTTTTTCATCTATTTCATGAAACTGGCCGTCATCAATAGAAAACATATGTTTAGATGCCATGAAATTCCCTTTCTCTCTATTTGATGGCTTTTTTATATCATTGAAAAACTCTTGAGATGCTTTGTTTGAACTATTTGGTGAAGAATTTCCAGTTCCACTAAAATCTAAATCATCAACTTCAAAATCATCTTCTTGAACAACCTAAAACCATAAATATTTCCTTTATTTAATTAAGAAAAATACCTCGTCACTTATAGCAAGTCTAATATTACTAACAGTAGGTCTCCATAAAACAATAATTGTAACAAAAACAATTAAATATAATATATCTAGAAAACCATATAATACAAGCCATCTAATTCTCCAATATAATGGTGCAAATAATTTAAGGTTTTCGCGAGAAATAAATATAATCCTAATTATAGTGTAAATAGTTATTAAAACAAGAGTAAAAAATAAAGATATTCGTAATTTTTTATATATAAAACCCTTAGTGTATTGTTTACGATGGTCTAAATCAACTATAGTTTTATTTAAAGAGTATATTGTCCAGAAATAAAATATGCTAAATGTAAGAGATAATAAAAATAATGATATAATTATAAACGGGAAGAAATTTATCCAATAATTAAAAGCTGATACTATTATATAAATAACAGAAGATAGAAAATGAAATGCTGCCAATAATCTGCATTTTATCATTACGGGCCCCAAAGTTGGTCTTAACTTATTTTAATTATAGAACAAAAAAAATTATTTAATACTTGACTATGCTATAGCCCATAGAAACAACAAGAAGTATAAAAAGTGAAAACGAGCTGCGAGCTGCATTGATAAGTGCAACGACTGAAAGATAAATAAAAGACCCAGAATCATATCCATTAATATTGATATATTTATAATACCCTAATATAATAAACCTTTAGTATAAAATTTAAAGAGTTAATATTTATCCTACCACATAATATTATCATTTCAACTATAAGGAAAATAATAATAGCTGTAATATATTTCTAAAAATTAGCAAAAATTCATAAAGTTTTCAAAAAAATACTTGAACTGAAAGAATATTTTTTCTATGTTTAATACACAAAACCCCCCAAAAAAAACCAATAAACAGATATATTGTTGATATAAAGGCATAGAAAGCCAATTTAGGATATTCTGATGCAGGAAGTTTACCATAGTAATTATTCCAATTAATAGTAGCAAAATATTTAGAAAATGGTATCGGTATCAAACCAACACAATAATATCCGGTATTTTTCACTCTATATTCTATTTTTGTAGTATTTTTAATATTAATCTGTTTCAAAAAAATTGTTGGTATTTCTTCCAATTTTATATTTGTAAGAAGTGTATTTATATCTTTACTTTCACATAATCCTTTTGATATAGCATAATCATTACATATGAAAACTGTCTAAAAAATAATATATTACATTACTTTTTCCAGATCCTTCAATTACATTTTTACCTTGTTATCTGGTAATGTTTTTCCAAAATATCTTATATTCTCCCATTCAAATATAACAATATAAACATTCCTATACTCCTCTTGATTCTTACTAAATAAAACTAATCTCTTGTGAATATTTATCAAGTTTGTTATCTATTTAAACCCTCAATAGTTGATGATTTCTTGTTAACATTATTTCTTCCATACTAAAGCAAAATAAAAAATTGAAAAAACCTTATATCTATATATTTACCATCCCAGAACACTGTTCACGACTCTCTAACAGATTTCCCTAAAGAATTCATGTTAAATATTAAAAAAAATATAAACAAAATATTTAGATCTAAATTTCATTTTTTTTCATTTTAAAAGCTTACCAACGTAAAATCATATCTATTATCAGCAAAAATCACTTGAAAAACCATAAAAATAATCAATAAGCAGGCTCTTTTCATCTTTTTTCCTCTCAAATAAATTTCTGTGCTTCAACGTCAATTTTTAAAAAAATCTTAAAAAACACTCATAAATTAACAATAAAAATAACATTAACTTATGAATATAAAAGCAATTATTCCAAGTATTTCTTCTCTCTTTAGTCCTTCTTCATTGGTTCCTCATATAATTATTAATAATTTCTCACAAATTCCTACCAATATTTCTGAAGTCTTAAAAAATAAATTTAGACATTTTTCTGACTTAGATATCAATATTCAGGCTATAATTTTAGATAAGGATAACTGTATAACAGTTCCTGGAGAACTTGAGCTATATCCTTCTTATAATGTCACATTTTTTTCAATAATTTCTTTTTTTAAACATTATATAGGAGAAATGGCAACAATTAAAGCAAAATTATAATCAAATATTCATTCTTAGTAATTCTTCTGGCACCTTTACTAAAAAATATCAAGACGAAGTATATTATTATTATTTTTATATATAATTAACTCCAAAGGCTCTTATATTAGAACAGAAACTAGATGTTTCTGTTTTACGCCATAAAAAAAAGGTAAATTCCTTTTTCTTCGTTTTAAATTTTATTTACAGACAGAAACCTCAATGTTTTCCTGATATCATATCTTTTTTAACCCAAAATTTAGCTATTTCTCCCTCTCAAACTATTGTTATTGGCGATCGTCTTTTTACTGATATTTTAATGGGAAACAAAATAGGTGCATGGACAATATGGATTCAAAATGGTATATCTACAAAATACAACAAGGTATTTCTCTCTTTTCCTTCTTTCTAACCTTAGTTTCTTTTTATTGAAATTTTTATTTATCATATACTCAAATATTTCAAAATTTCTCCTCTTATTCCCTCAAAAAAACATTAAAAAAAAGCAAAAAAAACTAATAAATATTTATAGACAATATAGGTTAATAAAAATATCTTGTTTTTACATATATTTTTTTTCTTTATTTTCTAAAATAGATACCTTTTTTCTCTAAAAACAAGCTTTTTTCGATTAAGAAAAAAAAAGATTTTCATATGAGAGAATCTAACTTTTGTTCACCGTCTCAAAATAAAGCGTCTATAGGGATTACATCAGCTCTTTATGATAGACGGGCACTTGACTGCACAGCAGTCTTACCTTTAGTTAATTCTTTGTCACATCTATCATTTCTTACATCAACATCATCACGTATTAGAGAGATTTTGACAGAAGATGAAGGACTAGAACGACTGGTTCGTATTCTTAAGGAAGGTTGTCGAAAGAATCGTTTAGATATGTGGAAATGGCAGCTTGCATTTCAATGTGTGGTAAATGTAGGTATTCGAGGATCAGAACGAGTTCGTACCCGAGTAGTAGAAGCAGAAATGGTACCAGTAATAGTAACTATACTAGAGGGGTTTCTAGAAAGACTAGAAAGAGATCAGGAGATACAGTCAGGAGGAGAAATAAGGAGGATGAGGTATCCGTTTTTAACTCAAATGATTGGATATAGTATAACGGAACCTATGACGGAACAAATTGGAAGAATAGGGTGGAGAAGATGGGAAATGACAGAAGATAATAGGGGGGTTGAAAGGGATAATAGAAGATTTGAAAGAGGAACAATAGAAAGTTCAAGAAATTTATCTACAGAAGAAACATTATCAGTTCTTCAGCTTGAAGAGTCGGTGAGAGACACTATATCATCGTTTTCATCAATGAATGAGTTTGTGAGGGGGCCATTTCTTAGTCAGACATATCAGATTGGAAATTCGATTGAATCGGACGATGGTAATTCCGACGATGTATCAAGTCGTGAAAGAATTAGATTAAATGAAGGAATTCAGAGAGATGTTTTTGAAACAGCGATAGAACATATAGAAGAGAGTGAACAAACAGGAGATGCTATGGAAGAAGATAATGCACTTATATCAGATGTATATCCTATTCATTTAACAGAACAAATGCCAGAAAATGGAATGCAATTATCGAATGAAAGAAGTTCGGAATTGACAATGCAAGAATCCGTACAGCAGCCTTTATTTTTTGATTCAAGACATTTTTTCTTCAGGAATGAAGATAATGTTGTTTTTTGTTTACAGCTATTGGCATATATATCAAAATATCCTCAACTTAGATCATATTTTCAAAATTCTCATGACATCCCGAGACTTCGTTATGGTAATACAGGAGAAATTGATGAAGAAAAAGTAACACCAATCAATGTATTTGCCTTAGTCGAAAGATTTACCTTACGCATTCATCCGATTGAAGTACAATATTGGGCAGGCGTTATTATGAGAAATGCTTGTCGAAAAGATGAATCAAGAGGTGGTATTCGTCAATGTGCATATATAGATTGTGGAAGATGGGAAACATTTAATAGACAATTTGCAAAATGTAGAAGATGCAGGTATTTTATTTGAATGCTTTACTATTGATTTAACATTTTATAGAAGAACGAAATATTGTAGTAAACAATGCCAATCGAGAGCATGGCCAGGGCATAGATGGTGGTGCAGGGAACGAGCAAGTAATTAAAAAGGGAATTTTATTACAAGTTTGATAAATTATAAATTCTTAATTTGATAGAATTGTATCGCATGTCTGTATATATCATTTTTGATTTTTTATTGTTTTAAGACCTTTATACGCTTTATGTTTTTTATATCGCATTGTCATATAACTATATGTTTATTTATCTAAATGTTTTTAAATTCGTTCCTGTAGCCAATTATTTGCCTTTAAAAATCTATCCGATTCTATCTTGTCAACTACTCCCAATATATCCGCCACTTTTATCCCATAAACAATCTCAAAGGAAAATATTAGACCATATCAATTTTAATAGTTGTAAAACTTACCGAATTCCATAAATATCTAAATTTCACAATATCCTCTTCGATATTTTCAGCACTTATAAAAGTAGATTTTAAATATTCAATCGCCTTTTTTTTAGAATCCTCACTTGTAGGATTTTCATAAGTAATTATTTTCTCTAAATATGTTTTTATTACAACGCCCATTGTAATATCATATTCATTATTAAATGGAAGACTTTCAAACATTAGCTAAAAAAATATAATTTTAAAAAATTTACAGTCTAGTAAATTCTAACCAATCATCTCGCTCTCTATTTGCATCTTGGTTCATAAATAAAGAAGCTGTTATCATTTCTACAAAATTTCTTATTGTTTGTAAAAGAATTTTTATGAAAGAATTGAAAACAAACAACTCTTTACTCAAAGGACCCGTCCATGCTACATCTTTCTGGTGTAAAACAGATAAGCACGCCACTCGTGATATTAATGCTATAAAAGAAGATATTTCTTCTAAGAGAAAATTAATTTGTTTAATCTATACATAATCAATTTACCGTTTTTTTCAGGTGATTCTTTTTGGTATGTAGTAAATAAATTGCCTTGTCTAAAAGTTTTTAATCGTAATAACTCAAATATTAGAACGACTGAATTTTGCTGACTTTCATGACATATTTTTAATGAATCCAACAAAGCTAAACCCCATGCTGAAAGGGAATGATCATTATTTATAAACGATCTTAATTGAAAAAATTTTCCATATATGCTAGATAATATTTGTTCATTACTTTGCATTATCTAATAAAAATTAGTATATGTAAAAGAAATGTTAATATTACATTATTATCTGTTTTTTCAGAAACTGACTCCTTAGATATTTTAGGATCAGAAAGATATTTAAAAAAACTTAAAAAATTTATTTTATTTTCCTTAAAAATTAACAATAAATTATAAGAAAAAGTGACTTACAGGTATAGTCATTTTTATCTGATTAACAATATCCTCTTTAATCATCCATGTTTTTACTAACTCATAAATACTTGGTGTCATTTTGTGAGAGATTTTATGTTCTTGATCCGGCTCAAACCAATAATAGGCAGACTATATGTTATAAATTCTAAAATATAACATTAAATAAATAACTCACTATATTTTTTGCTTGATAAAATCGATGAAGGGGCTGAGTAAGAAGGTTTAAAGATTGAGTTTGTATTACAAATATATTATCCAAAAAATCTTTATATTCTTGAATATCACTGGTATCCATAGGCGTATTTTCTAGTAACATGCCTGATATAAGAATATTTATAACATGAGGTCCAATTATTCCTCTTGAAAGATAAAAATATATTTCTTCTGGAAGTCTTGTGCTAATAAATTCATGAATATCACTTGGTGCATCTGATTCATTAAGTGGTAATAATTTACCATTTTCCATAAGAACAATATGATATTTAATTATGCAAACAGCCTTAAAAAAAGAGTCCAAATAATCCGAATATTTCGTTAGAAAGGTATGACGATAATTTAGAATCGTGTTAATCCCAGATTTAAATATCTTAATGGCATCTTGTAAAAATCTAAAAACATCACCGTTTACTTGAAAAATCATCTCAAGTGGGGGAAAAGTAGGACAAAAATCTGATCCTAAAAGTATACATATATCCAAAAACTGCTCATTAGTAATTCCGCCCAAACTTGAAAGAATAGTTTGTTTATCTAACCAAGAAAAAATTAAATAATCAAAATCAAAATTAATAATCAAACGATCGACATTAAACAATAATATGTTACTTGACCCAAAAATCGCATCAATATGGGATTGAGTTGTTTCTATCATATAAGCTAATTGAGCCCAAGATAAATACGGAGCAACTAAAAACTCCATCTTCTTTTCCAAGAGAATATTGATTAATGTTTTATATAAAGACGAAATTTCAATATTAGCTTCCAAATATTCAATATTTTCTATGTATAAAAAATTATCTTACCTAATTGCCCAAATTCATTAGATGCTTGTTGAAATTTCCCCTCACTATAGCTTTTCCATGCCTCTTCACACACTTTAAAATAATTCTCGTCAGGAACCTTTTTGTTTTTACATGTTAAACGTAATCCATCAAAAACAAAAAATGGCTCAATCTTATTTTGTTCTAAAATGCTGAGATCACGTAATATTCGAGTCTTTAAACCAACTGGTATTGACGCCGTTGCATGAATTAATGGATCCTTAATAGGAAGATGATTTACAAGCTGTTTTAAATAATAACTTGCTTCAATACCAATACGACAATCCTTTAAAACACTTAATGGCTGATAATTAAAAAGCTTATATTCTTCTGTATATGAATCAATTGTTTTAACTAAAAATATAAGATATCTTGACAAAAAAACAATTCTTACTAGGCATTCTGCCTTATTCCTATCCTTATTTCTATTCTATAAAGACTTTTTTAATATTTATTTAGTTTTCTATAAAATTTCAAAGTTTTTAATAAATGATTAAATTTATTAAAAAATTTAAATAAATATTAAAAAAATATTTAATTAATTTACAAACTTTATATATTTTTATGTTTATTAAACTTTTTATATTTTAATTATAAAATCTTATGGATAAATAAAAAATTACTCTAAGAAATGTAAATTTAATAATATATATTGATAATATATTAAATATATCTTTTTGATTCTTAAAAAAAACTTAAAATAACAAGTTTATCTAAAAAACTTGGTTGTTTTATAAAGTATATAATATTTTTTGTAAAAAAAACAAAAGATATACAAAACATCATTTGTTTTTCAATATATATTTTATTTAAAAAGCAAAATAATAAATACTATATTTTTATGATCTTTAAAATCATATAAAAGACTAATTTCTATTTTTTCCTTGAAAAAAAAACATAAAATATTACTTAATTGAATTAGAATCCAATATAAAGAAGTAGGAATGGGCACAGTCGTTGTTTCTGAACAAGTTCTTTCATCTCTTCGGCCTTCTAAGGGCTTTAAGAATCATCAAGAAGGAACAGCAATAACATGTGTAGATTTTGATGATACAGGTGAATGGCTAATTACATCGGGTGAAGATGAATCACTTCAGCTTTATGATTGCATTTTAGGAAAGTTTGTAGCCTTTTTTCCCTATTTTTTTAAATTAAAAAATGTAGACATAAAAAAACACTTTATAGCAAAAAATATGGAATAGATCTTGCACGATTTACACATCGTTCTACAAATGTAATCTATTCTTCAACAAAAGATGATGGTATGATTGTTATTATTATGAGAAAAGAACTCATTTTATATTTTTTATAGATACACTAAGATATTTATCATTACATGATAATGTTTATATTCGATATTTTCGTGGACATAAGAAAAGAGTAATTTCTTTAGATATGTCACCCTTAGATGATCAGTTTATATCAGGAGGTCTTGATAATTCAGTAAGATTATGGGATTTACGATCTTCTACATGTCAAGTATGTTTTTTTTCAGAAATCTATCATTATATTGAGTGTTTATAGGGATTACTTAATATTTCTACACCTTGTTTAGCAGTATTTGACCCTACTGGAATTATATTTGCAGTAGCATCACACCCATTATCATCAATTTTACTTTATGATTTACGTAATTATGATAAGGAACCATTTTCAACATTTAGTCTTAATGATGACGGATTTCTTTCAAAGATTTCATATCCTCCTAGAATGCCTGATTGGATCAAACTAGAATTTTCAAACGATGGAAAATTAATATTAATAGGCACACGTGGTGAAGGACATTATCTTTTGGATGCATTTAGTGGAGAATTACAGTCTCGTTTAACAGGACATGTACCTGTTAATAGTGATCCAAAATCAATAACGTCAGGTGATGTATGTTTTACACCAGATGGACGATATATAATTGGTGGTAATGTAATATTTTATTTAATTCTTTGTTATTAAAATATATAGCATCTGGAGACAAGAATGTAGTGATATGGGATACTAAGCAAATTAATAGAAGTAAATCTCTAACTCCTGTTCAAATTTTGAATTCAGGTAATATTGGTCCCGCTAAAGTTGTAACTTTTAATCCGAGAAAAATGATGCTAGTTACAGCAAATAACACATTGGTTTGAAATTTATTTCTTCATTTATTATATGTTGATATGAAAAGGCATTTTGGCTTTCCGAAAACTATTAAACATGCAGAAAAATCATATTCTATTAAACAAAAATATTTGTATACTAATTATATATATAGTATTATCTTTTTCAAATAACATGACTTAAAATTGATTTATATTAGAATTTATAAAAACGGATATTCTAAATAAAATTTATAACGTCTTTCCAAGTCATACTTAAAAATTAACATGCATAAATTATAAATCGAAAATTATATTGTATTTAATCAATAGCCAGTTTTTTCAATTTCATGTAAATATTATAAACAATCAAAATGACTATTAACAAAAAAAGAAATAATAATCATTAATGCTTTTTAAATATATATGTCCTAATGATATTGATTCAAAATTGTTAATTTTATCAATTGAATAAATTTGCTAGAAATACTTAATTAAAAATATTATCAGTTCTTTATATGATAAAACTAATTAGCAATAGCAATAATACCCAAGAAATCCATATTTAATTCGAAATTTGTATACAATTTTTTTTAAATAAATTAAAGAATTTATATTTTTTTATAGACTTTTCACTTATTGTATCAATTTCTCGATATATAGACGCACAATCATATCGAAATACTTTTATTTTTCCACTATAATCAGCACATATAATAATATCTCCATGATTATGTTCAGAATTTTCGTTTAAGTTTCCCAAATTCTCATTAATAGGTTTATTTATAAAAAAATTTTCAAATTGACATTTTGATACAATGGATATATTATTATTGTGATAATTAGAAGGTCGTCTAAAATTCATACAAGAACTATAAATAGGATCACCAGAAGCGACCAATAAATCTTTACTTTTTATAGGTGCAAATATTGCGACAGTTATAATATTAGAATCAACTTTTTAATCATTAATATTTAATAAACATAGATAGTAAAGACATATTACCTTCAAAATGCTGCAAACTTTGTTCATTTTTTTTTACAATAGACTCATTATCCAATTTCCATATATATACTTGTTTATCTTCACTTCCACATATAACATGTTTAGCATCATCACTAAATGTAGCACGTATTTGACCACATGTGTTTTGATTACCTTTAAGTTTAAATTCTAAACTTTTATCACGCATATTATAAATTCGAATTCGAGAATCATTACTAGTAATTAATAATTTGGTATCACCAGTATTATCTGACACATTACTAATTGCCTCAATTCCAGTAATTTTACTTCCTTTAGAATTCTTTCCCTTTGAACTTTTAATATGAATTTGAGTATGATATCGTAAACCTTTTGTTTCATAAAACATGCATAATCCATTGAAACTTCCTGCTATAGCCATACGTCCGTCAGGAGAAAATGCAACAGCAGTGATCAATTCCGGAAGCTCATTCCAAAAAAGTATATTTTTCTCCTTGATATTCCAAAAACGTAACTTGCAATCTAAAGACCCAGAAAGAAAATACCTATCATCTAAAGGATGAAAAGCAATTGATGTTACAAAATCATTATGCTCAAAACAACAAAGACATTCTTTCCGAGAAACATGCCAAAGTCGAACAGTTTTATCCATAGATGATGACAAAAGAAAATTGTTTTTGCTCCAACTTAGATCTAGAACATCTAATTTATGACCCACATATTCATGTATTGGATCCGGAAAAAACACAGGTGCTGGTAATTCCTTATAAGTTGAATAGTCTTCATCAACAGAAATTGTTTTTGGTCTTCGATCTTTTTTATTATTATCAAAACTATCTTTTGCTCCTATAACCATCCAAACTCTTAAAATCATATCTTGCCCCCCTGTAGCTAAATATTTTCCATCCTTGCTAAATTTCATAGCCCAAATAGCACCCGATTTATGACATGGAATTTTTATAGGAACTTCAGAAGAAATAAATTCAGAAAAAGATAAAGATTCCCTCAAAACTGGACTTTTAAGTGATGAAGGACTATAAAGTTCCTGCGCAAAAAAGAGTTTATGATAATTATGTTTAGATTTATGATTAGTTTTTACCTAAAAAAATTAGATTTAAAATAATAATAAAAAATATTGACTTTAATATATTTTAAAAAAAGAGAAGAACGTAAAGAATTCAGCTTTTTCAATTGAATAGAAGTTTTCGTAGGGAATCCTTCCGTTTTTTGTGAACATGATTGATAATTTTTACTAATTTTTTTTGAATCTTTATTGTTTTTAAATAAAAAAGAAAACACATTTTTCTTATTTTGAAAATTTTCCCCGTGAAAAATAACATCGTCTTGTAGATTACAAGATTTTTTTAAAGAAAAATCAGAATATGCTATAACCTTTTTTCTTTTTTTTTTAATATCATTTACTAAATTAACCTTTGATGTTAAAATATGCAACGAAATTGGATCCATTCCTATATTTTTTACTTTCTTAAATGTTATAACCCTATAAAGACTTATTTAAATATAATACTTATCCAATTGTGATATTTTTAAGCACTTTTCTTATAATTTCATTCAATATATAAATGTATATTTTTAAAAATATTAGTCCACATCCTATTAGTTAATCATAAAAAGTATTTATATTATCCATTATTGCCCTTAAAATATTAAAAACAGGTCTTATTTTCTTAATTTTTTTATTTAAATATACTAAAATTTCTTGATATTTATTGATAAATCTTATCGATCTTTATAAATATATATTAGAATTCAAATTAATTTTAAAAATAATATCTATTTCTACTTAAATAGTTATTTTAAAATTTTTATTTCTATTTGTTAAAATTAGGTTATATTATAATATTTAAGTTTAAATATTGAAATAAAAGATATTTACCTAGTATTTTGAAAAGATCAAAATTTAGTTAAATTTATAAAGTTTCTTCTAATATTTAAGTATAACTTCTATATAATTCATAAAAATTATTTAATTATAAAGTTCTAATTGTCTAATTCTTTTGATTTTTTAAAAAACCTTAACATTTTTTTTATCAAAAATCTATGTTAAAGAATTAAATATATAAAAATAAAAAGCTAAGATTAAATATTATAATATATCTATTATTCATTAAAATTTATAAATTATCTATAATAAAATGCTTCTTTTTTAAATCTATTTTGACAAATATATTTTAACCTATAAAAAAATTATTAACTAACTTGTAAATCTATTATTAAGACTCAAAGCTCTTAAGGTGGAATTTTGTTATAAAATGAAAGAACCCACAGAAGGGAAGTATTAAATAAATATAGATCTTTAAACTTATAGATTATTAGGATGGATGCAATTATTTAAAAATAAGTTTTATCAAAAAGTATATTTAATGAAATAAAAATATGTATTTTATTTCATATAGATTGAATTTTCTAAAATGTTATGGAAAGATATCCAACTATCGGAATATATGGTAGCAGGAGCAAAATGTGGTGGTGCTATAGGTTGAAAAAAAACAAGAAATACATTTTTTTTTACTTCTTTTAGCGTTGGTCAAAGATGATAAAGTTATACATAAATATTTAGGGCCTACAAATACTAAATTGAGTATTCGAATTTATAATTCATATGGATCATTTATTTCTGAGATAAATGTAGTTTTTTTTTATTTAAATGATATATATTGAATAATGGAATAGTGGGAGCTAGAAAAAATCAGAGGAATAGGGTGGACTGATTCTGAGAAATTAATTATTGTTACAGAAAATGGTGTGGTTAGGAATTATAATATGCAAGGGGAATTTACACAATTTTCACTCGGAAAAGTACAATAATTTTTTTTTTATATTTTGTTTATCTATATACCAGGAAGCAAATGAACATTTAGTTGTTAATTGTCAATTTTGGGGCACTGGATTTGTAGCTTTATTAGGAAACAATACTTTTATCTCAGTCAATCAATATAGTGAACCACGTCCTAAATTACTTTGCAGTCCAAAATTTGAAGATGTAATACATAGTTGGGCAATTATTGCACCTCATTTTTCATCTACTTTTCATGTAGAAGTTCTTGTTTCAACGAAATCAACAATATATTTAATAGATGAAGCTGGAAATAGAGATCAATATTTATACCAGGGGCCTTTTTTAAATATACGCGTATCACCAAATGGCCAATTTCTTGCATTACATACATTTCAAAATAAAATATGGGTTGTATCAACATGTTTTCAAAAAACTATGTCCGAATTTTCTCTAACTGATAATGAAAAACCACTACAAATGGATTGGTGTGGAAATGATTCTGTTGTTGTAGTATATAATACGATAGTTCTTATAATAGGCCCATTTGGAGGATTTCTAAGGTATGAATAAAAACCAATTTTTCATTTATTTACTGATTCGTTAAAGCTTTCCATGCAATGGCCCTGCTTTATTAATTTCTGAAATAGATGGTGTTCGCATAATTACTAATGATAAGTGTGAATTTCTGCAAAAAGTCCCAGGTTTTTCCCTAAATTTTAAAATATTTATAATTTTTAATATACAGATGTTCTTGAGAACATATATGGAAGAGGCAAAAATTCATATGGTGCTATCTTACTAGAATCTATTGAACATTTTGAAAAAAAGTCTTCAAAAGCAAATGAAAACATACAATCAATCAAACCATATTTAGCAGAAGCAGTAGATGAATGTATAAATGCAGCAGGTTACGAATTTGACCATTTATGGCAAAAGAGATTACTAAAAGTCATTAAAAAGTATTATTTAAATGATTAACTAAATGTTTTAGGCAGCATCTTTTGGAAAAAGTTATCTTAATTTTTACAATCCAGAAGAATTTGTAGAAATGTGTCAAACATTAAGAGTTTTAAACTCAATGCGTTTTTATGATATTGGGATACCATTAACTTTTAAAGAGTATACTTTTTATTGTATTTTTTTTTTTGACATAATATATAGATATTTTCATTTAACACCAGAAGGTTTAATAGAGAGACTTATAGCTCGTCAAAAACATTTTCTTGCTCTAAAAATATCTGAATATTTGAGGTTATCACCTGATAAAGTATATATACATTGGGCCTGTATGAAGGTAAATATTCTGTAATTCTTAACGTTTAATATATATCTATACATATTAGATAAAATTTTCTTCTGATGACGAAGAGTGTATTTATAGAACAATAGTTGAAAAAATTTCTTCAAAGAGAATTTCTTTTGAAGAGATTGCTAAAACTGCCTGTGATGAGGGAAAACAAAAACTTGCTGTTAAAGTATTTTAATTTTACATTATTTTATTTCTAATATATACAAGCTTCTCGATTATACATTAAAGACTAATAATAAAATATCACTTTTACTTAATATTGAAGAAAATGAAACTGCTTTAAATAAAGCTGTAGAAAGTGGAGATACAGATCTTGGTATAATTAAATATATATAAATCTATATATTATTAATAAATTATAGTATTATATGTTATATTATATCTAAGGGATAAGCTACCACTTGCTCATTTTTTCCAAATTATCCGTGACAAAGCTGTTGCTGTCTCTGTTTTAGAAGCATATGCAAAAGATAATGACCTTGAGCTTTTAAAAGATTTCTATTATCAAGATGATCGTAGATCTGACAGTGCTAACATAATTTTACTTGAAAGCCTTAAAACATGTGTAAGTATTTAATTTTTTTAATTATCTAAAATTATTTTATAGAACATAGATCTTAAAATAGAAAAATTAAAATTATCTTTAGGACTTTACAAAGAGTATAAGGAATTCTTGTTTGAAATAAAGGTAATAAACATGTAGAACATTTTGTAAATTTTGACAATTATGAAGAATCTCGAAGAACAAATCAAATTGCTTGATTTACAAAAAAGTTTTGAAAAAGAATTTCATGATTCATTTATTGGTTTATCAGTCAACGAGACTATCTTTAAACTAATAAAATTGAATCAAATGATAGCAGCTTTAAAAATAAAAGCTGAATTCAAAATACCTATCAAAAGGTTTTGGTGGCTTAAATTACGAGCATTGGTTGCCATTAGAGACTGGGAACAAATAGAAAATTGGGTTAATAAGTCTAAAAAGTCTCCTATTGGATTTGAAGTAATTTTTATCCGTTTTAATATCTATTAATAATATTATATTAGCCTTTCGTATCCGAATGTCTTGCTGCTGGTAATAAAAAAATTGCAGCTTCTTTTATTCCAAAATGCTTTGAACTGGCACCAGCTTTTCGTACTGAATTATGGGTAAAAGTCGGTGATTGGATATCAGCAGGAAATGAAGCTTTAAAATTTAAAGATTTAAAATTATTAGAGGAACTCAAATCAAAAGCTCCTGCAAATATAGTAAAAGAATTAGAAAAATTGTCGTTAGATCTAAATTATGCTAAATAATACTTGGTTTATAAATTTGCTACTTTTTTTTGGATTTAAAGAAAAATAATCATTATTTTTAAAGGTTTAATTTATAATTTTGCATATAAAATTTGGAATTGTACAATAAATCATTGATGCTTAGATTCAGATAGCATTTTTAATATTTATATTGAATTTAATATCTATTTATAATTCGATAAAATATCATAGATATAATATTTTATATAAAAATGGCTATAAAACGCTGAAACTTAATAATTGTTCAAATTGGTATATATATATGAATCATATTAACGCCTTCTCTCTTATAAAAGATAAACAGAGCTCTAAAAGTTGTAAAAGAAGGAAAAAATCTTCAAAACATTTATCAAGAAAAAAACATGATAAAAATCAATCAATATTATCATTTTATAAGGAAAAAGAAACAGTTATTATAATCAGTTCGGATGAAGGTGATCTTAAAAATAAGGAAAATAGTAGCAATTCATTCTCTAATTCTTTATTAAACCAACCAGTCTTATCAAATAATTGTTTAAAATTTAAAAATCAAAATTTATTTAAAATATATGAATATGATGCAGAAAACATAATTAACTTAATAGAAGAAAAAGAATATGATGAGGAAATTGAATTAATGAATAATTCTGAAAAAGAATATTGTCAAAATATATCAAATATTTTACATAAATCAGAATTTTATAAAAGTTATCCAAAAGATTATGAAAATACTTTAGATTTTTACGATAAATATAAAGAAAATACTTTAAAAAATGAATTTAATTCAGTTTCAGATAACAAAAATATTAAAGATTATTCTATAAACATATCATATTCTCATTGGGGAAATAAAACAATGGATAAAAATACAAAAAAAAATATAAAACGTGATTTTGAATTAGATACATTGGAAAGTTCAGAAAATGAACCAGAGACTTCTTTTATAATACCAAAAATGAAGCAACGGAAAATTATTTTTTCTGATAATAGTGAAGATTCTCAATTGGAGATAGAAGAAGAATTAAATAATTTAAATAAAAAAGATATATTAGAACAAAGAACTAGGGGATCTAAACGAAATGTAGGAAAAAAAGTATTCCAACAACAACTTGAAAAGCTTAAACAAAAAAAAAATAAAAATATAAAGAAAAATTCTGAAGATGATTCAGACAATTTAGAAATAATACATTATCCTGGGATTTCTTCTAAATATAATTCAAGTCCTATGTTCTCTGATAGCGAAACAAGCCTAAATACTGAAGAATCTATTTCTTTGGATGATTTTATAATAAGTGATAATGAACCTATTGGAACACCATATTCTCAAATCCCTGTTGAATTCACAGTCTTTAGTTATCAAGGGATCTCATCTCATTTTAGAATTTTTCTTTATCACAAAATACATAAACTCTTAAATCCAGATTTTATTGATGAATCAAAGCATTTTATATTTTCTCAAAAATATTTAGAAAGAAGATTCAATTCTTTAAGGGATTCTGTTCTTTCATCATCAGCATGGAAACAACCGTTTATTAATTCAATTTCTTCTTTACCAATAATAAAATCAGGAACATGTGAATCGCGTTTTAGATGTGATGCATGCCATATATCTGGAAGGTAAAGATCAAACAAATTATCTATTTTTTCATATATATAGAACTTCATCCTTCTGGATTCGGTTTTGTAATTTAAAATATGATCCAAAAACATTAGAAATATATAAAATTAAAGAATTAGAAGAGTCATTAGAATACAGAACAGACGATTCTGATAAAATATGGTATCTTGGAAGATTCTGTTTTTCGCGAGCAAAAATTGCACATAGTTTTTGGCATTGGCACTTTAATTTAAATGAGGATTTAAAAAGAATACTAAAGAAAAGTGGAAAACTTGATTTTTTCAAAAAAACTCTTCTTACTATGAACATTTCTGAACGCACTAAGAAAATTGATGAAGTAATAAGGGAATTAGATAATTCAGGGAAAACAAACGAAATATGGGAAAATTTCAACAATATTTTAAAAAAAGGAGAAAACTTCATAACAAAACCTAATAAATTTAAAAAAGATCATTAACATTCAAATAATAATAATTCATAATATATAAAAAATATATAAATATCTTTTGTATTTTATCTACTTTATAACTCTTCTCGAAAAAAACTAATGTCTATAAATATCATAATTCCAGTTATTTTAAACTATCAAATTTAAATCAAAGATCCTGATCGTTGAGGGGCAGGCGGCGCAAATGCTGCACTTGATGTACCCGGTGCAAGGACCTAATTCAAAATCAAACTAATCTTATTTATTTTCAAATCAATTTACTTCGTGTGCCTTTTGCTGCATCTTAAATTCTTTATCATATGCAATCATTTTTTCTTCTTCTTCAATTGCAAGAACTAAAGGAGTTCCAAGTAATAAAACACTTGTTGCTAGAACCCATAATGTTTTCCCCCCAAAAAGCAAAATTGATCGAATAGTAGATACAAATGACGTTATTTTTTGATATATTCGTGCACGAAAAACACCCGGAATAATATCTTTCAAAGCCTGAATGCGCTCTAAAAACGATTCATCTAATACTGATTCATCTCCTGAGCAAAAATCCGACAAATCACTCGATGTTTCCGAGACTTCTTCTTCACTCAATTGTGTCTCTGTAATTTCTTCTAAAAGCATTCTTTTTCAAAGATTCTTTTTTAAAATTCACAAAAATAAACAGTATTAATATTTTTTAATAGAAATACTTTAAAAAATATCAAAATCAATCCCTAAAATCTCTAAAAAAAGACTTATTCTTAACTTTTTATATTTAAAAATATAACCCATAAACTAACCTTTTTTAACCGTTTAAAAAACGATATAATAAAACTTAACTCTACAAAGAAGACTATTTAAGGAATAATCAATTTTTAGGCATCCTTTTTTAAAACTTTTTAAAACCTTTTTTAAGATTTTTTCAAGTTAACCTTTTAAATAGTTAGGGTTAACACCTATTTAAACATTTAGTCCTAACTCTTCAACCTTATAAAAAATGAAATTTATATTTTTTGCAATTTTTCTTAATATTCTTAATATTATCAGGGCAAAAGTCCTTGAGTTAACACCAGAAACATTTTATAGTGTTGTTGGAAAAGATAAACCAGCCTTAGTTAAGTTTTACGCTCCTTGGTAATTTTTTTATATTTTTTCATATTATATTAATAGATAGGTGCGGACATTGTAAGAGATTAGAGCCAATATATGATGAACTCTCTTCATTATATCAAGGGAGTAAGTTTTTTGGGGGGTTAGATATTAATTCTGATGATTTTTATGTAGAAAATATTATTATAGCACGTGTAAACGCAGATATTTATAATGAGCTGGGAAAAAAATTTGAAATAAGGGGATTTCCTACGATTAAAGTATAATTAATGATTTTAAGGAATATTTTTATATATTTAATGAATTCATAAGTGGTTTAATGCTGGATCTCTAGATGCAAAAATCTATGATAATGATCGAAATATCCAGTCTTTTACGGATTTTATTGAAAAAAGAACAGGGATCAAGGCTAGAGGAAGTGGATCTTCTCTAAGTGTTCCTGAATTAACTCCAGAAACATTTAATGAAATTGTTTTTGATCCAAAAAAAGACGGTGTTATAAAAAATGATATTTTTAACTTTAATTAATATAATTGATAGTTCTTGTTAAATTTTATGCACCTTGGTTGGGTTATATATATTTTTTTTTAAAATTTATTTTATTTTATAGGTGTGGGCACTGTAAAAAATTGGAGCCTATTTATGAGAGGGTATTTCTTTCTTTAAAAATATTATTTTCTTATATCTTTTAAGATTCATAAATGTTTTTCATCCGATAAACATGTTTCAATCGTAAAATTTAATGCAGATTATTATAAAGATTTTGCTAAAGTTTACAATATTGAAGGCTTTCCTACTCTTAAGCGTTTTTTATAAATATATCTTTATTTAACAATTATCTTATAAATATTAGTTTTTCTCAAAGGCTCTTTACAAAAAACTATATTGGAATATAATGGACCAAATACAGAATTAGGAATTGTCTCTTTTATTAATAAAAATACTGGCACTTCTAGAGTACCTGGTGGAGATCTTAGTAGTATAGTTAATCATTATATATAGTTCTAAAGCATACGCTTATTAAATTAGGCTGGCCGTATAAATGAATTTGACGCTATTATCAAAGAATATAAAACTTCTAATGAAAGGGATATTCTATCAAAATTAAAAGATTTGGCTTCAAAATCAAACAATAAGTAAGTTAATATTAATTCATTTTTTATAAAACTAATCAACAGTTACGGATTATATTATGTAAAAGTATTAGAGAAAGCAATGCAATCCGCTGATTATGTCGAGAATGAATATAAACGACTCGAAAGACTTCTCAAAAACAATTTTGAACGCAAAAAGTATATTTTTTAAATATATAATTACAAATACCTTATATAATAAAAACAGGCGTGATGATATCCAGATTCGAAAAAATATATTATCAGTTTTTAGAGATAAAGGCAAATTAATGTCTAACGAACTCTAAATACACAAAATTATATAGAAATTTTTGTTTATTTCATCATTATATATATCATCTTAATTATTTATGAACAATTCTTTTTTATTATTTAAATCAAAGTAATTTTTTGTCTTTACAAATCTTCTTTCTCTCGACTTTCTGCTAACATTTGGTTTATTGATATTTCCAATGTATCTAATTGTTCCGTTATTTTATTCACTAATTTAACATTTATATAAGATAAATATAAATTAATTATATACTTTTTAAAAAAAATCTCCTCTGAAAGAGTTTCAAATTTATTACTCTTTCAACTATATTAATATTTATTAAATTATTAATATCTTAACCTACTAATTCTTCTAAAAGAGAATCTACCTTTAAAAATTAACTAAGATCAAAATAAAATGTAAACAATACTAATGGAACAATATCATATGCAGAATCTACTATTTCTTTTTGTTCAGATTCATCCACTAAAGTTTTAGATATTTCCGACTTATTTAGATCTATTTCTTCAGAAAAAACCTTAACTAATGAATCTTCAGAATTTTTATTATCTGTACATTGCATTTTAAGAGGTAATTCTTATATTTTGTTTATAAATTATTAACTTTATTTTATTTTATAAAAAACAAGATATTAAAGATATTAAAAACTAACGACAAAGATATTAAAATAAAGTTTCATTTTATAAGAATTTAAGGATAAAACATGATATTTTACGAAGAAATAGATATATTTTTAAAATAAAAGATAATATTTAATGGATTTTTCAAAAAAAAAGGATTTAAAAGCCCCATTTAAGGCAAAAAAAGATTTAAATGATGGTGAATTAGATCATCTTAAAACAGAATTTATTGAGGGAGAAGAACTTAATAATAGTTCAGAAAAAGTTAATAATAAGGAAATATTTGAAGAAAAAAAAGAGTCGGATGATGAATCTTTAGAAGAGGAGATTTTACTTTCAGAAGTTGAATCATTTAGTGATTTTGATGTACCAATCTATCAGAAACTGACTATTAATAACAAAGAGGCATTAAATAGAATTTTTGAATCAATTATTATTCCAGAGACTAAATTTGATGAGAACCAAGTAATAACTTCAAAGGAATCAATTAAGATCGAAAATATTCATGATGATTTTGCAAGGGAATTAGCATTTTATAAACAGGGACTTGAAGCAGCTATACGAGGACGTCAAGCTATTCTTGATAAAAATGGGATTTTTTCTCGACCTTATGATTATTTTGCAGAAATGTTGAAATCAGATGAACATATGCAAAAGGTTATTTACTATATCCATGTTTTAATGGTTAAATTTAAGTTAGATCAAAGATAAACTAATCAAAGAAGAAACAGAAAAAAAAGCAATAGAATCAGCAAGACGGCAACGTGAACTGAAAAAAATTGGAAAAAAGGTTCAAATAGAGAAAATTCATCAACGTCATCAAGAAAAAAAAGAAATATTAGATAAAATCAAAAATCTTAAAAAAAGTAGTCTTTTTATTTCTTCGGTTCTTTCATATTAATTTTTTTTAGAAAGGAAATATGATCAAGAGCTTACAACAGATGATAATTTTGATGTTGAATTAGAAAAGGCAAGTTCTGTTTCAAAAAGACAAAAAACAAGTAAACGACAAAAAAAAGATAAAAATTATGGTTTTGATGGAAAAAAGAAATATAAAAAATCTAATGATACAAAAAGTACAGACAGCATGTTTGAATTTTCAGTTAAAAAAATGAAACAGCCTTTTAAAAATTATTCAAATATACAAAAAAAAACTAGAAGAAAAAGCCATAATAAATAATACTACATTTTTTAATATTTATTAATTTGTAGTATATATATATATTAAACTTACCCATAAATATTTTTCAATCTACTCATTAAAAAAATAATTCAAAATTTATAATCTTTATATATATTTAATTATATAACTATGTCTTGTTGCTATTAAATATATTTGTACTCAAAACTTGAGATCTCAAGGCCTTTTGTCAGATATTTTTATTGAAAAAAAAGATGAATATTAATCAGTATTCCTTTAACTGTAATAAAAACCAAGTATCTAAAAATTCGACTGAAAGGAATCAGAATGCCATGGAAGCGCTCGAATCATATGTTTATAACTATGATAATATTAAGAAATTTCCCTCTAATTTTGAAAACAAACACACATCTGATCTAATAGTATAATAACTATTTTAAAGAAATAAAATTAACTTTTTATAGAATAATAAATCAAAAGATGGCAATCAATATGATTTCCTATATTCATTATCACATAAAATATTCAATTTCCAATCTATATCATTATTTATACCAACAATTACAAATATTTTAAAAAATACATCAAAAAACCAAAAAAACTATTTAATTTTGTGTTGTTCTCATTTTATTATTGCATTTCTAATGTGGAATTTCAAATATGCACCATTTTCTTCAACAACATTAGGATCTATTATCATATATGATGCTGTTAATATGCTATTTATGTTTTTGTTAAATATTTATGAAAAGTGTGAAATCTGGCATGAAAACACAATAAAGAATCCTTTTGGGTTTCTATAAAGTTATCCTTATTTCAAATTAATTATATTTTAGTTTAAAAAGAGTCGAAGTTCTTGGGAAATTTTCAATAGCAATATTTTCATTATATATAACTATAAACTCCTTTAAAAACATTATAGAAGAAAGTATTCTGGATTCGTTTTCAGAAAAAAACATTTTAAAAAAATCAGAATTTAGGTAAATATACTGATTTCTTATATTAAGAAAATTTTTAATGTTATTTAGTCAAATAACATTGATTTTTTCCTTCATAACTATTGTGATTTCTATTATCATGACTACTATTTCAACTATTTACTTTAATAATCGTTTTCATCTATCTAAGGGTAAATTATCTTTTTATATTAACATAATAATATTATCAAATCTTAGGTATCTTTTCATCATCAACGGTTTTTCCTACACTTTTAAATCCTTTTTATTTAAAATCTCTTTTGCCATTATTTATTTTTCTTTTTATGATTTTGGTTTCACCTTCTACAATAAATACTCTTGATAAATACATATCACTATTATTTGAAATACCAATGTGTATTTTAAGATATATTATTATCAAGAAATTAGGAGGAATATTAATATTGTCATTTTCTGAAGAGAATGTTCAAACTTGTATCAAAGAGGTAATTAAAATAAGAATTTAGTGCTAACCAACTTATTAAATTAGCTTGAAAAAGAAACATTAATTCATTCAATAAAATTAGCATATATTTGGCAACCATATTTTTCATTTTATATTGCAAGTTTTAATATATCAACTAAAAGTGATGAAAGTATGAATTTTAAAATTCAAGAATTTATAAATAATATTTTGTACCGAAATTTTAAAAAAGTAATTAATAATCATGAAAATGAGAATGTATGGGAAATTAATGTTTCTATTGAAAGGATATCTGTTTAAATTTCAGAAATAATAAAATAATTTAATATTTAAATATCCCTAATTTTTTATTAAAAAAAGGTTTGTAGAAAGGATACAAATTATTGCATTCATAGAAATATTTAAAACGTATTTATACTAGTTTTTTGAAATCAAATTATATAATTTAGAATTATAAATTCAAAAAAATAAAAATAATCAAATATTATAGTATATGTCGTTTATAGTATAATAATTTAACCATAAATACACTAGACAATGTCATTGATTTAAATAATTACCAATATATTAAATATCATTTTGAAAAATTTCAAATATTTTATAATCAAAATTAACATGATAAAAATAAAATATAATTATGAAAAACACTGAAATTCAAAACCGAAGGATTTTAAAATAGATAAATGTGAATTCAAATCAAAAATTGCACCAAAACTACAAAGAAGGCCTTTATAACGCCATTCCCATAAAATTCTAATATTTTTCCTTGATCCTGTAGATAATTTGATAATACTAGTTCTTGGATTTAAAGGTACAGCAAGATCCGAAGATAAAGGGATTTGAGAAAGTGATGATTCTGGCAATTGAGAACGTCTCCATAGTTCAAAACCTAGATCCAAAGTACTTTCATACGAAAATATATTAAAATTAAATCTACTAGATAATGAAAAATCATTTCCCGCCTTAATAGAATAAGCCGCAGATATGTGCCCCATAACAGGATTCAATGTTAAAGTCATTGTAAGCGGATTCTTTATATATGAAGGAAGTGTTGTAAATCGAAGAGCAGTAGACACTATTTATAAGTTATAAATTATAATAAATCACTAAATACAGACTTTACATCCTCCTATTTTATGAAATATTCCATAATATACTTCTGTACCTATGCTAAGTTGTCCATTATTAGACAAAGAAGCTGAATCATCATTTTGTTTTTCATTTATTGATACTCTTTTTGGAACTTCTCCGAAATTCCATAATCCCCTGAATCCAAACATTGCATCATCCGTACTATATGTATATTCTGTAGACCATTTGCTCGTATTGTGTTGAAATTGAGCAGTTAACTTGAAAAATTAAAAGAAAAAGAAAAAAAATTAGTAATATAATAATAAACTTACACTAATCCCATCACTCTTTTCAGGATTATTGAAATATGATAAAATAAATTGTTTCGTAGGTGATATTTTTCTAGCATAAAGACCCTCCAACAAAAGTTCTGGAAAATACATCCTTCCATAAAATAAATAATCTTCATAATTAAAACGATACATCCCGTAAATTTGCCATTACCTTTCCGTCTTGAATTAAAAGTTTGATTCCAACACTTTTTTAAATCCTTAAATTCCTGAACTTGATGATATACTTCAGAAATCTTATTAATAGGAATTGTATGGCTATTTTTAGATCCATAAAGAGGAAATGATGAAACTATATATCCAATAGATCCATTAAGATCCGGTGATAATGATAAACAATATGATGATGCAAAATTCTCACTCGGTGACGACGAAATATTAAAACTCAATCCTTTTGAAACATGAAAATCAAGAATATCTACCAATTATCACAAGTTTTATTTATATTTTTTCAATATAATACTCTTTGAGCTCTCACAAAGAAAAGAATATAGATTATCACTGTTCCAACATGTATTTTCAAAAAATAAACGAATAATATATTCCTTATACTCAATCATTTCTATTAAATCCTATAAAAACCTTATAATTCATGTATTTCTCTAGCAAAAATCCAAATTCATCTGCACAGATATAGTTAAGATTTCTTGATATTAAGACGTCAAGTCGAGAGCAACGTCAAGAAAATTTATATTCAATATTATCTTAAATATTGACTATTTTTAATAGAAAATGCCTAAGTCAAAGAGGTTTAAAATAGGTCTATATAATATATAAGAAATACTAGATATATTTAAGCTAATTTGTTATAGTTTCTCTAACAAAAACTAAGAAAAAAGATTTTGAACATAAGAAAAAATTGTTTAAAGATATACGGGATTATATTGATAAATATGAATATGTAATTGCTATTTATAAATGGGTTTTAAGAGCTAAGATAATAGATATGGGTTTTTTGTATAGAAAATATGAGAAATGTACATTTTAAAGAGGTCCGAAATAAATGGAAAGATAGCAGGTTAGTTTTGATAAGATTTTGATTAAAATCTAATTATTATGATTGAAGAATATTTATGGGACGTATAAAGGTAATTGCAAAGTCATTAGGAGTGACAAAAGATGAAGAATATCGAGAAAATTTGAGCGAACTTTCAAAAGTGGAGATTTTTTTTATTTTTTAGGTTAAAACTAAAAGATTAATAGATGCTTACGGGAAATGCGGGAGTTTTATTTACGTCTGAGCCGGTATCATTTGTTGTAGATTTTTTTTCAAAGTTTAGTCGAATGGATTTTGCTCGTTCTGGATTTACATCGCCTTTTACCTTTACAGTACCAGCTGGGACTGTTTATTCTAGAGGAGGAAAAATATCAATAGATAATGACAATCCTTTACCTCATACATTTGATTCTGTTCTCAGAGGGTTAGGAATGCCAACTCTTTTAAAAAATGGGCATGTTACTTTATTTAATGAATATACTATATGTAAAGAGGGTGATATTCTAGACAGTCGACAAACAAGACTTCTTAAAATATTTGGAGTTATAATGTCGGAATTCAAAATTAAGCTTAAAGGCTATTGGTCATCTTTAGATAATAAAGTGAGATTTATGGAGGATTATCTTGAGCTTTAGGAAATTATTTTTATCATTTATATTCATATATTTAATTGAATTATACTTGAAAAATCAATTTTGGCTAGTTTATAATTAAAACAGATATTCTATATTTTTATATTATTTCTATTCATAAAAAAATTAAATAGACAAAGTTTCATTTATGTAACATATTTTTTCTAAAATTAATATTTTCTTCTTTTAGAAGATCGATCTCTTTCTTTTTCACGACTCTGATTATCATGGTCTCTTCTTCTATCATCACGGCCGTTATATTCATGTCTATAATCATGATCTGATTTATACCTGTCACTTTCTTTGTAATCATGTCCACTAGAATAATTCATATTATTTATATGTCTAAGATCATGATTTTCAGAACCCCTATAACGGGAAGTATTTGAAGTGCGTCCAGAAGGACCTGTAGGTGTTCCTGGAGGAACATCTGGAAAATGAGATCCATTTTGCTCAATTGAAGATGATTCCTGATATCCACTTTTAAATGAATCTTTATCAGAGCCTTTGTAACCAATTCCTGCCTTTGATCCCTTTAGTTTATCATTAAATCCTTTCCATTCGTTTAAAGATAATTTAGGATTTCCATGAAACCCTCCGGAACGCTCTTTATAACTTGATCCACGAGATCCACCTCCTCGATACTTATCTCTTCCTATACGATCACCATATCCCAAAGGACGAATTAATATTTCCTTTGTATAACCTCTCCCACCCAACCCTCCACCTAAACGTCTAGGCTTCCATCCATTCACTGTTCGACCTCTTTCCACATCGACAACTACTCTACGATCTTTAATACGTACACCATCCATTTCTCTATACGCAGCTAATAATATTAATTCCTTAAAAAAATATTAAAAGAGAAAAAAATCCAAACATACCTTTCATATCTCTTTCCCTTTCAAATACAATAAAAGCATAACCCATTGGCTTATTATTTTTAATACTCGTTACCACACGAATCTAACAATTAGATATAAAAAAATAATTCCTTAACTATACCCTTTCAATTCCACCATAACGTCCAAATTCTCTCATCAAATCTTGTTCCGTCACTTTATAACTCAATCGTGATACAAATAATGTTTTATACGGATCCCCTTTAATATTTGGATCCTGGCGAGGATGATCTACCTTAATTAAAACATATTTCTTATTTAGCGTTCTCTTACACATTGCAAGACCTTTTCGTATCACTTCTTCTTGAGCTCTTCTTTTTTCTTCCCGTTTTCGTTCTCGCCGCTCCAACCATGATTCTGTAGGGTTATAATCCTTATCATAATCCGCAAGCATGTGAACATAACGTGCAACTCCTGAAATCCTTGGTGTTTTTCGCAAAGATGGTGCAACATCACAAGGAGGAAGATATCGTAAAGGTGGTCTCGGTTGAAAAAGTGCTAACAAAGGAGGTGGAAGTTTATCAGTCATTCTAAACAATAATAGGCTTTATAACCGTTAAAATACTCTTAAACAACCTAAATATAATCCACTCTAACTTATCGTTTTTTTAATATTTTTCAATTCTCGAAATCTTAAGATTTCCCTCAAAAAAAAACAAAAAATAAGAATAATGCCCATCCAAGTAGTTCAACAAATCTCAAAAGGGAGAAATGGCTTTGGTGCATATATTTTTCAAGTAATTTAACTGTAATCTTATTATTTTTTTAATTTTTTTAAGTGTAAAAAAATCCAATTTTGCTATTGTAATTGGGCAGGAAGTTCCCGAGGTATGAAGTATGTTAAAAAATGTATAAATTCCCTTTATTAATAGAGGATTTGATTAGTATTTTTCTTGAAAAAATGCTCTTGAAATTCTCAAAAGATAATCCATATATTGAAATGATTGTTTCAAGAAGACCAGGAAAACATCCTGTTATAAGAGGTATCTATGGTAATGAATAAAATCATTTTTTCTTTATAAAGAAAAAAGTCATAATTATATTTGATATTTATGTGTGTTAGTCAATGGAAGAGAAAAGGTGATTTGTGTAAGAAATTTAGATCCTCAACAAATTTTAAAAAAAGCTGAATTATTAAAAAATTCGAGTGGTGCAAAATTAAAAAAAGTTAAATGGCCTGTGTCTAGCATAAATAAAAGTGTCAGAGGAATATGGAGTCCTTTTCATCAACAAAATACCCTTTAATAAGTTAAAATTATAATAAGTCGAATTATTATATATATACATAGAGATCAATGAAAACACAAATATTGTTTTGTTCAAACTTATTTTTGATTCCTTGCCTTTATAATGACATTTTCCAAATAACAAAGCAATTGTGCATCCAATTTTTCGATAGCTGTACCATTTGTATTTGTAACAGAAGATGATGATGTCGGCGATATTTTTGACAATAATGGTGTTTGAATATTTTTTAATCCATCTGGTTTATAAGCATTTCCAGAATGTTTATTTGTATTTGTTTGTTTAATTATTATATCATTTTTTATATTTAAATTCTTTTTTTGTAATGAATTTACTTCCAAATCGCTGACTTGTTTTCCTAATAATGCTAAAAGTAATTTTTCTTTGTTGCAATTATTTATATTGTAATTTGAACCCATATTTTTTTCTTCTGAAGTATTTAAAGAAACCTGATTAAATACGCTTGTATTTGTTGAAAAGTTCGAAGGAATTTCTGAAGGAGATGGGGGGAAATTTCTATTTTTTCTTAATTTTTCTTCGAAAGAAAGAGCGTTATTATTTTTTTCATAAGATATATCCTTTTCATATATTTTATTTGCATTATTATTAATATTAAGGTGTAATAATTCCATAATTCTTTTAGCGCCCCTATTTTTTTCTTCTGAATCTTTTTTTGAGATATTAAATACAGTATCTTTATCATATTTTGGATTAGTTTTGTGATCATTATCAGATATATTCTTATTTAGAAAAGAAACTTCTTCCTTAGATGAATGTGTAAGATCAACAGACATAGTGAAAGATGTAGTACTAATAGGGGAATAAGATGATATTCCAAGAAGTGTCTTAAGTGTTTCAGAATTCTTTCTACAAATATTTTGATCTGTTTCAAAATCTGAATCGACATATTCTTTCATTATTTCTATAGAATTCAAATAAGGCTTTTTTCTTTTTCGAATCCATCTCAATAAAGGTCTTGAATTTATTAAAAATTACTCTTTATAATTTAAAAAATTTTACTCTAAAAATGGTGCTACTAAATAATATTTAGATTTTGATGCTTCTTTATTTCCATAATTATCTTCCTTTCTAGATTTCGAATAGGCAGGAAGATCTGAAAGTTTATGCCATCTTATTTTCTAATTATATTATTTTTCAATCTATAACAATATCCAAATACTGCTTACACTGATTTCTTTACGAGTATGTGTTATAAAATTGGTATCACTAGGAACACCCGCTATTATATAAAGACGGATATTTTGTTCACAAAGCGTAATTTCTATATAATCATTTGGCTGTATAAGCTTCGAAATATCAAACCCCGTTTCTTCAAATACCTAACCCATTAATTTTAACATCAATAATAATAAAACATACTTCCCGAATCGCACAATCCGTATCCAATTCATCCTTATTTATTTTCCCTTTAGGAAACCCCCATCCAGACGAGTTTTTCCATCCTTTCACAAGAACACACTTATAAGAATTAAACAATCATATTATATTTCTCCATAAATTTAATCACCTCCTCACATGTCTCATTCAATAAAATTGCCCCTCTAACAGGAACTCTTATCTTATATTTCAAAAAATTATCATACGCTTTTTCATACTCTTTATTCCACTTCCACAATAACGGGCAATGTGCAAATAACGTCAAACAAAATGTTCTCAGATGCATTGAAGGCAATTGAGGATTTAACTCCCTAATAAAATCTTCATAATACCAATGTGCTTGTTCAATTTGAAAACATATTCGTGGAATTGATCCAAGTTCCTCCTCCGGTAAATTAACTATAAATCTAACTGATAAATCATCCAAAATTTCCTCAAATGTTGCATTCCTAAGAGATACCATCTCTTTTATACTATTACTTATTAGTTATTTCTTTAATAAATCTTAGTTTGCCTCCAATATTTAAATGATCAAAAGCTCCAACGTCATTAAATTGTCGAAGTACCTGACAAATATATAAATGAATTATACGAGAATTATTAAGGTAGAAAATAAATACAGGAATTGAGAAGATTAATAGAATACTAGTATGTAATTAGATCTAAAAATCTTAATAGGTAAACTTAATAAAGAATCAAAAAGAGATTTTAAAAAATAAAAAGTGTTTTTGAGCGACTAGATCCCTATGATAAAGAAATAAAAGAATATTTTGTTAGTTTATATAAGTAAATGGTACAAATTGGTGATAATTGAATTTAGGCAAAATATTTGGAAAAAAATGAAAAAGAATTGGGGGAGTTTTCAAAAAAAGAATTGAAAATATTAAAAAAAGTATAAATATAATACAGATTAATAGTATTTAATAATAAATAAAAGACAAGATCATATGTGTATAGACTTGATTATTCAGCAAAATGTTTTTGTTGTGAAATGCGTTTTGGATGGTCAGCAATCATTGGTATGATACCAGTAATAGGCGATATAATCAATCTATATTTATCAATGAGAATTATAAAAATTTATATGAAAACAGAAATCTCTAAGACTATTATAATTCAAATGTATATAAATATTTTTATTGCTTTTTCAGTAAGTTTTTTTATATATTTTTATCCAGAAAAGTATTAAGTATTTATTAGATGGGTCTAATTCCTATTATTGGAGATATGCTTTTTGCTTACTATAAATGTAACATTAGAAACTATATTATGTTTGAAAAAACATTAAAAGAACGCAAAAAAATACATTAATGTTTGCAATTATAGTTTTTTATTCCAATGTTTTAAATAAGACGCTAAATTATAAATTCTTTTAAAAACATTTATTATAGCTAATAAGTATTTGCAAAACTTCTGTTTATAGATTTATAATATCAACCCTCATACAGATATGTTTTATATTAATACATATGATTAACTATAAAGCTAGTTATAATATTCTCTCAATATATAAAATTTATATGTATTAAAAATTTTAAAGATTATTATTAATCTATAAGATATTCGCTTAAAACTTCATCCTTAGGGTTTCTTATAGAATTTATGTTTCCTTTTTCAAAATACGGAAGAATAAATTCACTTTTAGATCCCCTTAACATAATAAAACATCCATAACACACATCCTTTGTTCTATTAAGATAATTTTCATAATTCTCATTTATTTCAGTATTAGTAACATTACTTAGATCATTTTTATCTAGTGCTATTTTTTTAAGCCAATCATTGACATTATTTTCTTTCGGCATTTGACATATAAAACAAAATTCTGAATTTGAATATTCTTTTGTATCTTTTATTTCTGGAACCTGAAGTTTTGCTGAAGTTTTAGCAACAGTAAACAAAAAACTGGGATTATTTTTTTCAAGATCATCAAAATATCGATCCACTAATTCATCTATTGTAGTAGCTTTATGATAAAATTTCTTTATATTTTGAATCCCATTGATTTCTAAAAAATAATATGCTTCTTGTCTTAAAATGTCTTTCATTGGTCGCAATAACCATATGTCTTAAATATTTTGTTAGATTAAAGAAAAAATATGATAAAAAATACCATATAAATGTTGTTTTATTTTCCCACGAGTTTCCCATGGTATAGAGTATCCTCGACCTTTTGCTGTTTCTGAAATAATTTTAGATGCTATTGAAGAAATAGTATCCCCAAAAATAATAACATTGTATCCATTTTTCTCTGCAAAATTATAGATAATATTATTACGTATACATTTTAAAATATCCATACGAGATGTTGTAGATGATAAAGGAGATAAAAGATCATTCAAAGAACCAACAGACTCTTTAGATATTTGAGAACCTAACAATGCATCTGACATCTTATCCCAAAACAGTTTAATATTTTCATCCGAGTTGAGTATATAATTTTTTAAATTAATTAGAAAAAATAAAGATTCTGGAAGCATCTCATTTATTTTTTCAGAAATATATGATGAATTAGACACTTCTTTCACTGAACCATCTTCTTCAATATGTATAAAATCAAGTATATTAAAATATCTTTTAAATTTAAATTTATCAGAATTTTCTGAAAAAAATTTTATAAGTGCAAGAGAAGTTCCTTCAGAAACTGCAATTAAAGCCTTATTATTCTTAAAAGATATATCTTCCTTAAAAAAAGATTCTAATGTCTTATGAAACTTTCGTTTTATATAAATTATAAAGCACTGACTAAAAACTAATTAAAAATCATTTAAAAAAGTATATTTAATACCTACAAAAGGCCTCTGACTTAGAAAAAAATGATGACTCTTTTTCTTTACATCGTCCACATATATTAGACAACTCACAATAAGTATCTTCTGTATATTTTTTAACTTTATTACATCCATTCTCACAACCCATTATCAATTATTAAAAAACAATCAAATTACCCTTTAAAACCACCTTTTTTCATCAAAAAAAAAAAACAAAAACATACAATAAAAATAACCTTATATTTCAAAAATATATCTAGATCTATTCATAACTTTATAGCCTTCTAGCTGTTCGACTTTTTTTCAATATCGATCAACTGACGTTAAAAAAATTACATGGGCACAATTGGTATTCCTCTAAAGCTTTTACATGAAGCAACAGGTTTTAAATAAGAATTATTATCTCTTGTTTACAAAGAATAGGTCATATTGTTAGTTGTGAACTGGATGATGGCACAGTTTATCGCGGAAGATTGTCAGAAGGTAAGAATTGATTTTTAAAAAATATAATAAAAACTTAGTTTTTATTGCTTAGCTGAAGATAATATGAACATTCAGCTCAAGGATATAACAGTTACAGCAAGAGATGGGCGGGTTTCACATATGGATTATATATATATCCGTGGATCTCATGTAAGGTTTTTTGTTGTACCAGATATGTTAAGGTAAAAGAATCAAAAACAATAAGGAATAAATGGATCTTAATAAGATAGAAATGCACCGATGTTTCGGTCAAGAGCGGTGCGTGGACGAGGGATCGGTTTAGCACGTGGCAGAGCAACAGTGGCACGTGCAAGAGGACAACAGAGAAGATAAAAAATATTTATAATATTTAAAAAAGATTTGGTTTTTTATTTAAAAATATAAAGAGTTTATATGAGATCTTTTTATTTATATTTTGAGATTTTTTGTTATGTTCTTAATAGTTTAAATCTAGAAAATAAAAGAAAAGATGGGTATAAATAATCTCAAATAACAAAGGAAGAGATAATTTTAAATTTATTTAAATATTTAAGAATATATTTTTTCTTTAGTTAAACGTTAATAAGTAAAATAATTTTTGTTTTTGAATGGTTTCTAAGAAAATATTAATTCTTGGAACACCAAGTTCAGGAAAACTAACATTTCTTAAAGGTTTTATTGTTTTATTGTCTTTTTTCCGCATTTGAATAGTTTTTTTTAGAATTAACTGGAACCTTACCGGAAATTTCTTCAGATAGAAAAAATCATGCAGGAATTATACATCAGATAGAATTTGAGACAAAATATTATAAAAAAACAGTAGATATTTGGATAGATGAGTTTCAGTATGAAGAAATTGAACTATGGATTAAGCAATATCTATCAGATGAAGCATCTCAAGTAAGAGAAGTACTGGGTGCAATTATTATTGTTTTTAGAGAAACAAAAGGACCCAAATTTAATGTATATTTAACAGATAATATTACCTGAATATAATAATTTAGTTAATGTAGGAATATGTTATAAAACAAGTAAAAGAAGTTAAGCGAATAATTGAAGCATGTGGTCCTTTGTGGGATGGAGTATTATTAGCTATAAAAGTTCCAGAAAAAAATATATCAGATACTAATTTGACGAAATATATTGACGATAAAGCCCTTTCAGATGCATGTTTTAATGAAGGTTTCGAATATGTTGATCTTGAATATCAGTCTACAAATGAATCAAAAGGTATTTGATTGAATAATAAAGAATATCTTTAACAAAAAAAAAGAAGGTATTGAGAGAGTTAGAGAAGCATTAGAGGCATATGTTTGGGATGAAAAGCTATTTGATTCCATAGAAGACATTTTTAATGTAACAAATTAAACATAAATCTTTGATTAAAATGTTATAGGAAAACAATGAAGAAAATATGAATAAAAAAGGTAGCGAAAAAGATGTTGAAGAATTTGAAAAGCTCGCATCAAAGATTATGGCTCTTCGAGGTTTTTAGATATATTTATAATAATTTATAGTAATCTATTCTAGAACAAGCAAATTTACTTCCTCTTTCAGAACGACAATCTTTTATCTTAAAAGCATTAAGGTAAATCATATAGAATCGAAGAAATAACATGTTTATTTCATTTCTATATGTTTATTTTCTTCTTTGATAAATCATATGTTTATACATGATATAAAAGCCTAAAAAAATATAAAGTTTTTTTAATGACAGGAGAAAAGTATACCTGGAATGTAAATCATGAGAATTCCTTTAAGAATTAGGGCATAAACATGTTTTTCATGATCAATGTATGGTAGAGTTTTCCAAATAAGTAGTATTTCACTAGATGTTCCTAAAGGATATAAAATATAAAAAAGATTGTATCTTAAAATTAAACTATAAATAATTTGTATACGAAGTAAAATAATACCTAAGCCATAGAAGCATAGAAGGTGCCTTTTTTTTTAAATTACTTGCATAATAGCTATAACGAACAATCTCTGTTATGCTCCAAGCATAGATCATGGAAAAAAATGCTGTAGTTTTTAACACAATAGAAGGATATAAATTCAAAATGCCCCAACAAAGTAGAAGACGTGAAGAGACTTGTAAAATTGTTGTAAAAACAGGTGATGATGTTATACCTGTCAAATAAAAATAACTTATATTATTATGACTTAATATACCAAAACAAGCATTTACAATCTCCAAAACTGAAAATGTCTGGACATATTTAAGAAGAAATATGAGTTGTTTATAATGATAATCAATCAATGAGTTTTTCTGAATGAAAAATGTATATAAAAAAATAGAGATCCAACCAAAACAAGAAAAAATATTATATAAAAAAAGATAATTTAAAAGCTCTTTAATTAATATTAGAGAAGATACACATATTATCAAAATTTACTTTTATTTCTAGCAGCTTTCATATTATACAAAATATTCATTTTTCAAAGATCTAATTTCTTTAAAAAAATATCAGAAATTAATAAAAAGTTCATAAAATATAAAAATTCGGAAATAAAAAAATGCATTTATTCTTTTTACCAATTTCTAATTTAAGATTATACATAAATTTCCCGTAAATTATGATTTCCAGTAATCACTTTATTACAATGTTTAACAGGACAGATAGCTGAGTGAGGACCTTTTGATTTCATTGATTTAAAAAGTTTTGCACAGTCACCACAATAAATATGACCACATTTTCCCATCCAAATACTTCTTTTTACAAAATCATCAGAAACGCCTAATTCATCAATACAATTTGGACAAACGAGTTTTTGTGACTTATTTAACGATCTTGTAAACCCCTTCATCGCATCAGGAGCTCCCTTGAGCAGATGTGGCGTGATTGATGTATCCTTTTTTGAAAAAGCGTTAATGTTAGAATGATCAGTAAATAAATTATATTCAATAGGTGTTGTTGAAAAGTTTTGACGGGATGAAAGATAATAAGGGTATGTTCTAGAATAACGGACAGAAGTATTTGCTCGCCTTGTATTTAATGGTGTCATATGATTTATTAATGCATGTAAAAAGCTATCATTTGTTTGAAAAAACTGATTTTCCCATAAACGCATCTGGTTTGTTGTTTGACGTGTAACTCTCCGAGTTGGAGGAAATGAATGTATATGACAGTTTCTACTGCTTTGCGATATAGAATGATTTAAAAGTAATATATCGTCTAAATCTATAGACTCAAAAGGAAATGTTTGGTAAACATCTAAATGTCTTGATGATGAATGACGATCTGGAAGACTATCAACATCAATAACTCTTCCGTTCCATAAATCATTAGATCCGTAATTTTCAACAGGATCATGATCACTTTGAGACGGTGTATCTACTGTTAAATCAATCACAGGAATTCCTCCCTGTGTTAAACATTCTGAACCTAATCTAGGCCTATAAGGAGGAACTATATAACAAAAATCAACATAAAAAATAATTATAAGACAACAAACCCACGTTCAAGTCTCATATCTTGAAATACTATATCGTTTACTCTTGTTTTTTTTCCGTTATTTCCATTATTTAAAACAGTCAAAGTACTTGATGCTTCCATAGTTCTATAGATAATATACTGATATGTTTTGCTATCAAAAATGCCAAAAAATATGGTTATTTTTCTTTAAAAAAAACATCCAATATTCTAAGTAAAACGGTAGTCGAAGTTGTGCTTGCCGACAAAGTACTAGTAAAGATGAAGTGAAATGGTTAAGAAAAAATAAAAAAGATAAAAAATACAAGAAAATAGGTTTATTAGGATTAATTTTTGTAAAATATATGATATATTTTATTTAAAAAGAAAAAGTAGTAAGATTAGTATCATTGGCAACAAAAAGAGTAGCTGCACGAGAACCCCAGAGTAAATGAGAAACAGGGTTTTGAATATCTTGAAGTTTTGTCCAAGATTTAGTTGATTTTGAATAAGACCATAAGGTGATAGTTTTAGGGGAACCAATAGCAAGATATTGGCCAGTATAATCCCAATTAAGCGAAAGAATTGAATCGGTAGCTTGCAAAAATTGAGTTTGAGTATTATTTCTGAGATCCCAAATGTGTACACGAGAATCTTGAGCAGAAGAAACAGAAAGCCAATATCCATTTTCAGAAAAACAAAGAGAAGTGATAGAACCTTTATGAGAATCAAAATTTGCAACGTTTTTACCGGTTTTAACGTTATATATTTTGATTAATCCGTCTATAGTTCCACAAGCAAATAAATAACCATCTGGATGAAATTTTGCACAAGTAAATTCTAAAAAAAGAAATAAAAATTAAAAAAAATTTAATTATTAAAATAAAATTACCAGTATTTTCACGATACTTAGCAATTGTTTGATCACTTTGTAAATCATGTAATGCCCATTCTCCATCAATGGTTGCTGAAGCAAGAAGATCATTTGATGGATGTAAAGCCAAGGAAATAACTTTGCTTTCGTGAGTAGAAATTTTTTTATCATTATCATCTAAAGATGTGTAAATATGAATAGTTCCGTCTGACTTTGCAATCGCAGGCAATTCTCCTATCCATAATCCACATGTTATTTCTCCCCCTGGAGATTTCAAAGAATATGCAGGCTTTTCATCTGTAACATAGTATATTTTTAGAGTATTCTTACAAGTAACTAAAATCATATTTCCAAGATCAGTAATAGCAATAGAAGTGATTTTAGATTTAAAAGGAGAGATGCTCTTTGATAACTTAAATTGTTGTATTTGCTCAACAGTTGTCCAATCTGCCGGAATTTTTCTTTTTCTTCTATTCGAAGATAATCTATATAGCACAATTAATATATACATTATAAATTTATAACATTACGTTTTTTGAGTTTCGTCAATTTTTTGAATCACATGTTCAGGAAGTGCTTGTGCATCCACATCCATTTGTTCATTATTAGTTATAGATGTCCCTGGAAATTCCAATGAAATTTTAATCTTTTTAAGAGCTTCCCTTGCTTCGTCTCTTTCTTTTAAAAGCCGTGCAATAACTCGACATGCTGCATCATGCTGATAAAGTGCTGTACTTAATTCTTGACGTGCTTGATTCAGTTGTTGCTTTAAATTATATGTTTCCAGAGCCAAAGAATCCCATTCATTCTGAAAAATAGCAAGTAGTGAAGGTATAGACGTTGCTTGAGGTGGCCGTCCCCGGATAGTTTTGGATGCTATTTTTAAAAAAAATTAACATTCATTTTATTCTCATTTTAGACCATACTCTTCAATTCTACTAAATCATCAAGTGTCAGAGGCTCTCCTGTAACAGGATCCTTCTCATTTTCCTGAATATACGCCTCAATCAACCTCTTTTCATAGACATTTCCTATAATTCATCATGGTTATTAGTTTTTTTCTAATTTTCCAAAAAAATATCCAAAAAATACCGCTCTTTTTTGAGACAACCCCTATATCTATAGATTCTCCAGATACTAGACATTAATTAGCTTCTTTCTCTCATTTATCTCTCCTTTCTTACGTGCACAAAACATTTCCTACTGGTTGCCCTCAAGATTTTCGAATATTTAAATCTAACGTCAAAAAAAAAAAGATACAAGTAATGAAGATAATAAAATCTTATTTTTAATTAAGATAGTTATAGAAAAATAATATAAAACAATAGAAAGTATTCTAAAGCTTTTTCACTATAATTCTTGAAAATTTTTCGACTTTTTTATTATTATTTTTGACTATTTAACATGATTTTTCTTAGCGAATTGACGTGAGCAATCTTTTTATTTTTAGCCAATAACCGTTGAGTTTTGCTGGTATACATTAATATATACTCATCGGAGAAAGATCAGCGCGTCGTTGTATGACGATGTTTTGTTTATCAACGTCATACTGGTTGAGTTCGCAATAATAAAATACAAGACTTAACAGCAAAGTATCGGAATTATATCTGATATGTAGTATTGTCTTACATTTTATTTCAATCTTGTTCCTATTAAGTTATTTTCTATAGAAATTTTTTTGAAATAATTTTTAAAAATAATGAACTTTTATCCTATTAATAAATCATCAATAAAACTCAAAAAAAAAGAATTAAGGACTATTTTTAAGATAATCTATACATAACAACGTTTCCTAAAGAAAACGATTAAATTTATATAGTTTTTTATATATTTTTCTTTATTAAATGATTTGGCTAAGAATTCTTGATAATTTCGATAGACATAATAAAATTTTAATATCGGTCAGCTACTCAATATATAAAAGTCTATGCTTTTAAGGTTTAGAAATGGCACAAGAATGTCCACTAACATCAACTAAAACGCCTAAAGAAACACCTAAAATGACAGAGTTTTCATTTTCTTTGTCAACTTTCCAGAACTCCACTTCAACGAACTCAGATTTAACAAAAACAACAGAAGAGACCAAAGAAGAAAAAGAAGATGAAGGAAAGGCTACAGACGGAGGGAAGAAAGAGGTTAGGATTGATATGATTTATATTTTTAAAATAAAGTCGATTTTTAGGATCAAGAATCTCCGAAGCAAGATGATCTACATTTTGAACCTATAGTTCAATTAAATAAAGTTGAAACAAAGACAAATGAAGAAGATGAAACAGTTACTTTTAAAATGTATTGATGCTTTATGGGGAAATTATTGCATTTTTTTACTTTTTCTAGGAGAGCCAAGCTTTTTCGATTTGATAAAGGTGAATGGAAAGAACGTGGTACAGGAGATGTTCGATTTCTTACACATAATGATTCTGGAAAGATACGACTAGTAATGCGAAGAGATAAGACACATAAAATATGTGCCAATCATTACAGTACGTAATATACTATTATATATATATATATTTTAAAAAAAAAGTTGATCCAAATATAAAATTAATATCAAATGTTGGAAGCGATAGAAGTTGGATTTGGAGCGTTGTAGCTGATATGAGTGATGGAGAACCGAATGCTGAAACACTTGCAATACGATTTACAAATTCTGAAAGTATTAATTTCTTAAAAAATAATATATAGTTTTAATATTTTTAGATGCAAATCTTTTTAAAGAGAAATTTATTGAATCTCAAGAAAAGAATAAAAAATTCTTTACAAAATATTAATTTTACTTTTTTGACTTTTATTTATTTTTAAAAAAGTTATTGTTCATACTAGCATTACTTAAATCTAGTTATAATTATAAGAAAATACTCTTATTTTTTTTGTAATTAAGTAACCATAGTTTTTTTAAATAAAATACTTGATTATATTTCTTTAAAAATCATTATATTCTTGATTAAATATTAGGGCTGATTAACGTCTATAAAATTAAGTTTATTTAAAAATACAAAAGTTATTTAAGAATAATAAGAGATTAATTTCATTTATAAGGGAGTCCATGGTTGAGGTAAGTTATTTTCTAAATATAGTCCCTTTATTTTAGTCTCAGAAGGTTTTTTTATTATAATTGAATTTAAGGACTTTTAAAAGAGTTTAATATATTGAAAAAGTGTAACTAATATGAATTATATAGGTTAAAAGGACGATTAAATTTATTACAACTCAGGTTGTTTTTTTTCTTTTGAATTTTCCTTATTTTTTTTGAATTTTTAATAAATTAACATATGAAAAGAATATTATGAAAGATGTTCCTCCAGCTGGAGAGGGATTTCCTATAAGAAGATGGTCAGTGAGACTGGTAGCACTTTCTGAGGATGGCCAGGAGCTTCCAGCAACATTTATTGATAAAGTTACATATAAACTTCATCCTACATTTCAAAGTCCAAATAGAAGTTGTTTTTTAGCATTTTTTAATATTTTCTAAGTTTTTAATTAGGTTTTAAAAAGCCTCCATTCAGAATTGAAGAACAGGGATGGGGAGAATTTGAAATGGATGTTGTGATTTTTTATGCAGAAAAAGGTGGTGAAACAACATTAAAACATGACCTTAATTTTCAACAAACTAAATATGAAAATGAACACATATTGGTGATTTTATATTTATATATTTCTTTGTCTTTATTTAATAATTAGACAATTGTTAATCCTCGTCCAGCGCTACAGCGCTTATTAGCAGAGTCTGGCCCTGTACCTGGTTATGTTGGATTAGAAGACAAGAAAAAAGATAAGCGAAAATTTGATGGGACTGATAAAAATAAGAAGAAGGGAAAATTTTCTAAGCCAGTTTAAATATAATTATTATTTTTGTAATTATGTTAATTATCATAGGTGGATATGGATCGATTAGCAGATGGGTTACAAAAACTTGAAGAAGATGATCTTTTACAAGTGGTACAAATGGTGAATGAAAATAAAACTCCAGAGATGTATGTCAAGAACGATGTTGAAGGTTTTTTCCTCTTTTTTTCTTTTTTTTTTTTTTTAATATTTTAAAAGAAGGTGAATTTCATTTAGATTTATATACATTAAGCGATAATCTATTGACAATGTTATGGAATTTTACTGCGAAAAGAGTGTCCTTGTAAAGAAGAATTAAATCATTGAAATTTTTATCAAATATAAATTATAGAAAAACATATATTTAATTTTATATATATTATTATTTATATAAGGGATGAAGCTGAATAGGTTTAGATAATTTTCTATTGAACATTATATCTATAAATTATTCAAAAGTATTCTTTTTGGAATGATTTTTAAACACTTTTTATAATCTAATATTTTTAATAATATCTTTTGAAAGTAAGCCATTAGACAAAAAAAGAAGAATTTCTATAAACGAAAGGAATAAGTCTAATTAGAAAAGATCAAATTACCCTACCTTATTAAAATATGTTCTAGATCATCTGCTACGATATTTTTACCTGGACAAATTTCATCTATAACCCTTATCATATTTATAACAAGTTCACCATCTTGATATCCTAAAATCGCAGGTACAGCTGCTGAGTCCATTTCTATTTTTTCATGAAATATTTTCCCGAATTCTATAGATATATAACGAGTCGCTATATCAGAAAAACAATCTTTAATAATTGTACTTTCTTGAGTCTTAAAAATATAGATAAGTTACTATTAATATATTCGAAATAGATAAATTCTTACTTCATCATATATCAAAATAAGAACTTTGTTACAATTTTCTATTATTTTTAAAAAACTCATACAATCCAATTCTACTACTTTTTTTAAATTTGATTTTTTAGATAAAAAATCTTCATTTTGTTCATTATCTAATCTGTAATTTCCAATATTTGTTCGGCTTCCTATAAATAGTTGTTTAAATAATACTTCTTTTTCTAAAACATTCCTAGGTTTAAGTTTTATTGATCTTATTAGAAATCCCGTACTTTCTTCTAATTCATCGGTTATTTTAGACATTCTGGATACATTAGCATCATGAATGACGCCCTTTGGCCCAGTATTAATAGATTTCTTGCATAAATGTCGTGGTTTTGAAGATAGAGATATTTCAGTTGAATCTAGGGCAGCTTTATCATCAATGATTTCATCACTATTTTCTAAATTTTCTAAACAATCTAATAATGGCATACTAAATAAATAAATTTATATAAAAGAATATACATCTAATAATTTTCTTTTTCAAGAAAAAATATAGAATTATAGAAGTATATTATAGGGTTAACTCTACCTCGACATAGTAAGATATCAAATATTATACAAATTAGATAATATAAAATAATTATTCTACCAAAAACCCGTAGTTCTTTCGTTATTTTAAAAATCAGCAACAATAAAAACTTGATCAAAACATGTGTTACTTATCGCAGATGTTTTATAAAAATTATACACTTAAACCAATCATTAATATAATGTTAAAAAGAAACATAAATAAGATGGAACAACTGTGATTGATGGTTAACAAGATAAAGAGCAACTTTATGCCCAAATTTTTAGCTAATATTTATTTAGAAAATCACACAAAAAAAAATGCAAACTTACTAATGAATCCCAGCTACCAGTGGCTAAACTTCGTCCATCCTTACTCACACCTACACAGCTTACACGATTATCATGGCCTTGAAGAATTCCCACTCTATTTCCTCGCAAAACATCCCATACCTATAAAAATATAAGAATTACTATAAGAAATATTTTAAATCTAACATTGCAATTAAAATCATCATATCCTGCAAAAAGAAGTCTTCCTGAAATAGAAAATGATATTGATGTAATACCACACATAATATTAGCTGCCTATAATAATTCAATAATTAAAAATTTCCCCCAAATATCATTTATCTTACTGAATATCGATTCAATTCTCGATCTGCACGAACATCAAATAGTCTACATGATGCATCATCTGAGCCAGTAGCAAATGCATTTCCATTAGGAAAATATCTACCCTTATTAACCTTTATATTTTACATATTTCATTACTTACTGAACTGCATTAATATCCGATTCATGTCCTGCAAATGTTTGAACTGGCCTTCCTGTTCGAATATCCCATATTTTTGCAAATGCATCACATGCTCCTGAAACAAAAAGATTTGGGTTTGTTGGATGAATACTTAAACTCATAACATCTCCTAAATGATCCAAAAACTCTTGAATCTTTGAACCCGTATTAATATCCCACAAAATACATGACATATCACCACTAGATGTTAAAATTTGCTCATCACTTAAAAACCGACAACAACTTAAATATCCTGTATGCGCCATAAGCTCACGAGCAATCTTTGCACGCCCATCTTTCGACGATATATCATAAATTGTACAAACATTATCTAATCCACCGCATGATACAAAATTCCCACTTGGTGCATAAGCACAGGTCATTACCCAAGATGAACGAAGAGGAATTGCATAGGTTTTACGTGTTGTATATGCATCCCAAACTATAAGTTTTCCATCCTGAGATGCTGATACAAGGTGCTTTTGGTCTGTTGACCAATGCATTGCATAAATCTTAGCTAAATGCCCTTTTAACGTATGTCGAACTCGAATAGGAATACGTGTAACAGCATTTAATGTTTGTGCCATAGATCTTACTAAACATACTTTAGTATAAACCCTTTATATACGCCATTTATGCATTTGTATGCGTACTATATGCGCATTGTATGCACTTTGAATATGCTTTGCATATTCAAAATATATTTATAGTACAAATACTTACAATTTGTATCTGCCAATTCATCTTTTTTCTTCTTAATCTTCTCCTTCAAATATTCTGCTTCCTTACAAGCTGCTGAAATTTTATCTTGAAGGTCTCTTGTTGTCATTTTTACTTAATTATACAGGCGCATTGTGTTAAAATACGTATAAAATCTTACTGAGCGGAATTTATTCTCTCATATTTATCGAAATTCAAAAAAATTATTTTGATATAAATGGCTCTTTCTATTTTAAAAAAAGGGTATGTTATATTATTAATCAGATTTTAGTTTAGATATTAAAATATTTAAATAGATCTAAACTTCCTTTTGGGACATTTACTTATATTCCTTGTATTATAATATATATATATATATAACTATCTATCTTATTAATGATGTATAAATTAGATGATGGGAATAAATGTTCTTTTAATGGAGAAGGAGTCCCAGTAGAAGTGACTACTGATGACTGGAAGAATTTAAAAGTTGTTTTATTCTCAGTAAAAGATTTTGTATCGTATATAATAAGCATATATTAATATAATTAGGTACCGGGGGCATTTACACCTACGGTAATTATTATCGCAATATATGCGTAATATATGCGTATTTTTATTAACAATTAAAAGTGTTCTTCAAGACATTTACCAGATGTTATTAATCATTATGAAGAACTTAAGGCTAAAAATGTAGATTTGGTAGCTTTTGTAGCAGCAAATGATCCTTTTGTTATGGCGTAAGAAATTTTTGTATTTTAATAAATTAACATATGGAAGTGCATGGGGCGATGCATTTCAAGCAAGAGATAAAATTGTAGGGATAGTTTATGTTTAAGAAATAATTTAATATTTTTAGCATTTTTTAACCGATACTGATGCGAATTTCTCTCATTCAATTGGTTATTCTATAGATTTAAAAACACAAGGATTTGGGATTAGAACAGGCCGTTATGCTATTGTTGTCGATCGTGGTGTCGTAATTTATGCAGAAGTTGAAAAAGATCCAAATATAGTTACAACTAGTGGTGTAAAAGCAGTACTAGCTAATCTTTGAATGTTAATACATTTAAATCTATATTATTTATAATATAAAAATCGGATGAATAAAAATATGGATTTATAAAAATATAATTGTACACTATAAACGTATATAAATATTGGCTATACTTATATTTTTGAAATTTATGTTTTATATCTAAATATTTTTATTATTAGTCAAGCTTATTTATTTTAAAATGATTATTTTTTAAAAAAAAAACTTACTTGTAATAAATAGTTTTCTGCAACGAATCGTGCTCTTCGATTTATAAATAATTTTATTTCATTAATTTCTGCGTCTACTTCTTCCATAAACTGTTTTTTTATTAAAATTTTTTGTTCAAAAAAAAAAAGATTAAACCTGAATAATAAAATCAACAATTTTATGTTTCAACATAGCCTCTGTATGTTTATTCGTTATCAAAAAAGATATCCCATAACCCTTAAAAAGAATTAGCTATATTTTCTTACTCTATCATCCAAGTATATACTTTAATGGGCTTTCTTCGTAAAATAATAAAAGCTTCTGCACGTCCCATCAGAAATCGAGTAAATTTATTAACCAAAATCCGTTCAATTTCATCAACCTGTTTAATACGAATACTTATACGAACACTTCATCCTATCAACCTTCCTAAATATAAATATCTATTTCTTTACCTATTAATACTCGATTCAATTAAAACTTGTTCATTTTCATTACGAGAAATCAATAAAGGATTTAAAAGCGTCTCAATAGACGTTCTATATTGCTTCTTGTTAATAATTCAATCTTTATAACCTAAATTTAGTTTACCCTACTTCGACTTCTGGTTTATTATGTCTTTCAACAACTTGAGATGCAAAATCTTGAATACAAAGAGCCGCTATTAATGTAGAACGAACACACTGAAGATACGATCTTAAGCTATTTGCCTGTTTTATTAAGAAATTTTCTTAAAGATTCTCTAAAAACAATTTACCATAGTTTATTAAACGTGACGTTAAAGATCGCTTAGAAAAAACATCAGATTTTTAAAATAGACAGATAAATTCCTAAAAACTTCTTAAGACTTACTTAAATGACTACAATTCCAAGTAATATATATTTTAATATCTATTTTTTAAGTAATAATCTTTTAGTTTATGTAAAATGGCAAGGTAAACGCTTTGATTTGGAGGTTCAAATGATGGAATCTATTTTGGTCTTAAAATCTCAGTTATATAGTTTAACTGGTTTTATTTTTATTTTAGAAAGATAATTTTCTAATTTAGAAATAGGTGTTCCTTGTGAAAGACAAAAAGTAGGTTGTTAAATTTATGATATTATGAATTTTAATTAAAAAATAGATTCTTGGTCTAGGTTAATAAAAAAGGGTCTGTTAAATGAGTAGTTTATATGTGGTTTAGGAAAGAAACAAGTTAAAGATGATGCAATTTTTCAGGATTTTAATGTTAAACCTTATTCAACAATTATGTTGCTTGGCTCTACGGAAGCCCAGTCAAAAATGTGTTTTGAACAACCTGTCTTTTTAGAGGATACGAGTGGATCTCAGTTACATAAAAAAGTATATTGATTGTACTTTATGTTTATTTACTTATTTGTGCTTTTTATAGCTTTCATTGCCATCAGGGCTTAAAAACTTAGGGAATACGTGTTATATGAACTCTACACTACAAATGCTTAAATCTATGCCTGAGCTTGAATCAGAATTAGAGAAGTGATTTTATTTTTTTGTTTAACTGTCATTGTAATATTAATATTTAGAATTTCACAAGATAAGACTCGAAAGTTAGATAATTCAGGAACTATAATAGAATCTCTTTCTGATGTTTTTCGAAATATGAATATATATAGCGATTTTTCACCGCTTATATTTTTAGGAGTAATTCGAATCTAAACTCTTTTAGAGAAGTATTTTTCTAATATTTTTTTAGTGTCTTAGGATAGTATTTCCTCAATTTGCAGAAAGAGATAATATTCATGGCAGATTCTGTCAACAAGACGCAGAAGAATGTTGGTCTCAGCTAATTCAGAATTTGAGGACCCATATGCCTATGAATGGGGATTCGCCATCTTTTGTTAATAAGTATATGGTAGGAACTCTTATTAATGAAATAAAATGCACCGAAAGTGAAGATGAACCTCCTATTATTTCTAATGAAGACTTTATAAAGCTGAATTGTCATATTGGGATGAATACTAATTATATGATTGATGGTTTAAAAGAAGGTTTAAAAGAAACAATTACTAAACGCTCGGAAATTTTAAATAAAGAAGCTACATTTATAAAAGTCTCGAAGATTTCTAGGCTTCCAAAGTATTTAACTGTAACATTTATTGATTTTCTTAATGTTTCTCTTACATTTATATAGATTAATTTTGTAAGGTTTTTTTGGAAATTCTCTATTCGCAAAAAAGTAAAAATTTTGCGAAAAGTAAAGTTTCCTTTTGAATTAGATATATGTGAATTCTGTGAAGACAATTTAAAATCTAAATTGATTCCAGTAAGAGATATTTTGCGCAATATTAATAAGAGCTTGGAAGAAAAAGAAACTAGAAAAAAAGTAAAAACTTCTCTAGATAATGATACCTATGAATATTTAGAGAAATCTTTAAATGAAATGATTAAGGAATTATGGAGATTAGTCGATATTAAATCTATTGATGAAGGTTCAAATGTGTCTGGTTTATATAATTTAATAGGGATTTTAACGCATTCTGGAGGTAAAATTATACTTTTTTTTATCATTTCTTAATTTTTTTTAGCATCTGCTGATTCTGGGCATTATCAAGCATGGATAAGAATACCTAATTCATCAGAGTGGTGTCAATTTAATGACGATAATGTTACGATTGTACCTCGCTCTAAAATAGAGACCTTAGATGGCGGAAGTGAAAATGATACTGCTTATATTGCTTTATATTCTGCTATGGAATTACCTACCACTATCTAGTTGTATGATATATGTTTTTAATCGTATATACATCTATATAATCAAAATTATTTTCATTTAAAAATTTATAAAAAGCATCGATTTTAATAAATTATCACTGATATTTATTGATAAATTCATCTTTTAATAAATCTACCTCTTTCCTAAATGCCTTAATCGTCTCATCGCAATTAAGAGGTTTTTGTTCTAGATAATATTTAAACATTGAAGATAATAATATTAAAAAAACCATTTTCTTTTAAACAATCAATCACTTCTCCCTTTTTTTTTAATAATTTTTCATCCATCATTCTTATCTGAAATAACCCTTTTATATTTTCTTCTAATTTTGACATTTCATTTTTTAAACTAAAACTATTCAATTTTTCTTGCGCTTTTTCTCGTTTTGCATTTTTTCTTATTAATTCTTTCTCAATTTCTATTAAAATGTCTCTTTCTCTTGAATGTAACCGTTCTATTTCTACTGCTACTCTTTCTTGAATATGTTCTTCCAAAGATGCTGCCCTAGTTGCATCTGACTCTACTTTTGAGTCTAAGTGATTTACTAAAGCATTGGAAAACTATAAAAAAATAAATATAATTAATAAAAAAATCTAGAAAACCTGCAGGGGAAATCTAGATTCGTTCTGAAATACAACATCTCCTGATGATTTGCTCTGTGTTTTACCCATCTTTATGTTAAGAGGTTTATCGCTGATCGAGTCATGAAAATATGACTTAAAAGATATTAACAAATATCTCTATTTTTAATAAGAATTAGCTGTTTTTATTAATTATTAGGGTTATTAAAATAAAACTCTAAATATATGAGTTAAAGTAAGTCTATATCTTATTATAATTTCTTTTTATTAAAATGAAAGATTGCAGTTAAAAGTCGATTATACAGATATTTTTTAATAAAAGATATAAATATTAAATATCTTAAAAATATTCATTTCAATCAACAAATAGGTTTTTGCTTAGTTTCTTAAGATTTAAGGCCAGTTTTTATTATTGAAAGAACCTTATTCAATCTTGTGAAAAAAAAAGATGCGTAATTTATATCTTTTAAAAAGAGAAAATATAGTTTTACATAGGGAAAAAGAAAAGAAGAGATATATCAGTGATTTATCATTTAATTCAAATTGTAATTCAGGTATTATTGTGTGTAGTTTAGGAGAAATAAATGAATCTATCTTGATTGAAGAGATGAAAGTAAATATTGCTTTACTATGTTAAATTTGTTTAACAACGGTTAAAGAATGAAGAAAAAGTTTCAGTGGTAGTTAAAAAAGAAACTCTTTGGGATTTATCTAGTTTTTTAGACTTAGAAATAGTTGATTTTCAATTTTTATCAGAAACACAAACAAGTTGTATAATTATAAAGAATGGAGATATTGTTTTAATACGAAATAATACATCATTGGATGAGGAAAAGGCAGAAATTGTAGGATCAGTAGAAGGAGGGATTGTTGCAGCTAAATGGGCGCCTGACGAAACAGTTCTTTCTATTTGTACAGGTATTTCATGGATTTTATGTTGAAAAAATGGTATTTATTTCATTAGAAACATCTAGATTTTTATTACTATCTCAAAGTTTTGAAACGATTTCGGAGATAACGCTTCAAAAATCTGATATTAATTTAAGCAACCACGTTTCTATTGGATGGGGAAAATCAGAGACACAATTTCAAGGGAAAAAATCCAAAAATATGCCTCGTGATCCAACAATTCCTGAGAAAGTAGATGAAGGGATTTTAAGTCCTCTTGATGATCAAATTACTAGAATAAGTTGGAGACAAGATGGTGCTTTTGTAGTACTATCTAAAATAGAATCTGAAAACAAAAGAATAAACCGTGTATTTTCTAGAAACGGAGCATTGGATAGTGTTAGCCAACCTGTTGATTATTTAGAAAGTCCTTTAGCATGGAAGCCTTCTGGAAGTGTTATTGCGTCTATTCAAAGAAAACCTAAAGAATTGGATGTTATATTTTTCGAAAGAAATGGACTTCGACATGGAGAATTTAGTTTATTACCATCATTATTAAGTGATGAAAGAATTATAGACATTCAATGGAATTGTGATTCTACACTACTTTCTATTTTATTATCAAACAAACTTCAATTTTGGTGTATGAGTAATTATTATTGGCATTTGAAATACGAAATTAAATCTAATAATAACAAAAATACGTCTATTAAATGGCATCCAAAAATTCCTTTAATTCTTACATTAATTAATGATGGTATTTATCTGATATATTTTTTATTTTAATCATTTTTCAAGGTGATTTAATAGTATATAATTTTTCCTGGATAATAATATCATCTCCTCTAAATCTTCCTTATGATTATGGAACAATTGCTGTAGTAGATGGAAGTAAGTTTAAACACAAATTCAATAAATTTAATTTAATTTTAGATAATTTAAAATTAACACCATTTAAAATAGCAAATGTTCCTCCACCATTATCATTTAAAGATATTAAACTTTCTGGAACACCTACTTCAATATCAATAAGCATGGATTCAAATCATATTTTGTCTTTAATCGATAATATGGTTGAAATTATTCATTGGCCTTTAAATACAGATCTTACTTCTTCTCCAGAAATTATTAATAAATTAGAGTATAAACAATTTTATTTTTCATAAATTAAAATATATCTAAAAAAATATAGTTTAACTGGATTACTTAATGATTATTATCCACGGCAAATATTATACTTAGAAGAAAATATATTCACCATATTACTAGATACTTATAATACGTCTAAAATTTTATTTTTTTTATATAATCTTCATAAAGATTTTAAATTGCTTGATGGTATTACTTTCAAGTCGAAGATTGCTTTAGCTAGTCCTGCATCTAATGGAAAATCTGTCATAGCGGAGTCTATTAAGGGTGAAGTTTTTAATTTATTTTTAAAAAAAGATCATAAAATTGATAATATATTATTATTTTCATTGCCTTTATTTTGCTATTGTATGAAGAATATACAATACATGGAGGAAGTATATAATTATATATATATATTATTTATATCTTATATTTTATAGAAAATTACCTTTTTTCTAAGTGATAATGGTAAACTTTTTGCGAATGATCATTTAATTTCCAATAATTGTACGTCATTTATTTGTTGTAAAGAATATTTAATTTTTACAACAACTTTACACTTAGTAAAATTTGTCAAACTGACATCTAAAATTGAAGGTTTTTTTAAAACTTAAATTTTATCTTAGGGAATAATTTTTAAAGATTTTATTATACCTTCTGATGACACTACAAATAAAAATGTTCGTTCTATAGAAAAAGGCGCAATAATAATTTCAGTTATACCATCTATTACAGCTTTGATTTTTCAAATGCCTAGAGGCAATATTGAAACTATATATCCCCGAGTTTTGGTTCTATCCAGTGTATATGAATTAATTAAATCGTGAGTTGTTTATATTGATTAATATTTTATTTAACTATATTTTAGAAAAAAATATGATAAAGCATTTTTATTATGCAGAACACATCGCATAGATACTAATGTTCTTTATGACTATAATCCTTCACAATTTTTAAATAATATATCTCTTTTTGTAACTCAACTCAATAGTAGAGAATATTTAAATTTATTTTTATCGACTTTAAAGTAATATTATGACTATTGTTTTTCAATAACCTAACTAATTTAGGGAAGAGGATCTTACAAAGACCTTATATAACATGGAATTAACGAAAAATGATACAGATCCTGAAACAAAAGTATTAAATACAAAATCTTCTAAGGTTAATATGATATGCGATTCTATTTTAAAAGTTTTAGAAACATATTCAGATGATAAATATATAGAATCTATTTTAACAGCACATTTAAGTAAAATTCCAGTAGATTATGATTCTGCATTAAAATTAATTATTGATCTTAAAAGTATTATTAAATATTAATAACTAATATCTAATTAGAAATAGATACTGATTCAAATAATGCTAAAAAAGGAATTAAATATATATGTGTTTTAGCTGATGTTAATAAACTATATAATCATGCGTTAGGATTATATGATTTACGCCTAACTCTTCTTATAGCGCAAAATTCACAAAAAGTTATATCTATATTTTTTATAATTCTTTTGACAAAATTAGGATCCTAAAGAATATCTTCCATTTCTTGAAGATTTACAAAAACAATCAATTAGTCGTAGATGTTTTAATATTGATAATTATTTAAAAAGATATGAAAAAGCATTAATGCATTTGATTGATATAGGTGATGAAGTTTTTGACGAATTGTGTGATTATGTTGTTCTTCATAATCTTTATAAAGAAGCATTAAAGAAGCTTCAGAATAATTTTTCAAATTACAATGTAAGTTTTAATATTTAATTATTTTATAAATATTAAATTTTATAATAGAAAATTTTAGAACTTTATGCTGCATATCTTGAAAAAAACAATCATTTTGAAGAGTCTGCATTAGGTATTAATAATTTGTAAATTCAAAAAGTCAATTAAACATATTAGCTTATGAAATATTAAATAACTATGAGTATTCCATTATTATGTATAAAAAGGCTGGGTTATGGAGAAAAGCGTTAACTCTCGCAATGAAATCTAAAGTTTCTGAAGATGATCTAAATAAATTAGCTGAATCATTGAATTTTATAATGCAAGATAGAAGAAAATTCTCTGACGCTGCAGAAATTCAAATTTATTATTTAAAAAACTTAAAAGAAGGATTACGCTTATTATGTAAAGACTATAATTATAACAAAGCATACGAATTAGTAAAAAAATATTTTTTTATTCTTAACTAAATATAAATAGGCTCAATATTATAATTCTAATGAATTAATACAAGAGGTTATTGTTCCTGGCCTTATAGATGGATTTTCTGAACTTAATGAATTATTTTCTGAGCTTTCTTGTCAACTAAAAACGCAAGTAGAACGTATTAGAATTCTTAAGAAAAAAAGAGAACAGGATCCATGTAAGCTATAGATTATAACATATATTTAATTAAAAAAATTAGATACATATTTCGGAACAAATATCGACGATATTCCTGATGATATATCTCTTGCTGATACCAATACATCAATAACTGCATCTATTTTTACTCGATATACTTCATATGCTACCAATACAAATTCATTTTATAAAAAAAATGAAAAAATTTCTAGAAAAGAAGAGAGAAAAAAAGTACGTAAACATAAGGGAAGCATATGGGAAGAAGAATATTTATTAAATAGTATAATTCGCTTAATTGATAAACTTGAAGATGCTAGAAATGATTCTGAAAAGACTATAAAAGGTCTTTTACTAGAAAGAATGAATGAGAAAGCTAATATACTTCAAAAACAAATGATATGCCTAGTAGAAGATGTCCAAAAATGTATTAAAGAAATATTTACTCAAAAAACTGAAGATTTAACAGAAAATATACAGAATAACTTTAAAACAATTCCTGTAGTACGATCTGTAAATGAATTAAAAATTTTAATTTAAATTATAAATAATATATATTGTAAAAAGCATAACTTCCAAAATAAACAAAATTTTATACTTTTTTCTTACTATTTCAATTGTAAATTGGATATCCATTAGAATCTATTAAACTTTCGGAAGTTTGTACAGTACCATCACCGATTTCTGTTATAATTACTTTATTGACTTTTCCATAAATTGGAAAAAAATAATCATTAGAAATGTTGAGTTTAATATCATTGTATTTATATGACCAACCATCAACAGTAGACAAACAATCATGTAACGTTCCTAATAATAAATCTTCATTTTCCTTAAGAAAATATATAACAGCATTAGGACCCGCATCAAATGTATACGCAGCAATAGTCTTTTTAGAAAGACGATTAATTTCATGTACCAATTGAATAAGAGATGTTGAAATATCATTTAAATAAAAAACAGGAGGAAAAGTATCAAGACATGTAGCGTGAAATTGATTTGAATCTTTCATTGTTAATTGCGCAAATGATTCAAAATCTTTATGCTTAATTGCATTTTCCATTTTTTTTATATAAAAATCCACATGTTTGATTCGATATTGAAATAAATTAGACGTTAATACTGTTGCTTGCATACCTTTTGTAGAAGAAACTTTTTTTGAAGAAGAAGAAACAATAATAATAAGAATACGTAGATCTTCCCATTGTGATTTAGAAGCTATTTGCTCTGCAAACGAATCCGATCCATCTTTCAAAACACCCATTTTCCATAATACAAAACCACCCATCAAAGAACGACATGCTGATCCAGAACCTTGACGAGCAATACATGATAATTCTTCTGAAGACTGATCAAGTTCATATAATTCTGCAATCCCTTTAATAAGTGCTGCATATCCTGATGCTGACGATGCTAATCCCGCTGCAGTAGGAAAATTATTCTCCGAAACAATATGAAGATATTGTTCACTTAATCTTTCTAATTTGGAATCTTTACTTTCTTTTGAATATCTCAATGATCGAAGTAATGAAAGACATGTTTTCATCCTCTCACTTAAATCTTTTTCTTCTTTTCCATTTAGCCAAAATCTATCCTTTTCAAACTCTCTACAGCATGCAACACTAGTCAACGTATATAGTTTAGATATTGACAGAGTAACTGACAATGATCCATTCATAGGAAGATTTAATTCTTTATCTCTTTTTCCCCAATACTTAATAACCTATTTTTCATCATTTTTAACCCAGAAAAAAACACATATACTTACTGCAATATTCACAGGTGCCTTAACTGATTTTTTGTGCATTATTTCCCCCAATCTTACCCTCTTATTCCCTGTTTTTATTTTATTAATTTTTTTGAAGTCGTCCCCGTCTAAAAATACCGACCTCATTAATAACCTTCTAATGCTTGAGCCTTCTCAAGCATCAAGCAAATCTTCTGATTCAAAGAACAATCATATAAGATGCCCTGTTTCTTCTATAAATAAGAATTCCGGAGATTTAAGCCCAAAAAAACTGGATTCTTTTGATCAAAATCTACAAGGTTTATCAAACAAAAGGGAAATATCATCTATTCCTAAGGCAAATGGAAAAGAAGGAGAATACTGGATATATCCTTCAGAACGTATGTTCTTTCAGGCGATGCGGCGAAAAAACTGGAATCCTCGGATAAATGAAATGCAATTTATTGTTCCAATCCATAATGCAGTAAATGAACAGGTTTGGAGAGAAATTTTAAGTTGGGAGAAAGGATGGGGAAGCGAAATGTCAATATTTTTATTTGGAAAAGAGTATTTTTATAAATATTAATTTTTATAGGTGCGGTGGACCCAAATTGGTAGAATTTGAAGGAAAATCATCTAAAATGAGTCCTAAAGCAAGATGGTTAAAATATTTGGGGTAAATTTGTATAGATTCAGGACTTAAATGAAATTATTTATTTAGATATAAACCACCTTTTGATCGTCATGATTGGAAAATTGATCGATGTGGTAAAGAGGTGACATATATTATAGATTTTTATTCTGGAAAAAAAGAGGGAGATTTGTTATCATTTTATCTTGACGTCCGGCCAAAACTGAGTATAAATGGTGCTTGGATGAGATTAATTCGAGTATTTGAGGATTTTTTCCAGAAAAAAAAAGATTTATGAATAATGATGTTGATTTAGTTTAATAAAATAGATAGATTGTTAGTCATTTAATAAGTTAAAATCAGCTAATGTTTGACATTTTATTGCAGTAGAAGGCTGAAGATGCATTCCAGAAAGATAAGGTCCGAATTTCGAGATGATATTTAACATACCAAATTCCAATGTTTTTAAAAGTGCTGTAGGCTCTTCGAATGTAAGATCTGGGTTATTTTGATAACAAAATATATCAGAAAAATGAGCCTGTGGAAATATAATGAATTGTTTGATATCCTCAAGAGTTACGTTTAAACATTCTAAAATCAATGCAACTTCCCGTTGAACCATGCCAAATAAATCTTGATCAATAGAACGTACAACTAATTGACATAAATCTAGAACAAATATTTATTTTTTTAAAATATAAAATAATATGATTTACCAAATATAGCTAGAATTTGTAAACGAGTATTTGGAAATAAAATTTGATGTTTTCTTCGTAAAGTTTGTCTAAATGGTACACCTAACCAAGATTTATAAAATATTTTTAAATAAAATATTATGATATTTTTTAGTTGAAGTTTATAAATATTTTTATCATTTTTTTTTGAAGCCTTATTGGAATGTGATAAAAATTCATTAACATTATTTCGATGTTTTGAATGGTCTATATGAGGAGTTCGTTTGTGAACTTGTTTTTCCAAAAAAATATTTTGATCTTTAATTCTTAGTAAAGGTACAGAATTTGGATTCTTTAATTCAGTGTCATCGTTTATTTGATTGTAGAATTTATGTGTAAACTCTGAATTTATATATGAAAACGAAGCTTGATAAAATTAAAAACAAATAAAATAATATTTTAATATTTACTTTTATTTTCTGGTAATTGATATACTCTTCGAAGGGTTAAAGGGATATCACTGATAATTCTAAGACATATTTCTACAATTTGTTGCCACATAGGAGGGTCTCGATCAATATCATTAAAAATTTGTTCACAGCGACGAATATCATGATGTAATATATAATAAAGTTCCTCGAATGCCATAATCTAAAATATTTAATAGTTTATGATGAATAGTTTTTTTCAAACTCTAGTCAATGGTTTAAATTCAGCTACTAATCCTGTCAAAAGAGTTCCATTAGGATCAGGTGATCGTTCACTTGCCAATTTTCCATAAGACATAGGGCCCTAAAAAACATTAAAGTGAATTAGATATAGAGATATGAAATTTTACGTGAGATAAATATATTCTAAATAAAGAATGAACTGAATTCCATAGTAAAAGCATAATAAAAGAATTAAACGTAGAAAAAAGAAGAAGCTTTATAGAAAATGGCCAGTAAGGAATAGAAGATTTTGGAATTCTTTAGGATAATTAATAATGAGTTAATAAAAAAGAATTAACTTACTTATATAACAGCAAGCGAAAAAATTGCAAAGTAAAAGATCGTATCCATCCTCTTAAAAAAAGATATACTAATGGACTAAAAAACGAAAATGTCAAGGAAACTAATGCAGAATATATTATAATTTTAACTATTTCAGATTTTACACGAACTGGAAGAATTTGCTAAAAATATTTTATTATATAAATTAAAAATACTATAAAATTTACTTACAACAAAAATAGGAAGCTCCATTTTATCCCAGTCATTTAAATTGTGGACAATAGAAACCACTAATCCTAAAGATAATCCATGAAAAACAAAATATATTGTTTTTTCATTTAATTGAGGTGAATAGACTCTATAGATATTTAATTGCATTCTTTGATAAATAAATAATTAATAATTACCCATAAGAAACAATAAACTGATTAAAAGATGCGGTGTTTTTCGTAGTCATATTTATCATAGTTACAAAAAAAGATGAAATAAGATAAATAAATGTTAATCTCAAAGCTTTAAAAGAAAACAATCTAAGATAGAATTCTGATATAAAAGACGGCTTTGTATGATAATCAACTTTAAAACATCAATATATATTTATGTATTTTTAACAATACTTTACCATGAAGATTAGCTTTTTTTGAAATAAAAAGTGGAAATACTGAAAACAAAAGAATTAACGCACGAAAGCCAATATATAACCAGGAAAGAGGTTTAAAAATGTCTGAAAATCTTAAAAACTTCTTTCTCTCAATAAAACTTACTAAACGTGTTGTCAATCATAATTGAAATAACATAAGATATTAAATAAGTTAAAAAAACTGCTTGAACAAATCGTCTTTGAAGTATACTTGAAGCAATAGCATGGTAATCAACAGGTTCTGATCGTATTGAGACTTTAGAAAAGGTATCTTTTATTGAAACCATAAATAAAAAAACTAATGTTAAAATATCGAGATTTAGAATATATTAAAAAATTACAAAATTATATTGTTAATATATAATTGAAGTGTATTTATAGTATATTCAATATATTCCTGCGTATTTTCATTTTCTATATGCCCTTTATTTAAAAACAATTCAAAATCAGGTGCATAATGATTGAAAAAATCGTGTTCAGGAATATCGTTTTGTATCTTTACACCCAAAATGACACTTGTAAGTAATGCATAGCATCTCGAAACAATTGTATTTTTATATCCACCTATATTTTATTTTTTTTTAAAGAAAAGAATATAAATTACCTCCTCCAAGTATTAAAAGCTTTTTTTTCCATTTTAATATATTTTCTAAACATAATACATAAGCTTGAGATGTTAAATTCCATTCTTTGTATGTATCTTCGAAAAGTCCTAATTATATTAAAAAAAAAAAAGTAAAAATCTAAAGTAATTTACCATCACATCCACATTGAATAACAATAACATCAGGGTTAAATTTTATAAAAGTTGGTTGAATAATATGATCAAATAAAAGTAGAAAATTTTCATCTGTTAATCCTTTTTTTAAAGGAACATTTAAAGCATAATATTTTCCTTTTCCTTTTCCAATTAGATCTAATGATCCTGTACCTTAAAAACTTAGCATAAAAACATTGGAATTTGTTTTATTTGCCTGGAAAAAAACCTGGATCATAGCGATGCAATGATAATGTAAGAACGTTTTTTGAATGCAAAAATGCTGACTCAACACCTAATATATTTTATAAAAAAAAACAAATCAAAAAAAAGAACCATCTCCTGCATGTAAATCCAAATCCAGGTACATTATTCGCTGATAATATTTCCGTAACTCCATTATGGAAAGAACAATATCATTTACATAACAAAATCCTGATCTAATATATATTAATAAATAAATAAATTTTATATATTTATTTTTTACGCTTTACTTCTTTTTGCATGATGCCTTCCACCATCCCAATGAATAGCAATGTCAAAAATATCATTTCCTAATAATCTTGCTGATGTTTGAGATGTTCCTGCTAAAAACTCAACATATTCTGGTAATTCTGGAAAAATAGGACAATCCTATTAATTAAATTAATAATAAGTAAAATATACAAACAAATAAACATAATCAAGGCCGAAAAGTGAAATTTCTTCCTCCAAATCACACTCAACATTTTCAGAATCCTCTTCTGATATATTATCATTTTCCTTTTTATAATCTTTTAAAAGATAAGATATATATTTATCATCATGAATTCCAGATAATGATGCAAAGCTTGCTTTTTCTGGAGTAATAATTCTTATACCATAAATATTAAATAACTCTTGTAAATAGACCTCACGCAAACTTATCAAACAAACCATAAGCCTTTATAAGACTATGAATGAATGAAGACCGATTTAAATTAGAAGGTAGTTTATTACACTTTTTTGTTAGACAGAATTAAAGATAATCAAATTCCTACAAGTTGTTCATAATATTCACTATAAGCATATCCTATTCTTTTCATAATTAAAAAACTTTTTTCTGTAATTTTATAAGTTTAATAACTTTATATAAAAATCAAACTATAAATAAAATAACAGAAAGAATTCTTACTACTAAAAAGAATATATGATTTTTTTGTTGTTTTTGCTGATATAAACTTAATTTGAAGTTTATATTTAAAAATCTAAATTATAAAATTCAAAATTTAAAAACTTTGAAAAAGTAAAAAAAAACAATAATGTAATATTTATAATTTATTTATTTTTGATGTTAGACTCTTTTTAAAAAGTAGTATTTTTATTTTAAATATTTTTATAAATTGCATGTTTTTAAAGTCGACCTTAAAAAAACCAAGTTTAATAAATTCTTAAAATCTTAAAGATTATGCCATTAACCCAGTCAAAAAAAGAATTAGCAAGAGAAACGATTGATAGTAGGAACCCTGTTTTTTTCTATATTTAATTAAGAATTAGTTTTGTATGAAATTTCAGTTATACTTAATACAGGTTTAGATAAAAATTGTCTTTCTTTATGCGTCAGTCTTTGTGAAAATGGAGTTAATCCGGAAGCATTAGCTGTAAGAATTTCTCTAATAATATCTATTTGTATTGAAAGGTTGAAGAATGTTATAAAAGAACTTAGAAAACATAAACTCGAATAATATTAATGTATATATCGGAAATAAATATTAAATGATAATGTAATAAATTAATTTTATTTTTGTTGTGTTGAAATATTTGAATATTAAAAACCTGCTCTACGTTGTTTGGTTTTAATTTTTTTAAATGGTTGAGATAAGGATTTTTGATCGGTTAAATCGTTTTTTTCGGATGTTTGAATGGTTAATAGTGAAGGTGTCGACATAAGTTTAGGAGGAGCAGAAGATATTTGTTCGTATAAAAATTCTGTATTAATTGAAGTTTTATTAAATGGTTGCCATTCGTATAAATTGGGATTTATGCCTATTTTCCATTCATCAAGAAGCGAAGAGATGTCTTCTGAGATTATATCATTTTGAATTATCTCAAAGTTATCGTCAAATAAGCAATTATTTAAAGATTTTCTTTTTGATTTTATGAATGATTCTGGAGGTTTTAATCCTATAGATGATATACCTAATTCTATTGAAATATCTTTAAAAAGCTTATAAATATGCTCTCTATGGTATTTGGGGGAATTGTTCTGATCATAAGTATCTAACCAGTGTTTTATTAATGTATCATAGATATTTTTGAAATTCCAATTATCTGATTCAAGATCAAAGTCAATAATTCCTAATAATTTTTGAGATTTTGGAATAAGAGAATATATTTCCCATCCATTTTCAATATAGTCTTGAAAAATCTTTTTTAAATATAAAAAAATTTCATCAAAATTAGTTTCTTTGGATGGTGCATAGATATCTCTTCTAAATATATTTAATTAAGGAAGTATTTAAAAAATGATCCATACAGTATTAGTATTTCACAATTTTCTGATGGTTTACCTTTTTTATTCTGGCTTTCTAAAAGGAATTTTCTAAAAACGAAGTCGTTTATGTGTGTTATTTGATTATACAAATTAGAAAAATCTACTAGCCTAAAGTCCCTCTCAAAAATTGATCTCTCCATTTCTTTATTTTCTTCTATGCTTTCATTTTCTGAAGAATTATCTATGTATTTATTACTTTTCTTAACAGAATGTAAAGATTTATGATTGCAAAAAGTATAATTGATATCATCATCTGCATAATAATATATTTGAGATATTATATTTTTTTTTGAAACTAATGAATAAAGCTTTAAAAAAAAATGGTCATCTAAGTCTTTTTTTCTAAACTTATTGTCATGTTTGTTTAAAGGACAAATAATAGACGTCATAGATGTGCTTCGGGAATTCGGTAATTCATAAGGAAGAGTTGATGAAAATGCAAGACTTCCTTTTAATTCAAACTGATAGCATGATTTAATTGGATTGATGTTGGAATATAAAATTAAATTGAAATCTATTTTTAAGTTAAAAGATTAATCTAAAACAATAAGGAGTTTACTCCTTATAGAATCATCTATAATGAACTTTAATGATGGATCGTAACTACGATAATGTTTCCATGATAAGAGAGGTTTTTCAGGTTGGCGTTCATCTAACCAATATATTTCAGAAGTAGAAAGAATAAAAAAATCGTTTGAATTTTGTGAAATTTTGCAAAAATCAAGAATATTCTGAGAACTTTGTAAAGAATATAATGAATTTTGATTTGAAGGTATCTAAAATATTGAAAAAAAAATATTTAAAAAAATAACCTACTCTGAGATCAAACAATTTAACCTCATAACGTCCCGATACAATTATAGATCTTGGAGAAGATGCCCAGTCTATTTTCCACCAGCCATCAGTTTCTTTGATATTTGTCAAAATATTTGAAGAAGATTGTTCAATTGTTCTGTATCGTCCTTCAATATCCCAAAGACTCCATTGTCCTTTTCTATTAATTACTACTAACTCTCTTTTATTAAAAAAGTCAAAAATAACATCTGAATGTTCGCAATTTCCAGTATCATTATTTTCTATTATTACTAAAGGAATTGAATTAATATATGTATTTTTAATAGATGTTTGTTCTGAAGGATTATGAATTAATTCAAATAGAGTGCTTGATGTATGGTTTCTAATTAATAAGTGTCCTTATATATTAATTTAAAGATATGCCAATAGGAAATTTTCTTACTACTATTATTTATAGAATTACCTGAAATTTGCCTAATAGGTGTTTGTGATGTAAATACCGAGTCAATTATCTCTGAAATTTTTGGAACTTTTAAGCTTTTTTTAATATCATCTCGACAGTAAATTGTTGTATTGTGATTTTTTATAGTTGCCAATGCTATAATATATTAATAAATTCTAACATTATAGAATAAAAATAAACAAAGATTCATAGAATTTACTCCAGATACAAATCCGAGCATTTTAGATGATATATTTCTACTTTCTGGGTTCCAAAATTGGCATTCTGTAAGACATTTTCCACGAAGAGGATCATGAAGGATATATGTTGATGTAATAATATTAGATTCCTTAATCCATGGTTTTAAAATATCCTGAGGAACCCATATATCTGGATAATTTGCTCTTAAATACTTTTCCTTGATAATTTAGTTTTAAATTATATTAAGATAGAATTATCCACTTGCATAGTTCTAGATGGTTGGATCAAAGATTCTTCTAAAAAAAACATAGACCCGTCATATTCTAACATATTCTCTCCAAGTGCTTTCAAATGAGGACCTTTTTCCTTGTTAAATAAGAAAATATTATGTTTTTTAAGATTAAAAAACCTAATTTATTTTTAACAAAACTCCATTTTGATTTTATATTTTCAGGTGAATAAAGAGCTGCACCAAGGCTTCCATATGAAAGAGAAATATGTGTTTCTGATGCACTTAATGGCCAATTAGACATATAATATTGTTATAAAAAAGTTAAATATTTTTGAATCGTCTGAATATTAAATATGAAGTATTAAATAAACCTTTTTCATGAATTGTTAGAAAAATTTCTATATTATTAACAATATATGAAAAAACATAACATTAGAAAACAATAAATTTAATAAGATTAAAAATTATATATATTTAATGATAAGTTCTATTAAGATAAATATTTAAAATATGATTAAAAAAAATATATTAAAGATGAACAAATAAAATTATAGTTATACAACATACATATCTTAAAATAACACCAAATGCATAAAAAAATGAAGAATGTTATGATATAAAACATAATCCATAATTGAATGAAGGGTATAATTTAAGGTGTATTGAAAGAGAATACACCTGTTCTAAGTCCCAAAAGAGCACGAACATCCAAGACATATCTTAAACCATATAGAAAAGGGATCAAATGCAACAAATTTTTATCAGAAGGATCGCTGATCCAACCTTCAATAGGAATGGCATTATCTAATTAAAGTTAAAAGTAAAAAAAAAATGAAAAAGAATAAACCTTCATGCATAGAATAACTTATAGGAGAATTATCAATAATGATTACTTTGGAAAGGTCAGGATGTACAATTGATAAGTCTTTGATATATGAACCGTTACGAAATGTGCAATGTTGACGATAAAATCGAGCTTTAAAGAATTTGCGGTCCTTTTCCAGCCAATCAATAACCGGGTCCGCATATTCTTGGACAGATGCCGTAAAAATAACAACATTATACCATTTACTAACCTATAGATAATAAATAAGATACAATAAATAGAGCAAAACTACCTTTTTTAGAAAATTATCACAATGTGGACGTTTATGTACATAATACAAAATAGCATGCTTCCCTAACATTACTTCTACCATATGTCCCGTAGCAATTCTTCCGCCTTTCACCAAAGAGTGAATCAATGTTTCGTCAAGATCCAAAATAAGAGTCTTCGGCATTAATGTTTTTGGAAATAAAGGACGTGGTATAGATGTATGTAAAAATTCTGACCACTGAGACATATCTATAATCATTGATGATGATGGAGATTTGAGATTATCTTTGTCAATAACATCTTTATTATAAAGCATAAAATGAATTAAGTTAGAAGATGAATCTTGATTATGGAAAAGTAGGGAATTCTCTGCTTGAGAAGCAAATAATTGTGTCGATAATTGAGTATTAGATGAATCACGTGATGATTTAAAGTCAGAACATCCTGGGCAAAAGTCAGATTTTTCAAAAATAAGTAATAACATAGTAATACAATAAATAAAAACTTACCTTTATATGGAAACTCTGACATAAATGATGATTTAATTAGTTTTTTCCCATTTGAAATCCAAAAATATGGAAATAAGAAAAAATAAACCGCAATATTTAACCAAGATCGGGATGATGTATCTTCACGTTCTTTAAAGAATTCCTTTTTCATGAAATATATATATATATAAACCCCTTTTAGCTTACTCCATAGATACAAAACAAGAGAGTTAATATAAACAATGAAACATGTCAAAAATCCCCAAAAATAAACTTTTTTTTCTGATGATTTCGATTCTTTTTTTAACTCCCTATCAAATATCCCATTTTCTTTAGATCCACGCCTCATATACAGAGAAATTCTTTCGAAATCCGATACAACCGGTTTTACATCAATCGCTGTTCCCAAACGAAATTTATTAAAAAGAATAAGGAAAATACGGAAAGATTTCATCACTTTATCATAACAATGGAAATATTATAAAATATATATCGTTTATCTTAATAAAATAAATTAAATTTAGTCTTTTTCATGATTTATTTCTTTTGATTTAACATAAACCTTTGTAAATGAAATCCCTAAACCATCAACTCAATAAAAACTTATATTTTAAAAAAAAGGATACCTTAAAGACCCTTTAATTATATCTTAAATCTAAAAATGCCTTTTTGATATTAATTTAAGTATTTCTTTATTTTGAAAGGGTTTAAACGAGATGAATAGTTTCTCAGAAAAAAAGGTATTTACGCATATTTAAAAAAATTAGGGTTAAAAGATATCTATATTTTAAGATTTTAATGGATCATTTTATAGAAATCTATGAATTTAATATTGTTTTAATAGAATAGATTAATAGAATAAATAATTTTTATAAATTGCATGAAAGTATATTTTTTAAAAAAAGAAGAATTTATAGTTTAATGTAATAAAATTTAATAATATTTATTAAATGTAGTTTAAAAATATTTTTTAATTAGTTTGATGTTTAATTTTTAATAGAAAGTTAAAATTTTAATAATTCTTTATAGAAGCTAAGTCTATATTTTATAATATAATTTTAAAAAGATTGAAATATTTGCATAAATTGTTGAAGAGTTTTAAAAAAAAAAGATATATATAAATAATAAGTATCTATATGTGAGTATCCGAAAGATTGAATAGTTTTGAAACATATTTTTTTGCTTCTTGAAAAATATTTTCAATGGTAGTATGAATAATATTTTCTTTATGCTGATTTTTTTTTAAAATAAGTATTATGTGTTTTTCTTTAACATGTAAGTAACAAACCCAGAAATTTTTAGATGTTTTTAAAATATAATCATTTATTTTGTTGCCATTTTTTGAGTTTTTTATTTTATCAAAAATTGATAATGCGTGCGAGTGTATATGTAATATATCTTCAGTTGAAAGATTTTTTTCTACTTGTAAATAATCTTCGTTTTTTTTTGAATATGGTACATTAGTATACAATTCTTGTGTATTAGGATCAAATATTATATGCCAGAAAAAAGAATTAAAATTCTCAAAAGATTCAGCAAAATAAGTCTCAATATCTATTGCAATCTTTTCTAAACAGCATTGAAGATTTGTGTAGAATATCTTATTTCTAATAAATATTTTTTCTGAATTCTCTGTATTAATATTTTGACCTTTAAGAGCAATTAGATAAACAAAAGGATATGAATAATATACAGAAACAGATATATATTGAGGATCAGATTCATAATTTAAATTCAATACTTTAAGATCAAAATCATTAGCTGATTTAGGATTATTTAACGATGAATTTATATTCTGATTTATTTGATTATCTCCAATATATAGTTTTTTCTCGGAAAGTATAGAATCAGAATTATGTTTTTCTATAAAACCATAAATAAAATCTCCTAAACCACTATTATATTTAAAAAATATATTATTATCTTCAGAACAATAATTATATAAACATGGTCGTTTTTTTGAAACAGAATGTAGATTATTTCGAACGAAAACAGATGAAATATAGCTACTTATATTAGCTGATATTGACGAAAGAGTAAAAAAGTTTGAAAGCTTCCATAAAGATATTGATGAATTAGAGTTATTGTTCAAAAATTCAACAGATGGATCTGATACTGATAACGTAGTTTTTTCCTAGATTTTTTAATATCAAGAATTAGTAAATAGTTATACAGACATTTTTGTCTCGATTGTTTCTAAAATTATCTTGATCATTCTTTTTATTTATATCAACTTTATTAATAAGCTCTTTAATTTGATGCTGAAGCCATTTATCCAGAATTTTTATAGTATTCTTTGGTATAGTACCATCACCTGAGTAAAGACAACCTTCATTATGTTTATGATAGTTGAAAATAGGAGAAACTGATGATATAATTAAATCAATAATACGTTCGTTACTTGCTTTTAAATCATTTATGTTCTTATTTATTTTTTCTTTTAATCTAAAGTCGGGTGTAATAAAGCCCATATTAATTGCTATATTTTTTTTATTAGTAAAATTATTCTAGATTAATATAAAATTACCACTATATAAAATAGATGGATCATTAACAGTAACATCCAAATTCCTAACCCATTTTTGCCACCATTCATTTAGTTGACTTTCTAAAATTTTGCGGCCATCTTTTTGCAATGTATAATCTAATAATCCATATACTAGTCGATATTGCTCGTATGCCTGGTATAAATAATTAAATAATACTGTGAAAGGTGGAAAAAATATATGATTTTTCCTTAAAAATTTAGAAAAAAACGACTTTAACCGTTAAAAAATCTTAAATATAATATTTAACTTACTGCAGCAATATACCATCCATTTTCTACTTCTATAACAATAATTACATGATTTTTTGATTGTATATATTCATTAGAAACCTTTTTTCCGAAATTTCTATGAATATATTAATTATAAAAAATAATTTAAAATAAAAATTACAAAGAAAACTCCATTATCCCTTGAATTAATCCAATATTACGCTGTTGATCATTTAATGAAATGTATGTTTCTGAAATAAAAAATAAAATTTGATTATGTAAAGATCCTTCTGATATGCCAAATGAAGGATTAAAAATACATAAATATGAAAGAGGACATTTTTCTGATGAAATAAAATTAATATTTGTCATCTTTCGAATAAATATTGATTATTTTTATTTAAAGTTTTCTTTAAAAAGTGTTTTTAAAAAAAAATAATAAATCTTATAGTTATATAATCAAGAAACTTTATTTTTATAATAAAAAATCTAATATTTTTATCTATTAATTATACATTAAAATATATAAATCTTAATGATTTTTAAAGGATTTTTTAATAAAAGATAATTATAATGACATTATTGGAAATATATTCATTCAATAGTTTTTATTGATTAATTTTTCAATATGTTATTTTATGCTTTTTTAAAAATTTTAAAAAAAACATATCAAAGAAGATATTTTACAGAATCAATATATCTTAAAAGAGAACCTCTTCGTATTTTGTTTTTTGGTAATGATAATTTCAGTACTTTTTCACTTTTATCACTTATTTCATTATTTCAATCAAATAAAACAATATTAGAAAAATTGGAAGTTGCAACATTATCTGATATGAAAATAGGAAGAAGACATAAGATTTTATATAAAAGTAGTCTATTCTATTGTTTGTTTTATATATTTTAAAAAAACTAATTATGATTAGCACCTGTAAAATTATTAGCTTTAGAGCATGATCTTAAAATTCATGAAATAGAAAATGGAAATATGGAAAAAATTAATGTATAATATATATAATTTAGAAATTAAAATGAGTATATTTCTAATTTATAATAGAATATTATTTATGATGATAGAGAAATGTTTAATCTTGCTATTACAGCTTCATTTGGACATTTGATACCTTCATCATTTTTAAAAAATCTAAAATTTGGAGGAATAAATATACATCCGTCATTACTTCCAAGGTTACAATCATTTTTGTTTATTTTTTTGGTGGAATTAATTATTTAAAGATATAAAGGACCAGCACCATTACACCATACACTATTAAATAGAGATAAATATACAGGAGTGACTATTCAAACATTATATCCAGATAAATTTGATGAGGGAAGAATAATAAGCATATCAGAATTATATGAAATTGAAAAACATGAAACACTTGAAAGTTTATCTGAAAAACTTTCTAAAATAGGCGCTAATTTATTAATACAAGTACTTTTAAAACAGGAATATTTGAACATTAATATGAATATACAAAATCTTTATGAACCATCTTATGCAAAAAAAATGAATAAAGAAAATCAAGTAATTAAATGGAATATCTGGGATTCAGATGAAATTGAATTAAGAAGTCGTATATTTGGAAAATTAAAATGTAAATTTAAATCATCAAATAAAACAGTAATTTTAAGCAATATTCAAATAATTAATGATACAGAAGAAAGAATTTATGGTTGTCCTGGTTTATATACATATTCTAAAGATGGATTATTTGTAAGATGTCTTGATGGACGTAATCTTAAGATTGGTAAAATTAAAATTGAAGGGAAAAATTGGATAGATGGTAAAGAATGGTCAAAAACATGTTTAAAAGGGAAAAATGGCTATTTTGTATAATAAAGAATATAATTAAGAATTTATGAAATGATAGAATAAACGCATTTACATGTATTTTAATTATTTTATATTACATTAAAAAAATATTAATTTCATCTGAATTCTTTCTTTTGGGACTAATTTAGAAAGATCATATTTGTTTCCAAAAAATATATTTTAATTAAAAATATATCTTTTATATAATCATTTGATTTTTTTATATTTTAATTCCAAATATTATAAAAAGCTGTATTAAATAATGTCTGAAATTACTCAACAATTAGATCCTGGAATCTGATAAAAGCTTATCTAATAAAATTTAATTATATTTAAATTTTATTTTTTTCTAAAATGTCAAAAATTTATAGATTCAATAATAGATATTTATTAATGAAAAAAATAAAGTATATTAATCAAACGATCTTTTTTAAAATCAAATAGAAATGATAAAATAAATTAAAATGAATTTTTTAAATGATTTTTATAAAATATTTTAAAAATATAACATTTCAAAATATAAATATTTATATTTCAAATGGTATTAATATTCAATAAAAATAGAAACTATTTCAATGCAAAATCTATGCCATTTAAATTTATGATTGACGAAAATTAACATCCCCATTCTGCGTTATATAACGTACCCAAGGTAATGCTGTATATTGAAGTTTTGGTTCAACAACCTAAAAAAATTTATTAAAAAAATTATAAAAAAGGATCATATTCACTTTTAAGTATCTTACTTGAATTCCAGAGACAGTAAAATACGGGATTTCGAATTTAACAGTTATAGGTTTTTTTTTAGTATTTATTTCAACTATTAGAGAATTAATAAAACAAATTTACTAGAAGTAAATACCTCTTTTAACACTAGGCAATCCGAGTTCAGCTCTCATTAAATATTCTTGACCCCCGGAAAGTTGTTTAATTTTCCATATAATAGCCGATTTCTCAGGAGCATAAACCACATTTCCAATTGAAGTACAAAAACGAGGGGAATCAGCATCATCTGGGACAGGAATAATAATTTCAACATTATTTGATGAAGACTTTCGTTTAAATTGCGATTTAAGCTATAGGTTTAAAATATTAGAAAATTAAAAATCATAAATCTTATAAACCTTAATTGCAATTTCTATCCTAGATCCAGAATGATTTTCAAACATAGATTCTATCCATATAAGAGGTTTTACCTAGATTGGAGTTAAAAATGATATTTAATTTATTATATCTAACTTGAGTATTCATACGATAATTCATTAACTCAAATTCTCCATCAGGAGGAATAAACGAAATTATCCGATCATTATTAAATCTAGACAACTGCACGCATTGATGAAATTTTATATCTTCTATCTCAACAGCTTTGCCTCTTGATATTCGACCAGTATTTTCAAACATAACTTTATCATTTAAACCCAAACGAAGTTCAGGCATTCCAGAAAGATAACATTTCATTTTTATTACACCAACTATTTCATTCATTACAATATTCCCATTAGAATTTATCTTTATGTAATTAACTTGAATGATAAAAAGGTCTTTTATTACCAATAAATTCAAAGATTCCACAACATCTAAAAAAATTTCGTTTTTTCTATATTTAATTCCTTGAGAACGCCATGAAATAGGATTAGTAATAGCAATAGGAGGTAAAGTCATAACTTCCAATTTATGGCTTTCTTGTGTAATATATCTAATAATTATTAACCCTTTTTCATATAAATTATTAAAAAATAAATACTCTTGTAAAATTTTCGTCTCTGTTATCTGAGGATAACCAAAATCCATCATTTCATCCAAAAGCTCATATATAATAACAAAATTATCGCGTATGGATTCTTCTTCAAGAACTTTAAAGTATTCCGTAAACACCTAAAACATTTCTTCAGAAATCTCTGTAAAAACAAAAATATTGAAATACTTCTATAATTTTATGAAGAAAAAGCAATAATTCTGCTGCATTAGAGTTTTTTCTTGTTAACATAAGTATATATAAATTATTATGACGAACATATAAATGCTAAAGATTTAAGATTCCCTCTTTATATCATATAAAAAAATAAATTACATGAACACCATCATATGTAAAACACGGAGTTGCAGGAATTGTATCATCTGATTCTGAGATTAAAGATAGAAATCTTTCGACATAAATCAAAGGAATATCTCCTCTATAATCGCGAGATATCAATATCTTTCCTTTTAAATCCAAAAAATATATAGAGGATGCCATTTCTTCAATATTTTTTTAAATATAAAATATAGCCCTATTTTTATCAGTTTTTTAGAAAAAAAAAAAAGAAACCAGTATTATTCCTTACAATAAAAACAGTAAAAACTCTTAAAGTACTTTATCCTAAACTATACACTGTCTTTTTTGAAAATCAAGTTTTACATCTTTTTTTAAGGTTCGATACACCTTAAATAATTTAACATACGAACTTTTTATAAAAACCCTCAAAAAAAATAATGTACGTTTTCTGTCCAATTGATGAGTAAAAAAGAAGAAAATAAGTATCTATCAGACTCGGATGGCTTAGATGAACCTCCTCCTCTTCCTGATGAACCTATTCCTGAGACTATTCCAGTTTTAAATACCACAAAAGCCTATATCAATAAGTCTAGATTGACAGAGAATTTAAATCAAGAAGAATCGGGTTTAATTTCATCTTTAGAGAAGGATTCAATTTTATCAGAGAATTGTAAGGGTTCTTTGCCAGTTGAAGATGGTTGGAAAGCTATTTTTGATCCCCAAACTCGATCATATTACTTTTGGAATTCAAAAACAAATGAAACTACGTGGAAAAATCCACGTGCACCAGAAGATACATCAAATGATCCGAGGAAATTAGAGGATCGTATTCAGGAGATGGCATCAGAACGTTCTCACCCATATAAAGAATATGTATTTACGGCACGATTCAACCGTATGACGGGAAAATGGCAAAATGATCCAAATAAAATACCGGAAAACTTTACAGAAGATGCAAGAGCATTGCGACAACAATCTTTTTACTTTGATGTTGAAGGAACAGCAGCAGCACATGATGGACGTAGTTTTCTTGAAGAAAGGCGGCAAAAAAGACTTACTAAAAAGGAACTAGCACTTTATAAGAAACAAAACAAGAAGAAAAAGGAACAGAGGAAAAGAGAATGGCTTCTTGAGGATTAATATAACAATTTATTTATTTTTATATCATTATCAAAAAATATCATTATTTTACAAAGTTTTTTCAAAAACATATTCTAAAATTACAAGGTTACTCAATGGTTTAAAATGTATAATATTCTTACCACCTTCTATCTACTTTATTTCTTATTTTATTTTAGATGTTTACTTTTATGATTCATTAAACACACAGAAATCAACATATTTTAACACAGGAAATCTATAAATTCTTTTTTTTTCATTTGAAGCTATTATATAATATATATTTTTCTAAGATATTTAAAATAATTATTTTTCAAATTATAACTATCGAACAAACTTCAAATGTTTTGTAGAACAGGAAAAAAGTCGCAAAAAGCATGATTCAGATGAATGAAATTAGCACTGAATCCTCGGAATTTAATGAAGAACTATATAAAGATAAACAGGATGTTTTTGAGGAATTTTTTATAGCATCACGCTTTGGAGATTTGGAAACTATTAAGACACTTAAATTATCTCCAATTGATTTATTTCAGAAAGATAATAATGGTAATACAGCTTTGCATATTGCATCAGCAAACGGACATATAGGTATAAAATGTAATTTTTTTTTATAAGAATATAATTTAAAGGTATAGAAATTGTCCGATTTTTACTTTCTCAATATCCTAAGATAAATAATGGATTTGACTACCTTTCAATTAAGAATCACTCTGGAAATACACCCCTTCATTGGGCAGCAATGAACGGGCATGACAAAATAGTTTGTGAACTTGTAAAATGCGGAGCAAATCTACATGTTCGGAATAACGCACAAAAGACGCCGCTATGGGAGGCGGAATTTCATGGTAAAACAAAAGTTGTTACATGGCTTCTTGAACATACAGATCTTGTGCCAAATGATGATAATGATACTGAAGAATATTAAAGAAATAATACAAAACGTCTAACAATATATTAATTAATAGGAAGTCAATATAAACATATTGTGCAATAAGCTAATAAAAACATAAATTTTATTTCAAAAAGTTGTTTAAAGACCCAAGATTTTCCGAACATTTTGACGGACAATTCTATCATACTCACTACGATTTGTGCGCCAGATTTTCTATTTCAGTTATAAATATATTCATTTTATAATCAGAATGATCATACACAAGCATCAATATTAGCACCGCTTTCATCATTAGGTTCTATTTGTTGCAACTATATTAAAACGATCTACACATATCAACTAATAGCTTACCTGCAAGCATTGACATAACACTCAAAAGAATTTTTTCAACGCTTTGTACGGGTGACCATCGTTCGGATGATGATTCATACATATTTGGATCATCTCCAGGTGCATGTAAAATTGAAATACAGACAGTTCCATCTGGATAAACATTTGGGTGAAACATTTCACATGTAAATTTCATAACAGGAGGGTTTAAAGGGTAGTCCTTTGATAATTAATCATTGATTATCTATCAACAACTTTTTTCACCCTTGGAAACTTTAAGACAGCCGGAAAAAGACCTCCCTATAGACAGAGTATTAATAACGGAAAAATACATGCATTATATTTAACGAAATTTACCTCGAAAGGTGTATCTTGGGGTCCTTCTAATAAACATTCCCATTCGAAAAAATTGTTCTCATTCATAGGTCCTATTAACAGTTAGAAACGGGTATTTTTAAGATAAAAAATAACCTGCCATGATTCCGTGAGGAGCATTTGATATTAATTCTTTGTATTCTGTGAAAAGACGACGCAAAGCAGTAGACGTCATATTATGTTTTCACTTTCGATCGTCCGGGTATTAAGTCCGATCAAATAAAATCAGTCAAAAAATGGACTATTTTTTTGATTAAAAAAAGCATTAATATGTATGATAAACATAAGCTTTCCTTTTAAAATTCTTTTCTATGTAAAATAAACATCATTTATATTTTTAGATATTTAAATATATTTTTTAAATATAAACAATTCAAATTAATATGATTTTCTAATAGAAAAATATGGTTATATGAATTAATTTTGTAAAATAACAAATCAAAATAATTATTTAATTTCAAAAAAAAATGGATTTTTTTAAAATTAAAATTTAGAGAATATAAAAAATTAATTTTAATTTTTCCTTAAAAAAAACTTAAATTTCATTAAAAGTTTATATTTTTTGAAAAAATATGGAAATATCTTTATGAATCTAATTATTGGTGCTAGTAATTTATAATATACATGGAAACTGTATTCATGATATTTTTCTAATTTATTTTCTATAAATAAAATTGATTAATATAAAATCATTTATATTACTTATAAATATAGTATCTTCCCACAAAATTAGTTTTGGATTAATCATTATGAAAAAGTGGATATTAAGATGATATATGAGTTTTAAATGTTATATTTAACGAATTTCTTGTTTGCTTTTGGCTTTTTATAATATATTATATAGACTTTTGAATATAATCAATAAAAACTTTTATTATTAGATATTTAAACTGTTAAAGTGCATTAAGAATATATAGTTAATTTAATTTTCCTATATTAAATATCTTTAAAATCTAGTAAAATATCAATATAAACATTCTATTTATAAAAAAAATTTAAAAAATATATAAATTTACATTAAAAAATTCAATATATAAAAATATATTAGAATAAAAATAAATACACAACTTAATTTATTATAATCATAGTATAAAACATTACTATGTCTCTCATTTTCATATTAATTTTAAATATGTATTATCTTTTATTTTAAAAACTTAAATGAAACATTATATTGTAAATTGTATAACCCTAAGATAACTCTTAAATTTTTAAAAATTATATTAAAATATAAAAATTGTTAACGTTTTTACATTTCATATATTCGTTTTTTCATAATTTATATATAAGATTCTTATTAAGATAAGACTTTATGTCGAACGAAGATTTCTTTAAAGACTCTGATCAAGAAAATACACTAAAAGATCTTTTATCATTTGATTTATGTAAAGAATTAAATAAAGAGGCTCTTTTAAAGGAAGATTTTTCTGTAGATGATTTTTTAAAAAAAATATACAAATTTCATACACTTGAAGATTTACAAATTAAATTAAAGGAAGTATTGAAATCTACTGAAAAAGAGATTTTTACATTAATTTATAATGAATATAATAATTTCTTCAAAATTACATGTGATATTCTTGAAAATGAAAATAAAATAATTGATTTATTAGTTCGTTTAACAAAATTTAAAAATGAAGTTCAAGTATTTTAAAATATTTGAACAGAAACTCTTCTTATTCATACTATAGGAAATATATAAAGTGATTCAACAAAATGTTGTAAATATGGATGAAGAATTACATAAGAAAAAAGAACTTTATAGAAGAAAAGTGGTAAAATGTAGAAAAATATAAAATTTATTTATTTTTAACAGGTACTTGCAACAAATCTGTTAAATGTTAACATGATGATCGAAGATATGGAAAATCTTCTGTGTACAGATTCAGAGAAATTTGACGGGTACGTATTTTCTATATATAATTTGTTAAAATTAATGCAATCAAGCGCTGACATAATAATTTTGCAACAAGCAGCAAAATCTTATATATCACTTAAATATTATTCCTCACTTGTTCCATCACAGCATCCATTTATAGAAAAAAGAAAAGAAAAAATTCAAAATGTACAAAACAATTTTTTCAATTGTTTAGCTTCAGCCCTTCATAAATATAGGGAAAATGCTTTACAGATAGAAAACTTGTTAAAAGTTCTTCAAATATATAGAGAGATTGATGCATCAGCAGAAGCATGTCATCAGTTGTATAAAATAAAATAAAAGATTATTTTATAAAATTGAATATGGATCTAATACGATTCCCATGCCATGAGACGAAGACAAAACTATTTCAGCGATAGGTGATTTCTTTTTCATTGTATCTTTTTTTCTAATAACTTTAATATGTTCAAGAAATAAAAGTAAATTGGAACGTATTTCCGAATCAGTAAAATGTGCCTATTGAGGATTTACAAATATTTTATAAATATATTTCTACATACTTTTCCTATTGGTACCCGAATTACTCCATCTTTTTCTTGAAAATGTATACAATTCATTTTCATTTTAACAGCTTTACCTATTTCACTACAAATAGTACCATTTTTAACATTTGGCATCCAACGCTTTGAACCTGGGACTCCTGAGACTTTCTCAAGAAGATAAGAAGAGTCTTTGTGAGCAAGACATGTATCAAAATTAATATGACCTTCTAAAATCTAAACTAGCTTTTAGCATATTTTTTAGAAAAAATAATGCTACATTTTTAATAACATCATCAGAACCAGCAATAATTGCACCAGAATCTATTGCTTCCTGTGCATGATCACCCTCTGCAATCACACAGATTCTAAGTTGACGTCTGATGGGAAATGGAAGCTCCAATTGACCTTTTAAAGGCGACGTTCGTTTTTTTCGGAATAAACGAAGATGAACTTCGATTGTTGATGATTTATGAGGCCATCCTACTTCAGATGCTCGAAGATATCGTAATGCTAAAGGAAATGAAAGTACGTTAGACATATATCTTAATACAGAATCTTGTCTGCATTGTTCTGTTGATTTTTCCCGGAAAAAAAAGAGTAAATAACTAATACTAGGAAAATTATGTGTTCTATTTATTTTTAAGAGCAAATTTTTCATAATTTATACCAATAAGACTACCTCCTTTAGTCCTGAAATTCTTCTACTTTTAAATCTGACGTTTCCAAGTTGACCTGGCAACGTCATCGTTTAACAAGCTTTATTTGAGAAGTTCTGTTTAACCAAAAATCTTTAAAAAAACCTCTTTTTTCAATAATTTTACATTAAATCAATATTTAGTAGACAATAACTTATATTATGTCTCAAGAAAAAAAACATCAGCTTAAGACAGCGGAAGAAGAAGAGGAAACAAATGATTATGGTACATCTATTCTGTCTTATAATACTCAATGGGCACAGCTTGAAAACCAAGAAAAACAACGATTAAAGTAAGTTTTATATTTCTTTTAAGGATTACTAATATAAGTTTTCCTTCTTTAGAATTTTACTGGATAGTTTTAACGAAGATCAAATGAGACGGTACGAAATCTTTCGTCGAGCAAATATTGATAAGCCAAGCCTTAGAAAGGTCTTTTTTAAATTATATATATATTATAAAACTAAAAAACTAGAAAGATGGTGAATTGTATCTTAAATCAAAGTATTACACCAAATATTTGTATTGTTATTTCTGGATTTGTTAAAGTATTTATTGGAGAAATTGTTGAAAAAGGTTATTTATATTCATTTAAAAGACGCGACTTATATTCTAAAGCACTGGATATTCAAAAAAAATGGGGACATTCAGGGCCATTGGCACCAAAACATTTGAGAGAAGCGTATCGGTTGTATAAACAAGAAACTAAACGAATACCGCAAAACAGAGTAAATAGGTGTTTATTTCGATAATCTATTCTAGGAAGAATGATAGATATTAGTGCTGCAGTAAAAAAAGTTGAGAAGATAAAGAAAAATTGATAAAACAATATTCAAATAAACAAAATTCAATATATCAGCCAATTTCATAGTAAAACTAGATAAATACTCATTAAATGAAGCTGTTCTATATACAGAAACAATATGTATAATTATTAGTAATATAAGCAATATAGATACATTGCTAAATGTATCAATTTAATATATTTCTGACTATTCATATATATTTCTGGACAAGAACTGCATTTAATAATCCAGCGTCTTTTAGAGTTAATGATTTATTCAGATATTCTTTATTAGGAAAAATAGTTTGCAATATATAATCACGTGAGTCATTAGTTATTCTGTTTCTATAAAAATAAGATACATATTTAGATTCAAGAAACCTTACGCATTCATAAAATCATAAATATCTCCAATTGTATGGGTTAAATTAAATCTTACTGTATGTTTTGAGCCATCCCCAAACCGAATCTGTAATGTTGTAGTAGGAGACATTTCATTAACTGTATGTTTATAAATAATGTCTCTACTACCATTTTTGGCATCTTCAGGCCACTTTGAAGGTGCGGAGTTAATAATTTTTGGTGTTGGACTTAAAAAGTTATAAAATAATAATTAGCAAAAACATTGTCTAACCTTCCTAATCTTTGTCCCATTCCGGAAAATGGAACATACTTTTTTGAAGATTTGTACTCTTTATCCATCATTTTTTGGACCCTTAAATCTACTTCTTGTCCCACTTCTACATTTAATAATGATAATGGTGCATGTCTACTAAATATAAACATCGTATGCTTTATAATTTATTAATTATACCCAGAATTAATCAACTGAAGATTCTCCGTATTTGAAGGATCGTCATATCTCATTAAAGGACCATCATCAATTGTAAATCCATCTTTCCAAAATATTAAATCTCGTGTAGCTTTTGGTGGAGGTAAATGAACATTTAATGTCGTAGGATCTGGGATCTTACGCGACTCTTCATTTTCACCGCCAAGAACATAACCTAAAAATATTTAAAAACAAATTAATGATTCTTAAAAAAAATCTTAACCTGTTCCTGAAAATTTAAAAACTGTAGATGATGGAACTGGCTCATCTTGCTCTCTATAACTATTTCTACCTAAAAGTCATATTCAAATAATAACAACTATATATACTTTGAAGCTTTTTTTAAAATTTCCTTAATAATATTACTTTTATCTTTCTCTGGATGTTGAATATAAACTGCACTATTCCAATAAAAAAAATATATAAAAAAAATATAAATATACGATTTTTCTCCTCCTGAATATAAATTTTTTTGGGCTTCATCTTCTGAATCAGATTCTTTATCATAAATATCATCAAGTGTCTTAAAATTAGAGTTATTTTTTCTATTTATCATAAATTCTTGAAAAAAAAATAAAAAAAAATGTATAAGACTTTTCTAAATTACTATGCGATTCTTTTTTATGTATTTTCTCATCTGAATTCTTATAATTTTCTAAATAATTCATAACTGTTTCCTGGTTTCTTTTCAATTTTAAATATATAAAATTTTTAAAAAAATACAGATAAATTCCATTCATTAGATTCTAATAGAAATACAGCATTTTCTCTTGTACTGTTTGTAATTTCTATGACTTGTTCTATCATTTTTTCTTTATCCTTCTGAGAAAGGTTCATTTTTGGACAGCTTTTTACGATCAAGCTCTACCTCAATATTTTTTTATATTAGAATTAATGGAGTTAAAGCAAAGATAATAATAAAATGAATATAAATATTATAAAAACCAAATCATTTGTGTTTTATAATATTTTTTTCCCGAAGAAATTACTTTTACCCTTAATCATTATTCGAACAGCAACAAAAAGATCATCAGGATCAACTAAAAATAACCGAGATTCACCAGGAAAACGACTAGGGGTGAAAAAATATGGAGGAATTTAAATACTTTTGTTTTTTTTTAAAAAAATTGATTTTTGGTAGAGGAAAAAGTAAAAGCAGGAAATATTCTAGTTCGACAAAGAGGAACTAAATTTTATCCGGGAGAAAATGTATAAAAATATATATTTAGAAGATTTTTTAATAGAAAATAAGGTTGGAATGGGTAGAGATCATACACTTTATGCTTTGGAGCCAGGATTTGTTCAATTTTATCGAGATCCATTACAACCTAAAAGGAAATTTGTAGGAATTGTATTTGATCGTGCAATTAAACTTCCTTTATCTAAAAATGAACCAAGGATTAGAAGATTAGGGATGAAAGAGGTTGAAATAAATCAATGATATTTATATTATTAAAAACATTATAATTTTTAAAGTAAAATATTATACGAGGTTCTAAATATTACCATATCTTTTCGAATACATTCCAAGAGCTTTAATAGTGAAATTAAATTTATAATTTGGGTAACTGTATGATTAAAATAAGTAAAAAAAGAGTTATATATTTATACCTAATCATGCTATAAAAATTAAAAAAAAAATCAAAAAAATGATTGAAACATACCAATTTTTATTAAAAACACCTTCAATTGCTTCTTGTTTCCATTCTCCATTAGACTGTTGCCTTGACATGATTAACTATAATTTAAGTAAATAAAAATAAACTATTAAGAAAAACCTTACATCAATTCCACGCTTGATGGGCGTTTTATCAGGATAGTTTGCATACATAAGTCCAATACATGCCCATGCTGTTTGTACTACTTGGCTACCATTTGGATGTCTAGTCCATATACCATCAGTACATGACTATGAAATCAGTTTATTATAAAACACTTTATAAAAAATACTTGATAACTTTCAGACCATCCTCCATCTTTTTCTTGTTTATTAAGTAGAAAGTCACATGCTCTTCTAGAATGAAAACTATTTTCATAAAAATCTTTAACACATGATAGACTTTCTAAAGCAAACATAGTAGCATAAGTAAAACATATTGCCCAACTTCCATACCAACTCCCATCAGGACGTTGACTTTCTTTAATAAATTGAATAGCCTTTTTGACACTTTTATTAATTTCTGATCCACGGTAATGAGAACACAATGATCTAAAATAACATAAAGCAGTAACTACGGATGTTGTACACTCTGTATAAGAATGTTCTATCATGATATTTCCGAAAACTTCTGCTGGATTAATAGATTCTAACCATGATGGTCCTCGTATTAATTCGTAAGAAGCAAAACCGCCATCTTTATTTTGTAAAGATAAGATTACATCAACAGAATCTTTTAATCTGTCATATGACACTTTCTTGGGAAATGATCTATAAAAGATTTAAGAAATTATATATATGCATAGCTAAAAATTCTACTTTAAATTTTGTAAAAGTAAAACTGCTTTCAAACCCTCTGCAGTACAATCTGAAACAGTATATCCCTGTTGTCGTGTACTAAATGGCCATGCACCCTTCCTCTGATGTCTATAACATTTTTGTTGATCGTCACAATTTTTTTGTATCTATTAATATTAATAGTTTTTTTTATAAGGATTAACAACCTGACACTTATCAAGAAAATCCAAAGCCCTAATCATAGAATCTTTAAATTCAGGATCTTCTGCTAATCCAGATTCTACAAGGGCTTGTACAGCAAAAGATGTATCCCAAAGTTGAACACCATTAGTACCATTCATCATCATTCCTTTTTTAGATACCCATAAAAAGTCAGTCAATCTTTCTTTATGAGATTTAAACGCATAACTATTAGGTCCTTCTCTCCAATAAACTGCTAAAATATGAATACAAAAATTAACTGGACCAATACATAAGAAATCAGTATTTTTGTTTTCATATTCAATTAGTTCGTAAGTATATTTAGATGCAATATTTTTTATCCATGAAAGTCGAAAAGTTGTATGATAAAATGTTAAAATAGAATTAATAACACGAAGAAATGTAGTATGAGGTACATAAACATCTACCGATGATACTGTGTTTCTGTGTTTTGAGAAATTAATTGAAGAATAAGGTTGAGTATATAATTCTTCCCTCAAAGATTCTATCAAAGGATCAAGAGGTGCTGTAAATTTCTCGCCATAAATATATCCCATTGGAAGATATACCGCTCTTGTATGGACCCACCAACGTGATGGATGTATAGGAAACCATTCAGGCAACATCCTATGCGTGTCAGAAAATTTCTTCTATATAAAAACAACTACCAAAACTCAGGTAAAATAGGATTTATACCTTCCCAACTATAACAATTTAAAACAGCTAGCCAAAACTTTCCCCACTGAGGACAACCAATAGCGCCTCCTAACACGGTCAAAATGGTTTAATTAAACATATACAACATGTATATACCGAGCTCATTCAATTTTATTCTCGCTTTCATAGTAACAGGATGGTCTGGTCCAAGACCAAGGATACGTAAAACAACATAATTAAGAGCTGTCCCAAAAACAGTAGATTTTCCTTCTATGTGTATTCCCCAACCACCATCTTTAGGATTAGCATGATTTACCAAATATTGAATTACTTCAATTCTCATTTCATCCGAAAAAGGTATTTTTGAAATATACATTGCAATTATAAGTCCCGGAAGAAGAAACATTGGTCCTCCATATTCACATGCCCAATTTCCTTCCTTTGTTTGCAAATGTTTATAAAACAAAAATCCATTTCTTGCTGATTCAATTGGAGTTTTTGCTAACGGAAGTTCTGGTACGTCCTTTTTAGAGTTATTCTCTCTTCAAAGACATTCCCCTCAAATATATACCATATTTAACCCAAGAAAATACTTTTCCATATTCGTTTGTGGCATTTCTTCCCTTTCTTTTTTTGTTTTTAGATATTTCCATCTCTGTCGACCTGTATCTTCTACGATCAATCTCCAGCCATATGGGTCAGTTTTTTCCAATTTTTTTTCAATATCTTCATAAAACATCTTTTTAAGAACATATTTATCTTTAAAATCCTTTAATTATTGCTTTTATAGAGCCATATTGACTTTATTTTTCATGGCACCTATTCACCAAAATCTGAGGTAGTTAGGGTTGTTATGGTAACGGTGTATATCATGACAACTCGAGGTCAGCAGAAGCCTAAGATCAACCAAGTTCAATAAAGTTATAAAAAGTGCTTTTAAACAGCATATTTCTCGAAGAAATTACAATGGAAAAGGAAGAATCTTATGGGGATGATACTTGGTCGACTCAATATCGTTGGATTCAAGATTCTTGTGAATCAACAATCCATCCAAGTATCAATGATATGTCATTTCATAATTCGAATTTTTTGCAGCGTAAAACGATGAATTGGAGTTTTTATTGAATATCTAAGGAGTTTAGATGATATAAACCCAATTAAAACGGAAAAGATCCGACGATTAGCAAGATTATTAGATGATACACAAATGTCTACAAAAACAATTAAAAAAGAAATTACATTGAGGACACCGTATATCGCTTCGGACTCCATATCGAATAAAAAGGTTAGAAATATTCGTGTGTTTTTGAATGATTTAAAGTTAATTGTCAAAAGGAATATTCTCAAGAAATTCGTGGATCTGCATCATTTTTAAATAGCCAGCTTGACGCAGCATTATCTTTTGACAAACACATGAATATGCACTTAAATAATAAAGATTCCACGTCGTCTAAATCCTCAAGTAGTATCCCTACATTAACAGCAAATAATGATCAATCTTTTCTAGAACCTTCATTACTTGTAAGATCTCGTTAATTAATCTATTCTCTTACTTGGAACTAGGAATCATCTGGTGTTTCGAGCTGTACAGCACAAAGTTCATCATCTATTACTTTTTCTAAGAAAAATCGTCAAGAAACATCTCCTCATCCTGAAACACAATCTAGGAAGTCGCCAAACAAAAGTGACGTCTCTTCTAGTTTTTCCTGGAGTTCTGAAACGGTTAAAGAGTATTTAAATGAGATATTGGAAGAAATATATCAGGAAAAAAAAGAGGAAATAAAGTTATTTCATAAATCAAATCATTATAAACGATTTTTAGGTCAAAATACAGGCACAACACAAGAAAATGCTAATTTTTTAGAAAATTTAATTGATAAAAAAGGGGAAGCTTCTAAGAAATCTGAAAATATATTAGATCTTATGAAAGAAAAAATATTTTTGGATACACATGATTCTAATCATTATACAAATATATCTGAAAATCAAAATTCTTTAAAATTGCAAATAAAAGATCAATCTAAGCCTTTATCTGATGAAAATACACATATTTCTCCACGGAAAAATGAAACTAATAACTCTTATATTCAGGTATGTATGATTCTATCTTGAAATATTTGAAATTTATTACCAAGGATTCATTTGTTAATGCATCTAATCATTTTTTAAACAAGGCTACGCCTTACAGGAATTCACCAAGTATTTTGAATAAAAAACAAACTGATGACCAAAAGTATACAGAAATAAAATCTAGACAGACAAATTTCGAGGTATTTAAATAAAATAATTTAACAATATTTTAAAAATATTAGACACAATATTCATATGAAGATCATAACAAATATAAAGAAGATATTATTAACATTCAAAATTCTCTTAAACAACTAGCAAGTGAATATGATCGCAGGGGAAATATGATAGATAAGTTAATTGATGAATTTTCTGCTTTAAAATCAGAAACTAAAAATCAAAATGATGAAAATGCTTTAAAAATATCTTTTGATGAGACCAAAAAACATGCTCTTTTTGTAGAAAAAGATCTTGACGCTGCTAGATTAGAAATTGCTGATTTAAAAACAATTTGTCATGATTTAATTGAAGCATTGAAAATAAACCCACAAAATATTCAAAAATACTATCCGTCTACACCAAAAGCAGGAAATGAGGAATCATTAAAAGAAAAAATGATGCGTTGGAAAACGCATCTTTCTCCTCAATTTTCTCCAATACAAAGGTTTTTATAACTTTTATATTTGCTATATTAATAGTATTTAGCACAAAACCTTTTTGTTTTTCTCAGAATGCAAATACTTGCGATAGAAAAGAACCATTACATGATTTAAATATTCCGGCAAATATACAGAGGTATTTTTCTTAATAAATAATATAGTATTTATAACTTAATAGTCCTCGGCAAAAAATACCATCTGTTTCAGATAAACAAAAAGAAATATCTGAAAACTTCCCTGTAACTCAAACACCTCGTACTGATAATGAAACTTTATCTAATGAAAAGGTAAGAATACAACTTTTTCTTTGTTATCTTAGTTGTTTAGATTTATGATCTTAAAATGCAGCTCGAAAAAGCAGAACAAGAGATTGAAAGATTAAGATCAATTATTCCTAATGTATCACATGAACATCATACAAGACCAATTACTCCACAAAATATGCCAGATGCTCATAAACCAATTTCTAAAGCCGAAAAAATCTATTATAGTTTACAACTTTATAAAATAGATAAACTTTGTTCTAATGAAACATCTAATCTTCTTAAGGTTCTGCTGTTTTATTTTTTATAAAATTATTAATAAAAACTAGAATATTCTTATTCAACTTAATATACCGTTTGATTCTCTTCCAGAAACTATTACGAGTATCAGATATCAACTTCAACAAAGCTTACGACTTAGAGAGTTTGCGGAAGAAGTCCATTTAAGCTTGTATGAAGGAGAACCGATGGATCCTAAGCTTGTAAGCAAAAAATGCTTAGGCGATATGATTACAAAGGTAGATCAGCTAGCAAGATCCTCAAGAAGGCGAAGGATACGACGTAGTATAATCTAAACAATTAGAAAAATTATGCTTCAAGTCTTTTAATATATATTAAACGTTTTGTTGTATTATTACGGTTTCGAGTACATTTGTTATTAAATGTATTATTTTTGGTTTTCTTTTTGAAAGTGCATTTTTTTGGAGATTAAATATTTAATTATTTATAGTTGTTAAACTCCAATCTATTATTCTTTATAAAAATCTTTTCTTCAATAAATTTTTTTGTAACAGCTCCTCCTCTATGCAAAAATATCGCTCCTACAATAGCACATAATGATTCTGATGCTACCTTTAATAATCCGCTTTTCATAATATCCTTCTTATATAAAATATTAGATAAAAAAATATAAAAATTATTTTATACATAAGCAGGTTTCCAACGTAAAACTTCTAAAATGCCATATTCTAATGCCAAAGGTCCCAATGTCTCAGGACTAATAAACTCTTCTATTTTTTCCAATGTAAAAATATCATTATTTTTGTCAATAGAAATAGACTCAACAATTTTTAAAGATATATGAAATTTAAGAACAAAGCGACCTATATTATATTTATTATATAATCAATACATTTCAATTAATAATACCTTGAAATGCTAACTTTTCATTATATGGATATTTCCCATGAAAATATGTTTTATGTGTTAATGTCTGCCAAAGTAAATCTCTTGGTAAAAATAATTCAATTTCCTTTTCATCCATATTAAAAAGACGAGAATAAAATTTTAAAATATTTTCAAATGAATTCATTTTCTCTAAATCCTTTTTATATATTAAGTTTTCTTGCTTAAAAATTGATCTTTTAAATCCTCTTTTTAACTCAAAAAATATCAATACATTAGAAATTTTTAAGATTTTCGAAAATCTGTGTCTTAACAAAGGGTTTACACATTTCATCTTTAAATAAGTTAAATATTAATATTTTTTATTAATATTTTTAACTTTTTTTTTAAAGCCGATTTGATATTAAAATATTAAAACCTATAATATTCTTAATTTTAAGGAATAAAAGTGTTATTTCTGCATATAAATGAAGCGTAGAGATTTTATATTGTCTATGTTTATCTTCGGTGGTGCAGCTTTAGGTTATTTCCATATTTTTGATAAGTTTTTTCAGAAAAATAAAGAGGAACAAGAGTTATTACATCAAGACTGGCTTAGAGAAAAGTTTCAAAGCGGTATAGGATATATTTAAATAATATTATATTGATTAATTTCAAAAGTTTCATGTTCAGATCAAAAATATTTATGTAGTGATACATTGCAATGTGTTAATCATCCAGCAAATTGTCCATGTCCATTTCCTACGTCACAAACACGTTGTTCTCTTGGAAACGGAGGGTATATATGTGTATCATTGTCAGAAGAGCATGATCCGTGCCAAATTGTTGAACAATACCGATCAGGACATGTTATTTAATAAATCAATGAATCAATATAACTTAGAATTTTTATTATAGGTCAAAAATAAAATTAATTTCTATTGCGTGAAGGTTGCCATCTTTTGACACTTATTTCTCTTATTTTATATTTCTTTAGAATCAGATCTATTCTTTTTGTTTGAATTGCGTCTTTGAAAACTGTTTCATAAGGGATTTGAACATAACATAATACAATCGTCTATAAATTATTAATTTATTTTTTTAAAATCAATATAAATAAATACTTTTTTTACTTGAGATATAACTCTATTAATACAGTGTAACCAATGCCATGATAATTCTTTCTTTCTATTATCTGGATAAAATGGTAATACTATAACAGCAAATTCTGAATGAGAAAATATAGGGCCTCGTTTATATAATACTATTGGTTAGATAAACTTCTTTTGTAAATTTTTCTATTATAACTTACACCAATCGACTCCAAATTTAAGACCTTTCTTTACAACCCATCCTAATGATCTATAATGATGATATACGACATATGATATAAGAAATGAGTTATCTACATCTATTTCATTTTCAGTCTTCGGTATTGATGATAAAGAGCAGAATAACAATAATAATTCCATTGAATTCTTGATTGAAAAATATTTTGAAACATCAATATCTAAAATTCCAAGAGAATAGCTTAAAAAAAATGCTTCTTCAAGATGTAATTGTAAATGTTCAAGTTCTGATATAGATTTCTCTAATTTTTCTGTCTTTTTAGCTTCTATTCTTGTATAATTTTCTCTTCTAGTTATTCTTCTATTATCTTCAATTATATTTTGTTTCTCTTTCCCTTCTTCAATTCTAATTCTATCAATCGCTTCCATCTCAATTAAGCCCCTCTGATGTTTAAATTCCAAACGTTCTTGACGTCTTTGTTGAGTGCGTTCTTCAGTTGTTAAGTCCTCATTTGAACTAACCCATCCAAATAATCGTTGTATTCGTTTTGACCACGTTAATGTACTACGACTTAAATTTCCTTTTCCAAAATATCCACACCTCCATAGTTGATCTATAGTAGATGCATCTGTCACCCATACTGAGGCAGTTGCAACGTCAAGTATGCCTTTATAGTGACGTTGGGGTTGAAACCCCTTATAAATCTTGTATAAAAGCCATATAATAGAAACAGGATGATGAGGAAAGAAAGGGAGTGTTAAAGGAAGGGGCGGATCTCTCATTTTATTTATAAATATTTTGATTGTGTGTTGAGATAGCTTTTTAAGATTTATAATTTTTAAGATGGTAGAATGTTAAACAGGGTTTGACCTGAGAAATAGAGGGTTAGGACATGAATCTAGGCAAAAGATAAGAATATAGTTTGTTAAAGATTAAATATGGCTATTGAAATAATTTAAAAAATCAATAAAATATATTTAAAATCTCAGAGCTATATTTTTAAATACAGTTTTGACGTAAAAATGATTAATTTATAAATTGGTTTCACATTTCGACTATTGTATTCATAAATAGAGATCTTTTACGCTCCGATCGAATCTTGTTCTCAAAATATCTTTAGGGCTGCCTTCAACAAGTTAAAATAAAGTCTCCTTTACTGACTATCCTGATTTTTTTTGCATTGGTTTACTATATAAAAGCATTTAAAATATATTTAAAGTTTTTTTGATATTTATTTTAATAATTTTGATTTTTTTACCAGTCATTATAATGAATCTAACTCTGATTTTATAAATAATTAAAAATTTGTGCGAGGTATTGATATTCTGAAATATCAATGTTTCAGGCCTGAGGATGAAAATCGTCATGTACAGAATATTTTATTAGATGATGTTCCATAACGATAACGACGGTTAGTTCGAAAAAAATACAAATCCATTTATCGATATTTTAGGTATCTGATGGGTCTTTTATATGAAACATGACTGAAGAAGGCTTAATGAATATTATTAAAACTTCTTATTTAATGAAGTTATAGACAATCCCTTACTCATAAAGTCATCCTTAATTTTATATTTTTAAATAAAAATACGCTAATTATAGAATATTGACAGAAAAATTATCGTATTATTGCCATTCTATTTTATTATCCAGAAGAAACAGTCTTAACATGATTTTTATCAGGAACATCAATTCTTTCAAAGCTATTTTTTGCTATTTCTATGTTCATTAATAACGCAGCGGATTCTATAATCATTTATTAATAAAGAAAAAGGATTTATCATAACAAGATACATACGTACAAGAGGATCACTTAATATAACAAGAATATATGTATCACAAGCGTAAGGAGCAATAAAAGCAGAAAAAGGACATGTTCTCAACTCAAATAAGATGAATTGTGATTGCATTTTACTTTGGTTTAAATTAGAAAGTGATAAAATATCAAAAGATTTACCTGCAACTCAATTTAAATTGTTTAACAATATTACTTATTTTTTCGAATCGATGAAGGTCAGGATGATTAAATTCGGGACGAGATGTATGAGATATTACAAGAAACGTTGTTCGCTCAAATAAAACAACTTCATCAGCTTCCACATGAAGAGCAAATTGCTTTAAATGCTTTTCAAGTGTAGGAATATTCGGAACTAACGTATAAACAATACAAGACCAGGCCTATAGGCAAACTTAATACAATATTTTGTAGATTTCTTTATAAAAACCTTATACAACGTTTCGTCCCATATTGATGTAGCAAGGATTACAGTTTCGAGGTTTTCAGATCTTTGATATAATATTTTAGACCGTTCCTGATATACATAATCTCTCATTTCTTCTTGGACTAAATCCATTTTATGAATCAAACAAAATACTTGAGCTTTAGGCGAATTTTCTCGAATCGCTTCTAAACATGATTCATATGTATGTAAATCTACATCAAATTCTCTCGATTCCACATCAAAAACATAAATCAAGACCTCTACATTCCGGAAAATATGATCTCTTTGTGCTGAAAGATAATTTTCCATAAAAGCGTCTTGTCTAAATAAAAAAAAAATTAATTTACATAGTTTAATTTGTAAACTTTTATACCCCCCACAATCCCATAAATTTAAGACCAAATTCCCTAAAAAATGAACATGAGAGTGTTCAACATCAACTAGAAATAAAACGTTATTCAATTATTATTTTTAATCAAAAATTACTTGTTGCGCCGAGTCGACGAGTATCCTTAGCAATATAATTACTAAAAATAATACTCCTCATGCTAGATTTCCCAGACCCACTCTTTCCCATTAGAAGCACCTTTTTTTTCATTTTTTTTTAAAAATTTTAAGTCGAAATAATCTTGTTAATTATCCGATTATTGAAAAAAGTTGATAAATTATCTAAAAAAGTGAAAAAAATAATAACCTTCCTTTAAAATCCGTATATAAAATAGATATTACTAGAAAATCCTGTTATAGAAAATGAAAATCTTAATGAAATTAATTATTGACAAATTCCCATCGTTTTCGTATAGGTGGAGGAGTAGGTGGGATTCCACGGCGTCTATTATCATCATATACTTCTTTTAATAGACGTAAAGAGTCTTTGTAAATATCATTTATCTTTATTGAAGATGATGCCCTATCTTTGAAGTTTTTATATTTTGAAGTAGGTGATGGAATAAGTGAATTTAATGATAAAGGTGTTATATTTGAATAATTAGCGCTATAATTTATATGAATAGTATTAAATGTGAGATGTTTTGTTTCGGGTAATGATGAATCAGTGTTATTTGTTTCTATTGAGTTTATTTTTGAACCAGAAAGTTCCTCGGTCTTTAAAGAAAAATTATTTTTGTGTTTTGAGACTTCTTTATTATTATATTTCTCTAAAATTATCTCATCTATTTTATAATTTAGATGAATAAAATGCATTGGATTATCTTGATGTGAATTTGAAATATCTGAAGTTATTTTTTTGTGATTTTTCTTTTTTAAAGATTCTATATTATTCTGTTTAGAATTAGGTGACATATTTTCCTTTAATATGTTATTTCTTTCAGATGTTTTGTCCTTAAAAGATGTTTTTTTAACATGAGGTGAAGAATCACATAATAAACGTGTTGACGTATTTTTCAAAGAAGAGTTTTGAATATCAGACAAAGGCCAATAGTTATTCTTTTTTTTTGAATATAGTGATATATATAATTTTTGTTTATAGTCAGGAACAGTATCAAAATCTTGGATAGAATTATATTTAAGGATTATAGGAGATATATAGATTAATTCCTCAGATAAGTAAGATATAAATTGAAACTCAAAGACATCTCCCTTAGAATTTGAAATGTCTGGATTGGTATTTTTATAGGAAATTTTAGAAGCTATCTGATTTGTTGAATTTGATTCGGATGTTTCTATAAATCTTTTTTGATTATTTTTGGAAAAAACTTCAATTTTGGAATAATTTTCAGAATTCTTTTTCCTATCTTCAAATAGGTCTTCTATTTTCTTAAGTTTTCCGATTTCCTTATTGAATAAATCAATCGATGTTAAATTTTCAAAAGTATTATGTATTTCTAGCTTTAAAAAGCTATCAAACCTTATACTAGGAATTAATTCACCTTTTTCGAAAGTAGATAATCTGAAAATGTTGTGAATTAAAGAATTAGTTCGATAAAAAGGATATAAATTTGATTTCTTGATATTTGGATATTGTATGAGATGGCCTTTTTCAATAAAATAAAAAAAATATTTAGGCGAGAAATTGTTATTCCTTAAGTATTGAAAATATCTATTCCTTGAAAGAATCTTTTTTTCCTGATCTTTAGTTTTGTACTCAATAGTACAAAACTTAGATTCTGTTTTAAAAGTTTTTTGAATTATATCAAGATAATTAGCCAAAATATTCACTTTTAAACAATCATCTATATTAGATCCTCCTTTTAAATCATTCTCTGAAGAATCTGAATCTTTTTCTAAGATATTTTTCCAGATTTTTATTAAAAAATAAAGATAACTTAGAAATTTAAATTTTCGACAAAAAATTATAGTAAATGGTATAAAAAGACATAACCCGCTAAATATAGATAATAGTGAGTGTTTAAGAGTCATTCTTTGAGCCTTAATTATTAAAAAAACACTGCTTTTCCATTTATTCATGCTCATTTTATTAAGATCAGCGTTATCGCTATAGATTAGTAGGGCATTGATAAATTAAAATATAATATTAAAAAAAAAATAGATGAAAAATAAAGATAGTTTAATGTATTTTATTCAAAAACTAATATTTAAATATTATTTTTTGTTTTGAATATACTCCATGCATTATTAAGGGTATTAAAAACGGAAGAAGCAATCATTTTCTGCTCTAGAGATGTAGTTATTGGTAACTTGAAGAAAGTAAGAGATAAAATAATAAAAAAATTAAATAATACCTTATCAGGATGAATTTTTGAAATAGCCTTAATGTATGCTTTTTTTACTTGAGAAATAGAAAGTAAATTTGCCATATTTATATTTTGCCAAGCTAGATCATCCCATAATACATTACTAAGACTAGATAATAGAGCTCTTATATTGTTTTCCTTCCCATCAGCCCAATTATTTACAAATGACTCAACTTTATTATATAATAATGATTTATCTTCATTTTCAAATTTCAAAAGATTATAAACTTTTTCAAAAGGTTCTTTTTCAGGTTTAGAAATAGAATTTTGATTTTTTGAATTTTCTGAAAAATCTACGTCTAAAAGAGTATCAGATTTAAGAATTTTTTCACAATTATTTTTAGAATTTAATGTCATTAAATCATCTATATTTAAATTAATAGCTTCTTCCTGTTGACCCTTAGCTTCTCCAAGTCCTTTAAGCCGTTGTAAACATTGAGATCGTCTTATAATTATCCTTTTCCAGATATCATCTATGATTTTTTCAGAAGAAATGTTTTTTCCAAAACCTCTTTTATTTTCAATTAATTTTAATAACTCGTCACAATCTAAAAGACTTAATTCCAGTTTCTCCATATGTAAATAACAAAGTGAACGATTGGATAATAATAATATTCTTAAAACATGATTTGACGGTAAATATTTGATAAATTCTGAGTACAACTCTAATGCTTTTGAATAATTACCATTATTAAAAGCATCAGATGCATGTTTCATGTTAAGGTTTACTTGATTAATTAAAGGTGGCAAATTAAATTGGTCTGAATGTTCAGTAAATAGATCCTGGGAAACAAGGTCAAAGAGTAAACTCTCTTCAGAATTTATAGAACAATGTGCAAGGTTTTGATGGTTTTTTTTATAGTTTTGTGTTTCAATATCACTTGAAAATAATTTAGATGTGTGAATAGATGATAATGATGGTTGGTAGTTAGGTTCATCAGATAAGAAATCCATAAGGTCGTTATTTTTTTCAATAATTGAAGTTGATGTTTCACTAGCCACAGTTTTATCAGAATTTTTTATTGCTTTGAATAATTTTTGATTAGATAATAATGAATGATGTTTTGATGAATCATAATAATTATTTGATTGCATATTATGGTTTTTTAATGGTTTAAGACAATTTCTTCTACTATTGAAAATATTATTGGCTTTATTAAAAAATTTTGAAAAAAAATGTAAATTATCTAAAGAACATAGATCTTCTTTTTTGTCAATTATACCACTTTTTGATGGATTATGTGTTTCTTCATTATCCAATAAATCTAGTGACATAAGTACTGAAATAATAGAATTTATATCTGACTTGACATGTGTTGTATCTATTGCTCTGATAACCTGAGTATAATCAAAACCCATATTAACAAGTTGAGAAATAATTTCATCGTTTGAAATATCATGTCCATTACTTTTAGAATCCAAAAATGAATCTTTTTTCTGAAAATTTAAATTATTTTGATTATTGGAGTTATTATTTTGAATAAAATCTTGAACAGGGGTATTAAATATTTCAAAAACATCATCTACTTCATGATCTCTTATAGAACTTTTCGATAACGAGGATAAATCATCGAAAAAAAGTTCATTAAAGAATGTATTACTTTCAAGTCCTTTGTAAGAGTCATCATTTAAGTCTAATAGAGACTTATTATTGACTGCTAAATCCTCATATTTTAATCTGGATTTTTTTCTTCGTATTTGTGATGACTGTTCGGAGACGGATTTAGAAGTATTTTCATAAAAATAATTATTTAAATCTGAAAAAGACAAATGATAACTTTCATTAGTATCATCTCTATATTTTTCTTTTTCATCTTGTTTTTCTTCTAAAATTTCCTTCTCCTGCATTTTTAACTCGATATTTTTCTAATATCTTTACTCGTTAATTAACGATAAAAAGCTATTTTAACAGGTTTAATAAAATAACAAAACAACAGCAAAATCTGGATTTCCTTTTCCTTAATAGAACTTCATTAACATTATTATAAATGACTTTTCTTTGAAAAAAATCAATCTAATAAATTTGTTTTTAAAAACTTTTTTAATCAAAAAATTTGTAAAAAATGCCTCATTATAGATTATCTATCCATCCAGGCTATATGCTGGTATTAAAACTGGAAATTTATTAAAATTGTACGAACACTCTGACACTCGTTTCCGTACAAATTAACTTTAACGAGCTCTTAAAAAGTTCACTTATATTTAATCTAAGCACGGGGAATCGCTTTCAAGGCATTGGCCTTGATAAAACCCACAGTATTTTCTAGAAAACACTATATTTGGTGCATCAACGCCTGAAGCGCTATCAAGTGCTATTTTACTTTAATGTCGTTAAACGTTGAGATTTATATAGATCGAGGACGTTGCGAAGGCAACAAAACTTCAAGACGACAACGAAATGGAGGAAAAAGAAATTATGCCAGGGATTTTTAAAATCTCATCATATTTTAAGAAACTTTGGAAAAAGAAGACAGCACTTATACTTAGTTCTTTTTTTGGGGTGCCTTTTGTCCTTCCGTCAGCTTCACGTTCAGCGTTTATATTGATGGATGATACATTACCATGTTCTACAGATAAGCAGGAAAAAGCATCAGAAAATGCGAGAAGAGACCCGGAAAGGTGTTTTTATATGGAAAGAGATCCATATTTTGGAAGATCTTTGTGGTTTCATCCGGTATTTGACTTTATTTTTCCTGGATGGGGGTTTTATACGATACCAAGTTTTTTTCGTTGGTTTTTTAGAGAACATGGAGTATTGGATAGGAATGAAAGAGAAACCAGAGACTTTGAAAGGTATAGGGATTTTTTATGGCGCCCAAGACTTTTTCACGATGAAATTTGGAAAGATGCATTTGAAACCTTTGAAGAATTACGAACGAAAGAAATTGATAATGAAGAAGTTTTTGAAAATAAGAATGAATATAAAAAGGGAAAGGAAAGCTCTTGGGATGAATCATCTAAAAAAGTAACATCTACATTTTCGAAAAAAATGTTACGTACGTTTGGTGATGGATCATATGAGACAATTGAAATTATTAAACGATGCTTTGATGATGGTACATGTGAAACAACCAAATATACAGACTCTTCAAATGGTAAATATGCAAAAAAAGGGGAAATATTGGATAATAAAGGTTTTTTTCTTTTTGTTTTATGAATTAATATGTATTAAAAAGAAAACTAGTTCAATCTCCCACATCTACGTGCACGGAAGAAAGTGCATTTCATCCAGCTATAGATAAATAAGTATTTTAATTATTTTAAATATATGGTTGGTTTTAAGCTAATAAGAAATAGAGATGTTTAAAATATAGATTTTTTTTCTTATTTACATTATTTATAACTAATCGCAATGTGTATATGTGTATATTTTGTTTATTTTTGTGCATCTGTATAATATATTTCATTTGAAATACAGATCTTTAGTTATAGATTTTGTCTATTTTTAAAGTTAATAGCTTTTTAGAGAAATTGAAAAGAAAAATATTTATAAAAATAAATAAGAATTTCGGAAAGTTATACGTTTCTTTAGTTTTAAAGCTTAGTTTATTAAAATTATATTTTAAAATATGTTTCTTCTAAGTTGACAAATATAAATAAAAATATATCAATGAATGAATATTTTTAATAATTAAATTTAAACATTTTTTACTTTAAAAATATATCTGAAGTACAAATTGTTTTGTATTTTAAATAGTTATTTTGAAATTATAAAAAATAATATGCTGATTTTTGTAAATATTATAATATATAGGATTTAATTATTGAAGAAAATTAAATTAAGAAAAAAAAATATCCTATTTTAAAAGATAATTTATCTTTTTTATATATAGTCGAGCTAAATTTAGTTTAAAGGCAAATTTGCTATATATTATCTGAATATTACATCCTTTAAAATATTAACATTTAAATATGTTTTCTATACTAAAAATTAATTATATCTATAAAAAAATATCGTTCTATAATTCTTTTTGAATTTCTTTTCATTTATGTTTTATTTATTAGTATTTTATTTTTAAAATTTTAGATAGATTTGAAAAATTCTTTTTTTAAAAAACAATTAAGACTAAAACTTATATATCTTCCTGTGTATTACTTGTACACTAATGATTTTAATATCAATATTATGTTTATTTATGTTAATAATACAGTTTTTTTATTTTATTACATCCTTTGAAGATTTTCATAAAGAATTAAAAAAAATGAAACAATATAATTATTCTCTAAAAAATATACATAACATCATCCATATATTAAATAGATAAAAAAGATTCTAAAATTAAAAGATATCAAAAAATCTAAAGAAACAATTTTGCTTAATCTTAGAAATAAAACATTTATTAGCATAAAAGGTACATGAGAATTCAAAATGAAAAATGTATAAATTAGAATAAATATTACTTTTTATTATAAACTTCAAAAAAATAAAAATATTTCAAAAATAATTATTTTCATATTATAAGTTAAAAATCTTCTAAATAAAACATAAATTTCTTTTTACACTTTTATTTAAAAATACATCTTTACTACATAAACAATATAATCATATAAAAATCAAAGAATTAAGAATTATTAACAAAAGTATATATTTTATGAATAGAATTGAAGACTTTCTATAATTCAAGAACATTATTAGCCTTATAAATTTAGGTAAACGAAGTTGTTATGACAACCGATAATCTAATGAATTATATATTCTTCAAATAAAGTTGAAAATAAAATCAAATTATATATTTTATAAGCCATTATATAGAAGTATTAATACAATAATAAAGATAAAAAACAATATTTATGTTTTATTTTTTATTAATAACTTTCAATGATTCCTTATCGCGACCTTAAACTCCAGATTCATCAACATTTCACGTGACATGCATATACTTCAGTAGAGATATAAAAAGATTGTCTTTTTTAGCAAATTAAGATTTTTTGAAAGAAATGAAAATATATGATTAAAATACATTATATAAAGTTAAAAAATTGTTTCATTTGTTATTTTATACGAGTTGAGATTAATTTAAAAATCTTAAAAAAATCTTTATAATACTTTCTAGTTTTTAAAATAAACATATCTATAAAGAATAAAAATACTAATATACTTTATGAAGAAATGGGCGAATTATTATCCGGAGAGTCGCCTGAAGAATCAGGGATAGTCAAATATATAGATTTAAGTGATAATATGACAGAAGAAAATCTATATATTGATACTGTTCCTCAAACGAGGTAATAAATACTAATTGAAAAAAATATAGAACCATTAAGTTCTATAGAGAATGGGTCATCTTGCGTATTGAGAAATTAATAGAAACAACAATTAATTCAATTTATAACAAAAAACCATTACTAATAAAACTTTCAATGAGAAATAATAAATGGTAAGGAAAAGCTCTCCTATGCAAAAATAATATTTTCAGTATTTTCGATAGACAATCTAATATGATTAAAAGAAATTCAGTAGTTAAACAGAGAGTTTTCCGATTTCCAAGCAAAACACAAATAGGCTCTTGGAGATTTGGTAATTTCTTGATTGTTGTATTTAAACATTTAATAAGATTAATATAGCTGTCCTTATTCGAGTTTTAGATCTAATTCACGAATCTTTAGTATCAAACACTCCAGTAACAAAAAGGTAAATTATTTAAACATTAAATCTTATATATTTTTTTTATAAACCAAGGAATATCTATTATCGTGACATAAACTTATTTAAGAATTCAAGAATTGTGAATAAAATTATAGAAGATATAGCCTATACCTTTAAAATTCGAAGATCAGCACTTAATGTTGTAAGATACAAATATTTAATTCAAATTCACTGTTAATTTTCAATGAAACAGTTAGCAACTGCAAAAGGACTCGTCTGTGGTCATATAAAAATAAAACGAAAAAATTTTGAGGAGATAAACTGTTTGCAAGATTCTGAAGTATAAAAATCAAGTCCATTATTTTTAAATCTTAATATTTTCAGGTGTTAATACCTTCAGAAACTGAAATAGAAAGCATAGAAACAGAAGCTGATTGGATTCTTATTGTTGAAAAAGAAGTAGATAAATATAAAATATAAAACAAAAATTAATATCTTTAGTCGACATTTAGAACATTAGTGATATCAAAATTTTACGATCATCCAATAGCAGGAAAAGGTGTTATTATTACAGTATAAAGAATCCATTACACTTAAAATAATAAGACTAAATTTGTTATCAGGCAAAAGGATACCCAGATATATCAACAAGAGAATTTTTATACATGATATCAAAATCTATTTCAACTTCTCCGAGTCCTTATAAGAGATCAACCCCCATATTGTGTCTTGTAGATTATGATCCACATGGAATAAATATTTTAGCAACATACAAATTTGGTTCATATGCAGAAGCACACAATAGTCATCTAATGGCTATACCATCTATCAAATGGATAGGTGTACATTCAAATGATTTTCATAAAAATCAAGAAAACGGATATATTCCAATGAATAACAAAGATATAAAAAAAGCTTTCGACCTTTTACAAAAAGAATGGATTCAAGAACACATAAACCTAAAAAATGAGTTGTGCAGAATGATATTCACCAGAGTTAAAGCTGAAATACAATTACTGAGTGAAAATGATGAGAGATGTTTAACAGAATATCTAGCAGATAAAATTTCTAAAGGAGAATGGTTATAATTCCAAATAAAACGCAGCAAAATTCCCAATTCTAACACTTTTTTTTATTTTTTTTACGGATTAAAGATTCATTAAGAATGTTTATAGTTTTTGATTGTTCCGAAATATCAGCAGTTTTTCTCTTTTTATCCTCACAGGTTTTTTTGCCCGAAACTTTTTTAATCCAATCAACAGTGTTTTTAATATCTTTAGAATTATTGATATTATGAATCCAGTCGAGTGTTGCTCCTTTAGTCTTTTCCAATGTTTCAAAATCAGAACGTAATAATTTTTCATAAGCCATTCTATAAATTTTCTCATTTATTTGAATACCATTTTCCAAATTCAAATCCTCTGTCATACAATTATTTATTTCATCTTGGTCGCTACCTGGAAATTCTAAACTAAAAAACCCAACAATTCTACCAAGTGTACACTCTTGACGAAATGCCATTAATTCCCAGAATTTATCAATGCTTGTAACTTCTCCTTCTCCATCTTTATACAATTGATCAAGAAATCGAGTTTTAGGATCATCTGGAAAACGTGGAATAATTTCTCCTGCAGGTTGATCTGTAGGTTGATAAGGATGACCACATATCCATTTTAAATCTGTATTAGTATGCTCAGGAGTATACCTAAGAGTTTCCCTTGCATCTATTCCGGGTATTAAAACATATTTTTTTGGGCATTGAGGCCCCTTGACACAGTCCAATACTCTTAACCACCATTTGACCAATTCTTTATCATCTAATATATGTTTAGAAGGATTTAAAGACGAAGACGGAAAAAGATATTGAGGCTGAGATCTTGAAAAAAGAGATATTCTTGATGGTATATTTCTTCTAGAAAACTTCTTAATTAAATATGATAAAAATGAAGAAATAACAGGTTTCAAAGGCGATGGTGAATCATGTCGATTAAAAAATCCCGTTGAATCCGCCTTAGAAATATAAAAAACGCTTAAATCAGAAGAAAAAAATATTAAAACTTCAATAGCATAAGCCATTGCGTTCTCTTGTAATACGAAAAAAAAATGGTTTGAAAGAGAGACATTATCTATCTTTTTTTTACTCATCCATGGCCATTTTAACTTTTTAAAATTTGTAAACACATATCCATAAGAAAATGATATTTCTGATGGTAAAAACTCAATAGATTTTGATATTTCTGTATATAAATTAACCATATATTAAAAGCCTTAAAAATTAAGTTTTTTAACGTTGGTTACGATAAGTCGGTAACGTAAGATAATGACTTTTTTTAAAAAAATCCCTATTTTGAATAAAATAGAGAGGTAATTCGTAAAATTATTATTTTTAAACACTTATTTATTAATATATTTTAGATATTCATTTTTTTTCCCGGTTCAATTGACAAATTTTAGAAGATTTTCAACAAAAGTATTTCAAAAAACCTTATATTCATTTGAAAGAAATGAAACACTTAAATATGATAAAATTATTATATATTATAGAGGATATAATTTTTTAAAGGATAAGAGTATGTCTTTTGGAGATTTTTTCCTTTTTAAACATCGATTTTCTACAACATCAAAATTATTATCTGAACATCCAGAAAGAACGACGGACTTAATTTCAGAGAATACAGAATCTATTATTGAAACACCATTAGAAGTTATTCATAGGATTGGCGATCTTAAAGCGATGGGATTTTGTCATTGGACACCTGTTGGATTTTTACAACAATCTCTAGAATATATCTATGTATTTACAGGATTACCATGGTGGGCAAGTATAGCAACTTTAACGGTTATAATAAGATTTTCTATGATTCCTTTTTTAATTGGAATGATTCGAAATTTAAGTACACTTGCTCTTATTCATCCTCAAGTCCAAAATCACATGAAAGCACTTAAAGAAGCTCAACTAGAAGGAGATATGATAGAACAAGCCAAAAGAACACAGTCTATTCAGAAATTATTTAAAGAATATCAAGTAAATCCACTAAAGTCTCTTGCTATGCCATTTATACAAATGCCTGTTTTTGTCAGTTTTTATCTTGCATGTTCTCGTATGGCATCGTTACCTGTTCCAGGACTAAAGCATGGAGGATTAGGATGGTTTACTGATTTAAGTGCAAGTGACCCTTATTTTATTTTGCCTTTTCTTAATTCATCTCTCATGTTTATTAACTTAGAAGTATATTTATTAAAAGTTATAGGAAAAACTATTAACTATTGGTTATAGCTTGGTTCTGAAGTTGGTTCCAGTGCATCAACTAATGTAAATATGAAAATGAGGAATTTTTTTCGCATAATAATCCTTTTAACTCCGCTTTTTACCATAAATTTTCAATCAGTACACAATCATTAAATATTACGGTTATTATTTTTAATCATATTATAGGCAATTTTTTGTTATTGGATTACTTCAAATATTTTTTCATTAGGACAGGGTTTTATGCTTCGTCAATCATCTGTTAGACATCTTTTAAACCTTCCTCCTCTCAAACCCAAAATCGAATATGATAAACTTGACAATTCTAAAAATTCTGAAGGATTTAAATCAAATTTCATAGCTATGGTGGAAGGCATTAAAAATACGCATCGTCAGATTATAGAAATAGGTCAAAATGTATATAAAAAACCAAGTGAATCAAACAAATATCCTCGTCCAATTGACAAAACTCTTGAGGCATATATGTTAAGAAAAAAAAATAAGTATAAAGAAAAACAAGAAAGACAAGAAAAACAAGAAAAACAAGAAAAACAAGAAAAACAAGAAAAACAAGAAAAACAAGAAAAAACATCATGAGGACATTTCTGGAATATCATAAAATCAAAATGAATACCAATCAATCTTATATATTTTTATTTAAGCGATGTGGTCTTTGCTTCACAAATTAATTTAAGAAAATTAATACATAAACATACTCTAGCACCAAGTATATTCCATCGGATAGAAATCTCATGTGCAAATATTTCACCAAAGCCTAGAAATACGCCATTAATAAATGGAAGAAACATATTAATTACTAATTTCATAATTAACTCAAATAATAACACTTTAGAAAAATATACAAGATGAACGAATCAATGACCATATTTTCTTATAAGACTCACTATTTACATAAGGAATAAGTTTACTCATATTGTTTTTTTTCAATGAATTTTCAATATCATCATGAGTCGGATAAACATGTAAAACATCTATAACATCATCTTTTTCAGATCCTTCACTCGCGGAATTATCTTCACTTAATTCATAAGAAAAAATATCGGAGTCATGTATTAATTGGTTTTCATTCATATCTTAGATTTTTGATAGATCTTATTGAACCACTTGATATTTTAAGATTTTACATGATCGAGACGTTAAAAAAAGTCAAACAATGAAGATTGAGAAAGGTATTAAAATATATTTTAGTTTATGGAAAGTATTGACTAAAATACATATGTTTATCTTTAGTTTCTATTTGGTCTCCATTGCCATCTACACTTAGAGCAAGTCCAGTTCATCTTTCAAGTCATCCGGATGGAACAAAAATTGCATATGCGGTAATCAAAAAAAAAAAAGATATTTATAAGGGAAATATTAAATATTAAAGTCCAACAAGTCTATTTATTTAAGAAATATTGAATATCCAATTGAAACAATTCAATATGGAGGGCACAAGGCACAAACGACGGTGGCAAAATTTAGTCCCTCAGGAAATTATGTAGCATCAGGTGATTTTCAGGGAAATGTACGTGTATGGGATTGTATTGGAGAGGAAAATATTCTTAAACTGGAAAAAAAAGTTATTAGTGGTCGTATTAATGATTTAACATGGGATGGAGAAAGCAAACGAATCATTGCAGTGGGAGATGGACATGAAAGGTAATGAATAAAAAGAAAAATAAAGAGGAAATATATAAATGTACTTATGAGAAATAATTTAGATTTGGGCATGCATTTACATTTGATACGGGAAATTCCATTGGAGAAGTAATAAGCATGTTATATTGTAGTCCAATTTATAAATTATTTTAGATTTCAGGTCACTCAGAAATAGCCAATGCAGCAGCTATACGAAAACAAAGGCCATATAGGGCAGTAACGGTTTCGGATGACACATCTGTTGTATTTTATCATGGACCACCTTTTTTTTATAATAGTATCTCTCGTTATCATAAAAAATACGTTCATGATGTTGCTTTTTCTCCATGTGGTAATTTCTTTTGCACAGTTGGAGGAGATTCAAAAATTATTATTTATGATGGAAAAAGTGGGATAATGATCAATGAATTTTCTAATAAAGAGGGACATAAAGGGAGTATTTTTTCTTTATCGTGGAGTCCAGATTCAAAATATTTGCTTACATCATCTGCTGACCATACATGTAAAGTTTGGGACGTAGAAACTCAAAAACCAACAGAGTAAAATCAGTATCTTAATATATCATTAATTAAATAATTTTAGAACATGGGTATTTTCAGAAGTAGTTTCAGTTCCTGATCAACAAGTTGGAAATGTTTGGACTTCTTTGAATAAAATTATATCATTATCATTTAGTGGTGATCTAAATTATTTATCTCGATCACAAAAAGATCCCATACGAATAATTCAGGGCCATCAAAAATCAATTACAGCAAGTAGCTTATCGGAAGATAGGTCTACATTTTTTACAGCCTCTTATGATGGACTTATATGTGGTTGGGATGTAAAAACAGGATTTGCAAAATCTTTAAAAGATGGACCAAGTCATACAAATCAAGTAATTCAAATTCTTCCTTGCAATAATAAGATGCTTTCAATTGGAATGGATGATACTTTACGGACTCTTGATACTAAACTTTTGATTTATGAGTTTTTACCCATCAACTTTAAATTTAAAAACTAATATACTTAAAGAGGGGACCCTATATATTTTAATAATCTTCCTAAGGGATTAGCTTCTGTTAAAAAAGATCAGGATTATAAAATTATCATCACGGTTTCAAACATACAAGTATATCAAAATAATAAAAAAATCATATTACATGATACTCTTTTTCAACCCAATTCTATTGATAGAAACAAAACTAATAATGAATTTTCCATTGGAACAGAGGTAATAATTTTAAGAATTTTTAAATAACAACGTTTCATATTACTTAGGAAGGTGATATTTACATTTTTGAATTTAAGATAGATCAAAAAAAAATTATAGAAATAGGAAAGATAACGGTTAATCGTTTTTCGATTACAGCTCTAGCATATTCTCCAAATGGGAAATATTTAGCTGCTGGTGATGGATCAGGAAAAATTATTCTTTATGATGCAAAAACAAGAGAAATTGTAACTAATCGATGGGTATTTCATGTAGGTAAAATCACCGCTATTTCTTGGAATTCAGAAAGTACATATATATGTTCAGTTTCCCTTGACACACATCTTTATATTTATTCAGTATTTAATCCTGATCGGCATCTTGTAATCAAAAATGCACATCTTGGAGGTGCGTCAGGAGCTATATGGCTTTCTAATAATGAAATATTGACTACAGGTGCTGATGCATCTGTTAAACGATGGAAAGTTGTCTTAGACTCATGATTCTTTTTTTCAAAAATAAATCAATTTTTAAAATCTATATATTTAGTTCAAATAATAAATAAATTTATAATTTTAAATAATTATTTGATTAAATTAAACTCAAAATTATCGAGGAAACAGTAGATAGACCTATAACTATATATCCAGTTGTATAGACGCCCTTAAGTGTTAATCCTTAACATTATGGTTCAATTATATAAACTAAAAGACAATAGTATACAAACCCCTTCCTGTATCCCAATAAAGATGTCTAAGTCCATTAAAAGAATGATATGTAAACGGAAATGAAACAATAAACTTTGTTAAAACTTTTGCTTCTACCGGCCAAGCATGAAAAATAGAAGATATAGTTTCAGAGTCCAAATGCCAATTAAAAATCGACGAAACAAGATAACTAATGGCAAAAACATATAACCCTAACAACTTTTAGTTAAATAATATTAAAACTAAAAAATACCAGCCGAAACAAAACAACCAGTAATTCTATTAAACCCTGACATGTACCATGTGAGTTGAGGCTGATAAATACTTAAATGAGGCGAATTAGGCCGCCTTAATCGTTGTTCTGCTAAAATATTAGATGCCTCTTTTTTTGAAATAACCTCCGTTTGAATATTTCTAAAGACCATTAATAAATATTAATATTTATTGGGACCCTATATGACCGTATAAACAAACCGGATATCCCTTGTTTGACAAAAGATCTTGGATATAAATGAATTTCTGTGAAAAAGTCAAATATATCAATTTTAAACCTTTTTTTTCCAGGAAAAAAAAACTACCAGGAAACAATGAGCTTCTTTTCGTATTTATGAGTCTTTTCATAAGAAAAAATAGTTAAAAACGTCTTTTTTTAATAATTTAAAGAAAATTTATTTTTTATGTAGTTCAATATTATTATAAAACGATCATCTAACATTAATATTTAAAAAATAAGAAAAAAATACAGGGGAAAAGAAGAAATAAATAATAATATTCTAAATATATCTATATAACAATATACAAAAATCTATAATTTATATATTTGTGCTTTTTTTTTGGGAATTTTCATTTAATAATTAAGATTTATTATCATAAACTTGTTAAGGATTTTTTTCTAAATATTCAAATTTTAAGGAAGTTTTCGAGTAAAAATCACGAATTTTTAAAAGGAAATATATAAATATAATTATTTAGCAGTTTTTTGGCTAATTTTTTTCGGAATTTTTTAGTTTTTATTGAGTTTTTTTTTGCATTCTCTCAATTAGTAAAGCTATTCATTTTTAAGAAAACTAAATCATAATCATTACTATTTATAAGATATATCGTTATCTATTAGATATATTTGCTTAGTTATGGTGGCTTCAGTATGGCCTCCAGACACAGTAAAAGATGTTGCAGAATCTATTGGTATTAACCAACTTGATGATGATGTGGCAAAAGTTTTAGCATTGGATATTGAATACCGTATACATGAAGTTATTCAGGTAATACTTTGTGGAAAAAAAGAATTTTTGATATTATTGAAGTTTAATTTTTATTAATTTACGTAAAATTCTTTCAATGAGCTATAGATTGATGAATATAGTATTGAAAAGTTTATTATTTTATCTATGGTTCTATTTAAAACATCGATATTAGCATTATAATATTAAATTTACAGGATTTTTAGCTCAATTCAACATTCAAATTTTTGTTTTAAATTCTCTGTTTTTTTTATAATTTAGAACTCACATAAATATCTTTAGGAGGCAATCAAATTTATGCGACATGCTAAACGTACAATTCTTACTGTTTCTGATATCAGTCATGCACTTCGTGTCTTAAATGTTGAGGTAAATCCAATATAAAAGTTTTAGATAGTAGTAAACATCTTTTTTAATAGCCTTTATATGGATATCAAGCTTTTCGTCCTGTCCGATTTGGAGAGTCGCGATTAGAACAAGGTCAGCCACCTTTATATTATTTAGAAGATGAAGATATCGAGTTTGATAAAGTTATTCATGCACCACTTCCAAAAGTACCTAGGGATATTAATTATTCAGGTAAAAAGTAAAACGATAATTATTAAATAGATGAATAACCTAATAAAAGTTCATTGGTTAGCGATTGAAGGTGTCCAACCTGCTATTCCACAAAATCCTACATTGTCAGATACCTTAGCAACAGACCGGAAGGATTCTGGAACACTAAATAACAATTCATGGTCAATTTCGAATCCTTCTTCATCAGGTATAGAAGTTAAACATTTGGTTAAACATGTTATATCAAAAGAATTACAATTATATTTTGAACGTATCAACTCAGCTATTTTAGATGAACAGAATGAAGGACTTCGTTCCGCTGCATTAACTAGTTTAAGACAGGATTCTGGATTACATCAGTTACTTCCATATTTTGTTTCACTTGTAGCTGAAAAAATTACGCATAATTTAAAAAATCTTTTTATACTAAATATGATGATGCAAATGACATGGGCTTTATTTGACAACCCGAACTTATTTATTGAGCCATATGTTTGTACATTTTATTATTTTGAAAAAGCTTAATGTAATAGCTTCATCAAATCATTCCATCGATTTTAACATGCCTGGTGGCCAAAAAATTAGGAGAAAATCCAGCTTCTAAAGAGCATTATGAACTAAGAGACTTTTCCTCATCATTACTTGGATTAATTTGTCAAAGATTTAGTGACGTTTACCATACATTAAAACCAAGAATCACTCGAACACTTTTAAAAGCATTTTTAGACAACAGAAAGCCATTTACTACACACTATGGTGCTATTATTGGGCTTATTACTATGGGAAAAGAAGTTATTCGTATATTAATTTTGCCTAATATAAAAACATATGAATTATTAATCAAAGATGATATAAATGGTCCTGAATTAACAATTAAAAAAATGGAAGCAACAAAGTGTCTTGAAGCCTTGATGGTATGTAATCTTTTAAAGACTTAATTTTTTTAATAATTATAGAATGCACTTCGTACTTTGTCAAAAGATGAAACATCTGAGATTAAAACAATCGATGAAGTATTTAATAATGAAGAAATAATTGATCTGTCCCCCGAAACACAGACTATTCTTGTAGAAATGGTCGGAGAGTTAATGACTAATAAAATTATAGAAGAAAAAGACGAAAAAATTATAAAAACACTCTTAGAAGCACATAAATTAGATAAAATACTTCATTAGCTATCAATATCAAAATAAAAACTATCCTAATATATACAGCATCATTGTTTAATATATATAAATGATAAATTTTTATATTTAATAATATAATCATATAAACCTTTTTTTTTAAAAAGCATTATGCAGTCTTCAAATATAAAATATCTCTCTTTAAAGTTTAATAAAATGCTTTACCATTGGTTTGTAAAGATATATCAGATTCACTATCGCTTTCATCATCTGGATCTATTTCATGAGAAAAAGCAGTAGTCCCCATTTTTTCATAATGCTTTTTACGCATCAATTCAAAATGACGACGATGCTGCTCATCTAATGTATAAAAACATTAAAAATATACTAAAAATAAAATTTTTAAACCTTCTGGTGTTTGCATATCTTCCTTATCTTTCTCTATTCCAGCATCTTTAACAATTACATGTTTTAAAAGAACTGGCATCTTTTCTTGAGGTTCTCCAAGATCAAATACTGGTATATCGCTATTATTTTGCTTATTTATCAGTTCTTGATCACTATCCATAATTTCCTCATCAAAACTAACTGATGAGTCATATTGACGTGTATAAGGAGTCTTAGGTTCCGTAATCTTCATTGTTGATGTTTTTTCTTGTTCTGTTAAATATAAGTTTGCCTCATCCCATTTTAACCGCGGTGATGATGTTTCTGAAGATTCTATATTTAAAGGTGCTAATTGAGACTGAGAAAATGAATTTTCAACAGAATCTCCATAAATATCTTTAGATGATGCATTAAACGAACGTATAACTTCATTTTTATTTTTTAAAATTCCTTTATGAGGCTTTGGAAGTTCTGATAACCCTTTAGAAATCATAGACAAAAAACAATACTAAAAAAAACCAAAAAAAAGGACAAGTCAAATCTATATTATTAAGTTTAAAAGTAAAATAAATACCAAAAGCTTTTATAACTACTTTCTATAAAAAAATCTTTATTAATCTTTTAATAAGGTACTAACTACGGAATCTAAATACTCAAAAAAAATAAAAAAAACTTTATTCTTTATAAATATTATGTTTTTAAAGGCTTCTTATCTTATTAAAAAGTACACATATTTTATTATTTTTTTTTAAGACAAAAATAACAAAAAAAATAAGGATTTCAAATTTCTTAATAAATCATATATGTTTTAATCCTAAGAATATATTTAAAATACTTTAAATTTTATTTAATTATCTTTTATAATATTAAAAATTATTCAATGTTTATATCTTAAGTTGATGATATTTTATTAAAATAATCCTTTTAAAGATAAAAATATTTATAATAAACAAATGTATCATTAAAATCATATAAATTATTTTATATTTGCTAATAAATAGGTATTTTTATAAAAAAAGATATAAACCCCACCATAAAGACCTGATGTATTAGAATAAGGATTATATTTCTTATATTATTTATATTTTCATATTTTTTTATTACTAGTTTTTCTTGCTGAAGGATATTCTTAAAAGCCTTGGGTTTAAAGAGAGTTTAATATTGAAAATAATATATATTTTTGGGAGTCATCTATTTTAATGGAAAAAAGGAAAAAAGAAAATAATAATGATCAAAAAAAAAAGTCTTTAGAGGGTATTTTTAATTTATTTAATTGATTTTGAAAGATATTTTTCCTGACAGAAAACATTAGAATTTGAATGGCAAAGTAGGATTGTTTATCATTTTTTAGTTGAAAAATAAGTTAAAACTAAATAGCAAATAATATTAATAAACGCTTAAAGGAATCAGCTAAAGAGAGAAAAAAACGAATTAAACGACTTTCAAATGCACTTAGTATTGTTCTCGAATGTCTTGGTGAAGATTTAGCACGAGAAGGCTTAAAAAAAACACCAGAAAGATATGCAAAAGCAATGCTTTTTTTTACAAAAGGTTATGAAGATAATATATCGGGTATATTATGTTTTTATATTATTTTTTTAATGCGGAACTTAATTATTATTTAGATATTATAAATGGAGCAATTTTTACAGAAGATCATAATGAAATGGTAATTATTCGAGATATTGATATGTTTTCTTTGTGTGAACATCATCTTGTACCGTTTACGGGAAAAGTAGGAATTTTGATATTATTAAAAACGTATTTATATGCATTTTTTAGGTTTCAGTTGGATATATTCCCAATAAAAAAGTGATTGGTCTTTCTAAAATTGCACGTGTTGTAGAAATGTTTTCTCGTCGATTACAATTGCAAGAAAGACTTACAAAGCAAATTGCAGTTACTCTTTGGAAAATGCTAAAACCACGAGGTCTTGGCATAATTATTGAGGTACTTAATGCAAAGCTACACTAAGTTTCAGCTAGCTTTTTAATTTATTTTTATATTTTATATTTTAATGCTTAGCCATTTTTTAGGCAAGTCATTTATGTATGATTATGAGAGGTGTTCAAAAACCAGGAAGTGTTACTATTACAAGGTTAAAAACCTTATAAAAATTTAAGTTCTATACTAAACAGCCTAGTCATATGCTTGGTACATTTAGAGAAGCATCTAAAACAAGAAAAGAATTCCTAACATTAATTTCCAAAAAATAATTATGATTTATTAAATAATTTGCAAAACAATCTATTCTTACAAAAAAACAAAATTTATAAAAACTATATGATTATTTTATAGATCTAAATAATGGATAATAATTATATTAATAATTCGTCAGGACTTTATATTTAAAATAAGAACGGATTATACAAATTAATATGTATTTTTCTAACGTTTCCTTTGTGCATAAAATTTTTTAATAATTGGATTTCGAGCCACTGCAAAATCCTTAAGTTGTTTATTAGCACTTTTATTATATCTAAGCAAATTAAAAAATATGATAATAAAAAATTAATCATACTCAATATATGCAAAATCATCTCCTCCTGATAAACTACTTAGATTAGTAATATTACGTTTAATTTTTGAAAAATTATATAAATCTTTTTTAGATTTCTTTGAAAAATTATCATAATGGCCATCTCTTTCATCACTTTTATCAATATCAGCAGCATCTTCATTTTGTAATAAAACTTCTTGTAATAATTCCCTTTGTTCAGCTGGAGTAGAAAATGCCAAATTGGGTAAATTTTCCATCCCTTTCAAATGAGTAATAACTTTAAATGAATATCCTTGATCAATTAAAAAAGCTTGTCGTTTTACAGAATAATAGACTTCCATTGTATCTTTAGATATTAAACTATAATATAATTAATATATAATATATCCTAAAATTAGCTCCAACCTGTAGAAAAAAGCATTAAAACCCTGATCGTTTCTTCTTTTTGCTCTTAAAATGCGACCCAATCTCTGAGCTTCCTGCCTACGAGAACCATAATGTGATGATATTTGAATCAAACACGTAGCTTCAGGAAGATCAATAGAAGTATCACCAATCTAGCAATTTTGAATAAATTAGAAGAAATTATCAAAATTTTACCTTTGAAAGAAAAATCGTTCTTACCATATCATTATATCTAAAATTTTCCAGAATTTTAATTCTTTCATGCTGAGAAGTCCCTCCATATATAAAATATTTCTGTAACTTTAATGCATAGGCTCGTAAGGCATAGACATTGTCAGAAAATACAATTATTTTGTCGCCTCTCTTTTCATGGTAATCAATTAAAAATTGACAAGCTTGGAATCTAGAGAAATATTAAATATAAACAGAAAATCAGATAACCAATACTTATTAGGATTCATTATATAAAGAAGCATGCGCTTTCGAGAAGTCTCATTTAAATATTCATTATAAAATTCAGTAGTCATTGGACACCAAACTTCTGCACACTAAAAAAAATTGAGTACATATATATATTATCATATTCTATACCTGTACATTTGCAATATAACCCTTTTGTGCTAAATCTAGCCAATTCGCTTCATATAATTTCGGTCCAATCAAAAAATTAAGGTCATCAATTTTATCATCTTCACGAACAAGAGTAGCTACAAATCATATATAAATAGATACCTTAAAAAATAATTAATACCAGTTAATCCTAATTTTGCATGAGCAGCAACGGTCGTAATAACTCGGCGAAACATAATTGCAGGAACGACATGAACTTCATCTAATAACAAAAACCCCCACTCGCGTGATGTCAAAAAGTCTATAATTTTTTGAGAATCATGAGATCTATTCCTTGTATTTGCAATCATTGAATAAGTCGAAATAATTACGCCAGATTCACCCTTAAACTAAAAAAGTTTTAGATTATAATATCTTATAGTAAAATAAAGACCTTTTCTTTATTATCCGAAGTAAAAACTGCAATATCTTCATTTTTAATGTTACTCCATTGCAAAAATTGTTGTCTCCATTGCATAACAGAAACTCTATTTTATGAATTAAAAAAATATTTTTTTTGAAAAGAATCATACGAAGAAGTACATAATACTAAAACGCTTTTTTTAATTGTACACGCAGCCGTAATCCCAACTAAGGTTTTCCCTGTTCCACAAGGTAATACAATAATCCCAGATCTTGCACGACTACTATATTAATAAAGAATAAAAAATATTATAATATCCTTACCCATTACCAAACATTTTACTTAGCCCTTTTTCTTGATATGACCTAATTTGAGTAGAAGGTTTTAAATCAATTTCTAAATCAGGATTGGACGTATCATTCCGAAAATCATATTCTTCAAGCATGGGATAATCTATTTCAGAACAACGTTTTTTTACAATTTCAACTGAAGATGAGGGTATTTCAAATGAATGGACATTATCATCATCATCATCATCATGATCGATATCAATAGCAGGAAAAAGTTCACCTATTTCTTCCAAATTTTTAGCTTCATTTTGATCTATTTGTTTAGATGTTGATTCTTCATCTTTTATATTATCACCAGAATCATTATCTTTACTATTTTTGCATTTATCTTCTATATTCTTTTTCTTATCAGAATAGATATCATTTGTTTGAGAATTTAAAGTAGAAGAATATGATTTATTTCTAGACATTTCTGCTTCAAGTCGCAAAGGACCAATAACATCATCTTTTAAAAGCTTTTGTAAAATTTCCACATGAGAACTCTCAATAAAATATCGATTCTGTTTTAAAACTAATTTTATTTTTCCATATGAAATTGTATACATTCGAATAAATTCTATAATATTTTCCGGAATAGAAAATTTTGACAATCTATCAAGAACCGATATAATATCATCTGTTTCCAATCCAACAGAAACAGCTGCATACAAGGAATATGCAGTCAACCGATATTCATGAATATGTATTGGTCTTTTTTCAAAAAAAAAAAAACAATCAGTCAATAAATACAAAAGTAAATTTATACGAATACCGACTAACTGGTTCTGCAATTGTTATCAAAAAATCTTGTGCCTGTTCTGCCAAAGGAGAGAATGCTTCTAAAATAATTTTGCCATCATATGGATTAATCCATAATGGTCTTGATTCATGATCTGATTTAAGCTTTAAAACAGAACTAAAATCATTTTCTCCAAATATATACGCCACTGAATCATAACTATATTTTTGTTGTGTCTCTGTATTAAATGTATTGTTTCCATGATTTAACTTAATTTTAATCCGTGTGCCTTAAAATTAAATTAAATAAACACAAAAAAATGCACCAATAAATCTATACTTTTCACATCTTGTCCCTGAATATCTTTATTTCTTTTAAAGTATTCTTCATCTGAAAATTCTTGACAAACATAATCCGGTGTTGGTGATCGAGCTCTTCTTTTATTTTTGTTCGAATTAATGACCTCTAAATACAAAATAAACCTTTTATACGCTTGATATTAGATAATACATACCATCTGATGTCTCCTGTATATCATTTGTTAACATAGAAATTATTCGCTTTTTATGTAATTCTGATACGTCCGAAGAAATAGTATATTAAGTGGGGACGACTGATATCAATATCAATGAATAACTAATATATGTCAAATGATATAAAATACATGATATAAAGAGAAAAATGAGATATTATTCAAGATCACTTGAAGGAACATCAATATCATCTTTTTTATAAATATTGTTAGCGGGCTATATATAAGAATAAGATTTAAAAATAAAAAAAAGTTTACCTGCCAAACCATAACAATATTATCTTCAGCAGAACTTGCTAAAACCCATGGATCATTAAGATTCCAGCTAAAATCACTAACACGATTTGTATGTCCTCCATGCATAAACTGTTTAATGAGTTAAAATGAAAAAAAAAAATAAATTGGATTACTAAAAGTTCAGGAGGACCATCTTCAGCATCTTCAGGAGATTGCTCTTCACCAATTTTACTAAGATCCCATAAAATAATACGTCTATCGATACTTGAGCTAGCTAAAATAGTTTCTTCATGAGGAGACCAAGAAAGAGATGTTACTTCATCATCATGTCCTTCAAAAGAATGCAATTTAAGTTTTAAATTCCTTAAATCCCAAAGAGCAACTGTTTTATCTGCAGAGGCAGTTGATAAAACATATTCACATGCAGGATTAAAAGCTAAAGAATTAATTGCTTCAGAATGAGCATTTACTTTATGTGCAGCAGAAGTTATATTTGATGATCGAATATCATGAATTTGAAGATATAAATCATCAGATACTGATCCAAACAAAGAATCGTGAAGTGGATGAAAAGCAACATCCGTAACCACTGCTGTATGTGTTGTATAAATATGAATAGGTGATAAAATATTTGACCCTTTAGAATAAGCAGTTATATCCCTAATAATATGTTAAAAATTATTTTATATATTTAAATAGTTCATTCCAAAGACAAATAGTTGTATCTTCTGTGCCTGTTACTAAATACCCAAGTTTATGAGGATTCCAAGAAAGACCATACCTATATAATGAGAAATATACAATTATATCAAAATTATTACCCTTCTTTAGTGTGTCCTTTGAGTTTAATTTGCGGGTTACATGTTCCCATGGGATTAGATGAATGTTTTGTCCTATCAAAAATATAAACTTCGCCACTTACTGTCATTGTAGCGATAATATTAGGATTTTGAGGTTGATATCTTGCACAATTCACTTCACCTTCATGATCAATTTTTTGAACTATATTGATTTTTGCATCTGTTCCCTCATATCCTCCTATTTCTTCTTTTTCTTCATCATATTTTCGAATATCTATATCTGTAGAAGAAAGAGGAAGATGAACTTCTGCAAATTTCAAATAATTTTGATCATTTCCAGATGTATGTGTTCCTATCAATAATCTATGGACAGAATAACTTTTTCCGGGAACACTAATAGATTATTATTTTCATATTTAATATAAAGAATATTATACGTTTCTTTATCTGGAAACCATTGTATTGTTAAAGTAGGCCATTCCAGAGCATGCGTTACAATAAGATCATAAAGAAATGGAGAATTTTTCTTCCAAATTTTATACTCTAAGTCTCTTAATATATATTATTTTAACTTACTTTTTTCTACCTTCATTAATTAATTTTTCTGCAACAATCTTAAAATAATTATCAAAATAAAATAATAAGACATCATAATTTGTAGAAACTAACCTGTTCTTCCGCCTCTCTTTCATCTGCATTCACTAAAACATGTTAAAATATCTATTTTTAACAATTTTAAAAACATACTTGTCATTGTAGTGTCTTGTTGAAAATTCCCGTCTGATTCATTTCTTTTCTGCATGATTAAATTCACTTAATTTGTAAATTTAAGTCTATTTTTTCAATTCTTAATTATTTCAAAAACAATTTTAATAATTTTCAAAAAAATTGTCAAATTAAACCCTTTAAAAAAGTTAAAAATCAGTATAAATCTTCAAGTGAAACTTAACTTAAATATAGAACTGTTTATAAAGGGCTTTTATTAGCTTATTTATTTTATAATAACTTTAAAGGGTTTATTTCACTTACGTCAATAGATCAAAGATTGAACGTCAAGAATATTAGAAAATTAAAAATCCTAAAAATAAAGGATAATTTATAGGAAAAAGATACTAAAAAGAAGGTATAAATATCTAGAATGGGTATTCCAAAGGTATCATATTTTTTTTCGGGAAAAATAGATCTATATTAGCTTTATATTAGTTTTTTCGGTGGATCAGTGAGAGATATCCTATGTGTAGTCAATTAATTACAGAAAAAAGAGTTCCAGAGTATTAGATTCAAAAGATATTTCTACTATATTTTAAAAAATTGGGATAGATTTGATAATTTATATCTTGATATGAATGGTATTATTCACAATTGTACACATATGGATGAAAATAAGAGGGAAATTCCAGAAAATGAGGCGTTTCTTGCTATTTTTAAATATATAGAACATATTTTCGGGACAATAAAGCCTAAAAAGCTTTTTTTTTTAGCAGTAGATGGTTATATTTTCTGAAAAAGGTATATTTTATTTAAATATTCTAAATAGGAGTTGCACCAAGAGCAAAAATGAATCAACAAAGATCACGTAGATTTAGAGCAGCAAAGGAAGCATACGAATTCTATCAAGAAAAAATCAACAAGGGAGAAGAAGTTCCAAAAGAACCATTTGATAGTAATTGCATTACTCCAGGTATGGTCTACTTTTTTTTAATTATATATCTATCTAAATTGTCTAGGAACTATATTTATGAAGAAATTGTAACTAAGGAAAAGTTTATATTGTTTTGTTTAATGAAAGAATAGATCAGAACAATTAAAATATTTTATAAATAGAAAAGTATCTGAAGATGCAAACTGGAAAGAAATAGATATTATTTTTTCAGGTCATGAAGTCCCTGGAGAAGGAGAACATAAAATTATGGAGGTATATTCTTTCTTTTATTCTGTTATAATATTTAATATATTTATAGTATATACGACTTTCAAAAGCACAACCTAATTATGAACCTAATTTGCGTCATTGTTTATACGGTTTAGATGCAGATTTGATTATGCTTGGTCTCCTCAGTCATGATCCTCATTTTTGTTTATTGCGTGAAGAAGTTTTATTTGGTCCTTTAAAGAAAAAAAAACAGGAGTATTTTTATCTTTAAAATATATGTTTTTAATTTAATATTTTTTTAGACTTGAGGAGCAAAATTTCTACCTAATGCACTTATGTTTGCTTCGAGAATATCTTGAAATGGAGTTTCAAGAATTAAAAAGCATAGATGATTTTCCATATAATTTTGAAAAAATACTTGATGATTTCATACTCCTTGCATTCTTCGTTGGAAATGATTTCTTACCTAATCTTCCTAAACTTCACATTAACGAAGGTGCTTTAGCTTTAGTTTTTAAAATTTATAAAGAAGTAATACCAAAAGCCAAGGGTTATATTAATAATTCAGGCGTAATAAATTTAAAACATCTAGCTTTAATTTTGGAAGGATTGGAAAAACAAGAAAGAGAGGATTTTAAAGCTCATATGGAAAATAAAAGTTGGGTTAGTTCAAAAAAAAAAGAAATAGGTGAAGAAACTTGTTTAGTGAAAAAAAAAACATTAACAATGACATCTAATCAAAAGGAATTATTTTTAAAAATGGAGGAATTTCTTATACAAAATCTAAAGAAATTAGATTTTTCACCAACATTATCTACTGCAGATAGATATTTCGTATCTAAAATGGCGGATGATTTTCATGTTAAGTGTGAAAAATACACTTTAGATAATAAAACTTATTTATCTATTGAACCTTATAGTTCTTCGGAAATTCAAGATATGAATAAAATAGAATCAATTATTACTAAAGAACTTGATAGATATAAAAATTCTATTATATTAGATAATGAAGAAAGCTATTTTGATAAAGAAAACGAGGCATTTGAAGAAAAATGGTTGGAATGGAAAAACTCATATTATATTGTTAGTATTTATTATTTTCATTTAATATCACTTAATGAAGTTAGGAAAAATTAGGATTTTCTATTAATGATACAGAAAAATTAAGAGAAATGGCTGAAAATTATATACAAGGATTGCAATGGGTTTTGTTTTATTATTATAGAGGAGTATGTTCTTGGAGTTGGTTTTATAAATATCATTATTCCCCAAAAGTATCTGGTAGATTATATAATTAATAGTATATACATATTATAATATTTTTAGATATCAAGAGAGGTTTTGACGCAAATTTATCATTTAATCTTGATTCTCCATTCAAACCATTTGAACAACTAATGGCAGTATTACCTAAACAAAGCAGAAAATTAATTCCAAAAATATTTAGTGTAATTCATTTATTTCTATGATTTTACATAATATCTTTAGGATCTTATGGATGATGAAACTTCTCCTATACGCGATTTTTATCCTGAAAATTTTGAATTAGATATGAATGATAAAAAAGCTAGCTGGGAAGCTATAGTAAAGATACCTTTTATTGAAGAAGAAAGATTATTGAAAGCTATGAAAAGTATAATTCATTTGTAATTTTATTTTACTGCGCTTATATCCATTAGTAAAAGAATCTTTATTGACTGATGAGGAGAAAAAGAGAAATTCATTTGGATACAATTTAAAATATAGTTATGATGAAAATCTTGACTACATTTATCTACCATTTATAGATATATTCCCTATTATTCCTCACTGCCATTGTAAAGAAGAAGTTTATAAGCTTCCTGAGATATTAGGAGTAGAACAACTTGTACACGGATTATGTAAAGGTGTAAATCTTGGAAATATATCTCCTGCAGGATTTCCTAGTTTAAATACTTTGCCACATACAGGTCATCTAGATAATCAAAGAGTAAACGTTTTTAAATCAGAAAGCAAAAACGAGTCTATGATAATAACAATACAAAATCAATTAGATTCAGATACAATAGAAAATTTTTTGGAAAAGAAAATAGGAAAAAGAGTATTTGTTGGTATGTATCATTTATATATATTATCGATATATTAAAAAGATAAGGATGGCCATATTTGCATGAAGCTAGGGTAAATGCTGTTTCAACTGAACAATTTCGCTATGAATATCTTCCTTCATCCGAAAATTCAGATGTTATTATTTCTAAAACTTTAAATGATTCAGTTGCATGGAAAAAAAGTTCCTTAAAGCTTGAATTAAATTATAAAAAATACTTTGGACTAATAATCAATACAATTAAAGCTATTGTTCATGTTTCAATGTTGAAAGGATTACGTACAACTGAAGATGGTGCATTGGAGAAGGATTATGAACCTTGTAATAGTGAAAATTCAGAATATCCTTTACAACTTGTCTTAAACGAAGTAGCTGTTGAAGATACGCGATATATTGTAAAATTAACAGTATTTTAATATATTATTAATCTAAATCTAGGAAAAACCTCCTCTTGATATTAAGCAGGAGTATCCTTTGGGATCTAGAGGCTTTTTTCTTGGGAAATATAATTATGGAAGACCACTTGAAATAACTGCTCATAAAAATGGAAAAATTGATTGCTGGATAGCAACCCAGGTTGGTTTTTTATTATAATTTATTATCTAAGACATTTTAAAGACTAGAGAGCCTGATTTTGGAAAATTGATATATGAAAAGTTTTTAAAAGATATTCACTATTATCCATCTTATGTTGCATCCAAAATGGCAGGATTAAGTGGATTAGTATTTTCAAAAATATTGTCTAGTTTTTATGTGATGGTTGATAATAAAAAAGTAGATCTTGGACTGAATTTAAAATATGAAGCAAAAAAAATAAAAGTTCTTGGATATTCAAGAAAAACGGAAAAAGGATGGGAATATACACAAAATGCTATTAATCTTGCGCGGGAATATAAAGAAAGATTTCCAGATTTTATTCATTCAATCCAATTACATCTTTTTGATGGTATAAATTACACATTTCTTTATTTATCTTTAATTATATATCACTAGATATTCCTTTGATCAATAAATTAATTCCCAATGATAATTATAAGGAAAAAGTAAAAGATATTAGAAGTTGGTTAAAAATGATTAATGAAAAAAATAATTTTGAAAGAGCTACATTAGATGTCGAACAATTAGATAAACTTGCTATACAAACAATTGAAAAAGAATTAGATAAGATTGCAAAAAATATATCACTTTTTACTCCTAAACGCATCAATAATGTACCTAGGAATGCAATTTTAAAACCATCTCAATGCGAACTTAGGCTACATGATCAAGAGTTTTCCCTTGGAGATAGAGTTATTTATGTTCATGATTCCGGCAAAGTTCCAATAGCTACAAAAGGTGTTATTGTAAAGACAGGGAAAAAAGTAATCGATATTATTTTTGATGTCCCATTTATGAGTGGAACGACACTAGGTGGGAAATGTTCTGCATATAGAGGACTATCTGTAGAAACACATTTCGTACTTAATTTAACTAAACAAGCTTTACTTGTTTCTACAAAACCATTGGCTAACAAAAAATATGACAAAATAAAATCTAATGATCGTGTAGAAAATCCTGGAATTCTTCCATCTCAATCAATATATCCTTTTCAAAAAAATGTATACTCGAAACCATTTCAAACCGTACCACAAATATATCATTATAATTCAGAAAATCAATCTTTAAATACATCTTTAAAAAATAATCTTCAATCACATTTTCAAAATATTCCAAAACCGCATCATCTTATTCATTCACAAGTTCAAATACATTCCACAAGGAGAAAAATAGAAAAAAAAACATAATAAATTCAATATAAATATAAGGGGTTTTCAATCAAATTATACTCTTAAAAAATATTAAAATATAGTTTCTTTTCAAAAAAAACATTTATATTAAAATTTCATTTAACACGGAAAAAGGTAATCTGCCTGATGGACTGCCATTCCCCCATTTCAAAATACCTACTTGCGGCATTATATTATAATACATTGAAAGTGTTAAATTCTTATTCCTAAAAATTGCTAAATTATTTTTAAATAACTCTTAAAAAAATGTTACATAAAACTTCCTTCAATATCATTAAACGAATATACATTCTGTTGGTTCCGTATATGTATTATTGCATCTTTTTTACGACGAATTGTACGAGTCCATAAGATAATTTCATTATATGGCTAACTCTTATTAAAAACAATAATAATATATAAATATAAAAATAAACATAATTCTTTGATGAAACATATGATGCTACGACATAAATAAAAACCTGTTTAGTATTCCAATGAAATAATGGTGTAATATCTAACCAAATTAATATATAAATATTAAAGAAAAAATAAACCTGTATCAAGTTCAAATCTTACAAAGGCATATTCTTGCTTTATATTTCGAAATGAATAGGATATTCGAGCTATTTTCCTAAATACTGATTAATAAAATTAAATTAATTAAAAAACTTACCGTTGAGCTGAAATAAGATTTACATTAGAAGTTGCATATTTCTTATCAAAATAAGTTGATACAGTGATCCAAAGACATAAAAAAAAAAGTGCATTGATCCATAGGCTTGAAAGTGTATTAAGCCGCTGGATTGTAGAATACATAGCTTTAAAGTTAACGTTAAAGGGTGCCCGAAAGCAAACTTATAATTAATTCCTATTTTAAAAAATTAGCAAATATACAGCACATATACTGAGGTGCATATAATTCACAGTAAAACCGCATATAACTCGGTGCAGAATTGCATATAATCCGTAAAATAAGGGTATATTTTATGATATCAGAATATAATTTGAAAGAGTGATATAAATTAGGGAAACGGTAAATATGGTTTGTTTTATTTGATGATTTATTGAATTTATTAGAATTATATTTTTGAAGTTTATAGAGTTGAAAAATATTGATTATGGTATTATCTGGAAATACAACAGATAGTATGGGGAATTTAGAGATATCATCAAATTCAAATTTAGAGACAAATTCAGAAAATTCAGCGCTTATTGTTATATCTAAAGACTGGTCACTCCCACCTCGAATAAAACCAGGAAGAAAGCCATCAGAAGGTGAAAACGGGATATTTTGTTAAAAACAATATTCTAATGGAATATATTTAGAACCACCATTAACGGTACGTTTTTTTTGCTTTTAAAATGGCTTAATAGAGCCTGTGAAGTATATTTTTAAAGAGGAATATAATAATTCTGAAATTTAGAAAAGAAAAGCACAAAATAGAGAAGCGCAGCGTGCATTTCGTGAAAGACGTGCTATTCGAGTTTTAGAACTTGAAACTACGATTAAACAGCAACGTGATCATATGGAAAAATTGAAACAAGAATATTTGGGAAAAATACAATTTATAGTGTTAGAAAATGAAAAATTAAAGAGAAAAAACAAGCAACTTGAGGAACAAATTATATATTTAAAATCCAACTTTGAAAAAGCTAAAAGTTACCTTGACTTTAATACAGATGTCTTTTTTCCTTTTTCCAAAGAAGACCATTCAAATACAGCATCTATTTGTGATTATTCTAATTTAATTATTGGTATTTCTAAATTCTTTTTTTGTACAATAGTATTCATCCTTTTAGGAGAATCTGTACCATTAAAGAAAAAAAATACATCTAGAAAAACAAAAGATATGGAGCTTGATGATGTTTTGTTTCATAAAAAGGTTGTGAAAGAGTCAGGTTTTACTCATAATGTAGAATCTAAAGATTTGTATAATGATTTGGGTTTATTGGTGCATCAAAAGAATTCAGAAACTAATTATAGAGATCAAATAAATACAGATTCATCTTTAAGTTCATTATTTGTCCCTAAAAATGATAGCACAATGGAGGAAAATGATTGTGGATTCTGTATTGGTAATCCTGATCTATGTTTATGTCTTCAATCGCAAAATTTAAACAACGAGATGACAAATACCACTGAAGTAGATAAATATATTCTTCCTCCTATTTTAATAGACAATAATGATGAAAAAATGGCGGAGAAAATACAAAAAGATGTAGAAAAAACAGAAAAACTCAAGATACTTGAACCATCTAGTTATACAATTAAAAACGAATATGAACCTGGCTCATGTGCCCAATGCAAAGCGGATTCGTTGAGCATGCTTTTTTGTAAAACGTTTGCATCAAGGATAAATTATAATAGAGTTTCTTTCAAGTCTTATAAGGATGAAGAAAAATATAATTGTAATACTAATACTCTTACTAATAATAGTTTAAATAATAATAACTTTTTATCGTGTTCAGCAGCATATAAAACACTTAGTCAACATGAGAAATTTGTTAAAGAGAATTTTCGAATTATAGTTGATAATTTGGCTCCTGGATCTTGTGGAATGCAGATTCAAGCAAATAGAGTTCAGGAAACATTACGTTTGTTGGATCAATAGTTTGAAAGATTTATACATAATATTTTTATTAGATATCTCAAAAGATCTTATTTATTAGAACATGTTTTTAATAATATAATATTAAAGAAATTATTATTTTAAATAATGAATTTGTTATATATCCAATATGTTCAAGGATTTTAGTTTGTAGGGCAATTATATAGTATTTATATTTAAATTCTATAAAATTTCTCTGCTTAAAGAAATGTTTGTAATATTTAGATCTTTAAGTCCTATAAAATCATTTATAGATTATAAAAAATTTATATTATTTTTAATTATTTTGTTAAGTATGTAAAGGCTGAATTGTTAGAAAATACCTTTAAAATATGATTTGTATTAATATAAAAATATTATTAAAATTATAAATATATATCTAGAAAAACAATGACTATTTATGCCTTCTTTGATTATCTGAAAATCCATCAAACATGTTACCAAATTGAGACATTACATTAGGAAAATCTGGTATAAATCCTCCTGATTTTTTACCTCCCATAATTTGATTAGTCATCTTCATTATCTGAGACATATCCATTCCGGGAATTCCACTGGAACCACCTAAAGAATGTAATTGTTTCTGAATTGATAATAATTGTTGTGAATTTTTTAATACGTTTGGATTTTTTGCTAAACCACCTTTTCCTCCAACTTTCTTTGCTATTCCCGCTATAATAAGATGTTCAGATAGAAGCATCCTTACTTCGGAAACTGATGTACCACTTCCCACAGCTATTCTAGTAATTCGAGAAGGTTGAGTAATAAAAATTTTTCCATCACTATCAAGTTCTATATAATAAGCCATAAAACTAATAATAAAATAAAAATTACCCTTTTCAGTCATAGAATCCATTATATAAATTAATTTTTTAAACTTTCTTGAGCTTCCCTCAATTCCATCCATCATTTGACTTGTACCAGGTATCATGCTTAGTAATTTGGTTATTGGTCCCATCTATAATAATATAAATATATCATATATAAATGAAAAAACAACCTTCATAATACTTCCAAGATGATCTCTTAGATCTCTAATTGTAAATATACCTTTCTCTATATTTTTTAAAGTATCTTTGTTTTGATCCAATTTTAATGATTGTAAATGTTCCATAAAACCTTGAACATCGCCCATTCCTAAAAGCTTAGAGATAAATGAATTGGGAACAAATTTTTCCAAATCATAGATATGTTCACCAGTTCCAATAAAAACAATAGGAGTTTTTGATGCGGAAACTCTAACAAAAATGAGAATAACCAAAAAATATTTAAAAAATTACGCAGATAAAGCTCCTCCGCCTTTTGCATGTCCATCCATTTTTGTAATTAATATTGCACCAAAATCTACACTTTCTTTAAAGGCCTTACTTTGGAATTCAGCTGCTTGACCTATTTTTCGTAAATAATTATATAAAGAAAACAAAAAAAAAGATAAATATACCAATGCTTGCGTCAAGAACCATAATAGTTTGATTAGGTTTAATTGCATTAGAAATTTCTATCATTTCTTTAAATAATTCTTTTTCTTGTTTATGTCTTCCAGATGTATCAACAATAATGATTTCAAATCGTTCCTTCTTGAATTTCTCAACACCATCACGAGAAACAACAACTGGATCTGTTTCTGTATAACTACCAAAGTATGGAATCTTGGCCTTAATTGCATTTTGTTTTAATTGATCAAATGAGCCTGCCCTAAATGTATCGGCACAAACTAAACATGATTTAAATCCTTTTTGTTGATAATAATATGCAAGCTAATTTTAATAAGATAACTCTTATTAAAAACAATTAACTCACTTTTGCACACGATGTTGTTTTTCCACTCCCTTGCAACCCAACCATTAATATAACATTAGAAATCCCCTTCTTTGGCTTGTATGGCTCACTATTTGGGTCTACTAGACTACATAACTCATCAAAAACGGTCTATTCTCCGTCATAATTCATAATAACATCCCCATTTTCAAATTATACCTTATAAATAACTCGTTTTTTATTTTTCAATGATGTTAACTTATTGAGATCTATCTTCTTTTTGATACTATCCCTCAGGTTTTGAACCAAGTTTAGACTCACATCATTTTCAAGTAATGCTGAACAAATCTTTTTCAACAATGTATCTAAAACCTAGGAAAAAACAATTTAACCATAACATATAATATAAAAAATATATTTTATACATTTTCATCAACTGATTGCGTCTTAATCAACTCTGTCATAGCCGTAGTAATACGGCTACCTAAATTTCCTAAAATCATCATTTCTCATCCGTTTTTTTTGCTTTTTCCACTCTTAAAACTCCTAATATACAAATCCTTCTATATTTTTAATTTAAATAATACGTTTTTCTGTCATTAACCCTCTTTTTTTCCCATAAATTATTAAAAAATATTTTATGACGTAGCTTTTTAAAATTTATCGATTTTTGAGCTTTAAACACCTTAAAATATTATTTCATTTTTATATATAAAATATTCATTTTCTTCCTTATTTACATTCTAAATCCCTCTTTATTTCTACTTTTACCCCTTAATTTTGATTTTTATTTATAACCTCAGTTTTTGAGAATCTGAGGCTTCTCGGCGAAACGTCAAGATTTTGATAAGACAGAGATGGTGCTTGTAAATCAAGAAGTTCCTAATAATTTATCAGGAAATAATGGAAAACGTAAGATAAATAAAGGTAAAAAGGGTTATGATGGATCTTGGTGGGAAGCAACAAAGATTATTGGTGAAAGAAAGAATGAATATAAGGTATCATGGGCAGGTATTGATCCAAAAACAGGGAAAAGATATGAGCCGTGTTGGGTAGGTTTTTTTAGAAAAAAAAAAGAATATACACGGGACATAACTTATGGAATAATGAATTAGGTTCTAAAGAGTGATTGTACTGAAGAACTAATAAATACATGGCATAAAAATCATAAGCAACATAAAGTAAAAAAATCAATTAATATAGCAAAAAAGAAAGGAATGAAGAATATTTATACGAATAAATATAAGAAGGAAGAAACAAATGATGGTAATTTTGGTAGATATTTTTTTGTATGGAATATTTTTAATTATATAAAAGAATATGAATCGAATGTTTTTAATGAAAAAAAATACAAGAATAATAGGAAAAACACGGATAACATTTGTGAAATAGATAAGTTGAAAGAGGATAAATTAGAAAGAATTGACTCGGAAAATGGAGATCTATTATTTTCATCAGTTGCAAATTCTCAAAATAATACGTATTTCGAGCCATATGAATCGTTAGAATATACACAAGAACTTCCACAAATGATACATTCTGACACGCCTGTCTATGAAAAATCTACAAATGCTAAAATTCTTGGTGATATGGAAAAAACATATCATGCTTCACCTACGAAATTAGATAACATATTACCTTCTATAGATCTAAACACGGAGTTAAAATATGATCCTTTAGAGACACCTATGACTGATATTGCTATGGGTCGTGTTTTTAATTTCTCCGAATTTTCAAAAAAGCCATTGAACATAGAAAATGATCAAGATATATTACTTGAGGATACGGCTTCTTCCATATATCATATGGCAAATGATAATAATATAAAAACATCAAGTTCTCGAATGGATATGTTTTCAAAACCTGGTTCTATTGATAATATTTCAAATGTCTCTTATGATAAATATAAAAAGGAAGTTGATAATAATGACGAAAAAACTGCTGCTTTAAAAGAGAAAAACGTTTCAAAAACACAAAAAAGATTAAAGAAAAATCATTGTGATAATATTTCTAAAAATTATCATCAGCAATTAGAATCACCTTCACCTTCTGAAAAAGTCTCGACATGGCTTTCTAATAATGAATCTATACAACTTAAAATTCTTAATGATTCTCATGTTCAAACATATACTCCTATAGCAAATATACAAGAAAACAGATTAAATAATATTGAATATAATTATCTTGATTCGTGTATTTCCATCGAATCAGAATCTCTTTTTAGTGTTGAAAAAGACAATATTTCTATGAAATCTAAAATTTCCGACGAAGGAATATCAGAGAAATATGATAATAATACTTCTACTGTATCTGCATTCGATGATTTTATTGTTTCTCTTAGATCAGTACAAAATAAACCTCATATTTATTTTTTTGGTATCGAAATGAATAATACACAGAGAAATATGTATCTTCAACTGATATTGCAATATAATGATTTGCTTCAAGAATTTTGTTCGACACTTAATCCTGATAAAACACTTATTAAAAAGGCTCAACGATTTATAAATATATTAACTATGCTAACAATTCATCCTTATCTTATTTTTAAAGATAAATTCGAAAATGAATTTCTCGAAAAGATTGAATTAGAAAATTTGGTGCATTCTAGTCCTAAATTTATATTTCTTGCTACTTTTTTAGAGAAATCTAAAAACCTTGAACTTGTAATAGGAATTAGTTCTGACAATGAAATGTTATTGGTATTTCCCTAACTAATTATATTAAAAGTTTTAAATAATTAGGATCTTATTGAAATACTTATTAAGAAATTAAATATATTATACTTAAAAACAAATCAATATTCTGAAAATATTAATATTCGCAAAAATATAAAAGTACTTTTAATCGCATATGGAAAGGGTAAAGGAGAGAATCTTGAAGTATAATTAAATTATTTTTAATAAAAAATCTTAACATATTTTAGATTTATTCTGATATTGTGATTTGTATATATACATCGACCCATATATTATCTATACGTAATTTTAATTATTCCTCGGATGATAAAATAAAGAACCATATAATTCCCATTACAATTAATTCAGTAGAACATATTCAATTATCCGTTATGAAAGATATTCCTCAAATTTTATATTTTCAAAACGTTGCTAAAATTACCATATTACTTCGTAAGTTTGCTGGAATATTACCCAGTAATCAGTTTTTTAGCAATGAATCTCCACAATTGGTTTACAATTGGATTAAGGGAAATTATAAAGATAAATGGATGTTACCAAGAGTATCAGACTTAAGAGAATTGGCAATTACATTAACTCATAAGGATAGTAGATTAATATCAGAAGAGCAACTTAATTATTTACTTGAATTAAAAGAAAAAATATATCAACATGATAATTATTTATTTAAAGTTCATCAAGAAATACATGATACTTCTAACATAACTTCTAAAAGTGATTCATTTGATAGTAGCGATAAAAAGATTTTGGAGGATCTTTCTTCTCAATTTGAAATATCTCAGTTACAATCTAATGTTTGTGATTTTTCTGCTAATAATCGATTAAATTGTTTAACATTAAGCTCTGAAGCTATTCAAAGATCTTGTTTGGATAATGTTAAGATCTCTAGTAATACAAAAACCGAAAAAGTAAGAATCTATTCGTTTTTTTCATTTTTTTAATAAAAATAGGACCTTTTATATATAGAAATAAATGATCTAAAAAATAATCTTTTTACTACTCAAAGCTTGCTCAAGAATACAGAAAATGAGCTTTTAAGCTTTAAAATTTCTACTGATCGTTTACAAAAACGATATGAAGAGATGCAAGAACAATATAGGAATTTAAGTTTAGAATTTAAAAATATTGTTAATATAAAAGACGAATTACAAAAGAGCTTAAACAATCTTCAGGAAAATTTTATAAATGTTCAGAAAAATCTTGCTTCGTCTTCTGAAATGGAAAAATTGAAAAGAAAATCACTTTCTTCTGAGAATCAAGAAAAAGTATCTACAAATACTTCGTTTGTTTTAGAAAAGGAGTATCTTTCTGAAGAAAATTCTCGTCTTAAAAAGATTATTGAAAATAAAACTTTTGATTTTGAATTTTTGCGTTCACAATATCAAGAGGCATCTTCATCAGCATTAAATTTAGCTAATGAAGTTAAACAATTAGAAGCTGAAAATGCTCTTTTAAAAAATAAAGCAGAAGGGGAAGCATTGCGTCTAAAAGAAATAATGATACAATTATTAGAAAAAAAATTGGATGAAAGAATTGAAGAATTAGAAATTCAAAATTCTTTATACTTAAAACAGCTAAAACAAAAAATGAATGATGAATCGACTAAACATTCATATCCTTATGAACCTTATCAACTAATTAATATGTCTCAAAATACTAAAATGATTCCTCGTAAATGTTTAATCAGAAATATAAATATTCAAAGTTCAGAAGATTTAAATGGTCGTTCAACATCTGAAATTGCTATTAATATTAATGAATTGTAATTTTTTGAAAGCATTAATAGGATTTTTTGGTTCATATGTTTTTAAAATATAATTGTCCTATGTTTTTATTCATATTATTCATATTATTCATATAGGTATTTTTTTAATAATTACTTTGTACGTTTCTAGATTTTTAATTATTTTGATATCTTTTTTTTGGAATTACTTGATATGAGAGAGTTATTACTTTGGAATTCATATATTTATTTTATAATTTAATTGATTAATAGAAAAAATATTTTTTTAAAAATAATGAATGATTTCTAAAGACATTTTAACTATTTAAAAAATATACAATACATTATTTTTGTAAAAAAAAAACTTGAATAAAAATATTGAAAATAAATTTAAAATAACTTATCTTTTAAATAAGAAAATATTAAGTTTTTTAATATATACAGGAAAAAAAGTAAAATATGCTAACTATATTAACTATGCTAAATAGTATGATATAATTATTTTCTTAAAAATACATAATCAGCTCATCACTATCATCATCTATAATATCTTCTTGATTTAAATATGCATTGTCTGTATTGTTTTTTGGTATAACTAAGGATTCACTCTGTAAATGTTTTATTAATAGACGAAGTTCACTTCGAAATGATGATATTTTTTCTTGTCCCCAAAGATTTTTAATATCAGAAGAAATAGAAGTTTTGTTATGATGATTCAAAATAAGTGGCAAAACTCTATCCGGATTATTTAAAAATTGTTCAACATAATGAAGTAAGAAGACTCCACAATCACAATAATTACTCTGTTGAGGAACGTTTGCATGTATTCCCGCTATATCTGCCTTATTTAATTCTAAACCGCGTTTATCTTTAGCTTCTTCATAAAGATAATCACGCAAATTTTTTAAAGTTATATTATGTTGTCCTCCTAAAGAATCAAAAATAATAATAACAGGTTTTCTAATAGGAATATTACTTTTTTTCGATAATTGAGTGTAAGATTTTTCTATAGATTTTTCTTGATTATGTTTTTTTAAAATAGATATATCTTTGGAAAGTCTTGATAATTGAGAGTTTTCAAAAAAGCTTTTAAAACTAGTTTCTTTACTATCAATGCCAGTATCTCTATGTTTATCCTTTTCTTCTATCAATTCATTTTCTTGAAAGTCCGAAAAACTGTTGGAAATATTATATTTTTTGTCATTTTGATAAAAAGATGAATTAATAAACATTTCTTTTTTTGGTGAGAAAAAAGAAAATATTTCGTTTCTAGTATTTGATTCTATATTTTTTTCAGAGTTTTGTACAAGATGTTTATCTGACATTGTATCTAAGTTACATATTATTGCTACATACCAATGAAGACTACTTTATGTTAATAATTAATAGATAAAAATAATTATATGTTGAAACCTTTCATTTACTGGAACAACAACATACTTTTTAGCAAAAACATCAATTTTAGTTTTGCTTGTCCATTTTTTGACATTTTGATATCCACCTTTCTTGCTATTTAATGTTATTTCTTTTTAAATAATTTATAAAATAAAGATACCCTGAACGATCTTTATCTACAAGTTTTTTATAAAAAAATGTATTAAATATATGTGACTCATCTATTTTAGAAGGATCTTTCTGAAAAAGCTTATTTTGAATATATCTACATATAAAATTAATAAATTAAATTAATTTGCAAGAAATACTTCAGATAAAAGTCTATTATTGTATCATTTAAAAACTCACCATCATTTAATCGCTCTATATCATCATCATAAAGAACAACAGGAGGATAAATTAATCTTCTAAGTAATATAAATACTCTTATATTTTTGCTAAAAAAAACATACGGTTCATTTTTCTCGCTTGTTTTTTCATCTTTTTTAGATAAACATAAAGGCTTAGAATTTACTCGAGGTACAGATTCATCTAGTTTTTGACAAAAGTAAGGCGATGTTTCTGATGCATTAGTATTTATTTCATTTGAATTTATTAAATGATATGAAGGACTTAAAGTTTTTTTTTTAAATGGATTAACTGATTTCTTAAGGGATAACATTTTTTGAGCTTGTTCTGGTGTAAGTCTATTAAAAAAGATCAATTTCATGTAAAAGATTGAAAGAAAAATACTCAATAAGATCTACATCAGGACATGAATATTGAAGAATCCTTAAAGATTTTAATTTTTGCGTAGTGACTATTTGAATAAGATATTCTGTCCCTGGACCATTCAATTTTGCTAAAAAAAGATATTATAAATAAATTGTTCTAATCAATAAACATACCATTCCTGTTTTTCAATCTAATATAAAGCAAGCCATATTGATCAAATTCATACTTTAAAAATCAAGACAATTAATTTATAAGAATAAAAACCTACTGCTATATTTCGAATTTCATTTGCATTATAATTATGATATGGCAATAATTCGCCATTTTTTTGTAATGCAAAACCCTTTTTTGAAATCATTAATTGCATATTTGTTGAATCTTCAAGAAATTTTCCAGTATACCAACTCTTTATATCAAGGATACGAACGTGACTTTCCTTTTCATCTGTTTTCTTTCTTATATTGTCTTTAAAGAAGGATATTTTTGTATCTCCTAAAGTAAATCTTGATTTTTCGATCATTGTTTTACTTTCTTCCGTATTTTGTTTCTCCCAAGATGTAGAAAAAGACGGACTAGATGAAAAATTTGTCGATTTTGGTGTATTAGAATGATGTAAATGGTTTGTTATGATTTCATGAAACATATTGGAATCATCCAAATTATCATGTTTTGGTGTACAAAGAGTAAACACTTTTTGAGACTCTACATTATTAATATCTATGTTGTAAGTCATTTTCATGTTTGATTAAGAAAAAAGGTGCTATAAACCTGAATTTGACTTTTCAAATGAAGATAAATGTGTATCATCTGAAGCTATTTCTGAGAACAAATTACGAGTTGGAGAGAATTCCGAGGAAAAACATGACTCCTCCTTATTCAATGTATCTTTATATTTCTTTTAATCTTCTTTTAAACTAAATTCGGAAATAATCTCACTTTTTTCTTTATTTTTAAGATAATTTACGGATAAAAAAGAATTTTTTCTGGCTCTCCCCCTCCTTCCATATGTCTGTTTAGCTTTTATCGGGGAAACAAATGAATTATAAGGTGAATACGGACTTGAAAAACGATATCGATGAAATGTTAACTTTCCATACCCACAATCTCCCGTACTTTGATATGTCTAAAACTTGATTGGTCTTTTCTTACTAAATAATTTTATTTCTTTTATTTACCGCCCTACTTGGTACACGAATTGGTGTTGCGTGAGATGAAAAACTTCATATAAATTAGAAAACATATATTAATGCATTTTCTATGCTATTTAACGCATACTTTTCATGGCATTTTAGATCCGAGGGTGACAAATGATGACAATTAGGTGATTTTTCTGATGATATCCATTCATGATATGGTGTTTGTCTCTCCTTTGGCATTTTTACCTAAATATATGTCAATTTGATCCAAAGTTATCCCTTTTTTCTGGAAAAGAAACGAACAAAAATAACTCCTTCTTGAGATGGAGAGCTCATCTCTAAAAAAAAATCCTTTTATATATCTTTTTTTCGCTTTTTTTTTACATTATTCTTATTATATATGTTGATTGAAGTTCCTGGTATTCGGGACAAGACATTGCACGTGACATTTATTTTTTTAAAAAAAAATCAAAGATATAATATAGATATATAATCTATAACTATTCTATAATTTAATTATATCCTTATTTATCAATTTTATCCTTAATTCTTGTATTTTTTTATAAATCTTATTTGTATTTTTTTAGAGAAAAAATTTACGTATAATCCAATATATATTATAAATATACAAAGTTTAGAATTTAATTTAACTTCTTTTATCTTGTTTCTTTTTACTAAAAATAAATATTTTTTCTTAAATATTATAATTTTTGATTTAATGTTAGTCAATCTATATATACGTATATATGTTGAAATTTTAAAAATATTTCAAATGCATATACTGTGCATACATTACGCATATATTACGCATATATAATGTAAAAATAGAGATTATAGACTTTTGAATGATATAATAACAATTTACCATTTTTCTTCGGAACATCAGTTTCTTTCGAGCAAGAAATACCCTACTTTTTTTTCTTTGATCATGCAATGGTTTTTTCTTATTTTTGCCTTTATTGCAATTGTTAAAGGAACAACTTTAACAATTCAACTTCCTCCTAATAAAAAACAATGTTTTTATACTTTCGTTGATGAAGTTGGTAAAAAGGTTATTTTTTATTTCGCGGTATAAATAACAGTGTATGAGCCAAATTAGTTTATCTTATATAGAATAGGTTCGATCAGGCGGTTCTTTTGATATTGATTATCAAATCTTTGATACAAATAAGAATATTATTTTTAATGGTGTTAAAGAAAAACAAGGAGATATTGAATTTAACGCAAAATATAAAGGCGAATATATGTTTTGTTTTTCTAATGAAATGTCGACTTTAACAGATAAAATCTTGGATTTTCAAATTTCAGTTGAAAATGAAGAACGAGCAGTTTTGCCCCAGGGTGGAAATAATGTTAATGAACAAACAGAAACATTAGATGAATATTTGTTAAGAATTTCAAAAGTTTTTTCTATAATTCGACATTCACAAAAGTATCTTAATTTGCGTGAAAATCGTAATTTAAGTACAGTTCAGTCGACAGAAGCACGTATTTTTTGGTTCTCCATTACCGAATCCATTCTTATTCTTATTGTATCTGTTTTACAAGTATTAATTCTCAAAACTTTTTTTACAAGTAAAACCATATTAAAAATATAAATCAATGAATTATATTAATAAATAATTTTTTATCTATTATTCCCTTTTTTGTTAGAGCTGTGTTGTATGCTTCTTTGTATATAAAAATTAAAAATTGAAGATATATGCAACTTAAAAAGGATCTAGAAATTCTTTTGGATAATTCTTAGATTATCCTTTGATAAAGATTGCCTTTTCTCCATGTCTTCCAGTTCTGACGGTTTTGTCCAGATGATCTAGTCCAAGTAAATCATCAGAATTTCTTAAGATGTCATATATAACATCATCTATATCATGTTATTTCATGGATTTTATAGATATGCATTAAATTTATTACCATCTTCCAAATAATGAGGTTTTGCAAATGATGTTTGTTGGATTACAGCATACCTGACTTTACCCATGTCTTTCTCTTTCATACCTGTACGTTTTAAGAGTCTTGCTTTTGTTTGATTAAATTTTTCATTCTATCAAGAATAAGATAAAAATGAAGTTTGAAAAAAAAATAAATTACAGGTTTAATAATAAATCGAAACGGGATCCCATGTGATCTTGCTGGTTCTTTTTGAAAATGATAAACATTTATATATTGATCATCTTTTTCCAAATTAAGTTCATCTTCTGGTATCATTTCTGCATATAAAAGAAGAAAATCTTGTAATGAAGCAACGGGATATGATAAATCAAAATCTTTATAGACTCTGTTTAAATGAGCCCCAAATATATGAAAACGGTCTATAAGATCGGAAGATAAGTTTAATTTTTGTATCAAAGCTTGAACGACATCTTTTAATATTCCAGTTTTAGGAACAAGTACTTCTATTAATTCCTAATTGCATGTCATTCTTTAGTAATCCGATTATATAGGTTTAATATACTTCTCTTGTTATACCATCTGGCAACCATCCAATCTTCAGTGTTCGTTTAGTTTCCAATTCACTAAGGCTTATTTCTAATACTTCATAAAATAATATATTCAATGGAGACTGTAAATATGCTGACTGAAGAATATTTTGTAAAGTTAAAGAAGGAACTCTTTTTACTGTAAATTTAGGCATTTGAGTAGCAGAATTAATTGTTGTAAAGCGGATATGTGTCGATGGAACATTTAAACGTTCTCCAACTTTAAAAGAAAGCTAAATTATTAACGTTTATTTATAAATAAAAATTATAATATTATTACCACGTCATATGTCGTTTTTCTACTTAATACTAAGTCAAATTCTTCCGTTACATCTTGGTCGAGATATCTGGGTTTAAATGACAGTGTTATTTTATTTAACAAGAAATCGTAATATTCAATAGCTGATCCATAGCCTCCATCAGATAGAATTTCTTCTATCCTATTATTGTTAAGCATAAAAAAATATATACTCTTTTAGTATTACTCTTCTTCAGAAATAACTTTTTGAAAACAAATAATGTCTCCATCTTGTATCTCTGCTTGATAAAATGTTTGTTTTAATTTCATCATTTCAATCATAGTTGGCTTGATTTCCTATATATAAGGTTAAATAATTGCTAAAAAAGTACTGAAATATACTTCATAAAGCTGAATTAATGTTGTAGAAGGCCAGTCCATTAAAGAACAAATAATAGAGATAAGCGTTCCAATTTTATCATGTTTATTAATATAAATATGTGAAACCCCATGCAAAAGTTGCTTTTTAATATCAAAATGCTTCAAAAATATCAGAATTTTTGCATTGTTTCCCTGTGTTTCTAAAGAATTCCATGATTCTAATAAAGTATCACATGAATCCGCAGAAAATAGCTCCATATATAACAATAAATCCCCTTTACGAGGAAGCATCTTATCTCTAATCATTTCCAATGCTTGAAGGGTTAGAAAAGGTATAAATAAAAGCTAATAAATACTTAATGTTGGATCATTTTCAGGAACAGGCGTATCTGGTCTAATAGTCTTGTTCTGACGATTTACCATTACCCAAAATTTAATATTTTTTGAATCTATCCCATGATTTTCAGCTATTTGCATTTTAAAATTTGTAAATAATGTTTCTTTAAGAATTTTATGGGTAGAAAATAGGCAAACAGGAGGGTCCCTTTCTTCTATATTTGAAAGATCAAAGCCTTGATGCGCTTTAAAATCTTCATCTGTGACAATTTTTACATAAAGATATAAATGCATTTCCTCTCGTTCTTTTCTTCGTGCTTCTAAAGCAGCCTTTTCCGATTCTAATCTTTTACCTATCCAATATTAATATTTTTTGTTTGAATCTTAAAATATATACGAAGATGTTCAGGTATATCTGATTCTACAACAGGTTTCAATATTTCGTCTAGTTCATTTTCACGGAAATAAACTAACATATATGCATTCATATATCTTTTTAAAGAGGAATTGCGAGAATATGGGTTCTTTATATAGTTATTTGTAGGTGACATATCTCCTCCAAAATTTTCATCAAGAACTTCTTTAAGAGTTGCCTTTGTTACTCTATCATCATCAAATTTATACCAATGGCCTTTTTTTTCTGGTTTAAGCAAAGCATAATAGTGCCCGCCATGTAAATCACCACTGTGTACAAGAACTCTTTCAAAAATTAATACAATTATAGCCTATAAAATATAATATACCCATGTAGTTTATATATATGTGGTTTTGATTTATTTGCATCATCAGACAAAAACTCTTCAAGATCTATTTCTAATGGAAATTCATGATGATCATTAATCTTTAGAATGTCAAAAATAAAAAAAATGTGTTTCAATCGTAATTACCTTAACCATTGTATCACGTTGAAGATCATATTCAAATCTTTTCAATTGTAAATGTAAAACTGGTGGAAATGACTGAAAAATGACACCCTTTTTCGCATCTTGAAGTCCATATCCTTCTGCAAAATACTTATTATCACCATCTAATGTTTCAACCTGAATGTAATCCCGAAATGATTCTCTAAGAGTCTTCATTCCTTTAACATTAAGCTGGATATCTGAAAATAGGGTAAATATAATATCAAAAATTGCAGTTAGATACCCCAAAAATCTTCACTTCGAGATGATTCATAGTCAACATTTACACATTTAATATAACTTTTCATTTTTCCTACAAAAAGTTTGCTAAGAGCATTTTCTGCCTCAGAATTTTTCATTTTTCCTTCCAAATTATCCTGCAAAACTCTATTAAATTCTTGGATATCATGTTGCATAAACGAATCTAATGTATCCCATCCAAACGAACGAGTTAATTCAATGGTGCTCACGGGCTCTGAAGATGTCTGTAAAAGGTAAAAAAGTCTTTGAAGTGCCAATGCAATACTATCATTGGGTTCATCTTTTTCAGTAGGTATCATGTATACTGCCTAATATAAAATTAGTAATAAAATATTTTTTTTTTGTCTTTACACGCCGAAAAAAATTTGTAAAATAAAGGGATTGTAAGAGAGAATTCATATAGCAAGTTGCTCCTTGATTTTTGAGACCAACGTATCCTGTTTCTTTTCTTGAATTGTAACTTTATTAATAAATAAGCAATAGTTTCGTATTTAATAAAGAAGTAATTTACTTTATAAAACTATGCCATAAAATGCCTGTCGAATCTTTAACAATTCGAAGATATACGGTTATTGATGTTTCGTCATTCTCAATAATAGAATGATTCCGATCTTCAAATCGCATCATTAATTTACGGAGATCATAAAAACGTGAAAATCCCCAATCTGACTCTTCCGGAATAAATCGATGAGTAGCATCTAAATAAACATCAAACATGAACCTTTTTTAAATTCATCTGAATAATACAATGATGTGTCCATACTGATGGGTCATTTTTGTTCCACATAACAATACAAAATTGAGCACAACAATACCAGCTAGCTGACCGATCTGAAGGCTGACACTCCAAATAAATAGAAAATTGATCACTTTGATAATTTCCAAAAGGAAAAACAAGTATTCTCCTTCATAAAAATATTTAGCTATTATAATCAAAAAAAATATATTAAATCCACCAAATAAAATTCCCACTCGCAAATTCTGGGCTATACGCTTTCCTTCCAAGGCTTTGCCAACTCTCAACATGCCATGTAAAATGTGTCTCACATATTGTTTCAAGATCTGGTAACGTCGGTAAAAGTTTCATCGTCATTTTTTCAACTAAAATAATCTCAATTCTATTCACTAAATAACTTCTAGAAATACATTCATTTGCTTTTAATGTCTTTTCTTCTTGGTCTAGCTCCATCGCCTGTCCATAAATTCGTGTTAGCAATATCCCTGGATTTCCCTGTAGACGCTCATTCTCCTCCTAAAAAAAAGAGTATTTGTTAATTCTTTTTAAATATAACTAGACCCTATTCTATTCCTTACCAAGTCATTCATATTTTCCTTATAAAACTACTATTTCTGAGATTTTTCTACTCCGCTTTTTTGTTGTTAGATCTGAGACCTTCGAACGAGGTAGCTTTTTCAGCTTTTCGTGCAGAGATTAGGCTTAAGAATTGAAGAAATTGGAAAAAAAAAACAGATAAAATTGGAAGAACTTAAACTAATCTACTTGTTTTAATCAAAAAAATAATTTATATTGAATTTTATGTTTTTTTTTTTTTTTAAAAAAAATTAAGATCTTTTTTTTAAAAAAAAGATTTTATATTATTTTAGTATATTGAAGGTATTTGTGTATTTGTTATTGAAGTGATTTTTTTTGAATTCTTTTGATTGATAATTTATATAGTAGCCATTTTTCTCTGCCCGTCGAGACAAAAATTGGACGACATAAAAAAATGAAAGTTGCCTTTCCTCCAGTTTTTGGCAAGGAAACGTAAGTTTTTTATTATATTAGTTATTTTTTTTAGTATTTTATGTAAGCAGGCATTTAAATGGCGAAAAAGCGGTTTTAAAAGAGGCATTTTTGGGCTCAAAGGTGGAAAATAAAGAAATAAATCAAAATGGATTAATATCAACAAAAATACCACCATATGGGCAGAGAGAAGGATGGATTCCTAAGAGAATTGAAGATTTTGAAGATGGAGGGGCTTTTCCAGAGATTTTAGTGGCACAATATCCCTTACAAATGGGTCTGAAGAAAATGACAGCTGGAGCTGCTTTAGCAATTCAAGTAGATGCAGAAGGCAATATAAGGTATGATGCAATTGCACGCCAGGGCCATGATCCGGATAGAATTGTGCATTCTTCTTTTAAAAGCTTAATTCCTTTACGACAGAGAGCAGACATTGGAGAAATATCATTAGAACGACCATCTATTGAAGAAGTAGAAGCTACAACAGAAAGAACTCGTCGTGCATTAGAAAAAATTATAACAGGGCAGATTGCGGCATCAAAACCGAAAACTATTCAGACACAAGAAAAGCATGAACCAACTTTTGTTCGTTATACTCCATGTAATCAAATGGGAGAGACCGCTGATGTTGTTCATCGTCAGCGGATTATTAAAATGGTGGAAATGCCACAAGATCCAATGGAACCGTTAAAGTTTAGGCATAAAAAAATTCCTAGAGGACCGCCATCTCCTCCGGCGCCTGTAATGCATTCTCCCCCAAGAAAATTAACGGCAAAAGAGCAACAGGAGTGGGTTATTCCTCCTAGTATTTCAAATTGGAAAAATGCTAAAGGTTATACAATACCCCTTGATAAACGATTAATAGCGGATGGTCGTGGTATGATGGATGTTCAAATTAATGATAATTTTTCAAAATTATCTGAAGCACTTTATGCTGCAGATAGACATGCTAGAGAAGAGGTCAGAAAGAGGGCGCAGATGCAACATAAGATTGCTCAAAAAGAAAAAGATGCTAAGAAAGAACATCTTCAAGAACTTGCAAGAAAAGTAAGGGAAGAACGTCATATGTTGCAGCAAAAGGACTCAAGTAATGCTTCGGAAGCTACACGTTCTGATGAGGATGAAAATTCAGAAGATGAAAGAGCTGCTAAAGAACGAGAAAATCTTCGTAGAGAACGTCGAAGGGATGTAGAACGACAAATGCGTATGTCTCGCATGGGTGCTGAACAACGTCTTAAAGTGATGGCTCGTGAACAAAATAGAGATATATCTGAAAAAATTGCACTTGGTCTGGCTAAGCCAACTCTGTCTAAAGATAGTCTTTTTGACAATAGACTTTTTAATCAAACAGCTGGATTAGATTCAGGATTTAAAGATGATGATACTTATAATATATATGATAAACCGTAATATCTTAGTATTTTAAATTTTTAGTTAATTTATTTCTAGGTTGTTTGCTACTGCTGCTGCAGTACAATCTATATACAGGCCTAAGGCAAATGATGTTGATGAAAATCCTGATGAAGAATTAAATCGTGTTACTCGTGAAAGCAGATTTGAAGTTCTTGGAAAAGCCACCCATGGATTTAAGGGTGCAGATTTGGCTGAGCCAAGAGATGGCCCAGTACAGTTTGAGAAGGATTCTGATCCATTTGGAATTGATGCCTTTATTGCTAGTGCAGCAGCGAGTGCTTATGCAAAAAGGAATCTTGGTCTAGATACAAGTACAACAAAAGATTCGAAAAAAACAAAATTAGAAAACAGTCAATAAAAAAGTATGAAAAGCTATAAAGGTAATTTGTTTACAATTAGCCTATTTCTAATAATGATGTATATAGTTATGAATAATTTGTGTGTTTGTATATATAAAATTTTTTTAATTATGACGCTCCCCATACAGTAATTTCTCCATTTACTCCACAACTAAGCATTTGATTTTTCTTGGGATGAAATGCAACACAGCTGACACATGATCTTTGCGAATTTTCCGGTGCAAATCGTAATTGATGAATTAGTTTTGCTTCTAAAAGATCCCATACACAAATGCGGCCATCTTCGCTTCCACTAATGACAACTTTATCCGATTGACCAAAACATGACTTTACTCTGTATTCTGAATTAACATGTCCCTTAAATGTTTGCAAAAGTCCACCATTGCATTTATCAAGAAGACGAATTGTAGAATCAAGTGTCGAAATTAGCAAGCAATTAGCATCATTTGATTGTTCAACTGAAGTTACTGGTTCTTTTCTTTTTTTAGCAAAAAAAAGTATTTTTCAAAAAAAAGATTACTCTACGTCCTATTACATCTGTATACAATTGTCCTCTTCTTAGATCATATGTACGTACTCTTCCATCAATTGATCTAGATCCTTTTTTAATTTATAATAAAAATACATCATCTGCTAGATTACCCTGTAATAATTTCATGATTTGCAATTAATACTGACGAAATGCTATCTTTTCCATCTTCAAGTACTTGTATAGGTGTATGCGACAATGATCTAATTAGATAATATATCAAACATTCTTCTACATATTATTTAAAATATTACCTGCAATCCCATAAACGAACAGAAGAATCATAAGATCCTAAATTTCATTCATCAAATTATAGATCATAGAAACTAAAGTTTCTTACCGCTTGCAAGAACAGTTGCTTCTAGATTAAAAGATACCGTATTTACTCGAGAAAAATGCCCTGAAAACCGTTGTATTGTTCGTCCTGCTGTAACATCCCATAGAAAAACTTGCTACAAATCATTTTATATAAGTCAAAAAAAATAAATGGGACTAGAATGCATATTCAGTATCCATATAAAGCATATATAATCCATATAGATTTTGTTGCATACATCTATAATATTTATAGTATATATTCTTTAGATTTATATTAATAAATTTTAGGTAATCATTAGATAATGCCATTCATCCATTAAAAAATCATAATAGATGTGTTAAAAAAACTTTTAAATTCCATATTTTAGGCTATATGCTAACTTGTATGGACCATATATCTATTAATGTGTATCCATTTAAATTAATATGCGTAATATATATGCATTATATCAATGTTAAGGTTTTTTTTAATGCTTTTTTTACAGATTGCCAACTGAATACTAGTTCCCATATTCTTTATTATTACCTTATCACCTCCACTACTTGCAAATTTTGTACTATCACAAGAAACTGTAATATCTAATACTTCATAGCCATGTGCACGATATTCTTGAATTAACCCTCCTGTATGTGGGTTCCAAAGACGAACAAATCTATCATGGCTGCCCGTTAATGCATATTGGCCCTTTGTATTATAGAGAATGACATTGGCAGGGAATTTTCCTGCGGGTGAAAGGACGTGAACTTTTTGTGTGGGAAAAGTCAGCATATGAAAGTTGAAAAAAAACTGAAATATATAAAAAGAGAAAAAAGGAAATAAAAGAAATAAAAGAAATAAAAGATTAAATAAATATAAAACAAACATTTTTGTTTTTTTTTAAAAAAAAAAAAGTTATATGATATCTTGTTTTTGTAAATGTATATTATAAAAACAAAAGTGAATAAACAAAATGGTAAAATAGATACACAAAGAAGGGCTTCAAAATGAGCAGAAAATGATGTAATTTTATTATCGACGACGCCCACTATTGTTTTGAATAGTTTGCATATGTTCTAATTCAGCTTCGAGTTGTTTAATACTTTATAAAAAGTTAATAAAAAAATATGATAGAAAAAAAATAGATTATACCTAGTATGAGCAGTTTCAAGATCTTTATTAAGGCGGTCTCTTTCTGAAATAAGCTGTAAACAAAAATTAAATTGTTTAAAAAGGGTATATAATGATAAAAATTACCCTTTGTTCCCATTGCCTATTTATTAATAAGAAATAAATATAAATATGGAAGCACTTACCTAAATCGAGCTTCTTCTATTTTGACCTGTTCTGTAAATCTTTTACGCAAAGCTTCCTCTTCTTCTCTAAATTTTGGATTATCAAGCTTACGAGTTTTTGCTTCTCCAAATTTACGAATCTCCATTTGCTGTGCACGATATGCCTTGAATTAATGATTAAATGGAAGACAAGAAAATAGCGTTAAAATATTTACTTCATAATGAACTTCTTCCGTTGTTTGAATAAGATCTAACATATGTGTACGAATAAGAAGAGAACGCAATTTTTTAAAATCACAATGCTCGTCATTTTCAACTTCTGCTACACCCCAACTATATTGTCTTCCTTTAACGACTCGACCATCTGGAGTTTGTACGTCTCTGTCACTTCCAATTAATGCAAAAGGCATGGCTGCCTAAATATTTTTAATAATAAATAAATTTATCTTTTAGACCTACAATTAAATTTCTGGCATGTTCTGCTGCTGCTGGATCATCTTCCTCAACTATTGGAGTAAATATATTGATTTCTTGTGCTGCTATAACATCTCGAATCTATAGAATAGTTAGAACAAATAAATAATCCAAAAATTTACACGTCGTTTAAATTTAGCTAAATCAGTTTGTGTCAGAGAATCTGCCTTTGCAATCACCGGAATAAGATTCACACGTGTTCCTAGCCGTTTCATTGCTTCAACATCAAGCGGTTTTAATGTATGACCTGTAGGTCGGATAAAATAAAGACATGCGTGTACCCGAAGATCAATTTTTTCCGATCTTCTTGGTTGTTGTTCTTGACGCATATATGATTCGTGTTGATCATCAATAAATTCTATAATTGGCTGCCATGCCTCGTTATTATTTACATAATCTCCAAATCCCGGTGTATCAACAATAGTCAGATTTACTCTAAAAAATCTCTCTAAAATAGTATTATAAATCCCTCTTTTCTTCCTCTTCATAATGTACCCTCAATTTCTGCTTTTGTGATCTCAATTTCAACTGTTTGATCTGTTTGTTTCCGAAACCGTTTTTTATTATTAGAATATCCTTTAATTGTCGTACTAAAAAGCGTATTAATCCACGTAGTCTTTCCAAGCCCTGATTCCCCTATAATTCCATGTTTATCAGTATTTCTTCAAAATCTTTGCTTTTTTTTTTTCTGGAAAAAACCTGCAAGCATCAATGTAAATGTTGCTCCTCGTCTTGCAACAATTTTGTGCCTAGAAAAAGTATTTCATTAAAATTTTATGATAAAAAACAATATAAATACCTCTGATTAGGAAGATTAGAGATACCAATCCCATTGCGACTCTCTTTATCCAATACCATTTTCTTCGTTAACGTCCGCTGTAACCCCTGGTTGTCCTGGAAGCTTCGTAAGACAGCCTTAACGTCAAAAAAATGTATATAAAATGAAGTCAGAATTTAAGGTAAATATTTGATGAAATTTTGTTGAAATATATGATTTTAACTTAAATAAAGCTTTGTAATGTTCTTGGGTCTTTTTATCGTAATGGAAATCTAATTTTTACGTCAAAAAATGAGTTGTTTAGTCCAATTGGGAATCGTGTAACATTATTTGATTTAGAGGGGTAGGAATTTGTAAGAATGAATTATCATGGTATTTTTTATAGTTTAGGAATACATCAGTTACTCTTCCGTTTGAAAATTCGAAAAATATTCGTTGTATTGCCTTATCACCGGCTTGTACATTATTACTTTCAGTTGACGAAGGTATTAGGAAAATAATTAATGAAAAAATAAGATTTATGATGTTTTTGAGTTGAAGATGGAAGAGCAATCTTGTTGAATGTTATTAAAAGAGTTGTTTTGTATCATTTTAATTTTGGAAGTATTGTTGAAGACGTTAAATTTTCTCCGTGTGGAAAATATTTTGCAGTTGCTATTGGATATCATGTTGAAGTTTGGAAATCTCCTAAATTGTCGGATGAATTGGAATTTTCTCCATTTGTAAAGCATAGGGTGTATACAGGACATCATGATACAATAAAGACGATTACTTGGTCTTCGGATTCACGGTAATTAAGATGATTTACAATATTTTATAATATTTTTTGTTTTTTAGATTTTTTTTGACAGCTTCTAAAGATATTACAGCAAGATTGTATTCTTTAGATCCAATGGAAAATTTTACTCCGATGACTTTTGCAGGTCATAGAGAAGCTCTTGTTGGTGCATTTTTTTATTCAACGGAAAAAATGGTATATCTGAATGGATGTTTTTTAAAAATGCTTAGTTTATAGATATATACTGCTAGTAAGGATGGTGCGCTTTTTTATTGGAAAGAGTCTTTACCTTCTGAAGAAATAGGATCTATGAAAAATCAAGATTTAAATAAGGATTTTAAATATAAATGGACTATTATGAATAAACACTATTTTAATCAGAATAATGCAAAAATGACATGTATTGCTTTTCATCATAAGTCTAATCTACTTGTCGCAGGCTTTACATCTGGAATTTTTGGGCTTTATGAGCTTCCAGAATTTAATATGATACATACTCTTAGGTAATTTTTTATTAGTTTATTTATTTGTATTTTAAAAAGTAAAGCATTTCACAAAACGCTATTGATTTTATTTCTATCAATGGGACCGGTGAATGGATTGCTTTTGGTGGAGGGAAACTTGGGCAATTATTAGTTTGGGAATGGCAATCGGAATCATATGTTTTTAAGCAACAGGGGCATTTTGATATGATAACTGGTGTTGTATATACACCTGATTCTCAAAATATTGTTACTTGTTCTGATGATGGAAAAATTAAATTATGGGATATACGTTCTGGATTTTCTTTGGTTACGTTTTCTGAACATACTTCAACTGTCACTGGTCTTGGTTTTTCTAAGTCTGGGAATGTTCTTTTTTCTTCAAGTTTAGATGGTTCAGTAAGAGCTTGGGATTTAACTCGTTATAGAAATTTTCGTATTTTTGTTGCTCCTATACGTATAGAATTTTCATGTTTAGCTGTTGAACCTAGTGGAGAAATTGTATCTGCAGGATCTCTTACTTCTTTTGATATATTTATATGGTCTGTTCAGACAGGTCAACTTGTTGATCGTCTTTCTGGTCATGAGGGGCCAGTCTCTAGTTTATCATTTTCAAATACTGGTGAAATTCTGGCTAGTGGAAGTTGGGATAAAACCGTTAGGCTTTGGGAAATATTTACATCTAGACAATCTGTTGAATTACTTCAATTGCAATCAGATGTTTTGGCAGTTACATTTCGTCCTGATGGAAAATATATATGTGTTTCAACTTTGGATGGGCAATTAACGTTTTGGGATGTCGATAAAGGAAATCAGGTTAATATTATTGATGGAAAAAAAGATATATCAGGCGGTAGGAATATTGGAGATCAATTCTCTGCTGCAAATTCTTTTAGAAATAAATCATTTAAATGTGTTTGTTATTCTCCTGATGGCTATATAGTTGTTGCAGGTGGTAATAGTAAGTATATTTGTATCTACGATATTGAAAGTTCTGTTCTTATCAAGAAAATTCAAATTTCAAAGAATTTATCTTTAGATGGAACTCAAGAGATTCTTAATAGTAAAAATTTTACTGAAGCAGGCCCTCTTGAACTCATTGATGATCATGATGATCAAGATGATTTACAAGATAAAGCAGATAATTTATTACCTGGAGCTACAAAAAGTGATTTATCTATTCGGAAATTGAGACCTGAAATTAGGACTCATGCCTTAGGGTTTTCTCCAAATGGAAGATCTTTTGCTGCTGCAACTACAGAAGGATTATTGATATATTCATTAGATGATTTGCATCTTTTTGATCCATATTATTTAGATATAGAAATAACGCCTCAAACTATTAGAACTGTCTTATTAAAAGAGGATTATCTAAAAGCATTCATAATGGCATTCAGATTAAATGAACAATATATTATTCATGAAGTTTATGAATCTATACCATTCAATAATATAGAATTAATTTCACGAGAATTACCTCTTGTATATTTGGATAGATTATTGAAATTTATATCTATAATTACTGAAAGTTCTCCACATATTGAATTTCATTTATTTTGGATTGAAGCACTTTTTACTTATCATGGGAAATATATAAAATCTCGTAATCAGGATTTTATAAAAGAAATACGAGCAATTCAAAAATATCTTATTTATATTCAGCATGATATTATTAAAATGTTAGTTTTTTTTAAAAAAAGGAATTTTCTAATATTATTTTAGATCTGATGAAAATAAATATTTTGTTGAATATATTTTAAATAGGAAAAAAATAAATTATCAAACAACCTCATTAGTGAAAAAAAGTGATGAAATACATATGAAAGATGTTTTTGATGATACTCACTCGAGAACTAATCATATAAATAATGAAAAATAGGTTTATCAAGCTTATTTATTTTGTAAAATATGAAAAGATTTAGAAATATTTATTTTAATAACATCATGTGGAGAATAATTGTATTTGGTATATCCTCTAAATAATGCTAATAAGTATATTTATTTTAATCTACTAGAACATTTTTTATTTAACGTCATTTTTTTTAAATATTGAATTTTGGTAAAGATAAATAAATTGATAATACAAAAAAAATGCAAATCCGATAAATTATTTCTTTATTTCTCATTTTATCGTTTCAAGACAACCTTTTTAAATAAAGGATATAATAAATTAATTATTTTAATGCTGATATTTTATAATTCTTTTCTATAAATACAAATCTATAAATATCAGTAATTTTATTTTTCACTAAATCTTTAAAATAAAGGTCTTTCTAATTATATTTTTATAGAAATATTTTTTTAAATTATTTAATCAATTTTTTGTATTATATTTTTTGTATAATAACTAATTTAATATATTTTATAATATTTTTGATTTCAAATAATTCATCTATTTTACAAAATATATACATTTAACTTCTTATTTCATAACCCATATAATTATCGTGTACATATTTATTAGTAATCCTTTTAACCAATACTTAATAAAAAATTCATCTCATTTATAATTTATATGTCTTTAACAAAAAAAAATTCTTAATAAATAAGTAATATCTTTTTATTAAACTTTCTTGAATTTCCTCCGTTCTTTATTTTAGCATTTCTAATCCAAAAACTGAGAAATCAAAACTTTTATTGAGTTTTATCGAAAATATTGAAATTTAGAATTAAGATTTAATTAAAATTTAGAGTTTTTCAAGAAAATAATGAGTGGAAGCTATGATAGAGCAATTTCAGTCTTTAGTCCAGATGGACGGTATTTTTTTGCTTTTTTTTTTGGGAGAAAAACTAATTAATATAGATTATTACAAGTAGAATACGGACAAGAAGCAGTTAAAAAGGTTTTAAAAGAAAAACTTGATATTTAAAACAAAATTCTGATGAAATTTAAAGGGAGCAACATGTGTTGCAGTTAAAGGAAAAGATTCGGTTGTCTTAGGTGTTGAAAAAAAAACAGCATTAAAACTTCAAGATACACGAACAGCAAAAAAAATAGGAATTATTGATCATCACGTGTGCCTTGCATTTGCAGGATTGAATGCAGATGCTCGTATTCTCTTAGATAAAGCAAGAGTGGAAGCTCAGAGTCATCGTCTTACAATTGAAGATCCTGTAACGATTGAATATATAACAAAATATATTGCAGGTGTAAAACAAAAATATACACAGTCAGGGGGGGTGAGGCCTTTTGGTGTTTCTACATTAATTGTAGGTTTTGATCCTAATGATGTGGTCCCAAAACTTTATCAAACAGAACCAGCAGGAATATATACTTCATGGTAAATATAATATAAAATTCTGTCAACGAAGCTTATGTTATTAAAAAAGGAAGGCAAATTCAATTGGGAAGTCTAGCAAAACAGTCCGTGAATTCTTAGAAAAGAATTATAAAGAAAATATGGATCGAAATGAAGCGATTAAATTAGCAATCAAAAGTCTATTGGAAGTTATTCAAACAGGTTCAAAAAATATAGAAATTGCTGTCATGTCGTATGGAAAAAAAATTGAAGTAAGTTAAATATCTAGATAATATTATCATCTAATAATATAGTTTTTAACTTGTGACGATATTGATGCTGTAATTAAAGAAATTTCTGCTGAAAAAGAACAAGAATCCAATCGTAAGAAAACATGTTGATAAAAACAAATTTCAGGACAATAAAAGACTATAAAGATATAATAATCTTAAATAATTTATATATACATATAATAAATTTATAATATCGATATTCCTTTTTTAGTTTTTCTATTACTTTTCCAATAATTTGTTATTGTATTATATAAATTCAATAAACTTTAATTTATATTTCTACTTGGAAAAATAGATCTATTTCCATATTGACGTTCACGATAATCTTTAATTACTCTAAACCAATTATTACCTTATTTTTATCGTAATAAAGTAAAACTACCTATTATCCCTACGAACATCTTCTGTTTCTATAGTTAATGCCGGTTTTGGTGTAATTGCTTCAATTAAAAAATGATTATCACAACTAATATTATAAATTTTTTAACTTTATATAAATAAACACCCATACTGAGGACAATATTCATCTGATTCATCTTCAAAACTCCTAATATTCTTCCTAAATGCTTTCTAATTCCTATTTCAACTATTTTTTTAAAAAATACTTAAGTAATTACTTTACACTTCTTACATATAAAAGTGATTTCATCTGATTTTAATAAAACATGATCCGATACTTCTAAGTGGCACTCTGAACAATCAAACCTTATCATTCATTCACATTAATCAACATTTTTTTCAAATTTACCATCTTTTACAACAGGTTGCTCGAATAGAGACTTGTGCGTTCAAAATATGTTTACTAAAAAACAAAAAAAATTAACAAATAAAATACCCTATTTATTAAATATATTTTATACCACATCTGTTAACAATGTGATCCTTTTATAATTTTATAGTTTTTTATAAGGCCAAAAAATATTATAGCTAGAAAACGTGCACGTTTATTCGTCTTACTCCTGACCACAATCTTTTGTAAATTTTAAAAAAAGGGTAAATAGAAGAATAAGATGATATTTTTTATACAAAAAAAAGATTGAATTATAATAAAAAGGATTATTACATATGGGATCTTTTTTTTTTGGAGAAAATGGGTATTATAGAAGAGGAAAAAACAGTTTCTCGGTTAAAAGAAAAATTTGAAAGACTTGCAATAGAACAAAGACATAATGGACAATATAGACCGTTAAGAGAACAAGAGAGGTGTATAAAGACGTTACCTGCATATTATCGATCATATGAAAGGTCTATAAAATTGCCAGTTGAAGAAAAATTGAAATATGAACGATCATATATAAAAGTATCAAATAATGATAAAAGATCAGAAATTAGATCATCATCGTATTTTGAGAGTTCATTAAAAAGCCCTTATCATATTGAAAATATATTTGATGATCCTGATATTACAATACCAGATACAAATCAAAATTCGATGAATGCAGATATATCTCCTGCTAAAATTCCATTAATGTCATTTAGTGATACAGCATCATATCATAGCGATATTTTTAGGGATGATCCACACGTAGGTACTTCATCATTTAAAAATAATATCAGTAATGAACGAAAATTATATGGATCTTTATTAAGTTCAATAGATCATGATCCAGATCTTACAACGCCATCACGTTCTCCTACTATACCTGTTAAAATACAATCTAAGAAGCAGAAAGAATACCATAATGATCCATGTATCTTTTTATGACTATAGATTGATTTTGATTAATATTTAAATAGATTTTGATCATTTTACGGTCGAACATACCAACTCATTTTTATCCTCTAAAATTGATGATTATATATTTGAAAGTCAAAATATACTACCAGACATCGCTAATTCACCATTTGATGATTCAATTAGTAAAATCAATATTTTTTTAAAAAAGTTAAATTATTCTAGGTTCTAGCTTTGATAATGTTTCTATAAAAAAGCCATTGCTTTCTCATGAATACATGGATCCTATAATTGATGATTTTTTTCATAACGATAATATATCAAATATTGCACCATCCGAATTTTCTGAAGCAACTTTTAACAAAATATCAAAACATGATAAAAATCTAGATATTAACGACATAGAAATCTCCAATAAGCTAGGTGAAAGTCAATCAAAACTATCACGATCAATTTCTCCTTTTAAAAATGCACCTTGTATTCCACCAAAACCAAATGATATTTTAAAAGCCCGTGCTAATAAGCCTTTTAATTTTACAGAAAAACCTTTAAAACCTAAGAAAGACATTGTTGATAGACACGATTTATTTAAAGGACATATGAAATCATATAGCATGTCAACTAGATTGCCAGGAGGGGAGTCCTTTTCATATCCACCTGCAGATTTTCGTTATTCTTCAGTATCCTTAACAGCTTCATCTGTAATTGATGAAAGCAAATCTGATCTAGGGGAAAAAACTGTTAAGTGCTCTGAAAACCAGCCTACAACAGATTATCCTGACTCATCACAAACAAACCGTCGGCAACCAATATTTAAAAACGGTCCTTTAGAAATCCGTGGTCGTTCTGAAATAAAACATTTTCTTGTTTCGGGAGACTATTTATGTTCTTGTGGTACAATTATAAAAGTATGGAACATTAAAACTGGTGAACATATATGGTCATTACCGTGCACTGATATGAAAATAACTAGCATGTCTTTTGTACCTTGTCGAAATGTAGATGAGGAGGGGACTAGAATATGGCTAGGAACAAAAGATGGGCATATTTTAGAAATTAATATATTTTATCAAGGCTTTGTTGATAAGCGATTTGGTATCCATTCTCATCCGATTATATTCATATTAAGATGCGGATATGAATTATGGACTCTTGATGACAGTGGAAAATTATTAATTTGGTCTGACGATACACATAAAAATGGTTTGCATCTTCAAAGTACTCCTCGCACATATAAAGTTGTAGCCAAAGCATCTTTCTGTTTTGTTGTAAAAAACCAACTTTGGTTAGGGGTTTCTAGGTCGGTATATGTATATAATCCTTTAGCATATCTAAATAAACTTCCATTTATTGCGACCAATCGACCAATTGTACCACATTTACCCGTGGGAGAAATTTCATGCGGCGCTTTCCTTCGAGACCAACCAGATCTAGTTTATTTAGGACATCAGGATGGGAAAATTTCTGTTTATTCTAGAACTTCTCTTACTTGCTTGGATGTTATTAATGTTAGCCTTTATAATATTGTATCTTTGATAGGCGTTGGTAATTATTTATGGGCAGCATTTAAAACAGGAATGATTTATGTATATGATCTTCAATCTAAACCTAGAAAAGTAATGAAAGGATGGTGGGCTCATAAATTTCCAATATTAGAATTGCAATTAGATACAACAAGTATTTGGAAAGTTAAAAGATGTCAAGTAGTATCTTTGGCCTCTGATAATATTATTAGAATATGGGATGGTTTATTAATGGAAGATTGGCTAGGTATTAATAAATTTCTAAATATAATGCATTTTAATAATTTAGAAAATGAAATGCATAAACGAGATGAGGAGTTTTGTAGATTTCGAGATATAAACATTACTGTTTGTACATGGAATGCAGGTGCTTCAAGACCTAACGATTTAAATTCTTCAACCGATGATTTTTCTTTTTTTGAAAAAGTTCTGCAATCTCCAAATCCTCCTGAGATAATAGTTTTCGGTTTCCAAGAACTTGTTGATTTGGAAAATAAACGCCTGACTGCAAGTATGTTTTTCAAAGACCATTTAATGTATATTGATTTTTATTCCAGAACATTTAATGAAATTTAATAAAAAAAAGGACCCTAAACAATTTCAAGAACATATGTCTTGTCAATACAGCGCATGGAAAGATCGATTGAGTAATGAAATAATAACTTATCTGCATTCTGAATTTCAGTATTCTCTTCTTCATTCTGAAAACCTAGTCGGATTATTTACTTGCATTTTTACTAAAACATCAATAAAACCAAATATTAAAAAACTGAACAGTGTTCAAGTAAAAACTGGTCTAGGAGGATTACATGGAAATAAAGTCTGTTTTTTTAACTATAGATTGTTTTGAACTTATAAAATCTAGGGGGCACTTGTTGTACGTTTTATACTTGATGATACATCTTTATGTTTTATTAATTGTCATCTTGCTGCAGGAAAATCTCAAGTAGTAGATAGAAACAACCATTTAGCTACTATTCTAGAATCATCAGATTTCCCTCCAGAACTAGATAATTCTAAGAGAGCAGATTTATTTGTTGGGGGAGGAGATGGATCAATGATTTTGGATCATGAAATTTGTATACTAAATGGAGATTTAAATTATCGTATAGATATGTGTCGTGACGCTATTTTAGACCACATTCGCTGCAAAGATTACCAATCTCTTTTTGAAAAAGATCAACTTATTTTACAAAGAAAAAGAAATCCAGGATTTCGATTACGTCTTTTTAACGAAGCAGAAATTAATTTTCCTCCAACTTATAAGTATGATATAGGAACAGATGAATATGATACAAGTGAAAAAAAAAGATCACCAGCTTGGTGTGATCGTATTTTTTATAGAGGAGACAGTAGAATGAAATGCACTAGTTATCGTCAATTAAATGTACGAATTTCAGATCACCGTCCTGTAGTAGCAACATTTTCAATAAAAGTAAAAACAGTAGATCCTGTTAAAAAAAAAGATATCTGGAAAATGGTTGCAAATGATTGGATGAACACTGCTCAGAGTTTTCGGGAATTAGCAAAGTAACGTTTATGTCCAGCATATTTTATTTTTTTTTAATATATCATAGACTTGATTATTTGGTTTCCGAATGTGGCTTTGAAGAGAAATTAGCATTTAAAATATTAAATAATCATAATGGAGAGGTTATGGATTTTAAAATTTGAATAAAATATTAATTTAAATAGGTTTCTAATGCTTTGACTGAACTTTTAAATAGTACTTATAAATCATAAAAATAATCTTTAATAATCATACATTTCATTTCCTACAAAATATAATAAATTGAACCCTTTTGAGAATGCCAAAAACATTTTAAAAATAAATTTCTGAACGATATTAATATTTATAATTACAAATTTATTTCGTCATATTCTCAGTTTCCATATTTTCATTTGCTTCTTTGTCTTCTCTTAATTTTTTTCTTCTTCTTTTGCTTTCATATTCATGCCAATCTCCTTTCATATTACCTAGCCTAAACTATGTTTAAAAACTAATTTAAATATTAACTATAATTACCCTAAGGGAGGCTCCGGCTTAGGTTCTTCTTGAGTAAAAAAAGTATGTTTTAATGCATCAGTAGCAGTTGGTCGTTTTGATGGATCTAGTGCTAATATATTGGAAAGAAGATTTAAAGCCGCAGGAGACAAAATTCTATAATAAATAAGATCAAGAAAAAAAATAATATAAATTATTACGATGAATAACGATCATAAAATTTCCCTATTTTTTTTTCAGATGGTTTAAGTAGCTCAAACCATGGTAATTGGTCTACAGTAGGCCAATTTTCATGTGTTGGCGTTCCCATCATATCATAAATAAGTTCAAGTTGATGAATTTCATCATGTCCTGGAAACAACGGCTTTCTTGTAAACAATTCAATCATTATACACCCTGCACTCCATATGTCAACGGCTGGCCCGTATGCAGTAGCGCCCAAAAGAAGCTCTGGAGGTCGAAACCAAAGAGTAATTACTCTATTAGTATAATCAGCGGTATCACGTTTTTTATGATAATAACGAGCCAATCCAAAATCTGCTAATTTTAATTGCCCAAAATTATCAAGAAGAATATTTGATCCTAATATATTAATTTTAGATGATTATAAAATATTATACCTTTAATATCACGATGTAATACTCCACGATGATGAAGATATTCTAATCCATCTAACATTTGTTTACAAAGATGTTTTGCATGCGAAAGCTCAAATTGGAAGTTAGGATTTGATAACACACCAGATAAATCATGATCCATATACTCAAAAACCATATATACAGTACCTAAATGTAATTAAAATAATTAATTATTAAAAAAAAAAACTAACTTTTTTCTACCATCATTTCTAAAAGACAAACAACATTAGGATGTTTTAAAGATTGCAATAATTTAATTTCTCTCATAGCAGTGATAGGAAACTAAAAAAAATTAGCTAAAAAAAAAGAATTAAATATTACCCCATTTTTTTCATATTCCATCCTAATTTTCTTTAAAGCGACCAATTCATTAGTTATTCTATTACGAGCTTTATAAACTTTTCTATTAAGGATTAAAATATTAATAAAAATAGGAAACAAAAATACCCATATGTTCCTTCACCAACTTGACCAATCCTTTCATATACAAATCCTTCTTTAGAATCCATTATAGTTATTTTTGCAATTGGCATTTTAATAGAAATATTTCCTTGTGTCTGAAAATCTTCAGAATGCTGATGAATATCATTTGAATAATTTATATTATTTTCTAGATCTCTTATTGGAATATTTTCAGATGATCTAGATTTTTTCATTAGTGAAGAATTAAGATTTTCATCATTTTCCAATGTATCATTAAAATCTAACGATCTTTTTGATAACTTAAATTCGTTCTGTGTATTTTCCATAGTTAAGCTAGTTTTAGATTCTTGAGTCTTGTTATTATGAGAATATGATGTTTCATTTAAACTGGAAGTATTGTCCAGATAAATTCTAGAAGTCGATAATGTATTTTTCGTATTTGATAGCTTAAACGATATTATAGGAGTCATAGAATGTTTAATATTTTCAGAAAAATGAGGATCAATAGTATCATCTTGTTTTTTAATAACATCTTTCTTGAAATCCATAATTTTCGAAGAATTTCTATTAAACAATTCGTCTGTATCATGTAATTTCTTATTGCTTTTTTCAGAAGATTGAGTATAATTACCACTATTTTCAGTATCATGCAGATAATAAGAATTTTTACCTTATATTTGTCAGCAATAATAATAATAATATAAAAATATGAACAACTTATATCTTTATATTTATGTGTATTTGTTGTTGCATAACTACTTTCAGTATATGAATCAGGACTTTCATATAAAACATGTGTCTCTTTACTATTTTTATCAAACTCATTAGAAAATGATGAGTTATGACATGGATCTCCACTATTAGAATATCTATATTTAAATTATTTATATGAATAATATAAATATAATTTTAGTGTAAATAATTACCTATATCTTGGATTTTTTAAATCATTAGCATCTCTATGTTTTTCATGTGAATCGGCCATATAAGAAGATAAGTAGGACGTTCCGGAATCATCCCTATGATGAGATGCATATAAATTGTTCTTATAATTTTCTCTAGATGTAAATCTAGAATTATGATGATTAGTTTCATGATTAGACTTATATGAAGAATGACTGTATGAAGATGCTGAAAATGATAATGAATATTGATGACCCTTTTTATTGATATGATTAGACGTTTTCTGATAATCCGATTTCTTATCTTCCAATGATGGTAAAAAATAATTCTTATGTTTATGATAAAAATGACGATCCTTAAGATATTCAGGCGAATAATTAGATTCTTGTTTCAATGATATATATTTTGGAGATTTACTATATCTTTCTAACGAATTGGACCTTGAACGAGACAAATTATCAACATATCGTCTTTCACTAACATTTATAGGTCCTGGTGAACGAGAATTGTACCTTTTATCATTTAAACCAAAAGGCGATAATCCTCTTGATATGTTTTCAGAAGGACTCCGTCTTTTATAGAACGTTTCTTTCCTTTTTTCTACATATGTTTTATCATGTATATTTATAGAATGTGACTTTCTACTAATTTTTTTGGAACATTCTTTATGATATGGTGATACTGAACGTTTTCTATTTCTCCCAGAATCCCTTTCTATTTCTTTTTTATCTATTATCCCTTCTTTTTCATAAAAATAATGTTTATAAGATGTTTCTTCTTGCATCGTTTTTTTAAGCCTATAATTCTCCATTTTAGAAAAAATATCCGTTAGACGTCTTTCCTTCCAGCGTTTTCTATATCCGTCCTCCTCATATCCTATCTTTCCCATATTTTTAAACCGCATATATTTCACTTAGTTAATCAAATAGATGATTAATCTCTATTATAATTCTCTTAATAAAATATCAAATAATTATATTAAAACTAACTTAAAAGAATCCTCTTTTCGATATAAATTTATATTTACTGATTAACTCTAGTCGTTTAGTATATGAAGGTTTTTATCATAATCTCCAATATTTTGTCGTCTGATCGAAGGTTGAACGAGATTGAACAGAAAAGGCGGTATATTTGAGTCCGACTAATGAAATAATAAAAATACAAGAAGAATAGAGATAAATAGGTTGAATGAAATATATAGAAAGAAATATAAGGACTGTATAAATCTAAAATGAAAATAAGGGAATTTATTGGAATGATGAAAGATTAGTTAAGTTGGAAGGTAAATCTAAAGATAAAGAAGTAAAACCAAGTGACCAAATACCAATAAGAGTATATAAACTCATTTTTAATCCTCTATAAAATCCATTTAAACCATAGGGACGAGAATCTTCTTCATATAAAATACACCAAATAGTGCCAGAAATGCCAATATACCTTCCAGGTTTAATAAGAGAATGTTTAAGATTAGATATATGAAGTTGTGCTCTACGAAGAATTGTTTCCAATGGTAATTTTATAAAAAGATGAGTTAATGAAGAAAGAAGTGAAATGAGATTGTACATAATGGGTGTTTCGTAAGAATCTATAACAAGTCCAGATCGATTAAAAAATATAGAAACAATATAAGAAAAAGCATTAGGTAAGGTAGCATAGAATAAAGTTGGTAAAATAAGCATTGTTGGACATATTAAAAAAGAAAAAAAAGGTTCTGAGGAAAGATGTTGGTGAGATTTCAGATACTTTGGAGTTAACATGATGCTAAATTAAATAAATAAAATAAAATAATAAAAAATAGTTACCGTGTTCTAGCGGTATCAATTGGTGCTAAAAGTAAAGAAGTAAAAGCAGATGATGTTAAAGATATAAAAGATGAACTTAACAAATTATCAAAATCAATAGTTCGTGAAATAAAGGTCGGAAAAGAAAAAATAGATAATAAAAAAGAGGAAATCCATGATTCGGTAATAGAAAATAAAACATTATAAACAAAAGAAATATTTTGAGCTTAATTTGTCAATTATTTCCATACAATTAACCAATTTTACCTTTCCATAAACTAAGAATTCCTTCTTTTTTCCATAAAGTAGACATTGCCATTCTTATACCACAATTTTGAACATTAATTTGCCACGGAAAATATATTTCATGATTATCTGGTGATGTTAAAACATATCCTTCACGATCAACAATGCTCTTTTTAGAAGTACAAGATATATCAGGTGACGATATAAGGGAATCTGGATCACGAAAATATGGAGGATCTGATTCATTCGATATTATAGAATCATTCTATATTCTAAATCAAAAAAAAAATCTATATCTTCCAATTCATACATCTTCATCTTCTTCTTCCATTTTCTCAGAAAAAAATTTATTTTTATCCTCTATATCACTTTGTAACCCTGGTTTAACATGATATTGACATTGTAAAAGTGTTTTTGCAATTTCAAACGGCTGCGCTATAAATACACTTAAATATAGAAAAACTGTTTCCAATAATAATGTTTTTAATAACTTTTTATTTCCTTCTAGATTAAAATAGTTCAAATATTCTGATTCTGTCCAATTCTTATTTGAAGACTGTTCCGTTACATTTCGCCTTATTCCTTGATTTATATCATATGAATATTCAGAAGGTATATAGTATGGTCTATTAGGATTGATTCCCTCTTCAAATAACCCCAAATTCTTGGTATTCATCTTAATTTTTTTTTATGACGTAGATTTGACGATAAATTTAAATATCTTTAAACTATGGGTTTTAGTCTGATAAAAAAAGTGAAATGAAAATACAGGAAAAACAACATAAACGGAAAGTTAGTGACTTTGATTATTATTCTGTGAAAAAAAAGTTTAAAAAAAGGGGAAAAATAATGGAAAAAATTGAAAATAAAGAAAAGTTAAAAAAAGAAATTAAAAAAAAGAAAGAAAAAATAAATAAAATAGAAGATGAAGATTCAAGTTCTTCTTCTAGAGATTTGGATAATTGTTAGTGATGTTTTTATAGATTTTTAAAGGACTAATTATAATAAAGTTGAAGAGACAAAAAGTTTAAAAAGTCATGAAGAATGTGAAAATAGTAAGGAGATTTTTTGATTTCTTAAATATTATATTAAATATAAATTAAAAAAAAAGATGATTTAGAGATATCAGCTAAATTTGGAGAAGCTATGTCAAAAATTATATCATCAAATGTAAAACCTATTTATAAAAATGTGAGCGAATTAAGAAAAAAGAAGAAGAATAAAGCTGATGAAATGGAAGGATCCTATTTTGAGTTGTTGTATAATGGATATTTCAAAAAAAATTCAGGATAAAAATATAGAAAACAAGGCAAAAGTGTTAATTTCAATGCAAAAAAAAGAAGAACAAGAAAAAGGAAGAATCAAGAATATTATTCCATCAAATAATGATAAGGAAGTATCTAGAATTTTAAATTATGAAAAATTTTTACGAAAAACTGCTCAAAAAGCAGGTAAATTTTTAAAAAAAATAAAAATTAAACTAATAATTAAGTAATTAATTTATTTAATGCCATAAGAGCAGCACAAGTTAAAGCTGAAGAAGCATCTAAAGACCTGAAAGAAAAAGGTGTCACAAATACAATAAAAAGAGAAAAGGAAGGTAAAGATCAGGATTGTATATAATGAAATGCTTAATTTAATATATAGTTGCAAAAATGTCTAAAGAAAATTTTTTTAATTTTATTAAAAATCCAAAGAAAATATAATATTATATAAAAAAGGCTTGCAATTGAATTCACTTGTAACGATTTATTATATTCTATTGTTTAATATTCATATATCGATATTATTTTTTAAATTGTATGTTTCTAATAATATTAATGATATTTTCTAAATAACTTAACTTTACCTGGTTGCTGCCGGGATTCTATAATTTATTAATAAAATATCAAAACATTATTTAGTTTCTTACATAAAAGTAATACCATCTAGGCTTTTATTCATAATTATTTGACAACCTAATCTTGATCTGCCCGAAAAATAAGTATCTTTTATATTTCAAAATATATTTTTAATACGTTTCAGTTAATCCGAAAGCCAAATCAAGCATATCTAATTCTTTTTCTGATTGTTCTTCCATTTTACTATAATATTTAGGATCCACAATAACATGGCATGTAGAACATGCTATAGATCCTTCACATGCACCTATAAATTCTTTAAAAGAACCTTCTACTAAGAAGAGTAAACAAACCCTCAAGATCAATATTATGTTCATGTGCAATATCTAAAACAGAGCTACCTTCACAAACTTTCAACGTCTTCCGTTCACCAAATGGAGTAATAAATGTGCATTCTATTCTTAATTTTATATTAAAAACTTTCATTTTTATTAAAAGAAATTCATACTTTTTTCTAGAAACTGAACATGTAAATTTTCGATAAAAAAAGACTACAAAAAGTTAAAAATAAGAAAAAAAACATTTTTACTAAAACTTCTATTCATATTCTGTTCATTTCTTTGCTTAAATCCGAATATAAGTGTATATTTAAAGCTAATTATATCTTTTTTTAAAGTTTCCTTAAAATGCATATTTCTTTTAGACGTTGAAATTAAGTTTTTTTTAAAAAGGACATAATGACTCATAAAATCTCCAGTAAATGTAGGGAGATACCTTTTTGTTGACAAAAATAGGACCATTTTTCATCTTTTTAACTAGATCAAATAATATGTAACGTTAAAACATGGAGATTTCGATATCAGAAAATATAGCAACCTATTAAAAGTTAAAAAAGAGACTAATGGTAGATATTTCAAGGAAAAGAGGAGCTTTTATTCTTATAGAGGGGCCTGATCATAGTGGAAAAACAACTCAATGTGAGCTTCTTGCTGAGGAATTTTGTACAAAAAATGTACCAGTAAAAATCCAAAAATTTCCAAATAGAAGCACAGAAATTGGGAAAATCATCGATTTATATTTACGAGGAGATTTAGAACTTGAAGAGCATGCAATTCATCTTTTGTTTTCAGCAAATCGTTGGGAAATAAGGTATTTAATGGGAAAACAAGGGAAGATACATTTCTTCTAATAAAATAGCAAGAAAATACGCAATGATCTTGAAAATGGAATTACAGTTATTGTGGATAGGTATATTTATTCAGGAATTGCTTTTTCTGTGGCAAAGGTGGCAAAAGTTTTGAATAAATTATATATTAAAATTAAAAAGAATTAGGGATTAAATATTGAGTGGTGTAGAAGCTCAGATAAAGGATTACCTCTACCAGATGGTGTTATTTATCTAGATATTTGTGACAAGATGGCGTCCTTACGACATAACTATGGTTTAGAACGATTGGAAACTAATACAATACAAAAAAAAGTTCGATCTATATTTAAAAATATGTTTGAAAAAAATCATAATACAGGTTATCCATGGTATTGGGTAGATGCATCAAACTCTATTATACAAGTAAAAATAAATGTCTGGAATGCTGCACAAGATATTATAAATAATTTGTCAGATGATATTAAAGAATTCAGCTAAAATTAATTATATTTGATACTTTAATAATACAAAAAGAAAGACTTATTTATATAAATATCTACATTTTTAATTATCAATAACTTTATGTTTAGCTATATTCATTTTTTCATAAAAATGTGAATTTTTCTCAGATGAATAATGGTTATACATATCTACGAAAGAGTCTTTATGTCCTTTATACTCTAAAATTGTATCTAATGGAAGATTAAGGATTTGCTTTATAAGGTCTCTAGATAAAATTGGTTAAATATTTACAAATAAGATAAATCATACCGAATTTTCAAATTAATTCTTCCATTATCAGAACTTCTATTCCAAACGCTTATAAGGTCTTCGGAATTTCTAATGCTAAGAACTATACCACATAATTCATCCCCAATATTCCAGAATTGATCACCAACAATTGCCATTACTAATTGTTCCCAGTAACGGACAGCTATTCCTTTACGAAGACGTAGGGTCCATTTTCCACCGTCTTGATTAGCTGGATCTTCAAATATTGGCCTTATTCCCTCTTTAAATAAATGCAAGTCTGAAATAACAGGAAGTGTATCAGGGCGTTTAAGATAAGCATAAATTGACCAAAATTCTTCAACCTTATATATTCAGAATCAAGATAAACTGCTTAAAAAAACATACTGATGAAAAAGTTATCAGCTTTTTCAATGAAGATTCGTAATCTTTTATTTTGCTTCCAAATGCACGGTTCATATACCAAAAAGTAAATGAATGTTTCAACATGTGCACTGGAGATTGCACATTAATATTGGCTTGTATGTTGCGGCTCTGAGAAACATCTGATTTTTTAAACTGATTTGTTTTTAAAATTGGTGATTCATTAGATGGTGTTACATTAGATGATGTTAGAGAAAAAAAAAACTAAAAAAATATTTTCAGCAAATATTCAAATAAAACAAATGGTAGCATCATACGTCAGGCTCTTGGGGCATATTAATTCCATTAATAATTAACTATTTTCATATTAAATTAGGTTTTGAAAAAAAACTTTTTATTCAACTTATTTTTTTTAAAAAAAAAAAGAGATTCCCCTCCGGAAAAACTTATTATATTTTAGCCTGCTGCTAAGTATACCTCTAATAGTCTCTTTTATGTTATATATTTTTAATTTATATAGTCTTTGTTAGTGGAATTTTCGAAGGCTTTTGAAAATTTTAAAAAAATGTTAGTATTTTTTTAGAAAATAAATAAGCAAAGAATAAAGGCTAGTTTCAGGCCTTAACATTTTTAAAACCGTTGCTTAAGTCGGAATAATATCTAAAATATTATAAAGTTCATTAAGAACTATGGCTGGCGACGACCTGAGAGATGTTATATTTATCTTAGAAAAATCAGTTTTTTATGGTTAGAAAGAACCCTTATAATCTATAAAATAGGTATTATTTTAATATAAAAATATGTATAAATCAATGGCCATGATGAAGAAATCTGGTAACTGGAAATATTTATTTAAAAACAAGTGTTATGAATACAAATATCTAATAATAGAAACACTATGTTTAACATGTCATGATTAAGGCAAAGTCAGAGCCATAAATATTTCTATATTTTTCAATTATATATTATATATTAATTTAATTCATTTAGGGTGAAGATATTTTATAAAAAGATTGTTTTTATTTGTATTAGGAAAAACAATGTGTTATGTAAGAATATAAAAAGATAGATGATTATGTGAATATAGAATTAATAATATTAGAGAATATTTATAGAAAAAATATTAATGTTTATAAATGTTAATCCTTAAAAAATCTTAAATATCCTATAAATTTAGTGTCTAGATAACCAAAGATGTTCCCTTAATATATTTGAAGTTTATATCCCAAAATAAATGATTTAATAAGAAATTTAATTAAAGTTTTAAATAAAAAAGATTTTTAAAAATAATTTATGATGCATTAAAATATTTATCAGCAAAATTGCTATCTTCGTCCATCAAATTCGCAGAATATTCTTGATGTCCAGTTCCTTGATGACCTTGAATACCTTGTGCTAAATCTACTAAAGCATATAATAATTCTCGATCTGTTTGTGATGACTGAACAGAATTTTCAATATCGCTATCATTTCGAATATTTCCCAACAAAGTTTTATCAGAAAGCCCCTGATTTGCAAAAGCTTCAAAAATATTTGAAATATTATTTGTTGAAGAAATTGACTGAGAAGTATAATCTCCGATAGAATGATTGACTTTTATATCTTGATGGTACAAAGGTCTACCATAATGATATGTATTAGATGAATGTATTTCATTAAGACTAGATGATAATGTACTATCATTATTATAATTATTAATATGAAATAAATATGGTTGATTTCTTCGTTTACAACAATTTGGGCTGCAAAAAAATTAAAATAAAATATAAAAAACGAATAATATTTACCATAAGTATTGATTTAAAGTTTGAGAAATAGCCTCGTTTAGGCCAACACATGAATGATGAAACCAGTTTCCACAATCAAAACAATTAATTTTAGGAGAATCATTTGGTATCCATGGTCTCCTACAAATGCATATCAAAGGAATAGGCGATGGAGTAATGTTTGTTTTCGGATTGGATGGCTGCGATACATTCAATGTTTTAGACTTTTTAGAAGTTACAGGAGAAAATTTTTCTGATAAGGATTCTGAACTAGGATCTAACCCAAGTGCAATTAACTCCCTTTGTCTTTTCGTAGGTCTTGGTTTTCTTGTAGATTTAGATATTTCAATAGCCTGAGGAGGTATAGGGGCAATAGGAACAAGTTCATGAAGTTTAGCTTTGAAAAAATTCGTTTCTTCAGCAAAAAGAAGTTCAGAACCCTCCATTTTTCGCAAATAAAACCTCATAATGGGTACTTCTGCTGATGTTAAACCAAGAGGCGAATATATGTAAGAACGAATATGATTTCTAAATGCTACACCGGTATCTACTATCTCTTTTAATTTATCTAATTCTGAGGGTATAAATGGCAAAAATAATGCATCTGAAAGGAGTTGCTGCATATCTTCAAGCTTAGGGCGGTTTGATAATCTAGGAATTTCTACACGATAATCACAAATAGGACATGTCCATTTATCATCATCACGTAATTTTTTCCTAGATACTTTTAAGCAACGACCGTGATACCTATAAATATTAAAGAAATAATGACTAAAAACAAGAATATACCATTCATGACATATTTCACATTCTACCATTAACCCAGACTCTGGCTGTCTACATAAACAAAAAAGATCATGATGTGGGATCTGACCAGAAGAAATTCCATATCCATCAGCTTTATTAATAACTAAAGATGTAGAAGGATCAGGACTCTGTTCTCTCGATGAAGGCTCAACAACAAGAGCACGAGGTTTATCTTCCAAAGAAAGACATAAATTGTTTCTTTTAACAACGTATTCCATATGTTGTCCTAAAGTCTCTAAAGGTGCATTAGCTTTTCCAAATAATCTCTTTCCTCGACGAATCCATTCATGTAATTTTTGTTGTTCCTTTTGAAGAAAAGATACTCCTTCTGGGGGATTTGGGAGAGCATTAACAATGTCCATAATCTTTTTCAATTCAGTAGCAGTTGGTCTTTGCCAAAAATCAGGATTTAATATGCGTTGCTGAATATTTTGAACAGAGTTGTGAACTTCATGCATTTTATTTATAATAGAATTAACCTTAGCAAGAATACCTTGAGATATAGACAAACTAGATGCTTGATCAGCTAATCTTACTAGCTCATCCATAGGTATTGTTTCTTGTTCCATAAGACTAATAGCATGTGCTTCCCATGCTTCTCCATTTTCTTTTCTTATTTTAAGTTTCAAAAAATATGGATTATTTTCTGGAATCTTAATTTCTTTTCCTTCTGAAATCAAATCATTTACTTCTTTCAATGAAATATATTTATTCTCAGCGTCACGAACAGTCTCTATCCATAATAATTGTTTATAATATTGTTCAAATTGCTCAATCTCTGGAATATCAACATTAAAACTTTTTCCTAATTCTATAATTTTCAAGCATTGTTCAGATGAGACTGTAGCCTGAGAGATGACATCCCTTGCATGATTCTGAAAAGATGCTATAGCATCTGCTTTTTCTCGCAGCATTTGTATCTCGGGAGTATCAAAAGGAAGACTTTCTGCTTCTTTTAATAAACTCTCCAAATATTTTGGATTTCTAAAAATTTTATCACGCTCTCCTAATTCTGCAATTTTTCCTTTTCTCCAAACTTTTTCATTCTTACGTCGATTTTGTTGTTTTCGTGTTATAAAATTATTTGCATTTTCAACCCATTCATTTACTTTTGCTACAAAACTTCTAAGAGATGAGACTTCTTCAATAGGATATTGTATTTTTTCGACCTCAGAAAGAAGTGAACGCATAAGTTTAAGAGAAGGACGTTCATTTTCTGACATAGCTTTATAAAATTTTTTAGTCCAGATAACAGGAAGATTACTACGTTCACTAATCTTTCCCGCGATTTCATTTAAGTGTTCATCACTATACCGAAGCCTAAGTATACGAGTATTTTTCTCACAAGCACATAGTTCTAAATAGTGATCCGCACAAACAATTTCTAGTGTACATTTACATTTAATTTGAGAAAGATACGTATAGGATTTACATATTCTGCATTGATATTGGTCTTCATGTATATCTGTTTCATCCAATTCCTCAGTAAGATTAGTTATCTCTTCTCTTAAAAATTTTCGAGATTTCAATTCACGATCTTTCATCTCATTTATTATATCATTTAACCTATTATAATAAACTTAATTCAAAAGATAAGAAAATTCATACCACATGGAAGTTTTAATTCCATTTTCATGAAAAGAAATAGTTAAAAGTAATTCATCATGTGAAAACACTGGAATTTTCCTAAATTCTTTATATCTTTTTACTGACTCTAAACTATATCCTTCATTCATCCAATTAGGAATAGCAAAATTAACCGCCTCATTAAAATTAAACTTAACAAATTAGTTTATGTTAGTATTTTAAAATAAAACTTACTCCATGATTAAAACCCGCATGATATGCTTGAGGAAAAGTTACAACAAATTGGTTTGCATGCTGATCTACAGCATAAACTCTAACACCCTCGTCTACCAATTTTGCAGGACTAATCATAGTTACAAGCTGAAACAATAAATCTGGTTGTTGTTCAAAAAGTTCTGGTATAGTATTCCTCATAATTTGTTCAAATAAATCTGCATCACTACTTGGTATACCATACCATGTTTTTGTTTCACCAAGATGTTGATAATTAATAGAATAAGTATAATGATCTTCGTTATGCCAACAAAACGCAGAAAAACACATTCCAACATAAAGCCATGGCGTAGTCATACCACTGATATTTGTTTTAATATGTCTTAATAAAGAATCAGGAGACAAAGGTAAGATATTCAAATTCCATGGATCTGATGAATACGAGTCCAAAGGATTTTTTTCTAAAGTAGGGAAGCCAGACCCATGAGTAGTAGAATGAATATCAGCACCATATTCAACTTCAGTTGTTATATTTACATTTCCAACTAATTTCCAAAATTCTTCTTCCACATCTGCCTCGCTTGGGGAATTTTGTTTTTTATTAAATTGTTTTTTAGAAAAGTATTTTTTTTTAAAAGAATTAGCTTTTTCCTGAAACTGCTTAAGGGAATATGTGCTTCCATCCTCAAATCCAAAGTCGCTTGTTCCTAAAAAGCATGCATCACAATACCATTCACGTTTAGGTATTTGAGTTAATGGATACTCCAGACATTGTATATGATATCTAACACCGCATCCATGACATAACAACATAGAAGACTTATCTAATCCTTTGTGGCATCCTTCACAAACCTTATATTTTATTAGAAAATAATAAATTAGCTTAAAAAATATACATCTCCAATTTTATCTTTATTTGCAAAACTCGCTTCCACTAAACCGTTGTTTGGCAATCTCTCATTGTTTTTTGTTATTCCATTTAGATCTATTTTATATATTAAAAATTTCAAAATTAAAATCAGGACAGACCTTTTCGAATATATCTACTGCTTCGACTTTCGTTTTTCTCTCTATTAACACTATTACTCAATATTTTATTATCTTCATGTATCTCTTCATTCTTTATATTAATATGAGATTCTTTAGTATTTTTTAATTTATTATTCAAATTATTTGATAAATCATTTTTGTACACTTCAGATAATGGAAAATTATTTGACGAAGCAGGAGATGTCTTTTCATTCTGCTCCTTTTTTTGATTATGATAACCTTTAGATGCGTTTCTAATTTTTTCTGAATATATATCATATGGAAGAATATATTTTTGATATATTGTTTTCAAAGATGTTACTGCATTTGAAAAATGTCTTCCATCATTCGTATATCCAAACTCACGACCTATTTCTTCCCATCTTCTTCTCTCATATGCCTAAATGCACAAATAAATTTTTTTATCTTTTAAAAAATCTTTATACCTTATGATATCCCCCTCGACTTTCAACCGCTCTTTTTAACCGATAAAGATCTATTGGCTGCTTATCGATTGTCGGTAATACTTTTATTGGCGATCCTTGTTGCTTATGGAATTTAAAAAGTTTATCAAGATAACTAACATTTGCTCTAAAACCTCCTTCCATTGAATTTAATACTTGTTTTCTTGTACGAAACAAAAATGTCTATAACAATATTAACCCCATAATAAAGATAAAATAAACTTTTCAACCAACCTCTGAATCAATAGAAAACGTAGGTTTCCATGATTTTGGAGGGACAATCTTAATAATTCCATATTTCTTTCCTTCTTCTGAAATACTTTCAATATATTTCAACGGCTTCTTAAACTCCTCCTCCGTAGGAAAAAATGTAGGTGCAACATGAAGACCCATAGGGCGTGGATATCTTGGCTTTTCTGGCCCTTGATAATTCATTTCCACTGTAGATAAATCTATCGGCTCCATTTTCACTTTTCTATATAGACATGACGGATTTTGATCCAGTTTTGAAGTATTAGGGGTCATTTTTCCAGGAGAATATTATTCTTTTATCAGTTATCTATTATTTCTTAAAGAAACAACTGATTTCTGAAAAAATTAGATATTTTTGAAAATTGGACGTCTTCGTAAAAAATTTAAACCTTAAAATTTTCGATAGTTATTTGAAGATGCACTTTTTTCCTCCATTTTATGGATGTTATTTATTAAAATCAGAAACAACAAAGAGAACATATATTGGATCGACAAGTAATCCTTTTAATGTGTTTTTTTTTCCAATTTTTTTTCCAAAAACTGAGAGAAATAGAGATTAAGACAACATAATGGGGAAATTGTGTCAGGAGCACAAAAAACAGTAAAAGGACGCCCTTGGAATGTATTATATACCATATCTTTATTAGTAGAAAACTATTTGACTTTTTTTTTGAAAAAAATAGATTATTTGTCTTGTTTATGGATTTCCTTCGGTGGTTTCTGCTTTGCAAGTTTGAACCGCACAATTGCTTGAAATTTGGAGTTTCTAATGTTTAAAGTTTGAATGGGCATGGCAGAATCCATATAAAACAATTAAAATTCAAAAAGAGGAGAAAAATCGGCTTCAAACTGATCTTAATCATAATTGTGATGAAGAAGTGAAATTTCCTAAGCAGGGATCATATGTTTCTATAAAAAGAAGGTTATTTATTTTGTATAATATGTTGACAATGAATGCATGGAAAAGATGGCCTCTTAAAATTAGAATTTTTGATGAAAGAGCAAAGAAATTATGGGAAACATTAGACGATACGATAAATACGAAAATAATGCCATGTATGACATTAGAATATGATATAATTCTTGATAGGTATATATACTTATTTTTGTTGTCTGCTATTTAAATGAGGAAGTACAAAAAGAAAAAAAAAAATAAATATAAACAATTCAAGTAATATAGAAAATAATGATTTATTAAATCCAGAAGAAATGGGAAATAAAGGATATCATGCTTTAAAAAAAATTAATATTATAATAGATGAAATGTCACAAATTGCATTTAGAATTTTTGAAAAAATTAAAGAAAAAAATAACAATATATGTATAATTTGCAGAAATATATGTGAATTCCCGGAATTAGATTCAGATGATGCTGCATTAATATATTCTCAACTAATTATTTGCCCAATAGAAGATTGTTTACATGTGTTTCATCTATTATGTCTAGCAAAATCTATACAAACTTCTGAAACAGAAAACGACGTTTTAATTAGTCGCTATAATTGTCCTTCATGTCAAAAAAGTATTATTTGGGGAGATTGTATTCGTCTTCAATATTGTATACTGAGAAAAATAAATGCTAATTTAGAAGAAATTGAGATTTAGATTAAGGTATATTAAACATCGATACAATCCTCACGTAAGGTTTATTAGCTTAAATATTATCAAAAAATATATTTAAAATAGCTAATATTATAAAGAAATTAATCTTAATTTTATATTAATGATATCATATGGTTTTCATAGTATAAGTTGCCAATTTTCAGTAATAGATAATTTTGGATCTCTAATGAATATTATTTGCGTTTTTTCACAATTTGTTCGAGTAACAGTAACTTCTACTTCCCATGTATCTTTGCCTTGTATAACTTTTGCTGTACTTATTTCTTTTATAGTATTATCAGATTTTAATATTATAAGCTTTTCTATTCTGAGATTTTTTATTCTTTTAGAATATTCTTGTGAATTTTTGGAATTATAAAGATCATATGAAACAAAAGTAAGATTATCTGAAGAAAATATAAATTCTTTATATATATAAAATCCATCAAGATTATCAAAAGATACCCCGTCATCTAAATATAAAGATCCTTTTGCATTTCCCTATAAATATTAATTAAAAAACTCAAAATTTAAATTGTAAAACTTTATTATCAAGAGCAACAATAATAGTAAATGGGTCATTCATCATTGATAAGGATGAGCGACGTATTCTATCACGTCTTACAACTATATTCCCTCCTTGTATAAACATTGGTATTTTCTCAAGAGGACAAGAAAATGTTTTATATCCTTTGCCATTATGTACAGAAAAATCAAAATAATCATAATAGGGCTAAATTTATATTACAAAAAAATAAAAAAATATATTATTCACCTCATCATCTCCAAAATATACATCTATTTCAGTTGCACCCTCACTAGTAACAGGTTTAACAAGAATACCACTATCGCCCAGAAAAAATTGATCATCAATTGAAAAACCATCTTCGTCATCAGGAAATTTAAGAAATTGAGGTCTAAAATGGTTAAAAGGATATAAAAGAATTATAAATGTTTCAACCGTAATACTGGTAATCCTGTAGTACTTGCAAGAAAAAAAGCTGTATACCAAGTTGGAAGAAGTTGATATCTTATAAGTATGCTATTACGTATAATTGATGTATAAGAACTAGGAATAGTCCAGGGCTCACGTCTCCGAGTATCAATATGAGAATGTCCTCTAAAAAAAGGATAAAAGATTCCAGCTTGATACCAACGGGTCAACAATTCATTAGAAGGATTTCCAAAAAAACCACCAACATCAGCTAAAGAATTAAAAAACAATTGGCTTTAGAAATAAAATGTCTACCTCCAGAAAACGATAATCCAGCAATGTTTAAAGACAATACTTCAGGTATTGAAGCACGCAAATGTTCCCATGATGAATCATTATCACCAATCCAAATAGCACCTATACGAGGAGTACTAGCCCAGAATGACCTTGATAAAATAAATGGACGCACTTTTTTATTAGATTTTCTCAAGAGTCCAGAATAGGTATAATATTGTACAACAAAACCATACAAATTATGAAGAGCTCTATTTTCCCAGCCTCCAGAATGTATAGCATCTTTATGTATCGTATATTCAGGCCCATTAAATACAGATGGTTCGTTCATATCATTCCAAATGTGTAGATTTGAAAATGAAAACTTTTTTTGTTATATAATTTTATCATAATTTATATATTCTTACATTTAAAACTTCGTACTGAAATTTATCAGACCACCATTCAGCCCCTTTTTCTGATATAACATCTATCCATATAGAACTTCCTGGCCAACAATTACCTTCATAAACATCTCCTTTCGAAGTTTTTACAAAAAGTTCCCTATCCTTCATTTCTTTATAAGCATAATATTCTTCGTCTTTCTTAATATGTGGATTTACAATTATTATAAGCTTTTATAGTTAAAAAAATTGTTAAAAGAAATAAATTAACCTGTCTTTTTTTAGAATCAAGCTTTTTTAATATTTTAGTAGGAGAAGGAAAATAATCTTTATCCCAAATAAAATAAGCTTTTCCATCAGTGTATTCTATATCAAGCCACAAAGCATCATATGGTATATCATATTCATCAAAACGATTATCAATGTAAAAAACATCTTCTTCACCTAAATAATTCCAGCGAGATTGATGGTATCCTAACGAAAATATATTTGGCAGGATAGTATATCCAACCAATTCCCCATAGTGTTTAAAAATAGAATTATGATCCGGGCCTAAAAAGACAAAAATATCTATCAATCCAGTTTCTGAAATCCAATGAGTCTTAGTTGACATATTAATAGAATCTTGGGCATTGTACTAAAATTATTAGACACTATAGAAAAAAGATTATCTAAAAAAACCTTTTTTTTTTCAATATCAATCCAAGTATCTGCAGGATTCATCCAAAAAATAGAAACACTTGAATTTTTCTTATGTGCATACATGAAAGGAATACTTCCATATAATGAAGCTGGGCTATCAAATTCATATTCAAAAACGTCTGTATTGTATAATCGGTACGGTTCATTATAGCTTTTATTCTCGCCTCTAACAATTAATAATAAATTTATCTAAAAAAAAGCCTAACCGTGTTTCTTTTAAAGAAAAACTAGATGAATGTTCCGGAATACCATAAACATGTTTATAATCTACAAATGTAATATCTAAAGCAACAGATTCTGGGCCTAAAAATTAGTATAAAAATATTGTATATTAATTAAAATACCTAAAGGTTTAGTATCATGTATTCCATTAAATGATTCTTCCCACATATTGAATTCATGTGAATTCTCTGATTTTTCATTTACAAGTGGTTTAGGACGCCAATGCTCAAAATTTAAATATCCATATTCATTAAATAGAATTTCTAAATTTTTATCTTTATAAAAACTAATTTTAAATGGATCATGAGTTATTCTCATTTCATATATATTGTCTGGACCATAATTTACTATTGTCATTCCCGGTTCTTCTACATAATTTTGAATTGTTTTGTCATACTCAAGACTAGAAATAATAGTCCACTTTTCTGTTTCATTATATCTTTCTTTACGAACTTTAGCGTCATTAGTAATATCGATGTTCCCTGTTTGACGCTGCAACTCATCTATTTTAACTCTTATAACTCCTGTTTTTAAAAATGAAATAGAAATTGGAAGATGAATAGTTTGTTTGTTAATTTCCAGAATTTTTAAAACAACTGCCTCAAGAATTCCATCTTTCAATACTAACTTTGAATTATCAAATATATATTTATCTTTTGGAGTCCCTTCATCTGCTAAATATCTATTACGTTTACAAAATGAAGATTGATCACATGTTTTAAAGCTTTTATGATCAACTGCTAAACTTGAAATAAAAAACAAGCAACAATTGAAAATAAAAGTTAATGCTTTACTGTATTTCATTTCAAATGAAATTTTTTCCTTTTAACAATTTTAAGAAAAATAACATTTTAAAATTTTGAAGTACGCAAGTTTGTATTTATTAATCTGATAAGAAAATAATTAAAAATTTAAATATAAAAACTTAAATTAGTGATTAATTACTTGAAAGATTATATCATAAGTATATAAAATTATATATGTCGCTTTGTTACTTTTACAATTTTTTAGTATAAAAATTGAGATTTCCAACTTTGTCAATTACAGATTTTGCTACGGCATCAACAGCACCTATAAAGATTTAATAATAGAATTAGATAAAAGATTAGAAAATACCTTTAGGACTTAATAGTGATGGAGAATGTTTTGTTTCTTGAATTCTAAATAATTTAATAGATGTACCTGTCCATATACCAATAGCACCAGTAGAAAATTTAGTCTCAGCTACATAGATATGTCCCCATAATAGGCCTTCGACTGTAGTTAAAGTATGATCATTACGAATAAAAGGGATAGGCTCTGTATCAGTTATATCAAAATCAATGCTTAATGAAGATAAAGCTTCTAAAATAATATTAGGATTTGGAGTTGAAAATGCTATATCATTTATTTTTGGTTTTAGTTGTTTTATTATAGTAAGTATTGTATCGAGTTCAAGGGAAGAATGCCATGATTTTACCTAAAATATTATAAGAAAAGAAATAAATCAAAGAAATAGATTACCCAGTCCTCTGTTGGTATGAATTTTTTTTTCGTTTTCAAGATATTTTTGGATGCATAAGTATTAAAATGAAATGGATCAGTCTCAGTATAATCTGAAGGGGAATTTAGCCGTTCAGGTAATTTTCCTCTAGCTTTTTCAGAAATAAAAGAATTGTTTATTTTATGAAACTCAGAAGCAGAAGTTGATGTTCCTATTAATGATAAAGATGATTTTCCTTTCGATAATTTATCATTTACGATAGTATTTTCTGAATTTTCCTCTTCATTATTTAACTCCTCATTTTCAATAATAGAAGAAGAGTTATCATTTTGAAAAGGTGTTTCAGGCATTTGTATTTTTTCTGAAAAATATGTATTATCTTTATGGAATTTTTTGGTATCATTTTTAAGATTATTTAATTCATTTTTTTTAAATTCAGAATCCTTTCCAAGCTCCATGAGTGCTTTTTCTAAAGTAAAATTCTTTAATAATTCAAACCTTTCTGAAGATCTTAATATTGCATATATTAAATGCAGATTTTCTAGAAAAGCATTAGATTCCTAAAGAAAATATCCATATATACTTTTCATTTGGTGTTCAATTATTCTATTAAATACTTCCAGGAGATTTCCTAATAAAATATGATTATTTTCACTAGCTAATAAAAAATTAAAAGAAGAAAAAGAGTAAAATAACTGCATTAATTTTGTGCATGAAAGAATTGACAAATTCTGAGCATATGGCGCAATATTTATCAAAATAGAAAGCATATAAGGTAACAAAGAGTTTAAAGCACCTTTGCTTGTCATAATAAGCATATAAATTGACTATAGATGTCAATAAAGTAAAATAAAAATAGAAGAATTGTACAATAATAATAAAGTCCATATAATTATCTTTAGAAATTATTTTTATGTTTATGGGAAGAATCTTGTAATGTTCAAAAGTTGTATTTAACTTTTTGCAAAAACTTGGTTTTGTAGACAATGTTTGTAAAATTGAAATACAAATCCGTATAAGTCCAAATTTTGATAATTCTTTCCTGTAGTTTACTGAATAACATAATAATAATACTAAATAATCCAAAGAATTTTTGTCATCAATTAAATATTCTTTAAAACTCTATATATTGTAAGTTAAATTTTAAAAATAAGTAAAAAATGCATTATTTATCTGAAAAACTTTCCAAAGTAATATTATTACTTCAGGAGAATATTTCATAGGCTTTTCAATAGTAGGAAAATAGGAATCATTATGAAGGAATTGGGTTAAAATCCTGTTAATTCCGTTATAAAGAAATTCTATATCATCTTTATGATGAAGTTTCCCTAAGATTCATTAAATATTCTATCAAACTTGGAAAAAAATATACCAAAATACATGCAATATTTATTTACAGGAATTTCGCTAGTCTGACTTTTTTCAATATCAAGTAATGAAGGAATTTGATAGTCAAGAAAAATCAAGAGAATTTGAAGACAGTAAGAAACAAGTAATTGTTTAGAATCTAATGAAATTATATGATTGTAAAATATTTGCCACTTTGCAGGGTTATAGTTTATGACCTATTAATATTAAATTATATGAAATAATTAAAAACAGAAATACTGTATTTAAAAGAGAACATAAAAAAGTAAGAATAAATCTTTTATCCGGATTTGTGACCAAATAAATAATATATAAATTAGGTTTTTGTTTGTCTAGTTTCTTTAGTTTTTTCATTATAAATATGAAAAATTACTTGGATAGAAGTAAATTGATTTTGAAATAATTGAAAGAATACATCTCAATACTTCTATTCTATTTAATTCATATTCTGTTGTTGCTTTTGTCGATGTTATGCAACCAATACCTGGTTCCCTATACATATAAGATATTTGCAATTTATAAACAAAAAAATTTATACCAAACAGAGTATGATATCTTCCGAATGACATTTTCTTTTGCTGAAATCGTAAAACCCGCAAAAAAAAGCATGTCATTAAGTGTATCTAGCAATTCTTCGGCAAGTGGTTTCAAAATCTCATATTCTGGATCATTTTCTTTTTCATATATATCATTTACAATAATTTTCGTATATTTAAGATGTGATTTAAAATCAATTTCATCTTTAGAAAGATTTGACTCTTCTAGCGTTAAATTTGAATTTTTATAGTATTTAAATTTTTTTTTTCGGCATCTATAATTCCAAAAAGTTTCGTTTTCCCATTCTTCCATACTTTCTTTCTCATAAATAAAAGGCATAACTCTCGTTATAATACGAAGACAATTTAACGCTTCTTTCATCTTTTCTGGCTTGTCAATTTCATCCTTAATAAAAACAAGCTTTGAAGCCACAACATAAACTAATGTCCTTATATTTGTTTCCGAGTAATCTCGAATACGTATGATATCTTGTGTTGAAAAAAGTGTAAAAACATCTTTTACTGACTCTGGGAGCGTCCAAAACTATTTAATAATAAATATATTTATAATATCTTTTATTTTATTAGTAAAATAACCTGTCTCCAATATTCATTGTCCACTGAAATACTCTAAATACCCTTAATATATACAAAAAAATAAAAACACATTTTTAATATATACTTCCTCAAAAAGACGAAAAATTCCACGCCGGAAAAGAAATCTATATTTAACTTAGAATTTTCTATTGATATAATATAATTTTAATTGATTACTTTGACTCTTGAGCTCCCATTCAAAAAAAAATAAATTTATGGTAGTTTTGGAGGTAATTTCTTAAGATTCATCGAGCTTTAGATTGGTTTCGAATCACGTCAAAAATAATGTTAAAAGAAAAATCACCAATATTACATCTTTCAATCCAAAAAACACCTGTACCATATGGTTTGTATAGCTAATTTTATTATGAATCTTTTCTTCCCGTCTTTATTAACTTTATTTTTAGGTATTTTTCTTGTTACATTATGGATCAATCAAGAATCTCAGTCAATTGATATAAATTATGTTAATGATCTCTACATTAATGAAGACAATAAGGAAGAGGGTTTATCTTTTCAAAAATGTATGGATGATTGCTATATATATGGAACAATTCCTATTTTAAAGGAACTTTTAAGATATTTGAAGGAACCTCTAAAAAATGAGGAAAGTATTGTTAAATGGGCAGAATATTCTATGGAAAAGATTAATATATTAACTTTTAATGATATGGATTCTGTTTTTTTGTATTTGAATGATTTCTTGTTGGAAAAAAAGGCATTGATAGATGATCGAATAACGTTGGCAGATTGGATTGTATGGGGTGCTTTACGAGGAAATGTTTATGCTCAAGGGATTATTAAGAAAAATATATATCCATGTCTTAATAGATGGTATCGGATGGTTGAATCGGATACATTTGTTTCTCGAGCAGTTCAATTGTTGTTGAAAGAAATAACTAGTGTATTGTTTTTATTATGGCTTTATGGATATTTATAATTTAATAGAGAAAATCTCGTTCAAAAGGAAAAAACCCTACTGCGAATTATGATATTGGACTTCAAGACGCAATTGAAGGAAAAGTCGTTACACGATTTCCTCCAGAACCGAGTGGATATATGCATATTGGTATTATAAGATGATTGTTTGCATTTTATTATTGATATAACAATAGGACATGCAAAAGCTGCAATTCTTAATGAATACTTTGCTAAAAAATATAAAGGAAAACTTATTGTACGTTTTGATGATACGAATCCGAGTAAAGAAAAGGTAATTCATTTTTTAAGAATGTTTTTTTTAATGAATTTTAAAGGGGGAATTTCAAGAAGCAATATTAAAAGATCTTGACTCACTAGGAATCAAAGCAGACCAAGTATCGTTTTCATCTGATTATTTTGATAAAACATATGATTTTTGTGTGCAAATGATTAAAGATGGGAATGCATATGCAGATGATACTGATAAAGAAACAGTAAATGCAAGGAAATTTTGTATTTTTCTAATATTTTCAGATGCGTGCAGAAAGAATGCAAGGTATAGAAAGCAAAAGACGGCAGAGAAGTATAGAAGAAAATCTAGAAATATTTTCTCAAATGAGAAAAGCTACTGAAATAGTATGAAATATATATTTACTTTACATCATTTCTTATATATAAGGGGCTATTAAATTGTATTCGTGCAAAAATATCTGTGAATAGCCTAAATAAAGCTTTAAGAGATCCTGTTATTTATCGATGTAATACAACCCCTCATCACAAGACTGGAACTATTTGGAAAGTTTATCCAACATATGACTTTTGTTGTCCTATTGTCGATAGTATTGAAGGTGTAACCCATGCTTTAAGAACAAATGAGTATAAGGATAGAAATGCTCAATATCAATGGATGATTAAAACTCTTAATCTTCGAAAAGTTCATATATGGGAGTTTAGTAGGATTAATTTTGTCCGTACATTGCTTAGTAAAAGGAAGTTACAGCAGTTTGTGGATGATAAGAGAGTTTCGGGATGGTATGTTTTCATAAAATATATAGAAAATCTTTATAAGTGAATTAGGGATGATCCAAGAATGCCAACAATTCTTGGAATTAGACGTAGAGGAATGACAATTGATGCTCTGAAACAATTTATAATTTCTCAAGGACCATCAAAAAATGTTCTTAATTTAGATTGGTCAAGTATTTGGGCTATTAATAAAAAAATAATTGATCCTATTGCGCCTCGTTATACAGCTATAAATTCAGATAATCTGTGAGTATTTCTGAACGTATATATTTATTGATCCTTATATAATATAGTGTAAAAGTTTTCATAATTAATGGACCAAGCACTGTACATATAGAAGAAAGACCTAAACACAAAAAAAATCCTCAAGTTGGTATGAAAAAAGTAGCGTTCTATAAAAATATCATACTTGATCAAGAAGATGCGTTAACATTTAAAGATAATGAAGAGGTAATATCTGTTTTTATAATTTTTTTATTTAAGCAATTAGATTACACTCATGGATTGGGGAAATGCTATTATAAAAAAAATAATTAAAAATGATTTTGGTATTATTGATTCAATAGAGATGGAACTCCATTTAGAAGGTGATTTTAAGGCAACAGAAAAAAAAATTACATGGCTAGCTGATCTTCCTAATCTTATCGATGTTCAATCTGTTGATTTTGATTATTTAATTTTGAAAGATAAATTAGAAGAAGGAGACCGTCTTGAAGATTTTTTAACTCCTTGTACTGAGTTTCATTCAAAAATAAAAGTTGATGAAAATTTTTTAAATCTTTCTAAATCAGATATTATTCAATTGGAAAGAAAGGGTTATTTTATATGCGATCAGCCTTGCAATAATGAAGGAAAGGGCCTTGTTCTATTTAAAGTTCCTGATGGAAAAGTTATTAATAAATATGGCGTCAAAAAAATAGAAAGTTAAGGTTTCATTATCGATTTAAATTTTTAAAAAATTGTTTTTCATAAGAATGAGTTATATTTATAAAAGTATTCTTGGATTCAAAACTTCAAAAAAAAATATGAGGGAGTTTTTTTTTTTCTTTTCTAAGTTTTATAGTTCTGTTACAAAAAAAGGTATTTTTTTCTATCTCATTTTCAGGACAGTATTTTAATAAAAAAAGGAAATAATCCTAAAAAAATACCTATTTATGAAGACTTACCAGTTCTTTTTAAAGGAGATGCGCTTAAAAAGGTTCAATTATCTCAGATTCAGATTTTAGATCCAACTGAAGAAAGAACTTTACTTTTTTCAAAAAAAAATTCAAATTCTGCTCGACCAGGGGATATTTTACAAGTTGAAACATATAATACACTCCCAAATAAATCAAATATATCAACATTTTCAGGATATTTAATTGCAGTTCATAGAAAAGGTATAGACACAAGTTTTCGTCTTCGAAACCATATTTTGAAAACAGGAGTGGAAATCAAGTTTAATCTTTATAGTCCGGCAATTAAAAGTATAAAAATATTATTGAAAAAAGCAATTGGAAGGGTTCGTAGGGCAAAATTGTATTATTTAAGGCAACTTAAACATAATCCTGGATCTGTGGAAAATTTATTAAGACAAAAAGAAAAGCAGTGCAAAATAGATTGAACTATGTATTATTCTTTACAATGTTAATATGTTGGAAGATTGTTCTATATAATTGTTAAAATGAAAAGGTGTATATAAATAGCTTACTAATGAGTATCGTTTATATAAATACCGGGAACTTGGTATATACTGTGTTCTGTTCCGAAATTCATCATTTGAAAGGCTTGTAGATGATGAATTTATGTTCATAAGAGTTGGTGATGATGATGATAATTCATTGTAAAATGGTGAAAGCTTTGAAGGATTTTTTGTTTCAGTATTTGGACAAGATGACTGAGAACTTCCATTATATGGAGTTACCTGTTGTGGGGAGGGACGTGGCGATTGTCTCGTCTAATCATTAGCTTTAATAATCAATATTAAAGAAAGGAAAATAAACCTGCGGAGAACTTTTCACATATCTTGGAGGAGTAATTGTGTTATTTAATGAAGAAGAAGGAAATACTACAAAAATTATGTTAGTTTTAATATCTTTCCTGAGAATTTCAACCATGAGGATCAAGTCCAAATAATTTCCTTTGTACTGGTGTTAATGAAAGATCTAAAAATGTATCTTTCGGCCTAACAAGCCTCAATGTTGCTTCGATAACATTATAAAGCAGAACAACGTGGATAAATATGTCTGATATCTGTTAAAATCCTCTAAAACAATTCGATCCTTACTAAAATATTTAAAATATACTTTTAAACTATTATATTCTTTTAAATATGTCTCAATAAACCTTCTAATTTTCCGTAAATCTTTATACAAAAATATATATTATCTTACTTCTTATTAAGATAGTTTTTCACCCATTGAATAATAATAATAGCTAATACATTGACAATTAATCTTTTGATTGTTTCTTCGCTAACTCCCACTCTTCTAACCCTTTTAAAAATAATATCTAATGAAGGATGCCTCCAAAATCCAATTGGAGGCTCTTGATTTGCTTTTCTTTGCATCTTTGAGCGAAAAAATAAATGAGGTGAATGCAAATTTGTTTCTGAAGCATATCTACTTATGTTTCTACCATCTGAAGAACAATATCTATAAATTTCTGACGATATTGGTGATTCATAATTCCTAATTTCTCCTGAATTTAATGAATTTCTTGATTTTTTTAATGAATTTATAGATTCTGGTGATTCATTATATAAATCTTGTGTAAATGATGAATTTGAGAACGGTGAATTAGACATAGATTTTCTTCTGCGTTCTTCATATAGAAAACTCATTTTTTATACTTAAAAGCCCTTAAAAACCTGAATATTTCTTTATTTTAAATATTCTTGCTGTTCTCTGTATTCGATAATTTACAGTATAAGTTAACGTCATTAAATTTGGTTAATATTGTTTAATAAAAAAAGAGGATAAATTGCGTCAATTGAGAGCTAATATTTAATAGAATCCTTTTTGTGCATACGTATTATTTATATTTCCCTTTTTTTCCGCAGATTTTAGCTGAATTTAGGGTATAATATAAGATTTTTTGTTTCTTAGAAGATATAAAAATTTCTGCGAAAAAAAGGATAATAATGACATATTTTGAGAGAATAACACGTTTTATTTATGAAGAGGTTTATTTTTTACTATGAATTGTCTTTAATTTATTTTTTTATCATTAATTATCAATATTTTGTTTTTTTCTTTTATTGAAGGGTCTCTGACATTTTTTTATATTTATTGGAATATTAGTCAGATTTTTTGTCTATTTATATGAAATAAGGATCATTTATTTATAAGAATAAAATTATTTTATTAAAATTGTTTTTTTTTGAAAAAAAAGCATTTAATTTTTTTAAAAAATGATATGAAGTTTTTGAAGATATTTTTGAAAAAGGAATGAATAAAGGTTAAAAATGAGTTATGTATTGTTTATATGTAAGTGAAATGGAAAAGGTTTATATTTATTGTTTAATATTTAATACTTATATTTTTAGTTTTTTATGGGTTTTCTTTTTTTATAAATAATATTATTCAAATACATTAAAGATATTTTATGATTTTTTCATTTGAAAAAATATTTTCTCAGTTTTTATTTAAATATAACAATGCTGTTATTTTTTTGCTAAATATATTAGAGAACTTTATTACAAATATTAGGTATGATTAATATTTCTTAATATTAAAATATTTTTAATAATAGATAGCAAAGCACTTTTCTTGATTAACTCTTGTGGTTATACCTTTATTAAATGAAATAGATATTTTCTTTTTTATGGGAATTATTTATAATGTTAATCCGGATTTGTTGATTATTTCTGAAGATATATTCTTATTAAACACTTTAAGTGCACTAAGAAAATCTATTGATGTTATTTTTGTTACAAAAAATGAGATTTATACACTGTCTAGAAGTAAAGATTTAGAAATAGAAATATAGAACAATATTTGTAATTTGAGTGATATATATTCTAGGGAAACAATCAATTTTATACAAAAAACTTCAAAAAGGAAGTAAATATATAAATAGGAATGTCTTATATCTGACTAGTTCATACTTGAATAATTTTTCTCTACTTATTCTTTATATTACTGTTGTAAATGGTATATAATTAGATTAAAAAAATAATTATTTAGGTTTAAATATTATTATTAAATTAATAATTGGAGCTGATTGATATTTATGATTTTATATGTTATGATTTATTACCATCAATACTTTTTGACGTAAGTTATTATATCATTATAGATTATATGATAATTTCTGTTTAGGTCATTTCGAAATTGTTAGATATTTAGCTAATATGCTTAAACTATATAAGGATTCTTTTATATTTAATTTATTATTTAAACGGCCTATATTTTCTTTAATGGAGAAACTCCTAAAAAGATTTCATTTATATATAAATTATTTAGAATGCCTTATAAATTAAGACTTCTATTTATAAATTATACGTCAGAGAATTTTAATGGTTTAGATTTATTAAAAATTCGAATTATCTAACTTGTATTGAGCATTAAAGTAGTTTCTTTTTTATTTTGTCATAGGAATTTTGGTCTTATTTCATTTACCAATTATTGAGATTATCCTCAGCAAGTTTATTTTGGTCCCTCCTCTACTTAGCAATTAAAATTGCTGATTCAAATATTTACAATGGACTTTAGTTAATTAATGGATAAGTATATTTTTCTATATTTATATTTTAAAATTAACAATATAAAGATATATATACAGGAGTTATCTGTTACTTTTAAAGACTTCTTTAAATTTGAATTTTTACTGGATTAATGGTATTCTTGGTCCTGATGAATATCTTATAATTAAATAATCTGCTACAGATTATAAAAATGCATATAACAAAATAAAAAATGGAAAAGTATTATTTTTTAATGTCACTTTATTTTTTGAAAATTAAAAAAACTGTTATATATTTTATTCTTTAAAGATGATTATTTTAAATTAGCAGGTTTTTCTATTTAATTTAATTATATAATACTTATTTTAATAGATTTAATCATGTTTTTATTATATTTTATCTACCGCTAAAACGATAGATTTATTGAATTTGATTTTTTTCAGGTATTTTTTTAGGGACTATATCTTATTTTTTATTTTTCGGTTTATACATCAATTTAATTATTAAGTTTTTATAAGATTTGGCTAAGATGAATCGGTTTATAACAGTTGCAGTATGGTAAATTGATAAGGTTATATTATTTCATTTAATATTTTATTATAGTTCACTGAATCAATGGGCATTAGATTTTGAAGGGAATTGTGATAGAATTATTAGAAGTATTATTGAAGCAAAAAAACATGGTGCTATTCTCCGTATTGGACCGGAACTTGAAATAACGTAATGATTTATATTTTAGCAATGTATTTTTTTCTTTTAACAATTATAGAGGCTATGGATGCTATGGTATTATTTTGTGAATGGTATATTTTTTTTTTATTTTTCTATTAGATCATTTTTTGGAAAATGATACGTATACACATTCATGGGAAATGTTATGTCGTATACTTTCTTCAAACGATACACAGGATATAATTATTGATATAGGAATGTGAGTTACTTTTATAGGTTGATTTTATTTTTAATAGAAGGCCTGTTATGCATCAAAATAAACGATATAATTGTCGTGTGATTCTTTATAACAAAAAGATTCTTCTAATTCGTCCAAAGTTATGGCTAGCAAATAATGGAAATTATAGAGAGATGAGATATTTTATCAATTGGCCTAAAAAGCGGTTTGTAGATGATTTTTATCTTCCTGAAATGGTTTTTTCTATTACTGGTCAAGTATATATTTTCATAATATAATTTTTTATTACTTACGGTTCAAGAAAACAGTTCCTATAGGTGATTCAATTATTTGTACACAAGATGTTTCTATAGGTTTTGAAATTTGTGAAGAACTATTTACTTCTTTAAGGTAATATATTATTATTGAGTTTAATAAGAAATTGATTTTTAGTCCTCACATTGATCTTTTTTTAACTGGTGTTGAGATAGTATGTAATTCTAGTGGAAGTCATTATGAGCCTGGGAAAAATTTTGAAAGAGTAAATCTTATTCAAGAAGCTACTTTAAAAGTATACAATTATGTCAATGTTTTTATTCTTACTTGATAAAGTCAGGAGGGATTTATTTATATGCAAACCAGCATGGTTGTGATGGTGATAGGTTATATTATGATGGATGTTCTATGATTATAGTAAATGGATCTGTTGTAGCACAAGGACCACAATTTTCTCTTAATGATTTGGTAGTATTTAAAGAATAGAAAATTAATAACTAATATATGTTCAATAAGGATGTTATATCAGCAACTATTGATTTGGAAGATGTTAGGAATTATAGAAATATTGTTTCCCAAGGTGTTCAAGCTTCAGATATTCTTTCTTATAATAAAATTTATTGTTCTATAACTTTGACAAAAAGTATATATGATTTAAATATCGAAAAAATAATTCCGAGTGTTCCAATAATTCCTAAATTTTATTCTCTGGAGGAAGAAATTGCGTAAGAATTTATATTTTTATATTTTAATTAACAGGTTAGTTTTGGTCACTCGTGTTGGCTATGGGATTATCTTAGAAAATCGAATAGTATCGGATTTTTTTTGGCATTAAGTGGAGGAATTGATAGTTGTGCTACCGCTCTCATTGTATATATTATGTGCAAAAAAGTTCTCGATTCTATAAAAGATAAAAGTTTTTAACATTATTTTGTTTATAATTATTTAACTATGCCAGATAATCATATTGTTGATGATCTTTTTAAAGTATTGAGGGGGTCTAAGGATAAGGATTGGATTCCAAAAACTCCAGAAGAATTTGTAAAGTAAAATCTAGTTTATTTTTATGTATTATTTAGATTATTATTTTAGGGAAATTTTATATACTTCTTATATGGCTACAGAAAATTCCAGTTTAGAAACAAGGCAGAGATCAAGACAGCTTTCTAGTGCAATTGGAAGCTATCATATTGATTTAAACATTGATAGTCTTGTTAAAGCAACACTACAAATATTTTCATGTGTTACAGGAAAACTGCCTAAATTTAGATTATATGGAGGATCGGATTGTGAAAATTTAGCTTTTCAAAATCTTCAGGTATCAATAATCCTTTTTTTTAAAAAAAATGATAGTTAATTAGGCCCGCCTCCGTATGGTTCTTAGTTATTTCTTTGCACAATTACTTCCATGGACAAGAGGAAGATCTGGATCTCTTATTGTTCTCGGATCTACGAACCTAGATGAATGGTAAGATGTCTCCAGTACAGGATTTTTTTAATTTCAAAAGCTTAAGGGGATATTTTACAAAATATGATTGTTCTGTTAGTATTATTTTTGGACTTATAACTAGACTGATTTAATATAAGAGCGCTGATATTAGTCTCATCGGTACTCTTTCTAAAACTGATATTAGGAGATTTATTAGATATGTTTGTGATAATTTTAAATTAATTTTACTTGAGGATTTTTTGACTGCTAAACCAACTGCTGAGCTCGAGCCTTTTTCTGAAAATTATATTCAGATAGATGAAGTATAAATCTAAATTTTATGATATTTCATTCTTAATTTTAAAGGTTGACATGGGTTTGACATATGATGAATTAGATATTTTTGGGAAACTTAGGAAAATTGATAAATGTGGACCATATAGTATGTTTATAAAACTCCTAAATAAATGGGGATGTAGTTTGTCACCTACAAAAGTAACTTCTATAAAATAAGGTTTTATTTTACTTATGAATTTAAAGATTGCCGAAAAAGTTAAATATTTTTGGTTTCATTATTCTTTTAATCGACATAAAATGACAACATTGACTCCAGCATGTCATGGAGGAGTATGTAGTTTAGATGATAACAGATATGATCTTAGGCCCTTTCTTTATAATACAAAATGGTCTTGGCAATTTAAACGTATAGATGATGAATTAAAAATATTAGAAACCGGAATTAAAAAGATGTGATTTTTCTAATTACTGATATTAATTATAAATAAACCCTATAGATATTGACACCAAAAAAGATATTTGGAATTATATTATGAAATGTTTTAACAATATGTATTAAATAAAAATCATCTTCAGTTTCCTTTAAATTAATCTAAAAGTATGTCATCATAAACTTTGTCTTTTGACAAGGTAGAAGATTTAGCCCATCTAGAAAAAATTAAGTATTTATAATGTATTAAAATAGTTTTTTACATTCTAACGGTATGATCGTCGCCAGCAGATGCAAACATTACAGGGTTAATTGGACTCCATGAAACCGAATTTACAGTACCCTTATGACTTTTGAGAGTTTCAATTAAAGAACCATTTTCTCTATGCCAGACATAAACTTGAGAATCTAATAGCATAATAATTTATTGAAACAAAAAAATAAAAAAAGTACGAACCTTCGCTTCCACTAAGGATGAAATTTTCTTGAGCACCCCCAAAACATGACCTTATTATATAGTTGCCCTGATGTTGTCCGGCATATTTTTTAACAACCTGCATTTTTTCTAAATCCCAAAGATAAACCTCCTGAAAAATATTTAGTTTTGAAATAATATATATAGATATTTATTGAATGCATACTTGTGATGATACATTAATTATTGCAAACTTTGAATCTTTTGAAATACTAACACAAGTTAAGTCGCTTTGCATTAGAAAGCTAAATTCGAGGGTTCTATTTAAAAGATTATAGACATGAAGCATTTTTTCTGTTCCACCTGCTATAAATTTTTTTCCATCTGGAGTTACAGCAAGATCATATACTCTTGATCCTTTCCACTGATGAATTATTATTCCATCAATATTCCATAAAATAACTTCCATATCTAAACTAGCTGTAATGAATCCTGATCCATCAGGAAGCCAAGAACATGATGTCACAAAGTCTTTATGATGTGTTATTGTTTTTATGCATGTGCCAGACTATAAAATTTAGATTTTATATCTAAAATTCTTATTTATAATAAAACTACCTTAACTTCCCACAATTTTGCCATATGATCTTGACCACATGTTAAAATTAATTCATCATTAGGAGACCAATCCACATAAATAACTGGCTTTTCATGTTCTTTTAATATGTATAAAGGTTCATAAGTCTAAAATAATGAATGAGATATATTAATTAATATTTAAATACTTGAAGATTCCAAATAATAGCAGTAGAATCTTTTGAAGCAGATGCTAAATATTTTCCATTGTGGGAAAATCGAGTACACCATACCTCATCTGTATGATCTCTAAGAACTTTGATAACGGTATTAGGAAATTGATCTTTTTCACAATGATGATCTGAAAGCAATGAAGAAAAATTGGAATCTGTGTGATATAGACATTGTGATATTTGATAATTTTTTGCTTGTATTAAAAGATTTATAAGTCTTTTTTCTGGAATCATTAAAGTAGGTGATATATATTCTACAATCAAATTTAAAAAAAATATATTTTAATTAAGTAATTTTACTTGAAATTTGCTTAAGAAGCTTTTGACGCGAAATCCCATTTGCACCATCCCACGATGCTCTTCTCTTAAGATCATTTACAGATGATGACATAATTAAACTTTAAAATGCGTTAGAAAAAATGAACAAGAAAAACATGCATACCTAGTAAGAAAATGTAGTCTTTCTTTATTATAATCAAGAGGACTAAGTTCTTCTCTCAAAACTGAAAGCGCCTCTGGCATCTTCTTCTCTTCTAAAAGTTCTAAGAACTTTTGTTGTCTGAGATAAAATAAAATATTCTGTAAATATTAGTTTAGATAATTAAAATAGTATGAAACACAAACCGTCGGAACTTCTTCATTAATATAAAGAAAACTAAGTAGTTCTTCTGCGTGTTTCCAATCCCCAGTAAGGATAGATTTCCTAAATTGTAAAACATGCGTGGATTCGACTGAAAACCCAGATTCTTGTTCTAAATGAGATACAGAAGACCTTTGTATCTTAGCTAAAATATTATACATGAATTTCCTCATAAACATACTTGTATCCAAAATCTTTAAGTGTCTGTAATATTAATCTTATGATTTCTTCTTTTTCAATGGGATGATTTTTTAATAATTCTTTTTTTTCATCATGTATATCTGATATAACGAAATCATTATCTATTTGATTTCCAATATCATTTTTTAACGATAAATTACTATTAGAATCTGAATTAATTTTCTCTTGTTTCATATTAGAAGAATTGTCTGTTAATGATAAGGTTCGCGCTCTTTTACTAGGTCTATCTAGTATAAAGTCACCGGATTCTGAGTTTCTCGAGCTTGAGTACTGACAATATGATCCCTTCTCAATAAGTTTTTCTAGTATGTTGTTCTCCAGAGTGTAGTAATCAATGGAATCTGCTTTTAAACAAAAATAAAAGATTTATAAAATACTAAAATTAATTTAATTTTTTACAAAAAAAAAGGAGTTAATTGGATTCTCTCTATTTATAACTGTAAGAATTATTCAAAGGCTTTATATTTTCCATGCCTATACACTCAAATAATTGTATAAATTAAAAAACCCTTATTTGTTGATTTTTTGCCCAATTTTTATCCTTTTTTTTCGCTTTTTTTTGTCTGGTTTTTTATAAAGTTTCTCTATTATATGATTTCTTTTAAATTTTCTTCTTTATGGGCAATAAATAGTCTAATTTGATTCTTATATATTATTTTGAGGTTTGGATTCTCTGCAATTGGGTCGTCGAAAAGCTGCTAAATATCGATTAAACGATGACTTAACAACGTCAAGATATTGTAGAGGTAGTCATAAAAGCAGAAAAGAGAGTCATTGTAAGATATAAAGGCTATTTTTTAATTAATATAAGATGGTAAGATATTTATTGTCCTTTTTACAAAAATAAAAGGGAAAAAATGATAAGAATTGGCTAATATTATGAATTTTAGGTGGGATGTAATTAAATAATTAATAAAGATGAAATTGTGTTTTATAAGGTTTTTTAGGTATTGAAAATGCTAAGAAATACTTGGTTAAACTAAGAGATGCTGAAAAAGAGGGTGATTTTGGCTTCGTAAGTCATTTTTTCAACATTTTTTGGTAAGTAAATGATATAGGTATACTCTGTCTCTGGACCGATTGTAATTGCAGAAAAAATGATAGGAGTCTATATGTATGAACTTGTACGTTTTTTTTTTTAAAAAATAAAAATCTTACCAATAGTAGGTGAAAGTTGGTTATTATGAGTTAGTAGGAGAAGTGATTTCTATTAATTATGATAAAGTAACTATTCAAGTTTATGAGGAAACAGGTGAATTTTATAATTTTTGTATTTTTATTACTTAAGTAATATAGCTGGTATTGCAGTAGGAGATGTATTAAAAAAAGATGTGTATTATTATTTAATGACTTTTTTAGCCTGTTCTTCGAACACATAAACCTCTTTCAGTGGAATTGGGGCCAGGATTATCTGGAAAAATATATGATGGTGTACAGCGATCACTTCAAACGGTTCAATTACTTTCAAAGAGTATCTATATTCCTCGAGGTATTTATACAGACGCTTTGGATCGTTCTGTTCAATATGATTTTTCTTCTTGTAATTTTAAAGTGGGCGATCATATTACAGGAGGTGATATATTTGGTTCAGTTTATGAAAATTCTTTTCTTTCTGAACATAAAATTTTATTGCCTCCTAAAGCTAAAGGAACTATTCTTTATATTGCAGAAGATGGGTCATATTCTATTGATGTATCTTGTCTTTTTTTATTAGATGCATTTTTATGATATTTTTAAGGAAAAAATAATTGAAGTTGAATTTGATGGAAAAACAACATCATATTGTATGTTTCATCACTGGCCTGTTCGGACTCCTCGTCCTGTGGCGGAAAAGATTCCTGCAGATACTCCATTATTTACTGGACAGCGTGTTTTGGATTCCTTGTTTCCGTAAATAATCTGACTTTTTATAATTTTAATAATTCGATTTATAGATGTGTCCAAGGAGGAACAACTGCTATTCCGGGCGCCTTTGGTTGTGGAAAGACTGTTATTTCACAGTCATTATCTAAATATTCTAATTCTGATTATATTGTTTATGTTGGATGTGGTGAAAGAGGTAATGAAATGGCAGAAGTATTAATGGATTTTCCTGAAGTATGGGATATATTTTTATTTTTATTAATTATTAAGCTATTAAAGTTGTCAATCGAAATTGATGGGAAAAAGGAATCAATTATGAAGAGAACAACTCTTGTTGCAAATACATCAAATATGCCTGTTGCGGCTCGTGAAGCATCTATATATACCGGAATTACACTTTCAGAATATTTCAGGGATCAAGGAAAAGATGTTGCAATGATGGCGGATTCTACATCAAGATGGGCAGAAGCTCTTCGTGAAATATCTGGGTAAAGAATTGTTTATATTAATCTAAAGAAATTAATTGTTATAGTCGTCTTTCAGAGATGCCTGCTGATTCAGGATATCCAGCTTATCTCGGTGCTAAAGTACGTACAAATGATTTGTTTAATATGATTAATGAAAATAGTTAGCATTATTTTATGAACGTGCAGGAAAAGTTATCTGTTTAGGAAACCCAATAAGAAAAGGTAGTATTTCTATTGTTGGAGCAGTATCTCCACCTGGAGGTGATTTTTCTGATCCTGTAACATCCTCGACTCTTGGTATTGTTCAAGTATTTTGGGGATTAGACAAAAAACTTGCTCAAAGAAAGCATTTTCCCTCCATTAATTGGTCTATGTCCTATTCTAAATATTTGGTTTTCCTTTTTTTTTTTTTTATTGAATTCCTTATTTTCTCTAGAATACATTACAACCTTGGTATGAAAATAACTACCCAGGCTTTATAGAAACTCGTAATCAAATAAAAGAAATTTTACAGAAAGAAGAAGGTATTTTATATGTATATATGAATACTTAATTATTAAGTATTTTTTAGAAATGATAGAAATTATTAGATTGGTTGGAAGGAATGCATTATCAGAAGTCGATAAAGTTACTTTAGATGTGGCAGGATTGATTAAGAATGACTTTCTTCAGCAGTAAATAGAAAGTAATTATTAAAATAAAACTAAGTAAGTTTTTAGGAATGGATATAGTAAATGGGATTGCTATTGTCCTATTTGGAAAACATTTTATATGATGAGGATCATAATTAGCTATTATCAACAAGCGCTACATATAGTAGATGATTACAGTATCCCTTGGAATAAAGTACGAGAAAGTACTTTGGAAGTCTTTCAAAAACTTAGTTTTATGAAATTTGAAGTTCCAGATAATGAACAGGAGGTATCAATACGTTATGAAAAGCTTTTAACAGAAATCTCGGAATGTTTTCGAAAAATTACAGAATAGATAAAAAAACAGCTTTAGAATCTTATAACCCTTATTTATATTTTTAGATAGAATTGCTATTTTATTTAACAATGACTATTTGTTTCAATCCAAAAATACCGTATTTTATTTTATATAATTATTTATTGATCCCTAATATTTACAAATAAAAATGATTGAAATTATTTTTTTATATAGGATTATAATAAACCCTGATTTTTTAAATCATTATAAACCTTTTCAGACATTACATTGCCTTGATCATCTTCCATTTCAATAGTTGATTCAAGAAGTCTATCGCTATTTTTTTTATCAGATTTAAGTTTTTCCCATACTATTTATTAACTATTATTTGAAGAAAAAATAAACAGAGATTAACTCACATGCCAATGCATCCTCTATACCAGTAATTTCTTTAAAAAGAATAGAATTCTGAATACCTAAACACCGAAGTCCATGAACGTGTCTCCATTCCTAATAGTTTTAATGATATGTTATATAAGATAATATTTTAAACCATAAAATGTTTATCAAATGCCTTTCTTCCCATATATATGAAATTACCACAGATTTCGCAAGGATACTCGACACCTAAACCATGTAATTTCCATAACCAATATGGAATTGGCTTTCCATCCCATCCAAGAGGTAACTTTAATGGATTCCATATCCTGTCATCTTCCTTTATTTCTTCAATAATTGTTTCTTCATTTTCTGCAGCTTCAAGCTCCGCCTAAATATTTAGAAAATATTTTTTCATATCAAAAGGAAATACTTGGCGCTCTCTATCTGTCAATGTTTGTTTTCGGACAACATTTCTCTTTGTAGCTTCTCGCTCAGAATTTAAAAGTGAAGAAAGCCTTTGAATAAAATATTCTTTTTTGACAAGTATCCGTTTTTTTAAAAGGTCTATTTTTGGAAGAGGGTGATGTTCATTTGTATCATTGTTTATTTTTTCGTCATTTTTATCTTTATTTTTTTTAGCTTGTTCTGCTTTTTTATGTTTTTTGCTTGTTAAATGTGCATCATAAACTGTTTTTTTTGAATAATTTTTATTACACGCATCACAAAAAATATCTTCACTAATAAGACCAGTATTTACCATAGGAACAATCAGTTCTAATAGCTTTCCTGAATTCCATTCTTTTTCAAAATCAGCTTCAATACCAGATATAATTTTATTATGATCTTCTAAAGGATTGATGCGTTTATAAAATGATTCCAAATACGATTCCAAATTCACCAAATACCTACCATCTATTTAACCTTCATAGAACTAAACTTATTTCATATATTCATACTTAAAATAATTTTCATTTTTAATTCGTGGATGAATACTTGAAAACTTATCATAAAAGTCTAGATATTTGGTATAAGAAATATATTTAACTCCCTTCAAATTCAACCATTGCTCGTGCAATACATTTAAGTCGAAAAAACGCCCATAATTCTCCTCTCCCGAAAATATCTTAGAGATTTCTATTTATCTAAGATTTTCGTTTATATTTAAAATAACTCTTTACCATCTTCTTCTGGACTTTTTTTATATAACTCTTCAAAATTTTCGACTTTTTCATTAGGGTATCTTCTATGAAAATCTTTAATCTCCCTTAACTGTCGATAAAACTCTTCAAATTCACTTCCAGAAGTTGTTAAGGTTTCATTTAATAATTGCGTCCTAAAAAAAGACAAATAAATCAATAAACCCCACATCTAAAATACTAAAATACTTGTCTTCGTTCGTGTATATATCTAAAAGTTTTTTACTTTGCTCTGCAATCCTATCAAGAAATTTTGCAACATCATGTTCTTGAGATAAACGATCTTTAATCTAAAAAAAAAAACTTAAATAACTTTATATTACTTTATAATAAATACCTTCTTATTATCCTGTGCTAGACGGTCTGCAATTGCTTGCTCAAGACGCTCAATATCTTCATGAAGAGCACGCTGACGTTCTAAAAGGCTTTCCATATTTTTTTTGACGTTGAAAAATCGTAGGAGCAGCTTCTATAAAAATAATGAAAAAAATAATGTCCTTAAAATAATAGAATGATATTAGAATATGTTATGAAACTTGGAATAAAAGGAAGTCTTTTATGTATTTTTTCAAAGTTTAAATTTGAAGAAAAATGAAATAATAAATTAAAAAGAAAATAATTATTAATGATTTTTTATGGAAATGTAATTTTAAATGATATTTTATTTGGATGAGTTAATTATGATGTGATGAAAATGTATTATTCTAATAAAAACCAAAAAGTATTAAGAAAATTGCCAGCGACTTTTTAAACCTTCAATCCATCGGATATATAGCAATTCAGCAATAGGACTTCTTGAGTTTTGCTTAGAATAGTTGTCTGTAGGGGATTTTTCATTTGCAGGAATTTCTTTTGTATCGAGTGAAATTTCTTGAGATGATGAATGTAAATTCAAATCGAATGTATTACACAATTCGGTGTTGCTATTGTCTATTAATTATTTTTTAAAAAAAGTTAAGAAAAAAAGCCTTTTTAATTTTTGAATAAGTTTGCGAATAAATAACGCTTCAGCTTTTGGATTTAAAGATGCAAAATTATACCAAGATTTTGCTAATTCATTTAAAGTATTTGAGCAAATATAGATATCCTCTTGAGATTTTAACTATTTTTATTAATTATTATATAAAAAGGGAGAAAATGTACTTCTTGAATAGTTGGATTTAAAATATCATGATAAAATCTATATCCAGGATCTTTATTTGATTGATTAAAAGTTGGTTGGTATAAATCAGGCTTAATTGTATGTAGTGCTTTTTTTTCATCGATAATATGTACTATTAGAATTAAAGATTTGAGATATTTAAAAAATTTATACTAGAAATAATAAATAATTTATATAATAATCATAAGATTATACCTTTTCTCAGTATTTTCTTTAATTATATTATCTTTTTCTAAAGTTATAAGAGTAGGAGAAATTTCGTTTTTTGAAGGATTTGATTGAACATTATAGGAATGTGCTTTAATAGTATCAGAATCATAAACATTAAGATCGATTCGACGTAACGCCTATATATTATTAATGTAAGATGATAAAAATGTAAGATATTACTGTAGTAGTTTCCTGGATATCTTTCCGAATTGTTCCTGTAGATTCGCTTTCCAAAAGAATATTTGGTTTAATGGTATCAAAATTCCATTCTTCATGATTATCGATAGGCAATGTATCTCTATATAATAATAAAAATAAAGGGATAATTATTTGAAATAGTTCTATACATAGTTTCTACATAAGTACGATGAGGTCTATCTCCTCGTCTTATATCCCATTCTTGTCTCCTTTCAAGAAGTTCTTGTAAAAGAGAAGGTTTTCCCGCTGATTTAATAAATTTATGTTTGAGAAGATCCTTGGCTATAAAATGTTAATAAAAAGTAAATGAAAAATGAAAATGTTAAACCTGATGGTCTAGCTCTTGCATCTTTGATTAAACATAAAGATACAAAATCTTTAAATTCTTTAGAATAATTCCCTTCAAGAACAGGAGGTTTAGCCTTTGGAATAAGAAAAAGAACCCTCATTGGATGATATTCTGAAAGAGGTGGTTCTCCACGAGCAAGTTCGATGGCAGTAATACCAAGAGACCATACATCTGCCTAATAAAGTTAAAAAATAAAATATATAAAATAAAACAAAATACTTTATAATCATAACCTGATTGCCTAATAACTTCGGGTGCCATCCAAAACTAAAAAAAATTAAAAGAGAAATAAAAAATGTTTAAATACAGGTGTTCCAACAAAAGTATTACGACGTGATTTGTGACTTGAAAGTTGCGCTGCTACTCCAAAATCCGCTAATTAATTTATTAAAAATAAAAAAATTTAATTTATAAAATAACCTAATTTAACTTGACCTGAAAATGATAATAAAACATTTGCAGCTAAAAATAATAAATAAAATATAAATATGAATACTATTTTACCTTTTATATCTCTATGTATCTAAAATAACTTAAGTAAATCACAAATAAAGAAAAAATATGGAAAAATCAATAATACCTTTCCCTCACTATGTAAATAACAAAGACCTTCAAGAAGTTCTTTACAAAGAATAGCAATTTGTGCCTCTGTAAAAGGTCCTGGTTTAAGCTAAAAACACATAAATACATTTATAAAAAATACATTTTTTATACAAGATCAAGTGCTGAACCACCCGCCATATATTCCATCACTAAATATATAAATATTTAAGTATTATATTTTAAAAAAATATACCAATCCATAACTTATGTCCCTTAACAAACGACGAATAATATTTAGTAACATAACGACTATCACAACCACTTAAAAGTGCAATTTCTTTCTGTATTTCTGTTATATCATCATCTGTAGATTCCAAATCAATCTAATCTATAAATTATTCTTTTTCAACTGTTCAAAATCTCATACCTGCTTAATAGCTACAATTTCACCTGTTTTTCTACGTACTGCTTTCCATACTACACCGAATGATCCTGTACCAAGTTTTTCAAGAAGTGTATACTGCGCATCGTCCATTCTCGTCGAGATCGTTAATGGTCAACAGCCTTATCCATATGTCACGTGATCCTATATATAAAATGCATAAATGAATTATTATGATGGTTAGAAAGGGTAAAGGATATCAAAATTTTCGTTTATTTTATGATTTTTGATGGGTTAAATTTATATATTTTTATTTTTGTTTCAAGAAATTATATGTAAAATTTAATTTAGAATCTGGATATAAATTTATTTGATTTTACCTAGAATACAATATTTTTATTTAGAAAAAAGTGTTAATTTTTGTTTGATAATATTTAAAGATATTTTTATTGAGTCTTTTATTGAAATTTTTGGTATAAATTAAAAATATATAAAAATTTAAAGACGTTTTTAAAGAAAGTTCTATATATATGTAAAACTAAGTTTTATATTTGTATAAAGTCGATCAAGTTCTTTTTTCTACAACAATAAAGAAATATTTATTTTTTGATATTAAGGATTTATATTTATATTGCTTTATTTTTGTTTGTTTCAATTCAAACATTAATTAAAAAAAATTATAAAATAAATCTATAAAAAGAATTGAATATTCATTTTTTTTAAAATTTTCTTATCTTCTATATTCAACAAATATATTTTTATCTATAACCCTTCCAAATTTCCCCTTCTATTCTATCTTTTTTATTCATTTTAATATACATATATTTTCAATATATTCTTCTCTATAGATTTAAAACTCTCATTTATCTAGTTTATCAGATCCTATTCCTTTCATATTCTTTATACACCTTTTTACCAGCAAAAGGCATCTCCAGATGAAAATCGTCAGTCAACATCTCGATTGACGTTAAAAAAACCACTAAAATAATTTATAAGAGAACAAGATATGTCAGGAGAAACAAATGCTCTGCGTGGCGGAGCAATGGATCCTCAGCTGATTAAGACAATCAATCGGCTTCAGGATGCATTTTCAACAGTTGGTGTTCAGAATCCTGTTGATCTTCCACAAATTACAGTGAGAAAAAAATAAAATTTTAAAGAGAAATAGGTGGTATTGATGAGTAAATATTAGGTAATTGGATCACAATCTAGTGGAAAATCATCAGTACTTGAGAATGTTGTTGGTAGAGATTTTCTTCCACGTGGTACAGGCATTGGTAAGTATTTTTATATTAAAAGAGAATGATTAATGAGAATAGTTACACGACGTCCACTGGTATGGAATATAAATATCTATATGAAGTGGTATTGATGAATGGAATGTAGATTTTGCAGTTAATCCACCGGTTATCAACAACAAACAAAGAGAATCAATCAGAAGATGAAAAAGCTACAGAAGGAGAAGGATATGTTAATTCAGATGAATGGGGGGAATTTCTTCATTTGCCTGGGCGGAAATTCTTTGATTTTAATGAAATTCGGGAGGAAATTATTCGTGAAACAGAGTCAAAAACGGGAGCAAAAGGCATTAGTCCGATTCCAATTAAGTAGGAATGTAGAGTTTTTGAATAAAGACTTAGAATCTATAGTCTTAGAATATATAGTCCAAATGTATTGACATTGACTCTTGTTGATCTTCCAGGATTAACAAAAGTCCCGTAAGTTTTATCTTTCAGGAGTAAAATAAGATTAATACATTAATAGTGTGGGTGATCAACCAAAAGTAAACCTTTAGATTGAAAAAAGAATGGTTTTGATCTTTAGATTAGGATATTGAAAAACAAATTAGAGAAATGATTTTAAAATATATTAACAAACCGAATGCAATTATTCTTGCTGTTACAGCAGCAAATACGGATCTTGCAAATTCAGATGGATTAAAATTGGCACGAGAAGTTGATCCGGAAGGTTGGATTATCTTTATTTTTTTTTTTATATTTATTTTAATTTAGGAACACGAAGTATTGGTGTTTTAACAAAAATTGATCTTATGTACTTTTCTCTTTTATTGCGTTTAGATTTATAATATTTTATATATAGGGATAAGGGAACGGATGTGGTAGATATTCTTGCTGGAAGAGTAATTCCTCTTCGACTTGGGTATGTTCCAGTGATTAATAGAGGACAAAGAGATATCGACCAAAAGAAAGCTATCTCTGCTGCTCTTGAATACGAGAGAGAATACTTTGAAAACCATCCTTCCTATCGTTCTAAAGTTCAATATTGTGGCACGCCGTTTCTTGCTAGAAAACTTAATATTGTAATTATTAAATTTCTTTTATTTTTTTTAATAATTATTAGATTCTTATGCATCATATCCGTAATACTTTACCAGAGATTAAGGCTAAAATCTCTTCAGCTCTTACAAAATATCAAACAGAACTTGCACAATTAGGCGATTCTCTCCTTGGAAATAGTGCAAACATTGTGCTTAATATTATTACTGAATTTTGCAATGAATATAGAACAATCCTTGAAGGAAATAGTCAAGATCTTTCTAGTCTTGAACTTTCCGGAGGGGCTAGAATTAGTTTTGTCTTTCATGAACTTTATGCAAATGGTGTTAAGGCTATTGATCCTTTTGATCAGATTAAAGATACTGATATTAGAACTATTTTATATAATTCATCAGGCTCATCTCCTGCTCTATTTGTTGGGACTGCTGCTTTTGAAGTAATTGTAAAACAACAAATACGAAGACTTGAAGAACCTAGTATTAAATGTATTAATCTCATATATGATGAATTAGTACGAATATTATCTCAATTACTTGGAAAACAGGTTAACGGTTGTTTAATTATGTAAAAAATGACTTAAAGATATAGTTATTTAAACGATATCCTTTATTAAGAGAAAGATTTTATCAGGTTGTTATTAATTTTTTTAAAAAAGCTATGCAACCAACACACAAACTTGTACAAGATTTAATTTCGTAATTTAACGTTCTTAATTGATCTTTTGTTAATGTTTTTATAGAATGGAGTCCTGTTATATAAATACAGCTCATCCGGATTTTCTTAATGGTCACAGGGTAATATATATATATATATATATATATTTCTAATTAATTAGGCTATGGCCATTATAAATGACAAAATTAATCAATCAAAACCTGTTCAGCTTGATCCTAAGACGGGGAAACCATTACCAGTTACAAAAGAAAATTCTGTTTCTCAATCTTTAGAACCAGGAACTGATAATGGTGGATTTTTTGGAAGCTTTTTTGCATCTAAAAATAAGAAGAAAATGGCAGCCATGGAAGCAGTATGTTTTGTGTTTATGTATTTATTTATTTAACAATTGTAGCCGCCTCCTGTTTTAAAGGCGTCAGGGACATTGTCTGAAAGAGAAACTATTGAAACGGAAGTAATAAGTAAGTGCTTTATTCTTAACTGTATTGTTTTGAATTATATAGAGCTTCTTATAAATTCATATTTTAACATTGTGCGGCGTACAATGATTGATATGGTTCCCAAAGCTATTATGTACAATCTGGTTATGTAAGTCACTTTTAAATATTTTTTTTTTTTAAGAAAATTATAGATATTCAAAAGAAGGAATGCAAAAAGAATTGCTTGAAAATCTTTATAAAGCAGATATTTTGGATGATATTCTTAAAGAAAGTGAATATACTGTTCAAAGAAGAAAAGAGTGTTTACGTATGGTGGAAAGTTTAACCCAGGCTAGCGAAATTGTTGCCTCAGTATAAAATAGATTTTCTAAATCATTAATATTAGCTTTTTGGAAAAAATGTTATATGTTTAATTCTAAATTCTTAATAAACATGCACAGATTTAATTATTATTCCCAAGTTTTTAAAATGTATATTCTATAATTTATATACAATTAAATATTTTAGATCTTAGATTTTATATTGATAATTTTGACTTCTATTTATAATTATAAATGTATAGATAGAAACAACTTGTTTTCGAAATCTCAAAAATATAACATAATTTTATAAAACATGACAATTAATCCTAATTATTATGAAATCATATATATATAAACGTCCAACTTCTAGATTTTATTAAAAATAATCATTTCATAAATTATTTAACTATTAATTCGAACGAAGATAATAATCTATAACAGCACTGAATGCTGAAAATCCTAAACAACCAATTGCCATTGCCTTTGGACCACTCTTTATAGTAAGTGCTCCACCAGTAAAACATCCTGCTGAAATTCCATTATATATATCATTTTTAGCTCGATACTAAAATATTATTAGACAGTAGATATAATTAAACCCATTTTTACTGATTCAATACAACATTCTGAACCTGAAAAAATCGCTCCAACTGTTGCAAAATTTTTTGCTGATAACCATGAACGTTTTCCCATATCTTTAAATCCATATTTTAACTGTTCTTTAAACGATTTATCATATATTTTATGATCTACTGATATATCCATAGAAATAGAAGACATAAATAGTCCTAAATATATAAATTTCATAAAAGATTGCTCATTTTTTAGCTACCAAAGACACTACCAATTACAAATCCTGTCCCTCCACTTAAAATTGATTTAAATATACAACTTTTTCAAATTTTTTAAAAAAAAAAATATAAAAATGTTTAATATACCTCTCTTGTATATTATTAATTGCTTCAATAATTCTTTTTTGCTGAATTTCCATATTTTCTTCTGATAATATATGAGAAACATCTTGATCATATGGAAGCATGCTTTTTTAAGGCAAAAAAAAAAGCAGAATTAAAATACAAAACAAAATATTTGATTTTTATTCTTTTTTTTTCCTTAAAAATATTTATTTTATTAAGTTTTAAGCTGTTTTTTTTTTTGACGTCTACTCAGCCCAACTTTTTAACGTCATCAAAAAATGTATTAATAAAACCTTCAGAATTCATCAATATTTCTATAAAAAAATATATATTTCTTAATAAATGACTGATTCTAATGGATATTTCTTTAAAATTCTTTTAAAAAAGTTTAATATTCGAACTGGAAGGCTTAAAATAATGAAAAACCTTGAAATACAGACACCAAATTTTATTATATCTTCTTCTAGAGGAAGTGTACCTCATATTACTCCGGATCACTTGAAAAGCAGTGAAATTACAGGTATTTACATGGCTTTGGAGGATTTGTCAGTATTTTTTGGGCCTCAAACATATATTTATGTTAAAAATGAATAGTATTGAATATCCAGCCTTTAATGTAAAAAAAGAAGAAAAAAAGGATTATAGTCCATCATTAAGGTGTATTTCATCGTTGAGGGAATTTGTTCCGTTGTCAATGAATCATTATATTGTACTTGGAGCAAGACGATGTCCATTTAATATTATAAAGCCCAATTCATGGAAAACTATGTATATTGAAGCATCGGGTGGAAACAAATTAATAAACATAAAAGACATAATAGATTTTTATGAAAGGCTTAAGCCGGATATGGTTATTTCTCCAGTTGATATACAGCCTGATAATGTTACTGAAAACAAACGTTTTCGTAGAATGATTGAGCGAAGTGAATCATGGTTAATAGAATTATTAGAAAAAAAGGTTTATAAAATATTTTTTATGAGTTAAAATTCATTATTATCAGCTCAATTCGTTTATTTTTGCATCAATACCTCCAGTTTCCAAAGAATTATATCTATTATATTTTTCAATACTTGAATCTAATGTTTCTGGGATTCATGGTTTAGCATTATATAATATGGAACAATCGAAATTTATTCCAAATTCTTTACTTCATTTACCTTTGCTTTTAATGGAACCTATTTACTCTCCTCATTCAATACTTAATTCTATAGAAAATTCAATAGATCTCTTCACAATTGATTTCATTTCACAATCTTCTGATTCGGGTATTGCTTTTACATTTCAATTTCCGCCCTCTTTATCTATAGAGAAGAATAAAAGGCCTCTTGGAATTAATGTTTTAAGTGAAGAATATAAAGCTGAATTGTTACCTCTTTTACAGGATTGTGAATGTTACACATGTAAATATCATCATAGAGCATATATAAGACATCTATTATTTACAAAAGAATTACTTGGATATGTTCTTCTTCAATTGTAAGTATTTTATGTTTTATATTTTATATTAGCTAAGATTAGACATAATATACATGTTATAAACCTTTTTTTCTCAAAAATTCGAACATCAATTTTAGAAGGGACATTTTTGGATTACAGTAAGCTTTTTAAATCATATTATCAATTTTTTTTTCCAAAAAGTTGAGAAAAAACTAGAAAAAAAAATAAAAGTTATGTGAAATATTAAACAAGCATTTTATTTTTCAAATATATAAATTTATTTATTGAAGAAAACAGGACTATAATAAAGATATGAAATTATTTAATAAAACCTTTTTTAAAAATATTTAAAATTATCAAAGTACATTAAAAATTAAATTTTAATTCTTTTCTCTATAAAATTTTTTGATTTAAAACAAACACATAATTATGTAATTATTTATTCCTTTAATATTCAATCCATAATAATACATTAATGAATTATAAAACTTATTTAATATATATATTTTAATAAAAATGATCTAAAATGATAAATTTTATAATAAAAACAATAAAACAATAAAATAAAACTTCTAATTAAAATAATTAAGATTCTATATCTAATACTGCATATTCAATATTCTCCATTAAGATTTCTATATATGTACTAGTTAATTCTTGAGGAAGTTCCTGAAGCTCTGATATAATAAATTTTAAAATAGAATATGTCTTCTTTTGAATATCTATAAGATTTTTTAAAAGAATTTCTTCGTTTTTTAATCCTCCGCTAGCCAGATTTTTGTTATCAATTTCTAAATTACTTATGTCATCATCTGATATAAAGTACATATGTAAAGATTTTTTAGAATCTTTTTCTTGAAATGATATTATTAAATCTGAAACTGATTTTACATAAACAAAGATTTCCATTATTGAATCATGTATTCGTTTGAACTATCAAAATTATCATAATAATAATAATATAATAATTCTTACACGTAAATTTAAAAAACAATATGTTAAAACAGAATTAATGAATGTATTATGAGCATTAATTATCTCATCTAAATCTAATGCATTTTTTATATTTTTCTCTAGATTCTCTATTTGTGTTTTTATAACCTATTTACTATTAAGAATGATATATAATATATATTTACAAACCTACAATATCAAAAAAATAACTTATTAGTACATTTATTAGCCAATTAAAATATAATTTTATTTGAGATAAGTTGCGATAAATCAATATTGAACTCTTTTCCAGAGATAACTTATTACTGAACAGAAATATATATTTTTTTATATCATGTCTACTTTTAAGTAATTGAAACATAAAATCAAAAATTTTATAATATGCAGACTGAGATGATAAACTAATAATTGAAGTGAGAGATAATGGTAATTTATAATCAATATAAAAGTTATTAGATAAATTATTATCTTTCGAAATTGGCTTCATTCTTATATTGATAAGATTCATATCAATAGAAGAATGTTTCAATGAAATTTGAATCATATCCTGTAAAATAAACCTATCACACCATGTTTTTCGTCGATCCATCTTAATAATTTAATAATTAGTTTAAATTAATTCAATAATTTTACCTCTTCAAAAACAAAGTTTATAAAATTAATTATACTGCTGTTATTATACATGCAATAAATATTGAAAATAGCATTTAAATGCTTTTCAAAATCTGCATTATAAAATAATGCATGATGAAAATTTTTCATAGTGGTATAGTAATTTTTGTCAACCCAATTAAAGATATTTAATAAATAATCATACTCGGAAGATTCACCTAGAATTTCTGATTTTTCATAAAAAAGATTCGAATCAAAGACATTATTCATTTTTGCAGAGAAAAGTTTTAATCGAGTCTCATAATCAGAATTCAATTGTTTAAAAATATCTCTATCAATATCAGAAAATAATATGCCTGATTTAGAAAATATTGAGACTAATAGTCTTTTTAACTTCCCAATAAGCAACGATTTTTGAGAAATTTTCTTTAAAACATCTGGAATAAGCAATTTTCCATCATTAGCTAGGTTAAGCTGGTATTCTGAAAGCCATAATAAATCATTAGGTCTTAATGTAGATTTAATAATAAAAAATCCTTGAATATCGGGCAATTCTCCACAAGAAAACCATGAATCTAATGGTTTCAAATAAGCTTCTAACAAAGCAGATCGTATTATAGTTATTAATAAAAATGTTTGTTGATCACATATAGAATAAAAATTGGCTTTATCAAATAATTTATTCAAAAAATCAGAAATATTAGTTTCAAACGCTGTATCATCAATTTCCGAAATAATATCTGATAAAACAATATAAGGATCTAAAATTTTATCCAAGATATTTTGAAGATATAATAATGTTAATGTTCTTTTCTTCCCTAATAATTATTAAAAATAAAATACGAACCATTTTTCTATTTTACCTAGATTTCCAGCAATTGATTGACAATAGGCTAAAATAGAATCCAAAGATCTAAGTAAATCTTCCACAGAAGAAATAAACACATCCTCCAAATAACTTTTAAAACATGAATTTGATATAAAATTTCGAATTTTATTAAGAATTTTTCCTTTTTTTAAAAACCATTCCATAAAACTTATGAATATTGGATGTGATACTCGAGAAATATCAAAATTTTCATTAATCTAAAAATCTTAATAATTTTATATCAAAATAGAAATACCTTAATATTATCATTATTTCCTAAAAATAGAATACTTTCATTTCCTTGTAACATAAAAATAACCTCACGAACAACATTTGTTTCATGAAGAATGGTTGAAACATCTTGGGAATTTAAAAAATATAATATAAATTAAATGCTTTAAAACCTGAATTATAATTAAGCTTATATACAATACGTTTAACATCATTTTGACACGAAATAGTTCTCCAATATTGCGATGCCTCAATAAAATTAAATTCCTGCATATTCATAGTAATAGATATAGACAAAGGAACTTTAGTAACATTTTCAGTCTATAATAAAATATTAAAAATATCAAAAATAAAGAGAAAAATTACATATACTGTATCCTTTTTTTGCATAAAAGATTTTAAAGTAATATCATCTTTATCTTCCTCTTCCTCCTCTTCCTCCTCTTCCTCCTTCTCATCATCATATATATTAAACTCTTCCCAATGTTCGCCAATAAAGGGGGAATCATTAACTTCATCTATACAGTCTTCATAAATATGATTTCCTACTGATTCTTCATAAAATATCCTTTTTTTCCTGCAAGGATTGTCAGAAAGACTTAAAATTAATGCAACTATATCAATCATTGGATCATTCTGAAAATATATTTAAAAATTATATAAAAATATGATAATTAAATACTTTTTTATCCATAAAAAGTTCATTAAAAAGTATTTCAAGCATTGAACTATTATATTCTTCTGAAAGAATATCAAATTTTTCAACTAAACTTATTTTTTCTTAATCAAAAAGAAAAAAAAAAGAAAGAAAATACCCATAACAAGATCGTTTAGTTTCAAACCTATTAATTGCAATAAATGATGAATCTTTAATCATATTAAGTATTTTATCACGAAGTTCATAAAACAATTTATTTTCATTCTAAAAAAAACAATTTAATTCCAATTTTCAAGGAAAAAAAAGGACAACCTTAATCCCAGTAATATTTTCTATTAGCTTTTCTATTAATTCTAATATTTCTTGCCTTATTTTCATTATAAAGTTATCATATATAAAACCGATGTAAAAAAATATCTAGAAATTAAAGGTACTTTAAATAATTATTGGTAAATAACTCTTTTAAAGATTAAAAATATCCAAGATCTAAAATATCTTAAATTGGAAAAAAGATCATGTATTTATATTATAAAAATATTTAAAAATTTATTTACATAAATATATTTAAATTCTTCTAGAGCGTGTTGTCATTCCTATACTATTTACACCAGTAGAATTTACAACCTTATTACTTAAGTCTTTAAAACTAATATCGTTAAGTTTATGACTCTGACTTTGAATATTTTTATTTAAATTTTTATTAATTACTTTTCCTTCTTTAGATTTATAAGTTGCTACATAAAAACCAATAAACAGAAGAAGATAAGATGACAATAAAAAGCAACCAACTAAAGCAGCGAATTCTTTTCCAGCACAATCTCCAAAGTTCGGAAGAAAAGGAAAGTAAGTATATGCAAAATATCTATTTTATAATTAATTAATAAGTGTCAATATTGTAATAAAAAACATACGTATATGTTGCAAAATAAACAAAAAGGAGATCAAAAATAAATTGAATAATTTGAATACGAGTCACCCATTTCTTCCACCATACTCTAATACCACGAGCACAAAGAAAATAATAATAATACATAACTATATGAACACCTAAATTTAAAATGATTGGAACATATGACTAAAAATTATATAATTAATAAATAAAAGAAAAAAACACATACCACTGGAGTTTGACCAATCAATTGCGTAAAACATAGAAAAACTGTAGCACCATGATGATAACAATGAAGCTATAAGAAATATTATTTAGTTAAACATAAAAAATAAAACTTACAAATTGCAAAGGCTTTTTGTTTAAAAACAAAAATACTGTATCTATCAATTCAATATATTTAATCAAATAGTTGATCTAAATAATTAATCAAATTTATCATTTTTATCAATTAAAATTAATTCATACATAATAAATAGTTACAACAGGTTGTGCCCAGGATTTAGGATTGCAAATCGAATAATATATCCCATGATTCCACACGATAGGAAACATTTGTTCAAAAAGAAGTAGAAAAAAAAATCCTGATATAATACTTAAAAATAAATTATGAATTTGCCAAATTGTATTTAATTTTATTGGTGCAAAAAATCTCATAATCCATTTCCCAACAAGAATTACAACATAATAAGATATAACCAATCCAAGTACTTCTGTCCATGTTGAGAGATATGTTTTTCCTGCTACAAATTCAAATCTTTCGACAGGATAACCAATAGATTTCTTCCAAATTTTTGAAAATATAGACCTAATATTAAACTAAGTCTTATTTTTAAATACTTTTTTTCTTTTTTCTACCACAGATAAATACCAAATGGACGCTCAACAGATATCATTGAGAATTAAACTCAATTTTTATTAATATTTAACGTAAACTATACGCTTAAAATCCTCTTTGAAAACACAATTCAAACGATTTTTCCTTCTATTCATAAGAACTTTATTAATTAGTGCTTTTAAGGCTTTTCTACCTGCGTCTTAAAGGTTTTTTTCAGTAAAGTTGAAAATCGTCCCAACACTTAAATCTTAAGGAAAAAAATAAGTTTTAAAAGAAGCTGAAAAATTAATAAATAAAAGAAAGAAATATAATAAAAAGAATAAATTTATTCAATAAAAATGAAAAATAAAAGAATAAGTTAAGAAATCTTTAAAATATAAAAACATAATATTTATACAAGAAAAATGACATAAATTATTTTCATAGATTTAAAAGTATAGAAAAATATCAAGAAAAGTCAATATAAAAACAATTTTATAAATACTTTTTTACCAGACAACCAAACCTTTGAAAAAAAGAACGTAAAAAGGCTAATAAATATATATAAAAAAAGGTGAAAAAAGAAATCAAATAAAAGGATTGATCAGTTTTATAAATAAGTTATCTAATAAGAAAAAAAAATATGAATATTGTTTTAAAAAAAAGCTTTTTAAATGGGATTGAAATGAGTTTTTTTAAAATAAATAAAAGGATTATAAATCAAATACGTATGTCACATTCACAAGATAGGAATAATTTTGAATCATTTAATGAAAAGTAAAAATATCCAGAAGGATTTGGTTGATTAGATATTGATTAGATAAAAATAGATATGAAAAATTTTTTAAAAATGTTGAAGATCTTTTTGAGGTAAAAATATTAAGAAAATCAAGAAGTTAGGAAGTTTGATACTAAGGAATTGTTAGTTACAACGTGGACTTAACAATGCATTTGCATATGATTTTGTTCCCATGCCATCGGTTATTGAAGAAGCTTTACGAGCAGCAAGACGAGTAAATGATTTTCCTACAGCAGTTAGAATATTTGAAGGAATTAAACATAAAGTTAAGAACAAAAGTTAGTTGAAGAAAATCGAAATATCGATCTAATGAATTTATATAGAACAATATCAACAATATTTAGATGAACTTAAATCACTTCGCGAAGAACTTGGAATTTCCTTAAAAGAAGAACTTATGTAATTGCAGAATATATGTATATGATAAATACGTGAAAAAGTGCTTTGATAATAATATATAACTTATTGTTTTATAATTTTTTATATTTTATATGTTCTCTTTCCTTTCCTTAAACATTGATTCCACATTTTTAAGTATTTTGCAACTAGCTTCTTGACCTATATGGCCAAGTGTAGCTATATTATCACTAAAATATTTAACATCTACAAAAATATACTCTTCTATATTGTGTATGTCTAAAGAAAGAGTATTATATTTTTTTGACAACAGATTTATATAAATATCCAATACTTTGAACATAACGTCCTATGATTTATTAAGAACTTTCAATAAAAATGAAGAATTAACCTGTATAGTATCTTGTTTTAAATATTTTGTTAAAATCTTATTAAGAGTTAATATATCTTTAACAAGAGATTCCATATAACTATGTGCTTTTAAAGTACCATCTTCAGCTTGAAGTAACGGCTTTGACCAATCAAGAGTTTTTAACCCACCTGAGGAAGAGTTCATAAATACATCTAGTCTATCAGTCATAATGCTAACAAATTTCATATGTATTTCTGATTGATGCTCTTGATATGCCTGAACAATTAAATTTTTAAATGAATATAGAAAATATTAATTACTTTTTTAATTTGATCAAATTCGGAAAGATCAAGATTTCCTACATGTCTTTTCATAAACTCAAGAATATAAGAAATTAAATGCATAATCAGAGATAATGAATGAGAAGCCAAGGCTAAATGTCTTGCTGTTATAGTTTTAAATCCAAGTGTTTTTATTGCACCTGCTCCTAAAATTAATTGAGAAACTTTGAAATTATATAACTAAATATATTATTAAAAAAAAGTAAATTTTGATTCGCAAAATTCACCTCTAATAACTCCAATAAATTGTTACTTATATCATAGGCCATTGAAGGAATTAAAATGAAAAATTTTGTATAATTCTGAAAAATTAAAATTAAAAATGCCAAAGATTCAATAATAAAATATTTTTTATCTTCAATAATAACAAATGACTTTTTTGAACTATCGTTAGTGCTATCAACGGAGCTTACATCAGATTTTGAGTCTTCTATTTCATTAAATAAAAAGTCTTTTTTCCATGATATTGGATCAGTAACTGCTGAATCTATAATGCAAAAAATTGCATTTTCGAGTTCCTCTGTGACATATTTTTCAGGAAGCCATCGATCTCTATCAAGAATTAATGTTTCTTGTGACATTTTCTTAGCATGATAATTATTGATTGATTGTTTAACCTATATAACTAAATTTAACTATATTTATATGGAAACTTAATACTTGAGCCAAAACAGTTTTTTGAAGAAGTTCTCCTGATTTTCCTGTTAAAATCTCGCTTTGTGATAAAAACATAGTATTTAAAGAAAAAAAATGAAAGACATTGTTCTCTGAAAACTTGCTATTTTGATAATTTCTAATATCTAAAATCGTAACCATTTCAGATTCAATAAAATTTACTACAGCTATTAAAATATTACTAATATCTATAGATTTTAATGATTTTGATTTATCAGCAAAGTTAAATTCAACTAAATTTGATGTAATATCCAAAAAAAATTTCTGATAAATCGATAGTCTCCGTATAAATAAATATACCAAAGCATAAATTGTACCAATTGTTTGAAGAAAATTCTTTGGAGTCATTTCTTTTAATAAATTTACTAAAATAGTATGTTCTTTAGTTATAGGATTTAAAAATAGATCTACGTCAACCGGATTATTACTATCTAAAATGTTCTAATAACAATTAATTATAATTCAAATAATCTAAAGGAGTTTACATATACTAAAATATTTTTAACTTCTTTTAAAATTGCATCATAATAACTCTTTAATACATCTTCAATAGAATCTGTCATATAAAGCCCTATAATAAGTGTTTCAATTTTTTTTCGTAAATCTTCATCTAAATCAATATACTGTAGACTAGAATTTTTATTGATTTTATTCTTTTTTTGAAAATTTAAATAAATTTCAGTAATAGTTTCTGGAGAAACATATAAAATAACCTGTTTATGGTCTTTTATTAACTCATTTACAAATTCCAGTAATAATTTCTCCCTAATTTCCTCTTTAAAAATCTGCAATTCTTTTCCAAGAGATGAAAGAGCAATGACATTTGACAGAGATATATTGCTAGAACCATCAAGATTTCCTTTTATTTCCTCACTAATTTTTTCTATTATATTCAAAGCATGAACATAATCTTTTTTTTTGATTAAATCCCCAATTTCAGAGAATTCACTCAAAATATTATAGACGTGCTTAAGTGCAAGAGTCAGTCTATCCAAATTCTCTTTCTTTCTTAGAATTTCTATAATTTTCAATCTAGGCTCTACAAAAGTATCGTTATTATTAATCAATTTAGTCCTCAACTCTTTTATTTTATCAATACAATTAGATGATACCTTATGTAGACCCTGCAAATAGTCTATAACGGAGAAAAATAAAGGGCTTAGGCTATTTATCTCCTTTATCAAGTGTACTTCAACAATATCTAAATACCATGATAACTTTTCCTGCAAAATAGAATTATTTGAAAATGTATTACAATTAGAAGAAACAAAATTTTCAGAAGAAATCTTAGAATTATCCGCAACTAGATCAAATATTCTTGAATTTTCAAGCTCAAAGTTAGATTTAAAATAAACTAATGGAATTGATGATAAAGATTCTTCTATCGTTACCAACTTTTTTTCTGAAGAAAACTTAGAAATATATTCCTTATTAGGCCTCAATGATTCAAAATGATTATCAAATGATAAAGAAGACCGACTCGATGAATTTGTATCATAATCATTAAAATTCAATTTTAAAATATCTTTCTCAAGCTCATAAAGATTACCATCTATTTCTCTAAACCTATAAAGACAATATCTCCGATATTCCTGATTAATTTTTGACAAATATTCTTGAAAATCTGAGATTTTGTAGTTTGGAATAGATGTTAAATGTACTGGATGAATATCTTTTGCTGTAGGCCTTTCAGAATTTTCCTTTTGGTACGGCCCGCTTAATACATAACAAATATCAAAAACTAAGACTTATTAACTTAAAATATTAACATAATATTATTATATCTAAATCTTACTTCTGTCTGAAATTAAAAACTCTGAACTTTCTTGTTTTTGCATCAATTTTCAAGCTTTAAAAGAGAAATATATAAACTTGTTTAATAAATATTTACAAATTATTATTACTATTTCTAAAAAATAAGAAATTTATACTGCTTTTTGACAAATCTTAATTATTAGACAGATTTTAAAGGTTTGAAAATGTCTCGATGACGTTAAACCTTTAAATTAAAAAGTCAAGAAATTGGTTAATAAAATTAAGTTTTATGTTATTTTTGAATAGAAACTGTAAGTTATTTTCTTAAGATTTTATACGGTTTTCTTATAATTTTAATTTTTCTAGTAAGAATTTGTTAAAATACAATTTAAATAAAAAAAAATATAAAGAAAATAAAACAGTATATTAGGCCAGATAAATAGATATTTTTTTATTAATAATGTCTGTTATTGGATGGGATCAACCGTCAGTCTATTCAACAAGTGTTCTTTCAGGGGAAATACAACCAAATGCTCCTAAAGAACTTGAAAAACAATTTAAAGATTTTATTCAAGAATTTATTCTTAATAATTCTTATATTTATAGGTATAAACATAAGAATTATGACAAATTTTTTAAAAATAATTCTAGGGATCAATTGAGAGATAATATTTTAGTAAAACAGTTTTATTTAAATGTCAATGTTGCACATCTTATTAGTTTTAATGAAGAATTGGCACATAAATTGACATCGAATCCAGCAGATATGCTTCCACTTGTTAATTCGTTTTAATTTCCGTTCGTTTTATTAACTTTTATAGTTTGAAATGGCAGTTAAAGATTCAGCAAAGCAAATTATTTATTCTGGATCAGATTCTAAGAAAGAATTTCCAGATTGTCAAGTGACTCTTTATTCTGACGCAAATTATACATTAATTCGGGACCTTAATGTCTTTTTCTATTATATTTATTTAATATTTATTAATAATTTAGGCAAGTTATATATCAAAATTAGTTCGAATACCAGGAATTGTTATTGGGGCATCAACTTTGTCATCAAAGGCTACAAGGCTTCATATTATGTGTAGAACATGCCGTAATATAAAAATAATTAGTGTAAATGGGGGATTTAGTAATATTCAATTACCAAGAACTTGTGATAATCCAGCAACTCATGGAGAAAAAAAAGAATGTCCTTTAGATCCTTATATTATTATTCATGAGAAATCTTCATTTATTGATCAACAAGTTCTTAAATTTCAAGAAGCTCCAAATATGGTACCTGTTGGAGAGCTTCCACGTCATATTTTATTAAGCATTGATCGATATCTTACAAATAAAGTCACTCCTGGAAGTAGGTGCACTGTTATTGGGATATATTCAATTTATCAAAATAAATCATTTAAAACTAGTAATGCAGTGGCTATTCGTAATCCATATGTTAGAGTAGTAGGACTACAAGCTGAAATACATGGAAATTCTAAAAGTTCTTTTATCTTTACTGAAGAAGAAGAAGAAGAATTTCTCACGCTTTCTCGAAATCCAAATCTATATGAAATATTTGCAAATAGTATAGGGTCTTCAATTTATGGAAATATAGGTAATGTATTATAATTTTTATTTATAAATTCTAATATTTAATCTAGACATAAAAAAGGCTATATGTTGCCTATTATTTGGAGGCTCTAAAAAAATACTTCCAGACGGTATGAGATTGAGGGGAGATATTAATATTTTATTATTGGGAGATCCAGGAACTGCTAAATCACAATTACTTAAATTCGTAGAGAAAGTAGCACCTATTGCTATTTATACATCAGGAAAGGGATCCAGCGCCGCTGGTCTTACTGCATCTATTCAACGAGATGCAGCATCTCGTGAATTTTATCTTGAAGGAGGCGCAATGGTATTAGCAGATAGCGGAGTCGTTTGTATTGATGAATTTGACAAAATGAGAGATGAAGATCGAGTTGCTATTCATGAAGCTATGGAACAGCAAACTATATCTATTGCTAAAGCAGGAATTACTACAATTCTTAACTCAAGAACTAGTGTGTTAGCAGCAGCAAATCCTGTATTTGGTCGATATGATGATATAAAGAGTCCGGCTGACAATATTGATTTTCAAACAACAATATTATCACGTTTTGATATGATATTTATTGTAAAAGATGAGCATAATGAGAACAGAGACAAAGTTTGACTTATTTCTACTTTATACTATTTTAATCAATTTTAGACAATTGCTGCACATGTAATGAATATTCATATGAATAAAACCGTAGATGATAATTCAACAAGGGAGATAAGCATAGAAAAAATGAAGAAATATATAAGCTATTGCAAGAAGTAAATAAACATTTTTTGGAACCCGTTTCTAATATAATGTTAGTAAATGTGCTCCAAGGCTAACTCCCGAAGCAGCAGAAAAACTTTCTAGTCATTTTGTTGCAATTAGAAAACAAGTCCGTCAAGTTGAACAAAATAGCAATGAAAGATCTAGTATTCCTATTACTATACGTCAATTAGAATCAATAATTAGAATATCAGAAGCATTGGCAAAAATTAGACTTAGTACTGTTGCAACAGAAGAACATGTAGATGAAGCTATACGATTGTTTATGAAATCTACTATGGATGCAGTAGGGGAAGGACAAATTACAAGACAAGAATTAGTTGAAGAAGTTCATAAAATTGAATCTGAACTGAGAAAAAGATTACCAATTGGATGGAGTACATCATATGCTACTCTTACAAGAGAATTTATAAATGGTGTAAGATAATAATTTTATATATATATATTTTAAAATATTTCTTAGAAAGGCTATTCATTGTACGCACTACAAAAAGCATTATATATAATGGAACGTCGAGAAACTATTCAATTGCGGAATCAAGGAGCATCCGTATATAGAATTGGAGTATAATATTTAATTTTTCAAAACATAACATAGCATTTCTATAGCAACAAATATATATAAATTTTACATTGATGTTTAAAAATATAAAAATGCAGTTTTTTTCAGCTCTTAAATATTAAAATTATAACTTACTAGAATCCATTAAAGAATTTTTAAATAATAATTAAAGACTTAAATGTAATTAAATTAGGACTAACAATAAATAACTATCATGATCCTATATCATATACTTGACACTCAATTACTATAGATTTTCATTATTAATTATTGGGCCTCTTGTTTTTCTCCGATAATCTTCTTCTTCAACCCTTTCCATTTTTTCTGTGGGCAGTAAAACTGCACGATCTAAAGCATATGGAAGGCCTAGATTAAATATTAATTAAAAAAAAATTCTTAAAAATGATTAACCTCTATGTCTACCACGAATCTACTTTGTTAAAAAAAACAATGTAAATATAAGTACAAACCTGAAGAGAAATAATAACAAGTTTACTAATAGTAGATAATTTCGATGAAAATGAAGAATCAATATCAGAATGTCCTATTTTTTATCAAAAGATAAATAGAAATATTTACTCTTACCCAAGCTAAGACCAACTGTGCAATAAGCAGAAATTATTTCAAATAATATGGAAAAAACAGAAAAATTCTAAAATATTGTTAAATTTTATTTTTTTCAAAAAAACATTTCTGTACAGGAAGAGATTCGTCCTTAATATTTGTATTTTCTACAATGCATATAATAAAAAGTCCTAGAAATATATACCAAAGATCAAAAGAAAGTTGATGTTTTATATGAGTTCCTATGAAAAACTATAAATATATACATACAATCAGTATAACCATACCAACAAACGAAGAATTTTGAGCAGAATCATCATCAATAGTATATATTCCTAAAGATCTTTCCTATTTAAAGTTAAAAATCGACATAAACAATATGTTTCTAACCTCATAAACATTGGTTCTATATATTAATATCAAAAACGTTATTTTAAATATAAAGATAATTACTTTCTTATACTAACCGCAACCTAATAACGAATTAAATATGAACCGAAAATAACCAATGGTATACATACAGGAAAAACAGAAATATACATCATAAACATATAACTAACAAGAACAGCAGTATGCAAAGTTAAAAGATTAACAACAGTAAATCCTGCAGTGCGAGTAGAAAATGACTTAAATAAATAAGATATCATTGAAAAAAAGAAAAAGAAACCTGAAATAAAGAATTTAAAATCTTAAGATATATAGGTCCGATCTCTGCCAATGATGGATTATTGAACTAAAGTCTTTTAGGCTATATTTCCATTAAATTCTAGTAACAAACATCGAGAACCATAAAAAGGATAGCATCTGTAATGCTAAGCATCTTATAAAAATACAATTAAAAAAAATTCAATTTAAGAAAAAATCATACTACTAACAAAGCAAAGAGCCACATTGTAACCTAGAAAAATAAGAAAAAAAAATCAAAGCATAAATCAAACCTTAGACGGAAAAAGAAGAATAAAGCATCGTCTAGGATGACTAAAAAAATTAGACATATAATTGAATTTTATACATATTAATACTCAAGAAGAAAGTGTAAACTCTAATTTTAATTAGTAAATATTTAGAAAAATATTAAACCAATGCTTACCTCTTTATGCAAAGAATCTTTTGGGAGAATAAAAGTAATTAACCAAATGAAAAATCTTCAATAAATAAGAGAAAAGAATCTTTTAAACATCTAAAATACCTTAAAAGAATGGGAAACGCAGTGTTCCTAAAAATCATTATAAACATATTTTTATATAGTAATATTTACCCGGCTACAATTAAAAATGAACCAAAAATCAAAATAAATTTAGATTGCCTATATTCAATTAAAGATGTTGGATTTAATGCCATTCCTTAAAATATAAGACAAATATGGAAATAATAATTTTATACCAAAATTATTAAAAAGAGATGCTGAAGTAAAAAATGCCCTAATATATATATATATTTAGTAATAATAAAAATTTAATTCCTACCACCAAACTGAAGATTCAGATGCTTCATTAATAGCCTTATGATATGATTTTGCATAAATAGAAAAAATTAAAAAAAGAATTGCCGCAAAAGAATGAAATATAAGATAATAACCTAAAATAATTAAAAACATAATATTAATCAATATAACTAACAAACAAGTATCCAACACAATAATTTTAAGGCTCTATATTCAATACCACCTAACTCATCACGCTGTTCCTTTGTTAGAGTAACAAATGCCTATATATGGTCAAAATGTAAATCAATGTAATCAAATAATAGTAACAGAATTCCGTCCTATTGTAGGCTGATATGATAAATAAGGAAATGATTTACTAGTTCTTTGAGACAATGGACTAGAATCTCTCTTTTTCCAAAAAGTATTTGAAATATAACGATCAAAAGTGCTAACTTTAGAAATACTTCTATCAGCAGTAGTAGATTTCCTCATACGTAAATAATAATTATTATCATATGTTGGAAGTCTTGTAATAGGAGTTAATGGCTCATTAGTGGCTGAAACTGACTGAGGTTCAACACTTTTAGATTTTCGCAATTTATTATTAAATTCATTTTCTAAAAACATATTATAAAAAGCATTAATCATAATCCATACCTTGTTCGAAGGGTTCCTGAACAATATGCAATTCATTATCCTTTGTTACTATAAAAATTATATTACATCATAATAATTTGATTTGATTACCATCAATTGACTGTCTAACGGGAACTGGAAGATCACCAAACCGAATATCCGAAGAAACCTGTCTAAAAATCGTATTATTAGTAAATTACCAATAATATCCATTTATACCTTTCTTCGCGAGGAATAATACTTTCACTTTTTTGAAGTTTTATATCAGTATTATCCTCTTTATGTATCGAATTATTACTGTTTGAAGTATTATTTAAACAAGAACTTCCTTCTAAATACCTATGAACTTCATTTTTCCTCTCATGGTCTTGTAATTTGGGTTGAGAATTAGCATTTCCAAAAGATATGCTCGTCCTACGTAAAGGAGTGGGATGAAACTCATTTTCATTTGCACTTTCCCATCTTAATAAAACATGAATTGCCCGATCTCCAACTCCTCTTTCTTCAATTTCGCTATATGATAAAAAAGGATGAGATAAATTCTGATTTCTTCTTAAAGATTGTGAACGTGCTTGTTGAACTACTATGATTTAACATTTATACATAAAAATTCTCATACAATCTACCAATATTATCAAATTTACTCCTTATCAAGAAAAAACGAACAACTGCCGTAAGAGAATGAATAAAAATAGATGTTGTTAAAATAGAAACAACATATAAAATAACCTATTAATTAATCTTCTTTTTATACTATAAATAACACACTTGCTGATATGTTGACAATGTATCAATGTCTAAAGTAGCAAGTCCTGCCTGTGTCGCTGCACTACATCCAAGGAAAAGTGCATCAACGAACTTAATGTTTTTTGGTATATAAATTAAAAATGTACTAATAAGAATTGCTGAAAGAATATAAATGTCTTCTCCTCATAAGAATACTCTCTAAGAAACGTATAAAACTCACAATGAAGTCTTAAAAAATTTATTTTTGGCACAACTACTTGACTAGTTTTTAATTTTTCAATAGTACCTCCCATCATTAAATGACCTCTATTATATCAAAAAAACCCCATTTTTTTAAGGAAACAATTTATAATATCTAAAAACCTTAGTCTTAAATGTTAAAACAATAGGTTATCATACAATAAAATCTTCTATAAGTAGATCAATTTCTAAATAAATATTGTAAAATATTATAACGTCAGCGATAAAAATTATTAATAAATTTTAGAGGATTTTGAGTATTTTAAGAAATTAGCAAATTTATTGATAAAAACATAAGGGTTATGAAGATTTATTATATATTTGTCTTTTAATTTATTAAAAAATTCAGTTTAAAACATGTCAGAAAGAAAAGTTTTAAACAAATATTATCCACCGGACTTTGATCCAAGTAAAATTGTAAGATTACAGAAAGGATCAGATAGGAAAGGTCCAAGACAACAGACAGTTCGGTTAATGACTCCGTATTCTATGAAATGTAATACATGTGGAGAATATATTTACAAAGGACGAAAATTTAATGCAAGAAAAGAAAATTCTGGAGAAAGTTATTATTCTATACCTATTTTTAGATTCTATATTAGATGTACTAGATGTTCATCAGAGATCACATTTAAAACAGATCCAAAAGTAAGGATTTTAAATGATTTGCAAAAGAAAAAAAGTTAATGAAGTTTTTTATATATAGAATGCAGACTATGCAGCAGAATATGGTGCATCTAGAAATTTTGAACCATGGAAGGAAAAAAAGGAAGAAAAAAGTGAAGAAGATCGTTTAAATGAATTAGAAGAAGAGGAAAATGCAATGACAGCATTAGAACATAAAACAATAGATAGTAAAATTGAAATGGAAATATCAGATGCACTTGATGAAATCCGTACACGAAATGCACAGCGAGAAAGATTAGGGCCTGATCAAGTTCTTGAGCAAATAGAACATGCTAAGCAACAGCCTTCTCAAGAAGCTATTCAAGAAGAAATAGAGCGAAAAAAGGATTTAGAAATTGCACATGCTATTTTTAATAGTGAAGACACTTTTGTTCGTAGAATTAGAGATGAAGAAACACCAACTCCTCATATGCTTCTTTCTCAATCTTCAAAAAATTTTCAAATACCTGACTTTAAAACACCTTATAAACGTAAAATATCTACATCTCTTGGAATTAAGAAAAAAAAATTAGGGATTATTTAGAATTCATTCTTATATCATATTATAACATTTCATACTTTTTAATATATTTTTTATTCTATACTATAATTTTTATAATATCTACAATAAAAATTTTAAAGCCTTCGACTCTCTTGAAGTTCAAGATTTTCATAGATGGCTGATTCAGCCAAAATTGCATTGTATATATAGATAATTTGATAAGTTATGGTCCAGGAGGTTCCAATAAGAATAGACCAGGCGGTTTTGTGGCTTTCAGATCCTTCAACAGGTAAGAAAAAAGATTTTTAAAAAAAAAATTAAAAACATGTTATAGACATAAAAAATAAAATTGAAGCAGTTAATGAATTATTGGAATCATTGGATGCGTTGCAGTTAAATGATTATCAAGGATTTTTATCTAAATTAATACCAGTAATGATACAAGTGTTGGATGAAGGAGAACCATCATTTAATAGTTTGTCACATGAACAGGTTAGAAAAGTCAAATGAAGGAATAATATAGATTAAGGAGAGATAGAACTTCCGTATAAGTCTTTTAAATTTACTTCATAGGCTACCTTTGAATGAAACGTTTCGTTCATATGCATCAGATGTTATGAAAGTATTAATGAAACTTTTGCATATAGATAATGAGGAGAATGCTATATTATCATTAAAAATAATAGTTGATCTTCACAGAAGCTTTAAACAGAATTTAGAAGAATATGTTCAGCCTTTTTTAGATTTTGTTTTAGAAATATTTAAGAATATGCCACAAGTTGTTAAAGAAAGCTTTCCTTCAGTCAGTTCAGAATTATCGAGTCCTAGTGTATGATACTTATTATTTATTTTCCTTTTAAATTAATCATTTATTTAGTATGTTAATATAAAATCATCTATACCTATGTCTTCTGTAAATCACTCGGAAACAGAAAATTCTGGTACTTCTTTGGGAAGGTCTAAATATAGTTTTAAAGTACTTACGGAATGCCCTATTATTGTTGTTCTTTTGTTTCAGTCTCATAAACAAATCATTCCTACAAATTTACCGTCTTTTATTTCTGCAATAATTGAGGTATTTTTTTCCCTTAAAAGAAGTGAAATTAATATCTATAGATGTTATCATTACAGGCTGCTCCTCAGGAAGAAGAACATTTAATTGCCGCTTCTAAAAATGAAATATTTACTGGTGTTTCATCCAATATTTCAAACAAAATCTTATTCGGAGAATTTATAATAGCTCAAATAAAGGTATTTATACTAGGAATTTAGAATTTAACTTAATGGTATTAGACAATGTCCTTTTTAGCATATGTTTTGCGAGGATTTACCGCAGCTATGAGAAAATATCAAAATAAAATACCCGAGTTTTGTGTTCGTATTTTAAAAGATTGCCCACCTGAAATTTCTTCCCCAAGAAAAGTATAATTATGATAAAAAAGAAAATACTGACTCTTTAAAGGAACTTTTGGTTGCCACAAGACATATTTTAGCTACAGATTTTAGAAACGCTTTTATTAAAAAAATTGATTTTTTATTAGATGAAAAAGTTCTTATTGGAGAAGGAGTTACTGTTCATGAAACATTAAGGTAAATACTAAATTATAAAGTTAAAGACCATTTAGTTAATTTAAATTAGGCCATTAGCATATAGTATGCTCGCAGATTTAATTCATCATGTACGTTCTGAGCTTAGTGTAAAACAAATAAGCCAAACAATTCGTGTATATTCTGCTAATCTTCATGATTGGACATTGGCGATTAGTATTCAAACAATGTCAGCAAAATTACTTTTAAACATGATTGATAGAATAATGAAACTTCCCCAGCAATCAGAAGGTAATAACTAAATATAATGATAATAGATGGATGGTTAAGTATTTTAGGGCGCCAACTTTTAATTATAATTCTAGATAATTTTGCGAAAAAACTTGAAGAATTAAACCAGATTTATCCTTTCTTAAAACATAAGCAATTTATATCTGATGCAAAGCTAGAAAATATGAGCCAAAAATATGAGCCTCTAGATAATATTGATATAAATATTGAAAATGGGCTGGATCTTCAGCGTTTAAGTCCCATAGAAGCATCTCTTTCTAGTTTTAATTTGTCTCCTAGTCCACTTAAAGGTATTAGATAAAAAACGTTTATCCTTAGTGTTTTAAGTGTACTTAGACGGACGTGTATTATTTAAGAATCTTATAATTGGTTTGAAACCTATATTATTTGGTCTTAAAAGTTGTAATCCATTATCAACATGTCCATTATCTAACATACAACAATGGAATGACGTGGTTAGAGGACTAGATACGTTTGATGTTTTGCTTTTTACAAAGATATTTCATGAGGGTTGTAAGGGATTCATTTATTACAAAAATGAAACTGGAAAAAATAATGATATTAAATCTAAAGATAAACCGACATTTATAGATTCATCTATTACAATTAATATTCCTAGCACTAGAGAAGAGAAAGATGTTATTGAGACATTTGCTACAATATTTATACATATCGATCCAGCCGTTTTCCAAGAAATATTTCAAGCACAACTGCCTATATTTTTTGAGCAGGTCCTTAAAAATCCATCATTGCTTCATATTCCTCATTTTTTCTTAACAAACGACAATACATCTTCTGGATTTGTAGGGATATTATTGTTATTTCTTAAAAGCAAGTTGAAAGAAGTTGGTGCAGAAAGTACACCCAGAACTTTACTTCTTTTAAGATTTTTTAAACTAGCATTTATGGCAGTAACAATGTTTCCGGACTCTAATGAAGTCATTATACGACCACATCTTAGTTACTTTATTATTCAATCTTTTAAATTATCAACAGCAGCTGCTCAACCAATGAATTATTTTTTATTACTAAGATCTCTCTTTAGAAGTATAGGTGGTGGACGCTTTGAACTTTTATATAAAGAGGTTTTACCATTATTGCAGGTAATCCTTGAATATTTGAACAATTTGATTCAATCATCAAGAAAACCATCGGAAAGAGACTTATTTGTAGAGTTATGTCTTACTGTTCCTGTTAGATTAAGTGTTCTTTTACCATATTTAAATTATTTAATGAGACCATTGGTATTAGCTTTGCGTCCAGGATCTGATCAAGTCAGTCAAGGTTTGCGAACTTTGGAACTTTGTATCGATAATCTAACCCAAGATTTTTTGGATCCAATTTTAGCTCCAGTTGTTGACGACCTTATGGCTGCCTTATGGGAGCATTTAAAACCTCTTCCATATAGTCATCAACATAGTCATACTACTCTTCGCATTCTTGGAAAATTAGGAGGAAGGAACAGGAAGTTCATAATGGGCCCTAAGAATTTAAATTATGAATGGGATTTGGAAAGTCACCCTCGAGTTTCAATATATTTACATGGTTCAAATAAACCTCAGATATTTCGACCTACTGTGTATATAGATCTTTCGGTTAATACAATTAGGGATCCGCGGGCGGATTTGAGCTATAAAAAATATGCATATCAACATCTTAGCTCTATTGTAAAATTATTTTTGAATTCTACTGAAATTCCTCCTAAATTTGGTGAACTCCTTAGAAAACAGATTAAAATTATAATTTCTGAAGATCCATCATTTTCTGCAATTTCTGTAGATGACGATAAAATGGACATGGATGAAAATACTTCTTCTAAAAGAATATTTTCTAATAACACTAATATTACGGTGCACGGGGAATTGTGGAAAAAGGCACTTTTAGGTTGTTTTTATGCAATATCAATTGAACAATTAAAATCTGATGTCAATGAACTTATTAGTAATATATGCAGGCATCTTACATTTTTGGAACTACAGCAGACTTATGAGGAAATTCAGATTCGTTCACGAGCATTTTCAATTCAAAGTTTTATTGATCCCATTTATCTAGATGTTAGAATCATAGGTGATGTTATAGTGGTTGGGCTTAGTTCAGAAATAGAGGAAGTACGGAATCTTTCTGAGTCATGCATACAGATATTTTATAATACTCTAGTTACAATCCTAGGATCAGATAAATTAATGGATAGGATACCTTTATTCCATTCTTTTGCTAATAAATTTTGTCATGCATGTTATAAAGAACACAGTTATGATAAAGCTGGTGGTGTTCTGGGTATAAAGATTTTAATTAAAATTTTAAATAAATATATTAACTGGATAACAAATCATGAACTTGATTTTATTAGAGCACTGTTATTTGTTCTAAAAGATACTTCTCCAGAAATACCCTCAACATATGTTAATAACTCTGTTGATACTATTATGCATATATTAAGACTATGTAATAGTGATACTAGCGAGATTCAATTAAATAACGAAAAACAACGGAAATTTACTGCTTTAACTGCATTATTAATAACAGAACTTTCAAATCCGAGTACCATAGTGAGAGAAACCGTCAAATCTGCATTTCGTCTCTTGTCTGAATTACAGGGGACGGAACTACATGAATTATTAAAGCCTGTCCAAGAAAGATTATTGCAACCTATTTTTATAAAACCTCTTCGAGCGCTACCATTTGGAATGCAATTTGGACATATCGATGCTATTACATTTTGTCTATCATTGGAGCCTTCATTTCTCGAATTTAGTGATGAACTAATTAGGCTGCTTCATGAAGCATTAGCTCTTGCTGATGCGGAGGATGAAGCATTAGTAACTGCCAGTAAAGCTTCTCAGTATAAAAATGCATCCGCTTTGATTAACCTTCGCATTGTATGTATTAAGATACTTTCAATAGCAATTTCATTTCCTGAGTTTTCTACTCCTGCTCAAACTCAAACAAGAGGAAGAATTATTTCCGTGTTTTTTAAGTCGTTATATTCTAAATCAATTGAAATAGTCGAAGTCGCAAATAAAGGGCTAAAACAAGTTTTAGCACAAAATCATAAACTTCCAAAGGATCAATTACAGGCAGGGTTACGGCCCATTTTAATGAATTTATCCGATCATAAACGATTGACAGTAGCGGGTCTTGAAGGTCTTGCACGTTTATTAGAGCTTTTAACAAGTTACTTTAAAGTAGAAATAGGGAAAAAACTCTTAGATCATTTGAGAGTTTGGGCAGATCCTTCTCTTTTACAAATGATTTCGGGAAGTCCATTGGAAGAACAACATTGTATTACAATTATTTCTGCGATTTTAAATATTTTTCATCTACTTCCTCCATCTGCAAATACCTTTCTGGAAGAATTGGTTACTATTGTAATGGATTTAGAGGGCCAGCTTAGAAGAACATTGTCAAGTCCATTAAGAAAACCTTTATTAAATTTTTTAAATAAATATCCTATTGATTGTTGGAATTATTTTTCATTGAAGCTTGATCAACAAAAATATAGTTTGTTTTTTTCTCAAATTTTAAGTGCAGATATTAGCGATTCATTAAGAGCGTATGTTTCATCAGATTTAAATTCTGTCATTTTGCATTCATTTTTAAAAGATGAAAATTGTAATAATATTTGGGCCATAGTTTCTGGAGTAACAATTATAAAAGCATTAATATCCGACAATAAATTTTCAATAATGTCAAATAATGATCTAGTACAAGCTTTGCTTAAAGTCTTTTCTATTCCAATAATACAATCATTGGCAAATAAAGGCGATGAGTATTACTTTCAAACTAAACTAATAATACAAACTTTAATAAAAATATTCAAATTTTACATTAGTCAATTTCCGAATGATTTTAAAGTAATTTTCCATTGTTTTGAAATTGCTTCTACATGTAATTTAATAGGATTTAATGTATTTGATGAATTAATATTTGAGAAAATTGTATCAAATCAGGACATCCAATACAAAAGGAATATTATTATGCTATGTTTGGATATTATTGCCGACAAACATGTTACATCATACTGGAAAACATACTTATTTAGAAAAATAATCAATCCAATATTGCTAATGACTTATCATAAAAAAGAGGACTTAGTTGATAAATTATTGATTGATACGATACATATAAAGGTTTGGAAATTAGCTTTAAATGATTTTGGAATTGATTTATTTTTTTCAACTGATACTATTAAAAATGAAATAATACAAATGACTGCAACGATCATTAAATATAATATATCATGTCTTGATAACGATATCAAAAAAGATATAATTAAATTTGCATGGAATTATATCAAATTAGACGATACTATAACAAAATATTCTGCGTATGTTCTTTTAACATATTCTGTTTCTTTTTATGAGACCTCAAAAATCATAATACAAATTTATATGGCATTATTAAAATCATCTAATTCTGAAGGAAGACATCTTGTGAAACAAGCTTTAAATATTTTGGCACCAGTTTTATCAGCTTGTATCTCATCTTCTGATATAAGATATCCAGATTGGGTTAAATGGCTAAAATGTATAATTATGGAGGAAAACAATAACATTCCTTTATTAGTAAACGCATTTCAATTTATTATGCATCACGAAACTTTATTTTATCAATATAGAGAGTTTTTTATTCCACAAATGGTTACTGTATTGCCCAAACTTGGTTTTACACAAAACGCAAATATTGAAACTAGAATTTTGACAATAGAACTTATTGAATTAATAGCTAAATGGGAGGAACGACGCTTACAATCATCTTTAAACAATAATGTTTCAGATTCTAACATAAAGCTTGAAGAACAATTTCATACAGACGATAAATCGACTGAAATGAAAGCTGAGGAGTCAACAAAAATATCTAATAGGGACTATATTCCTCCAATGATTCTTCAGGATGCTATTATTACTTATCTTGCAAGGGTTGCATGTTCATCTCCTGAAAGTTATTCAAGAAAAGGTGTTTCTAGTAAAGCTATTCCTTTGATACGTCAACTTATAAATCCTCATTATTGGAGAGATGTTACAATAAAGCTTTCATTTTTTGAGAAGATACTTAAACAAACAGAAATTTCCAAAAAGACTATAGGTCAATATTCTAACGTTCTAGAAATCCTTTCTATTGTTATTGAATTTCAATCAGATCAATGGATATCTGAAAATATTCAACAGTTTCAGGATTTATTGGAAAAAGCTATTAAATTGGACAATGAAGAAATTCACAAGATTTTAAAACCAATTCTTATAAGAATATTTGCAAATTTATCTGATAATAAAGAAAATTCTTCTGGATTAGATTTTAAGATGTTTATTATTAATATTATACAAGATAATTTGCAGAATTCTGTTAATTTGATTTCAACTATTAGTCTTTTATCATGTATTCCAGCTGATAGATCTGATATTTTAGATCCTTTTATACCTTCTTTAATAAAGGTATTTCAAAAAATAGTTAAAGATCATTTATCTTTACCAGTACAACAAAATCGTACATTATCTCAGGCTAATCTTGATAACAATTATAATGCAAATAACTCTGTTAATATAGACCCTGAAACTATGGTAAAACTAATTGAAGGTTTTATCGGAATTATAAAAAAAAAAGCTATGCATCTTGGTGATCAAAGACGTTTATTTTTAGCTGCATTTGCTCAATTAATAGAGAAGTCTCCAAGTTCTCGACTTTGTTTTACCATTTTGGAAGTTTTAAAAGAATGGGTAATAGAACAGCAAGTATCATTTCCTACAATAAAAGAAAAAGCTGCATTACTTTTAAAAATGATATCATTTGAAACTAGAGGTGATTCTGTGCTTTATAATAAGTTTTTATCTTTGATTGTTACAATATATGAAAATCCAGCAATTACACGAACTGAATTAACAGTTAGACTTGAACAAGCTTTTATGATTGGTACAAAAGCAGAAGATATTTCCATAAGAAATCACTTTATGGATATATTTAATAAAAGTATGTCAAAAAATGTTTATACTCGTTTAAATTATATTCTTGGAGTACAAAAATGGGAGAGCCTTGCAGGTTCATTTTGGATTAGCCAAGCAAATCAATTATTAATAGAATCTGTTGTTATGAAAGAAAGAATTTCTATTTTAGAAACGGATTATGCTTTTCGAACACTAGTTTCAGACAAATTGCTTTCATTATTAGCAGATGATGAAACATTTATGATGGATACTGAAATCGATGCTCTAATATTAAATCATAAAACGTTTCTTCATTCAATAGATAAATTAACTGCTGAGAGTATAATTTTGCCTTTATCTCATTTACAATTTTTAGAATTAAATATGGGATCTCAATTATGGTCAGATATCTTTTCTATGTCATGGAATTCAATAGGGAAAAGAGATAGACATGAACTTTCTAAATTAATCGTAGCATTATTGGCAAATAACTATCATACTCAACAAATGGATAAAAGACCTAATGTTATTAAAACGATTCTTCAAGGACTTGCAAGAAATGCATCAACAATAAAATTTCCTCCTCATTTAATAAAATATTTAGGAAAAACATTTAATGCATGGTATGAAGCACTAGAATTATTGGAAGAAATTTCTGCTCAGGGTAGTAAAAATACACCTGCTTTACGAGAGAGCACTTTAGATGCTTTAGCAGAAATGTATGCTACTTTACAAGAAGATGATATGTTTTATGGTTTATGGAGGAGAAGATGTCAATATCTTGAAACAAATGCAGCTATATCATATGAACAAATTGGGATGTGGGATAGGGCTCAACATATGTATGAAAATGCTCAAATTAAGGCACGGACTGGTGTTCTTCCTTTTTCAGAATCTGAATATACATTATGGGAAGATCATTGGTTATTGTGTGCTCAGAAACTTCAACAATGGGACATTCTAACTGATTTGGCAAAACAAGAAAGTTATTCTGACCTGCTTTTAGAGTGTGCATGGAGAGTGACTGATTGGACTACCAATCGTGAAGCTCTTGAAACTTCAATAAAATCACTAATGGATATTCCTACTCCTCGTCGATATATTTTTGAAGCGTTTACTATTCTTCAAAAAACTCAAGCTAAGTTGGAGTCTATTCAGGAGTTCATTCGTGTATGTGACGAAGGGATTCAATTGTCACTAAGAAAATGGTATCAACTTCCTGTAATTGTATCAAATTCTCATATACCTCTTCTTCAAAATTTTCAGCAATATGTTGAATTACATGAAGCTAGTCAGATTTATGCTAGTCTCTCATCTACTAATGCTCAAAATTTGGAAGCAAAATCTCAAGAATTAAAGAATATTTTAGGCACATGGAGAGAGCGTTTGCCAAATATGTGGGACGATATTAATACATGGAGTGATCTTGTTGCATGGAGACAATTAATATTTTCTTCTATTAATAAAGAATATATGTCACTTGTTCCTTGTCTTCAACAACAAGCGGGAACTAGTGGGAATAACTCTAGTACAACATCATTTGCATACAGAGGTTACCATGAAACTGCATGGATAATTAATAGATTTGCTCATGTTTCTCGGAAACATCAATTAGCAGAAGTATGTATTAACCAGCTTACAAAAATATATACATTACCAAATATTGAGATCCAAGAAGCTTTTCTTAAGTTAAGAGAACAAGCGAAATGTCATTATCAAAATCATAATGAATTAAGCATGGGATTAGAAGTAATAAGTAATACGAATTTAATGTATTTTGGACAACAACAAAAGGCTGAGTTTTTTACATTGAAAGGAATGTTTTTGGCTAAATTGAAAATGAATGACGATGCAAATCAAGCATTCGCTACTGCTGTTCAAATTGATCTTACTTTATCTAAAGCATGGGCTAAATGGGGTCAGTATAATGATAGATTATTTAAAGAAAATCCTTGGGAAATTACAGCAGCAAGTAATGCTGTAAGTTGTTATTTACAAGCAGCAGGCCTTCTGAAAAATGGGAAAGCAAGAAAAGTTTTAAGTCGAGTATTATGGTTATTAAGTTTAGATGACAGTTCCGGTACAATTTCAAAAGCGTTCGATTCTTATAAAGGGGACATATCTGTTTGGAATTGGATTATTTTTATACCTCAATTGCTTACATCATTGTCTCATAAAGAAGCACGTCATGCTAGGCAGATTTTAGTCCGTATTGCAAAGACATATCCTCAGGTTATATATCTGATTTATAATTTATATATATATTAATATCTTTCAGGCTCTTTATTTTCAACTTAGAACCACAAAAGAAGATTATACTATTATTAAAAAACAAGCTTTGGCTGCTGCACAATCGGCTTCAAAGAATAATTCTATTTTGCATGATCAATTATCTAGTTCAATAAAAACAGGAAATTTACAGAATCATCCTAAAAGTAATATTAGTGAATCTGATGCTAAACAAAATCCTCAAATACCTTTTGTCAATGCAAAAACTGAAAATAGTATGTATTAATAAAAAATATTTATATATTTAATTTTTTAGATCAACCATCATCCAATAATGCAATTCCAAATCTTCAACAAGTATCAAATTTTCCTCAAAATCAACATGTTCAATCCCAATTTCAAAATTGTCAACCTTGGGAACATGTTGATGAAATTATGTCAATTTTAAAGACTGCTTATCCTTTACTTGCTCTTTCTATGGAAACTATGGTTGATCAAATACAACAACGTTTTAAATGTACTCCTGACGAAGATGCATATCGTTTAATCGTTGCTTTACTTAATGATGGAATACAGGTTATAATTAAAAATTATTGCTTTTTTACTAACAAAAAAAAGTATATTGGTAGATTAACGACTGTTACAAGTGAAACTAAATTGCCTCCGGTTACACAAGCGAATATTACGCGGTTTGCAGAGAGCGTATTACCAAAAAATATTAAAGTGTATATATTGATGTTACTTTCTTTTAAATAATATTATTTTAGATAGCATTTGAGAATGAATTTATAAAAGAAAAGTTAAATTTGCATGATTATATTACTAGATTAAGAAAATGGAGGGACAATTTCGAAAGTATTTTGGATAGAAGACCTAAATATCAGCCATTAGAACAATGTAGCCCTTATCTTAGCGAATTCCAATATCAAAAATTTGATGAAGTAGAAGTTCCTGGACAGTATTTACAAGTAAGTATCATTTAAAAACTGTGGCATTATAATTAAATTTATTTAGCATAAAGAAAATAATAATGATTTTGCACGTATTGATCGTTTTATGACAACATTGGATGTAATAAGAGGTCATGGAATATGCTATAAAAGGTTGACTATTAGAGGTTATGATGGTAGTATTTATCCATTTGCAGTGCAATATCCTGCTGCTAGACATTGTCGTAGAGAAGAAAGAATTATGCAACTTTTTCGTATATTATCTGGGTTAAATATATATATTATTAATTAACTAATCTTATTTTATCTAGAGTTTTATTAAGAAAAAAAGAGACAAGGAGAAGAAACATAACTTTTACTCTCCCTATAGCAGTACCAATTGCTCCTCATATTAGAATAGTGGAAGATGATCCTTCTGGAATATCTTTACAAGGAATATATGAGGAATATTGTCGTCGATATGATATGCATAAAGATGAACCCTTAAAATATTTTGCATCAAAACTTAATTCTTTTGGATCTCAAACTTTTGATGTAAGTTTAGTTAAATTTTAATTTTTTTTTTAATTATTTGAAAGAAACAAGATATTATTAATCTTAAGATTGAAATTTTAACATCTATTCAAACTAACTTGGTTCCTGATGATATTCTTTTAAAAGTAAGTGCAAAAAAAATTACATTTAGTTTATTTGATTCATTGAAGTACTTTAAACAATTGTTTTCTACATACTGCGACTTTTGGAGATTTCGAAAGCAATTTACTCTTCAATATGCAGGAATAGCATTTATGACTTACATAATGAATATTAATAATCGCTTTCCTAATAAATTATATATATCTAGATCTTCTGGAAATGTTTGGGGAACAGAATTCCTTCCTGGTATTTTTATTCATTTTTAAAAATATTCAATTTATATAATTTTATAGCCATGGCATCAAACAATCCTGTTTTTCATAATGGAGAAGCAGTACCGTTTAGATTTACTCCAAATATCCAGACATTTATTACTCCAATAGGTATTGAAGGTATATTTTCTAGTGCTTTAATGGCAATTGCTCGCTCTTTAACAGAGCCAGAGGTAAAGTACGATTATAGAATTAACGTTCATCTAATGTGAAAAGTTCGGGCTTGATCAGTATTTAAGTATTTTTGTTCGTGATGAATTAATGTTAGTTGTTTTTAGTGGTATATATTAGTTATTGATTATTTATTTTAGTACATGGTTTACTCAACAACACCGTCCCTTAATACAAGATAGTCAACTTCGTGAGAAAGTTGCTGGAAACGTTGATTTAGTTGTTAGAAGAGTTGCATCTCTATCTCAAGTCGCACAAGGAAATTTACCTGCTAATCAGACAATAATTGATTTGGTTTCACAAGCAGTTAACCCAAGAGCGTTAGCACAGATGGATCAATTATGGGCTGCATGGCTTTAATTATATCTATAGTTAGATAACTTTGCTTAATAAATGGTAAATATTTTTAAATATATGTTATTATAAGGGTCTACTATTATGTACATTATGATTATTTGTTAGTTTTTCTGGTTTAATAGATTTTTATGACATCTATTTTCATATATAAAATGTTTCAATAATTTATTTTACTATATTTTAAATAATATTTAACCAACCCAACGACGTGCAGATCTAAATAATTGAATCCATGGTCCCCATTCCCCCCATTCAGTAGACTGATCTATTGGATAATAGCTATTTGAATTTTTTTTAATAACTCTTTCAGGATGTGGCATAAGCGCAAGAACTCTACCATCTACAGATTTTACTCCAGCAATACCATAAAGGCTTCCATTTGGATTGTATGGATACCTACTTGTTGTTTCTCCATAATTATCTACATATTCAAGTGCTGTTAATTTTTTATCTAAAAATTCTTGTAAATCCTCAGGATTATTAAAGTATGCTTGTCCTTCTCCATGTGCTACTGGAACTGGAATAATTGACCCTTCCATACCAGATAAAAATATCGAAGGTAAAGCCGTGCTTATATTATCATTCTTTGGTATTCTTACAGATACAACTCTTGATTCATATTGTTCTGATTTATTACGTATAAAATCGGGCCAACATTCTGCACCCAATATAAGTTTTTTAAGTTTAGTTAAAAATTGACAGCCGTTACATATTCCTAAAATAAATGTATCCTTACGTAATGAAAGAAATTTATAGAATGATTGTCGAATATCTGAATGAAGAAGAATAGAATTTGCCCATCCGGAGCCCCCTCCAAGAACATCCCCATATGAAAATCCTCCACAAGCTGCAAATCCTATAAAGTTATTTAAGTCCACCTCTCTATTTATTAGCTCAGTCATATGAACATCTACTGCTGTAAACCCGGAAGATTCAAATGCATATGCCATTTCATAATACCCATTGATACCTTGTTCACGAAGAATGGCAACTTTGGGTCGATATGATAATAAATTAGATGGAATAGATATATTCTTCATTGAATAAGTTAATGAAAAAATTAATCCAGGATTAGAATCATCAATAATGTTTTCGAATTCTTCTTTAGCATATTTAGGATTATCTCTTAAAGATTGTATGTTATACGATGTACTGGACCATATTTGTTGTAACAGTCCTCTTGATGACTGATAAATTTCACTTCCAAAATGTATGATTGATATTATTTGTGGATTTTCATCTTCTATGTTACCAATAGTATAAATATCATCAATATTAAATCCTTTTAATAAAAAATAGTTTTTAAATTTATTCAAATCAGTTTCTCTAATCTGAAATAATCCGCCAAGTTCTTCGTTAAAAAGAGTGTTAATTATATCATGTTCTGAGGAATTTTTATGGCATAAATCATTCAAAATCAATTTCAGACCAACTCTTCCAGCAAATGACATTTCTACTGCTGCAGTAAAAAGTCCGCCATCTGACTTGTCATGATATGCAAGCACAATATCATCATTATGCAAATCTTTGAGTGCATTTAAATATGATTTAAAATGTTTCACGTCTACAATATCTGGAGCTTCGTCGCCAATTTGCAAAAATACCTGAGCTATGGCTGATCCTCCCATTCTTTTCTTTTTATTTGCTAAATCTACAAACACGAGTATAGTTTTTCCTATACCCTTTTCTGTTTTTCTTCTTAGCTGAGGTGTCCAAGTTTTTCTAACATCATCGACTAAAGAAAATGCAGAAATAACAACAGAAAGAGGTGAAGTCACTTCTTTGCTTATTCCATCACTATTCCATTTCATTTTCATTGATAAAGAATCCTTTCCAACAGGAATACTTATTCCAAGCTGAGGACATAAGTAAATTGCAATTGCTTCAACAGCTTCATATAACGCTGCTCCTTGACCCTTATGAGTAGATGATGCCATCCAATTAGCACTTAGGCAAATTTGTTCAATCCCTTTTACGTCAGCTGCATATATATTAGTCAAAGATTCCGCTACTGCCATTCTAGCTGATGCAGAAGGAGATATTATTGATATAACAGGCCTTTCTCCAACAGAAAATGCTTCTCCGTAGTTATTTGTATCACTAATTGATGATAAAACTACTGCAACATCAGAAACAGGAGTTTGCCATGGACCAACCATTTGATCACGAGAAACAAGCCCAGTAACACTTCTATCCCCAATAGTAATTAAAAATGATTTAGAACCAACAGAAGGCAGCATAAGAACACGCCTAATAGCTTCTTTCAGTGTTGAAAAATTATTTTCTGTGCTATTTTCAAATAATATAGTAAATTTTGATAATAGTAAATTTGCTGACGAATCAACTTTAGATAATTTCGGAAACTCTTCAAATAATAGTGACATAGGCAAGTCAATAGTAGTATTAAATAGTCTATCTGTCAATATAAGATGTCTTTCTTTAATAACATGGCCTACAATTGCTATAGGACAACGTTCTCTTTCTGCAATAGATTTCAAGATATTTATATTTTCAGGTAATACAGAAAGAACATATCTTTCCTGTGCTTCACAACACCATAATTCCATTGGAGACATTCCAGAGTCATCTGTAGGTATTTCACGTAGCTCAATTTTTGCGCCTACATAAAAATTATGAAGTAATTCGGGAAATGCATTAGACAATCCACCAGCCCCTACATCATGAATAGATTGTATGGGATTTTTTGAATTCAAAGAAATACATGTATCAATTACCATTTGAGCTCTTCTTTGCATCTCTGGATTTCCTCGTTGTACTGAAGAGAAGTCTAATTCTTCAGAACACTCACCTGAATCCAGACTTGAAGAACTCCCTCCTCCAAGTCCTATAAGCATTGATGGCCCCCCTAATATTACTAACAATGCTCCAGGAGTCACTTCATTTTTAATAGAGTGTATACTTTTAATTGATCCTATTCCTCCTGCTATCATAATAGGTTTATGATATCCCCAGAATTCATATTTCCCATCAAGATTACATGTTTTAGTAGTAAGAGTTCGAAAATATCCAGAAATTAATGGACGACCAAATTCATTATTAAAAGATGCACTTCCTACTGGCGCATCTAGAATAATTTCTAATGCAGATGCAATATGATGCGGCTTCCCGATATTAAGTTCCCATGGTTGACAAAAGTTTGGTATTAATAAATCAGAAACATTGAATCCTGTTAATCCTGCTTTAGGTTTAGATCCTTGTCCAACAGAACTTTCGTCTCTTATTTCTCCGCCAGAGCCTGTAGATGCTCCAGGAAAAGGTGATACAGCAGTTGGATGATTATGTGTTTCTACCTTTATTAAAAAGTGTAATAATTCATTATACTGCTTCCATATTTTTGTCTTAAAATCTGGGTAAAAGTTCAAAACTTCACGCCCCATTAAAACAGCAGCATTATCTGTGTATGCAGAGATTGTATAATAAGGATTTTTTGCATGGGTATTTTGAATCATTGAAAATAAAGAATATGGTTTCTCAATCTTGTTAATATTCCAATTAGCATTAAAAATTTTATGACGACAATGTTCTGAATTAATTTGTCCAAACATAAATAATTCAATATCATATGGATTTCTTGGTTCTAACAATTTATTACTTCCAGTAAAAACATTTGTAAGATATAAAATTTCATCTTCTAGGAAAGCTAAACTATACTTTTTATTAATATTTTCGAGATTAATTTTTACTTCTTCTTTTGGAACTTCAGTAGATCCAATAGGAATTTCCTGAAATGAAACATGTTTTAAATGTCTAAACAAAACTTCTTCTGTAGGAAATTTGTAATCAATCATTTGTGTCATTCGATCATACAAATATGAAGAAAATTCTGATAATCTAGGTATTAATGATTTTTTATCATTTGTTATAAGATAAAAAATAATTCCTCGTTCAATTCTCTTAATATACTTTTTAAATCCACAAACATGTGCAATACTTGTAGCTTTAGAAGACCATGGTGATATAGTACCTGTTCGTGGAAGTATAATAAATGTATTATCTAAAAATTTTGATTCGGAAACTGAAAATATGAGTTCTTTAATGTTTTTATCGTCATCATTTATCTTAGTTCCATATTTTAATAATTTGTCAATAGAAATTCTAACTGAATCAGAAAATGGTTCGTCTGTATTTAATTCTATAAAATGTATATAAAGACTATAGATATCCGTACAAAAACTTGTATTTGAACTGTTCTTAGAGAGAGAAGCATTAATCTTATCTTTTAATGCTTTTAATCGAAAATTAGACAAGTTATTTAAACCTGGTATAATTAGCATTAAATTTGTAGTTAATTTTTAAGTTCGGTTCTTATAAGATTAGAATTAAAACTGAAGTAAAAATGATACAATTAAAATGAAAAAAGATGTGATGAAAGAGTAATTAAAGTTATATATTATTTATATTTTGTTTATAAAATATAAGAAATAGATGAATTAAAAATAAAAGATTATGAAAGTATTATTAAATTATAAAAAGGAATATTAAAGAAGAAACAGTATATGGTTATATAAATTAATTATTTTAATTAATCTTCACCAAATATATCATCATCAAATGCATCGTCGTCATTGTAAAAATCGTCATCTTTAATAAATAAATATAGATAAGGAATATAATAAATTACCTTCGAGAACTCCTACTTTTTGTAAAAAATCCTTCATAAGTAAATTAACTTTAGCATCTGGTTCTTGGGAAATTATTGAAGTATCAAATTTTGTTTCATCAATTTCATCATCTGTAAAAGATGATGAAGATGCATCATTTGATCGTTCTAGTATTCTTATAAACTCGAGATCAGATGCTATTCTTCCTTCAGATAATGCTTTAAATTTTTGTTTCATGATATGTTTAAACTTATCAAATAAAGTAGATTTAAACCAACCATTTTTAAACTAAATAAATTAAAATACAATTAGATATATACGAAAGAAATACATTAGCCTTAGTTCTTAATGGAATTTTTTCTAGTAATTGTATAAGTAAACAATCAGTTATATCTAAAATTTGGAAAATTCTAGTTTGTTGATAAAGTGTTTGTCCTGTAAATATAGGAGAATTGGATTCTTCCCTAACAAAATTAGTATACTTATAATATACATATTTATACATGTATCTTACTTTTCTTGAGGAGAAAGATTAGTATTATCCAAATTTTCTGAAGGTCTATATGTAAACGATACTGTCTGAAAAAATCGATATTTTTGGTCGGTACGGGGATCTACTCCATATTTTACATATGTATCTCTCCAGGGGCCAGATCTCCAATGATATGCAACATATGCTAGTGCGTATTTTAAATATGCTGACATTCCTGGATCTTTCTTATTGACTTTATATGTAATTGCCCTACGCGTCCATATTGGACGCTCTTCAAATAATACTTTTAATAGATTCAAAATATTTTGTATATTCTGTTCAGGTATATTAGGAAGTTTAACATGAGGTTCTGCAGGAACAGTTTCTGTTTCCCAAGGAACAGAAATAGACCATATCCTAGGCGCTTTCGACTTATTAACAAGTTTAGGTTTACTATCCTGTTGTACTTTAATTAAACTTGGATTCTGTCGATACCTAAGAAAAATAAATAAAAATCATAAAAATCATCCATTAAAACCAATAGTTATGTGGAATCTTTGTCCTCGAAAATACTGATGGAACTGGAAGATCAAGATTTTGAGGATCATCTTTTTCTTCCAATGATATAGAAAAATGATTTAGAGATTCAACTATAAATAATTGGTTTCAAAAACATAAATATTATACACCATACATTCAAGAGGAACAATACTTCTATTCCACATTTTAATAAATGGTGATGCATGTGTATTATATTGAAAATCAAATATATCTGTTAATTTAACTTTTTATCTCTAATATATTTATTTCTTACCTCTAAATCTAAATGTCTTTCTTATTATTCCAATAATTTCGTATTCTATACGACTGTCTATCTCATCAATTTCCTTATTTTTTTCTTCATTTTTAGACTTTTTTTTTAATTGCAGTACTAAATTACATACTTTTACTGAACGTGCTTGAACTGGATGTTCGAAAGGATTTTTCGGCCATAGTCTTAACTCTAAAGGGCTTTTATCTTCCGATTCTTCGTCCTAATATTTATCAAATTTTCTTCATTTTTTTCTTTATAAAAAAACTTGTAAACATGTACGACGAACTGCTTCAATTCCTCCCAGTGTTTCAAAACATTTCTCCAAACTAACAACTTTTCCTGGGTATTCAATAGAGTAACATTTCTTATACAGAGATTTTGACTTTTCTATCATTCAATATCAAGCCAATATATATCTTTTTTTTTAAATTTTAGAGGTTAAAAATCTGAGGTTGTCTCACAACCTTAATATTAGTCGAAGAATCTGACAACCTAATAAAAACGTGAAATCTATAAAAAGGTAAAAAAACGGAAAAAAGAACGAATATTCTCGGAAGATTTTGATTTATTTGAATAGTAAGACATATTTTTGATAGTATTTAGTTTTTGAATAGAAAAAATAGGAAAAAAATTGCAGATTTTAGAATTCTTTAAGGGTCGTTTATTATATATTGATTCTTTGAGGAATTCAAGAATAGAGAGATGAAAGGATTTAGAAATAAAGTGGTATACTTTTAATATAGAGTCTATATGTTTTTTTTTCTAAGATTTTGGGTAGCTTTTAAGGACAAAATCGTCTAGCGAGTCTAATAAAGGCTCTCAAAATTCAAAAACAAAAGATTTAAAAGAAAGAGCAGGAGTTTCAGAAAAAAAGCCAGAAAGAAGCCTTAAGCTTAAAGATTCTTTTAGACAGTTGGCTCAAAGTGCATTTTCAATACCTAGTATACCAGCATCTGTTACTAATGTTCCATTATATATGAATACGACATCTATGGTTTATATAAGATTTTAAAGTATAAATAGAGCTGATTTTTAAAAAAGCATTTAACTTCATCTGGTGTTTCTGAAATTATATCTGGAGATCTTACTTTACTTAAACATGGGACAAAAACAGGCGCATTTGAAAGATTACAAACAACACCTAAAGATAGTGCAGCATTAGATGCAATAAAAACCCCTAAAAGGAATACTTCTTCAAGATTTAGAATATCGACTGAACAAGAACTTGAAAAGCTTCCTTCTTTTCATGGTTGGTCATTCGATCTATATAAATAGGACTATTATTAATGTAATCATATAGAAGTTCCTTTGAATAATCGTCAGGACCTTTTTGTTCAAAAGCTTAAGCAATGCAATGTTATTTTTGATTTTACCAATGCTTCAATGGATATGCGAAGCAAGGAGATTAAAAGAGAAACATTACACGAATTATTAGAATATGTAACGAACAATAGAAATGTTATTACTGAACCACTTTATTCTAAAGTTATTGATATGGTATATTTTTTTAATTTATTGAAAAAAAAACTTATAAATATGATAGTTTTCAACGAATTTATTTAGACCTATCCCACCTCCTGTAAATACATATGGAGAATGCTATGATCCAGAAGAGGATGAGCCCGTTTTGGAGGTAGCATGGCCTCATCTTCAGATGGTATATGAATTTTTTCTTCGGTTTATAGAGTCTCCTGATTTTAATACTAATCTTGCGAAATCATACATAGATCATCATTTTATACTTCAGGTATGTTTTAATTAATAATTTCAGCTTTTCTTATATATATGAGTTACTTGAACTTTTTGATAGTGAAGATCCTCGAGAAAGAGATCTTCTTAAAACTACTCTTCATAGAATTTATGGAAAATTTCTTACTTTACGATCCTTTATTAGAAAATCCATTAATAATGTCTTTTTTCAATTTATTTATGAAAGCGAACGATTTAATGGGATTGCTGAATTATTGGAAATATTAGGAAGGTATCTTATATTTTATTTTAAGTAGTCAAATTAATTTAAAAGTATTATCAATGGATTTGCTCTTCCATTAAAAGATGAACATAAATTGTTTTTGATACGTGTATTGTTACCTTTGCATAAAGTTAGATCTATTTCTATGTATCATCCTCAGTTATCTTATTGTGTTGTACAATTTTTAGAAAAGGATCCTAGTTTGACTGAAGAAGTATAAAATACAAATATTATATATTTTTTTTAATATTTAAGGTTATTCTTGGACTTCTTCGGTTTTGGCCAAAAGTTAATAGTACAAAAGAAGTATTGTTTTTAAATGAAGTTGAAGAAATATTTGAGGTAATGGAACCATCGGAATTTGTTAAGATTCAGGTGCCTTTGTTTCAACAGTTATCAAAAGCGATTTCTAGTCAACATTTCCAAGTATTTTTTTTTTTTTTTGAATTAATTTTAACTTTTATAGGTAGCAGAACGAGTTTTGTATTACTGGAATAACGATTATTTTTGTAATTTTGTTAATGATAATGTTGATGTTATTCTTCCTATTATTTTTCCTGCGCTATATGAAAATTCTAAAATGCATTGGAATAGGTAACTTTATCTTATTTTATTTTTTTGAATTTTATGATTATAGGACTATCCATGGAATGATCTATAATACTATGAAAATGTTCATGGAAATCAATCCTACATTATTTGATGAATGTTATAATGATTATACTTTTTCTCAAGAAGAAGCTGAAATAAAAGATAAAGAACGGAGAGATATGTGGTTGGCTTTAGAAATTATGAGTAATTCTGGAGGGAAAGATTCTTATGAAAATATAGAAGTTTTTTCGAAAAGTCTTAAAGGTTAGTCTATTTTATTTTTTCTAGTATATATAAATAAAATAGAAACTCGTAGACCACTTGAACAATCGATAGAAAACTTACGCTTAGATGATCATAAATACACACAAGCAATATCTATTGCGAAACCGACAAGAATTAATACTGAGGTTTGTTGTTTAAATGTTGAGTTTATTAAATTAAATATTTATAGACAGATGATACTCGAATAAAACTAAATACTAAATATTTTTCATGATTTTTAAAAACATAGATATATAATCATTCATTTGTAATATTGAAACTAAATTTATTTATTGCACTAAAAAATTTAATGTGTGAACCACTATATTATACATCTTTATAATTTGTATATTATAATTTTATTGAAAATGCTATTAAAATCTAGTCTATTACGTTGATAGTTAACATTTTTAGATATTATTTTCGTCTTCAAATAAGAAATCGGAGGGAATATGCTGTATCTGTACTGAAGGGGAATGTGATATATTTCTAAGATTATCAATTACTTTTGATCTACAAAATATAAATAAATATCTAATTAATATAAATATATTTACGTTATATTTTCTAGATAAGTTCTTGAGTTTTGATTTTCCATATTGTTTGAAGGAACATCTCTATTAATATGTTAGTTTAAAAATCTCATATCATATTTACATACAATTTAAATTCTGGGCCATAGTAATCCAAGTATGAATTAAATGGGATGTCTTGGTTTATCTTTAGTCCATTTTTAGAATATTTTTTAGCTTACTTTCATCTAACGTTTCATCAATAAGAACAGCTGTTTCATAAGTCCAGGCACGAGCAACATTCCTAATTGTATATCCACCGCCACTAAAATATTTTATCTAAAAAAGTTTAAAAAGGTGAATAAAAATATACCCTACAGCAACAATAGGAAGATTAAAACTTTTGACAAATCTCACACATTCTGCATGGCCTAGTGATGATAAAGATTTTTTATTGTATAACTGTTTTGATACCTTTCATTGAAAGATTAAAGCATCCAAGTCGATCGCCTGCAAGAGAATCTGCACCACATTGTAAAACAATGACTAATTATTATAAGCCAACAATAGATCAAAGAAACAGATACTAACCATTTGGTCTATACCAATCCATAATCCTCTGTATAATCTAAAAAGTATAAAATTAAAAGAGATTAAATTATATAAAATGTTTTACTGGTTTGAAAACACTTTCGTATGATTTATCATCGATTCCATCCTTAAGCGGGATATTAACAGAATAATTTTTCCCCTTTCCTATTCCAATATCCTCAATGCTTCCCGTACCTGGGAAATATTCCCCATATTTGTGAAATGAACATGTCATAACTCTGTCGGTAGTATAAAATGCCTCCTCTACACCATCTCCATGATGAATATCAATGTCTATGTAAAGAACACGCTGATTATATCTAAAACTATAAATTTAATTAATTCAAAATAAACAAAATACTTCAATAATTCTAAAATTGCAAGAACAATATCATTGACATAACAAAATCCAGATGCTTCTCGTTTTTTTGCATGATGAAGGCCTCCTGACCAACTTCCATAAGTAAATAGTTATAAAATATCGAAATTTTTACTTAATTGCAATATTTGAATCCCCAGTATTAATTTTTTGTGCTGCGCAGATAGATCCGCCTGCTGAAATTGAACAGAACTCAAACAACCCACTTTAAAAACATCAAAATAACAAAAAATATTCAATTTAATAAATTTACTCGAATACTGGGCAATCTTCTCCGACATTAACTGCCAATTACTTTAATTTTTTTGCAAAAAATTAAAAACATACACCGAGATTGATGTAATATAAACTTTTCCATTGTATCTGGTGTTACCCTCCATAAGAAGTCTACATATTCATCTGTATGACACCTATTATTATAGCTTAAAAACATATTTAAACATAAATTCAATCCTTTATTTACCGAGTCATATCTTTTCTAGTAGCTCTTTTAGGAACCTAATAAACATAATTTCCGTATATAATTCCTCTTAATATATTCAATATTACCGTCATATCTAGTTTTTTATAGAGTCCATAACTTAAAACTAATGAGTGTGTCTATTTTTTTTAAAACCAGTTTTGTGTTATTTTTTAAAAAATACCATTCTCATTCTATGAGGTTTCATAGGATGATTTGCTCCATAATGATAATTTCCAATATCTGGATCATAGAAATAACTAACTGTTTTGTGCATAATGATAAAGACCTAGAATCGAGAGTGAGTGGAAAAGTGGAGAAATGATGGAATAAAAGATGAGAAAAAAAATATAAGAGATTATAAAATTAAATATATTTTAGTAAAATTAAATATAAATATTTAAGGAATTGATGTTTTGTTTTTGAAATTTGAAAAAAAATGACTAAATTACTAGAAAAAGGTTAAAGAGAAAAAAAAAAGAAGAGAGTTACAATCAGCGATATTCATCTATGAAATCGTTAAAGATATATAAAAGAATAGTTAATAAGACTTACAGGCATTTCATCGATTTGTGTTGAATAGTATTGTTCAATATCACGTAAAATACGAACATCTTCAGCCTGAAAAAAAATATAAATAAAATAAATATATAAATGATAAGAGATTTACTGTTACGAAATTTATAGCAACACTATATGAATGTAAGAGAATAGAATATAAAAAAATGATAAAAGATACCCTTTTCTACCAAAACGACCACTTCGTCCAATTCTATGAATATAATTTTCACGATTAGGCGGAAGATCATAATTAATTACAAGAGAAACTTGTTGTACCTAATAATTTTTAGTAAAATATTTAAAGAGATTGATAAAAATTACATCAATACCACGAGCCCAAATATCAGTACAAAGTAAAACTCTAGAATTTCCTTGTCTAAATTCGCCCATAATTGCATCACGTTCTTTTTGAGGCATATCTCCATGCATACTAGGATTCATATTAGAAAAAAATGTTAAAATAGAAGATAAAATGGGGACAAAATACCTTGATACAGTAAAATTCGCCTCTCTCATTTTTTCTGCCAACCAATCAACCTTTAATATTAAATATAGAATAAAAAATAGTTATAATAAAATACTTTTCTCCTAGTGTTACAAAATATAACTGCTTGGGTAATAGTTAAGGTATCATAGAGCTATATTTATGAACTAGTGAAAATAAAATAATCAATATTACATCACATAGTGTATCGAATTTCCATTCTTCTTTTTCTACTGCGATAAAATATTGTTTAAGACCATCCAAGGTTAATTCATCACGTTTAACAAGAATTCGAACCGGATCCGTCATAAATTTACTGTAGAGAATTAAAATATAAATTTACATATGTTTAAAGATACGTTGTCAATTCTAATAAAAATATTAGTATAAAATTTTCCCTAAAAATACAACACAAACCAAGAACATCATAAGGAAGAGTTGCACTAACAACTACTACTTGTGTTCCTGGAGGAAGATAACGATATACATCATAAATTTGTTCTCTAAATCCTCGATTTAACAGTTCATCTGCCTCATCAAGAACAAGCATTTTTATATTACGTGTTCTCAAATTTCTTCTTCGGATCATATCTGCTACTCTGCCTGGTGTTCCTGAAATAACCTTTGAAAATATTAAATATATACATTAAGTATTTCATTCATACATGTTGTCCATGATCTAATTTCCTAATATCCTCGCCTATATTTGTCCCTCCAATACAAGCATGACTTTGAACATTTTGATATTGACCCAATGCAAGCAAAACATTTTGAATTTGAACTGCAAGCTCACGTGTTGGTGAAAGAACCAATGCTTGAGTTTCTCGAACTGCCGTATCAATAACTTGAAGAATAGATATAGAAAATGTCGCTGTTTTACCCGTTCCAGACTGTGCCTGAGCAATAACATCTATAATTCAAAAATTTGTTAGATCATGAAAAAAAACGTAATAAAAACGGTTAGCCGTTATCTTTCCCCCCAAAAAAAGCAGCTAATATAGTTAACTAAATATATACTACCTCTTCCTTTAAGAATTTGAGTAATAGCTCGACTTTGAACTGCACTTGGTAATTCATATCCATAACTATATATCCCTCGTAAAAGATCTTCTTTTAAATTCATTTCTTCAAAACTTCCTGCAACCGTAACCTCCTTAGACGTTGTAAAGACTGTTTTGTTTCCATTTCTGTCTTCTTTTAGCGCCATTAAGGCTTTAATTGATTTATATTTAAAGATAATTAAGTTTTATCGATTTTTTGCACGTTTTTTAAAACTTATTCTTATAAACTCGGGTTTTATTGAAATAAAAATATAAAAAATAAAAATTAATGAATTAAATTATACTTTTTGTATCAATCTATCCCTATAAATCTATTATACTATTTTTAAAGTTTTAAAAAAGCTATTAAAATACGTTAAAATTTTTAATAAAAAATTATGAAAAAAAAATTATGTTAAAGACGATACTTTTTTCTTCTTGAAAGCCATTTGGATTTCATAGGAGACATGTTTTCTTTGTTCATCTCTAATGAAAATATTTCAATATTTGTTTTTGTTTCAGGTATTTCGATATATGTTTCTTCATCATAATAAATATCGAATTTTTCATGAAATGATTTATTTATTTTTGCAGGTGCACTTTGAGGTTGCATTTTTATTTTATCTTTGTTTTTCCCATCTTTTAATATTAATATTTCTTTTTGTCGACACGGTGTTATAAAACCATCTGTTGCGTATATAGAAGAAAAAATAGAAGGTTCTAAGGACACTTTAACAGACGGAACATAAACATAAGTTGATTCTTCTTTTTTTTGTTTTAAAGTCCATAATGGTTTTCGTTCTTCTTTTTTTCGCCGCCACTCATCCAAATTTTCTTCTATAAATAAATTGTTTCCTTTCAATTCCTCAGAGACATTATTTTGCGTCTTTATTTGTTCTTTTGATGTCATTTTTTCCTCTTTTTCCTTGTATAATAACCTATCTTTTCATTTATTTCCGTCTTTATTTATGTAAATTTGAAAAATCTACGATAAGATAAAAATGTATTTTTAAATAAGCCTAGATTATGATTAATAATATATATATAAATTCGTGTATTTTACTTGAGGATTATGTTTTTGTATGTTTTATTTGTATTTTTTTGTCTCTTTTTGGAATATTTTAAAAAGTATGAAGTAAATGTCGTGAAAACCACTCGAGCAAAGGATACCATTCTTTGCGATTACGCGGCATTGTGTCTCCTTCATGATCTTCCCAGATGATTTGTTCGACATGATAAAATATTTTTGAAAGTTGTTGTATAATTTGAGAAGTAATACGAGATTCATCATCGCCTCCACAAAGTAAAATAGGTGTTGTAAGACGAGATATTGTAGAAGATGAAATTTTTACGTGATTTTTTTCATTCTTGGTTTTGTTGTCCATTTCATTTGTCTTTGTAGATAAAGATTCCTTTAGAAATCAATAATGATTAATAAAATGAATAATTTGTAAAAATTACATTTAGAAATAGATGAGTAAAGGAATCAAGAGATTCAACAATGCCTCCTATTGATAAAACTCCTCCAAACCGTTTGTTAAAATGAGGAGAATTTGGTTTACTTTGTGTTAATGTAAAATTAAGTGCTAAACGACCGCCTTGTCCATATCCTAAGAAGAAAATTGCTTGCGATGAGAATCCACAGCCAGAAGGTAGTGGATCAGTTAATGTTTTACAAAGAGATTCTAACATTTCTATTGCTTTCTGTAAATCTGCATCATCCGAAACAATTCCATCTTGATCAAATGCCAAATCTGAGCCCCAGTGCCAGGATCCCGCTTCATTTTCAGAAGGATCAACTAGAGGTGTTGGTTTTAGTCCACAAAGACTAATACAAACGGTTTCAGGTAAATTAAGATGTCGAGCTAGCCGTGCAAATGGGATATGAGAACCACCTAGTCCATGAAGTAAAATAAGACAATTAGAAATAGGTGTATCTGGTGCCATGATTAATCCCTTAAGAGGTTCAGGAAGATCAGATAATGTTGGAATACGATATTGGGTTGATTTGTTATGTTTCATTTTAGAAATTGAGTTCATCTTTAAATTTTATAGAAAATTGATTTAAAAAACTATAAAAAGGAAGGTATTTATATCATTATTTGGAGTTATTTATCTACCATATAGATATATAATAGGCTTCAAAAATTATAAGGTTTTAAAGATTTAAAATTAATTTTAAAAAATATATTTCTTAAAAAAAAATATGAAATATTTTCAAGTTGTTTTATGAGTATTTTCTTTGCACCAATCAAGGTATTTTTCATGTAATATAGTTTGTTTTTCCCATTCTTTAGTTATCTTTTTCCGTCTACTCTTAGTTAATTCGATTCCTTGAGCATCATGTAAAGGAAATCCTTGATCATCCCATTTTGAATATTCATCGGTTTGAAAAAGCTCTTTAGGAGATAATTTTCCTTTAAAGATTTTCTCTTGTAATTTTTGTTCTTTAATTTTTTTATTTAATAATTCTTGTTGTAATTTTTTTTCTTGCTGTTGCTTAAGTTCATTTTTATCAACAAATTTTATTAATGCATTCTTATTTTCTCTATCTTCTAATTGTATACCTAATTCTGTTAAATCTACATCACGCAATCTGTCACAAAGTTTAAGTAAATCTCTAGATAATTCCATATTGCTTTTAGATTTAGAAATAATTAAAAGATTCCTTATATCATCTCTAAAAGATGAAAGAACTTTAACATAAGGCATAATTATTTCATTGTGCTATTAGAGTTAGTTTTATTTAAAATACTAGAAAAATATTACATTAGTTGTTATAGTAGATTCATTAAGTTTATATTCGATAACAGTAAAACTGTTATCTTTTAAACCAAAAATTTCAAGAATGCCGGAAATCCATTCTGCAACATTAGTAATTATAAGAATATTAATATCCGATCGAGCTTGAGAAATATATATATTTGTTTTAGTTATCAAATTTATAATAATATCCAAAGATTCTGGAGTATTAAAATTATCACAAAGAGCGTCATGTAGTGCTTCTTGTGCTTGATATAAACTAAAAATTGTAAATTTCCTATAAACATATGTATTGATTTACTTTTTACAGAGCTCTTTTTCCAGATTTGAAATAGTATATTTTATAACTTCATTTTCTTTCAAACTTAGTTTTTTTTCAATTATTAAGGAATTTATGTTTACGAAAAAATTCTTTATCATAAATATGGTATTTTAAATTGGATATATACCTACACAAAGTAATGATTCGATGCCTCTAACATCCGTCATAAAACTTTCTTTAAAATCCATTTTCATATTCCATTGCTGTTTTAAAAAATATAATCTCATCTGTCTTGATGTGTATTTTTTCAAAGCATCTTGAATAGTAATAAAATTTTTCAAGCTTTTTGACATTTTTTGTCCTTCAATATGCAAATGGCCCACATGAAAAAAATAATTAACCCACTGATCACAATCAAAAAATGCCTAAAATATTAATTAATAAGATATTTTTCTTTTTTCGCAATGATTTACTTCTGACTGCGCAATTTCATTATCGTGATGTGGAAATGCTAAATCTATGCCTCCTGAATGTATATCTATTTCTGATCCAAGAATTTCAGATGCCATGGCAGAACATTCTATATGCCATCCGGGACGCCCCTAATAAGTGATTTAGTTTATAAATAAAATTAAATATAATTACCTTGCCCCATGGACTTTCCCATTTTGGTTCGCCTACTTTACTTGCCTTCCATAATGCAAAATCGCTGGACATTTTTTTCCCTTCAGAATAATTAAGTTCACCTGTTTTTTATTCTTTGATTATACAAGTTTGTAATATAAGAAGCATACATACCTTCTCCTTCATTGACTAATTTTTTATTATTTCTATTCCAAGGCTCAATTTTTGCATATGTATGACGACCATCTGCCTCAAAAGCCGCTATATCAAAAAAAACACTTCCTTTTGATTCATATGCATAACCTTTATTAATAATTTCTTGAATAAATTTAATGATTTCCGGAATAAATTCAGAAACCCTGACAACAATGGATGGTTCCAAAACACCCAAAGCTTTCATATCTTCGTTATATTTATTTTCCCAATGAGTAGATACTTGGCGAAATATAAAATTATCATTAATCAAATGTTTTAACTTTAACTATTATTTCAATCCAATTATATTATTTCAAATACCTCTTCATCCAACTTTAAAACTAATACATCCTTTACTCTTTCTAGGAAAACATTGGGAGCAAGTGTTTTATATAAAATTAATGCATCATATGATTGATTTAACGTTTTAAAATTCAATGCAAGTTTTCCGTCTAATTTCAACATTTCTGAATCCTTAATAGAATTCGACCATTCTTCAAATCCCTCAAGAGATTTTGGTCCATTTGGAAAATGTAAAGCAAAATAATTTTTCCATGCTATTAACACTTTTTCATAAACTTCTATCGTAATTTCTTTAATTTTTTCCACATAATTATTGAAAAGATAATTATGTCTAGCTTTCAAAATAATCTACATCCTATTATTCCCTTTTTTTTTCTTAAAAAACTTAGATTACTTTATCATCGATATCTGTTATATTTTGAACAAAAACAATATCATATTTAAAATAATTCTGCAAAATTCTACGAATAATATCTGTAGTAACATAATTTCTTCATAATTTTACTTATTTATCTTCTCTTAAAGCCTCCAAATGTTACCTTGCATGACCCATATGACTCCAATCATAAACTGTTGGCCCACAACAATACCATGTAATTCTACCCCCATTTGATGATACAAATTCATTCTATATCCTCTAATCAACCTATATACCCCCGACTTTCCCCTATACCTTGCTCTTTGTCAAAGAATTCCAGACCATTAATTTTCCTCGTTCTTTTTTAGTTTTTGGAGCTTTCCATAGCCCTTTTTTTTCCAGAAAAAAAGACATACTACTCATATAAACCTGTACAGTCACTTTTTTGTATTTTCTATTCCTTAAAATCTTGATTTTATTTAGATATCCTCCATAAATACCTTTTTTATATATCATGAAGGTCTTGCATTATCGATCGGCTCAATTTTCATAACACGGGAGATTGACCAGACTGAGCTTCGAGACCGCAGAAAAAAACGGTCCTTCCATGATCTACCCTTTAAATGATGGGCTGCTCTATAATATACTAAGAATGTGACGAGGAGGACCAGGACGTGTCTCAGGATTAAGATTTGGTCTTTTTTTCTGGCTTAAAAAAGCAATAAATATCGTCGAAGAAAATGGTATTTTTAGAAATATTTGCATGGACAGTTTTAACTTGGTATGTCTTTGTTATTTCCCTTATAATACTTGGATGGGTGACTATGTAAGTTTTTGTTTAATATTGGAGTGTTTTTTCGGATATTTAAATCTTTAGTCGTTCTATTGATTCAGAAAGTATGATCCATAATGAAGAGACTTTAACAGAGACATTACCGGGTGTATCTATTCTGAGGCCTCTTAAGGGTTTAGATCCCCATCTTTATGATTGTCTGGAATCAACGTTTGTTCAGAAATATCCTAAGTTTGAGATTATTTTGTCAGTTGCAGATGAAACGGATCCAGCGGTTTCAGTAGCTAAAGAAATTATTGTGAAGTATTCTAATGTTGATGCACGGATTATTATTGGTGAGAAGGATCTATTTTTTGGAGAAATTTTGGTTAATTTATATAGGTGATGAAAGAATTGGTCAAAATCCGAAGATTAATAATTTAGTACGTTCTGAACGAGAGGCAAAATATGATATTCTTTGGATTTTGGATAGTAATATATGGATATCGCAAGGATGTATTGAACGGAGTGTTAAATCGTTAATGACACCTGGTGTTCAATTGGTACATCATTTACCAGTTTGTATTGCCTCGTCTTCTCGACCTTCAGTGGGATCATGTTTAGATGAAATGTTTTTGTCTACATTTCATGCAAGGATGTATTCTGCAATTAATCGTATTGCGGTTACTCCCTGTGTTATAGGTAAAAGCAATTTATTTAGGCGAATTTCTTTGTTATCTCGAGCACCTAAGGGATTAAAAGAGTTTTCGAACTACATAGCTGAAGACCATTTAATTGCTACGACTTTATGGACAAGACGAAAAAGTCATTTTATGGCGTCAGAATATGTATGGCAGCCAGTTGAAAATATTAGAGTTAGCGATTATATTGCGAGACGTATACGATGGATACGCCTTCGGAAATATGTTGTCACTGTTCCTACGTTGGTTGAGCCATTTACAGAAAGTATATTATCTGGTTTTTTGGGAGCTTGGTCGATTTCTATTTTAAGTAACTTTAGACATGTTTATATATTATGGATCATTCATATGTTCATTTGGATGGTTATGGATTATACACAATTTAACATTTTGCGCTCTTCTCTGCCTACTGAAATTAAAAATGATTCCAATTTGACACCATGTTGTTATAATTTTTTTCATTGGATTTGTATTTGGGTTTTACGAGAAATATTGGCGTTTCCTATTTGGGTTATAGGTATTTCTGGTTCGCGAATTTATTGGAGAAATCAGACTTTTACACTTCGTTCTGACATGACTGCACAGACAGTATATTAGAAAACTTAATTTTTGTAAGATAAAAAAAGTTTTAATATTTTTGTATGAATTGGTGTATTTTTATTTGTTTCAGTTATATTCTTTTTTTGGAATTGGCTGATAAATGGGTTTTTTTGTCTTTTAATTTTTATGAATTGTCATTATTTATATCATAAATAATAAAAGTTGGATATGGTCATCCTGTTTTATTAATTATTTTAAAAATTAGAGTATTAAATTTATATGTATTTAGAAAAAAAAACATCATTAAATTTAATAGTTTAATATTTAAAAAAAAATAGAAGTTCTATTGGTTTAATGGAGTTAAATATGGATTTTTGAATTTATAAATACTTAGCCTATATTCAAAATATAAGTGTAGGAAACGTTGTAGATTTTACAGGATTAATAAATTTTGATTTTATGTATTAGCCTTTTTAAATCTTGTATCTAATTTTTTATAGAGAAATCGTTAAATATTTTGAAATGAATAATTTTATATTAATATTATTAATATTATTTATAATCATAATGACCACATTCCAGGTATTTCTCTTTGTAGAGACAAATATTTTAAATCAAAAAAGGAATTTCTGAATGTATAATATATAAATAAATATTCATGTGAATCAAAACATGTATTGTTTTATAAAATGGTCTTTATCTTGATTTCCGCTTTTCATTAGGATTTCTTTTGCCCATTCCAATGACTACATTATAACAAGATGTATTTCTTTTGCCTGTTAAAATATCGGGAAGTTTGTCTGGATCTAATAAATTTATTTCTTTTTTTCTTTTTTGATATTTTAGTGCTTTTTGATATTCCTTTTGATCTTCACGAAGGATTATAGGTTTATAACCTTTTCCAGATGCAGAACCATGACGAGGTTTAGGAATTGGATAGATAGTTCCTCTATTATTCCACTGCATATGTCGTTTGAGATAAATTCGAAATTTGCCATTAGAATCTATAGAACAAGATGTACGCAAAAGTGTATTTCCTCCGCATCCTGGACAGAATTTCTTTGACATGTCTTTGACAATTCTAATGAAAAATAAGTAATGATATTTGAATAAAAGAAATCAGATACTTAAAACATGCATGGCATCTTAAAACCCATGATTTAACAGCTTTAATTTTTAATCCAGTTTCTGGAGAGACTAAATTCAAATTCATTTGCAAAAGAATATTTTGTATTGCAAAATCACTTGTAACACATGCCACTTTTATATATTTTGTTGTTTTCATAGGAATCATGTTTGATCTTTCGTTTAATAACTTGTGATAATGAATATTAGAGGGTGTAATCCACCCACTATCATCATCATCTATTTCCTTGAAATTTATATTTTCTAAATCATTTACAAGTTGATGAACATTATTCGTTAAATTTTTATCTTGATGTTTTTCTTCAAAAGAATCTTTAAGTGTGGAAATATTAGATAAATCATTTTCATTTATAAGTGTATCAATATCATCTTTTTTTGGAGATTCGTCTATTTTAGACTATTATTATTAAACCTAGATATTTGATTGATTAAAAGAAAATACTTGGTAGAGTTCTTTATATGATTGAAAAGAATCATCATTCATCTCAGATTCAAGTTCATATGTAAGCGCAAGAAGATGGATGTCTGTTATACTTAAAATTTCGTAATCTCCTGTTTTTTTAGAAAATGTAATTACTTTTTTACATTAGAAAATAATGAAAAAAAAAAAGAAAACCTTACTCTTTTCAATATAAAGTGGTTTAGGCGTCCGAATAACAATTTTTTCTTTCCATAAAGATAATGTTTGGCATGATGATTTATCTTTAATTTCTGTTAGAACATTAGGAACCGTATAAAAAGATGATGCTTTGTTTATAATTGATAATTTAAAAAAAGAAATAAAGCATGATGAATCAAGAACTAGCGCCCCTATAAAATATGAACTTTTGTCTGTTGATGTCATCTGTAATTTATTAAATTTAAAAAAATGTTTTTTATCGTATATTGAAAAAACGGCTAAATTGTTAATTTAAGTAAAATACAAAAACCATATTAATATGAATAGAAATTTAAAAATATTTATTTGACTATAAATATTTGTTTTTTCTTTTTGAATGTATATATTATGAATTTTGATCATCGCCAAAAACAGAATGCCAAACGGATGGGTCAACAGCCCATGTATTATTAACGCCTTTACCATTTCTTCGTGCAACAGTGCTTAATTTCCATTGAATGGCTTGTTTACTAATATCAGAAAATTTTTGCCGTAATGTTTCTACAAGTAATACTTTTGTTTGTGTGCTTCCTTGAATTATTTTTAAAAAAGATGGAAGTGAATCCTGTGGAAAATGTAGTGAAGGTTTAGGAGATAATACTGAAGATATTGTTTTTATAGTAGAGTTTTGAAGCTTAGCATCATTATTTGAGTTTGATTCTGGTGACCAATAATCTTGATAAGGATTAATAGGAAGATTTATGTCTAATATAAATAAATAAATATTAAAAATTATAAGACCTACCTAACAAAGAATTCATTCTGAACTTTTTAAATAATTCATAATCATCTGTATCTATATTATCAGAATGTTGCCAATATAGACCTTTAACGCTAGGAATCAAATTTATTATCACTTTTTTTTTTGTATTATTTAATTCGCCCTCATCATCAAGAAAGTCCCTATCATCTTCGTCTTCTTTTAATGCTGCTGCATCTTCTTCTTCTTCGCTATCATCCATATTATCAATATCTTCCCCTTCTTCTTCTTCTATCCATTCTGCCTCAGAATCGTAGTTATAATTAAATAAGTGTTCATCAGTTTTAAATGGATTTCTTGGAGTTAGTATAAATGATGATTTAGAAAATGTGCCATAATAAGGTGGTCGAACATCTTCTCTAAATTGGAGGAGTTTCATAGGAAATATTTTTAATTTGTTAAAAAGATCTTCTGTTGAATCAGATTGCTCATATTTTTGAAGTAGATATTTAACAGTAATGTGTGATTTAGGATGACGAAATGATAGGGCAGGTTTAATTTTAAAAAGAGATAATAAATGCTCAATAGCTAGATTTAATAAGAAAATAATAATGATAATAGTAATCTTACGAGACATAATTGAAAAATCTGAATCTAAAAACATATCCATGTCTTTCATAATTGTCATACGTTCATCAGGATTTCGTACAAATGCATGTTGGCTTGAAAGTAAAGTATATTGTTTAACAAAAAATGGAATAAAACATTTTTCATAATCTGAACTAAAACAATCTAAAATCTTTATATATGCAAACAAAATTCCCTTTTAATATATACCTTTTATTTCTATAGCATTTTCTTTGGGAAACGTTTTATAAAAAAAATACTGAAGTTTTAATTGAGAATCTGACTTCTCTATATTGTTTTCTCGTTTTTCTTCTTTCTTTTTCTTTGCTTCATTTTTTTTCTGATCTTTAGCATCCTTTTCTGCTTTCTAATACAATTAATTGGTTAAGTCAATAACATATCTCATCGGAACCTTTTTAAGTCTCTCTTCTTCTTTCAATTGCTTTTCTTTCTCTTTACGAAGCCTTTCTGCTTCCTTTTTTTCTTTTTCCATTTCTTTTTTTGCTTCTCTTTCAATTCTCTCTTTTTTTCTCCTTTCTTCTTTCTCTTCCCTCTCTTTTTTTCTTTCTATTTCCCTTATTATTTTCATTTCTTTCCTCTGTTTTTTTTCTTCTTTTTTTATTGAATCTTTTAATTCATTTGATAAATCTGATTTCATTCCCTTAATTCGCTTACTTCGTCTATTCTATACACTATAAATAACTAAAATCACTAAATTAAGGTGTAAAAACACTCTTTTCTTCTAATTCTTCTTTTCCTGTATTTTCTTCTATCTTTTTTACTTTTGTTTCTTCGACCTTTCTTTTCATTGATATATCTTCTGTTTCTTTATCCAATTCAAATGAATTTATAATCATTTTATCCTCAACAATGCTTATACAATCCGAATTCAACATATTTCTTTTGTTTTTTTTTTTTTTTAAAAAAACTTGATCTTTTTCTTGAAATAACTTATAAAAAGTACGTTTATTTTTTCTTAATAAACAATATCTCTATTTTACTCATGTAATTTAAATATATCTATGTTTTCTCTTAATTTTTATGTAATATTAGTCTTCAATGGGCTATTTCTTAATAAATTGTTTGGTTTTTTAAGGATTATTAAAAGATAGCGGTGGTAGGTTAAGACGGGATCAACGATTTGACGTATAAAAAAAGAAAAAATTAAGTTTTTTAAGAGATAAAAGGACTTTTTTATATAAATGATATTATAATATATAAATTTAGTTATTTATCTATTTATTATATTTTTTTTCAGAAAAAAAAGAGTTAAATTTGATGAAATTTAAGTTATGTATACGTCAGAGAATATCCAAAGGAATAGATTTTTATATAGCCCCAGACAGTTTAGTATAAACTCTAAATCAAGTGAATCTAAAGGAACATGTTCTTTGGCAACAATAAATCAGGATTTATATCCTTGGGGAGGCGAAAAAAGTCAAAATTATCGTAAAGCTGTATCACCGATTTTTGATCAAGTGAGATCAAATTGTATAGGATCGGATAAAGTGTATATGACAGAGAAAGTTTCACAAAATACTTTTAGGGAGTCGTATGTAAATAGACTTCGTCGAGCAAGTGCAACGGTTTGGTGTGAACATGGTACTCAATTGCCCGTTGATGTAAAAATGGCAAAATCGAAAAGTTTTGGAACAAAGAAAGGGTTTGCAATTAAGGTTAAATTAATTTTTATTTTTTATATTGTTTAAATAGTTTTTAGTCATTTGTTTTTCCTCATACATCAATAGCACCGTTTTTTAAGCCGATGGCGCAACATGCACGTTCAACAAATGATGCGGCGCCGCAACATACCATGCTTATTCCAAGATTATCAGCAACAGAAACATTTTTGGATGAAGAGCAAGATAATGATGATGTTTATTCTACTCATGTTCCTATTGATAAATATTATCCTTCTGAAAAGCCATTTCGATTTATACATGAATCTTTAGAGCCTTTGGAACCTCTAAAGGAGGATTTGGAAGAGCACTTGGAGCAGTATATGGGAGAGCAAATGGAAGAGCACTTGGAGGAACACATGGAAGGGTGTATGGAGGAGCACATAGAAGGGTGCATGGAGGAGCACATGGAGGAGCACATGGAGGAGCACATTGGAGAGAGCATAGGAGAGCACATGGGAGAGCACATGGGAGAGCACATGGGAGAGCACATGGAAGAGCACATGGAAGAGCAGATAGAGGAACAAATGGAACAGTATATAGATCCCTTGGAGCCTTTGGGAACTGATATTCAGTACGAAACATCCATTAAAAACCCTCATTTTCGACCTTCTTCTATTAGAAGTACTACTGAAAGTTCTCGTTATAGTCATGCTGCCTTTCCTTCTTCTCCTGGTGTTTCCAAAAATTCTATCTTTTCTAAACATGTCAACGAATTTACTGATAATACCATGCATACTTCTTTACCTTCTCATAATTCTTTATACACCCATGTTGCTGAATCTTATTCCTCTCTCAAAAGCCTTTATCCCGTACCTACTCGAAAACTATATATTGTCAATTTGACAAAGCAGGATATTTTTTCTGATGATGAAGTATAGTTTTTTTTATATTTTTTATATAAATAGTCCTATTTAAAAAAAATAATTCTTATATAAACTTTATATTATTATTCCACTTTTTGCCCTATAGTATTTGATATCAAAAAATGGTGTGCTTGAGATGGCTTAAAAGGGCTAAAAGAATTGATTTCAAAGTACGTTTTTATGCCATACGTGCATTTCCTGCTTGTTTATCTCCCTTATCACGGTTTAGTCGAATATATAACCCTCATGATTCTATAAGAATTGAGAAATTAGGAAAAAGTCAGGCTGAAAGATCTAAGCAAGTAGAAGTCCGTTTAAAAGAGGATCCTTATGGTGTGTTACGTCATAGTGTAGCCTTACTTAATATTCTTGGCAATTCAACATTGGTAATTCAACGAAAAATGGAAATGATGAATGTTTTTTTTGTAAACTTTTAAGGATTGCTTTTTTGGAGTAAAAATAATCTTGAGAATAGGGTTTTGAACAGGCAAATAAGTATATTGTTATGGATTCATCTGGAAAACATGTTGGATATATTGCAGAAACAGGAGATCAATCAATAACAAAGATTTTTGCACGTCAAATATTTCGGACGAATAGGGCCTTTAAGGCACATATTTTAGATAGAGAAGGAAATGAAGTTCTTCTCATTGAAAGACCGTTTTCATGGATAAATTCGAAAATTAGAGTGATAGATCGTATGGATAGTTCTTATCCCATTGTTGGTGAAGTACAACAACAATGGCATGCTTGGAGACGAAAATATAATCTTTTTCTCAAGTAATTTTTTATATTTATCATTTTTATATTATTGAAGAATTTCCATAGAAGAAATGATATTTTTTCTCAATTTGCATATATAGATGAACCATTATTTTCATGGGATTTTTCGCTAATGGATCAAGAAGGTGGATTAATTGGCTCTGTTAATAGAAACTTCATGGGTTTATTTCAGGAAATGTTTACAGATACTGGGAATTATGTATTACGTATGGATTCTGTTTCGGAAACAAATGAGACAGCTTCTTCTAAACAGCTTATAAATGTAAATGGAAGAACAGACGTTTTAGCTCCTTTGAAAAGAGGCTTAACATTAGATGAAAGAGCAATAATTTTAGCAACAGCAATATGGTAATTTTTATACAGGCTTATATTATTGAATTAATAATTGGCAGTATTGATTTTGATTATTTTTCTAAACTATCAAAAGGCGGTGCTAGTATTGGCTCTTTTTTTCCATTTTGGTTTCCTGTATTTGGAGGAGGCACGCATGAAAACTCTACAGAACAACCAGAATCAACATCTACTTCTCAAGATCAAGATTCATCCCTTTCTTCTAATGATGAGCCTTCTAAGTCTGAAGAAACTGAAAAAAAATGGTGGGATCTTTCGCCAGATAATGATGTATGGGGCGAAGGAGATCATGATCCATGGAGTGATTCAAATCAGAATCAAGATAATGATTCTTGGGGAGGTTTTTTTGAAGAAGAAGATTAGTCATGAAAAAGTATTATATATATTTGAGATTTTAAGTATTTTATAAGACAAATTTATACATTTTTATGGAATAAAACTAAATATCATGGTATAGTTGTAAATTTTGATCTAATTGATTTAATTTTCTAAAACATATATAAAAAAGATTCAAATCCATGTTTTTTTATTTGATATTTCAAAGTCGATTGAAAAAAATCATATATATATAGATGATGTATATATAAAAAACACCTTATAATAAATAATGATCTTTACTTTTATAAGAATATATTTTAGATCTTTATATTATTTGTTCCAATATTCAATAATGATTTGTGATTTTCATTTCAAATTTTCTAAATTAATTAATTATTTATAACTCTTGTTTCTTTATTATGTAATTTTTAAAAAAATCTATATAGAAAGATCCTTTATCCATTTTTTTTTACATCTTCTGAATTGATGTTTCTTATTTTTTTTCCTTCGCTCTTTGTCTAACGTTTGTTAATCATGTCGATAAATTTTTATCGATTATATTACCTCAATAATTAATTGTTCTGATGGATACATATAATGAATTAATGACTGTCTACGTAATACCCTTAATTCTCTTAATCCTTTTTGTAATAATTCCTCTATTTTTTGCTTGTCTGATTCATTTTTGTGTTGTTGAAATGCATCTTTTGTTCGTCGAATTGCGTATTCTCTAAACCCGTAGTTTTCTAACCCTTTTGCATTCCGCAAAAGTGAGCGGTATAATGAAATAATTTGATCCCGAACCATTTTCTGTCTTGATTATATTCAAATATTTAAGCTTTTTTTCGGTCGAATTTATTAATCTCATCGATTAGATTTATTTTTTACTCAATCCTTTATTTCTAATAATATTTCATAAAAATTTTTTTATCTATACAATTATATACTAAATTGTTTTTTCATTTTTATTTATTTGAATTTTTTTCATTTATATTTCTATTTTTTTAATACTAAAACTACAGATTTTAATATAAAAAAATATATAGAAATTCTTGTAAATATATCTATTATATTTCTTTTTTGCTTGTTCTCAGAGTTTTTTATCTTTATTTATGTATAAATCCTTCTCTATTTTTTAACACTGAATTTTTCAAGATCCGGTAATTAACACGATCTTTCATCGTTAGAGATTAAACTTAGATTAATCCAAGATTTTAAAGGCTCTTATAAAACGTGGGTTTTTGAAATAAACGTGGGCTTTTTGACGGGAAAGGTTTTGGAGTATTTTATTTAGAACTATAACCGTTTATGCCTGATTTTTTCTTTGTTTTTTTCGTCTCTAGAGTAAAATTATGGCGACGATTGAAACATCGGTAACAACGCCACCGCAGACACCATTGCAGGCGCCAACTCATGGAACAACACTTACCAGGTCTCGTTCGTCACCGAATAAGTCGGTAGTGTCAAGTCCATGGCATACAGCTCAACGTACAATGAACTCATCGGTTCATACGCGATCTACATATCTTGATCATGAAGATTTCTCAAATGCAATATATGTTGGGAATTTGGAGATGACAATTAATAATGATGCTTTGATGAAAATTTTTGGTCGTTTTGGTGAGTTGTATGCGGCATAAATGCGTATGGTTAAAGAAGTATAGGGACTATTGAGAGTGTCTATCGTCCTCCAATTCATACAGACAAGGCGGATCGGACGACACATTTTGCATTTATTAAATATACGGATGCAGAATCAGCACAACGTGCGATGCAGCAGGCAGATAATATATTACTTGGACGACGACGATTGTATAGATATATATTATTATTTATATTATAATATTAATGAAAAATAGAGTTGTTCGGCCAAGAATTCGTTCGTATGTAAGCCGATCTATTAATCGAGTTCCTTCGTTATCCCCTCAAAAATCAAATCAATACCCTCCTCTTTCATATTCATATATGCCGCCACAATATTATCTTCCGTATAATACCCATGTTAATCAAAATTTTATGAGCAAAATATTGTCCGTTTTTAATTTGCCATATGAAATGACTCCTAAGGATTTATTTTGTTTATTTAGTGAATTAGGACGGGTTGAGGGCGCATTTATATATAATGTGGTAGATAGTCGTGGAAGAAGGGTAGGAGAAGTAGCTATGGGAAGTTTTTATCATGCAAAAAAGGTAAAAGGAGGAATTAAAAACTTTTGAAGTGATTGATTAATCTTGGGAAAATAGGCTCTTGAAAGTTTAAATAATACAACTCTTAATGGATATATACTTGAACTTGCATTTAAACCGCCAACATTATCTACTCAATTTATTCCACCTGTTAATTCTGGTCATTCAATGATGTATGTACCTCCTAATTCGGTGTATCCATCATGGCAGTATTCACCTTCACTTTATCCGGTTCCTAACCAAGTACCTATGCCTTGGTCTTATTCACATGTCCCAATTGATGAAGCAATGGCGAACCTCTCATTCTATGGGGAAGAATCCAATATGATGAATTCGAGACGTAATAGTCTTGCAAGTAGTGTTGCCAGTGGTGGAGGATATGCACATGTTTATGATCAACAAAAGGCCAATATTGATCATGCTATCTCTATGGGTGTTGGAGGACTACCAGAAGGGTCAGTCTTTTATGATCCGATGACAGGATTGCCTATACCTATGCAGGCATGTACAACTGTTAATGAAATGCAAGATGCAAATATACAAACAGTAACGGCTTATCAGCCTGTATCTTCAGGTCTAAAGAAGACAGAAGCAACGACTAAACTTACAACACCCGTAACACCTGTTGCTCCTACGGTTTCTATGGTTTCTGCTGCTCCGGTTTCTGTGACATCATCTGCTTCTACTGTTTCTGCTCCTACGGTTTCTGTGGTTTCTGGTACATCTTCTGCTTCTACTGTTTCTGCTCCTACGGTTTCTGTGGTTTCTGGTACATCTTCTGCTTCTACTGTTTCTGTTCCTACGGCTTCTGTGGTTTCCGGTACATCTGCTGTTTCTACTGTTACTGAGGCTTCTGCAACTTCATCTGCTTCCACTGCTTTTTCAGCTTCTCCTGTTCCATCTACTTCTGTTGCTTCAGCTGCTTTTTCTACATCTATTGCTTCTGTAGCTTCTACGGCATCTGTAGTTTCTGTTAATACTTCTCAAAATACGAAAACTGAGCCATTTCAAATTGCAACCGCATCTAGCACAACAGTTTCTAACTCTTTAAATTCATCTACTTCATCTTCGTCTTTCAATAATTCTTCATTGTCAGCATCTATTGTTCCTGAATCTCAGCCTATAGATCCAAAGAATTTGTATATTAAAAATCTTGATGATGATATAATATCGCATCCATCAGATATCGAAACATTGTTTAAACCATTTGGGACAATTGTATCTTCACATCTTGCTGTAGTTCCTGGAACAGGGATTTCTAAAGGTTATGGTTTTGTAGCTTTTAGTAAGGCTGAAGAAGCTATAAAAGCTAAGAAAAGTTTAGATGGGAGTATGGTAGGAAGGAAGCGTGTATTTGTTAGTTGGGCAGAACGTCGTGCTGATCGTGAAAAACGATTAAAAGAAATTTTTAAGGCTGATAATAGAACGAATATTATACAGAATGAACTGGAAAAAGATGTTTTTAAAACACAGGAGCCTTCAGTTATAAAAGATGATATTAAAGTAAGTGCTGTTTCTACTTCAGAAATGAAAAGTACTCAAAAAGCTACTGAAAATACGACTGGGATGAGTTCAGGAACAGTTATTACTCCTAATCCTATGACGGTTTTATCAAAATGGCGTGGAACCCCATTATCTGGTATAGTAGAAGTGGAAGAGCCTGGCGTTCAAGTTGAGATTACGACTCCTACTGAACAGATAACTTCAGAGCCTGAATTTAGGGTATATTCTGAGGGTGTAAAATCGTCTCAGAGTATGGTGACTGAATCAGAAACTTTTGAGAAAAATGAAATTGATAAAGACACTGGGCAAGGACAGGTATGTTTAAGAGTTCGAGATGAGAATACTAGTCCGAAAAAAGTTCTTAATGTAAATATTAAAAAGAAAGGAGGATGGTATAGGAAGCGTTGGAGCAGTGGATGGGGAGGAAATTATGGAAATAAGAAAGAAGATGGAGACAGTCCTATCAAAGATACTCAAGGGGGGGAGAGTCCTATTAAAGATATTATATTAGAAAGAATTGTGGATAAAGAAAATTGTGAATCAAAGTCTATTTAGCGATAATACATATTTATAGGTGCATCTGATAGAAATTAAAACAAATTATATATACTTATTATATTGCTGACAGAAACGTTACTATAGCATTCATTAGTTGTTATTAGCACAATATATACATTGCCATTTATATTTAATTGATATTATACATTTAAATCTATCTCTAATGAAATAAAAGATTCACGGTATATTTTAATTCATTTCTATCAATTCATTCTTAAATTATGTATATAAATCATTTATTTGATTTTTTTAAGGACATGTATTTTTATTAACGTTTTCTTTGTTACGCGTTTTAAACTTTAAGATTTTAAACATTTGAATTATATATGAAATAGGTATTATAATCTATATTTCTTATTATTTTCTCTGTTTACAGTGTTTAGAAAATATATTTTGTATATTTAAGTGATTATGTTAGGGAGGTTTTTTGGAATTGAATATAAGTCTCAAGAATCATCTTTGAATAAATATTTAGGAAAAAGGTCAGATATATATGAGGATGTATCAAGGAAATCTACGGGAATATCTATGGGATTAAGATGTTCTTTTTATTTTTTAGAATTTAAGGAAAATATGAAGTTGGTTAAAAAGATGTTTTCTGGACTCAAAGATTTAGTTTTTTTTAAGTACACTTTAAAGAGTAAAATTATCTCTAGCTCAGAACCATATGAATCAATTGAGTCTTCTGAAACTAAATCTCTTGTATTATTAGGTTTTTCGAATCCATTGACTAGACGTCACGTAGAAAATACATTTCTTTTTAAAGATGTTGATAAAAGTAAGCTTGAAAATGATTCAAAGGCTGATTCAAATGATTTTTCTGGTTATTTTTCAAAAAGGGCTTTGGATTTTTTGGATTTAGATGATAAAAATGCGACGAAAACTAATGTAGCAGAAATGACGAAAACTAATGTAGCAGAAATGACGAAAACATTAGATTTATCATCAAACATTACATTTACTACGAAAACACGAGAACCGACTACTACTAAAGGCACTTTTACAACAATTCTTTCAGAAACTACTGAAGTTAGTACTTCTACTATTAAATTGTCTGCGCAACGTTCTCATGCTCGTTCTAATGATAATTTGTATATGATTCTAGGAATTTCTTCTATAGCCATTTTGATTATTATTGTTATTGTTTTTTTGGTTATTTATGGTGTACGTCGTTCGCTGAAGAAACAAGAGATGATTGAGGATATGGTTTATGAGAATGAAATGAGTGCTCATGCAAAATTGATGGAGGCTGCATCAACACCTGTTTCAGAAAAGACGAGTTCAACACCAACTTCTATTTCTCTATCAGCGCCTATTTTGGGTTCTCGGAATTCGAATGACCTATATTCAAGGAGGGGTACTTATTTTGATTCTAATGGAATATATGGTTCCAAGAATGGTGAGAAGCAGGATGAACAGACTCTTCATAATTCGTCTTTAAAATATTATGGCATGTCGCAATCGACAAATAATTGCCCAACTTCCTCACGTACAAGAAATTCTTCATATTATAATCCTTCAGGACAGCCGACGCGATCACTTTCTTTGTCATCTAGATCGAAGGATTACTTTGGAGCGCATAGTCATTCATCAAATGTTACTTCTACATATGATGATTCTTTTCAAAAGGATCGAGTGCGATTAACATCTTGTAATAATGATATGAATGGGTCTAGTTTTGGAAAAGCTTCGTCAAATCATCTGAGGACTCCAAATTCTGTATATTTGTCAGGAGATCAAAACAGAGGATATCCTGCTTCCTCACAAATTAGAGCAGGACCTCTTGACTCTCGTGGAATTAATAGGTTTTTAAGCCAAGAAAGTTTGCGTAGTTCTCGTGCACATTTTGCTACTCAGCCAAATACATTGAATTATAAAAATTCTTTTAAAACCTTGGGAACAAATTTCCAGATGGAATCTTCTAATTTTGATACACCAAATTCACATTTATCTGAATTATCAAATAATGTATCATCACCCTTATTTACTTATAAAGACTCTCTAGGAAGCTCATCGTGCTATGATTCTAGTTTTACAAATGAACGCATGACTCCAAAATCTTTTTTTTCAAGAGAAAATATGAAAAATGAGTCTTATACTCCTAATTCGAGTTTTGAGAAAATGTTTCCTAAAAACACAAATAAACATTCTCCAAATAAAGATTACATGCGTACACCTAGTGTTTATGCTTCGGTTGGCATATGGGCTGAGAAAAAAAGGAAATTATTAGACCTAACAAGTAATTTGAATGAATCTTCAAGTAACCGCTTTTACGAAGGTATGAATACACGTCAGGGCCATAACATTAATAAAAAGTAAACATCATCATTATTATTAATGATTATAATAATGAGAATAATTTACATATATTGATGATTTACCAAAAATTATATTAAAACATTTTTTTGATATTTAACTCAAATGTTAATATATTTTAAATAATATAACTAATAATATTATGAACGTTTTAGACTACTCTATACATCTCCATTTTGCTTCATTTTCTTCTTTGTCCTCTCTTTCATGTATTCGATCTGCAAAACTTTGCAAAGTTTCTGACTCGTTATTTGTTTCTGTAATCCATTCATGATTTTGACTAAATTCGTTTATATCTTCGCCCAAATTTTGTTCTCTACATGGATGAAGTGAAGAACAATCTGATAATGCTGTATAAAAGTCACGAACTAAGTATATTAGTTTTATAATTGCATATTTTTGTTCGTCTACGTGTTGATGAATCTGTTGGTGAAATGTATAATTCAACCATATTTGTATCAGATTCTGGAACGCTGCCATTCATACCATTTTCCTTTAATGCAAGATTATTCAAATCCTCTATTTGCATATAAATACAAGGTGTATCAAAGGCATTATGAGGCGTTCTATGGATTGCATGGAGAACTATCTTTGGATAAGGAATTTCAAGCCCTTTTGAAATACTTGGTGAAAAAATTATAAAAGATCTATAGTAGATGTCAGAACGTGCGATAATTGTGTTTTTAAGTGGAAAAAAGGGCATACTGGGATGTAATATAGGCATCAATATATTCTGATAAACCAATAGCTGGGAAAGCTTTAAAAGCTGCTTCTTTTGATAAAAAATAGAGAACATTAGAAGAGAATGTTCTGGGTGTAGATTCCTGGTGCTCTGAAAGTTCAATAAGGTCAGCTGGAGGTTCTCGAATATATACAAAAGCCATAAATTTTTGGTACGTTGATCGGAGTACATCAGAAAAAAAGATTCTATATATTAGATTGATTTATATATTGATCTTATATTCTATGTATTTCAGCCAAATTTTATAAATAAATATATTTGTAATTTCAAAAAAGTTTGATTGGTTTTGAAATTTTTATGATATGAAATTGATGATTAAATATCTATGTTTTATAGGGGGGAAAGGGTTATTAAATAAATCTTATTTTTATGATGAATATTCTGTTTCTTGTCTTTTTTTTTTTAAAAAATTCAGTTAAAGGCTGTTTAGAAATATGTATGTTTTGGAGGTCACTATAAAATATTTTTATTGATAAAATGTATAATATGTAAATTAGATTTAAGTAGATATTGTATTAAAAATAATTTTGCTTTTGAATTTTGTTGATACTTTGTTAGATATTTATTTGGTAATGTTAATTGTTTATGAAAAAATAATAATTATGTAATTTTTGATTCTTATAAGAACAATTTTTGCAATTGAAATAAAAATATTTGTTTTTTTATATTATGTTAATATTATCTTGGTTTTATTTTTAAGATGTATAAAAGGTTTTAAAAGATTTTTCAAATATTTTAAATGATAAAAAATTAATTATTGATTATTAAGGATTTTTGTTTTCTATTTTAGATTTTATAACATTCTATTTATGTATTATATAATTTTTAATATTTATGTCTTATAATTTTAAGATTATAAATCTTTAATTAAATCAACAAAAATTATAAAAAATTGTTATAAAAGACTTTTTAACAATAAAAAAATAATTAAAAGAAATAATTCTAATATAATTGAATTAGAATTGTGCTATTTTATATTTAATTTTACAAAGTTTTGTTAAATATATATTTTAAATATTTTAGATGATATTGTTTTTATTTTAATATAAAAATGATATTTCAAATAGAATATTTTAATTTAATAAACTCAAATATAAGAAACGTAGTATTATAATGCATATGTTTCATGAATTGCATTATACATATATTTTGAATTGCATTATACATATATTTTGAATTTATATGAAATTTGAAAATTATTGAAAAAATAAAATTGTTTCTTGATATTTAAAAAAAACATAAGCAGTTTAACATTCAAAAGATCTTTATTTTTAATGATACCAAGGCTTTACTTCCATTCCGCTTGGAGGTTGAACCTCTACTCTTTTCGCGCCAACTTCTTTCCAATTGGTACTTAATGCAGTTCCATTACTTTCTATATAACTTTTCATCATTGCCCGTTTTGTATCATCATCTGCATTGGCATAAATTTCTTGAAATAATTTGTTAAGTGCAGCATCTCCTGTTTCTTCCTTTTCTGTAATCATAGTTCTTGAAAGTAAATCCCAGTCTTTCGATCCATATTTGGAGGAAGATGGATATATATTGAATTTGCTTGAGTTTTTATCAATTGTTTGGATATTTGAAATTTCTGTTTCAAGAGTTAACCATTTTTCAGGGTAACGTTTTTTCAATTTTATCTCAATTTTTGTGTTATATATTCTAAATGTAGATGATAAAACATCAATTTCACTAAAAAGATGATGAAGTTCGAAAGTATAGTTTTCTTGAGTGACTGGTAGAAAAAATGATACAGATAACTATTAGTATTTAAAAAAATAATCAACTTGTTTATCATACATACTGATTTTTCTTTAAATTCCTTTTTCAATGTATTTTTGTCTACTGATTTTGCATACAAAATAATTGTAACAGTATCATCATTTTGATACCATTCATGTCTATTTATTAAGAATAAGTATATTAAAATAGAGAAAATACCTTATAGTTTGTTTTTCCTTTTCATGAAGAGACATTTTTTGTATATTTGTTTCAACTGGGAGTTCTACAACTTCTATTTTTTTAATTTCAGTTTGTAAAAAGTGATCTATTAGAAAAATAAGAGTAATAAGATATTAAAAACAATCTACCAAGGTCTTTTAAATCCGGCTTCTCTAAAATAGTGCACTCTTTTTCGCCTTCCACTGCTTATATTAGTAATATTTAATTCATATAACAATAAAAACCATTTTCTAATGCTATTTTCGCCTTTAAAAGCCAAGATGCTAACATATTATTATCTGGAATTGCTTCCTCTGCCTTTTTTAATGCAAAATAACTGTTTCCTAGTTGTCCTAACTGAAATAGTGTAATACTATGTTTTTTAACCAAATTTAAAAGCAAAAAAAAGATACCCTCTACGCAGTTGGGCTAATCCTTTTTGTTCCCGTTTACCCTTTAAATGGGCTAAATAAACTGCTGCTTCTGCATCTTTAAGTGCTTCTTTATATTGTTTATTACAATGATGTGCTGTTGATCTGACTTGTTAAAAGACTTAAAATATATTAAAAAAGTACCGTTTAATATGATAATCAATAGATGTAGGAATCTCCTTAAGAGCTCTTGTTAGAGCTTCAATTGCATTAGAATATTCTTTTAATTCAGTATATTTTTCTGCTTGTTTTGCTAAATCTGCTGCTGGTGACATAATTTCGTTAAGTGGCTCAAGTTTTTTAATAAAAAATATAATAAATATAAATGTTATGTCTTAGTTTAAATAAATGTAAGAAAATTTTTCTTTTTTCTTTAATTAAAAATTAATTATTTCGCTTTAATGTAAATTTATTTTAAGATGAAGTTTCTAAATTATTTGTATCATAATTAATATTTTCAACGTCATTTTTCATATATAATACATCATTTTTATCGGAAGGTATTTGATAATCTTGAGAAAAAGGAATCCATGTTGCAAATGTAAGATAACTTGTATGATTTTTAACATTTTTTTCCATTCTTCCTACATCTTTCCAGTTTCTGTCTTCCCTTCCTTCCTTAATTCTTTTTTGAGGACGAGAATCTCCATTGTCGGGTTGTTTTCCATTCTTTCTATTCTCTTGTACCTCATGAATACGTTGTGCAGCTTCTAAAATATCCTTGTATTCTACTTTTCGTGCAATCCATTCACAATGATTTATTTCAGAAAGTTCTATATCATAGAACCCAGATTTCCGAAGGTGTTTTAGTGTTTTTTGAACCTGTTCAATACATGGACTAAGACAGCAGATTTTAGTTTGTCTTTCTTTAGAAAAATGAGGAATTAATTTACAAATTACTTTCCATGGTGCTGGTAAGTCAAGAAATACGGCATGCGCAATAACCTCATAACCTTTAATACAAAATCCATCTGTAATAACATCTTGGTAAGATAAAATAACAGGCCCTTTTGGTGCTAAGATTTGATTCTGTTTAAATTCACTAAGTGCTTCTTTATATCTTTTTTCATGATATTCATATGAAAATACCCTTCCTGTTATTCCAACACCCCGTGCAAGCGCATGAGTCATACTTCCACTACCTGTTCCAGCTTCTATAACTGTTGTTCCTCTCTGAATTCTTAATTTACTTTGTATAAAGCTAATATCATGTGTATAAACAATCTGTGTTCTATGGGGCAATGCTCTAGTCCATAACTCGGGTGTAGGTCTTAAAATATGTAAATAACCCATTCCATTAGAGCTTGGAACTTGAGATCCATAAGGTAATCCAATTATATCTGAATGTGCATAAGTTCCAAACTTATTATTAAAGACTTTTCCCCTCTCAATAACAATAGAATGGACTTGTTCTCTCGTCTATTAACATATTAACTTACTTCTATTGTATTATAGGCTCTCCCAGCCATATAATTACTACATCTCCTTCTTCTACTAATTTCTTTTTCTCCCAAAACATGATTCTTAACTTCCCTTTTTAAATCTATTTAATTGACGACTATTTTTTTCTATTACATATTAACTATTGAACAGATAGGGAAAATAACTAAAAATATAATATACAATAAAAATTTTATAAGATTTTCTTGAATATTTTAGAAATATATTATCTTCGAATATTATTTTTATAAAAAAAGATTAGTCTATAATTAATATCTACTTGCTTTAGAAGTCCAAAAAGAAATATAAATGATACATATTGTTATATTCGATATTTATGTAAAAGTTAGTTTTATATTTTGGTAGATCTTTCGTTAAAAAAATTAATATATTCTATGGTGTAGATGATGGTTTAGTTAATGTAGGCTGCAACAAACGCTCATTTGTATCTAAATAGCCCGGTGCTATTTTCCTAATTTCGTATAAATATCTTGCTTCTGCAGATGCTTCCCACTGTTTGAGACGTTCTGACCATATTAAAAATTTCTTATTTAAATGTTCGTAATGATTTAAAGATGATGTTTTAATATCCGATATACATTCAAATACCTCTTCTAACTAAAAGAATTATTTTTAGTATCAATTTACCGGAAAAAGGTATAACTTACAGGTTTAGGTGTTTCTAAAGTAAGTGAGCAATATTCATAAGGAAGTGTAATTGGTTCTGGAATAAATAAAGATGGCGATATGATAAGAGATATTTTAGGAGCCATATATGAGTATGTTTCCAAACTTTTTTTTGGTATAAGATGAATTAAACTGATTAATTAGTTGCTGAATATTTTTCTTTATCAGTTAATGTAGCGATAAAATCCGGTGGTTGATTAACCCTAATTTAATTTTTTTAGAAAAAATAGAAATAAGTATTAAAGTTTTTAAAAATATAAATAATATTAGAACGAATTTGTATAATTTTTGTGCGTTGAATTCTTTTTTGAATTTTTTTGAAAAAAAAGAGTAAAAATTGATTGAAAACTCATCGAAAATTGTATTTTGAAATAAATGATAAATTTTGAATTGTTTGAAGGATTAACAGCATACTTTTCTAAAACAATACCATCTTCTATTATTAAAATATGGCGTATACATATTCTGTTTTGTTTTTGATTTATTAATTATATTGAAGAATTATATGGTGGAGAAACGATCTTTGTTCCAGCATACAAAAAACCAGATATTTGGTTTGGTATGGGAAAAAAATTAATAAAGCATGTATTTTAATTAATGATATGTTATGTTATTTAACGCCAATTAGAAAAAAAAATTCACTCCATGAACGATGGATTTATGATAGTATTTTAGTGAATAAACAGTTGCCTTTTGATGATTATTATGCTATGAATCAGTCAAGTAATTTTGCTAAATAAATGTTTTATAATTTTTAAATAACTGATTTAGGATTTTTTCAATATAAATTGTCTCGATCAAAAAAATTTGAAAAAGAAAAAATTCAAAAAGCATTGAATCATAAGAAAAAATCCTTTCAAAAATCCAATCAGGTAGCTGCGATTAATGGTTCTTATAATAATGTTTCTCAAAAAGATTCAAATATAAATACTTATGCTGCTACTTTTCCATTTACACATACTCCGTCAACATCTTTCAATTATACAACAATATCAAAAAATATTTCTGACCCCATTATTTCTGCTTCATTAAAGAAAAAATCTTATTCTTCTCCAATATCAAACGAATCCTTTAATTTGCTATCAACGTCTTATCAAGATATAGGAAATATTATTTTCAATAAATCTCTCCCTCGAAATTCTTTTTTGGAAACAAAGAAAAATTCAACTGTATCTTCATTTAAAACTCTTCATTCACCAATTGAAAAAATTAAAGTTCTAACGGTAAATGACCTCGGTTCTACTGCTAATGTCTTCGAAATAGTAGCTACTAAAAAAATAAATAATAGAAGTGGATTTGTAGATTCTAGACATAGATGATCCTATTTTTTTAATAGATTAATATATTTTTATTTGTTCGTAGTCTTTTTGATTTCGTATAAGATTTTTTAAAAAAAATTTGTAAAATAAATAAAATTTGTTTAGTAGAATGATTGAAATTATCTGGTTATTTTGCTATATTGGTAGATATTTGCTGTATTAATTAAGCTCAGTAATGATCGCCTTGGAAAGAAAGTTCGTGTAAAATGTAACGAAAATGATACAGTTGGTGACCTTAAAAAATTAATAGCTGCACAGACAGGTACCAACTGGCAAAAGATTGTTTTGAAAAAATGGTATAATCCCCTAAAACAAGTGAATTGTTTTCTTAATATTTGATCTAGGTATAATACGTTTAAGGATCATATTACATTGAGTGATTATGAGATCCATAAGTAAGTTATTGAATGATTAAATTTATTAATTTTAAACTAGTGGAATGTCCCTTGAGCTTTATTATAGCTAGATGTACTTATAATAGTTAAATGTAATGTAAAAAGATAGTGAAATTTATGATGAGTGATGCTATTACTTTATTAAATCCTTGTCTATATTTTTTGTTTTTTTTTATCTCTAGACGATTTTTTTATTATCTCTTTCTTCACATTAATCTTTTTTGTCATATATATATATATATATATTTGTTTTGTAAGAGAATAAATATTAAATAAAGCAGTATTATTATTTATCTTACTCTCCAGCCCCTTTTAATAGCAATTTCTTTGGTTCTCTGACTCTTAGAATTATCTATTGTTTGAGGTTTTTCTGAAAAATGTGCTGTTGAAGATGGTTGTGGTGGAACTGTTGATATTTCTGTTGAAACAGAATACATTTTACTGTCATATTGCTCTTCATAATTTTTTTTTTTAACATCCTGAAAATTCGACAAAAAGATATCTTTTTGAGATTGTGATGGTGATGGAGACCTTGAATGTGATCTCGAGAGAGTTTTTGAACGAGATGGAGATAAATATGACCAAGATGAGTTAGATTCTGATCTTTCCTTTGATCTGCTTGATTCAAAAGACGATAATCCTGAACTATTTGCATCATATTCTTGTTCACAACTAAATGATGTCTTCTTTTCTTTCTCTTTTCTTTTTTCCCAAAATTTTTTAGACCAACCTTCGTAATCAATATCTTGATTTTCTGTATCAGAATTTTCCTTAAAACCCCATAGATCCATGCTTTCTTCTTTGTAAAAAGTATTAAGTGCTTCTAATAATTCTGGAGAAGTATGACTTGGTAATGTAATTGGTTGACATAAATGTGGAGGTATACTTATATACGAGTGTATAGATTCTTTTATGACGCTAGCATCAGGCAAAAGTGGAATCATGCAAGCAGCTGGTAATTCCCAATATGATGCTCCTTGTCTTCCGTGTTGAAAAGGTTTAATATAATCATGATTTTTAGGAGTATTAGAGAAATTTGGTTTTGAAGATGTTTGAGCTAATGGAACCATTAATCCCGCATGTGTAGCTTTCATCGTAATCTCTGTAAAATATTTTTTCTCATTCCAAAGATTTAAAAGATCTTCTATCTTATCTTTTTCCGCTTCTGGTGCATAATATCCCAAACGAAGAAGAGACAAAAGTGATGATTTCATTTCTAGTGCAATATCCATATTATTATTCTTAAAAGAATGACTTAATATGTCATTAATAAGATATAAGATATATAAACGTTGGGAAAACGTTGTCATTGTTGTTGAAAACGCCACTAAATACTTAAAAAAGTACTAACAAATAATTAAACACATATATAATAAACTTCCTTTAGTAAAAAACCATCATAAGTTCTTTTGTAACAATATATTCTTCTTGCCATCGTCTTGCACTCTGTATTGCTTTATATCGTCCTGTTTTTACTCGTTCAATCAGATCAATAATATCATTTTTATTAAAACGTAAAGAATCCTTCGAATATTTATGTTTATCAAGCTCTGATAATAATTGAAACTTAATCTTTTCTAGTTTTTCTCTATCTTCTGTATTCATTTTTTTGCACGTTTAATATGTTAATATCAATATTAAGATCTCTTGATTAAAATTAATAATATATATCTGTTATTTCATAGAAAAAAAAACTAAGTAAATGAATTTTTGTTTTTTTTTTAAATTTGTTTTTGTAATTTTATTTGATTTTGTATTTTTTAAAAATATATAAAAACCTATTAAAGATATAAGAATGAATTTTAATTCAAAAATAAAAATATGAAATTAAGTAGCTTTTTTATTTATTTTAAAAGAAAAGAATATATTTTAAATAAGAAATTTTATAAATTCATTTTTATAGAAAGTTTGTATTTAAAAAATGTAAAAAATAGAAAAATAGAGTAAAGAATGAATGAAAATATATAGTTAATGGGGTTTACAATTAAATAATAATATAATTTTATGAAGAAATAATTAATTGAGTATTTTTTTTTTAAGTTTAAAAAAGTATCAAATGATAATTAAAAAAATCTGATTATTTATTCAAAGTTAAATACCAAGGATGTTGAATAAGAAATATTATGTATGTTCTTATTATATTTCTGTAAAAAAATAATTATAATCTTATAGTAAGTTTTTAGATAATTCAATAAGGTAAATTTAAAAATTAAAACAATAGATTTTAATTATAAATTATCTTCTTTTACAATATAAAGATTTTGCATTATTAGGGGGGAAGAAAGAATTATATTGTTTTATTGTTTTTTAGATTAAATTTTTTTGAAAATTCATTCATATAGAAATAATGTTGATATTTTTTTTAATAAGTATTATAGATAAAAAAATAAATAAAATAGTAAATAATACAATTTTTTTTTATTGATAAAGGCATCTGATTGTTTTTTTTTTGCTTGAAGTTTATGGTTTTCTAATTTGAACGTATACTAATTAAGAAACATATTATTTGATGTTTAATTTGCTATTTTTTCTTTAAAAAAAGTATAAGATTTTAAGATATCTGTATTAATTGTATGAAAATATTACTGTTTGGAAGGAAATATGAATAATAATAAAATAAATAAAAGAAAAAGATCAAAATATTAATGGAAAAAAGAAAACAAAAAAATGACATTTTAGTATTGCAAAAAGATATAGAATTTAATGAAACATTTCTTGAAAAAGATGAGAATGGTGGTTAAGGATTATGTTTTATTTTTTAAAATTAATAAAATCTATCAGGAAATTTTATTAATGGTGATAAAGCTAGCGATTTCATAAAAAAGTTAACTAAACATAATGTAAAATACTTGTTAGTAGCTAACTAGACAATTGATCTATTTAGGTATCAATTACGTCACTTGATTTTATGTTTATATGGGCATATGTTGAAGAAGAATCTTTCCTTCATGAAATTGCTAGTATTCTTGAAGTAAAAAAACCATATACATTAAGAGAATGGTTTGCAAATGATAAAAAATTTCTAAGTCTTGATATAAGAAATTATAAATTTGTCAACGATATAAAAAGATGTGTAGGTTGGGATGATGTATCAGGATGCAGTATTAAAAATTGGACAAAATATTGGCTTCCTTCATATATAAAAAATCAAAAAACATCAGAAGAAACTAGAAAAAACAAGAAAAAGAAAGAAAATTGATTCTTTTATATTTTAGAAATTGTTTTTAGAATTCTATTATGCAATGTTTGTATTTCATTTGGTTTTTATGGTATATTTTTGAAATGTTTAGAATTCTATTCAAAAAAACATATAAAGGTATATTATATTAGGGAATTCGAGCTTTAGTGGCTTTTTTTGTAATGAGAGTATTCTTATATACATAATTTTTTATCCTTAGCGATGTTTTTCATATATAAATAATTCAGCTACTAAATTTTAGTTTTTTTAACATTTTATTTTTTTTCTGGTGAAAGATAATTAAATTTATTATGTTAATTTTATTATCAGAAACAAATTAATTAATCTTTAATTAAATCAATATCTTTGATATTATAAATGAAATTTAAATTATTTTAAAATTAATATTTAATATTTAATCTTTATTGATTAGCTTGAATTTTATTAAAACTAATTAAAAATAGATCAAACAATTATTTTTAATATATTATTATTGGTTTTTGTCAATTATGAAAATTAATAATTATTTATCTTTCATATATATAAGGTCATCATAACATTATTTGGTCATTTTATTGCAATTCAGTTTCATTGTAATGTTTTTAATTGGATCTTTTTATATATAATTTGTTTTTAAATAAGATATATTGAATAATTAAAAAAAACATGATATTTATATTTTGATATACCAAAAAAATCTATTATTTTAAATAACTATAATTTTTTTATAGAATACCAAAAAACATTTAAGATGATAAATGTATATCATCTGAATATGATAATAGATCGTAAAGTAATTCGTCACGAATATCAATAACTGACATAGAACAATTTTTGGGAGGTCCATTAATTTTTATACCTTCAGGAATATCAAGAAAACCTAATTTAACAAGATGTGAAACGAGAGTTACAATATATCCTCCATGTGTTATAACAATTAACGTCGAAATTTCATTTCGAATGGGTATTATTTTCTTTTTCCAAAATTTCATAATTCTAGATATAAATTTTTTTTTATTTTCACCATAATCATCTAATGTTTTATTTTCTTCTTTTAATTTTAAATTTATTTCTTCCCATGTCAATCCATTTAATTTTCCTAGACAATTTTCTTGAAGTTCTTCATAATATTCACATGTTATATTCCCTTTGCTTTTTAAAAATGGCTCAATTGTATCTCTTGCCCGTATAAGATTACTACAAAAAATTTTATCAATTTCTAGTGTAGAAAGACGTTTTAAAAGCTTTAAAGATTGTTCCTTTCCCTTCTCATTCAATGGAATATCCAGGCTCCCTTGTAATCTGTGATTTTTCTATATTTTCATCTTTTTCAAAAAAAAAAAAAAACATATCTTACATTAAAATCTGTTTCTCCATGACGTATCAAGATTACCCGCATTTTTTATAAAATATTACTTTAATACTCTACTATATACATCAATTCATATAAAAATAGGCTATATAAGGCTTTATCTACGGAATAATATATATAATCAAGATAAATCTTAAGCTTCTATCACTTCGTGGATATTATCAGCTTAAAATATATTATAAAAAAATACACAAAAAAAAAATAATAAATAGACATCTAACAGGAAAAAAAGGTTATTTATGAAGTTAATTTTATTAATTATGATTTAAAATATTTTGAGACTAAGTCTTATTAAAATAAGAAAGGTTAAGAGTTTTCAACGTCTGGAAAACTAACGGTATAAATTCTAAATAATTGAAACATTTGATAAAGAATGAATATTTAAGAAGAATAATAAGCCTTAAAGTTATTTAACTTATCTTTTAAATATATTTTTTATGATTTATGGGAAATTTCAAAAAAAAAACGTCTAAAAATTCACCTAAAATTGACTTTACAGTTTTTCAAATGGAGAATGGGAAAATTGTAAGAACACAGGAAAGAATCTGTAAAGGTCTGTAGTTTATTTATTTACTATATAATATTTTATAATATTATTTGGGATTGGAAGGAAGATAATATTTATTTTGAATATTATATTCAGTACTAAAGGAAGGATTTTATAGATGTTCAGGCACCTGTTACACATATTCCTACAGATGCTCAAATTTTTATTGTAGATGAGAATGGTGTAAAGAAGCCGAATGTCCAGTTTATTAAGAATCATTTTTATCGAGAAGGAAGAATTAGTGAAGATCATGCTTTATGGATTATTCGAGAAGGGACGAGTATATTTAGGAATGAGCCTAATTTAATTGAAGTTGAAGCACCTATAACAGGTATATTTTTGTAGGTTTTATTATTTTATTTAGTTATTAGTATGTGGAGATATACATGGACAATATTATGATCTTATGAAGTTATTTGAAGTAGGAGGAAATCCATGTGAAACGAGTTATCTTTTTCTTGGGGATTATGTTGATCGTGGTTATTTCTCTATTGAAGTTTAATATGTATTTATTATATTTTTTCCTAATTCTTATATAGTGTGTACTTTATCTTTGGGCACTAAAAATATGTTATCCTAATTCTTTTTATTTATTGAGGGGAAATCATGAGTGTCGCTATTTGACAGACCATTTTACTTTTAAGCTTGAATGTATATATATTATAACCATAAGTGTTTTGTTAAATTTGATAGGTAAACATAAATATTCAGAAAATCTCTATGATGTATGTATAGAAAGTTTTTGCTCTTTGCCTTTGGCTGCAATTATGAACAAACAGTTTTTGTGTATACATGGTGGGCTTAGTCCAGAATTAAATGTTTTGGATGATTTGAATACAGTAAAGGCCTTTTTTAAAAAAATTATGCTAAAAATTCTAGATTGATCGTTTTCGTGAACCTCCAATACATGGAATAATGGCAGATTTACTGTGGAGTGATCCATCAGAAGAATTTGGTGAGGAAAAAACAGATGATTTTTTTGTTTACAATCATGTACGAGGCTGTTCTTATTTTTTCAGGTTTGTTATTAATGTTAAATCATGTTTTTAAATATGTATTTGTAGTTACGCTGCAGTTTGCACCTTTTTAGAAAGAAATAATCTATTAAGCATTATTCGAGCTCACGAAGCTCAGGATTCTGGGTAATTTTTTTATATATTTATACATAGATTTTGTTGATACACAGGTATCGTATGTACCGGAAAACTAAGACTACAGGATTTCCAAGTGTCATGACAATCTTTTCTGCTCCAAATTATTTAGATATTTATAATAATAAAGCAGCAGTTTTAAAATATGAAAACAATATTATGAATATTAGACAGTTTAGTATGCTATTTATTTTATTTATTTATCTCATCTACTAATCATTTATTTATAGGCAGTAGTCCACATCCTTATTGGCTTCCTAATTTTATGGATGCATTTACATGGAGTTTACCTTTTGTAGGGGAAAAAAGTATTTATACATTAATAATTAAGGATATTTTTCTTATTTTTTATAGTTATAGATGCATTTATTTCTATTCTTAGCATTTGTTCTGAAGATGAAATTAATGACGAAAATTCTACAAAACAATCCGACTCTTCTGTTACAGATTTGGCTGAATCTGAACAGAGAAGACAAGTAATTAGAAATAAAATTTTTGCAATTGGAAGGCTATCTCGTGTATTTCATCTCTTAAGACAGGAAAGTGAAAGTATTACAGAATTAAAAACTATTTCTGGTAATACGAAACTCCCTGCAGGGACTCTTATTCTTGGATCTGAAGGAATAAAACACGGTATATTTTTATTATATATTTCTATGTTTTTATTTATATTTCTTTTTAAGCGATTACAACATTTAATGATGCCAAATCATCTGACATTGAAAATGAACGCTTTCCTCCTCCAAAAAATGACATTAATAAAAAATATGATCTCATTTTTGAGAATTCTCTTTGTCAAACAGATGATGGACATGATTTTATTAATAAATTATTGAAAAAACTTTCTCCGTATGTTTAATTATTTTATATACAATTATTTATGGATCATTAGAAAAGCCTCTAAAAAGCAGTTTTCATAATACTTGTGTTTAAGTTCCATGTTCGTCTATATAAAATATTTGGTTCTATGTATAAATATTAATTTTCATTCTATAAAATTTTTATCTTTTATAATAAAAACTTTTAATCTTTAAAATATTATTTTTTTTATCAAAAATAATATATATTTGTTATTAGAAAAGATATATTTATTAATACAGATCTTTAAAATACAGTAGTTGGTTAGTTTATAAATACGTTTTTCTTTCGATTGAATCACCTTATAATATGGTAAATTTTTTTTTGATATTTAAAAAAATTCTTAATATTTCAGAGTTTTGGAAAAATTGTTCATATTTCATTTGATTTGATATTAGTTTCCTCTGTTCTTGCAGGTATTAGACGTTCTACCGGTTTAACGTAAGATTTTCTTCATGATATAAATATAATTCAAATTAACATGAATTTTAGCATTAAAACAAATATGTTTGATAAGGATACTGAAATGTTTATTGATAAGTATTTAAGTCTCGGTAACTGGGTGATGGATCAAAGTATTGCTTTTATGACTACAAGCAAATATTTTGAGAGACGACGTATTTAATGAATATTGAGGAAACGACAGGAGAGGAAAAGTAGGGTCAATAGTGTATGGCTAGGGTAGTATTTGTGCTTTTTGGGATGAAAAAAGCATAAAGAAATGTTTTGAATAAAAATAAATAATATTTGTATACGTCGATATATCTTTTAAATTTTGTATTAAAGATGATATCAGATTTGCTAATATATTGATTGATATTATTCGGAAGAAATAGTCCAGCATTTCCTTGCAAGAGGACTAGATACAATTGGTTTATGAAAATCAATTTTCTTTTTTGCAGCAATTAAACTGCATCGTTCAAGTTCTGTAACTATATAATGTTAAGAAAATATTTATAATCCTTAAAAAAACATCTTTACATGGTTTGGGTAGTGCAGTTTTAGGAATAGAAGGCTTCTTTTCAGATGGCGACATAATCGAATTGGACAATGTAGGTGTTAATGCCCTAGGCTCCATGGACCTTCTTTTCTATAAAAAAGTGTTATAATTAATAATGAAGAAGGAAATGAATTACATTATATGAAAATGTATCTAAATCCAAGTTTATTAGATAATTTGTTTCATCAACATGTCTATCTTCTTCTTCGCATCTAACAACTATTATAAACATGCAATAAAGACTAATATATCTTACTTCATGATCCAATTTATTCCTACACAATGTATTTTTCGAGGCTCGTTAATTTTTTCTAAGTAATCGTTTGCTGCTTTAACTTTTTCAAGAATTTTGGTGCTTCCAGATCGCCATATCACGTGTGTAATACCAATGCTTTGAAAGCCATATGCATCATCCATCCTTATTAACATGTCAGCCGAAGGAACACTCCAATTCCATTTTTCTTTAATCATTGCACCAAGCTCAGTTAGAATACATTTAAAACTTAGACTAGCATCATTATTATCCATTGCCTTAATATCTAAATATGCAATAACATGTCCTAGCGGCTTTGACTCCTTAATAAGTGCTGACGAATTCAATGATGAATTTGGTATACTTTGAAAAAGTTTGTTTGCATCTTTATCCATAAGTTCATATTCCGATTCTGAATCACTTGATGAATAGTGACTTGTAATCGGAACAAGTATATCACGACAATGACTTGGAGTTGTGATTCTCATATTGCTTAATTTCGCTGTTAGAACCATAGGTTGATAGATATATGTTTTGTCATCGACATGATATGTATTCTTATATGATTCAGGAGTATGTAAAGCATGTGGATCCGAATTATCTAAAGAATAAGTTTCCTGATATTTAAAGGATGATTCATTTATAATATTTGTTTTTTTATTACTACATAGAAAATCTTCTAGTTTCATATCATTTGAAGTTTGTTTTTTCGGTTTAACAGGCATAGAAAATCCTTCTTTCATGTTGCTTGTCTTATTATCTATTTCTTTTTTTCCTTTGTTAACTGATTTCTTTTGTAAATTTGTTTGAGGCAAGTATGTTTTCAGTTGTGTTTTTGTCTGTGGATTTATACAGCTTTTTGTTTTCAAATAATTTTCTCTCCCATCGTTTAAATCTTCTTTACCTTTTTCTTTGTTTGAATTTATCTGAAAAGACACTTTTTCTTCTGTTGAGTGTCCTGCACTCGTTATCATTGATGATCTTTTTAAACGCAATGTTGTTTGATTTTTCGATGGAGAAGATGTAACAGAAACTATCTTATTTTGTTTTTCGCGCTTTTCTTGCTTCCTTTTCTCACATAAAACATCTAAATTTCCATTATTCTTAGGATTTTTTGTTTCACTCGTTCCTGAACTTCGAGTTGTTCGGTGCCTTAAAGGCCGTGCAATTCTAAGAGCTGGCGTTGATAACAATCGTTTCTGTGCATCACATCCGCCTCTTTCAGGTTCTTCATTTAAAGACATATTTTGAAAGGGAACGCGGGTTGCTGAACGACGTGCTGGCGTTGTTAACCTTCTGGGAGTATTTGAACATGAAGAAACTGTAGATGATGTTCTAAATGATGTTTTTGATGGATTTCCCGTGGCCTTTAACGGCGTCTTAGCTGCTTTTATAGAGTCTTCTACTATTTCTTGTGTCTGCATTGTTTTAGTCGTTCGATAGAGAAATTGTTAGGTTTTAAAGACATGAGATTTAAGAAATAAGAAAATACAAATAAAAAGGATTAAAAGAATAAAAAAGCCGTAAAGAAGTCAAAAATAAGATAAATAAGATTCATATATGCGCATATAAAATGTAGATATGATGCATATAAAACATAAAGATAATTCGGCAGAGTAGAAATAAAATAGATAAAAGACAAAATAGAAAAGCTTTATATTTTGAAGATTTAAAGAAAATATCATAGTTTAACTATAATCAAGTGGAAAGTTTTAATCAGTTTATAAGAATATAGCAGGATTTTTTTAGTTTAATGTTTCAAGAAAAAAATATGAAAAATGAAGAAAAAAATCTTTAATAAAGTAATATATGCGTTGAATAATGTGAATATAATTAGTACTAAGAGTGTTTTTGTTATTGGAGGATTTCTTCGTTTTTTTTTGTTGATTTATGGACATTGGCATGATTCAAAATCGGCGTTTAAGTATACAGATGTGGATTATATGGTTTTTACAGGAGCAGCAAAGGAGGTTTATGATGGAAAATCAGTCTATAATAGAGAGACGTATAGATATACACCACTTCTTGCATGGATTTTAATTCCAAATATTATGGGGGTCCCATATTTTGGTAAAATTGTGTTTAGTATATGTGACATGATTGCTGGGTATCTTATAAGAAATATTATGATATGGCAAGGGCATTCTATTAGAAAAGCTAATGTTTATGTGACAACATGGTTGTGGAATCCAGTTGTTGCAGTGATCAGTACACGCGGAAATTCGGAAAGTATGATTGGTGCAGGTGTTCTTTTATGTTTATGGGCGGCTCTTTTAAAGCGTCCTTTTTTGACAGGATGTTTATTTGGGTTTATTATTCATCTTAAATTATACACGATTATTTACTTATTTTCTTTTTTATGGATGATGGATAACAAATATGAAAGAAAACCAATGTTAAAAGGTGTTTTTAGCTGGATCACTTATTCACGTTTCTATTTTGTTTTAGCAACTTTACTTTCATCGGTTTTTCTAAATGGGATAATGTATAAAATGTGAGCAATAACAAAAATAGGATTTTTTGCTAATGAAGATTAGTTATGGTATGCCATTTTTAGAACATACTTATTTTTATCATTTTATTCGAACAGATTATAGGCACAATTTTTCTCCGTATCATTTATGGCTTTATTATGCTTCTTCTCCGATTAAGTCATCTTTTCATATTCCAATCTCTTTTGTTTCATTTATACCACAAATTTTATTATCAATGTGTTTAATTCCTGTTGTATTTTCTAAGAAAAATCTTCCTGTGACTATATTTTCTCAAACATTTGCATTTGTAGCCTTTAATAAAGTATGCACTAGTCAGGTACTTTTCTTTTTTAAAAAAAAACATGTTATGATTTTTATTAGTATTTTATGTGGTATCTTATTTTACTTCCTTTTTTTCTTCCACTTCTTAATGTTTCTACTGGTTTATTAATGGTTTTCTTTTGGGGTTTTGGACAAGTAATTGATTTAATTATTTAGAGTTTTTTTCTGATTTTCTTAGGCTTTATGGCTTTTTTTTGCTTATTGTCTTGAATTCCTAGGAATAAATGTATTTTTTCCTTATTTATGGCTTTCTGGTCTTTTATTTTTTGTTATTAATATATGGATTTTGGGGTACATTATTGATTGTCTTTCACATAAGATTATATAAAGAAATGTATGTTTTTATTTCTGCTTTATAAATCATTTCTTATTTTTCTAGAGTTTAATAAAAGGAAAAGCTATTTTTCAGAAAATAAAAATATCATAGAAAAATTAAACTTATTTTTATATATACTTAAGAAATAGTAATCTAAGCTTATCAAATATAAATTTAATTATTTTTGTTATTTTTTAGATAGGTTATATTTGTTAATATTATATATAATTTCTATGCAATCTTCTTAAAAAAATGGGCTTTATATTTATAGGATAAATATTATTATAAAAAGGCTATTTCTTTGGGAATATCTCTAAATATTCACCTCCTTTTAAGAATTATTTAGATGTTTTTCTTTTAAATCTAAACTGGATTCTTCATAAATCAAAAAATGGCTTTTATTCAAACAAAAGGCACATATCGTTTATTATTTCAAAATAATCTAAAAAAAAGCCTGTTCTTAATTCATAATAAGCATTTTTTGCGCTTGAGATTTCATTTTTCTACTCTAAATCTACAAAGAAATAGAGAAAAGATTGGTGTAAGAAATTTTTAAGAAATTTTAGCAAAAATAATACATATTAGCCATTTTCCTGGAAATCTGGATCTTTCTTTGTCATGACAGGCATCTTTCTTGTGTGGTATTTTAAGAATGAGAAGAAAAAAGTGGAACAAAGACGTAAGTCTTTTTTTTTTAAGAAAAAGGCTAAATAGCTGATAAAATGGAATAAAATAGGTCATTTGAATAAAAATATATCTATTGGAAAGCCTAGAATAGGTTCTGATTTCGAATTGATTGATCATAATGGAAGAAATGTCACGAATAAGGATTTTTTAGGCAAATATATGATGGTATATGAATGAATTTGATTAATTATAAAATCAATAATATTTCAGATTTATTTTGGGTTTACTAGGTGTCCTGATATTTGTCCAGAAGAACTAGATAAAATGGCTTCTGTGATTAATAGTTTTTATTATTTGGTTACTTTTATATAAATTAATATATTTTAGATGTTAATAGTCAAAGAAATTTAGTAACGCCTATTTTTATTACATGTGATCCAAATAGGGATACTCCTTCTCAGGTAAATTGGATTTTTTTTAAAAGATTCTTGTTAACTTATTTTAGATAAAAGAATATCTTAAAGGTAATAATTTTTAACAATTTTTATATTGTTTTTACATTTCTATAGAGTTCCATACTCAGATAATTGGGCTAACAGGAAGCTATGAAAACATTAAAGCTGTTTGCAAAGCTTATCGTGTCTATTTCTCGACACCACCTGATGTAAAACCAGATGATGATTATCTTGTAGATCATTCAATTTTTTTTTACTTAATGGGTATTTTTTTACTGAAAAAAATATCACTAATAATATTTAGATCCTGATGGACATTTTGTAGATGTTTTTGGACGACAATATAATGCACAACAAATAACTTCAAAAATATTACAATATATTAATGATTGGGAATCATCAAGAGGACAAATTATATCATAAATTTTTAATATAAGATTTTTAATATAAAAACAATTTTGCTTATACTATTAGTTTTTGTTTTATTTCTTGCTTATTTATATTGTTTTTTAATCTGATATTGCTGATTCGTTATCAGATTTATAATTCTGCAAAAAAAACAGAAAGATGGAGGAATCTTCACCAAGTAATCAGCTAAAACAACTTAAAAATCTTTGTTTAGATGAAAGATCAGGGGAATATGTTTCAAAAACGCAGGATTTTATACTTTTTTTTGATAAAAAATATTGATGTTTAATAGTGAATTAAAAAGACGTTTAAAGCTTCAAGAAAAAAAAGAAAAAAGGGTTAGATATATTTTTTATCTGGAAATATTTAAGTTTAATGAGTTTAGGAAGCTAGAACATTGGCTACGGTTTCATCAAAACCTTCTCAAAAACATGTTTCAGAAATTCATGAAGATTTAACTCCTAACGTTTTATTTTTTTGATCTTAAATTATAATGAAACCATTGTTAAATTGTTCTAGAAATATTATGAGCTTCGTTCTCGGCATATTAATATGCTTCGTACTTGCAAAAACTTAGATGCATATCCACATAAGTTTCATGTCAATATTCAGATCGAAGAATTCATTAAAACCTACAGTTTTATGAAGAGGGGTGAAGTTAATAGAGATATTATTGTTTCTGTTGCTGGAAGAATACTAAATAAGCGAGATTCGGGTTCAAAATTGCGTTTTTATGATCTTTATAATGATGGTGTAAAAATTCAAGTTATGGCGCAGGCACAGTAAGATTTAAAAGGTCCGTGAGAATGTTTGATGCTGATTTAATTTAGGGACTGTGAAAAAGACTATTTAGAAATGCATGAGCATATTCAGAGAGGAGATATTGTAGGAATTATTGGGTATCCGGGCCGTACATCGCCTAAAGGCAAGGGAAAGAATGAAGGAGAAGGTGGGGAACTGAGTATATTTTGCAAAGAAATGGTTCTTTTGAGCCCTTGTCTTCGTATGCTTCCAATGGAGCGCCAAGGTTTAACAAATCAAGAAACAAGATATCGACAAAGGTATCTTGATCTTATTATTAACAAAACTACGCGAGAGAAGTATATAATTATTTGGAAAAGCATTCTTTATTTCTCAACTTTATAAGATTTATTATGAGAAGTAGAATTATTCAATATATTAGAAATTTCTTGGATTCACGCGGTTTTTTAGAGGTAATTTTTTATTATTTTTTATACAAATATGTTTATAATAGTAAGGTTGAAACCCCTATGATGAATTTTATTCCAGGAGGTGCTAGTGCTAAGCCTTTTATTACACATCACAATGAGCTTGACCTTGATCTTTATTTAAGAATTGCACCGGAATTATATTTAAAAATGTTAGTGGTAGGAGGTTTGAATCGAGTTTATGAAATTGGAAGACAATTTAGGAATGAGAGCATTGATCTTACGCATAATCCTGAATTTACAAGCTGTGAATTTTATTGTGCTTATGCAGATATGTATGATCTTATTAATATGACAGAGGAGATGTTATCAAATATGGTTTTTGAATTAACTGGTGATTACAAGATTAAATATCATCCTAATGGGCTCGAAGGAGAAGAAATTATTGTTGATTTTTCAAGGCCATGGAATCATATAGAAATTATTCCATTTTTAGAAGAAAAACTCAATGTTATTTTTCCTCCTGGAGATCAATTGCATACAGAAGAAACGACCAAATTTCTTATCTGCTTATGTGAAAAACATAACGTTGAGTATTCACCTCCCATAACAAATTCTAGATTATTAGACAAGGTAAAATTAATTTATTTTATCGAAAAAATAAATAAATATTTTAAGCTTATTAGTGAATTTTTGGAACCTGTATGTCTTAATCCTACATTTTTGATAGGTCATCCTCAAATTATGTCTCCTTTGGCAAAATATCATAGATCTAAAGTAGGGTTATGTGAAAGATTTGAACTATTCGTAGCTTATAAAGAAATTGTTAATGCATACACGGAGCTAGTAAGACGTTTTGCATTTCTATGATTTTAATTTAAAATGAAATAGAATGATCCAGTTGAACAGCGAATGAGATTTCAGGAACAGGCCAAACAAAAGGATCAAGGAGATGATGAAGTTCAAATTATTGATGAAAATTTTTGTTTAGCTTTGTAAGTTTTATTGTTAAAACTATTTTATTTTTTCTTTACTTTCAAAAGGGATTATGGATTACCTCCTACCGGAGGATGGGGAATGGGAATAGATCGACTAGTAATGGTATATTTGGTTTTTCTGTTTGTATTATATTGTTGATTTTTTTAGTTTTTGACGGATTCGTCTAATATTAAGGAAATTTTATTGTTTCCTACAATGGTAATTTGTGTTTATATTATGATTAATTAATATATAAATCTAGAAACCTGATGTTACTTCTAATTAATCAATTTTTAATAAAAATATTTTGAAAATAATTGTTTTTAAAAGGTAACTCTTATTTTTGTATATACTTTTTAATAAAAAAATTAAATAAATTTGTATTATAAAATAATTAAAATTATTTGAAATATATTGAAAATGATTATTTTAAAAACTGTATTTGATATTAAAAGATTTTATTAAAATTCATTATTTCAAAATTATTAGAAATTCTTCTAAAAATAGCTTATACGCCTATTTAAATATGGTTTATCTGGATAAATTTATTATCTTGTCAATGAAATTGTTTATATATTATGATTAATTTAATTTTATAATAAAACGATTTTTAAAATATATCTAAAACAATTAAATACCAATAATAAATTACAACCATTAAATACATTTGCAAACACAATTATTTTTATAAAGTATAAATATTAATGCAATGTAATTTCTTTACATTTGTCATGATCCGTAATAAAATGATATTATTTTACGAAATCTATATTAAGTTTTTGATGTAAATATACCATTGTAAATAATTATTCTTTATATAAACCCGTTTTAATCCAATATTTCCGCAATTCAACACTTTCATTATAATTTTTAAGTTCTTTCATTGTGAATTCGATTCTTGTAATAAAACCATGTAATGTTTTTAAATTTTGTTTCAATGACAATTCATCTACTTCAATTTTCTTTAAAACTAGATTTATATGATCCAGTATTGATATAACATGAATACATGTCTTAATCGTAATAAAAGACAGAGAATCCATCGATGATGGTAATAATTCGAACCATGTCCCTTGAAGATAAGACAATAAACCTGGAAGATACAAATAGAATAACATTGAGCGAGACCATACATCTTTATATACCTTTTTAGATATATTATTGACTTGAGAAAATAAAGAAAGATGAAAATATGGAGATGACTTTAAAGGCCAACCTAAATATCTGGAAACCATAGGATGATTTATTCCTGATAAATATCTTGTTTGATTTAAATATATTTTGGGTGCCACATGAGAATTTTCTTTATCGAAACAAAGACCTTTTCTTAAAAAAATATCAAATGCTTTAAAATGTTGATATCTTGATTCCTGAGAAAACGTTGATTTAAAAAGATATGTATTTGTATTTTTTATGTTTTCGTCACTTTTCCATCCAAATAAAACTGAAAATGTATTTAAAAACTTCTCCCATGCATATTTAACAACATATTCTCCTTGTATTTCCAAAAGCCAGATCAAAATCTTCGTTGAATCATTTCGTACATCTGGTAAAATATGTGTCATTGCTGAATGAATATATAATATCATAAAAATTACATGCGGCTCAATTAATTCCGCTTTCTCCGTAAATATTGACGACAATAATGATTGTAATGCCCTACGAACATCTGATTCCTCATCAATCATCAATGGAATTACCGCTTTAATTACGGATGTCAATATTTTTGTTTCAAAAACCGATTTACGCAACAAATCTTTTAAAGTATTCAATGCCTCTAATTTCAACCTTAATTCCTTTCATTTTTTTTCTCTTTTTCTACCTTTACGTTGCAAACTTGATGGATGTTTTATTAAATTTAATTTACGTAGAACTAAACCTTCTTCTGCTACTTCTTTGCTTAAATATTCCTTTAAAATAGACTGCTGAGGTATGCAAATACCTGGATTTCTATTATCCCATTGCTTTTCTTCTGTTTATATATTACTTTTTGCTTTTAACTCATTATTTGTTAATTCATGTGATTTAAGCCCAGACTTCTTAATTTTAAGCTTTGGCTTCCTATATATTAGCAAATCCTTTGGAAACTTCTAGAAAGAGTTATTCTACCTGAAAATTTGCACTCTTTTTTCGCTTTTTTTTTTGAAACTTTGTCATTTAAAAAACATATTCTTTTAAATAAGATTTCAACTTATTCAATACATATTTTAAGGACATTTGTACTCCATAGGTCCTTATATCTTATGTATGCGTGTTATATGCGTGTTATATGCGCTTTGCAATAATACATGTATGATTTTTAATTTTCGGACATTCGGATAAAATAGTTTTAGACAATTTTTTTCTCAAAAAATTAAACTATTTTAAAATCCCTTATTTTTTACCAAAAAACAATAGTTTTTTGGTTTTTCTAAATATTTTCTTATAATTCTTGTTTATATGAAAAACCCTGTCTTTATAATCCTTAAATAAATGCAATTAAAATTATTAAGGCTTTTTATTGGATTAGGGTTCTTGAGTTCAATCAAAGCTGTTTATCTTTTGGCTGAAGATATTCTGGGATCTGAAGGAAATCTAAATTCTTTCTTAGTTTCTAATCCATGTATTTCATGTGATAAATATAATGAAGGTTTATACAATTATAAAGAAGCGCCAAAATCGACAAAAGATGCAATACTTAGACGTCTACGATGTTATAATCATTCATTAAGTGGTAATAAAGATTATTATTTTATTAAAACACTCAATGAGCATAAATGTAATGCTTTAAATATTAAAAACGGAAAAGTATATATAGTTGATTGCGATCTGCCTTTTTCATCAATATGTAAGAATTTTTGAGGATTTACAAGTGTTTTGACAAGATGGAAGGCACTAATTCAGGAAAAGAACGGGATGTGAAAACTCCACCATCTACTGATAAGAAGCTTTCATATACAGTAAACAGTGCATTTGGGAAAGTGACTGGTACACGGACAGATCTTACTTTTACATTTCTTGGAATTCCTTATGCTCTTCCACCTGTTGGAAATTTGCGATTCGATGATCCAGTTCGAATATCTAAACTTAAGAAGACATGGAATGCAACCTATTATCGATCTTATTGTCCTCAAGATAATACTCTTATTCCTTCTCCTGTGATTAGTGAGGATTGTCTTTATTTGAATGTTTATACACCTTATATTCCAGAGGATGGTGATTGTGATTCTCAATTATTACCAGTTATGTAAAAAAAATCTATTTTTTTTTCTTAACTTAGTATTTTAGGTTATGGATTCATGGAGGGGCGTATATTCATGGTAATCTGCAAGATATTTATAATGATCCTAGCCATCTTGTTGCTCATGAGAATGTGGTTGTGGTAACGATTAATTATCGTCTTGGAGCTTTTGGATTTTGGGGCTGTGGAAACCAAGGAATCAAGGATCAAATTGTTGCTCTTCAATGGGTAAGAGAATTTATTTCTTTTTTTGGAGGAGATCCATTGAGAGTAACAATTGCGGTAAGTTTTTTTTGGAAAAGAATTTTATTCATTGAATTAGGGTCAATCTGCTGGTGCAAGTTCAGTTAGAACACTTTTGTCGGCTAAAACTAAAACAGAGGGATTGTTTCATGCTGCTATTATGGTATCTGATCCTATTTCTATGGGTTTCGCTTCAAAGAAAGATTCCGTTACTCATATTTCTAAGGAGGTATTTTATTTTATTTTGTTTTGTTTTTTCTATAATTTTTTTAGTTGGCACGTTATGTCGGTTGTATTCAAAATGATACCAGTATTGCCGATCCGGAACTTATGAAGTGTATGCGTGGCGTATCAGCAGAAGAAATTCTTATGTATCAAGCCCTTATTGTTAATACGGCTTTTTTATATGCTGAAACTATTACTTTGGGAGAGACGTATAAGCCATGTATAGATGGTGATCTTTTAACAGAGGATTTTTATGATTCTATCGAGACTGGTAATTTCGTTAAGGTTCCTTTAATGCTTGGATTTGTTAAGGATGAAGCGACTTTTTTTACAGATACTTTCCCCAAATATTTAGAGACTGAATATCTTGTTAATTTAACTCTTTCTTCTTATTTTAATGAGGAACAGATAGACAAGATTCTAGCTTATGAATATTATTCTAAGGGTCTTAATTTTAGTGATATTAAGAGTTCTAAGGACTTTATTTCGAATGTTTTTACTGGTAATTTTCTTTATTTTTGATAAATAAAATTTATCTCAAATAGATGCTGTCTGGGTATGTCCTTCACTTCTAGTTGCAGCAAAGACCTCAAAATTTATTGATTCATATTTGTATTATTATATTTATCCTTATATCTGGGAACATCCTTCTAGTTCTTTATGTTATGGTCTTGTATGTCATGCAGATGATATTCCTGCTTTCTTAGGATCAGTTGCTATGAAGGGTATTCAAACCACTTATGGATCTAATGGAACAATAGTTGATTCCGATTTTATATTTTCTAATCTTGTTCTTTCACGTGTCGGTTCCTTTTTGAGAACACATAATCCTAATCCTAATGTTGATAAACTTTGTTATAATAAGGAGTTTTTTAAGGTTGGTGACTGCAATAGGAGAACTGTTAAATGGAAGAGCTTTCAACCTAATTTATCCCTTCAAGATGTTCCAAGTTTTTCGAGTAACGTATCTAACGAAAAAGTATATGGGCCTGTTCATATATTAAATCTTACTGAATCAACATCTGGCAATTATATAATTCCAAAGGATGTTTGTGATTTTTGGTTTAAACTTGGAATTCATGCTCAAGTGTATTCTTCGAAAAAAAGAAGTACCTAAAATTCATACATAATTTATAATTTTATCTTAATTTATATTTGTTTATTTTTATTAAAGATAATGTAAATGTATTCTATTTTTAAATATTTATATATATTGCTTTTTCGTTCGAGTACCAATATTAAATATTTGATAAGTCTTTAATAAGAATTTATAATTTTTTGCTTTTTTTATGGCTAAGAATTCACAAGATCTACCCCCTCTGGGTTATTATTATTGATTGTTATATATATATCTAATTTTTTTTAGGCGGCTATGCTCCTATTCAATACAAGGTGTGTATATTTGAAAATCTTTTAATGAATATTATGTTTAGTTTTTTTCTAGAGGAATCTACCTTCAAAAGGTCCAAGAAGCTCTATACTTCTTTTGTGTATTGGTTTGATTTCTTCATTTGGTTTTTATCGTTATATTCAGGTATTAGTTATCTATAAATTCTTTGATAATGATATTTATGACTAAGGGAGTTCATGAAAGAAGGTTAATAAAAAGTATATATACTGTTTTTTTCTTTTTAATAGAGAGGATAGAGAATTAAAAAGGGAGAATGTTTGGTCTCGAATTCATTTGATACCATTATTGCAAGTTGAAGCAGATAGAGAGATGTATAGAAGAAAACGAGCGTTGCTTCAATCAGAGAATGAAATTATGAAAGGAGTTGAGGGTTGGGATAATGAATATCATATTTATCATACTCAAACGTATTTATTTATTTATTTATTTATTTACTTATACTTATTTTTTTAGAGATATTGCTCCCACCTTTTCGTTGTCACTTGAATGAATTTTATGTATTTTAATTGTTATAAAAAAGAATACTTTGTTTCTTTATACTGTGAAAATTTTCTTTAACATGTTTTTATTATGTTTTGAGGGAGTTTAAGTTATTTATTTTTTTAATATTTTTTAGTAAGAAAAAATGGGACAATTAAAAGGTTATTATTCGTTTGTCTGTCCGATATATATTTAGGATTGGTCATATATCACAGATTTATATGTATTTTTCTTTTTTATGGATTGATCTAAAATCGATTCATAAATATCGAACTTGATTAAGATGTAGATAAGTATTTTTTAATTATATTGGATTATCAGAGAAATAATATGAAAATAATGTTTAAATGTGGTAGTTCTTTTATATATAATCTTAAAAACCCTTTTTTCCCTAGTTTTTTAGTAGCTTTTTTAAGAAAATCACATATTGGATCTAAACCTTTATTTCTTCCCGGAACAACAAAATTAGAAGTTTTAGTAGCCACAAGTAGTCCAAATACTAAGAAAATAATTGTTAAAGGACCTAATGGGTGTTTATCTCTTTTTCTTCCGTCATATATTCATATCAATCATTGTTCTTTAACAAACAAAGTCAAGATTTCAGTGGAGAATTCAATGATCAAAGAACAACGATCAATGTGGGGAACTGCAAGATCCTTGCTTTCAAATATGATTATAGGAGTAACAGAGTATCATTATGTAACTCTTCGTCTAGTTGGAATTGGTTACAAAGCTTTTATTGAAAATGATTCATTTTTGTCATTAAAAGTTGGATTTTCCCATCCAATTCATCTTAAAATTCCAGATGGAGTCTTTATTACATGTCCATCTTCTACTCAGATTATTTTGAAAGGATGTGATAAAGCAATTGTTACACAATTTGCTGCAAATATTAGAAAATGGAAGAAGCCAGAGCCATATAAAGGTAAATTTATATATATATTAATTAATATTATATTTAGGTTATGTTAGGAAAAGGTATTTTTGTTAATGATGAAAAGATTACTTTAAAAAATACAAAAACCAGATGATCAAATAAAATAAGGTTGAAAATTTGATTTAAAACAAAAACAGAAATTTCAATTTTTAATTAACATTTATATAATATGATTATATACATTTCATTAAAAATTTAAAGGATTTTTTTATGATTATATTTAATTTTTTATTGAATTTATATTTATGTTTTATTTCTCTGGTATAATGTTTCTATAAGGATTTTTTATTTTAAGGAAAAATTAAGGACAAAGGATCTAAAAAGCTAAGGGTTATCTTTGAAACAATACTACTATCAGCATTATGTCTATATATTAGAGTTTATTTTTATATTTGCTACTCAAAATATTAATTTGTATAAATATCGCTTATTTTCAAAAAAGAAACTCAAATATATGGTTTTAAGAATGGATATATGATTAAGAACAATTATTATTCTGTTTTCAATTTTTATAGATTGTATTTTAATATAAAAAAGGTAAAAAGGTTTAATTAAAAAAACCATATTTATTCGGATATCTTAATCTTTGTGGGGTTATTTTAACTGAGTTCTTTATAGATATTTATTTAGTTTATTTTTTTTTAGAAATCAATATTTTTCCGATTTTTTATTTTATATTTCAAATGTCAACTAAGGCTCCAAGCAAAGTTGTTTTTGGTATATTGATATTCACCTTTTACATATAGGCTTATGTTGATATATCTATGTAGTTGGTAACATTCCATATGATGTTTCAGAAGAACAGTTAAAGGATATTTTCCGGCAAATTGGCCCTATTCATCGGTTTAGGTAAAATATTTGAAATGTTTTGATATTTTTATTTATTCCTTGAAGATTAGTCTTTGATAAGGAAACAAATAAACCTAAGGGATATGGTTTTTGTGAATATCCAGGTTGTTATTTTCTTTTTTTTTTTTATTTTTTTTCAGCGTTAAATTGATATGTTTATTCAGATATTGCAACAGCTAGTGCAGCTGTCAGAAACCTGAATAATCATGATATCAATGGAAGGCAGTTGAGGGTTGACTTTGCGGAATCGGATCCAGCTCAAGATAATAATCGTAGACAACAACAAGTGACACAACATGAAGAAATATCGTCACAAACTAAGTCGGATATTTTGCCGATGCTTCCACAAGGAACTGCACCTCCTCCGGGGGTATCAGCTGTAGATGCTATTTCACGTACATTGTCAACGCTTCCACCTTTACAGCTCTTGGACATCATTTCTCAGTTAAAAGCTCTTGTTCATATTAATCCGGAACAAGCACATGCACTCTTGTTACAGTCACCACAACTATCATATGCTGTATTTCAAGCAATGCTTATGATGAATCTTGTAGAGGCAAATGTGCTTCACAAAGTAATTGCATCAACAGGTCATCCTCAGGTTTCTCCTCCTGTTAATACAGTATCATATACTCAGCCACAGCAAAATACGCAAGATTTGCAAAGAGTGAGTATCTTTTTCTTTATAATTATGTTTTAATGTATTGTAAAAGGCAGCTATTTATGCTCAGGTTATGTCTTTAACAGATGCACAGATAAATACATTGCCATATGACACAAGAAATCAAATATTATTATTAAAACAACAAATAGCAATGGGTGTAGTATAAATTAATACTTTTGGTATTATTTTTTTATAGAATAAAAAACAATATTGTATACAAAATTATTTTGTTTATCTATTATTTATAATATATGTTTTATATGTATTTAGAATAAATATTAAGGACTTAGAATTAATGGCTTTATAAGTATTTAAATAAAGGTTAGTATTTTAAATTGTGTATAAAATATTTATTATTAAAAGAATTAATGATTTTTTTTGGAAAAAAAATCTTAAAGCTATAAGTTTTTATATTAGATAATTTGTTCTTAAAAATTAGTTATAGTATTCAGAAAGGTAAATTTAAAGAGTTAACAAATATTTTTTTGTTATAGACATTATATGTATTAAATTTATGTTAGATTATAATTAATAGTTTCTTATAAATTAAAATATGTATTTAAATCTTAAATCACTGTTATTATTGACTTGAGCATTTCTATACTTTATTTATTTGAACATTCCTGATATTAAAAATAAATACTTTTAAAAATTATATTTAATTATAGCTTTTTTTTGAGAAAAAGTAATGATAATATTTGGCCTGTTTTGAAATAAAATTTAGAGTTTTTTGATGTTTCATAAATAATATTAATTACAATTAAATAAAAAAAATTAATATAAATAGGTATTTATTTTTTATATGTCTTTTTTCATAAATTGAGAATTAATAAGTCTTAATTTTTTGGATTGGATAAATTTTTAAAAATATTTATTTTATACTTATAATATCTTTATAAATTAAGATTCAAAAAAAACAGAAATTCATGTTTCTATCAAAGAACTTTTGAATTGCTTTTTATATATTAAATTGAAAACTGAAAAAGAAAATTATCAGATAAAAATATTTTTGCATATACTATACTACTCCAAATATAAACAGTACTAATCCAAGTATATTTAGGAATTTTACAAAAAGAATTTACGTATTTATAGTGTATATTGCTTAAATATACAGGTTTATAATATCTATATAATAATCTCTTATATATCTTTGTATTTTTACTTATATAAATATATGTATATAATCTCTTCTTTATTCTTATATACAGGATAAGTGAAGATACATATTTTTTCAAATATCTTTATTTTTTATTGATTTTTTCTTTAAAAAAAATTTAATCTATTTCAAATAGAAAAAAAAGATATTAAGAAATCTTTCTAGAACAGTCCTTCTACATTTAAGAGTTCTTAAGAATTTTAATTCTTAGATGTAGTTTTATTAAAAAACTAAGTATCTTTAAAATATTTAAAAAGCTTGATATACGATCGTCAGATGAACTTCAAAAAAATTGGAAACTATTAGAAATTATGAAATGGGTCTTGATTTGAATTTTTCTAAAGAGATCACCTCAAAAATGAATTCCTCTGGAAAAAATACGTCAGGACCATGTTTTTTAGGTCAATCTAGGCCTTCAAATGGCTCATTAAATCGAGAAATAGAAATAAAAATAGGCATAGTAAAGCGTTTGATTTGTGACCTTGTTAGCTACAAAAAGGAGCTTAAGATGGAAGAGGATATTTATTTAAAGCGTGAAGAAGAAGGCGAAGATGAATATGTTTTAAGAAAACAGGTACGTTTATAAATATCTAGACACTAGTAAAAACTATAATTGTTTTTATAATGAGTTGGAACTTATGGCTTATTTATACAGAAACAAGTGATTGATGAATGTCAAAGAATGATTCCTGATACAGAACGTCGTCTTTCAGAGGCAGTTGAGAAATTATCTAAAGATTTGGTATTAATTTTATATATAATTATATACTAAATTAATAATATTTTTCTTTGATAGGCTGATGGAAGAATTGATGGCGATTCTTCTAGAATTAGTGCTCTGATTAATGAGGCATCAGTACTCTTGGAGCATCGTGATTAGTAACTATGTCGTTCTTAGCTACCACTCTTATCTGTTATTTTATAACAGGATAATTAACTTTAAAAGGATGCTTTTTCTAATGCGTTTATTTGGGAGTGTATTTTTAAAATTTGTATCATGAATTTTCATTAAATTTTTATCTTATTTGAAAGTTTTTTTTGAAGAAATTTGCTCTTTTTTCAATACAGTTTAGAAGCTTTATATTACGAATATTTCTTTCTTACTAAAGCTTTGATGTTTATACTTGAGGATGGCTTTATGTAAAAGTATTTTATTTTTTAGACATCTTCACTTTTATCAGATTCACTAATATATAAATCAACTAATTAATAACTCAATAGAAATGAATAATATTTCATCAAAAAAGTGTATTTTAGAAAAGGGAGTTAATGAAACCAGCTTATATTATATATTTGTTTAAACTAGATTATTTTTTATCGCTTCGAAGTTTTTCTTGGCCGGCAGTCAAGTTTTAAAAAATAAACTTAAGCTCTGGAAGAGTCTTAATAAATCCATAAATCAATGCCTTCTACGCATCCTGTCGAAAATCCTGATTCTACTTTAGAAGAAGATGATATAAATTTTGGGGGATTAGTATCAGCAGAATCTTTTGAATTTGGAGATTTTCATGAAAATCTTACAGAAATTTCTTCAGATATTATTCATGATTTTCAGTTGGTATGATTCGTAATAAAGATGCGTTTTGCTTGTTGAACACATATATGAATAGCCCGTTATTGATTATGATGATTGGTCATCAATTATGTCTAAAGTTCCAGAAATTGTCAATGCTATATTAGGCCCTGAAATAGATTCATCAGGCTCCTATTTAGAACAAGATGTAGCATCAGAGCATGATATATATGTTCCGGATAATTCTAAACATTTTTTAGAATCAGGGTTCATATTTTCATCTAAGTCTTACTTAGACTAATTGTTTAGTTGTCGTCTTTGGGAAAAATATTCTGCATTGAAAGATCTTCCTCCTTTATCTTGGGAGACGTCTCATACTCGTCAAATGTTTTTAATGTCTCTTGATATTCCTTTGAACCTGGATGATGTTATAAATAATTTGATCTATGTTTATTTCTAATGTTTTTTTAGACACGTCCGCCCAATCAAAAAACAAAAAACAGTCATGTTCCATGGATAAAAATATCTTCAGATACCTCATTTAAAGATACTCTCTTAAAAGATGAATCTCTAACAAATAACGACATAATATCCCATGATTTTAATACTCAAATGATCCGGCTTATTTATTTAAAATCTGATGGTACAATCATAAACTTATATATTTTTTCTCATTTTTTTAAAGAAGCCTTACTTAATCTTTCTTCGGTTTTGCTAAAATCACATTTACTTGACTTAGAAATTATTCATAAACAATCTTCTAAATATCTTTCTTACTGGACTGAAAAAAAGAATGAAATTGAAAGCGATAAATTGGTCTTTGAAAAGGTTATTGAAAGTCTTGTTCAACATACAAAACGACAACGTATTGAACATATTAAAAAAACATATAATCTTAAAAAAAAATCTTGATAATAATATTAGAATCTTTAAAAATATATCTAAATATTATTAAATTCTTTTATAAAATTTTGATTATAAAATTCTCCAACTGCCTTGACCATCGATAAGATATACATGAGTGTATTAGTAGAAACAACAGTTGGTGATATTGTAATAGATTTATATACGAAATATGCCCCAAATACATCGAAAAACTTCTTAAAATTATGCAAAGTAAGTGATATTTCTTTTTTTTAGCTTTTTTTTCTGATATTTAAGGTTAAATATTATAAGTAATATAATTATTTTTTAAATATAAATTATTAATGATAAATAAGCTTTTCTCCAATATATAACTTGCAGAAGGATTTTTCTTTCCAAACAGGAGATCCTTTAGGACCGGATGGAGATGGTGGTACTAGTATTTGGGGTCTTTTAGGAGGATCTCGTTTTTTTCCAGCAGAAATAGATCCAAGACTTAAACATAAAGAACGAGGAACTGTTAGTATGGCTATAGCAAACAAGGGAGGTGGTCATTCTAATTCTGGTTTGAGTGGTTCACAATTTTTTATCACATTAGGAGATAATCTTGATTATCTTGATGGAAAATATACGATTTTTGGGAAAGTAGCAGAGGGTTTTGATACTCTTGAAGCAATTAATAATGCATATTGCGATAGCAATATGAGGTTGTGAATAATTCTCGATAAATATATATATTAAATAAGGATTTTAGACCATTTAAAGATATTCGAATTAAGCATACGATTATTTTAGATGATCCATTCCCTGATCCAGAGGGTTTAGTTGAGCCAGATAAGTCTCCGCTTCCTTCTAAGGAGCAGCTTTTTACAGTCAGGATTGGAGATGATGAAAAATTTGATGAAGATCTTGATGAGGCTGAAGCGGAGAAGTTACGGAGAGAAAGAGAAGCAAAAGCGCAAGCATTAACTTTAGAAATGATCGGAGATCTTCCTTTTGCAGAAGTAAAGCCTCCTGATCACGTTCTTTTTGTATGTAAATTGAACTCAGCAACACGAGATGAAGATTTAGAGGTATTTATGTTTATATTTAATATAATTTTTTTAAAATATAGTTAATATTTTCCCGATTTGGAAAAATCATTAGTTGTGAAATTATAAGGGATAGACGTACTGGTGATTCTTTACAATATGCTTTTATAGAATTCGAAAAGAAAGAAGACTGTGAACAAGCTTATTTTAAAATGCAAGATGTATTAATTGATGATAAACGAATTAAAGTAGACTTTTCACAGTCTGTCTCTAAACTTTCGGATTTATGGAGAATAACAACAAATCAAAAACGAAAAAATGCTGTACAAAAGTCATTTGCTGGCTCTACTTATTTAGAAAAAGGCAAAGCATATAGGGAATATAAAGATGATGGCTACAGTATGGTTTTTGATCATCATGACTTAAAAAAAAAAGCAATCTCCGATTATTCTAAGGATCGTACTTATAAAGATAGAGATACTAAAGAACATTCATTTTATGATAGAAAAAATTCTTATAGAGATTCTTCTCGTCATCATAGACATAGAAATAGCAGTTATAGTCCAAAGCGCAGAAGATATTAATCTCTTTTAAAATGTTTATTTTTTAATAGCTACTATATTTTAGGGTTTTATAGGTTTAGGATTTCTTTAAGAAACCCTTATGTGACGGTGAACTAAATTTCGAAATTAATCAAATCTTAAAAAAATAATCATGTCTGACTCTATAACAATTCGTACCAGGAAGTTCTTAACAAATAGACTTCTCTGTAGAAAGCAGATGGTGGGTCTCTATCTTTTTTAAACTATATTAATTGATCTATAATTTAGGTAGTAGATGTATTACATCCTAACCGACCTAACGTTAGTAAAAATGACTTAAGAGAACGTTTGGCATATATGTATAAGACAGATAAGAATACAGTACAAGTTTTTGGTTTAAGAACACAATTTGGCGGCGGGAAATCGACTGGATTTGCTTTAATTTATGATAGTTTTGAATTAATGAAAAGATTTGAACCAAAATATAGATTGGTTCGTATTGGGCTTGAGGAAAAAGTAGACCGTACATCCCGTCAACAGAGAAAACAACGAAAGAATCGAAGCAAGAAGTTTAGAGGGTTTTTATTGTTTTTTTTTTTATTTTTTTAGCTAAAAAGAATAGGGTAGCAAAAAAAGCTGCTATGACTGCTTCTACAAAGAAATAGGTTTAGATTTGGAATCTAATGAATATAATATACTTTTTCATATCATTTTTTCTATATATTTCTTAAAATTTAAGACTCTATCTTCTGTTGTCATGACAGCCTATTATGCATGTTGCCATGACGACGTCCACGTTGAGATTCTAACTTCCTCAATTATGAGATCTTCAAGCAGTATATAAAATGACATGTAAAGCCTCTATTTTTTGTATATTTCAAAAGCGTTTAACAATTTTCTAGCAGAGTTTTGTTTTAAGAATGTTTTAGATAAAAATTCCAGTCAATCGGCAATAAATACAGGAGATTCTTCTGGAAAGATTACATCTACAAATACACCAGCAACACCAGTTGCGCCTTTATCATTAACATCAACGGCTTTTAAATTCGGAGATAGTACAACACCAGCTGGTCAGCCTCCTGCACATCCACTTGGGAAAGTGGGTGGTAATGATGGTCGTACTTTAGAAAATAAAGGATTTCAATTAGGGACATCAGGGACGATATTTGGAACAGTAGCAGATTCTATGACATCTTCTTCATCAACACCTTTTGTTTTTGGTTCAGGAATACCTCAATTAGATTCTAAATCAGCAGCTCAAAATAAAACTACATCATTTACTTTTGGTTCTTTGTCGGAAAAAAATACACAAACATCTCAAGAAAAGCCGATAGAATCTACACAACCTTTTTCTTTTGGTGCTTCTACAACTTCTTCTACGATATTGGAATCGGGAGCTACTACAAAGACAGAAGTACCAACTGTTTCAGTCGAAAAGTCTTCTGTTCCTTCTAATAATTTAAAACCAACAGCTACGTTTTCTTTTGGAAATTCATCTACACAACAAAATTTTTTAAAACCTTCTTCATTTTCCGTTCAGAAACCACAAGAACCTAAGCCAACATTTACATTTGGAGCAACATCTACCGCTGGTGCAAAAACTACGTCAGTAGACGCTAAGGGATCTGAAGAACCTAAACTCTCCTTTACAACAGATACCTCGGGTATATATATATCTGAATAGTTATAATTATACATAATTTTAATACTAAAATAGCTTCTACAACTTCAACTTTATTTAATCCTCCGACATCTGTTTCTTCAAATATTCCGAGTTTTGGAACAAAAGATTCTTCACAAACATCAATCAAACCCTCTTCAGAAACAGTTTCATCGACTTCAGCTACTTTTACTGTACCCAAAACATTATCAGGAACTTCTACTCAGGAAATTGGAGGATCGAATCTTAAAAATAAAACTTTAAAAGATATTATTAATAAATGGACAAGGGATTTAGATAACTATTCGAGACAGTTTATTCAACAAGCAACAGAAGTTTCAAAATGGGATAGACTTTTAATAGAGAGCGGCGATAAGGTTAGAAATAAAAGATAATATATATATCATAACTTAAACAATTTAGATTTCAAAGTTGTATGCAGATACTATCGAAGCAGAGCAAACACAATCAAAAATAGATCAAACGTTGACATATATTGAAAGTCAGCAGAATGAAATGTCTGCTTTTCTGGATCAATATGAAAGTCAAGTTCAGGAATTAAGTGAAAGACAGTTTTGTAGACCAGATGGAATGCAGCCAGCAGATCAAGAAAGAGAAAAAGTGTATGTTCACTGTCTCTGTTATTTGCATTTTGATAAAAAAATAGGTATACTCTTGCTGAAAAATTAACAGAAAAACTTGATGGACTTGGGAGAAATTTGGGATCTATGATAGATGAAATTAATGCTGCATCCAATTTAATTAATAAAACAAGTGAAGATGATCCAGTAAATTTGATAATTTTATGATTTATATTTTGATAACTAATTATTTAAGCTTTCTTCGATTGTCAAAATTCTTAATTCACATCTTTCAAGTTTGCAATGGATTCAATCTACAACTACAAAATTACATTATAAAATTGATGAAGTAAAAAAAGCAGAACATTCGATAGAAAAACAACTTGAAGAGAATGCTTTCTATGATGGACAAAATATCGGGTTCTCCTAATTTATTAATAAATTCTTAAATTGTTATGAGTACATTTTAAATCGTTTTTTCTCTCGAAATTCCTTTATTTTTTCTTTATCTTCTTCAAATTTCTTTTTTAATTCTATTAATTTCTTGTTTTTTCCCTCTTGTCTTTGAAATTTATAAAAGTCATGAAGTATATATTTGTCTTTCTTTTTTTCCTGCATTTTCATCCCCTCATTAATTCTTCCTGCGCCAGTTCTTCCTCCCCTAGTAACAGTAATGAATCCTTCCTCATCCGGCTCAGTTCTTTGGAATTTTCTTAACCGTTTCTTTTTTTCTTCGGCTAAATAAAAGGCTTCCATATATTTGTCAATTGATGTCTGCAACTTTTCATGCGAAGGATATATTAAATTATAATGATCCCAATAATCTAAATACAATAAGCCGTTTTTCTGATAAATCATTGAACATACGATTAAATCCAAGCTCAGGTACCCTATTTTTCGGTATGTTCTGTCCCCATACGTAATTTTCAAGTTTTTTATGATTTTTTTTTTCCAAAATATATTGAATATCTTGTTTTTCCAAAAATTCTACGATCGCCCATGATCCAGAGCTTAGAATTCTTCTTTTCCATACAGATAATACTGTGTCTTCAGAATTTTTTTCATTTTCTGTATAATCTTCACTTATATTTTCTTTAATATAAGACGGTTTTTGTATAAAATGAAAAAACACTTGCTGGATTCTACATCCCAGATGATTAAAAAGATATTTTAAATGATCATGCGTAGTGTCAATAGGAAGATTTGAGACAAATAGTGAAGGTCCTTCAGGAAAATTTTCCGGATGATTTGCAAGAGGTGTTGGTCGATATCGATCATGTTCTTTTATATAAAGATAATGTAATAAATTTGTATTTTTGAAAGATGTCTTTGGCATCTTAATCTTAAGTACTGTATATTCATTCATAATTTCATAGTTTTATGTATTTTTTAACTTAGTCATTTTTCTCATGTCGAAATACTTGATAATTTCATCTGATAATCTTCTTTTTTTTCAAATCCAAAAAATCTTAATAATTAACAATAAAAAATCCCAATTAAGTCAATTCTTTTGAAAAATATTAATCCTGATTTCAAATTTTAAATCTTCAATCTTTATTATAGGAATTAAATCTTATTTTTTTAGTTTTAAAAATAATTTTTGATTTTCTTTTTGTTATATTATTTCATTAAAAATATTAATAAAATAGACTTTGAATCTAATAATAGAAGCTATTAATATTAGAATTTATCTTTATAATATTTTTTTAATATAAAACCGAGTAAACGTATTTTATACATACCTTAAATAATTTATATTTTCATCTGATTTTTTAAAAAATATTTAAAAAAAGAAATTTACAGTTAATATATTTAAATTATGATTTTTTTAAATATTTCTTTATCTTTTATACAAGATATCTATTGATTCTTTTTTAAGATATTTTTTATTATTTTTTCCAAAAAAAAAGATATTTGATCTTTAATAGATATACTTTTCGTTTTTATTCATAAAAATAATGATTTCAATAAATTTCTTATATTTTCTTTATCATAAAGACAATCGGTCTTTAAAGACTAAGAACGTTAGACTTAAAAATTATCGCTTAAAAAAATAAAAAGTTGAACTTCCCTATATTTTTTAATATGATCCGGCGTTCATGTTATAAGTAAGCTTTATATAATTAATTATTTTTTTATTAATCTTAACTTTTTTTACAGATGTGGGGATTTAGGTCATTTTGCCGATTCATGCGCCAAAACTGATAGATTATGTTATAATTGCAAACAACCTGGACATGAATCTAATGCTTGCCCATTCCCTAGAACTACTGAAAGGATGCAATGTTATTATTGTCAAAGTATAGGGCATATTCAGGCGGACTGTCCATCTTTTCGACTAAATCCTATTGGATCAGGTGGACGTTGTTATATTTGCGGCATAATAGGTCATCTTGCACGGGATTGTCACGGGATTTCTACTTTCTCTTCTGTTCATTTTGTTTCAACACGCTCTCAAGTTTGTTTTAAATGTGGTGGTCCAAATCATTTTGCAAGAGATTGTCAAGCTCTTTCTGTTAAATGTTACGCATGTGGGAAATACGGGCATATTTCAAGTATATGTGAGAATGCTTCTCAGACTTCAAAATCATGCTATCGTTGTGGTAATTTGGAGCATCTTGCTAAAGACTGTACAATTATTACAACAAATAATGATCAAGATTCTAATGATAATATTTCTTCAACAAATAATCCTGTATCACAAACAACATTGGTGTCTTAATATGTATTCATTCATGTATTTTTATAATATTTTATAATTTTCATTTTGTGCCTTATAAAGCCTCTGATAACCAACTTTCGATTTTGATAAAACGAAATTTAAGCAGAAAAGAAAATAAGAAAAATATTGGATTATTTTAGAGATTTAAAGCGCATTTATATCATAAAAACGACTTAAAAAGAGATTTAGAAGGGTAATATGTTATGGCAGTGAAAGAAGACGATTCAGATTTAAGTGTAGATGAAGAAGTAAATTAAAAAATAAGGCGCATATGATCGCTAATATTGTAAAGGAACAGCAATATATTGATTCAGACGAGCTTCAGAGCCATGGTAGTCTTTTTTTTAGAGTTTTTGGTTGATTTTTACGGACTATATGCGTAGGTATTGGTGTTGCAGATATTCAAAAACTTAAATCAGCTGGATATTGTACAGTAATGGTAGATATCTTTAGTAATTTTGAATGGAATATGATTGGAATCAGAGTATTCAAATGGCAACACGGAGAAATCTTTCAAAAATTAAAGGATTTAGTGAAGCAAAAGTAGAAAAACTTAAAGAGATTGCACAAAAACTTTGTGTAAATATTAATATTTAATTTATTATTTAACAATGAAAAGCCCCCTCCATTTCAAACGGCTATGGAAGTTTCATCATTTCGACGACGAGTGAATTATATTTCTACAGGATCTAAACAATTTGATGCAATGCTTGGAGGAGGGATTCAATCGATGTCAATTACGGAAGTTTTTGGAGAAGTATGTTGTCTATTAACTAGAGTTTTTGTATTTTTGTTGGTAATATGTATAATTATAGTTTCGTTGTGGTAAAACCCAAATTTCACATACGATGTGTGTGACATGTCAACTTCCAAAAGAAATGGGAGGAGCAGAAGGTAAAGCAGCATATTTAGATACAGAGGGAACCTTTCGTCCGGATAGGATTAAATCAATTGCTGCTCGTTTTGGCGTAGATGCTGAACAAGCAATGAATAATATTCTTGTAGGCAGAGCTTTTAATTCGGAACATCAGATGGATTTAATTAATAAAATGTGTACGATTTTTTCAGAGGATGGTCGATATAGATTATTGGTATTTTCTTTCGTTTTAGAATTATAAATTAAATGTATTGTATAGATTGTGGATTCTATTATGGCATTGTTTCGTGTTGATTACTCTGGACGAGGAGAGTTGTCTGAAAGACAACAAAAGCTTAATATTATGCTTTCTCGTCTCACTAGGATTGCTGAAGAATACAATATAGCTGTTTTTCTTACAAATCAGGTGCTTTTTTTTTCAAATATATTTTATTTTAAACTTTGATTTAGGTTCAAGCAGATCCTGGTGCAACATTGATGTTTGCTTCAAATGATCGTAAACCTGTAGGGGGACATGTTTTGGCACATGCGTATTTATTTTAATTTTTTATCTATATTTTTAAAAGTTATAGGTCTGCGACTCGGATATTGCTTAGGAAGGGCAGAGGAGAAGAACGTGTTGCTAAGGTAAAAAAATATTTTATTTTATTTTTTTATAATAATTTTATTAGATACAAGATAGTCCTGATATGCGTAAGAATCTTCTTTCTTTTTTTTATCCTTATAACTTTTATATATTAGCTGAAGGTGAATGTGTATATACTATTAAGGCTGGAGGGATTGATGATTCATCATAATTATTTTTATGGCAAAATATTTATTATTTTAATAACAAGTATATTCATTTTTTAATGGGCTGCTACATATTATAAATTTTAATGATATGTCACATATTTTAGCAATCAATAGGGAAATAGTTAAAACATAATATTCATGTAAACTTAAATATATGGTCCTTTTTTTTTATTTATATAAAAATATTTCAAAACAAGAAAAATGAATCTTAACTTTTTTTGTAAGTTTTTTTTTTTAAAAAATTTGTAAAAAAAATACTATCAAAATTGATTTATATATAAAAAAATGCTTTTTATATTTCTCTTTATAAATCAACATCATCTTCATCAGGAAGAGGAAGTGCTTGAGCTTCTAATAATTCTGTCTGATATTGAGCAATCATTTCTTGAGATATTTGCACCTAAATTTCAATTAATATATAAAATATTATTCATAAAAAATAATACTTCGGGTGGTGCTAGTGCTGGCGATGCCACAAATTCTAAGGTTGCATTAATTAATTTTCTAGCTAACCATAAAAATGGCTTTTCAAAATTGTAATTGGATTTAGCTGAAATATCATAATACTGAAGGTTCTTTTTTCTGTGGAATGTAATCGTTTTTGCTATAAAAGATAAATAACTAGAATATGTATATAGTAAAAAAATTCTAACCCTTAACTTTGCGTTCCTTAACATCAACCTTATTTCCACAAAGAACAATAGGAATGTTTTCACACACCCTAACTAAATCTCGGTGCCAATTGGGAACGTTTTTATATGTAATACGACTTGTCACATCGAACATAATAATACCTAATAAAATTGTATAATTTTCCTTATACAACTATCTATCTACCGCAATTCCCCTGGATATAATACCCATCCCGGAGACCTCCAAATTTCTCCTGTCCAGCAGTATCCCATGTATTAAAACAAATTTGACCATAATTCGTATAAAATGTAACTGGGTGAACTTCTACTCCTAACGTCGCTAAAAAATGTTATTCCCTACATAAAACTCTGTGAATAACCCTTCTAACCAACGTATTTTTTCTCAAATTCCCCCGTTAAATGTCGTTTTACAAATGTTGTTTTTCCTGTCCGTAAACCCCAAAATTAGTCTTTTTTTTCCAGAAAAAAACAGGTATAGACATATCTCCATCGCCTACAAGAACAAGCTTAAACGTAGGAATTGAATCCTGCGATTGATTTGCCATTTTTATTAATTAATATTTTCTTTATTTCTTTTAAGTCGGACTATTTTTTTTTCAAGTCTAAACTTAGAAAAAGGCCCATCACCCTAATGAAAGTATTAGGGTTTATTGGGAGGGCTTATGAAAGGGTTAGGTGCAAAATGAGAAGTGGATGAAATGAAATTAGTTAGATATTCCTGAAAAAATGTGAATAAAATATATAAACATGTTCTGAAATTTTATTTTCTATGAATTTTTAATAAAAAAGATTTTTTGTAAAAATATTTGTATGAAATGAAGGTAGAAGATGAAAATTGCTTTGAAGAATTGAAAGAGTCGAAAGAAGGAGTAGAATATTTGGATGGAAATAGGAAATTGAAAGAAATATTGGAAAAGTGTAAATATGTTGATAAATCGGCTAAAAATATGTCAAGAAATGTAGAAAATTCAAGTAAATTGATGAAAGATGGATTGTCGTTTCGAAAATTATTGGAAAAAAGAGGTTTTAGTCGAAATAATTTATTATCTAGTGAAGTTATCAGTAATGAATCAATAAATAGCCATGATAAAAGAAAACAAAAACCTAAACGATCATATATTCCTCCAGAATATTATTCTCATCTTCCATCAGGAGTTCCTGATGTTCTTAGAGAAAATTTAATTGTTATGTTTATTGGATTAAATCCAGGAATAGCAACAGTAAAAGCAGGACATGCATTTGCTGGTCCAACAAACCTTTTTTGGAAATTATTGCATTCGTCCCGAATTGTTTGCACAGAAACTAGACTTCGACCTGAGGATGATGTGAAGCTTGGAAAATGGGATGTTGGAATCACAAATTTAGTGTTTTTTTTCTTTAATAAATATAAAATCCTTTCTGACTAAGATAGATCAAGACCGACAGCAAGTTCTAATGAATTAAGTAAAGAAGAAATGATTGAAAATGTTCCTATTTTAGAAAAAAAAATTACAGCCTTTTATCCATTATCAGTTTGTATTGTTGGAAAAGGAATATATGAAGCCATTTATAAGTATAAAACTGGAAAGTCTTTAAGTAAGCCTTTTGAATGGGGTTGGCAACCGCAAAGAGTTGGTGCATCGGAAAATTATGAAGGAGCATTAGTATATGTTGTTCCCAGTACATCTGGAAGAGCCGCTAGTTATTCTAGAAAGATGAAAGAACATTATTGGAATATTTTAGGCGAATGGGTTGCTTTGAAACGTAAAGAAAGACAGAACCTCGATAATATATTCAAATAAATTGTGAAAAATGTTTTATCAAATGAAAATCGTAAAATATTAAAAGTAAGAATTTTTGCAAGTGAATACGTTTATTTGATTTTTATATCCAACTCTTGAGTCAGTTCAGGTATAACATAACATATAATTATAAAAAAATAGATGATATTAAGATATATGTTTAAATTATAAAAAATTGAATTGTATATGTCCGTTAAAATTTGATTATAAAAGTGGTTTTTTTCTGAAAAAGATAAAGATATGCATTTCTTTGATTTATCAATTGTAACCACCTCTTAAAGCAAGTACTTGAAATATTTTTTCAAAAAAAAATAAAAAAAAATAATTTACCTACCAAGATGTAGCACACTGCCTCCTTCTAAATTATATTCAGATGCTGTTCGCTCATCTGACCTGAATTGATAGTTAATTTATTATATACGAAATTAAAATACAAAAAATTACATCTGTTTTCCACCAAAAATAAGCCGTTGTTGTATAGGTGGAATGCCTTCTTTTTCCTCCATTCTTTCTTTAATACGGATTACCTTGATAATCAATACATCTCATATAAAGAAGAATATTCTTACTTTATCTGAAGGATCAATATCTAATTCAATCTATAATATTTAATTAAAAGAAAAAATAAATAATAATAAACACTTCTTTTCCCGTTAATGTCTATAAAAATTAATAAAAGTCATTAAAATATCTAGAAATAGCATTAAAAACCTTAACTTTGATCAACATTTTATCAAGTTTTAATACTGTCTTAAAAATTAACTGGTCTATCGAAGGTATAATTATCTGGAAAAATATATATGAATTTGAATTAAATATGAATTGATTTGTATTTAAATAACTTGAGTTTTCTTCCCAAAGAAAATAGGTAGAAGATTTTGTTAAAACTATATATATTTTAATCATTGAATGAATGTTGAATTTTTATAAATTCGTGCCATATCTTTTTAAGAGTAGAATTTTGTGTTTTTGATTTATATTTTTGTAAAAATGTTGTCATTAAGTCAATGCCTTTTTCTTTATAATGAGGTAGTATTTTTAAAAGAGTTATCCAATCCTTTTCTTCAATATATTTTCGATTTTTTGATGCCAATTCAACTATTTTTTCCCATATTGCGTTTATTTTCTCAAGACTATCTCTTTTTTCCCCACATTTTTTTAATAAAACTCTTAATGTGATTTCATTTTCAGGGATATTAGACTGTTTCATTTGTTCTATTGTTTTTTCAACATAATCAAATTTTTTGAGATAAGTGTATCCAGAAATAAGTGTATTAAATGTTGAAATGCTAGGTGAGATGTTCGCTTCATATATTACCTGTAACAAATTATTTACTTTTTCGATTGTATTTGCTACATCGGCTTGATTTTCCCTGTTTGTTGATTTAAATAATGCATTCAAAATAAAATTTAGATGTTCGATGTGTATACTACATGAAATTTCATTATATTTTCTAAATATCTTTAAAATAGTTAACAAATTTCGATCACGTATCCATAATTCTTTAAAAAGTTTGCTGAGTGCTTCCGGTGATGGTATATAGTGTGAATTTAAGCCATAAAAAACAATATCAACAACAGATTGTGGATCCTTTTTATTTACAGCATTATAAATTAAAGAATCAAAAAAAATAGGTTTAATAATATTTTTAAATTCTTTTAAACATTCTTGTAATCCTTCAAGTGCTCTTTTTTTGTCTTGATTTTCAATACGTGCTATAATAATTCCTTCGTATAAAATCAACGATTTTCTCATTTTGTTGATATTTATTATATGTATTGCTTCTTCAAACAATGCTTCGCATTCTGTTAATGAAGAACCCATAGCAGAATATAATTTAATTGCTGCACCATAAACTCGAGAATCAAAAGATGTTGGTTCAGAAACATATTTTGATCTTAAAGATTCCCATATCTTTTTTCCTGTTTCATAAAGTCCTAAAACAGTATAAATGTAAATTGCGTTAACCCAAATCATTGGATGATCTGAAACGAAATTACAACGAACATCATCCAAAATATTTTCTAAATAAAATAAAAGTTTCCTTTTATCATCATCCTCTATTGATATAGGTGACACCTTTCTTATATGAGTATACATTAACATAACAAGTTTTGTTATATCAAATTTTGTAAGGCATCCTGTCTTGCTCAATTCAAAATAACAGTTAAGAGCCGCTGTCAAATTCCCAGTGGAAACTTTATATTGAAATGAAATTTTCTTTTTCTCGTAAGATCTTTTATTTTTCCTCATCATTCATCACTTACTTTATCATTAAATGATTCTTTGATTATCGAATCAGGAATCATCATATTTTTACGGGTTTTTTTACAAAAATGAATTAATGAACCATTGTAAAGCCTTGTTCCAAATACTTTCCTATATTTATTTCCAAGATTTGCCAAAAAACCATGAAAATACGGTAAAAAATATAAAAACAGAGGATATCTCTGAACCACAAATTGACATGTAGGTTTCATATTTTCTTTATAAAATATATGATATTCCCAAGAATTTCTCTTTAAAGACGTTTATAGCCTTCTTTTAATGATAAAATATCTTTATTTATCAAGAAATCACTAATAATTTGATTTCTTGAAAATCTGGTCGTCTAGACGATCAGTAGATCTAACGTCAAAAAAATTATTTACTTAGATTTGCCATGGATTTTCAAGATACATCATATGATGAACAGGAAGAAGTATTGGATCTTACATATATTGCACCGGATGCACCTATTGAATCAGGAAAACTTAAGGAATGGAGAGATCGTCGGAGAACGTTGAAAGTTGTTATTCATCCTTTATTAAATATGGCAATTTCTTGGATTTCAATTATAGATATCTATAAAAATCCTAAGGAGAAACAGGATTATGTTTTTTCTCCGGAAGAATCGGCTTTATATACAGTTCATACGCCGATTTTTTTTTTGAATTCATGTCAAGTCCGTGTAAGTGAAAAAAGAATATTATAGTTTGGAAACTCTTTAATATATTTTTTAGCTTTCAAATGTTATGAGTAGTTATTTTGAAGAGCTTCAAATGCTTTATGAAAATTTGGAATATAAATTTTTTGATCCTAAGGAAATGTTGCTAGGGTCGAGTCAATCTCTTATTCCATCTTTTTTTAATAGAATATGCAAATCATATAGAATTGCTACGGAAGACGCCATTAATGAATATAAAAATGTAAATGGGTTGGGTTAATGGATTTTTTTTGATTGATATAGGATGATGAGATGGATCAGGATATATTAATGACATTGGTTGATAGTTATACATTATTATATTGTGTTGAAGCAATTTATTTAAATTCGGATGATAGAAATTATTCTGAGCTGATTGTAGAATGGGTAAATCGTTCAGATCCTCAACCGTCACAACAAGATGGGTTGGAGATTATGACATCAAGAACACCATGTCTTCATCCAGGATTTTGGTCGTATGTTCATAAGTATGTTTTTTTTAAATATTTCATAGCCTTATTTGTTAGGGCAGCATTGAGGGGACTTTTTAAACAAGTAATTTCATGTTTACAACAAAGTGGTATTGAATCGGTTGAACCAAAAGCTGTAGAGGTTATCGATACAACAATTGATATATTAGAAACCTTTCAAAGTTATAGAAAGTCTTTTGGAAATGAAAATATTTTGAAATGGAGACATTGGAGAGGAAGAGTAATGTATGTGTTTATTAAATTTATAAAAAAAAAAATTATAACAAAATTAGAAGTTGCATTAGAACATTGAAACTGGATAATCTTGAGATTTCTTCTGCTTTTAGATGTCTTTTTGAAATTATTTCTGGTGACAGAGATGCTATATTTCGTGAGTCGGATACATGGCAAGAATGTTTAGGTGCTTTGATTCTATTAAACGATCCTTTGAATTGTAAAACAGTGAAAGATATATATAGAGTTTATGATTCTGTCGTAAAAGGTGAAGATTCATTTACAGTTGATGAGACGTTGCCTGTTGAAAGCGCATGTGCTGCCTTGTTTTCTGGTAATATTCCAAAAGTGAGTAGATGTTTTCTTTTATATATACTTATTTGTATAGGCAATGATTCAAGCAGCTCAAATACAAAGTGGTATTGCTGCACATATATCAGATTTATTGTTAAAGGCTGGAATTTTGGAAGAATTTGAAACGAATGAGTATTATCTATTTTTTTTTGAAAAACTTATTAAGAAAAAATAGATACCCATTGAGTTTACGGGATTATCTTGTATTAAATTATGCGGATCAACTAATAACTAATCCTGATACATGGAAAATTGCTTTAGTCTATTGGAAGACGGTATCTGAAATAGGTATCCAACGAATTAAAACAGTAAATTATTACTTTTTTTCGATTTTTCAAGCTAATTAAATTCAGGTTTTACCTCGAATACCTTTGACATCAGATGAAAGAACTGAGGAAGTGTTGGCTTTTTGTGATCAATTCCATCTTCATGAAGAAGCCTGTATGATTGCATCTGTAACAACTATTATTCAACCTAATATTTATCTCTAATTTTAAATAGATATGGGCAAAAGAACTTGAACGTAAGAAAAAATTGGGTTCTGCTGTATTACTTTATGATCGAGTTAATAATGCTTATCAAATTGATCAAATTAATTGGATTTTGTTTGAAACTTCTTTAATTCAAGGATATCCAGCTAATGTAGATCAATTAATGGAAACTTTTTTAGAATCACCATATTCATCATCTTCTCGAAGTATTGCTTCACTCTTGGCTCCTTATGCAATTTTAAATTCCTTTTATCAATTAAAATTTGAGGGGAAACGTTGTGCTGCTGCACATTATCTTGCAAGTTTAATTAAAGCAGTAGACATTCCAAAAAAATACATGTTATTATTATTAGCTGAAATGTTATCTTTCTTAGATGGTAAAAATATTTCTTTTATTTTATTTTTATATTCATATTTATTAGATTCATTACCAAGAGCATTTACTATGAGGGACATTTTTGATTGTATTGCTGCTATTGAAGAATTCCAATCATTAATATTCAAAGAAGACTGCATAAAACTATTTAACAAAGCAAAATCATATAATTCATATCTACAAAATTCACAATCATCACAAAATTCTGATAATTGGAGACACAAAATAAACCAAAATATAAATGAAAATAATATATTAGAACTAGTAAGATTACAAATAACAAAAACTATTGCCAGAGGTTTTCTAGAGCCCGATCCTTAATATAATAAAAAATTTTATATTTCTTAATATCTACATATTTTTATATTAAATAAATTTATACATATTAAAAGGTAAATATATAAAACTATGTGTATTTTGAATCATAAAAATTAACATTCATAAAGAATAAATAGTATATTCCTCCAAAAACCGAACTATATGCGTTCTATTATATATATATATAATAGAACAAGGATACCTTTTCTTTAAATAAGTTCGGGTCAATCAGAATCGATATTTTTAAACTCCGAAACAATAATTTTAATAGCTGGTTGGCAGTTATAAAAGGAACCCTGCCAGTCATGCACGGACAATATTAATCAAAAAGTAGTGGGAGTAGTCTTTATAAGGGTTAGTATGAGGGTTTAGTGAAATGAGGAGTTAATGGGGCACTTGGTGTGGAAATAGTATGAAGCTCTTTATTGAAAGGACAAGCAGATCCTGGCAGGGAAAAGGATTATATGAGGATTAGGATTTGTATGATGAGTGCAAGTTGACGGAGAAAAGGCTAGTTTTGGAAGTGACAACAGTACATTAGGTATGATTGGGCAGTGAATGTTAATGGCTTGTACGTAACAGTGAAAGACATTTGAAGTGTTTGTAAATTTGGATTGCTACAAATAGAGAGTAGATTGAGAAGAATTATTGTTTCCGGAATATTTTTTGTTGAGTTTTAATAAGTTTTTGCCTTGTTTGTATTTGAAGGGTTATATTTTTAAAGACAAAATCGAATTATTTGGTTTTTAACATATAAAAATAAAAGCATTGGTTTGTGGTTGTTTTTTCTTAGGAAAAAACGGGATGTGTACGCCAGATATTAGAGTTGATCAATCTTCATTGCGTTTTCATACTCGAAAACAATCGTCACCCTTAAGATCTGCACAAACTAAATATAACTCAGATATGATGTGTGATTATATGGATGATACGGATCCTGGCGTTATTTTTAAATTCCGGTTTTTATGGCCTTTTAATAGAAGAGATGTGCGTCAATTATCACCAACATCAAGCATTTCTTCCAGTAGTGACCATAGTAATGAATCGGTTTTTAAGTCATCATCATATTCTTATTCTTCTGGCTCCTTATCTTGCAATGTGAGTTCATTTCCATGTTTGCTTGGTCAAATTATCGATCATGAACGGCAAAAACGATCTAAATTGCCGAGTGATTTATTTGAGTTTGAAGAGGATACTAAGCGGGCATCTGGTGCAATTATATTGGCCAGTAAACGGCTTCAATGTATCGTAAAGGACAATGAAAAAAGACCAGGTATGATTTTTTTATCATTTCTATTTATTATGATTAATTCTTATTTAGCAAATACTACAAATAATGAATCTGGACGTAAAAAATTAAAGTCGCCTTTTATTTATCATGTTTCGTTGGGCGTTTCTTCTGCGTATCCGGATACAGATTTGGAATTTTGGAGGAATAATTTGCAAAAACAGATGAGCCTCAGACATCGTAATTCTTGTCGGGTTTTTAAGAAAACCAATAAACAAACAATAACGGCGTCCCCTAAGCTTCGTTCTCGATCAGTTGCTTCTAAAACCTCTGTTATTAAAGTTCCTGATTTTCAACCATCTCCTGTTACACCGTCAAATTCTGTTTCGAATATAGTGGGGCAGGCTGCTACTCCTGAACGGCGTTGTATATCCTGTGGATCTTCTAGCACACCTTGTTGGAGACCAAGCTGGTACGGAAATACGGGATTACTATGTAATAGTTGTGGTTTAAGGTGGTTAATTATTTTTTTTGTTTAAACAATTTTATTAATTCATTATAGGTATAAGAAGATAGGCGTTCGTTGTTTGAATAAAAATTGTCGGCATATTCCTTTACGTTCAGAATTTAGGGAGATGAAAAGTAGAGTGAATGGCAATTCCACGATTGATTGTATTAAATGTGGAGGAGAAGTAAAAATCAGAGGCTAAGACTTTGACAGATCGTTCTGGAACGTTGTCTTAAGTCTTCGGCTTTTTTAACTTTGCTTCTATAAAAAACATAATGTATTTGATTGAGTAATTGAATAGAATTGGTTGATTTTGTTTAATACTATCTCTTTCTTTTATAAAGATATTCATCTAAAAACATAAAAGCTTGGGTTTTGAAGCAGAATGGCCTGAAACAATTTTAGGGAACTTAACCCTTAACTATCCAATATAATTTTAACTAGGATGGTTATCAAAAGTTAAGAGGGTCTTCTGTTTTTTTCTAAAAAAAGCTTTTATTTTAGAAATTACTTTAAAAGTATATAGAATTCAGGATAGAAACGTTAAATAAATTATTATTAACGTTAGTTTACTAAATAACATGGATGATCGTGTTAAACTGGTTTCTTTTTTTTATAAATAATCCAAGTTATTGAATAAAAATAAGATTAATGAAAGAATAGATAAACGGTTATTTTTATGTTATTAAAAATGTATAAGTTGAAAGTGAATTTTCTGTATAATGTAAAAAGAACTTATTTGTATGTTTATTTTTTTAGATAATTTTAGGAAAATGGGCTTTATATATTGTCTATATTTTAAGTATAAAATGGCTATAACATCATCAGCATCTTGTGATCATTGTAAAAAATGTTCAAAAATAAAGAATATTAAAAACAAGGTGTCGATTGGGAGATTACAAAATCGTTGTTTATTTAATATTTCGAAGGTATTGAAGGGTATTTTTGAAAGGAATACTTGTAGTGAAAGTAACAGTTTTAATAGAGCAGCTTATATTTGTGTTGGAAAAAGAGAAATATGAATGGTTTTTAGATAGTTCTTTATATTTAGAAAATAGGGTTTATTGGTATAAAATGAAATGTTTATCACCAGTTTTATCAAGTAAACGAAGTAATGATGTTTTTGATATTTCTCAGAATATTATCTGTTCAGGTCATAAAAGACTTCGAAATTCAGATGCTTTTTGTGAATTTTCTCAAATGTCTAATTTTCATATATTTCGAGACAAATTTTATATTTTGAAAGAATATAATAAAATTTCTCATTCATGGTTACTGGCAGAGTCATCTTTATCATACCTATTAAATAAACATAATTCTACGATGGATTCTAAATTTATTCCAATATTATTACAGGATTCATTGGAGATGGGTCCTCATGGCTCTGTTTCTTTGAAGATTCCTATATTTTTTTCTGCAGCCGATTATTCTATGTTTAATTCATATATTAGCCCACCTGTTACTCAGACTATCTTGCGAAAACTTGAACTTCATGAGATTTTTAAAAATGTCCAGTTTCGTCATGATATTGTTCATGAACCAAATCTTCAGTTTCGACCTAATCTTGATGGAGAAAGTGGTAAAAGAAAACGTTTTCTTGCAAGTAGATATTGGGAATGTTTGCTCAAGGAAATTGAACAGGTTCGCTTATTTCAGGTCAAACAGATGAATGGTTCAAATATTTGTCATAAATATCCTTGTGTTACTAGAATTTTTGTTTTATTTCTTGAATTGGAAGATATTTTACTTAATCTTTTGCCATCTTCTAGCAGAGAGTATATTATTGAGATCTTGGATCCAGATCTTATAGTTCAAGAACTCCTTCATAACTTATTTGATGTTGAAAAATTTATTGAACATCTTGCTTGTATTTTGAAGCAGCATTGTGCTCCTGTAAGGGATGTGTTGTTGGATAAAATGGTTCAAAAAGTTAAATTAGGATTTAAAATTAATGATCTTTTAAAATTTGTTGATGGACTTAGAATGGGCTTTGATATTCTCGAAATGATGAAACTTGTATGTATTACATCTGAAATTTTAAATCAAATTTTAAGTTTGTAATAGGATGTTGCTAATCATCAACTTCGAGTATTAAGATTATATTTTTTGGAAACTGCTGTGGAATTTGAGCAAAAATGGTTTATTGATAGAATTAGTTGGGGTAGCATTGATATTGATGATGCTTTGTCTTGGTATTGTTATTTTCATGATTCTCTTATAACATCTGACTTAAGGGATTTTGATTACCGAAAAGCATTTGTTAATGGTATTATTATTATATTTTTCATATTTAGTCTTATTATTTAGGTATTATGGCATCTATTGCATATGTTTCGTTGTTTAATTTCCCCTCAACATTTGTATTTGATATGCCCCGTCTTATGTCGCTTCGTTATAATATTCGTGATATTGTTTCTTTTCAATTAATTATTCTTCTTTTTTGGCAGCTTTTTAAGAAGCAAACTATTGAAGTTTCAAAAGATGATATATTAGAGTTTAAACAAGAATTGTGGCTTATTGTAGATAGTGAATATGGAGAAAATAAATGGGTTAACAATATTTCATCTATTACAAATCGAATTGCTAAATATGCTAATAAAACAAAATTAATCTCTTCAAATAATATTTTAAAATTAAAGGAGTTTGGTATTATAGAAAATTGGCTATATAAACATCTTTTTCCTATGTCTTCATTGTACCGTCTAGTTGAAAGTCGTATTCTTAAATCAATTGGTGATAAAATGTTTAAATCATTATGTTTTTCAAATCCAAACATATTGGCGCCTAATGTTCAACGGGAATTATATAATATGCATGCTGACATGGTTATTGAAAAATTGACTAAAATTGTTATGTTTCATTGGAAAGTATTTGGGAAATGGTATATTGAATATGCAAAAGATAGATCTATATCCATATAATCTAAGCTAGCTTTGAAGCTTTTATTAAAACTGGGATGACTTGAGAAAAATAAGAGTGCAGTGTTTATAAATAATTAATTATATTAATATTATAGAAAACATTAAATTTTCAATTTGCTTTAAATAATTGTGATACAAATATATTAATATATAATATTTTTATATTAGGATTTATTTCTATATTTCTTTAATGTTTATGATTTGTATATTAAAATGCATGAAAATTGAATTATAATGTAAGGTTTTTAGATTATTTTATTATTTTAACTATTATGTTGATCTGTTGAAATTATTTTGTATTTATTTATAAACTTTTTTATTTATAATTTTGAAATAATTATAATGTTTTAGTATTTTGAAATCTTGGAATTTAAATTTAGTTTTATAAATATTTAAAACATGTTACAGTTAATAATATGATGCAATTACATATCAACTATTTTTGTAATTTCTACATATAATTTAGATATACGGTTTTTATTTATTTTCAACAAAATAGAACATTTATTTAACATACATAAATTTAATTTATATCGTTAAAGAATTTATATTTTTATTAAATTTACTTTTTTAGGCTGTTTTTTTGAAATAAATGACTGTAGCCAATATTTGTCGTAAAAAGATCTATATGTGCAATTATAAATATCAATGAATTTAAAATTATGAAGACCGAAAAAGAGCTTTCCTATTGGACTTTTCAAAAAAATGGCAATTAAAATATAATTATTAAAATTTGTGTTTAAATTGAATCGTATTTGTTGAGGGAATGCTTCGTAAATAAATAATTCGCTAGATTATTGAATGCAAAATTATAATAGTGCAAAGGATTTGAAATGCAGTGAAAAAATATGTACCTTTAAGGATTTAAAAACTATCAAATCATATTAAATGAAATCACCTCCAATAAACATAAACCCATTCTTTTTACTACTATAAGAACCATTTTTTCTATTACTGGAAGCACCGCCAGAATCAGAACTTATGGAACTTTTACATACTGGATTAGCTCCTTGAATAATAGCTAAGAAATATAAAAGTTAATATTGATTAAAATAAATAGCAATATACCGCGTGATTTAGTAAACGCTGGACATGAAATATGAGTGCTTGATAAAATTTTTACTGTGCCTTTTATGTCAGTGATACTGGATAAAGAAATACTTTTTAAAAATCCTGTCCAATGAATCGAACCGCCAATATATCGGACTTTATCAAATCCTGAGATAACATGTAAATTTGGATTATCAGAAATTAGAAAAGTCCCTCCGATCTAAAAAAATTAGATTAAATCAATAATAGCTTAGAATATTATTTACGGAAATTAGATTTGGAAATTCAAGACTAGTTAATACAGTGTTATTATAAATAGATAATGATCCTTGAATAAAAGATAATGATTCTAGAGTAAGATTGCTTAATGTGCTTAGAGATAATCCGAAATCTCCTGTAATATTTTTTAATTGTTCTAGTTCTACAGAAGAAACACTTTGTAAAAACAGTCCACCACTGCTTTCTAAAGAAGGCAAAGAAATAGGGATTCCGTAATTATTTTGGACTAAACCATTTTGCATAAAGGAAAACTTATCTCCGATTGTAACTAGATTCGACATGTTAAAAGTGCTAAGATAATTATTATTATCTATAAATAGTAAATGAAATAAAAAAAATATCTTAGTCTTTACTAATATTTAAAGAAATAAGAGATTTCATTAAAAATCCTGATATATTGCGTAATGATGTATCTGAAACTGTAATATGATTAAGACGACTTATTCCTGTATTTAAATTGAGGGTTTGGAGCTGTGCGCATTGAAATAGAATCATAGTATCTGCAGAACTAAGTGCTGGTAATTCTATTTTTTCAAGCGCTGTTAATTTTTTAAACACTAATTTTCCTTGTACGCTAACGAGATTAAAGGCCTAATAATAAATTATTCTTATAATATTCTTAAAATATTACTTTAAATAATAAAATATCATCATTTTCATAGATAACGAGATCTCCTAGTATGTGTTCAAGATTGCCAAGATCAATTAGAGGAATAGAAGATGTAACATAAATACTGCCTTCAAATACTGTGCATTCAGAGATACGGTCAAGATCTGTTTGCGATTTCACATTAATATCCTCATCGCATTTTTCTGCTATAATATTGTTAGTCTATCCATCACAAAAATTCTTTAAATCATGCATATATCTGCATAAAATTGCGTATATCTGCGTATATTAAATACATATTAAGCGCATATATATCATTAAAACATAAAAAATTACTAACTTACCAAGAACAAAAGAAATTATGTAAAACCATAAAATTAATAATTCCATAAGCATAATGCATATATATATCCTGAAAAATCACTCCTGGTGAATTTTTATTAAATATTTCTATTTATTTCTAAAAATTCTTTAATATTTCAAGATTTCCAAAAGAAAATGCGTTTTTTTTAATTTTATTTTGTTTCTTAAGTAATTGTACTTTTTATAATAATTGGAGACGATAAGTTAATTTTATATTCCTTGCGTTATATGCGCATATAATTCGAATAAGCTTAAATGATAAATACACCAATGAAAATGTAGTATTTTAGATAAGATAGAGATCGATAAAAGTATGAAATATTTTTATAAGTAAAAATTGGGAAATATTATATATGAATTTTAAGCAAAATTTTATACATAATAATTATAAATCATCAAGATTTAATAAATAATGGATTTTGTGTATTTTTTATTGTTATAGATAAATTGAATATATATTTTATATAAAAATTGTCTTAGTTTTTTTGAAAATAAAATATGTTTATTTGTTTTATTTGTATGTTCTTATTTTGAGTTTAAAAATTGTTAATGTATTATTTTGATAATTTTGAATATTTTAAATATAGCGATTAAAGAATATAAATAATTAATAATAGAAGTAATGAGATATTTTTGTTAAAATGTGTATGAAGAATTGTTAAAATTTTAAAAGAAATATGCTTATTTTTTTATTGAGTATAAAAAAATAAAAAAGATATAATATATATGTAATGGCTTTTAAATAGATAAAACAGGCATTTTAGAAATGAATAGGTAAGGAATTAATTCATTATTTGTTTAAAAATAATATATATAATCACGTGATTCAACAATCAAGCGATGATATATTTTAATATTAAATTTTGAAATAAAAAACACTTTGATTATTAACAAGATGAAAAAGATGTTATACTTCTTATTTTAATGAGAACTCCTGCTTCTCTTTTTTTATGTTTAAAAATATACTTTTAATGATAATAATACGTTATTGAAAATGAAAAGAATAAATAATAAGTTATTAAAAGTCGAAAAAAAACATAAAAAACTAGATATTATACAATGGAAAATCTCGGATTGTGGTATGATTTTAAATCCTATATTTTCAGAAGAATATTCAACATTATTATCGAAAGCTCTTGAACATCTTATAAAAGCTAATCCTCGATTTCAGATTTTATCAGAATGTTTTTCATGTTTACCATTTTCACCAGAAGGCCTTATGGAAAATATAAATCCGTTTCAATCTCTTTGTATTATTATTTTAAGTCAACAATTGAGTAAACATTCATCAGCATCTATTTATCGAAGGTTTCTAAGATTATTTTTTTCAAATTATTTAGATACATCTCAAGATGATAAATTATCTTTATCTCAATTATCTATTTCTAAAGTTTTCCCAACACCTCAAGAAGTATATGATATATCATCTGAAGATTTACGTTTAATTGGATGTTCTTCAAGAAAAATAGAATATTTAAAATTATTGGCAGATAGCTTTCTTTCTGGAAAAATTTCTCCTAGTTTTTTTATAAATTCTTCAGATGAAGATATAATTGAACGTTTAATTGCTATTAAAGGCATTGGTTTATGGTCAGCTGAAATGTTTCTTTTATTTTCTTTAAAAAGAACGGATATTTTAAGTACTGGTGATTTAGGAATTCAAAGAGGTATGGCTTTAATGAAGGGGAAAAATATATCCAAGCCAAATAAAGGTAAATGGAAATATATGAGCCATGAAGAAATGATACAAATGGCTGAGCCTTGGAGACCATATCGATCAATTGCATCTTGGTTTATCTGGGTAAGTATTATTTTTATTGAAACTAATTAACAATATAGCGTATAACAAATACAACTTTTACACAAGAAAATCATGTTTCTTCTCTCAAAAAATACTGATTTTTCTTAAAAGGCATTTTTTATGTGCTGATATATATATCAAGTATCAAAAAAAATCTATTAAAGAAAAAAAAAAACAAAGTGATAATGAATTCATTTACAAACGTTGTTAAAACATCTTTATAGTCAGTTTAATCTTTAGGATTTTTTTCCAACATTAGGGTATCTAATTCATTTCGTTCATTCATTTCTGCCACTACTTCTTTTAAAACCGTACTGATATATCTCGTATCCTAAAAATACAATCAATATACATAATTTTTCAAGTGATTCTAATGACTTCTTCTGCTTTAACCCACTGGCTTTTAGGTAAAAGTGTATGTGTTAATGAACATTGCAAAGCAACACGTAGTCGATACACACGATCATACGCTTCTGACTTCGGTAGTCGCTTTAAAGCTGTTTCCATAGCATCATTTTCTTCTGGCAAAAGGTCTTCATATCTAATGTTGTCTATTAAATTGTTTTTATATCAGAAAAGGTTTTAACCGTAATCCGAGTTTTCTATATCCTGCAAGACTTATATAGGCTTCTGCAATAGGCTTTAGAAAAGTTGTCAAAGACTTGTATTTCAATAGAGGTTGAATTAATGTTGGAGGGACTATCATAATATTTTAAAAAAAAAGATTTTTGATCAATATCGTTTTAAAATCTTAGAAACAGCTCTCGTCGATCAAGTGATAATAAAAAAATAAGTATATCTGTCAGAAAATAGAGAGATCAGTTCTTCTAAATGTATAATTCTGATTTGTTATAAATAAATGAATGTGTTTCAAAAAAATTGGGAAAAAAAAGTCATTTCCTTGAAAAAAAAACTGTTTAAATATAGAAATGGAATATTATTGGTTAGGAAGAGAGGAAATTGACTATTATATTGGAAGAACGTCAGACGAAACGTTAAACGCAGTCTCTGGAGCGGTGTCCGGTATTTTTTCTAGTATTATTGTTTGTCCATTGGGTAAAAAAAAAACAAAAATAATTTTTGAAAGAGAAATGAATGATTTTTTTTAAAAAATAGATGTAATTAAAACAAGGCTTCAATTAAGATCAAATAATTATGTTGTTGGGGGGGAGATGAAAGCATATAAAGGGTTTTATAGTAGTTTTGTGTATTTTTTTGAAACATTATTAATTATAAATGCTTAGATACACTTTTAAGAATCTGGTTTGAGGAGGGGATTCGAGGGTTTTATAGAGGTCTTGGCCCACTCATGGCAGGATATTTTCCTACATGGGGTATTTATTTTACAATATATGAACGTTGTAAAGATATTTATGGTCGTTCTTATAATTCAGAATGTAATTATTTTATTTTTATTTTTTATTGTAGTTAACAGAAATTTTAGCTATACAAAAAGCTTCTTTGATTGTAAATATGAAATCAGCTATTACAGCAGGTTCTATTTCTTCTATTTTAACGAATCCTATTTGGATTGTTAAAACAAGATTAATGAGTCAGAATTCTCATTCGTATATATATTACCGAAATACATTTGATGCTTTTAGGAAAATGTATACAAATGAGGGTATTTTTTCATTTTATAAAGGGTTGGTGCCTTCTTTGATTGGTGTAACGCATGTTGCTATTCAATTTCCTTTATATGAATTTCTTAAAGATGTATTTTTCATTGATATTGTGGATTTTGAAAAACCGTTGTTGTTTAAAGTTGTTTTAGCTTCAGTTATATCTAAAATGGTTGCTGGTTCTATTACTTATCCTCATGAGGTAATATAATATAATATTTATATGTTTTTAATTTAATTAAGGTTATTCGTACGCGTATTCAAACTCAAATGTATCATAAAGATTCTCCAAAGATTCAATATCGGGGGGTGTTTCATACTTTTTGTCGAATATATTATGAAGAGGGCTGGAAAAGTGTAACTTTTTTATCTTTATAATTAAGTTAAAATTTATTAGTTTTATTCTGGTATGGGTACTAATCTTATTCGAACTGTACCTGTATCTATGGTTATGCTTTTGACATTTGAAATACTAAATAAGTGGTTATTTCAGATTAAACACCGTCATCATGAGTACATTAATTAGTATTTGTTTTGTATTATAAAAACTTTGTAATTTTTTCTAGATATAATTCATATACAAGTGATTGTCTGGATATTTATATAATTATAAAGCAATATTATTCGATTTTTCTTGTATTATATATTTTGATGATTTCATAAAATCTATTATAAATTAAATAATGGATATATTAAATTATATCGGTTTTTTATGAAATATTTAATTGTATTTATGAGGCGTCTTAAATGAAAATTTCTAAAAATATAGAAACTATATATGTTGATTTTAAAATATAATTTATACTTTAATATTCTATCATTATATTGCATTAAGAATCTAAGATTATATACACTTATTTTCTAATAAAAGGCTCTTCATTTAAGGATTATCATAATAATATTTCTACTTAAGCATATTTTTTGAATCAATTAGTTTTGTTTCCTGTTACTCGTCACTAACATTACACTTCTCTATAAGACAATTATCATCCATTATATAATATGTATTGTAATTTTCGAATTTCGAAAAGCTAGGAAAAGTTTGTGCACTTAAATTTGAATATGCTCTTGATCGAGTCATTTTGGGAAATTTCATATTAGTTTCTGAATAAGGAGTTATTGATGGCTCTGAGGAAGATAAATTTGTATTATTATATTGTTCATATATTAATTTTTTCATATGAGCTGACGTAGGGACTGATTTTGCCTTAGTAATACATACACTTGGTTTTACATTTGAATTATTAAAGTTTTGATTAGACGATTCCTTTCCTACATCTTTATAACGTTCGGATTGCATTTTAGATGAACTTATATTCTGATTATGTTTTTTTAGTCCTGTAATAATTGCTAATCGAGAAAATTTAGATGTAAGTTTTGTTAATTTGCGTTTAAGTTTGTCTACAATAGAAACAGCGCCATCTACTTCTTGTTGAGTGACCTCCAATAATTGATAGTTCCTAGGATCTGTCTCTTTTATCCAGTTCTCAGGATCAGATATATCTTCTAGAAGCCAAGGATGCCGTTTTATTTCTTCTAAAGTTATTCGAGCATTTGGGTCTTTCTCTAATAATCTTTTTAAAAGATTTTTTGCCTTATCACCTATAGGCGGTGTAGATGGAATTTCAAGAGGTTTTGTCGGAATAACATTCATCAATTCATATTCTCCATCAGCTGTAAAAGGGCAACTTCCAAATAAAAGACAATAAAGGGTAATCCCTAGTGCCCAAATATCAATTGCTTTAGTAATAGTACAACGTTTAGATGGATCTATTGTCATCAACATGTTTGTTCTAGTAGAAAATATTTATTACCGCAATAGCATAATTCTGGAGCAAAAAACGCAGGTGTACCCGCAGTTTTTGCAAGTTCCAGCTCATTTTCTTCTGCGGACAAACCATAACATGTATTAGAATATGAAACTCCGAAATCGGAGATTTTTACAACATGATTTTTAGTCCATAGAAGATTAGCAGGTTTAATATCTCTATGAATAATTCCTTGATAATGTACTAAAAACAATTATTTTTATTCTAAAAAATAATAAACTAACAATATTCGAGACCAAGTACAACATCCCTGAATGTAGACCGAGCTTGCCATATAGTAAGAGCTGGCTTATCATCAGATGTTCTCCAAATAACTTCTCCTCCATCCATATACTCCAGAACGAGATATATTTTCCTACTCATAGGATCATCCATAACCTCACGTAGTCTTACAACATGAGGATGAATACATTTTTTCAAAATTGCTATTTCTCTACGAATTTTTTGCTCTTGTGATGATGTTTCGTTTCTTCCGAGACGTTTCCTACTATTTCTTTCAATAATTTTTAAAGCAACATATTCGTTTGATGAAAGATCCAGCGCAAGCTTTACTTTCCCGTGGACTCCTCGCCCAATTTCACGAATAATTTCATATTTGTTGATCACTTTTCTTCCACTTACTAAATTCGTTGTTTTAAGAATATGATTCGTTTCTTTAACATCTTGCCAATTCTACCCACATATTAAAATGATTTCTTTCAAATGATATTCGTCAATTAGACCTGTGTTTCTCTCCATTTGCTATAATTAAATACTTTTGAAGAATATTGTTTTTTCATACAACTGTTCAAAGATTCTAAAGAAAAAAACGAGGATTCTTTCTTTGGCTTTTTATGGCATTCTTCAATGACATCCGACGTGTTTTTTTGGAATATTGAAGGAAAAATAGACGAAAGACTTCTTTCCTTATGATGATATGAAATCATATTATGTTCATTCATTTAAAATACTAAAAAAACAAGGTCAACTGATTCTCGTATTTCCTATTGTTTTGTATCAGCTAAGAATCATTTAAAAAATAATTTTATCTGCTTTTTATATCTTTTTTTTTACTGCCAGTAGCTTGATTTTTTACCGTCGTCAATTTTTTTGTAAAAAACTTTAAAATAAGGATTATATTTCTTGAAAAAAATATTTCTGATATTTAGGTTGATATTATAGTTCCTTGCATTTGTTTCCAATAAAGAAGTTCCTGATTTATTTATTAGGAATATTTATATTTTGAATATTTCAAATATTTTTTTACCTGTAAATTTAAAATTTGAACTTTTTTTAAGAAAATAAGAAATAAATGATTAATGAATGTATCCTGATGAGTAAGTATATTTATATGTGTTAAAAATGATAATTTTCGGAATTGAAAAATTGTTATGTAAAGTAGTTAAATGTTATATTAATCAAGGGATTTTATCTAATATTAATATGAATATATTTTTGAAATAAATGAATTTTGAATCCTATATTAAATTAAATTAAGAAAATATTAAGTTATAAAGTTAACCCTTTTTTATATTATGTTTTGTTATAAATAATTAATATATAAGTTTAATTACTGTTATTAATATGATAAAAATCGATGTTTTTAGTATTAATATCAAATAATTGTAGTTAAGTTGTAGATTAGGTATTGACGCATTTGGTGGATCAATATAGCGGGATATCTTAGGAAAATGATATTTTTGTTTTTATTGGAGGCAGAAGACTTCGAGCAGTTTGTCGAGATAGTTGAATCATAAGTGCACTTTTAATGTTTAGTTTATATATTATTATAGTATTTTTTTACTCCATAATTACCAATGCAGCCATGCACTCGACAATGGGGACAGCACGAGATGCAACATTTGGATCATGACGTCCTAAAAATATTTAAATTAATGAAATAAAACTAGTATTATACCTTTAATAAAAAGCATACCATTTGTTCCTTCATAAGAAGAAGTAAATTGTTGTTTTCCTATGCTCGCAGGAGATTTAAAGGCAACTTTAAAAAAGACGTTTTCTCCGTTTGAAATTCCACCCTGAATCCCTCCTGAATTATTTGTCACTGTTCTTAATTTATTGTTTGTGTCCATAATATAAGGATCATTATGTTTAGAACCTGGCACTTGTGTTCCTTTAAATCCTGATCCCACTTCAAATCCCTTTGTAGATGGAATCGAAAGCATTGCATGTGCTAATTTAGCTTCTAATTTATCAAAACAAGGTTCTCCCAATCCTGCTGGTAAATTTCGAATAACACATGTAATTGTTCCACCGATAGAATCTTGATTTTCTTTTGCACGTTCAATACGTGCTATCATTGCTGCACTCGTTACCATATTTGGGCATCGAACTAGTGATGCATCTACTTGTTCTCTTGTAACTGTTGATAAAAATGATAAATATGCTTGTGAAATAGGCGACTCTATATCATCTTCATTATCCTCTTGATTCATGTCCCATTCCATCTGAATTTTTCCTATAGATGAAACAAATGCTACAATTTCAATTTTATATGTTTCAGAAAGATATTTTTCTGCAATTGCTCCTGCTGCAACTCTACCTAAAGACCCTCATATTAATAATTTAATATTATTCTACCTATCGATCCACCTATTGTTTCTCGTGAACTACTTCTACCTCCTCCAGTACTTGATTTTATACCATATTTTTGTAAATATGTTAGATCTGCATGGCTAGGTCGAGGAAATCTTTTTATCTCTTCGTAATCACTAGGCTGACAATCTTCATTATAAATAATCATTCCAATTGGTGTTCCTAATGTAATTCCATCTTCAATTCCCGAATGAAGATGCACTAAATCTTGTTCATTACGCTTTTTAAAATGTAAATCAGATGTCTTCTTAAAAGTTATAATATTCATAATACCTGTGTCGTAAGTGTATTCTGACCTGGACGGCGACGTCGTAATTGAATTTGAATATCTTCTTCACTCAAAAATAAACCTGGTGGTACACCATCTACAATACATCCTACTGATTGACCATGAGATTCTCCATATCTATAAAGAAGTCAATATTATATTAGAAAAAAATGATAAAACAAAACGTTGTAACACGAAATAATGTCCCAAATGTAGACATCAAATTATACAATACAAGCTGGTCTGGTATCGAGATAATAGTCAAGTATATACTAAAATATGTCGATTTATATTTATTTATAAAAATGTTCAATCAGATAACATTCAATTAAAATATTTTTTTATAGAATCATTTAAATATAAAGTATAAAATAACATATAAATAGAATCTATACTATTTATATGTGATATACATAAGATGTATATTTTTAAAGATAAATTTATAAAAAAAAAAATAAAACACAATATAAACGGAAGTATTTTATGGTATTTTAGCTTTTTTTATAAATTTATCTTTAAAAATATTTAAAATAAATACAAGTTTAATATATTCCTTTAAAAAGATGCGTAAATTAAATATACGAAGACTCAAGATGTAGCTAGGTATAAGACCTAAATATTAGGTAAAGATAGCTAGGTATAAACTCTTATAACGCTTAGATATGTTATAACCCTAATCTGAAATACGAGTTAGGGGTAAATTCTTGACTCGAAACCTGCTAAGGCACAAACCCTAACCCTTTTTCAATATTTAGTTAGGGATAAACTTTGCAACTTTAATTTGTGCTTTAAAAACGTTCTTTAAATATTATTAGAAATAATTATCACTAAGCATCCGTTATCGATTAATTTAATTTTTTGAAATATCTTAATCTTTATTAAAAAAAAATGATGTAATAGTAAGATTTATTTAAATATTTTTAAAATATGAATTAACATATTATAATTACTTTAAAAAAAAATAATAATTTATTATATCATTTTATAAATATGTTCAATAGTAAAAAAATTATATAATACTCAAAGATTCTTTTAAAAAATAAAAATATAAATTATGTTTTTCTTCTATTACCATATAAGGAAAAAATGTAACTTTTTTTCCACAAGCGGAACATTATTTTTTCCTATTTTTTTAGATTGGTTTGGGGTTAGAAAAGTGGCGGATTTGAAAAAAAGTTAAGTCTGTATATAATATGATTAAATAAGTTTAAGTAAAAATTAAAAATAAAGATAAGGAAAGGGTTATTAAAAAATGAGAGAATCAGAAAATAGAAAAAAATAGTTGACAAAAAATAAAGTTAAAAATAGAGATAAAAGTTTAGTACTAAATTTTTCATTAATTAAAAAAATAGGAGAATGTTTAATCCTATTATGATTCTTTAGCTTCATTGTTCCTTTTTAATACTTATAAAAAAAATGATTATTTTTTTTATAAGTATATTCATAAAAAAAATAAATTACATTAATAAAATATATCTTTAATTAATAGAAATAACTATTATTTAATTATTATTAATTTTATTTTTTTATATACTTTTATTACGATTAATGTTTTATCGATTTATTAATATATATATAAGTTTATGTAAATTTTCTTTTAAAAAAAAAATAAATAAAATTATAAATAAAAATACTAGTAAAATCCTTAAAAAAGTGTAATAATAAAAGGTATTTATTATAAAAAAAAAATAAAAATATATAAAAAAATATTTTTCTTCTAATACTTTTTTAGTTGATATATGGGGACACCTCCCGTTAAAAAAAAAGGTCAAGTTAAGAGAAAAGTCAAAAGAAAAAAGCGAGATCGCTTTCTTATGAAAAGTCAGTAGGACTCTAGTTGTTTGTTTAATAAGAAGAGCCTTTAAGGTTCTTCTTAAGGTATGTAATATTTATTAATGTTATTTATATTAATATAAGGAAAGATATTAAAAAGAATTAGATACGTATTTTCGTTTTTTGATAAGACAAGCAAAAGACTATTTTTTTATAATATTTAAGAATAAGGATTTTTCTAATTAATTACTATTCAATTAGATTGTTGTGATATTTTTCTGAAATTTTTTGTGTAATATTTTTTATATTTTACATTTGGTCTATATATATACTTGAAGATGTATACATCTAATTACCAGAATACGAAGAATTATGTACATGGGTTTTGTGATACATACGGAAATATATCAGAATCGAGTCCTATTTTAATAGATTATGATAAAGATTATATTCCACGTGACATTTCTAGTATATCCAGAATAGCACTACCATCACCACCAAGAGATAATCCATCTAATTATAAAATGCAAACATGTCGTCAGGATTCTATGCAGACATCAGTGAATGTATTTATAGGGAGTACAACAGATTCGTCATCTACATCATCGAATAATAAAAATATTAAACATACGTCATTATGTTCAGATACATCGAATATATGTTGTTCTCATATAAAACCTAGTTCAATAGATCCATATTCTATGCTTTATGGAAATCAAGATATGTTTTCGTATTCGAAATCGATTGCATCTCAATCAGAAACAAATTCATCTTTACCTATATCGGATACATTTGATTATTTACATTGCTTGCCTACGCCTACGACATTAGGATCTACATCATGGGCATATCCAGAATATACGTATGATAAGTCTCCTATTTGTTCGGAATTTTCGATGCAACATATGATGTTTTCAGAATATCCGGGGTTAATTTCTGATTATAATAATTCTAATATTATGGATTGCTCTACATTTTCTGATAAAGATTATGGATATATGACGTATAAAATGTCAGCGCCGAATCTTTTTACATCCGATTTGATGCAAGTTTATGATAATGATCCTACGACATCATCTAATGTTCATAATATGACAACTCAATCTTGTGGTAATGCTCCCTCATCATTTCATATGCAATCGGAAATGTTTGGTTCAATGCAGTATAATTCATCTTTAAATAGTCCATTGGAATTACCACCTTTAACAAATATTCAATATGATCATTCTTTACATTCTCAATATAAAAAACATAACACAAATCTTTGCTTCAATCGAGTGGTCGATAAGGGGGACTATTCTTCTGATAGACAACCTCATGATCTTAGTGATCAACGTAATAAATGTTTTAAAGTGGATGCTAATAATATTATGTTACATTCGATTAAGAAAACGAATGATTCATTGGCTGTAAGACGAGGCAAACCTATTAGCTCGCTGATTAAATCCTTTATTCCTTTATCTGAATCAATATTACAGTATGTGGCTTTTATATATTTTTATTAAGTTATATTATGATTTTAATATGGATCTAGGTCTATTGTTAATGATTATATTTCTCTTACTCCTTCAGGCTATCAAAAACATAGGTATTCAATTATAATATATACGAGTAAAGTAGCACAGAAAAGTTATGGTACTGAGAAAAGGTATCTTTAAATTTTATAACTTTTTTCTTTCTAATATTTTTTTTTAAAGATATCTTTGCCCTCCTCCATGTCTTCGTCTTCTTGGTTCCAAATGGTTTGAAGGTTGCTTAGCTGATATTCCTTTGAATTCTTTTCCAGGAACTAATCAAAAAGAAAACACGTATGGAACCAATGTATTTGGAATGTATTCGTTTATGGATATTTATGCGACTTCATTATTGCTGGATGTAGAAGAAAGCTTTAATATCTCATCCATGGATTGTTATTGTAGTGATGGTACTATTTTTAAACCAGGTTCTAGTAAAACAACCCCTGTTTGGGGAAAAATCAACCTTAGATCTATGTATGTTCCTGACAGGAAGGAGAAAATACGTTCTGCGTGCTTAAAAGTACAATTACATAAAAAGAATAAGGAATTTAATTTTGTTCAGTTTCAATCTTCCCCAATATGTATAATATCAAAAGCTTCTCAAAAGAAGACAAGTAGTAAGAATAATGATAGTATGAAATTTATATTTCCTTTTTTGTGTTGATAATTTTATAGTGTTAATTTATCATGGAAGCATGATTGCTTTGTTTAATCGATCTAAGGCACAAACAAATCGTATTCGATTTCTTGGGACATCCTCGAATTCTTCTATAACTAATAGTGTTCCATCAGGTTTGGGGGATCATCAGTTAGAATTAAGTCCTGAGAATATCTTTCTGACTGCAACTTCTCAAGTTTGGGAGCCTTTTCTAATATGGTCTCTGGACTTATTTGTTAATCCAGGATCTTGTGAAAATATAGATCAAAGTATGACTTTGATTCGTTTTAATCAGGCTGTTGTTTTGCAATGTTCAACAACAGGATTAATAACCATTCCATTAATTATTCGTCGAGTTGATGGCCGAAATACGGTTATTAAAGGACAAGAAAACTCGAAAAATGATCATAAAAATATGTTTGATCTTGATGAGCCTGTTAATTCGTTACAAAAAGTAGCATTTCAGGTCTATAACGAAAACTCCAATTTACCGGATATATACCTTACATATCAAGACGAGAATATTATTATGCAATCAGCACGATATATAGACAAAGAAGAAATAGATACGAAACTTTCTGATTATGATAAGCTATCTAATAAAAAATCTTTATGGGATATATCTAGCTCTAATTCAGCACCTGATACTTTTCTTCCTTCAAAAGATTTATTAGATAATATATATAATAAATTATTTTCTTATCATGATTTTATGCAGAAATACGGTTGCCATCATACTAGTGGCATGAATAATAATACAATTCAAAATTCTCCATATAAAACTAGATCTTCAATTCAGGGATCCATTTTTCCTCAAAATTTATCTATTGATAAAAGCGGGTCAAGTTCTTTGGAAAATAATTTTGAAAATGCCGAAATTGTAATGGAAAATGCTATATGGAATATTGTAGGAATATGTAAGATATCTAATTCTAATTAAGATCTTTATTATTAATCTTTATTTAGCATCTGTTGAATCTTCTTTTTATATATCTCCAAAGTCTAATGCTACTACAATTGGTCTTGTACCAGTTATTAAAGAAGTTAAATATCTTTCCGTGAATATTATTCAAATTATTGGTCAAAACATTAATCAATCTTACTCTGTATGGATTGACGGAAAGCCATGTAAAACATTTCGATTTTCTACCTTTTTTGCTGAAGATAGTTCTATGTTTATCGATTTACAGTGTATTTTGCATCCTCAAATTATGCCACAGGACCCTAATCATATATTATTGGTTCGAGATGATGGTGTTGTTTTTGATTCGAAAAGACATATATAATCAATTTTTTGGAATAAATCTTTCATTAATTTCTTATTTAATTTATTTTTACTAATCTTTACCGCTGATATCACCTTTTGATGGGTTTTATATTATTATAATTTATATATAATGAAATTAATCTATATTTCATATATATATTCTAATATTTTGATATTTAAATTTTGTATAGAGTGAATTTGTAGAGTATTAATTTTTATTAATTTTAATTAAGAATCTTTATATTTTTTAAAAAAAATATTCATTATCGAAGCCTTTATCTTATACCTTGGCGAGAAGATATTATCAATTATAGGCCAAATGTCTCTGTATGGCAAGATAAATGTAAATCTTTCTAGTAAGGAAGATATTAATAAAGGTTTTATTGAATATATATCTTTTTTCAAGTTTTTTTTACGTTAATTTTAAGGATCTATTGAGCGAGAACCTGTAACTTATGTTGTTCAACAAACAGAGGTAAAAAAAGGGACGATTTCTCAAGAAATTGATGAACATCGACGTATGACATCAGCGGGTATCTTTTTGAGTATTTTTTTTAAGTTTTGATCAATTAATGGAATGGAAAATAGCATTGCAATTCCAGCCTATTCGTCGACCTTTACAAGCTAAAAAAAATGTAAAAAAGCCATTATCTTCTGTTTCATTACCATTTGAGCCTTTAAAGTCTCATCCAGTTTTTCATAATGTTAGTTCATTGGATTATTGGAGCCATAAAGATGAAGATTTGAATGAATCTTATGATATAACAGAAAGTCGAAAAATAGCAAAAAATCGCGGGAAAAAGAAAAAAACCAAGAGTTTTGAAACTGTTTCATTGTCATGGGATGATTCTTATGATCCTTTTAAGCCAAATGATTATGAAGAATACAAAATGAGTGATGAATCGGTTCAAGAGATGATTGATTGGAAAAATAAGCAAGAGGGAAAGGCTAAAGCAGATGACATAGAAAAATATAAAAATATGGGTATTTTAATATTTTTAAGTTTTTTTTTAAATTTAAAATAGAACAATTTGCCCCGCCTGCAAATTATTCACCTTCTCATTCTTCTACTGTAATTGGATTTTCTCAAGCTACAGAGCCAGTTTCTGCTATTTCATTGGATGAAACTGCTGAAGAGGCATATGCCCGACGGGTTGCAATGTCACAAAATAGAAATGTTGAAGTTGATTATCGATCAAGTTATTCAACTGAACCTACATATGAAATAGATCTACCTAAACAGTCTTTTCCTCCTTTGAGTTCATCAGAAGACCCCGTTTCTGTGGAGTTGTCTCATGAAGTTTTGGATAATCCTTTGGCCATTTCTGATGATAAGCAACATCTTCAAACTTTCAGCAAAACGACTATTATACGAGAGCCTCAAATGTATGATATAAAAACAACTAATTCATCTGAATTTATGTCTTCTTCTATGGATTCTGAAAATTTAAAGATACCAGAATCTTTAGGATTTCAAACTAATTCTAATATGCCGGGTCAAAAGAAGTTTGCTGAAAGATTAATGAAAAAATATGGATGGGAAAAAGGCAAAGGATTAGGTGCATCTAATGATGGAATTGTTAATCCTTTGATTGTGAAACAATCAAAGGATCGTAAAAACACTGGTTCAATTATAAACAAAAATCATCCTGAAAAAACCGGAAAATTCGGAAAATTGAGCAAAGTTATTTTGCTTACAAATGTTTCCGAATTGGAAACCGTGGATGATGAATTGTCTCAAGAGATAGGTGATGAATGCAATAAAAGTGTATGTATTTTTTTATATTTATATATTTAATAATTTTTCAAGTATGGAAAAGTTGAACGATGTTTTATATATAAAAATATGAACAGCACTTTAGCTAGTGATATTGTAAGAGTATTCGTTCTCTTTACTGATACAATTAGTGCATTAAGGGTTTTTTCTGATAGAAATTATGATTAATATTTAACATTTTTAGGCCGTTAATGCTCTAAATGGTAGATTATTTGGAGGCAAAGAAATTAAAGTTAGATTTTATGATTTTGATAAGTTCGAAAATGGAGAATATGATGCATAGAAAATCATTAAAGCTTTAAATCTACGAATTCACTTATTTTAATCATTATATAAATATTTTTTAACATATAAAATTCGGTATAATTCTATATTTATAATAAAAATATATTTTACATATTTTTTAGTTTATAAACTACTGATTTTTATGGTTCATAAATGTTTTAAAGAAACATATTTTTTTATTGAATTATACTGAATTTCGGTGGGATAAAACGATCAATATTTAAAATTCAAAATAAATGAATAAATAATGGGCTTTTTACCCTTTAATACAAAGGAGACTGCAAATAAAATAAGATGTTTTTATTGCAATTCTTCTTTTTCTAAAAAACAAGTAAAAAATATGAGAGAATGGGTTTGTTTTGTTTGTCAGGCAAGAAATTATATGGATAGTGTAAATTCCAGAAAATATGATATAGTATTGTTGCTAACATATAGATATATAGAAGGGAAATACAGAAGATGTTCCTTTTTATGCAGCAAATAAGAATGACCATTTAAATATTCGTTATACAGCATTATCGTCAAATCAGACAGAATTATCGCCATTTTGCCAAACTTGCATGAAAAACCATCTATTTATCGTTAATGCATTGGCATCATATTTACCTTCTGAAGAAGATCCTGATTATGATGTTTATTTGTCTGCATTACCTTCATATCGGGAGTTTTTAGAAGAGCGATATCCTATGGTGTGTGATCTTTGTTTTCCTCATATACAGAAGCATTTGGCAAAGAAAAACTATATTGCGAAATCTATGACTCTTGGAGGATGGCTTTTAAGTAGTAAAAAAATGCATGGCTCAAGACATAGTCAATCTCGCCTTTTTTTATGGGTTCAGCTTTTTATATGGAGTTTTCGTGGTTTAGGATGGTGGGTTTTTACGGTTTTCGTTATTTTGTATTATATTTTAGGTTAATTTTTGAAATTTTATTTCTTTTTTTTGATGATATAGGTTTTTTCATTCCAAGCGTTTTTTTAAAAAATACTTATGAGATAATACCGTTTTGGAGTACGCGTAGCTTTTCAAAGTGTGTAGCTATATTATTTGATAAAAGTGTATCTTTTGGTACATGTTTATTTCTTTATAAACTTTTCATTAGAAAATTAATATTTTGGGGTATTTTTGTTATTTTATGGGATTATACATGGATTTCACAAATTTCGAAATCATATCATCGTGTTTCTGGTAAAAAATATTACTATGTATTATTTATTTACATTTTTATTTTATTAATAATTATGGTATAGATATGTCAAATATTTATTCACATTATCCGTGCTATTGCTGAATTTATATTATCTGAGCGTATATCAGATGCTTCCATTTATTCGGAGATTAGTCTTGTGCTCTTTTTTATTTCTATAATTGTATGATTGTTAAGTATTAATTGCATTTTTTCTGATGATTTAGCATTTAGTATTGATATTTAAATGTATCTACTTTATTCCTCCGGCCTTAATTAGTTTATATGATTCGAATTCTAGAGGATTTTCTGTTGATTCCAAACAAAAACTCAACACTGAATTTAAAATGGTAGAAAAAAAATCATCTGATAATGATAAAAATTTATCAGTTCCTCTGTCAAATAATTGTAGGCTGGAAGAATGTCGACATAATGTAGATTTATGTGATGATTTTATGCAATTAGATCCTCCTGAAGTAGTACCATTTAAAATGGATATTGGAAATTCTTCTCTGCATAATAATCCATCGTTTGGCTTTTCTAAGGGGATAAAATTGCCATTACCACCCAAAACGTCTATGTATAGTAATGTTCAACAGTCAAATAGGAGTTTTAACTCCCAAAAAGAAAACTATTTCTTACGGTCAAAATCTAATATATTTAAGACTAATCAAAAAGATGATGATGATGATGATGAAATTGCATCTCAACGGTTTTTTGCTCCTGAGGAAAGTTAAGCAATTTTAAAATTATTTTTATTAATAAATTGTTTAGCAACCAACTGGATTGGAAACTATTTTTTCTCCTGCCTTAAGTCTTGATGATGAACCATTAATTATACGTGCATTAAGAATAGTTAGTCGGCATAAATTAACTTGGAATGAAGTTATTTCAGTGCTTTGGGCTCTTGAAATAATGATTATTAATATTTTAAATTTAGGAAAATTTTCATATTATTCTTCCATTTTAGGTTCCTTTGGTATAGCATGCAGCATAGCAACCGGCTCTTGGTTTTTGAGGGTTTGTTTATCTTTATATTTATATATATTTATATTGTCTAGAAAACATATATAAAATTGATTTTTATCGGGACTGTTGTCTCTTTTTTTTATTATCTTTTTATTTATATTAATCATTATGATGAAGATTTTGAAGTATTCTTAAAGACATCTAAAACTTTTTTTATCTATAATACTTTAATTACTGCATTTTATTCCTGTTTTAGTTTAAGAATATTATGGATTATACGGTTTTTATGGAGCTATAGACCGTTAAAAGCAAAGCAGGGATGTTCACAAAAGAAAAGTAAAATATGGGGAAAATATGCTTATAACAAATGATATATGTGATTATATATATTATAAATTTAAGAAAATTTTATATAAGATTCTACATAATTGTTTAAAGATTGCCGTATATATAGGATTTAAAGAATAAGGGCTTTTTTTGCCATTTGAAGTGCTCCTTCCTTTGTTTTATTTCCTCCGATAAATCCACTTGTTAATAAGTAATCGCTAATAATGATAATTATTTTTACCTTGCATGTACAAAAATGCAATCTTCTATATTACATTCCAAGCTTAGTATTTTGTCTCTTAGTCCTCTCCATTTTTCAGGTAAATCTAATATAGTTAATACTTTTCTATAATTATGAAATATATACTTTTTCTACTTGTAAAACTATCGGGTGTTACAGGGACCGCGTGTACTCTCCAATCTTTTCCATCTGTATATAATGCATAAAGAATTTGACCGTTTGCGTTAAATTCATGTTCAATTTGAGCCAAATGTGACTATTTATTTAAATATAAAAATAATTTGCCAATATTATTAACCTTCCAAGGCAAAAACTCATCAAAAACAACAATTCTTCCTTCAGAATCATATTTAAATCGCTTTTTAAAAGCCTCAAGGATTAACTCTCGAGCTACAATCCATGCTCTTCCATAATAATCCAACTGATCTAGGAAGATTGATCCAATAAAATCACTTGCTTTTAAGAATAAATTAAATAAAACAGTATCGTCTGAAGGCTGATTCCATCTTCTATAGAACAATCAGAAAAAAATAAAAATATTTATTTTTTTTAACGGATTAAAATTTGCAACTAAAGAAGATAGTTCGAGTTGTGTTTTAAATAAGGGCCTTATATTTTGTGGATATGGACTAATCCCATTATCATTAGCATCAAGTGCTTCTAAAAAAGACTGCAATTGTTATTTTTTTAAAAAATAACAATTTTCATGATAACCTCGTATAATTTAACATAAAGAATATCAACATGTGGATGATTTATATCTAAAGTTAGTCTTTCTGAAATTATACGCTTTCCAAAATGTCTAGAATTCCAATTTAGACGTAAAATAATTAATAAATGTAAAAAAAAACTTAAAAATTAATCCACAACTGCTAAGTTTGGTTTTAAAATTTTCTGAAAATGTTTCATTAAAATATTTTTGATGATGATCAAAATATTTTATTCCATCATATTTTCCTTGAACATCCACAATAATATCACATGTTTCAAGTACTTCTGGATCTCGAGATCTTATAATCTCTGATATAATTAACTTATATTAATAGAAAAATCATTTTATAGAAACCAGAATTTTTAAACTCTGGAAGAAGTCTTAACATATAGACAGCAAGGCATTCATCTGCATGAAATGTTCTACAAATTAATTTGATTTTTAATAAATCAAATTTTCAAAAATACCCATTATGTGTTCCAATTTTCTTATTTGCCATTTCAATTTCTTTAAATTAATAATTAAATACTCCTTATTCTTAATATTTCTATTGCTATTCAGGATAAAATACTAGAGAAAGAAGGTGATAAATAAATGATCTGATTCGCTTTTAATTTGACTCAAAATTTACAAAAAATTAGCCAAAATTTACCTGAAAAAAACGAAATATATGTTATACTATATGAATATTTAAAAATATTGTGTTTTTTATTAATTTTTTCGTATTTTACTTGCAATATTTCTTAATATTTAAATCCAAAAAAACTTTACGTTTGATAGTTAGATGTTCGGACGTTAAGATTTTTATAAAAATTTGAAATAAGTATTATTCATAAATATAGGAATTTTTGTCAAAAAAAACTCTATTTATTGTAAAAATTTTTATAGAAATTAAGGTCTTTGCTTTTTTTTTGGAGTTTTAAGGCTTATTTTTGATAGAAATGGGGTTTATTTATTTTTGTTTAAAAATATTCTTATCAACTATTTCTTTTGGACAGGTAGGCCTTTAAAAAGATATAGACAGGTATTTATTTCATATTTCTAATAGTTTTTTAGCTTATTTTATCCATTCCTTTATCTTTTGATGTAGGAGGGCGAATATCTGGATTGGTATAAAAAGTGATTAAAAATTGATTAAAAATTGACAATTTTTATTGAAGGCGTATACCCTGTCTCTTGAAGTATTGTATTTTTTTATTTGTCTTTTTTCTATTTTGAAAAAAAGCCCAAAAATAAGGCCTTTTGTACAAATTATTACGTTAAGTCAATTTTTAATGGTTCCTTCGTTGATGATTTATTTTCTGGACACTATTTCTGAGAAATCTACGCCTTCATTATTTATACGTATTTGTACGCGTATATGGCTGGCCTTTTTGACACGTTCTACGCCTATTTTTACGTTATTAGAAGGGTTTACATCTTTACTTGTTATTCAAGCTGTTGGGCAATTTGTTAAATGGCTTGTAAATAATTGTTCTGATTGGTGGATGGTAAATTTGTGGAATGTTTTGAAGAAAGCGGAATAATATGAATAGATTTTTCTTCTTTCTGGATCAGGGGGGATTCTTTCTGCATCTTTTTATTTTCTTTATCAAATTTATACATCTCTTATTGTAACAGTGCAAAACGCAACATTGATAGGCATTCTTTTGACATGTGCTATATTTGTTTGCTCATTTAGTATTCATACAGGACGAGGGAATGTAGTTGAAGGATCGCTTTTGGTATGATTGAATATAAAATATTTAAAGTATGATTAAAATGTATAAATAGTTTGCTTATTTGGTGTATTCTGTGTATATGATATCTAGTGATCTTCAACCATCTGGAGATATGTTGAAAGAGAAAAACATAAATAGAAATGGATCAGTTTTGCCCTTTCCTCCTATTATTATGGAAAGGTAAAGCTTTTTAGTAATGAATTTATTACGTATTTTTATATTTATAGTTATACGACTATTGTGTCTTCAATTGCTTTTAAGATACCCAAGGCATTATGGCGCACTGTATTTTTTTTAAAAGCGATTACTTCTACTATTACGCCAAGTATTATTATATCACTTGTTTATCGTCTAATTGTTCTTTATTCTGCTACTTTTATTGTTCCTGCCGTACGAAGTGTTTATCGAGGTGTTGAGCATGTTCCTTCCCTAGATAACAAAGAGCTTACTTCACGAATCATGAATATTTTAATATCTTTTTCACCTTGTGTTTTAATTGCTGTATATACTCATTTACTATTACAGCATTTTTCTCTTCATGGTCATGATGCATTAATATTTGGTATTCAAATGGGATCTGTGTTAATTTGGCGCTGGTTGACTGCTTTTATGGTTGTTGGATTTTATGCCATAGAAATCTTACTGGGTGATGAAACAACTAGTGATATTTTAATATCACATTGGAAAGCATATTGACTATGTTTTTTTATATCTTTCTATCCTGTTTTATTATATTTATTATTAATTTATGTTCAGAATTAACTTGAATTCAGATTTATGGACTTTGTGCATTTTTATAACTGAATATCAGGATTCTCTGAGAATTTACTTACTGATTTGATAGGTTTAAACTTTTGAGATAAAAATTCTGTTTTTTCCTCAATTTCATCACTAAGAATTGGAAAAATATTATTATAAAAGCTATCTTTGTCTCTGGGCTATACTATCAAAAATCAACAAGATATACTAATGATACATATCTCTATAAAATATATGGGTGGAAATAACCTAAAAAAACAAATATAAATACAAATATATCTCATTATTATTATACGAATATCGACTTTATTTATCTCGCATTTTTACATAGATTATATTTAAAGTTCAATATAACGAAATATTAAATACATAAACTTTACATTCTATTCCAACATATAGTCTTATGAACGTGGCTTTTCTTTTTTTTCTTTCCATAATGCTAAAAGCGATACACCAGATACTTTGACAATTTTGAATCTAACACCAGGAATATCACCTATAAAATATTCTTGTTCAAAAACATTCTTTTTGTTTGTTTAAATAATTACCTTTGGCTTTTCCTTTTCTTCCAAAACCTGCAATCAATACTTCATCATTTCTATCCAATTTTAATAAGGTAATATTTATACATATTTTGGGTCTTCTACTCATCTAGAAAATTCAAACAACCATCATTTGGTACAAATGCTGTTATTTTTTTCCCATTTTTAATTAATTGACAACGTACGCACTTGCGAATAGCGGAATTCGGTTGTTTTGCTTCTACTCCTACTTTCTCTAATACAATTCCCTTTGCATGAGAACTTCCTTGAAATGGTGATGATTTATACAATGTTCCTAATAATCTTTTTTTAAATAGTTGATCTGACCTAATGAAAAATTATTAAAAATCTTAAAATCCCACCAAAAAGTAGGACTAAAAACAAGAGTACCATCGTTCCTTGCGACGATGTGTTCTTAGCTTTCGAGCTGCGTTTAATCCCTGAGGTTTTCCCATATTTTTTTTAAAGATAGTTCTCAAAATATTAAATCTTTATCGTGGTGTGACTGTCTGGTTAGACCTAACCCTTATTTTTAATATTTTGATTTTATAAGAACTCAAATTTATCTATTTGTTCTATGTTTCTATATTTTCCTTGTATTTTCTTATTTTTTTTATATTTTTTTATATTTTTTTTATTTTTTTTAGTTTTTGTTATTTTATCAAACTATCTATTTGAGTTAAAAATAAAGTTTTTATTAAGGAGATGATTGACTTATGAATATTATGCATGATTTTTTTCATTTTTTGTTTTATTTTTTTCTTTAAATTAGTCTTCAATATAGGCATCTTTAACTTTTGATACATCTCTTTTTAATGTAACGACAGGTGGTGAATTGTCTTTATTTGATTTTTGTGCTAAAAGCCTTGTTATGTCTTTTTTTTGTTCTATTTTTTTAATAGTTTTCCATTGTTCTGATAAATCATGTCGTTTATTATATATCTGTCTAGAAAATTCAGACAGATAATCTATTTTTTCTCCAAAAAACTTGACTTTATGTTTTAAATATTTTGTCTTACTAATGTATTTGGGTATAGCTTGAATCTAGACTATTTTATAAATTTTTTTTAGAAAAATATCTTACATTTAATATAATATCTTTATATTCTGAAATTTTGTTAAAGTTATCTTTTTCTTTAGATAAGTATTCATTAAGATACGTTTGCTTTTCGCTTGATAAATCAAATTATTTGTGTTTTAAAAGATATATCTAAACACCTACGTTAAATTTTGTATTCGTTCTTTAAGATGTTCTAATAAATCTAAAATTTCAATACTAAGTGGCTTTTCATCAAAATCGTCTTTTGATGTTATATCTATAGGTGAATTCTCCATACATTAATTATATTAATTTATTAGGTGTTAAATATTTTAAATTTTATTATCATATATATTACAACTTTATATGATAGTTTATAAAAGTATTTAAGACGATACTACTCTATATTAATAAATGTTATTTTTATTGTAAATCTTTTTTAAAAAATATATCTAATTTATATAAGAAATAATATAGATATGTAATATATAGATATATAGTCTATACCTTGAAAAGATAAATTGCTAAATCTGAAAATTATTCTTAAGATTAATTTTGCTAAATATTGAAATATTTGTTCTTTTTAAATTTTATATGTTATGTTTAATTTTAATATTGATCATAAGAATTTAGTTGATTTCAAATGTTAATGTTATGCATTCAATGTACCTTCTTTTTTATGTATTTAATTGCCATGTTTTTCAAAAAACATTAAATAAGTCTGCATGCTATTTTCCTGTAATATCTTTATAAAAAATAAACTTCGCTAAATCATGAAAAGTCATATGCTTTAAACAATATGTATAACTAATTTGTTGAGAAGTGTATATAAAACAATAATAAAATGTAATAGAAACTGGTTAATTATAAACGATTTGCTATTAATAAATTATATTGCTTATTTTTAGTAAAATATACATCCTAGTTTCTGTTATAATATTTAATTAGATTTTATAAAAAACGCACTAGTATTCCCATACTTCGTAATATGCAGTTATATATTTGTGGATTCTAGTTCCCAAACATTTATGTTTCCATCATCACCGCAAGTATAAATATATTCGGATTCTGAAATATTGCAGAATATTGAACAATTCAGTTCATATACATCATGTGCATTCTTTTGTATAGCTTGAATGGTCCAACCTTCTTTATTTTCTTCGTAAATAACTAAATTTCCATCTGATCCACTAGAAACAATTCTTCCTGACGTTCCACTCCATGAAACCGAATAAATTGTACCTGTATGTACTTTAGGTAAAGTCGTTTGCTCGATCCAGGTTTCTTCAAAAGGTACGAGAATAGGTGCAATATTCGAATAATCTTGAGTTCTGGGTTCTCGTTTCCATATTTTTATCGTTTGATCATCAGATGAAGAAACTGTTGTATATTTAGATTATAGAATTTTTATTACATGTTAATATACCAAGTCTTGGATCAAATGATCTTTTTTCAAAGTCAATACACCAAACTGTACTGTTATGCCCAGTTATGTTTGCATAGCATGCCCAATCATCTTGGTTATCTTTCCATAGCTTAATTGTATTATCATAAGATGCTGATGCCAATCTCTGATGAATAAATTAATAGAAACATTATATATATGAATTTAATACTTCTTCTTTAGGATGCCATAAGACCATTTTTACATCTTGTGTATGTTCTTGAAGTATGGATAAACAATCAAACTCGTTTTCTTCTTCTGCTGTAGAAATTGATGAATAATATATAGGTGATAATATATATTATAACCTTCCCATATCCATATACTTTTATCTCGAGAACATGTTGCAATTAGTCCTCCATCCGATGACCAATTAACGCTTTTTACTTCACTTTCATGTCCTTCTAATGTTGCCATGCACTCCCATTCTGATTTATTTTCATAATCTGGCTCCCAAATCCCTATTGTTCCATCAAAACTGGCCGTTGCTAAAATAATATCTCCTTTTGTTTGAGGCTTCCAAGAAACAGATCGAATACTTCGTTGGTGACCGCCTTCTAATGTTGCTATACAGCGCCCATTCTGTGTTGACCAAATCTTTGCTGTTTTATCCGATGATGCTGAAGCTAATAGAGGAAGTGTTGGATGTAGAGAAAGATTCCATACACGGTCGACGTGACCAGAAAGTGTTTGTATATGACGAAGATATTTCATTTTTGACAAGGTAGAATGATTATTATATTGATCTAAGTAATATGAAAATAATAGATGATATATTTTAGTTACGATTCGTTTGATAAAGTAGAAGTTAAATAGTCTATTATACTGATATACTTTTCATAATTTTTTACAAAGTTTGAAGGAAATAGGGTTAATGATTCCATACGATTCCGCTTAGTACTTCATCTACCCATAAAACATCGCAACTAGTGGTTTCTACAGCGGTTTGATTAGTAATGTTTCCATGTGAATGCGTATTGAACTGATCTTCGATCGAAACACTAACTGATTTGGAAATGGTAATTCCATTGAAAGTTGGATTAAAGTTTTCCTCAGATTTTTGTATAGTTGTAATGATTGGATAAGATGATTGCGATGTTCGAATACGTTCAAGATCTTTCAAAATTGGGGAAAAATCACGTCGAATATCTTGTGTAAACAATGCTTCTCCCTGGCCTAAAATAGACCATTGATTCGCTTTGAAAAGACTAAGTGGAATAAATTTAACATTGTTATTAGGTTGTAAATGAACATGAATAGGTATGATGTGACGAAATAAGATTATGGTTGCATGTTTTCCTTGATAATGACCTGAGCATGGGATACGTATGAGCTCTGGAATTAGGATTGCATCTTGAAAAAGATATTCATTGACATATCGACTGATTTGCAATAATGCTTCCTTCAATTCTGCTTTAAATAATGTCATAGATGAACCAAAAGTTTGTGGATGATCATTTTGGGTTAAAAAATGAAGTACTTGTTTCGCTGTTACATTTTCTGATGATTTTAAAAATGACATTTGTTCCTGGTCAAGCATTCTAAGTGATAACATTTTACACGGTATCATACAATCATTAAATTTATCTACCAAAATTTTTAGGCCATGATGTACGTGTGCTTTGATGATAAAAATGCCGACATAAATGCCTGGTTTATACGAATCCTCATAGATTCGATATAGTCTCATACTGTCAATGTATTCTGTAATCTCTGCCCGGGGAACTTGAAGTGAACGAACAAGTCCATCCAGAATTAAATGAACCGGTGCAAATCGGAATCCATATGATAAATATCGATTACACTCTGATCGATTTGCATGTTTGATAAGAAACAACATTTGACCTTTCCCGTACATTCTTGATATTGGATTTAATATTTCTTTGTCATGTTTTGATTGTTGTATCTTTTTTTGTCCTGTTTTCATAATTCCATCATAAAGGATGCCTACTTGATGTAATGGCTCATGTAACAATTCTGCAAGCCGTGTTGCAGTGACTATAAATCGCTCTTTAAAGATCAATGAATAATCAATCTGTTGGTTATCGGAAGGATCTGATAATTTTACATGATCTTTCATAATTGGAACTAGATTGATAACACTTTTCCAAGCACGGCTGACTTTATAAATCCAATAAAAGACATGATGATCCACATCGAATTCATCGTTTAATGACTGAAAAAAATGAATTAGTTACGTTTTAACATAACATTTCTTCATATAACATACTCGTTTATGATACGTATCAGTGATTTCATGAGAAATAAGCATTCCATCGATTGTTACTAATAACTTTCCTTCACTATCAAAAATAGCACGTGTAAGAACAACTTTTTGTGCTCGATCTTTTCTAGCCTTTAATCGACGTGTTGCCTCGAACGATAGGGCCAATAATAAGAAACATGCTGTAGCTGACTAGGATTATATGTTAGTTTGATTGACCTAGGCAAGAAATATATATTTACAATAACACCAATAAAAATGATAGTTGTTTTTTGAGATATACCTTTATTCGTGATACGACGATATCGATAGACTGTACCTAACGATGCAATCCAATGCATGCCTTTTATTGTAATATTAATTATATGAAGTTTTGAAAATATATTTAAAAAAACCTGAAACAGCACTAGCGAGTAGAAATGAACATCCTAATAATTTCCACCATGCATTTGTCCATTTAGATTGAAGTGTAAAGAAAAGTGCTAAGGTAAATACCGTTGCGCAGATGGCAATAATTACCTAGGATAATATTTAGTAAAATTTGATAATGAGAAATTTCTTTATGCACCGATCCAATCACATATCCAATATTATAAAAGGCTATATAATTCGAAATTCCTGCTTGGCCTGTATAATGCATTCCTAAATTGTTCAGGCTCAAATTATAGTCTGTAATAATAGCTGCATACCACAAATAGCTAGGCCTCCAATTATTCCCCCGCCTAAAATACGTATAGGAGATACTTTTTCATTCGTTCCAGTCAATAAATATGCTAAAAGCAAGACAAGAACTGGAAGAAAAAATGATAATGCTGTAAATCCTGCATTATATTCTAGTTGATATTGGGGATCCCCATCATGTAGAATAATTGCACGATTTCCCAAAAAATGCATACTCCATATAGCAATTCCTCCCATAGAAAGTGATGAACTCAGAAGTAGGGACCTATATATTAAAAATATACTAAGTCTCAAAAACCTACCAGTTGAATATTCCATGAACCGATGTTCGATGTCTTAGTAATTCTAGTGTAGTATATGACCCTAGTACTGAAATAAAGTATGAAACAAGAACAATTTTTGGTGAAATATGCTATAATCATATATTAATAAAATACTATAATATTTCTTTTTTTTATTATCAATTAGCTTTACCTGCTCAGTTTTTTCTCCATATACTAGTTCCTGAGACATGATGTGGTTTGGAATATATTTCAATTGAGGATCACAGGGCTTTTATATTTAATTTTGAATCGATAAGCTTTATTAATTAAATATGCATAGAATATGAAAAAAATGCATATATTACGGGAAAATGACGCATATAATAGAATATATGGAGCATATATATACAAATTTTATTTTATTCTTTATATTAGTGTTTGTTTTTGTTTATATTTATATATATATTTAGGAATATGCATATAAAGCAGCGAATCGCTATGACCTTTGATGAATTAAAGACAGGTTATTTAAATAGTATATAAGGTACAAGAAATTATTTAAGATTTATATTTAAGATGTGTTTAAAAATAAATTGTTTTTATAAATAGTTATGTATTTGAGAAATAAATGAAAAATTGATGAAAAATTTAAATGTAGTGCTAGGGTTTAAAATATAAGAGTTTAGGTCTTTAAATAAAAGGGTACAGAGCTATAAATATTGGTAAATAATATCAGTGTTAGGATCAATTAGGTTAGAAGTTAATTTATAAAAATATATCATGTTAAAAAGAAAAAGCAACCTTTTTATTTTTTCTTTATGTTATTTCCTAAAAATATAGAAAAGATTTGCTTATAAACCAATTAAAATATACTAGTAAAAATGAATAAAGTTTTTTTAAAAAACCTTAGTATTAAATAAATATTAAATTTGAAGATTTTCTATTTGGAAATATGTTTTTCTATATAAAGATTAGAATACTTCCATTATAAAAAGCATCGGAAAATGTATTGCTTTAAATATGAATATAATCAATGAGTTGTGCGAAATGGTTCGTTGTAGTCTAGAATTGAATCTTCTTTAGTTTGAGATGTTTGTGGAGAAGATGCTTTATCATATATTATGCCTGGATAGTTTTCGAAATCGTGAAAATCGTTTTTGCGATTAAAAGGAGTGTTAATATTTTTATAATATTGCGATCTATTTTCATTCCAATATTCTGAATCAGCGGAATGATTAAATTTGTCAACATATTGATCATTTATTTTACGACTTTTACAATGGCGCCATGTTAAGTAAATAGTTCCAATTAATATAAAGACAAGAATAATAGCTAGGATATGATAATATAATTTCCATGCGTTTTTTTCTTTTTCAAGCAAACTATTGTTTTTAGAATTAGGATTGAAAGAACCAGTTTCACTTTTGGCCCTTGATTCACGAATTTTCTTAATTATTTCTTGGTCAATTCCTAGAAATCTATTTAACATATCCTGACTTTCCAATGGTTTATCATAAGGAACCATATGAGATGCATCTTTGATTATGATATATGTCAAATTTCTGTCATATTGGTAATATCCAGCAATTTTATCCATAAATATCCAGTCTTGTCTTGGTATCCAAGTACCATCTTCTTGGATAAAGCCTTTGCGTCCATTCCATTCCAGATTATTAATCAGATCTTCTGTGCCAAGATGATTACAAATAATGTCTTTATCTCCACTTGACATTATTAGTATAAAAATTATTTAGTTTATATACATAATAATTACCTATACAAAACAACTTGTATTTTACTTAAGATATATGGAAGCAATTCAATAGATGGAGGGGAACTATATCTCAAAAATGTTTCTGTAAAACGTAGATTGCATTCTTGCCAAACAATTTTTTTATCATTATCGACATTTAAAGCTTTTAACACCTCTGGTTTCTTGAAATGTTAATAAATTATAAGAAATCATAAAATGAATTACTCTTAAATAAGAAGTCAACTGCACTGACCCATTAGGCCATTTCATATCACATGAAGGATATTTTAGTCTTAAATCATACATATTAACACATTTTTTATCCTCCCTAAGATCAGGCTTAATGATCATTGAAAGAATAGAATCACAGTTCTGAATATCTTTCAGTTGTTTCTTCGAAAATGCTAGTTCGCAATCTTTTACTGCTTTTTGAATTTGCTCTTCTTGTTCAGAACCCTTCTTGACCAATCCGTTTTTTATTGAAAAAGGCAAATATGATTTATAATGAGTTAAAGGATCAATCCATCCATTTCCTATAAGGATTCCTTTAAGGTTATAATTCTTTTCTTTTCTTAGCAGTTTTATAAAAAATAGTTCTTATTTACTTTTTTATTATTTTCTTCGTTTCTTTTCAAAATAGCATTTGCAATATATGGAACATACTGTCCAGAAAATGATTCTCCTGTTATATAAAGCTATTATCCGTTAGCTTCCTGCTAAATTTCGATTAAATAATAAATAAACCTCGTCATTTTTGTATTGCGGAAATATTTCAAAAAAATTGTCTAAAAAAACAAGGAAATCACTAACAGTCTTGAAAAATAAATTCAATTTCCTTCTTTCCATATGTTATCCTCACCTGAGATAATCCATGTGGATAATTCTCTGGTAAACTATAACTTAAACCTGTTCCTGCTGGCTGATCCACTAAACACATATTTAGACACGCAAAGAGCTAATAACCCTTAAATACCGAAAACAACGTTAGAGAATTCATTCCATTCCCCTTGATTTCCTGAAAGTAGCCCTTCTTTAGTCATTCTAAACGGTCCATTCTCTAAAAAAGCGCCATCCATAGAAGAACATCCAGGTCCTCCATTTAACCAAATTACCTAGTGATTATTAATAAAAATAGTGTATTATATATTAAATTAAATAAACCGTTCTTTGTTTATCCACAATATATCTGTTTTCTACAAATAAAAAGAAAAGCGAATTTTCATTCTTTTCATTCACTTTAATATGACTAACTTGTCAATAAATCCTCATTATATATTCTTCCCCTACCCAGAATACAACTTTAAGTTCAAATTTTCTACTAATCCAGGCATATTTTCAACATAATAGTTGGAAACTAATTATAAATTAGATCTTAAAAGGCTCTTTTTCTTCATGAAAACCTGAAACTGCATGAATAATGCGCGAATAGGCCCATATTAGAAAGAATATAAATATTTTAGTCATTTTAAGACGCTTATTTACTGATAAATTAAGATTTTATGCAAAAAAAATCGATCAGAGCTAATATATAGAAAAAAGCTGAAAGGGTTAGATATAAAAATTAAGTAAAAAAAATACATAATAATCTTAAAAATGATATGATATTGGTTTAGATTTTATATACATATATAAAAGAGGGACATAAGTAGTATTTTTATCTTGTAGTTTTTTTTGCTCTTGGCTTAAGCTAGAGAAAAATTAGATAAAAGATAAAATGGTTTACTTACTTCATCAACACCAACAGGATGGAGCATGATTTTATTAAGTGTTTGTGGAGTATTTCCCTGATATCCCTATTTAAATTAGTTTATTTTTTTATATAAATAAAAATAAAAACACCTTACTCCAATCATAACTAATTGCGTATGCAAAAATATCACCAGTTCGATTAAAAGCAGTACATGAAATTGTTCCACCTACATTAGCAAAGCCCTTTAGTCTGTGTTTTGAATCTTTATCCCTGCAATAATGAGAAATTTAAATAAATAGGTATATTTGTACCAAAAATGAAAAGTTCCATCAGAACCTGCTGTGGCAAAAGTTCCATATTGTGGATGAAATGAAATATCATTAACACTATATACGTTTGAGCTATTATTAGCAAGCCCTGTAGAATCGCGATGACATCGAAAGGAAAAGTTTAAACTAGTTATGTGTTAAACAGTTTCTTTTTCTTTATAAAATTGCCATGAAAAATTCGAAGAAAGTGATATACTTAATGATTCTTTTTCCGAATATTTTTCGGGATTTTTTTAAAGGATTTTTGAAGTAAATAAATAATCTTACCTTGCATCTTTGTCTTCCACATATTGAATTGCACATCTCCCCTCTACGCTACCAATAGCATAGCCATTTGCCTTAATAAAGCACGAAATAACACGCGTTTGAAATTTAAGTGGAGATTGTGTCGTTTTAAAAATAGTCGTTGGATTATTTAGATGAATAACACACACATGTCTATCTGCTGTCCCAATTACCATTAATTGATTCATTACATCCATCGTATAACATCTTTCCGGTAACTGGACTGTTGCAATTGGTTGTTGTTGTCTTAAATCCCAATATTTAAGCATTTTATCCCATGATCCAGTTGCAAGAATATTCCCCATATTACCTCCATCAATAAAACGGCATGATTTAATTGGTAAATCATGACCTGCTACTTGAATACTTTGACCCGTATGTAAATCAAATAACATTCCTGCTTTATCTGTACCCACTGATGCTATTTTAGTCCCATCCTATAATGTCTTTTAAAACTAATATTATATAAAAAAAATCGCACTTTTGACCAACAGCATGACAAAACATGTCCTTGATGTTCATACATTGCCTTTCCCGTTGTTTGGCCTGATGATTGAACCTCATATATTTTAACTTTTTTATCCCTAAAAAAATTTAAATCTTTATCATTCAAGAAAAAATGAATACCATGATGAAACTGCAAGAAATTCTGCCTGTGGGGAAAACGATACTCCTGAAATACTATCTTCTGGTGGTTGTATCACCTTATTTCATTAATTTTTACCCTCATCTATTAATATTTACTTCAATATCATTCTTGAGTTCCTGATTTGTAATTGATGTGGATGATGTGGATCCAAATAAAGATGTCATAGGATTATATTAAGCTATTAGTATTTATTTTATCTGATGAATCGCTCCTTATTTATTTATTTAAAGGTTGATTTGCTGGTAATTTGTTTTTTTAACGTTGAGAGTGCTGTTTCAGCGATAACTAAGAGAATGGTTATGGCTGGGTTAATTTATGAATAAACAACTTTCTGGGTAAAATTTAACAGAAATTGTTCATTTTTTATTGTTTTTAAACATAATTATAAATTGTTGGGTTTTTTTTCTTTCTTTTTTTCTTTTTTTTAATTTTTTACTGAAATATTAAAAACTAGTTTTAAATACTTTTAAAACTAGTTTTTTTTCTTCCATTTTTCAAGAAAAATCTACATAAAACTTAATTTATTCCTTTTTATAGACTCTTTGATGATACCTGTTCTTTCTAAAGAAACTATGTTTCCATAGAAACTATGTTGTTATGGAAATATATGTTACTATAGAAACCTTTGGACCCATAAAAAAAATAAAAAAGACTATTTAACTTATTTAAACCATTTTTTAACAACGGCTATTTTTTAATTTGTGTTTTTTTCTGCTTTTAATAATATTTTTATTTATATTTTTTTGAGAACTTTAATGATTCACGTGAATTTCGATATAATTTTTGAGGCTTTTTGCAAGTTCGGTAAATTTGACTGAAAAAAAGAAGATTTTGGTGGTGTAAAAAGAGGGTTATTTTGACTAGAAATTATTAAATAAAAGTATTCATCGCTTTTTTGAAGTTTTGTGAGTAAGTTTCTTTTTTTTTGGTTAAAAAAAGGTTAAAAAATAAAAGAATTATGTCACTTGAATATAGACGGAAACTTGTTATTGTTGGTGATGGTGCTTGTGGAAAGACATGTTTGCTTATGTAAGAATGATTGATTGTCGAAGGTTTCATGAATACACTGATGCTTTTTTAGTGTTTTTTCTAAAGGGACTTTCCCGGAGGTAAGCAGATATGAGTATTTTAAGAAAATATTTTTTAATTTTTATACACGAAAAAATGTGTTTTTGTGTTTGGTAGTATTTAATAGAGCTGTAGGTTTATGTTCCGACCGTTTTTGAGAATTATGTTGCGGACGTTGAAGTTGACGGTAAACATGTAGAACTTGCACTTTGGGATACTGCGGGACAGGAAGATTATGATAGGCTGCGTCCTTTATCATATCCAGACTCCCATGTTATCCTTATTTGCTTTGCAGTTGATTCACCTGATTCTTTGGATAATGTTCAAGAAAAAGTTTTTTTCTTTTCTTTTATTAGGTTTTTTTTCTCTGATTTTTTAGTGGGTTCCGGAAGTGTTGCATTTTTGTTCAACTCTCCCTGTTCTTCTTGTTGCATGTAAAAAAGATCTTCGTCATGATATGAAAACTATTGAAGAACTTCGTAAAACATCTCAACGGCCTGTTACGACTGAGGAGGTTTTTTTCTTTTAATTACATTAGTTCTTATAGGGTTAAATACGTATTAGGGACGAGCTGTTTCTGCTAGAATCGGTGCAGTCGATTATCATGAATGTTCTGCAAAAACAAATGAAGGTGTTCGTGAAGTCTTTGAGTCTGCGACAAGGGCTGCAATGCTTACAAAGCAAAAAAAGACGAAAAAATGCATTATTGTTTAGATTGTAGTCTTATGATATTATTACTAAATAGGGGTTAAGTTATGTTTCATTTTCTTATTGAGCTCTTTGCAGCATTAAATATAGCAAATAAATGAAATTAAGAAATTTTGATAATAAATTATTTTGTATTTTATTTATTATTTTTTTTTTTACTTCCATATTAATTATTTTTCTTTTGGTTATATATTTTATGAATTATAATTCGGTAAATTATAAATTTTTCCATTATTTCGACAATGTAGAATGTTATTTGAATATGATAAATATAATGTATTTAATTAGTCAATTGGTTATCATTTTTATCTTCCTTTTTTGTTTTGTTTGCTCTTCTTTCTGCTTTAAACATTTCTACTTTAGCTTTTAATTCCTCGTCTAGAAAATAATTAGTTTTTTTTTTTATTTTACGTATAAGTTACTTGGTATTAAATCTTCTAATTTTAATGGAGATCTATTAAATGGATCTTTTTCTTCACTTAATAAATGACTTTTAATGGTCGCCATATCAACGGTAACACGACTGCTTGGTAATATCACTGGATTTGTCATCAAGCATGCCATAATAGGATCTGTTATAGTTATTTTCTAAATATATGTATTCTAAAAGAAAAAATACCTAGAAATTCCTCCGGAATTTCTCCAAGTTCCTCTTCATTATCTTCGTCTTTTTTCTTCACTTCTTCTACATCATTTATTAAAGATAATAAATTGTTAATATCGTCTAAAGATTTCGTAGAATATTTCTTAAAAATTTGTGTAGCACGAATAAATAAATCTCTTTTGTATGAGCGACCATCTTTTGCTATTGCCATAATGAAAGATTTTTTTGAACGTAAATTAAGATATATGTCAGCAATCGTAGAAAGAAGAGATTTTGGCTCAAATCTGTATTTTTCAGGGTTTCTTACCTTTAATTTCGTACATTTAGGTCCAACCAATGCATTCATATTATAGTCAAGCATAGCAGCTAAACGATCTAAAGAAATATTAGTATTAAATTTGAATTTTTTATTTATGTAAACTTACCAACAACTTCAGGACAACAAAAAGCATCTGGTATGCTAGCTGTAAATCTTTTTAGCAATTCTATGGTTTCCGTAGCTAATGACATATATGTTGTTGCATATTTTTCTAATTGAGCTAAGTAATGGCGTTTTTCTTGTCTTTCATCATTGAGAGATAAATTTTCTGGAACATTTTCCAGTTCCAGTTGAAGATTATGTATCTCTAAAAGTTTTGAAAGGGCTTCATCGAGTAAATAGGTCACGTCATTAAGTAAGAGGGCGACAAATTTGACAAAAAAATTAAAGTTGTTTCTAGTAAATGTGAGAAAGTGAATGGAAAAATAGAAATACTGACCGGCTTTCCAATAAAAGTTTTTCACGATGGCCGGGATTTTCCCATATAGCTTTAAAAATCTGTGATATTTGATATCTTATATTAAATTTATCGTAAAATTGAGAAGATAGACCAGTTGACTCGACTTCTATAATACTAAATATATATATATATATGCAAAAAAATGCTATTTACCAACATAAAATAACATCAATGCTGGCAAAAGATGATGCAATGAAAAAGTGTTAGAATTGAGTATGTCTCCCAAAACTCCATAAGGATAATTATGCTGTTTTAAAATCCCATAAAATAATATTTCTGCAAGCTTCGCCTTGAGATATGGGTTTTTAATATAAGATGGGCTTTTAAGAAAAGTAATTATAAATATAACTAGTTCGATAGCCGAATTAGATATAATTAATTCTGGATTATATCTAAACAAGTAAGAAAGTATCATTATTGATAATATTATACTTAGACATATACAAAAAAAAATCTGCTATCTCTTCTACAAAATATTCCGGAAGATTTCGTATATTGTCATTGACATTTTGGGGTAAAGGAAGACTAATGAAATATTAAAATTAATAATGAATGTCAAACATACGTTATTATTTTTTGTGGATGCTGATGTTCTGGGTCAACATGTCTTAAAAGCCAAGATGCAAGTAAAGATAGAAAAGAAAAGGATTTTGATTGCAAAACATTATCTAAAAGCATTGTATCAAAACAATAACAATAACTTTTTGTTTTTTCTATTTGTAAATGAAGTTGTTTCATATTTGTATTTAAAATAGAAGCATGAGTAGTCTAAAAGTCTTATAAAATAAAATAAAGTTTGTTATAAATCTTACTTTAATCCAATGAGATTTTTGAGATTCCAAAATATCATATTGTTTCTGCAAATCACTAATCCTTTTCATAATATGTTCATGATTAAGCATGGCTGAACCAAGACCATAATAATGATATGCAACATTTAAGAAAAAAATCTCAGATATGAAATTAGGAATATCCTGGATCTCATCTTCGTAAAATAATTCTGAAGTTTTTTCATCTGAATTTAGTTTTGTTTCTTTCGCAATGCTGATTCTTGGCCTTTTTTTAAAGTAATCAATATCGATTCTATCAATCTTATTATTTTAATTACGTTTATCAAGAACATTAAATAGATACCTTCAAATAATTTACGTCAATGAAAGGTTCCGAAAAACTATTTATAATATTGGTAATGTTAACAATATAACCATCTGTGCTGATTGATTTCGGATCGGCCTTTTTTATAATGAATTGTTTGAAAAATAGTCATCATATATTATCTTACATGAAGTGCTTTTCTTTTTTTGTTTAATTCTAATACTTTTGCAAAATATTCAAGCATTTTTTCTTTACACTCTGGAGATGTTCTTACAATCGTGTTTATAATAAAAAACAATTGGTTCTATTATCAGATTAATTTTTATTGTTAATAATATTTTTCTCACTTGTAATGTTCGCATAGTGAGTCTTAAACTATTTATGGATCCTAATATATCTGCTTGAGAACGTTGAGATGCATTTGAAAAATATAATTCTGATATTTTAGCCTAACAAATGAATATGTATTTAAATAATATTCTTTCTATTATACCTGCATTGGTGTTAGACGAAGATATGGTCCTAAAATAGAAGTATATTCGATATCGGCAGCTGTGCTATTTTCAGGTAGCCATGCAGGCAAACGAATTACCATTAATGTAAATGGCTTTAGTGTAACGAGCTGATTAAATACCTGAATTTAAGTAAATAAGGATAGTCACTCGGAAATATTACTTTAATATATGGCTGATAATCATCCATAATTGTTTTTTGGCAAAGACGACGACTTAATTCGACAATTGTTTCCCCCAATAAATCTGTTAATGTTCCTTCTTTATCAAATTGATGAACTAATTCTCTAAGAAAATCAAATGGAATCCCGTTACTCGTATCTAATTCTTGCAAAAGTTTATTTGCAAAGTCGATCGGTGCATGCTGAAGTCTTTAAATCCATAAGATTGTTCAAAAATTATTGATAAATAGACACATACTCAAACATTTCAGGAAGTGTAATTGAAAGGCCCGAATAACTAACAAAAAGACGTTTAGCTTTCTTAATAATCTTTAGTTTTTCCTCTACATCAGGTAATTTCTGTATTAACTTTTGCACGGAAATCGCGCGTTTCCAACAACTAACGAGATAATCAAATGGTTGATTAGGCGATGGCATTGAAAGACGTGCAAGAATTACTCTATCAAGAGTATCAATTGAGATCACCGGTTCTTCATATTAGATATGCAATATTGGATTTAAATATGCTTTTACCCAATGATTCATCAATCAGTTCTTGTCGAAGATTTGATAAAAACATATAATTTGGAACCTTTAAATGTCCCTCCAGCTATAAAGATAATCATTAATTTTATTCAAAATCATTTCATATTATTACATCTAATGTTACTTGTAATATTTTGCTTAATGTTGATGATTCCCAAGCAACAAATTCTGAAATATATACTGTTTTAATAGGTATCTTATCTGATGATGAAACGGGGTTTTCTCTATTATTTATATCCAATTCTTCTTCAATTTTCCGATCCCTTTCTTTTAATTCCATTAAGATCCTGCTTAACGTTTTTTAATAAAAATTTAAATATAAAATTCTCTTTTCTTAATATTTCTAATAAAATAGTTAAAAGCTAAATGTTAAAAATTAGTTTAAGAACCTTAATATTTTCAAATTTATCTTCAAATCTTAACTGGACGTCTACTTTCCGGCCATCGATTTTAAAGGTAGGCCGTCGAGTAAAAATCCACACGAGTAAGAGCAGGTGGAAGGAAGAAATAAAATACAGAAAGAGAATAAATATAAGGTATTTTTGTATATTTTATATTTAATCTGAATAATAGATATGGTCATTAGCGAAGAATAATATCGTTTCGACTTGGTCCAACACCAATGTAAAGAATTTTAACGCCAATAAAATCTTCAATAAATTTAACATATGTTTGTGCTTGTATAGGCAATTGATCGAATGAAGTACAGCCGCTTGTTTTCGTCAGCCATCCAGGCAATGTTTTGTATTCGACAACAAGATTTTTGAAGGTTTTTAGATCGGCTGAAAAAAATTAATAAGAAAGAAAAGGTACATATGTATTGACCGGAAATGTATGGAATTTCTTTATTATTAACTTTATATGCAATGCCGATTTTTATTTCTTTTAGAGTATCTAAGACATCGAGTTTTGTAATCATAAGACTATTGACTGATAAGTAGCAAGAAGAAAAAAATAATGTAAACCTTGAATAGCCATTAATCCAATTTGAATATCGCACGAGTACAAGATCAAGCCATCCACATCTTCTTTTTCTGCCTGTTGTAACGCCCCATTCAGAACCTGTTCGTTGAAGATGTTCACCTATATTCTAAAAAAAAGTCATATTTGTAATTGATAAAAATATGAAATAATCACATCGAAAAGTTCTGTTGGAAATGGGCCAGAACCTACTCGTGTTGTATATGCTTTCATAACTCCGATAACATTCTTGATTTTCTTTGGAGGAAGACCTAACCCTGTACATACACCACCAATCGATGTATTCGAACTTGTAACATACGGATATGTTCCATAATCAATATCAAGCATCAATGCATTTGCTCCTTCAACAAGAATCCGTTTTTGTGTTGTCATTATTGAATGTATAAAATATACTGCATCCACCACATAACACCGAAGCTTTTCAGCATATTCCTATGGTATCTGTTCAGTTCCTCGATTTTAATATAATGTATTGGTTTCCTTTACCCTGTATTTATTTATTTCTTTTTCTACGTCAAATTCGAATTGTCCATATCGACGTCTACAAGATTCAAAATTTTCACGAAAAAGACGTTCAAATTCAGAAAAATCATATAAGTGATGTACTCGAATTCCATTTCGCTCTGCTTTATGGCTATATGCGGGGCCAATACCTTTTTTTGTTGTCCCAATACTATATTCTCCGAGCTCGAGTTCTTTTAATTCATCGATCACTTGATGATAATCAAGAACGAGATGAGCACGATCTGATACAAAAATTCGATTTTGTGTACAAATTCCTTTTTTTTCTATAGCTTCTAATTCGGCAAAAAAAGAAGGAATATGAATTACAACTCCCGATCCAATAAGATTTAAGCAATTTGGACTGGTCATTCCCGATGGAAGAATATGAAAATCATATGTTTGATCTCCTATAACAATTGTATGACCTGCATTATTTCCACCCTTCTAATATTTAATTTTTCTCTTAAAAATCATTTTCTAAGTAATATTACTTGACAACGAGCACACAAATCTGCCTCTCTAGATAATATATCTACAAGTTTTCCCTTGCCTTAATATTATCAGTTTTTAAAGATTCTTTATTGAAAAAAAAAACGATTTACCTTCATCTCCCCATTGAACTCCCAGAATAACTGTTACTCTTAAAAATATTAGTTTATATTTTAAAATTAGCCGAAAAAGACGTTTTAACTCACCCGTCTTGAACTTTTTGGCCCGTTGCCATACGTTCGGCTTCATATACGATCAACGGATCGATTACAAGACTTGTTTCACGTGATTTGCACGTGACACAAGTTCATGTCACTTGTAATGCCGTGTAGTGGCTCCGCCAGATGTAATGGCTTCGATTTCCTCAGGAGTTAGAAGACGTCGATGAAAATGTATAGGAAGTGAGCTAATGTTAATTGATAGTTCTTTAGATGTATCAGGAATGTGGTTTTTAGGTGTTTGAGGTTTTATAAAACGATTTTTACCGAGGAAACGAATAAGAGGTCGATGTATATGCATAATTTATATGTGTGTAAGCCGAAAATTAGCGTTAGAGAAATTTGGAGATCGATAGCAATAAGTTGGTAAATATTTTATTTTTATCGATATATAAAGTAAAATATTGTTTTTTTTGTACAATTGAGCTAATATATAGCGCATATAAGCCTTATTTATTAAGTATATATAGGGTTTAATATGTTAAATCTATATAATTTGTTTGCAGGTCTATCTATATAAGAAAATTGAGGCATATATTTGAATATAATATTATATGCAGATCATCTTAAAGCATTGGTGTATTTAATTATGTTTTTTTGATTTTGGGATGCAAGAAATTTCTCTTTTTTCTGGAATTAGTTGTCATAGAAGGGAAAAAGTGATACAGTTGCTTGAACGACTTACAGGTAGAAAACAGCATGAATTTAAAGAATGGCATTTAGTCTATGCTCCTCCAGGTAGATAAAGATTAGTGCGCAGGAAATCAATAATGAGTATAAAATCCATATAAGACGCATATAAGGCGCATATAAGGCGCATATATTTCGGTAAAAGCATGCATATAATTTGGAATATGTGACTTGATAAGCGGGATTTAGATTATATACATTATATATTGGTATATGTGTGTTTGATATGTTTATATCTTGTTATAGAGGCGCGTATATAATGTGTATAATGGGTATATAATTCTGAACGTCTGTGTATGTGTTTTATGCATATATTTTCATCTGCGCATGTTATATTCAAGCATATTGCTTATATTTTATTTTGTAGCATCTTTAGAGTCAGATTCTGCATTATTGGTACGACCTGATTTGTATCTTCGACTTAGTACATCCTTGACCAATAGTTGTCTTGTCGATAATAATTCAAATAATGATTTCCTTTTAGCACCCAATGACACGTCTAATATTTTAATGCAATTTTCCTCATACGATTGGTATTTTTTTTTTATTTTTAAATGGTTTTCAATACTTTCAGGAAGATATCACTCGTTGATGCGCCCGATATGGGTGTAAAACGCCCGGTAACATCTCGATTGTACCTTCAATCGCGTGTTTTGTCTGGAAATGTGTTTGCATTTCTTGAAGAACTTGATTATGTGTATGGTTAAGGGCTTTTAATAATCAAGATTTATTATAATAGGTTTCATTTTGAATATGTGATGCAGGGTGTGCAATTTATATATGGAAATTGTATATTAATTTTGTTTCAAACATTGCGTGTGAGTTTTATATATATAGATGTTATAATTATTTATGAGAGATAGCCTTTAGAGAAACATTTATTGGAAGATTTGGTACATGTAGATATTTCCGGTGGATGGATACTTCAGGCATCTGTTTATATAGAGGATGCAAGTGATCAGGCACTTATGACTCAAGCGACAGATGAATTGGCTCAGATACGTAAGATTTTGAATGGTATATGCCATCTCGAGCCAGTAACTGATAATCGATTAAGATAAGTATAATTATAATAAGATAGTGTTTCAGTTTTATTTTTTCTGTACAATTTTATGTATGAATATTTACCATTTATTGGCTTGGGTAAATTTTTATTTTTATCTGAATAATATATATTGATTAGGTGTTTGTATAGATCAATTATATTTTGGATACTAAGCTTATGAATCAGCTTGTTTTGTTTTTGGTATGCTTGTAATTATAAAAATCTTCAGGGGGGATTCATAGATTATATATATTGTATCTTTAGTGTTCTCTTTATGAATAATGAAAAATATATGGTTTTTTATTTTGAGGTAAGATGTCTTTATTTTCTATTAAAATTGAGATTTAGTGAAATCGAAGCTTTTTGGATTTGCGATGGGTAAATTGGTATCGATCGAATTGGTAAAACATTTATTCTTGTACGGATTTTGGAATTGGTTACTTTTGAATTATCAAGAATGGCGTGGGTAAATTTTGTCGAACGTTGGAAAATGCCTGTAGTTTTTATCTCAATGTCATATTCACCGTATGTAAATCTTTCGTTTGAGAATTATTTATTTCATAATCATTCTACAACAGCACTATTGTTTCTTTATCGCAATGATAAATCAGTTATTATTGGGCGTAATCAGAATCCGTGGTTGGAGGTAAACTTAAAGTATTTAGATGAGAGAGGGATTTGTTTAGTACGGCGTTATTCTGGTGGTGGCACTGTTTTTCATGATCTTGGTAATACAAATTATTGTTTGATGACATCACGAACACGATTTGACCGAAAGATGACGTTAAAAATGCTTATAAATGCTTTAGAATTGGCGGGTAAACAGGTTTTTATGAATGAGCGATATGATTTAGTATTTGGTCCAGATTCTTTAAAGGTTTCTGGATCTGCCTTTAAGATATCTAAAGATCGTGCATATCAACATGGAACAATGTTACTTAATACTGATCTTGTATCCTTGGAAAGTCTTTTAAAGACACCAAAGATGATAATTAATGCAAAGGGCGTACGTAGTGTACGTAGTATTGTGGGAAATCTTGGTCTTAATCATGAGGATTTTTGTTATTATTTATGTCAAGCATTTGAAAATACATATGGTTTAGGGCAACGAGTGCCAGTTCATTATGTTTCCGAGGAAGAAATATCTTTTGTTGATGATATACAGAAATGTATTCAGGAAATGAAGGTTGCTTTTCCTCTTTACTTTCCTTATTTTAATATTTGATAGAAATGGTCATGGATATATGGGAAAACACCTGAATTTACAAATCATTTAGCATATACATTTGATTGGGGTCATGTTGTAGGTTTTTTATATAGTAAATAACCTATGTTTAATTATATAGAATGTTCATATAGTATGTAAGCATGGATTGTTTTCTCATATTTATCTAGAAAATGGCTCAAATTTATCTTTTCTTCAAGAAGTATGTCATGCGTTAATAGGTCGTCGTTATGTACCAGATGAGATACGTTGTCTTTTGCATACTATGCGAGTTTTGCCTGATTCAAAACAAATGTCATTTCAATTTTTAGAATGGCTGGCTGAGTCTATTTAAACATGTATATTATTGATTATTTTTATTTTTATTTTTTTAAAAAAGTTTATATAATTAGACTTAGATGGACTGATTTCCAAACATTTTAATTGAATTTAAATATGCCGCTTCTGATACTTTTTCTATGCTTAAACCTTTCAAACGAGAGATAACACATGCTACTTGAATAATGGTGCATGGTTCATTTCGTCCTTTGACCATTTTTCCTAAGATAAATTTATCTTTTTTTTGAGCAGAAAATATATAAGGTGTATCTTCAATATATGGGTATGAAGCATGTGTGGGAGAAATACTACACCAGGGTGCATCTAATTTTTTTTAGCATTTTCCTCTGGATAAATCATAAGTATCAAAAGAATCACCTGTTTCGAGCATTAGATATTCCAATGGTATTTCTTTTGCCACTTTTAGATTTTCTTGTGTTTTTAGACTACAGCCATTTATGCCAATAGATAAACCCAATGATATATAATGTCGCATTTCTTCAAGTGTGCCTGTAAAGCTATGAACACAACCTTTTCGAGGCAGTTGAAGAAGATATGGTGAAAGAATAGCTATGAAATCATCGGCAGCTGAACGGCTATGTAGAAAGAGAGGGAGATCGAGTTTTGATGCGATGGATAACTGTTTTTCAAAGTATCTATACTCATTTCATTAGAAAAAAATTAAATTATTCAGTAAATTCGACATAGTCTGCAACTCTTTAGATGCATATTCAAGTCGATCATAATCAAGACCAATCTCTCCAAATGATACTACTTTTCTGAGTTTTTTTCCAAAAAGTGCTAGCTTATGTATTTCTTTTAAATATTCTTCTGGTCCCTCTGGATATTTTTCAAACTCTGTTACACGAGTTGGATGACATCCTACTGTAGATGTAAAGTTGGGATATTGTTGGGCCAGTTCAAATGCTTCTTTGGAGTCTTTCAAACATCCTCCAGTTATCATCATTTGACAACAACCTATATCTTTTGCACGTAATAGTATTTCATTAAAATCATTTGGATGAGCTCTTTTTCCCCTGTATATTCCTTTAAAAACTGGATCAGTTGCATTAAATGCTATATCAAAATATCTCTGCATACTTTTTAAACTTCTAGAAAGGTTCGCTGGCTTTAACATATGAGATGTTAGCTTAAACTATAACCAAAGGCTATACTGAAATAAATCATAATAAAAAAAATATAATAATCTCTAGCAAATGATTTTATACCTTGATTTCTTTCAATAAAATATCTCTGGATATCTTTTATTTAAAGGAATATGTTACTCTACATAAAGATTTTTAAAATCTTTTTTTTCAAATAGATCATTTAATGGAAACAATATGATTTTGCTACATATATGTAAGTATATTTTTATATTTTTTATAAAGTCTAATATAATATTTATTCTTTAAGTTTATTTTTAAGACCTATATAAATATCTCAATCAAGAATAATAAAAAAAAGGATATATATGCAAAATACGAAGTGAAACGCATATTTCAAACCGTATAATGATGTTTTCATTAATACTTAAATTATTTTCTTAGATCTCTTTCGATTCTGCTGAATAGTATTCATAATTAAAAGATCTTAGATATAACTTGGTTCTTTTTTAATTGTTAGTAAACTATATCAACTTTCCTGTTTTAATCATTTCAAATCTGGATTATTTTCTCAAAACTAATATACATATTTCTAATATTTAAAATTATTAGATTTTCATTTTTTACTTATTTCTTAACGCTTATTTATGATTCAAGAAAATGTTATTAATGGTGCTACTATAGTGTTTCCTGTATTCAATACTTTTCATCTATTGATCTATTGCTGTATAATCTTGATATTTATATGACTCTCTTAGCTGAAGCTGCCAATCGAGGACTTTTTTAAGCGGCAAATTTCTGTGCAAATTCAGAGCTGGAGCTGAATAATTTTTAAAGGGAATGGAAGTAAATAAAGATGAGGCTGAGCGGTATGTTTTTACGTGTAGAAATGATAGAACTATTTATGTGAAATAGGTGTTTTGAGATTGCAAAAAAAAAGTGGAGTGAAGGTGATCGTGAAGGAGCTATTAAATTTGCAAAAAAGTCGTGTTCTTTATTTTCTACATCAGAGGTTAAGGATTTTATAAGATCTCTTGAGAGATTATCAGATAATTCAGGGCCTCAATCGAGCAAGGTTGATTCATCAGGAGCAAAAACGGGACCAAATGGTTCAGAAGACCTTTTTAAGAAATCGAGTTTTCCAAAGACATCTAAGGGTTCAGAAAGTTTATCTGGATCTAGAGATTTTACGCCGAAGCAGAAGGTCATGTTTTTGTGTAGTTAAAAGTGTTTTTTAAATAAAAATATAGGCAGTGGTAGATCGAGTTAGGAAATGTAAACATACGGCATATTATGAAATTTTGGATATTAAGAAGGATGCAAATGATTTAGAAATTAAGAAATCTTATCGAAAATTAGCTTTATTACTTCATCCAGATAAGAACGGTGCTCCAGGAGCAGATGAGGCGTTTAAACGTATGTCGGAAGTGTAAAAAAAGGGTTTAACGATGTGTAGTTGTTTCGAAGGCTTTTCAGGTGCTTTCTGATCCTCAGAAACGTATGGTATATGATCAATATGGTGATGATTTGAATTCAAGAGCATCTGGAGCGGGTTGTTCAGGATTTTCAAGAGCCGGAGGTGGTTTATTCGGGGAAGAAATTGATCCTCAAGATTTGTTTAATATGTTTTTCGGTGGAGGTGGAAATTTTCCTTTTTCCGGTGGAAGTAGGGATCTAAATGTATTCGGGCGGATAGGTTAACGGTGTTTTAGATCCGTTTGCTACATCGTTTGGAGGTCCTCAGATAAGAGTTCATCATTTTGGTGGTCCTGGATGGAGAACTGGTACCAATAGGCAGCATGGTCAATCAGGTCAAGGATTGTTTGGAATATCGACATGGATTCAATTGTTACCTTTTATTATTGTTATTCTTTTCTCGATTTTATCATCTTTTGCCAATTTCTTTAATTCTGCATTTTCCCTTTTCGGCTCTGGCATGCCGTCTTATTCATTTACACCTTCTCCACCTTTTATTGAACCACGCTATACATATTATCATCATATTCCATATTTTGTTGATCCTTTGAAGGTTAGCTCTTTGTCACAAGTCAAATTGTCGCAACTTGATAAAAAGGTTGAAGTAAATTATATTAATGCACTTCGTGTTAATTGTGAGTATGAAATGGAAGAAAGAAAACGTAGGATGGAAGAAGCTTATGGGTTTTTTCGTGTGGATAAAGAGGCATATGAAAGGGCTAAAAACATGGTTCAAGTATCATGTAACAGGTTAAGAGAATTAGGCATTCGGTAATGGTCTTTTAGAAAAGGTGTAACCTTTTTTTGTATATATTTTAATTATAATTTGCATTTTTGGTTGTGTTGCTATGGTAACGCCGTTGCTAGGATACATTTGTTTCTCTGGCAATACTTTTGTTATTCATCATTTCCTTGACAAGATTTTCTGAGATGAAAGCACATCGACTTTCAGATTCTCACCTTTTTTCTTATTCAAAGGCCATATATCGTCTTTTATTTCGTCTTTCAAAGCCATCTTTGCTCCGTCTTGTTTTCTTATGGCTTGATGACCCGTTTTGTTCAACTTTTAAAGGCTCAGTTCAATCGGTACGCGATGTTTCAGTGTATAAAGAATGGGTAGGATCTAATTCCGTTTCTCGACGGGATATTGTTGAACGTATTGTTAGTGTAGATTGGGTAAGTTTAATGTCTTTTTTTATCTGAATATATGCTATATATTCTATTTTTTTGTATCATTGATTAACTTATTTTTTAGAAGACAGGGCTTTCTGCAAAGCAAATTGCCATGCTTGATATGCAATGTATGCGTTTATTTTCTTATTATATGCGTCTTATATGCGTTAGATCTTTTTGATCATCCGACTGCTTTGAGATGGACAGCAAGAAAAATTGGCAATTTGGAAACTGATATTCGATGTATTTCTTATTTTCTTCTTCTTTTTCTTATTTTTCGAGTAGTAACACCTTTTGATGTTGAATCTATTGTTACAGCACTTAGAAATGCGTTGGATTCTATTTTTTTTAATGTTTATTGAATCTTCTATTAATGAAACTATGTTTATGATATCTAGTATATTTATTCGGAAAAACATCCGGCATTGCCACTATTTTTGATTCGAATTCAGATTCAAGATGCTTTTGTGCGTGTTTTACCTCCTCCAAGACGTATTTTTTATATGGCATTGCCATTTGGTTCGCCTTTTGTGTTTCACACTATGGTTCGAGATTCTTTACATGATATGCTACTTCAGGTGTGTTTTTATTGATGATTTGTATGTTGAATGAATGGTAAAAGGCAATGGAAATTTCTTTATCTTCAAAACATCAGCCAGTACAGCTTTTTCATACGAATTTGACTATTAGGAATATTGAAGCTATGATGAAGCGTAAAGGAGTATCAAGGCATCCGTCTGCATTAGGTGCATGGAGTGTTTATGCAAAAAATGAGGTAGATACTTCACCGATTGATCCTCAAGAAAAAATGCGAGAACCTGTTCCAGAGGATGTTTTAGAAAGGAGAAAGTATATTGCAGGAGTTCGTTTTGGCAAGGATTTAGATAAGATAGAAGATGTATTAGATAGGTTGGCATTTCGGCTGGAAGAAGCCTGTTTGGACGATGATGGAAGGTCCGGTATATTTCGACCAAGTGTAACATTGGTTTTTGAAGGCGGAAATGTACTAGGCGGACTGAAAGAAATGTGTGAGAAGGCAATTGCGAATGCAGAGCAAATACCGAGTTGGTTAACTGGTGAAGATGGCGTGACAGAAGGCATGACTTATGATGGTTTATTACAAACGATAAAATAAAATGATATCAATTTTAAGTTGGGTAGAAGGAATATAATGCGTTAAAAAGCTTAAGAAGTTTACTTGATCATTAAGAGGATAATAGAAGTTATCGATTAATGATATTTTTCTTATTGAGCAGGCAGGGGCATTAGATAATTAATTATAAGTATGATCATTAATAAAAGGCGTATTTTCCATATCTTCTGTGTCTGATGTTTCTATTAGGCTTTGTTCGTTCACAAGATGTGCAATTGTTTTAAATTTTGCCTTAGATTTGTTCCAAAGCGATCTAAATAATGTTGGTGAGCTTGTTTGTATAGATATAAGTTTATTTAAGCATTGTTCAAGTTGTAAAAGCTGTTGAATTATTCGTGGTTGGTTACAAATAGTCCATTTCCAAATATCACATCTGCCATAAATCCGACCAATATGAAACATTGTATTGTAACCTTTTTCGATTCCTTCAATACGACCTTCTATGCGGGCACGAACAGCGCCATCACGGAAGCCTTGTTGATATCCGTCATGATAAAATCTATAAATCAGATGGGCAAGATCGAGATAAAATTTTGTAATAGTAAATACTGATTTTCAATCCAGAGCAATGAATCAAGATTAATTTGCATTTGGATGGATTATTTTTTTTTGGTATGAATTTTTTTTATAATTTTTTCATGTGCGGTTCGGCTATTTTTTAGTTTAACTGCAATCGATGATTAAAATTATCTTTATGGATTTAATATTAATTACATAAAGTATACAATATATGTATATATTATTTAGAAAGCACGAAATTGGGGCATCTGACTTATTATATTGCAATTAAGTTTTATAAGGATTTTTATATTGATTGGTTTTCTAGAGTTTTAAAATTTTGCTTGGAAAAATTGACTTATTTGTAGAAAATGGCTTTTGCAACGATTCAGATTCCTTCTAAATATGATTTCTCGTCTTTATCTTCTTTTTTTAAGGTTATTCTTGCGGTTAAAATTTATAGTATTGATGCATCTTTTTTTATTGGTAAAAAAAAAATATTTCTGTATTTTTATGTTTAGGATTAGGTGATTTACTTCAATGTATTGTCTCAGAAATGGGTGCGGCTAAAAGTTTAAGTTCTGCTGATCATATTGTTCAGTAAAGCAATAAGTTTAGATAAATAGTAATAATGAATATTAGATATTTTTATCGACAGAATGCAAAAAACTCATATTGTTTGGAAGAGAAATGGGAAGATATGTTTGAAAAATTGTCATTGAAGGATGTGGATATTCCTAAAGTAAATGAAATAGCAACACAAGTATTAAATGAATTTGATACAAACCATGTTTGTTTTTATTATAAAAAGAGTGAATTTTTATTAATTATTAAAAAGTCGGATGTCACAAGTATGGAGATTATTCTTTTTTCTAAGCTTTTTTTCCTTAAAAAAAAAAATATCGAGGATCAATGGGATGCAAAAGGGCAAATAGGCCAATGGTATAAACGATTTTCTGAAAGAGAAGATGTTTTAGAAGGAATTCGTGTAATGACAGAGTTTGTATGGAAAAAAGATAATCTATTGTTTTTTCTTTATTTTGATAAATGTTATTTAGGCTGAGAAAAAATTGTTTTTTCCTGTCGTAGAAAATCTCGAGTGGTTTAGAGCGTTTGCCGATCCGAGTCGAAGACTTAGGATTACATTGCAGACTCCTTTTTTTTCGAAAGAATGGTAGCTCGTATAAAGAAATGGTTTTATGTAATATTAATTATTACAGTCTTCCAAAGAAAGGACAGAAAAATATCTTAATTACGTCTGCGTTGCCTTATGTGAATAATGTTCCTCATTTAGGAAATATTGTGGGCAGTGTATTGAGTGCTGATGTGTTTTCAAGGTTAATCCTGATTATTTTATTTTTCGTTTTTTTTTTTTACATCTTTTTTAGATACTGTAAGGCTCGTTCTTTTAATACCATTTATATTTGTGGAACGGATGAATATGGAACTGCTACAGAAACAAAAGCATTGGAGCAGAATATTTCTCCTAAAGAATTATGTGATAAATATCATAAAATTCATAGTGAAGTTTATAAATGGTTTGAAATTGAATTTGACATATTCGGTCGGACAACAACGCAAAAACAAACTGAGTTGAATATTTTTCTTATATTATTTTTAGTTGATAGATTTATAGAATTGCATCTGACATTTTTATGGATTTATACAAGAATGGATTTTTAGAAGAAAGGACGGTTCGACAGCTTTACTGTGAAAAGCATCAAGGTTTTTTGGCAGACAGATATGTAGAAGGAATATGTCCTAAATGTTCTTATTTTGTATTTTTTAATTTATAAATTTTTATTTTTTTAATAAAAATAGGATGCACGTGGTGATCAGTGTGATTCATGTGGTAATTTATTGGATCCTTTTGAATTGAAAGAGCCGAGATGTAAGGTGGATGGTGAAAAACCCGTTGAGCGTGAAACTAGGCATATTTTTATGTTATTAAATAAATTGCAGCCAGAAGTTGAGGATTGGATTAAAAAGTCATATCAATCTGGGAAATGGTCTTCTAATGGTATTATGATTACTTCAAATTTTCTGAAAACTGGTCTTGAGCCTCGATGTATAACCCGTGATTTAAAATGGGGGACGCCAGTTTCTCCTGAGGTGCCTAATATGGAGAAAAAGGTCCTTTATGTATGGTTTGATGCTACAATTGGTTATATTAGCATTACGGCAAATTATACTGAAAAATGGCATGAATGGTGGAAAAACCCAGAAGATGTTAAGTTATATCAATTTATGGGGAAAGATAATGTTCCTTTCCATACAATTATTTTTCCTGCAAGTTTAATTGGTACAAGAAAAAAATGGACTATGTTACATCACCTTAATACAACAGGTAAAGTCTTTTTTTTTTATCTTATTTATGACAAAAAAAAGAATATTTGCAATATGAAGGTGGTAAATTTTCGAAGTCAAGAGGTATCGGTGTATTCGGAAATAATGCTCAAGATACGAATGTACCACCATCCGTATGGAGATATTATCTTTTAATTTCTCGTCCAGAAGTTTCTGATACTGTATTTTCATGGAAAGAGTTTATTCAAAGAAATAATACTGAATTATTAGCTAATCTCGGAAATTTCGTTAATCGTGTTGTTAAATTTATTAATGTTAATTATCAAAGTGTAGTACCAAATTATATTGAATATAATGATAACTCAGACGACGGTTTTAACTTTATACAATTAAAACGCGACATTAATAAAATTTTGGCTCAATATATAGAAAACATGGATGCTGTAAAAATTCGTTATTCTTTAAGATTAGTCCTCGAATTTTCATCTCGGGGTAATTTATTTCTTCAAACTAATAAATTAAATAATACTTTACTAAATAATAACCCTCAGTTATGTTCTGATATAATCGGTTATATGGTTAATTTAATTTATTTAATTTCTGCTTGTATTTCACCATTCATGCCTTCGACTTCTAATTCTATTCTTCAACAACTTAATCTACCTCAAAAATCTATCTCTAATACATGGCAACTCGATATTTTACCAGGTCATAAAATTCATAAAGCGTATCTACATTCTTATTATATTTATTTATTAATTTTTTATAGTCAATATCTTTTTTTTAAAATTCCTGAAGAAATGGAAACTGTTTGGAGAAATCAATATGGTACTTGTACATAAAATACTTTTTTATTTAAAAAAATACATATTCTTTTAAATATTTTAACCTTCGTTCCATATATTTTCCTCTTATTTCACGCTAAACCCTACTAAAACATATCGACAGCTATTTTATCGTGTAAAATCTCTTATGAAAGCTTAGCTTGCTTCAAATAGCTTAGTCTTTAAAGGGATGAGATTAAACACGTATTCAAGGAATATCGTGTTAGAAAATGTTAACTAAAATATTAAGTTTTAAAAACGCGTTTAAAACTTAATATTTAAAATTTATTTGAAATTTATTATATTTAATATTAGTATAAGAATTAAGGTAAGAAGAGGTTTTTAATATAAATACTTATAATGGACTAGTTTTTTGGATTTTTTTTAGAAAAATAAGAATTAAAGGTGGAGTTGTTAAGAAATTGACGTGTCTATTTGTATGTTTTTAAAGGATTTTTTTAATTTATGTGGAAAATAAAATTTATAATATTTTGGATACTTGGAATATCGTTGTTGTATGGGGTCGAAGGGATTCCAATTCTTGGGTTTCCTGTTAATTCTCAAGTGCCACCTGTGGCACGAGTTTCTCAGCCATTTCTTTATAAATTTGCGGGAAATACGTTTTATAATATTCAAGGATCTGTTAGATATTCGGTAGATAGGTTACCTTCATGGTTACATTTTAATCCTCAAGAACGAACGTTTTTTGGGACACCTTCAAGAAGTGATATGGGAGCAATTAAATTTGATTTAATTGCAACGGATTCTACAGGATCAGCAAAAAATCCGGTAACGTTTGTTGTGGTGGATTTTCCGGCGCCAACTCTTAAAATTCCTTTGGTTCAACAGTTAAGAATGCATGGTACAATTGATTTGAATGGAGCATTTGTTGTTTTACCGAATCAAGCATTTAGTTTTATTTTAGATAAGAATACATTTGATGCGCGTAATACTAGAATAATGACATATTATTGTGTTTCTGGTGATAATACACCATTGCCCTCTTGGGTTAAATTTGATCCTAAAACTCTTAAAATATGGGGAATTGCGCCATCTATTCAATCTAAAGGAGTGCCTCCTTTGTATTTTTGGTTTAATGTGATTGCAGCAGATGTTCTTGGGTTTTCTGGAGGTGTAGCATCTTTTGGTATAGTTGTTAGTTTACATCATTTGCAATTGGGACGATCTTATTATTCAATAACAGCTGTAGTTGGGCGTTCATTTGTATTTCCATTTCCAGCTAATTCATTGACAAAAGGAGGTGTTCCAATTTCGTCATCAGAGGCTTCGCGTTTTAAGTATAGCATATCTACATCATCTTGGTTATCCTATAATAAGAATAATTTGGCTCTTGTAGGAACTCCTAGTTCAATGGAATCGCCGCAGAATGTTATTGTTGTGATTATGGATGGAACCTATGGAATTACAGTTTTTATTCGAGTAAATATTGGTGATCATGAAATTTTGCCAAGAATTTTGCAGGGACCCTTGCAAGAATCCCTTTCTCGTTGTGCCAGTGGCGATCCTTCATGTTCTCCAGTGAGTGTAGAAATGGCTTCTAAAAATACAAATGTAGCTCCTAAAGTCTCAACATTACCAAATATAAATGCAATATCTGGGAAGTTTTTTTCATATAGAATTGGTGATCCTTCTTCTCTTTCTAGTAATGATAGAGTCGAATTACAATATAGTCCAAGTGATGCTTCAAAATGGTTAAATTTTAATAGGGATACTATGAGAATTAGTGGTGTCCCTTCAGATGAAGGCACTGTGAATGTGAAAATTCATACTGTTTATGGATCTGGTCGTTCTCGTGATCAATATTTTTCAATTTATATTAATAAAGGTAAGTTTTTGTTCCGTAATGATAATAGATAAACCATGATAGGTGATGAAGAAAATACAAATAAGAAAGATTTAAAATGGTTTATTGTTGGAGCAGTTGCTTTTGTTTTTCTTTTTATTCTTTTTCTTATTTTATTTTGTTGTATACGAAGATCTAAGAGACGACGTTCTTCTACTGATCATAGGTATATTTCTCGTCCAATTCCACCGGATTCTCGGTATGGGCAATGGCCTACTATGGATGAAAAAACGTGGGATGAGCCTCACAGACTTTCGGCATTTAATATTTTCAAATCGACAAGTGCAAATGGTCTCTCTGGATTTGTTGCTGAAGTTAAAGAAGCACCAGATAATACAAAATCTTTAGATTCAAATAAAAAATATCGTAAAACAGATGTTACTTCTCCTTATTCAATTCACGTGCTTCCTATCAAAGATGAGCCTATTAAAAAGTCTACTGTTTTTGTCTCAAAGGGAAATATGCATCCTGCTTCTAATAACTCTGATGTTTCGTCATTTTTGCCTATGGGGCCCCCAGGATATGGGCAACCACATCGGTCATGGCGTCGAACGACTCAGGGTAGTTTTTTTTGGCCTTCTAGTAGTACATATGATGAATCAGTTATGGCTTCAGGTTTTAAAGATTCACAAGCAAATGAGCCATATACCGTGAGATTGGTAAATGACTCTATAACTCATTCAGATGAATCTTCTGGCGTAATAAGTAATGCGATAACTTCAAGTACATCTCATAATTCTTCAAATGATTTATCAAGAAAGACTAGTGATAGTAAAATAACTCTTGGATCTTATTCTGAGGATTCAATAATATCGAAGGCTAGCATAAGTCAAAATAGAGAAGATAATGATACACATCGTCTCAGAAAAAATGATACATATTCAAGGGTTCGTCCATGGTCTGCACATTTAAGTGAAAGAGATTCAATTGATAGTCTAAGTTTGATGAGTAGTGAACATTCTAGGAATGAATTTCTATGTGATGAGGCTGATAATCCATATTCAAGTTATTTCGGTGATCACAACAAACGTTCTCAACCTATAAGAGGTATTTCTGGTTCTGATCCTCTTCAATTTCATATTCCAACAAGACTATCTACATCTTTACACACTTCTATACAATCTTCCTCAAAATCCGAAATCTCTTCCTCCATTCCTAATAGGAAAACTCCCATATTAATTAAGCCAACTATGGTTGATCGTCCAAAATTATTCGAGTATTCTCGCTCTAATCGAACAAATACTCATTCACATATTCCTTCCCGTGATTTATCTTCTAAAATCGCTTTTGTATAAGTTATATTTTATATCTTTAAATGTAGCTTTTGATATTTGATATAATATTTGTATTTACTTTAATTTACTTAATTATTTTGGTATACTTGTTCTTTACATATTATGTTGCTATGCCATTTGTTTCCATGCCAACTTGTCGTTGACGGACGTAGATTCTCAAGTCCTTTCAACGACAAGAAAAAAGACGAAATCTATATTTGCTGTTTTTTTGTGAGTATTTCCTACAGAAAAGAAGGCCTTTATTTTTAATATATTTTTTAAATATTTTTAGGTGATTTTTTTGTTTATTTCTTACTTTTTTATTGAAAAAAGTGGATTTTTTTCTATAATTTTAAATTTATTTTTCGTATTTTTTTAATGCTTTTGAATATCAGTGAATTGCATAGAAGATGGGGCAAACATTGAGTGAGCCTATTGTAGAAAAGCGTTCTCAGAAAGGAGGTGATGATACATTGTTATTTGGTGTGTCAGACATGCAAGGATGGCGTATTTCTATGGAAGACTCTCATGCTGCAGTACTTCAGTTAAACAGTGGTTCTGGGAAGGATAAAGTGAGTTTTTTTGGTGTATATGATGGGCATGGGGGTATTATGTTTTTTTTCTTTTTTTTTGATTTAGATTGGGTTTAGGGGACGCTGTGGCTCAATTTAGTGGAGAACATGTTCATCGGATTATATCTCAAGATACTTCTTTTATTGCAGGGGATTATGAAAAGGCATTAAAAAATGGTTTTTTAAATACAGATAAAGCAATTCGCGAAGGTATATTATGAGTTTATAAGAAGGATGTAGTGGATTTATTAGAGTTATAGAACCGCGATTTAAGGAAGATCCATCCGGCTGTACAGCTTCTGTTGTATTAATAACTGGTGATGGGCGTGTTTTTTGTGTATTTAAATACTTTTTTAGAAGGTCACTGAGCTGGTTTAGGCGAATGCGGGAGATTCAAGATCTGTTCTTTGTGTTAGAGGAGAAGCAAAACCTTTATCATTTGATCATAAACCTCAAAATGAAGGTATTTATATTGGTTTTTTTTTTTTATTTTATTTTGTTAGTGGAAAAGGCAAGAATTTGTGCTGCGGGCGGATTTGTTGACTTTGGGCGTGTAAATGGTATGATATATGGTTCTTAAGTTTAGTTTTAGATTAATTTTTAGGGAATCTTGCTTTGTCTAGGGCTATCGGTGATTTTGAATTTAAGAAGAATGCAGATTTGCCACCGGAACAACAGATTGTTACAGGTAGGACATATAGATCTTTTTTTTAGACAAACATTGTTGCCTAATAGCATATCCTGATGTGACAGAGCATCAGTTAGATGAGGATGATGAGTTTCTTGTGCTTGCATGTGATGGTAAGTATAATGTTTTGCAAATCTCATGTTTTAAATGTGTTTATTAGGTATTTGGGATTGTCAAACGTCTCAAGCTGTCGTAGAGTTTGTAAGAAGAGGAATTTCTGCCAAGCAGGAATTGCATAAAATCTGTGAAAATCTCATGGATAATTGTTTAGCGAGTAGTAGTGAAACAGGAGGATTAGGATGTGATAATATGACAGTAATTATTGTCGGATTTCTTCAAGGGAAAACGAAGGAAGAATGGTATGACATGATTGCAAAACGTGTTGAAAATCAAGATGGACCCTGTGCGCCACCGGAATATGGTAGATTTTTTCTAGTTAAGATTATTGGTTAATTTTTCTATAGCAGAATTTCGTGGTTCAGGATACGAATATGGTCATTGGAATCATAATCAAGTAGAGAATTCTTATGAAGAAAATGAAGAAGATGAAACGAATAATGAAACAAGTGTACCTTTTGAAAAATCATGGATTTGGTCATCTCAATCGGATTTTAGTTTTGGATGATAATTCTTGCCTTTTAATTGATTATGAATTATTTCTCGAAACTATTTATTGTGACGGTATCTAAGGATATGCATGATATAAAATATTGAAAATTATGATGAAATAAGCAATTTATGAATTCTTGATTTGTTTTTTAAAAAAGGAATTTATTTGTAAATAAATGGTTTTTTCGGCGCCAGTTTTTAATGATTTCTGTTATTTTTTGTTGATATGAATGTTAGCAATTTTATCTGATTTTTTTTTGTTAAATTTTATTTTTCAATTTGTATTTTTATGTATTTGTATTTTATATTAAAAAAGCTGTAAAGAAACATGTTCTCATGATAATGTTGTATCGAATAACTTATCGTCCAATTTCTCGATTTTTTCATGTTACTTCCTCACGACATGATTTTCTTGCTTTGGCTTGTACTGGGCTGCAAACAGTACATGCTTTAGGAATTCCCTGGTGGGCTACAATTCCATTGACTACATTGCTTTTACGTACTGCTATGGTGCCAATTGTTCTTTGGTCAAGAAATAGGATGATTCGATATATATATATTAAGCCGTTGATTCGGGCATGGAAATGTCAAATTGTAAGATTTGATAATATTAAAAGTGAAAAAGTATAAATAATTGAATGGTTGTTAGAAATGTATTAATGATTTAAGTTTAATGAAAAAAGAAGTGAGCTTTTTCGTCGCCATAATTGTCATCCGATTGGATCAGTAGTTGTGCCTTTTATACAATTTCCATTGTTTTTGACAATGACGTTTGCATTACGTGGTATGTCTGGCTGGTCAATTCCATTATTTCCGAAATCAGACATACCTATGGAAGTTTCGTTGTCCTATGAAGGAATTGCATGGATGCAAGACTTAACAGTTCCTGATTCTATTGGGTTTTTGCCAGTTTGTTTAGGTTTAATTAATCTTATAAATATTGAGGTCTCTTTTTTTTAAAAAAAATATTACTTTTTTAATGATTTTTAGTTAAATATTTATTTTCATAAAGAAATGTTTTTTGTATCAACATTTATGACACGTTTTGCACAAGTTAATGCACTAATTTTTATTTTTATTTCAATGCAAGCACCCATAGTAATATACGGTCGTTTAATGTGTATTTGTTAATAATTAATAGGCATTATGTTTATATTGGATAACTTCTTCTTTATTTTCAGCTGCACAAAATGCTGTTTTAAATGTAATAATGCCTTTTCCTCGTTCTTTTATGATGCGTTTTAAGAATTAAATTGCAAAAAATCAAAATTCTCTAAACTGAGTACGATAGATACGTTCACGTCTATGAGTTTGTTCATATTTCAAGAGAATATCCATGATATCTAGCCAACGGTTACAAAATGTTTCTTGTGAGAAACGTATAGATGATTCTTTAGCCCTTTTTCTCATGGAATCAATGTCTTCTTGGGACATTGAAAAGATATCATTAAATGCTTTTGCAAAAGAAGATGGTGTAGAAGCATGATATCCTATAGATAATAAATAGATATGTTATGATTATTTTTTCGAATTGTTACCTGTTGGTTTTCCTTTATAGTCTACAACGATATCAAGTTTGGGCCCACCTGAGTCGTGTATAACAGGAATAAGTGCTGCTGCCATATATTCAACAATGGCTATTCCAAAATGTTCATTCCACATTGTATTGACGCCAATCCAGGATTTTTTAAGCCATGTGACTATCTCTTTCCATGATAAATTGTGGAAAAATAGAACACGATCATCAATGTTTAAATGTTTTGTCATATTTTTGAGTGAATCAATATATGGTTCATCATTTTCTCTTATAGATCCTATTAAAATTAATTTTATTCCAGAATCCCTTGTTTTAGGGTATGTGTCAAGCATTGTTTTAAAGGATTCTAATAAAAGTTTATGATTTTTTTCTTTCCTGAATTGTGCAATGTAAAGAATTAGCTTTTCGCGTTCAATTTTTTGGTTTATACTAGAATCATATAATTCTTTTATATTGCAAGGAGGGTATATAGTAATTATTTCTTTTTTTTTTTTCCATAAGGATTCTATATGAGCTTGTGTCCAACTTGAGTTTGTTATGACAAGATTTGCATAATGGCCGCAAAATGAATAAGCCAAAGCAAACATTTTCCAGTAAACATTTTTTAGAATTCTTTTATTAGATAATTTTGATATCATATCTTGAGATATTGTAGGATAATGAACATACGCTACAATAGGAATATCTAAGCATGATGATATAAGAGGATATGTAAAGGCATATCCCATTGTATCTTTATATGTTATTGTTGGTTAGCTTTAATTCATATATATCTACCTATAAAGATATCCGGAACACACTGATTTATTGCTTCATATGCTAATATTAAAGAGCCTAAAGATTGACCTAAAAGTGTAACATACGGCCATCGTTCTGGAGATACATAATGTCGTTTATATAAATATATAAATTGTATTCTTTTTTCATCCAATTCTATTTCAAATATTTCCTTAACATATTAATAAACTTTTAAAAATAAAGTTAACAATGTACTTTTGTTTTTTCTAGAATATCTCTTTTTTTAGAGTTTATGTCGCCTGTATATACAACACATATAATATGTGAATATTCACTCTGAATAGCTTTAATTGCCGTCCATAAAACACGTTCTCCTCCTCCACCTGCATTACAATATGGATGAAAAAATCCTATGATGATCGGACGTTGAGACATGTTTAGTTTAAACTTTGCTTCTGAAATAAATTGATTTTTTATTTTCTTTGATTTTCCATAAAGTTTTTTATAGGTTTTGTAAGCTAAGATCTTGAGAAATATGTAAATGATTGAAGGACAAAGAATTATGATAATGATAATGATAGATACTGGAACAGCATATTTTTCATCAAATGTATCCAATTTTCTGGAAATAAATTCTGAAATAAAATACATTATTACAAAGTCCTGTTATGTATATTAGTTTTTTATTAATAATGGGTTTATACCTTGTCTTATAAAATTTTATTATATTTTTATAAAAATTAAAGATAATCGTTATAGATAAGATTTAAGTAAAAACGTAGTATTATATTCATAAATATTTAAAGATGTAAAAATAAAGAGATATATTAAAAGATCTATGAATTTTATAATACTTTAATTCTATATAAATGATTCATTAATAAATATAAAAGACAAAATATTAAAAATTAGGAGATTGTATTTTGTTGAATTAAAAAATGTTAAAATTATAAATAATGAATTCTATTATTTTCAAAATGATTAAAAAAGAAATTAGTCTAATAAATCTAAAGTTATATTTTTCAAGCGTCAATATCTAATAAAAAATCCAAACCCTAATGTGACTTTTAAAGAAATTAATGAAAAATGTATTGGTATATATATCTCAAAACATCTAGTATCGATATAGTAGAATACTGTAGTTAATCCATTATGTTATAACTAAAAATAATACATAAGTATATATCTGATGTTATAATAGATCTGGTCCAATTTATGTTTATTCGTGTGAATTTATGTTTAGTATCGTAATCAAAAATATGTGATGTCTTTTAAAAAATATTTAGTTATATAACTTGTCTAACTAGTGGATTTACTGTCCAATCGATAGGGAATTTAATATTATAATAGCTCTTTTTTGCGTCAGAATTCCGATATATCTTCTCAGCAATAAATATACCACTACCTGTATCATTTTTTATTTGATCATTTTGTTGCAAAGATTGAGAATGCGTTTTTGGCTCTAGAGCAAGTGACCTTCTCCAGAGCTCAGTCACATTGTTCTGTCCTTTTGTACGTATACGTGATATTTGTGATTCAATCCATGTTTGCAACGCTTCAACAAATTCAAGTTTATATGGTTCTTGAAAATGTTGAAGTTTAGAAATTATTGAGTAGATTCTTTTAGATGTTATAAACATTTTTATAATATAAACAAACTTACTTGATATATTTATCATAGTTAATAAGTTGAATAGAATGCTTCGCTGTTGTAGAATTTTTAAAAGGACGATATGATGGATTCCCTTCTTCAATAAATGTAATATCTGTTAAAATTAAACCAAGAAACGGTAGGCACGGAGGTATATGCTCCTTTAAACGAGATCTGTAGAGCGCATAATTACGAGAATAATCTGTTATAGATCGAAGATTTTCAAAAATATTTTTTGATTTTGTAGATAATGTGTTCCATGTTTTTTTTAAACGAGATATGGTAGATAAATTTAAAGCACTAAGAATTGCCATTAATGTGTTATAATTATTTAGTTCCAAGCATTTGTTTCCTATTTTTATCCATTGTTTTAATACATGAGCACGTTTTTTTATATCGTTTTGGGATAAAATGCTTTCTGCAACCCAACCAGCGATATCTGTGCTTAAAGCAGCCATTGCTTTAACAGTTGTATATGTATCGGTTTTCCGCGAGGCTCTTAATTTAATTAATTCTTCTGGTAAAATTAAACAAAACAGTTTAGATTCTTTTAGAGTAAGCTGACGAGCAATTTCAAGAGGATCAAAATCGGTTATACTAAAAGCATCTGGATTATCATTCAATGATGTAGTCCTTAATTGTGTGAGCAAATTTTTTGAAATAATAGCAGATGGCATAGAAAGATCCGAACACAAAGATCTATTAGACGAATTATATAATCTCCTCGAGATATTCAAAAAATGATTATTCGATGCAGTTTTAGAAAGAACTTTATTAATCAACTCTTCTAAACGCGTACTTACTTGCGGAAGATATTTAATAAGACATTGAGAAATAAAATCTTTAATAATATCAAGAGCATCTTCATCAGAATCTTTATGCCAATAACTTTCTATCCAGGTCTTAAATACGTTATAGACTCTTAATCTTATAGGTATAGCGTAATATTGATCCCAGTTATGATCCGCATTGATTGGCTTGTTGGTAGGGAATCTTTCTACTAATGCTATAGCAAGATCACGAGGAGTAGTAAAAAGACGAAATGTGAGGTAAAAAGTACATGAAAAAATGGCATCCGGTGTTGTATCATGCAATGTCATTCTTTCAACCAGGGCATATAAAGATGCACCAATAACCTGTAAAAAATTGATTATAAAATAAAAAGAGATCAATTCAACATACCTGTCCTTCTTGGTTGAATAAAATATGTTTGGAATTCTTCTCTTTTTCTCTGGAAGTATTATCTAGCTCAATAGGCTCGGGACTAGTTGCAGGAGAGCTTATATGCTCTGTATAACTAGATGTGATAGAAAACCTTTCACTGCTAGCAAAGCTAGATGCTGTCCCACTAGGAAGATCTTGGAGAGTTTTCAATCTATTATCCAATGCTGTTTTTTCATTACATTCTAAAGCAGATGAATATGAATGAGATAATATAGGAGACGATTTTGCTGATAACAAACGAGGTAATACCAAATTTTCCCTAAAACATTTATCAGGTTCCTGTCTAACATCAAATTCTGTATCATTGCTTATGTAAGAGTGATTTTCATGATTTATAGATTCTCGAGAAGATATTTCAGGATAAGATGGTAAATGCTCATTTTGATGTTTCCTTAAGATATTTAATGAAGGTTTTTCAGATTGAGAAGTAGAAAAAATATTATATGGTTTATATGTTTCCCGACGTAATTTATTTTCATCTGAAATTTGTGAATTCCTTGAAGAAAATGCGCTAATTGGCAGCAATTGTACGCTGCTTTTTTGTTTAGGGAAAAACACGGGAATATTAAAATCTCCTGTTGTCCTAAGGATAAATTTTGCTTTAGTGACACATTGACCAGCATCGTGAACACAACTTGCAGCAGAATCCATTAGTTGTTTGCATTCTAATTCATCGACAACACTTCCTTTATTACTATCATTTGAAGTAGAATAGTGAGCTGTGATTACTTTTTTTGCAGTGGCTATAAAAGATGTTGTCTTTGAATTAAAACCTTCTTTTGCAATATATAGTTGTGTATTCGGATATTTAGTTAAAATTTGTTCAATAACTGAAAGAAGCTTTCGAGCAGCATAAATGCATTGTTTAATTGTATCAAGAAGTTGACTAGATGCATGAGAATGCAAGTGAAGATGTCCAATAAGTGATGCAAGATTAGAAAGAAATTCATCGTTTATAGTAATTAGGTTATGAAATGCACTTGCCGGATTATAGCATGTTTGAGAATGAAATGAACTGTTTGATAATTGAGGAATATTTGAATCAACATTGTATAATTTGTCCATTTGATCTTCTAATGATACAATAAAAGATTCCGCTGATGTAACTTTATGATGAGCATATACATCACTAGGAAATTCTTTAGTTAATGTGGACGTTGGTAGTAATATCGATTCATTATAGGCCCTCTTCTCTGGCCCGATTAAATGTGCAAGCTGTTTTGACCATAAAACAATTTTATCTAACTGAAATACTAATTCTTTGGAAATATCTTTATTGATAGGATGTACTGATGACTCTTCTGATATATTTTTTGCAAAACTAATAAGTCTGTTAAGTCCACTTAATAAAAGCTTTCGCTTATGACAAGCAGCAGGATTGTTATTTATGACTAATGAATCATATGTTAATGTATTTGTCCGCATTAAAAGCTCTCGAACACCTGATATCAAACCAGTTACTCCGGTAATATATTCTTCAGTTTTAGAGGCCAAAAAAAGTGTATACAATCCATTGCTCGCTGTAACCACGGGTCTAACTGCAATCAAAGTGTATGGTTCTGTATATTTAAGTGGAAACCATCCCCGTGTATTTGTTTCAATTAATGTTCCATCTGCCCATCCACTAAAATGTTGGAAATGAACATGTATGATTTGATCCTGTTCCATTCTTAAGTACGATGCATCTGACTGTTCAATAGAAAATGAATGAATTACACAACAGTAGGTTGGTTCATGTATTGCACTATCTTCTACTTTCTGCTCATTTAACGCCAGATCTTGAAGCATATTCCCAATTGGTTGAGGTAATTGTGGCGGCGAACTATTATTTTGTTGCTTCTTTACAATTCTAAGAGGCTCTATTGTCATTTTCTCAGATATATACGCCTTATATGCGCCTTATATGCGCCTTATATGCCCTTTGTGTTTTCTTTTTATCTATTAAATTACCGACTTATTTGACTACTTATTTCCCCCCTGTTTTATCGGTTTCTTGTCGACAATATAAAGAACGCTAATCCCACAAATCTTTATTCACTTTATCTAACTTTCAAATTTATTATTATTAATTTTTCATAATTACATTTTTATACACGCTCAGAAACGGGGTCCGCGTTGGTTCAAATTGTATTTGAAAAAAAGTAGGAACGTGACAGCATCAAGTTTGGTTAAGTTTTCCATTTTTTTTTCTAAAATATCCTTTAAGCCTATTTTGTTTTTATAGTGAGTTATACTTTACTCTGTAAAGCATAAGATCGTGAAATAGCGATATTAGGAAAAAATTAGTTATAAGATATATCTACACCGATAATTCTTGAAATAGTTTTTTTATAATTATTAATATGGAAAGATATATTTTATCAAATGTATTTTAAAAAATGATAGTTTATTTAACTATTTTAACTATTTTTTATGTATAAAAAGAAGATTTTTTATATTTCAACATAAAGTTTTTCACTGATTAAAAATGTTTGGAAATCATTGAAAATGAGGGTTTAGAAAAAAAAGTAACATTAAAAAATATCGCTAAATTAACCAAATAATGTTAATTATTGAATTAAAATGTATTTTTATAAATTTATAATAATTGTTTTAATATTATATCTTTGTTATTTATAAAATATTATTAATTTGTAAATATTTAGTGTAAATTTATGTTTTAGAGATATGTTTTTATTGACAGTTTTCTGGACCTAATTATTGGAATTAGCCCTAAAATGTTTAAGGAATAAAAATTGAAAATCATTTATTTTGTTAGTTTTTTTTGACTAAATGTTTTTGTCTTAATTTAAGTAGAATAGAACGTTAAGTCTTTTTACTGTTCTAGGCTTAGATATTATTATTTAAATTAAGATATAAAAAAATAAACATGCATTCAGTTATTGTTTTAAAAGTTTAGAATGAAATTGAATTTTTTGATTCTTTAAAAGCTAGAAGGTCAATTAGGTTTTGATGTTTGTTTAATTGAAATCTTTATCTTCGATATGAGTGGCAGTGTATTTACAATATAAAAAATATGTAAAAAACTAGTAACATAGAAAACCGATTAAATAAAGAAAAGATAATTGAATTATGGAATGTGAATTATATGGATCTTGTTGTTTGTTTAGATGGTTGAGGCGGTTTTATCAGCGGATAAAAGATCGTCAGACGGAAAAAAAATTTCAAGCAGGAATGAAATATAGCGAGTATGGAACACAGATGGAGAATGAATTGACGCGTACATCTAAAAAAGCAGAACATATATCAGATATTGTTGTGTATAGATATCGTGAAAAGAATGATATACAAGATGATGAGAAAAAAGAAACATTGTCATATGAACAAACATCTTTTCCGCAGGAAAAGATGACTGAAATGCGTGTTTTACCTAATAATGCTTTAACAGGATTTCAATCACTAGAAACAGATCAACTATCTTGCGGAATTATTACATTTCCTGAAGCTAAAAGTATAGATCCAAGTTCTCATTTTGTTTCTTATGCTGCTTCTGATGATACAATATCATTTACTCATTTATCAAATAATAAATATGTTCAGGATCGATGTCGTATAAGTATGGATACAAATGCTAGCATTCGTGCTTTAGCACCTTCTCGTCAGTCAAGTTATAGTTCTCTTTCTAGTGCATGGACAGGCTCTAAGCTTGGTTTATCTTTTCTTTCAGAAGCTATGATGATGGTTCATTAATATTACAAAATAGTTTTTATATTTCGATGTATGAGTTTCGTATCCAAAGGTTTTAACGTATCTTTTGGTTTTTTATCTATGTTTGATTGTTTTTACATGTTAAATTTTTGATTAAAAATAGAAAAGATAATATAATGGCATTTATATATAGTTTTTTTTCTAAAAAAAAAAAACATAAAAAACAACAAAAGATACTTGGAATCATGAAAAGAGTTAGTTTATAATTATATTTTATGGCCTTGTTATTCTGATTTTTTTAATTTATTTATACTTATTTTTTTTATGCGAATCTTATTACAGATTTAAAGGTCGATGGGGGCTTTAAAGTTATGCATGGATAACGAGTTAACAATTTTTGAATAAGATGATTTAGACAGAGATAAAATGACATTCACATTTTCTTGTGCTCGTAAAAAAGAGTCAGATTCGATAAATGATCAGGAACTTTCAGCTTTGGTAGGTCGACTTATTTTTTCTGCAGGTTAGTATAAGAAAATAAAGTAATTATTAGATATTAAAAGCTAAAAAGGAGTTGATGATGAAGGACGGCCTCTTGTTGTTTTAAATGCATCTAATTTTCCTGATTCTAAAGTGGTTGATTATGATGAACTTCTTCGGCGTATGTTGCTTGTTATGGATACGTTCGTTGATGAAAATGATTATTCGGTAATATTGTTTGCAGGAGGTGTGCGGCACCGACCTAGATGGAACTGGTTGTTTCAAGCGTATCAGTCTCTTGGACGTAAGTATCGGAAGTATATTAAAGTGCTTTATATTGTTCATTCAACATGGTGGATTCGAGTTATGTTGGATTGTGTATGTGTAACGCTTTTGGATGCACCGGAAGGAGCAATTGATAGACGATAGATGAATCATTTAGTGAGTCCTAAATTTTCTCAAAAGATGATTTACGTTTCTACGTTAAGTGAGCTGGCTAAGTTGGTACCATTTCGGCAGATTAATGTACCTCCCGACGTATATGCTCATAATCTGAAATACGAATCGCATGTTACCTTGTCCGAAATGTCTTCTGAGTCTGTGTCTCAGATGTTTGGATTAAGCTTATCACAGCTTATGGGTAATGAAGGTGAAAACGGTTTACCAAGAGTTGTGAAGGATATTTGTGCGTATATTAGAGAAGAAGGTTTTTACTTGCATCTATTCCTTATATTGTTTTAATAGTTTTTTTGATAGCTTTAATGGTGGAAGGATTGTTTCGTCGATCACCTTCTTCTATTTTACTGAAACAAGTTCGTGAAGCGTATGATCGTGGCAATCCCGTGAGATTATCTGAATATGGACCTCATTTGGCTGCTGTTTTGCTGAAGCTTTATCTTAGATCTTTACCGGAACCTCTTTTTACGCATAATCTATATCCTCTTCTTAGAAAAATATCTCATCAATCTTCTTCTAAGAACATTTTATTTATTCGAAATACATTACTTCCAAAGCTCTCTACACCATCTGTTATTCTTTTGGCTAATGTGTGTTTATTACTTCATGGTTATACTTTAATGATAGTCTTTTATATTATTGATAATTATAGATGTTTCTTTACATTCTAAGGAGAATTTAATGCATCCACGTAATCTTTCTATTTGTATTTCACCAACCCTTGTACGACATCCAACAGATCCTCTTCTTGATGTTCAACTTTGTAATCTTGGAGGTGGTCTTGGAATGATGATGGTTATTGCTATTGAAAGTACATATGATATTTTTGATTTTGTTTTTCCCTTAAATCCAGAGAGTTTACAATCTGATATTATTCAAAAGATTCCTGAAACTTCACCTAGTGGGATGGAACAAAAGGTGTCTGAAACTTTACGTAGTGAGATGGTACAAAAGATTCCTGAAACTTCACCTAGTGGGATGGAACAAAAGGTACCTGAAGCTTTACGTAATGGGATGGTACGAAAGATACATGAAACTTTACATACCGAGATACTACAAGAGATTCCTGAAACTATACATACGGAGATGGTACGGGAAGTTTTTGAATCTTTTATACCAAATCTTGTAGAATCTGCTCCTGTGTCATATCTTTCGCAAGTTTTTTCTTCATCTCCTATCTCATGTGTATCGTCTTTAACATCGGAGCAATCAAGAAAGTCTATATCTCTGCCTGAATCACCTTTATTTAATGGTGTTTCTTCATTAAAGCATGAACCTATAAATGAAAGTTCTTTTTTATTAACAAGTAAGCCTAATAGGTCTTCAAATTTAACAATTAGAAGGCAGAATCTTTCATCTTTATCTAATCTTTCTCCTACTTGCCGAAGATCTAAGACGACCTCTGTACATGAGATGTTTAATTCTAAATTAAGATCTGGAATCGATATATCTCCTAATGCAAAATTTTCTTTAATTGGATCTAATTCTTTAAAAGTGAAAACTGGTCTTGTGGAAAGTTTGAGGAATTTATATGAAGAAAAATCTATCTTAAAGACTTCTAAAGATTTTGATGTTTCGAAATTGCAAGGGAAACGTGTTATTATTTAAAGGATAAATTTTGAATTTTTCATATGGGTTATTTTAAGAACTATGTATAAAACTTTATTCATTTTGCCATAAATATTGCTTCTTTAACATTTTAATTGTAATTTTTATGACAATTCTTATTGAATTTCTGTTAAAATAATTCTAATTAAACCTCGTTGCAGAATAAAGTTTAGCTTTAAATCTGATGAAATTCTCTTTGATTTTAATGATATGATTTACATTTGTTCGAACTTGTCACAATATTTATGGTTGAGTCTATTTTGGTTTTTTTCAGATAGTTTATAAAAGAATAGTAAATAATACATATGATTTAATTGCTAAATAAGTTGGTGATTTATGTTTTATTATATTATATTTGTTCTTACATTTGATGCTATATGTTGAACTTATATAATAATATATTTACTGAAAAATACATTATTTTCCTGTGAAATTGAAATTAAAATGTAATAATTTGATATACAAAAAAGTCAAACTTCTAAATTATTAATAAGTCTATATTTTTTAAATTTATAAAAAATGTTGCAATTTTTTAGTTTTGATATAAATGATTTGGAACCACGTACGTCGTTTTCACTTATATCAACGTTAGTTATCCAAGATGGACGGTGCCAAAATTTTAAAAGTAGACTACTTAAGACAACACTAATGCTTGAGCATGCCATAGCAGCACTTGATATTACAGGATGTAAATAAATACCAAATGGTAGAAAAAATCCCATTGCAAAAGGAATACTTATGATATTATATATACATGCCCAGAGCATATTCAATCTAATTCTGTTAAATATTGCACGAGAAAGATGTATTGCTGCAGGAACATCAAGAATTGGATCAGGATGTGTTAAAATAACATCAGCTGCTTGTATAGCTATATCACTTCCTGCAGACAAAGCTATTCCAATGTTTGCTACCGTTAACGCAGCTGAATCATTTATACCATCTCCTACCTAGAAAAGAATTAATAAATAACTTGAATAATATTATAAGGTTACCATTGCTACTGTTTCATTTTGAGACTGGAGATATATAATTAAATTATACTTTTCTTCCGGAGTAATAGATGAATAAATTTTATCATCTGGTATATTTAAGCTTCTTCCAACCTTTAATGCTATGTCTGTACTATCACCTGTTGCCTGAATAAAATAAATATTTAAATTTTTATATATATATGAATGAATGAATACCATCAAAACATCAATTTTCATATGTTTAAGTGCATTTATAGTTTGTGCAGCATTAGCTCTAAGAATATCGGTTAAAGAAATCCATCCAGCAAATTTATTATTGATAGCTATATAAACGTGTGTATATTCTTTATTTAAATTATTTTGTGTTTCATTTAAAAATTCTTCGCACTGGTCTCCAAGTATTTTTCGAATATATACTTCGCTTCCAATTGCTAGCTCTGTACTTTCTTCTGTACAATTAGGCAAAAGTATACTACATTTAACTCCATATCCCGCTATAGCCTCAGATGTTGCTGAATAATTTATGAGTTCTTCTCCTGCTAGGTTAAGTTCTTTTTTAGCTTTTGACTGAATTGCTTTCCCAATTGGATGTTCTGATCTTTCTTCAGAAATATATACTAGTTTCCACCATAATATTTCTAAATCTTTCCACGCATTGGATATCTTGACTTCATTTACACTCATATATCCAACAGTTAACGTACCAGTTTTATCAAAAACCACTTTTGTAATTTCTGATACTGTTTCTAAAACAATTCCACTTTTAAAAAGAATTCCATTTTTTGCACCTATGCCTGTACCAACCATAATTGCAGTTGGTGTGCTAAGACCAACTGCACATGGGCATGCTATAATAATAACGGATATTGCAAGTTTGGCCGACATTATCATTTTTCCGCCTTGTTCTTCAGAATTGAAAATTTGTGGAAGATGAGATATTGTATGACTAAGTATCATCCATACAATAAATGTCATAACTCCTAAAAAAAGTACTAATGGTACAAAAAAAGATGATACTTTATCAGCAAACTTTTGTATGGAGGCTTGAGATGTTTGTGCATCTTGTACAAGAGATATAATTTGAGATAATCTAGTATCTTTGTCTGTCTTTGTTACTTCAAATTCAATTCGTTTCGCGCAGTTGACTGTACCGGAATAAACAATACTTCCTTTCTGTTTATAAACTGGTGTAGATTCTCCTGTTATCATGCTTTCGTCTATATAAGATTCTCCGGAAATAATGACTCCGTCTGCAGGTATTCTGTCTCCTGGATAAATAATCACAGTATCATTAACATTTAGTAATTTAGTAGGGATGGTTATTTCTTTTCTATCCAGTGGATTAGTTTTGTTTATATAAATTGTTGTAGATGATGGATTTAATGATATTAGTTTGGATAATGTTTCTGATGTATGACTCTTAACTTTATTCTCGATATATCTTCCAAGAGTAATAAATGTAATAAGTATTGCAGAAGTATCAAAAAAAACTGATGGTCGTTTATGAGGATATGTTGAAATAGACAATATTATAGAAAAAATAGAAAAAATAAACGCTGTAGATGTTCCTATACATATCAAGGTATCCATTGTTATATCCCCACTATATAAAGAGTTGAATGCTGATTTATAGAAATATATACCGATGTTGAATTGAATGGGAATTGTTAAGATTAAAGATAAAACATCTCCAAAAAAAAGACCTGGAAAAAATAATACTTTCGTTTCTATTTTATTGTAATCTTTGAAATGTGGTGCAACCTTTTGAAAAAAAAGTAATGGAATAGCAAAAATAAGACACTTTATAAAGGTTTTTTTCCACAATTCTATATCTTTAGTTTTGTTAAGATTTTCTAATTTTTCTTCTGTACTATAGAAATCTAATATATCTGCATCATATCCCTTCTTTTTTATAGCGTTAATTAATGATTGAATACTTGAAATTTTAGGACAATAGTTGATTTTTGCTTCTTTTGTTGCAAGATTAATGCAAACATTATTAACGCCATTTATAGATTCTAAAACAGTTTTTATGGAGTTCACGCAGTTATAGCACGTCATTCCGCTTATTTTCAATCTTATTGTGGTATCATTTATGGCATCATGATTGTCAAAATCTATTTTATAGAGAATTGTTTCACTATTAATAAGAGATGTTTCAATACCTACGTTTTTCAATTCATATATAAGATCATTAATGCTTATTATAGAGATTTTATGTTCAATTATTATTTTTTTTGCAGAAAATATATTTATATTTAATATTCCTGAATTTTTTTTAAGATTCTCTTTCATAGTTGAAATACATGAAAAATTTGAGATTTTTTCTATAGAAAGAACGGTTTTCCTAAAATCATCTATTTTTTGGTTTTCTAACATATTTTCTAGTGCAATAGGTGAAACATGTTTATAGGATTTTTTAACACGACTTTGTAAATTCATTGTTTAGTATTATTAAAATCCAAAAAATTTTAAATAGCTTTTATTTAAGTAAGTATATTTTTTGAAATTTTATAAATATTTTGATAATTTTTATATTTTTATTAATACTTTTTTTTTTTAAAAGTTTATCGCAGAATTTTAGAAAATTTTATTACTAGGAAAAATAATTAAAGTGCGGAAGGTACTTTTATTTTTTATGCATGACTAAGAAACAGTATAAAGGATTAAAGAATGAACAATTTACATTTTTTGTGCCTATAATTATATATATACTTATAGTTTTCATAAGTTTATATTAAGAATTATGTGAATAATAATAAAATTGTTTAGAGTTTTATAATTATTTAATGATAAAATGTTTATTTTAAGATTATACTATTTAGTTTAGAAATGTTGATTTTTTTTATTACAAAAATGTTTTAAAGTTATTTTTATAAATGGCAGCGAAATGAATTATTAGGATTATTTAGCAATATATTTTTATTAGTTTTTTATAATTAATATTATTTTATGTTTAGATATAGAAATATTTATATTCAAAATTTAGTATTAAATTGTGTTTATTTGACTTAGACATTAATTGATTATTTTGCAATTATTAAAAAGATTTTCATCTTTAATGATGATTTATTAAGCCTGACTTTCTTGAGAGATAATTAATATTTTCTATTTAATGTTATATACATGTTTTTTCTTGTCTCTAGTTTTTCTGAATAATAATATCATGAATCAATATCTGACATGTTTAATAAAAATATAAAATATTATTATTATTGAATTATAGCTTTATTGAGTTGTGTGTTTTAAATGATTTTTTTTCAATTTGAGAATTTATGAAATTTTAAGAAATGTAAATTTATTTTATATTATTAAATAATGTATTTTTATAAGATATTTAATTTATTTGGTATAATTTTTAAATACTTTTTAAGTTTTGTATATTTTTTAATGAATTATCGTTTAATTTTTTTCTTTGAAAATGTTAAGGCATTGGAGCTCATTAGTTTAAAAAATATGTTTAAGTTTTATATATTCTTGGTTTTTTACGTTTCTATTTCTGAAGTTAGTATTTCTTGAGATTTTTTTGAAAGAATTTATTTTTAGATATCTTTTTTATATGAAAAAACATAGTAATTTAAGTTCTTGATAATTTTAAGAAATATGGAATTGAACGTATTCTTTGAAATTATAGAAGTGTTTTTGTATAGATATTGATGGTTCATAAATGATATTTTTCATGGAATAATGTTAGTAAAGTTGGGTTTATTAAGAATTCGTCAACTTTTAAAGTATCTTGGGAATCCACAAAATTCTTTTCAGGCAGTTCATGTTGCTGGTACTAATGGAAAGGGGTCTGTATGTGCATATCTTTCTTCATGTCTTGCTCTCTCTGGAATTCGTATTGGTCAGTATTCTTCACCACATTTGATGGACCGTTGGGATTGTGTTAAAGTTATTGGTAGAGATGTTGATAAAGACCAGTTTTTTGAAATTGAAAGTAAAATAAAAATTTTAAATCAGAAATGCAATATTGGTGCAACTGAATTTGAAATAATGACTGCTGTTGCTTTTGAAATATTATCTAAGAATAATGTTGAATTGGCTGTTATTGAAACAGGAGTTGGTGGAAGACTCGATGCTACTAATGTATTATCACAGGTTTTGCTTACAATTATTACTAAGATAGGCATGGATCATCAAGAGTTATTGGGAAATACAATACAAAAGATTGCAAGGGAAAAATCTGGTATTATGAAAAAAAATGTTCCCTGTATTGTTGATGGAACCAATGAAGATTCTGTTTTGAAAGTTATTAAAGAAGAGAGTATTAAGAGTGGATCTTCTAAAGTTATTTTGACTCCTATGGATTTGGATAAATCTTTGTATATTCAAGAATGGGAAAAACTTAAGTCTGAAACTTCATTGTATAGGACTTATCAAGGGACAAATCTTGCATGTGTTTCTGCTTCTTTGGAAATTTTGTCTGAATATTATCCAAAGATTACACCTGGTATTTTATCAAAAGGGCTTTTAGAAACTTATTGGCCAGGACGTTTAGAATGGATAGATTTATCTCAGATAGCTTTTGGTGCTAATAAAATTCTTCTTGATGGTGCGCATAATATCGATGGTATAAACTCCCTTTCTGAATATGTTAATAGTATTCGTAATGGAATTCAACCTGTTTCTTGGTTGACTGCATTTACTCAAGGAAAAGATGTTGATTCTTTATTGTCGATATTATTAAAACCTTATGATAAAATACATTCTGTAGAATTTGAACCTGTAGATGGAATGCCATGGATAAGACCTGTAAATTCTTTTTATATTGCTAAAATAGCTCGGAAATATTTATACAAAGAGAATATTAAGCAGCATGGCACAGATTTACTTTCTGCGATAAGTTCTATTAGTCAAGATAAAGGTTTACAAGTAATATGTGGAAGTCTTTATTTGATAGGTCAAGTGCATAGACTTTTATATAAAAGGATTTTGTTACAAAAAGGTAGTACGAAATAATAATATTGATATTTTTGTATTTTTTTTCTATTTTGTTTAATTTTTGTGATAACATTGTTTAAGTACATATTTAATTTATTATATTTATCTTTTATATGTTAAATATTTTAAAAAAATATGCATTTAATGTTGATATACATAAAAGATAGATTATGATTCTTATTTTTGCTAATTTATAGAAAAGTTTGAATATACATATAATTAAATATTTTTGGTAATAAATTATTTTAATGTAGAAAACTATTTCATAGAATCGTTTATTTCCATGAAATTATGTGTTTCTAAAAAATATTTATTTAGAAAGATTTTGATTTAAAAAAATTGGTCTTAAGAAAATAGTTTATAAAATATTTAATTTTTTGAAATTAATAGTAATAAATCTTCTTTAAATTGTTTATGAATCTTAAAAAAGCAATAAAAAAGTGTTTCTTTGACATTGTATTGAATAGATTTATTAAAGTATTTTTTATATTATGAAATATTTAATCTTTTAAAAAAATGTTAATACTATTAGTTATAATATTTAAAATGTTTCAAATATTCAGATTGAAAAATACAATTTGTAATTCATGACTTTTTAATATTCTTGTCTTATATTTTAGTTTTTGTATTTCGAATTGATTTTTATTATATATATGCTTGAATACAAGTTTCTCGAAAATGAGCCGTGAGTACTTTATGAAATTTTTAATTGGATTTTAATTAAAAATCAGTCTTATGGGGTTATAATTAGTATGGTATGGTGTTTTTTAAAAATATTATGAAATAATTGTCTAAAATTTTGAATTTAAATTTATTAAATATTGGTTAAATTATTAACAACAGGGGTGGTAAACTAAGAAAAACAATTAAAAGAAAATGACTACTGATAATAAAAAACTTTCTGTATATGTATGTCTTTCCTACTATATATATATATTGAAAAATATTTTAATATTTTTATTTAGCATTTAGGCGATTGTCTTGGGAAGGGTGCATTTGGTGCAGTATATCGTGGATTAAATCCAAATACTGGAGAAACAGTAGCAGTAAAGCAGATAAAGCTACATAATATTCCAAAAACTGAGTTGAAAGTTATTATGGTATGTTATATTATTTTTTAATTTTGAAAGTTTACTATTTAGATGGAAATCGATCTTCTTAAAAATTTAAATGTAATTTCAATTGCCAATCATAAAGACCTTTATTGATATATTTCTATATTTTAGCATCCTAATATTGTAAAATATCATGGTTTTTTTAAAACTGCTGATGCATTGAATATCGTTCTTGAGTATTTTATTCTTAGGTATTATGACTAGTATTGATGTGTTAGATATTGTGAAAATGGTTCTCTTCAGAGCATATGTAAAACTTTTGGGAAATTTCCTGAAAATTTAGTAGCAGTCTATATTACTCAAGTATTACATGGCCTTCTTTATCTTCATGATCAGGGTGTTATTCATAGAGATATTAAAGGTGCAAATATTTTGACAACTAAGGAAGGATTTGTAAAGCTGGCTGATTTTGGTGTGGCCACAAGGACGTCATCATTGAGTGATTTTACTGTCGTTGGAAGTCCTTATTGGAGTATATATTACATGCGTTATATTTTTAAAATATTTAACAATTATTAGTGGCACCTGAAGTAATTGAACTTAGTGGTGCTACTACCGCATCTGATATTTGGTATGTAATATATGTTTTTAGAGATAGTTATAAATATCATAGGAGTGTTGGTTGTACTGTTATTGAACTTTTAGAGGGAAAACCCCCGTACCACAAATTGGATCAGATGCCTGCTTTATTCAGGATTGTTAATGATGAACATCCTCCACTTCCTGAAGGTTCTTCTCCTGTATGTTTCAAAATAATGAAGACTTTTTTTTAACAATCCAGGCTACTCGAGATTTTCTTATGCAATGTTTTCAGAAGGATCCTAATCTTAGGGTATCTGCAAAAAAGTTACTTAAACATCCTTGGTTGGTTAAGCAAGGAAGATTATATGATAAAATAGTTCCTCAATCTGCTGCAAAATATGATGATGTTATAAAAAGTGTTCAACAGTGGAACGCTGCTTTAAAGTCCCCAGATATTGGGACTATTCGAAAATCATCTATATATTCTACGCAACCATTTAAACCTACTGATTTTTATTTTTCTGCCAATGAAACTAAAGAACTTACTTTAAAACATGTTTCTGAAATAAATAGATTGAAGACAGAAGCTTTTAGGTCTCCTGATGATTCAAGTAAATTTTCTTTTTTTTTAAGTTTTTTAATAATATTTTTAGTTACATCAAATTGGGATAATGATTTTATTACTGATATTTCTCCGTCTAAACTACTATTATCTGATTCATATTGTAGAGCAACTGGGTTAAACAATAAGGTCTCGTATAAGAATATATCAGAAATACCATATAGATTTAAAGAAATATCTTCTAAATCCTTAGATAATTGGAATAAAGATTTTGAAGGAGGGTTGACATTAGGAAGCTTTCAAAGTAAGGGCTTTTTAATTGTATAAAGATCTAATTTTATTGTTTTAGAATTAAAAATATCTGTTAATGAAGATATTGAAGATAATATGAAGACTATACGGCCTCTTAAGAACGTAAAATATAATGAGTTATTTTTAAGTAAAAAAATAGATACAATGTTAATTAAAATTAATAGTTCTACTAATGTGTCGTCTTCTAATACCGAACTTCAATTATCTGATGAATGTTCTAAAGACATTCCATCTTTTCATTATGAAATAACTGAAGATTATTCTGATTTGGTTCCTGAGAATGAATATTCTTTTGCTCAAAAGGTGGATCAATATAAGGTAGTTTTTTTTTTTTTTTTTTTTTGATTTTTATTTTTTAAAGAGGGATAACTTAACAAATCTTCGCCTTTTTCATCCTAACGATATAAAAATGCTTTCTCAATCTTCACATCCACTGAAGAAGTCTCGTTTTTGTCAAAATTCTTCTATATTAACTACTGAAAATAATTCATTTAGTGCTGCTAATTGTTCTACTGAAATATCTCAGTATATTGAGCATGATGATGATGAGACTGATTATTCCAACATTTTCAGTCATTTAAGTCGACGCGATGAACAAGGCGATCTATCATATTCAGATACATTAATGCTTAATACAAAACTTTCATATAATTCATGGGTAAGAATCTTATTTTTATGATATTGAATGTTTTAATATATTTATTAGTTTTGTGATGATGCTAGTGATGAAGATGATCTTTTTTTGCAAATAAATGAAGGGTTTGAGGAAATGGGTAATTGGTTTAATTGTACGATTATTCTATTAATTTTTTTCAGATTTGGATGCCAATATTGCTAGAGAGCAACAAGCTAGGACTGCTGAGCGTGTTATTTCTATAGTAGATTCTTTAAAAGTTGATCAAGATGAATCGAGCTTGATTACTAGATGCAGTGATTTGGTTTTAAGATTATTTTATTTTTTATTTCAAGCTAATTTTTAGATGTCTATTCTTTCCGAATCTTCTGATTTTAAAGCAAATGTCATTGCAGCATCGGGTTTATTACCAATTTTAGAAATTCTTGATGTTTGTCAAAGACGAGATCTTATTTTGCAACTTTTAAAAATTGTTAATCTTGTAAGGATATTTTAGTTTTTTATGAATATATTAAATTTTAAGGTTATGGAAGGTAATATTGAAGCTCAAGAAAATCTGTGTTTTATAGGAGGTATTCCTGTTATTACCAAATTTGCGTCAAAAAAATATTCATATGATATAAGAATTGAAGCCGCATTTTTTGTTAAGATGTTATGTCATTCATCAGGAATAGTATTGCAAATGTTTCTTAGTTGTCGTGGTTTAAATGTTCTTGTCGAGTTTCTGGAAGAAGATTATGAAGTACAAAAGGATTTTGTTTGGATTGGAATTAATGGAGTATGGAGTATCTTTGAAGCTCAGGTAATATAAAATAGTTGAATTTTATCTTTTAGTCTAATTAAGTAGGGTTCTTCTCCTAAAAGTGATTTTTGTAGAATATTTGCAAAAAGTGGAATAATGGATCCTCTTTCTCTTGTTTTGCATCATGTATTAAATGAGGAACAAACAGAATTGAATAGGATGTGTAGTGAAAGGATTGTGAAAATTTTTTTATTGTTTTCACAAGCAGATAATACTGTAAAGGAATTGATTACAACTAGAGGAGTTATAAAACGTAATTATTAAGATATTTGATGTTTAGCTAATTTTTATTAGGAATTTTGAAAGATCTATTTAAAATGCCTTTATCTTTATTGATTAATATGTTAAAATTTGTTAAAAATTTATCAACGGTTCCAGCAACTTTGGATACGTTACAAAATGCTAATACTATTGAAATATTAACAGAAATATTAGCGTCACATGAAGGTGTATCTAATTCAAAGGTTTTTTCTCAATTCATTTTGTACAATGTTTGATTTTTTATAGGATATTTATAATCAAGTTTTAAATACTATGTATAATTTATGTCGTCTTAGTAAATCACGTCAAGAAGAAGCTGCATTGTCTGGTGTTGTTCCCTTACTTCAGAATATTGTTCAGAAGGTGCCTATTTTAAAGGAATTTGCATTACCTATTCTATGTGATTTAGCACATGCTAGTAAGGTCTGTAGAAAAGTTTTATGGCAAAATGGTAGTTTAGAATTTTATTTGTCTTTATTAAGTGACCCATATTGGCAAGCAAATGCATTAGATGCTATACTTGTTTGGTAGGATAAATATATTTTTATATATGAATATTAATAAATTAGGTTTCAAGACGATAGTGGAAAACTAGAAGAATATCTTTTAAGACCATCCTCGATATTGGCAATCATGGAAGCATTTAGCACTGCCATGGCTAATTCTTTTGAAAATCTATTAGAATGTCTTCATAAACTTCTTCGTCTCAGTCAGAGAATAGCATGTGCATTGGCTCAACCTAAATTTTTTGAAAAATTGGTCAGAAGACTTCAACATCAGAAGCCAATTGTTAGACTTAATCTTTTGCGTGTTTTAAGAAGTATTTGTAATGCTCATCCTTCTAAACAAGCTCTTATAACACAGTATGGACTTTATGATATAATTGAGAAACTTAGTCGGCAGGATACAGCTGTTCTTGTTCGTGAGCTCGCGAAAGATATTTTGAACCAGACATGGATGGATAATTCTGAAAGTAGTAAATTAAGTAATAGTTATAATAGTGAATGCTCAAATCAACAAGTTTCAACGGTATGGTTTGATGCTAATGATAGGTTAATATACGATAGGCTTGACGAATTATCTAGTTCAAGGGGTATATTTGATAATGATATTGTATGTAAAACACCAAAAACAGAGGTACATCGACGTCATAATATACAGAAAAGATATTGAAAAAATTTTGTTTTAAGTATAGCATTATCAGACTTTAGTCATTGGCTTAGTTATATTGTTTTAATTTAATATGGTAATTTCTGATGTATTTTTATATTTAAATATTTAATACTTTTTATAATATCTTAAAAGATTTATTTTTTTCGAGAAATACATATTTAATTTTACTTTGGTTTTTATATACCAGGGTTTGACTTAGAAAAATAGTCATGCTACTAAATGGAATAAACCTAGAAAAACATAATAATTTTTGACTATTTCTAATCCCGTATGCGATGTATTTATTGTTAATAAAATTATTAAATGCATAATGAGCTTATGGGTTCGCTATAGTAGAACATTTTTAAAGGTCTTATTTTCATATTTGACATTTTTTCAATCAGAGCATTATGTTTTTATTTGTAAATTTATTATATTTTAAATATAAAATCACGAAATGTTGATTTCTAAATTTTGATAAAATTATTATTAGTTTAAGAGTTTTTAGCATGATTAATAGATTAGAAATAAATTAGAAAGTATGATATTTTATTGTATATTATTTGAATGATACTAAAGTACAGTGATTTTAAAATGATATTAAGTATAGAAAACAATTGTAAGATAGAATATGCGAATTTTTAAATATTAAAATTTATGATTATAGTGTGATAATGATGACATTATTTTATAATTTCTTATGTTGATAATATATAATTTAAAGAATAACTTCCGTTTTTTCAGTTTTTAAAAATAGATTATGTATAATTTAAGTTGATATAGTAATTTTGAATGATGATTTTATAGATTTTAGTACATGTGTAACGGATAAATCTTTTTTTTTAACAAACTCTGGATTATTAACAATCGTTGGTGGTATTTGTCAAAAGTATAATGGAGATAATATGTTCTATTTGTGTTAATGTTTCGAGTTTAATAGATTATGTTATAGGGTTAGTAGATATAGGTGTTGTGGTTTCCTGGGGCATATCAGAAAATGTCGTTAGTGGTACGGTAGCTGTTTGTGATTCTGCTGTAGATCTAAAGGATGATATAGAAAGTAAAATAGTTAATTCTTTAGTTGATCTCGTAACTGTAGATAGTCCTGAGAGTATTAATTTTGAAAATGAAAATTCTGTAGAAATAAATTTTGCTAAAGCAGCTATAGCTATTATAGACTATAAAACTATTAGAATGATATTTATAAATAAAAGATTTTCAGACTTTTACAAATGCGTTTATATCTTCCCAGAATTTTCGTTTATGGTTCAGACTGCTATTTTCTCTAATATTTTTTAGTTGGCTTTTAAGTTTCTGTGTAACACCTCTTGCATTTATTGACATTGTGGCAAGTTCTTTTAGTTTTGCTGTGATTTCAGAATTTGTAGTTGTAGAATGGTTTTTTTCTGATTCAGTAATAGTGTTTCTAGTAGCTGCATTTTCCAATAATGTTAGAACAGAGAGAGCTGCTGTAGTTGCTGTTAATATTTTTTCAAAAAGATGTTCATCTGTATCTGTTTTGGATAGATCAGCTAATTCTAAATATTGTGTAATAATTGACGAAGTATGTGTATTTGGTAGTTCTACTTGATTTAGATTAGATAGTACTGGAATTGAATTTTGGTTAATATTAGATGTATTTGTTGTTGGAGCAGCAGAGTTTGTTATAGATATGTTTGATAGAGACTTAAAAGTAGGGTGATGTGATGATGCAAAATTACCAGATGAATGGTTTTTGAAAGAAAATATGTTAACATTAAAAGATGTAGGAGGTAATGCTGATACTAAAACCATCCAAGAATTTCGTATTTCTATAGTAGCTCCATAAAGTATTAAAAGGAGAGTTCTAGTATAACGAATATCAGCTTTCATTGTTATTTTTTTTATATGTTTATGAAAAGCTCCTATCACTTGTTTAAAGGCTTCAATGCATGTACAGCATGTAGAAATCACAAAAGAAGGTTCCATACAATGATCTTTTGTTTCATGTTCTTCTAGTGCATTTGTTAATGCTCCAATATGTATATTTGCTGTATAAAGAAATAGATTAATAGTTCGTTTTATGGAAGGATCTGTGCAAAATACAATATATTGTCTTATTCCTTGATAAACTTGTGATAAAGAAAACAATATTCCTTTAGAAGTTTCTATGACTTCTATAGATTTAAGAAGAATACGTTTAGCTTCTGGAAGTGTTGAAAAACGTTTGAAATAAGCTTCTGTATTTTTTTGAACATTATTTTTTGAAAATTTAAAGGTTGCATGATTATTTATTGAGCTATTGATTGTTTCAAGATCATGAGATATTTTTTTAGGATTATAAGTGTTTATTTTGTTTTCTAATGATAGTAATTAGAAATAGGTTTTTTTTAATAGTAATTACCTATTTTCTTAATCGGATTCTGATGATCCTTACTTTCAGAGTTATTTGATGATTTTCTTGTTGATAAAGTTGAAAATGAAAAAAGTGTATCTTCTTTTTCTTGAGTATCTTTTATTGATTTTTGTGAACCTTTTTCTGAGGATGATAGAGATATGGAAGTAGTTTTATTAGTTAATATAGGATGTTGTATTTTTGAAGACTAATTATTATAGTATTGTTTTAAGATGACAAAATTCTTCTTACCATATTTATTTTTTTTTCCTTTTGATATATATTGAAAAAATTATCTTTTTCTCCTTCACTAATCAATAATTAATAATATAATATATATAATTTAGTAATACAACCTGGTTAGGTATTGTTCTTCACCATGATCATTAAAATACTCTTCATGACTAGATAGAAATGATTTTATATTATTAAGCCAAGGAAGCATTTCTTTTTCTCCTCCTTTAAAATGTATGATTTCTTTTGGTGGAAATGTTATTGGGTTATGATCAATTTTTAGGATTTTAAGATTGCTCATTTTTGAGATATATATGGGTAATACTTTTAATTTATTTCTTGAAATCGAAAGAACTTTTAAGAACATGAGATTGCCAAATTCATTAGGCAGATAGCGAATTTTGTTTCTACTTATATCAAGAATTTCTAAAGATGGTAGATCGCAAAGCTAGAATCTAGTTACATATATTATTAAGTTAATTACAACTTACAATAACTGGGAATTCTTTAAATATGTTTGCACGGATATTGAGATATCTTAATCGTGATAATTTTCCTATTTCATCAGGAAAAAAACTTAGTTGATTATGTCCAAGAGTTAGTCTAAAAATAGTAAGTCTTTTTATGAAAAAATGAATATAAATTCCTGGATGCTTTGTCTTTGATTATATTTATAATTTCTTTTGGAACAGTTTTTATTTTTTTATGACTGAAATTAAAAGTAGTATTATTATCTTTGTTAGAATTTTGAGCCTCATCAATCAGCTTTTTAAATGTTTCTATATCATCATAATTTTCCATGTCTAATATATTATCTTGGAAATTATCAAAGTTATTTAATTGTTTCATGAGTATTCAATTTTTATCGATAATCTTAAGATTTTTACTTAAATTTTTTTATAAAATATTATTCATGCACTATTATGAAAACTTAAAATATAATATAATACAAAAATATATATTATACGCATATGTATGTATATATGACTTTTTTTATAATATATAATTATATATATTATGATTAAGATAAATTTTGGAATATCTTTTATTTATATTTCTTAAGTGTTTATATTGTTATATCTTTTTTTTTGAAGATATGACTGCAATGTTGCTTTTTTTCTCCAGATTTTAAGTATATTTTGTTCTAATATTATACCAATTTCGATATGAGATTTATCGAATTTTGCGCCATGCATTTTAGCTTCATCTTCTGAAACTATTTGTAATATTTGTTCTTGTGCTCTTGCAACATAAAATTCTGAAAGTGCTTCTGTATATGCATTCTCTTCCGTTCGTTTAGGTTTTGCATATGTCATTAACCAAAATTGTCTTTGTACAACACTAAATGATAAAATATAAATGTTTTTTTTAAATTTTTCATATTTGAAATTACCTTTCTCCATCTAGAGGTTTTGCTTTTTGATGAAGCTGACTCCAGTCATAATGTTCTGTATTTTTTTCATTATATTCTATTAGATTTCTTGGTCTAGCTAATTCCCATGGATGATCTTTAAAAAATCTTCTTCTGAGCTGATCTTCTGGATATTCAATATTTTGTGGCCGTAGAAGTTTTGGCTTTAGTGATTTTTTTATTTTAAGAAATTGTGGTGGTAATCTTCGTAATAAATTAAAGCTCGGCGGTGCTTCTACAATTGGTCTAAACCATTTTGGTTCCTTTTTTATATAATTTATTTGTAAAAGCTTGGAAGTCAATATATGAATTTGAAGTGGTCTTAAATCTATTGGCATTTCATTTGTATTTTTTTTTCTTTATATAATTTAAATGATTTGCTATTTATTGTATGATCGTATGTAAATTTTAATTCATTTGTTTTTGAACTGTAACTTTTTTATATAATTGAAAGATTAGTAATTAAGGTTTCACATTGTTAATATATATTTATTTAATATATACTGCATCTTTTATAATATTTATAGTAATTTTTTTTTATTTTAGATTATTGGATTTGTTTTTTATAGAAACAATTGATTCTTTATATTTATAATTAATATTTAAGTTTAATGGATTTAGTTATTTAATATTAAAATAAATGTTTAATAAGTGTTTTCAATAAAATTATTTAATAGTTATTTATATTTTGGAAATAAAAAAAATTATGAAAATGATAATATTTTGAAATTTTTAAATAATTATGAAATTATATTTATAATAAATTATTAGAATTTTTAAATACTTTTTTCTAAATTATTTTGATTACAATGTAATTTAAAAGTTATTTTTTTATTAATATATTATTTTTACTTAGAGCTATATATTTATAAACTAATTTTAAAATTTATAATGAATACATCAGAATGATTTTTTATAAAATATATTTTTTGTTAAAAAAATTTGCAGAGATGTAAAAAATTATGTAAAATATTATTGTCTTTTATTGAATTATATTTTGAAAACATATCTATTTTAAATCTAGTGAATAATTTAACTTATGTAATGTTAAAAAAGATTATGATAATAATTTCTTGATAATACCTGATACATTTCTAGATAATTTTAAAAGATTAAAAATTATTTATTTTTTTTTGAAAACTGTAATTAAGTATTTCATAAAATAATTTAGGTCATATTTATGGATTATTAGTAAATTTTACGAACCTTATAACAATATAATTATTATTGCTCATTATAATTAGTTAAAGAATGTAATAAAATATTTTATTTTAAATAAATATTAATATTAATTTTTTCAAAGAATTTGTAATTTATGAAAATATTCTATAAAAACTAGTGTACAATATATTAATATAAATATCCTTATTAGTGGTATATTTTTAGTATTTTTGAAAAAGCTTTAAGTATTACTATAGTTTAAAAAAATTATAATTAATGAACTATTTAAAAAATGGAATAACGGGAGTAATGATTGTTAATGAAATATGACTGTTAAATTTTAGATAAATTAATACGATAAAAATAAATTTGGAAAAGAAATATACCTTAGAATTTCATAAAATTAAAAATGATATTGATATAGGTAGAAATTTATAATATGATTTATATTCATATGATAATCAAATTCAACATATAGTTCTTTGTAGTTTGTCCGTTTTTTTGCATTGTTTAATCCTTGTCATCAAACTGTTTTCGTGCTTCTGTAATTACTCTTTGTAAAGTTAAAAGTTCTTCCACGCGACCTAGTTTACGAGGATCATTTCTTAAAACAAACTATTTAGATTAGAAATAGAAAAAATAATGTAATAGGATATTCAACTTTAAAGTCGTCTACTTTTAATTTGTTTCTAGTACCTGCAATACGAGCTGCTTCCAGACACTAAAATAGATAAGATAAAACTATTGTATTTATCTTTTGACACCATTTCATTTATATAGTCTATAACAATATCCTCAAGTATTCTTACTGAATCAAGCGCAGGTTGTTTATTATCACCAAAGGCATACATAAGAGATTTTACTTAGCAGTGTTAATTTGTAATATTTGTAATAATAAGAAAAAATTACAATCTTTTATAAAAAGATGTTGTCTTTTTATTGTTTTTCCTTTTGTAAATGAATCTTGATTAGATGTCATTTAAATTAAAAATTTAATTTTTATGAATGTTTTTAAATTTAACGTTGAAATTTTTTCAAGTTTTGAAAATTATTTTTGTATATATAATGGTAAATTCAAAGATTCTACTACGAATATTTATTGACAAATGTAATTGAAGTCTGCTCTTTTTAATTTTCAGAGTTTACTTCTTGTCATTCTCTTATTAATTTGTACTTGTACTTATATTCGTGCTCAAACACCTGCACTTATGGATAGGAATAAAAATGGGTGAATTTAATTATGTTTGTTGTCGCTATCTCTTATTTTATTTAATAGGGCATTTTCAGTTTTCTGGAAGGCTGCGAGAATAGGTGAAAGACTAAGCCCATATGTTTCAATATGCTGTATCTTAATGGCTGTACATTACTAATTTAAAAGTTAAACTATAACTAAATGTTTAATAGTTATCAATATGCATTTAGTGGTAAAATTGCAAATGCTATTTTTATAGGAATTCAAATATATCATTAGTTCCATGACACATTAAACTAACTCTTTTTGATCCAACAATTCTTTCTAATTTCAAAGCATCCCATTTTGAAAATAGTGCTTTGCTTTGCTTATTGCAGTTTCCGTTTTCATTTGTATCATTTATAAATCCGATTAATTCCGGATAAAATAAAGGATTTTCCGGTAATGAATAAAATATGATAGTATTGGCACCTTTTATATTGTATCTTCGATAATAATGTGCACGTTCTGTATATAATAAAATTTTTTTATTTTTTGTATTAAAATATGATCTTGCTTTTGATACATCGGAATTGGAAGAATATTCAGATATAAAAGTAAAGGATGTTTCTTCTTTGCTTAAGTAATTTCTTATCCTTACAAAATCAAAGTAAGAAGATATAAAAATAATAAATCCATTTTCTTTTGATCGTATGATGTTTGGTAATATTGATGTTTTGAAATATAAGAATTTTATATCTGGATCAGCACATGGATCAGATGGATGTAATCGTAAAAATATCTATATTTTTAATATTCTTTGTATAAAATTATATTTCATACCTGTTGTATTTTGTACTTTACATCTTCGATAGATCCTTTATAAGTTTGTTTAATTTTATTTTTTCCACTAATATTAAAAAGAGAATTCATAAATAATGAGTTTATTTCGGGAGTCATATATTCTGAAAAAATAAGTGTTTGACGTAAGAATCGAGAATTTTCATCCAGATACCAATTTCTAACTCTACTAAAATCACATTCATGAATTTCGTTAGGTAATAAATTTAAATTATCAAAAATGTATGAAACGTGTTCCCAGTTTTGCATTTGTAAAGCATTTGCATTGTCAACAATCGTTATTTCAATCGATGATAAATAATCTCTGTTTTTTTTTTTGCTACTAAAGTAAAATATATATTAAAAAATTGTATATTTTTTACCCTTTTTCATCTATTAACAATCGCAATCCTAGTGGACTAGCTAAAATTATATCCGAATTATAGAAATCTGAGAAAATTTTTAATGTTTTTCTAGTAATTTTTATTCCTATTCGAAACATATCATCAGTATTTCCAATAAACAAATTTTTGTAATCAGCCGGTTTAGACATATTTATATTGTCTATATCTATAGAATATTCGTTAATGAAACGTTTTTTGTTTTCCTATCTCAGTTAGATTTAATGTGATGATTTTTTTATAACTTGTTGTTCTGTTCCAGATATATCAATAATAGTTTGTACAACTTCGAGACATGAATTTTTCGTTGAAAGTAAAATTAAAATTTTAGGTCTTGTAAATCCTTGATCTCTATATTCTATTTGGGAGTTTTGAAAACGTTGTATTTTTTCATTATTTTTCAATACATAATGTCTAGTTCTAAAAACTTTGCTTTAGAATTTTATATATTTAAATGATAAATATACTTATATATGTGGTTTAGAACATGTAAGATGTATAACGCCCTTATTTCTTTTTTATTATTATAATTTAAATAAGTAAATAGGAAATCTTGGTATGAAAATATAGGAGCTGCCAAAATGTGTTGTATATTGGTTAAAGAATCTATAAAATAACTTTAATCATTTATTTTCAATTTTTTCCTAATTACTTAATGTATGATATATCGCTTGATGCTTAAAAAATGATTCTTTTAATTTTTTTTTCAGCTATATTTTCTGTGAGATTTTTTTTATTGTTTTAAATCAAACCTTCAAATTACTAATGTTCGAATTTATAATTTTAAGTTCAATTCCAAAATTACTTGTTTCTGAAAGCTTATATTGGATTAATTCTTCAAACTCTGCTATTTTTGTTTTTTTTGTTATCCATTTATTTTCATTTGCTTTTTCTATAAATGATTTTAATTTAATTTCATCTGGAAACTGATAATGATGATAGAATGGATCAATATCTATATAATTAAATTAAATATAGTTCAAGCATTATACATACTATTTTCTTTATTATTGAAATTATAGTTTTCTGAATCAGAACATGATGTAATTTCGTTATTTAACTCTACATTTTTATTGCTTTCTTTTATGTTTTCATATATCTTTAAGTTTTCTGTTTTTTCTGCACTTTTTTGTTTTTGCTTTTTAGGTTTTTGCAATTCTGTAATTTTAACAGTTTGAAAAATAGTAGAATCGTCTTTTGCTTTTATTTTTTTTTTAGTTTTTATATGTTCTAAATTTTGTGATTTTTTATTTATACAAGTATGTCTTTATTATTAGAAAATTTTTATTGATAAATAATTTTCTAAAAATACCTACTTTGAGATATTTACAATTTTAATTTTTTTATTAGTTTTCATTTTGGCAAGTATAGTTTTTCGAACTTTTCGTTTATATTTTAAGATCGTTCAATTTTTTTTTTTTAATTTTGGAAAAAGTATCATATAATATTTAGTGCTTAATTGCGTTTAGTTTTGGTATTTTTTAGCTAGGGCTTTTGTTATAATGGTATCAGAAATGGGTATATTGTTGTATCCTGAAAAATTGACTGGTTCATATATTTCACCAATTTTTAATACAGTAAATGTTGTACTAGATCCTATTGTTTTATTTTTGATTCTTGATCACTCTCTTCGGAGAAATCATGGACAGGATAGAGTTATTGGCACTCTTTTAGGAATTAGATCTGAAGATGGATCTGAAATAGAGATTCGTAACTGTTTTGTTGTTCCTCATAATGAAAATCAGGATCAGGTTTGTGATGCTATTTATAGTATCTAGTTTCCAATTTCATGTAGGTAGAAGTAGACATGGAATATCATAAAACTATGTACGATTTACATCGTAAAACTAATCCTCACGAAGTAGTCGTTGGCTGGTTTAAATTTTCTTAGATAATTTTATTTTATATTGATAATTATAGGTTTGCTACTATATCACAGCTTAATACGTTTAGCGCACTTATACAGAATTTTTATTCTTCATCTTCTGATGGTACATATCCATTTCCTGCAGTTCATTTGACTGTGTCATTTGATTTTAAGGCTGGAATAAACTGCAAAACGTATATTTCATCAGCTGTTGGTGTAACATCTGAACGAACAGTTGATAGTTGTTTATTTTTGCCTATACCGCATGAAATAAGATATTATGACTTTGAAAGAAATGGATGTATGAAATTATCTTTATTATTAAATATTTCCTAATATTCAAAAAGTTGATTCAATTTTAAAAGCTAAAAATGAAGAAAGCAGGAAAACAAGTATTTTAGCTGATATGGATAATTTGGAACAGTCCATTGAGAAGATTTTATCTATTTTAAAAAAAGTTAAGAAATATGTTGAAAATGTTATGGTAAGGTTTAAAAAATTTGTTTTTTTTTTAAAAAATTCTATCTAGGATGGGAAAAATCGATCTAATCCTGCAGTTATTCGTTTTTTAATGGATAATGTGAATGTTTCTCCTAATATAGATATGCTTGATGTCGAAAAAATGTTTAATAATCATTTACAAGATGTTCTTATGCTTGTTTGTTTAGTAAATATTATTCATATACAATTAGATATAGCAAATCGTTTAGTTGCTTTAGTTTAGAGTATGCATTTATGATCTGAGTTTATTTTTAGAATTATAATATTAATATTTTATTCTTTTATATAATTTTTTGGTAAACGAGAACTAAATTATCGATTTTTAAATGTTAAAATTGTTTAAATTACATTTTCTTTTGTATGTATACATGATCTAAATGTTAACTATTTAAATGATATATTTTGGTATTAAAGTATTTGGGTTGTCTTTTTTAAAATGTGAACCTGTTAAATTTAGAGTTTTTTCTGTGATTTGTACTAGAAATTATAAAGCCGAATGTAAAAATATTTATAATGATCAGAAAGCAAGAATTGGAGTTAGTTGCGCAAAGATGGTTTTTGGAATTGGGTTATCAGTTATGAGCATTTCTGTTTTATATCTATTTTCAGTAGATACAAGTCCTTTTAGATATATTGGTTTGGCAACTATTAGAACATTTAGATTAATATCAACAGCTGCTTTATGTTTTAATGATTATCGTCGAACGATTAATTCTAATTATTTGAATGAGCAGGAGCGGATATATGCAATGTCTTTGTGTCATAAAAGATGTGCTGAACGTACTTTATCTTGTTTAGAAAAGAATGGTGGAATATTTATTAAACTTGGTCAGCATTTAAGTAGTATGTCATATTTAATTCCTTCGGTATTTTACTGCAAGTTTTTTCTTTTACTTATTTTTTTAGGAATGGACATCTACTATGGTTTGCTTACAGGATAAATGTCCATCATCTTCAATAGATGATATTAAAAAAATGTTTTTAGATGATACTGGAAAGCCATTAGAGGATTTTTTTTTGTTTTTTGATGAGAAGCCTGTAGGTGTTGCTAGTTTAGCTCAGGTTCATCGAGCTATTATGAGAGAAACTGGTCGTGAAGTTGCAGTAAAAGTTCAACATCCATCTTTAAGAAATTTTATGATTATTGATGTTTTCTTAACCAAAAAGATTCTTGGATCAATTAAAAGGTTTTTTCCTGAGTTTACTTTAACTTGGTTGAGTGAAGAAATGGAATTTTCTTTGCTACAAGAACTTAATTTTAAAGAAGAAGCAAAAAATGCTATTCGTATTAAGAAACATTTTGAAAAAATAAAGAGATTTTCTATTTACATTCCAGAAATTATATGGTCAGAAAAGAGGATTTTAATTATGGAATGTAAGAAGTTATTTGTTTTTATTATTTTTTAATTTGGTAATTTAGATATTAGGGGTGTGAGAATTGACGATCATAACTATATGTTAGCAAATAATATATCTCGAAATGAAGTTAGTGCTGAGTTATCGCATATATTTAATGAAATGATATTTGGTGATGATAGATATTTACATTGTGATCCTCATGGTGGAAACTTACTTATTAGAGCACGACCTAAAACATTTCAATTGAGATATAATTTTGAAATTGTATTGTTAGATCATGGATTATATAGACAAATTCCTTTAGATCTTCAAAGATCTTATGCAAGACTTTGGCTTTCGATTATAAATATGAATGAAAAAGATATGAAACAATATTCATATGAAGTTGCTGGAATTAGTGAAGATAAAGTAGATTAAATATTTATGTATATATTTTGATTAATATTGATTAGTTTCATTTGTTTACAAGTGCAATTACTGGGCGAGATTTTGCATCATTAAAAAAGTCAATAGTTAAAAAAAAAGAAAATAATCTTAATCGTATTATTGTAACTCGGGGTTTTATAATACGGTTAGTAGAATTATTGAATGATGTTCCACGAATTATGTAATATTAGAAGTTTTAATGTTATTACATAACTAAAAAGAATAGGCTTTTACTTTTTAAAACTAATGATTTGCTTCGTTCGCTTGATGAAAGTCTTAAGACTACTTATGGACCTAAACGTACTTATGGTATTCTTGGAAAGTATTGTGCGAGAGTTATTTATCAGGAGGATTTGGATAAATTATATTCTAACAAAGTTTCTGGAAATTATTGGAATCCTTCCTTTTTTGCACAATATTTATTTTGCATTTGGAAATATTATTATGCAGAAGCTTCACTTTATATTTATGAATGGTATTTGTTTATTTTTGGATAATAATTAGCTATAGTTATTATTTTGGCATAATTGTGGATTTTATTCTTTTTTAAATAATTATTTATTAAAAAAATAAAAAATATTGTTTTTTATTATTACATTTCGAAAATAATTTAAGTGTAATTATGAATTATATATTTAAGTTATGATTTAAACATTTTCAAATTGTCTAAGTTTAAGGTTGTTTTAAATTTTAGGAATATTTTTTTTTTTTATTAATGTTTTAGATAATATAACAAAATTAGGTTATTGTAAAATTGTTAAATGGTAGACGTTTATATTTTTAATATTTATTTTATAGTTTAATATTATTTTTGATTTTTTTAGTATAAGAATATTGTGCGTTAAAATTTAATTAAAAAATAATTTTTTTTAATTATATAAAATGTTTATAAATTTTAAAAATCTACGTAGTTAATTATTGTATTGGAAAAATGATACATGTTTTGATATAATTAAATAAATATTAAGATTTACTAAAAAAGCAGAAATAGAAAAGTGGAGATTTATAATTGACTGATTTAATATACTTGATAAAATGAAAAAACATATAAATATAATAATGTTGGCGATTATAATAAATTTCCCAAATAATGATTATTTTTTTAATGATTACATAGTTAAAAATTATTTAGAAGAAATGTTTATATATCAGTTTTTTATTAAATACTCATGATTTTTTATGCAAATATTTTAGATTTTTGTATTTTATTTTTTTAGAATATTGGTATAATATAAAATTTTATATTTAACTTTAATATTTATAATAATAAAAATATTGTTTTTTAACAAATAAGATGATAAGGTTTTAAGATAGCATTAGGATTGAACTGAAACTTTAGATATCAGTTATCATTTCTGGTTCAGGAACATTTAAGATCTATATTGACAAGTTCCTCCATATGAACTTACATTTGATTTCAATTATTTTATTCGAATATTAATATATTTTTTATACATTGAGTTTTTTAGAATTTCAAATAACTTCATTAAAGTTTATTAATTCTGAAATAAAATTGAAGTTAATTTTTTATTTGAAATAAGTCTTCTATTAGGCCTTCATATATTAGAAAGATAAATTTAATATCTTTCCATGATGTATTCATTTTAATGAGGTTTATAAAAAAAATATTTTTTAAATCTACGATAATGAAAATTACGTTGAAAAATAGGAGTTTGAAATGAACGTTTTATTATTTTATTAATATATTAGTATATTAAATTTTTTGTTTCATAAATATGAAACTATTAATAAATTTGAATTTTGATATTATATATTTTACAATATGATGATTTTGAAATATAACTAAGATCTTTAAAAAAGTTTTATGTATTTTAGTAATTATAACTAAGTTTTTCATTTCTTTGAAAAAGAAATATGAGAAAATTGAATAGATACTATAAATATTTATTATGAAATAAAATTTTTAATATATTGGAATATATAGTATTTTTAAGAGAACTAGAAATATTAGATGGTTTATATAAAAAAGAGCAGGAAATATTTTTAGAATTTATGTTTTAGAATGTAAAAATATTTTCATCTCTGCACAAAATAGGATTTTATGTATAATTTTATTTAGAGATCAAGATGTATTAATATATAGATTACTGAAAAATAATATAATTTCGGATAGAGGAAAAAAATCTTGAATGTTTTAAATGTTGGGAAAATAAATACATGTATCTTTGAATAAATTAACTAAAGAAAATGCACATGATTATGAAGAATGATATAAATTTATGAGAATAAAATAAAATTTGATTTATGATTTGCTTAATTTTGATATTTATATGAAAATATTGTATTTATATTATTATGATATAGATAAAATTTAATTTGGATTTCTTTTAATTAAATTAATAACTTTTTTTTTATAGTTTTCTATTTTTGAATTGTTTTTAAAATATTATCGTAAGTCATAGTAATTTTGTTATGACTTCTTGCTTTTTAGTTAAAAAAGTAATCCCTTAACTTCTAAAGGCATATAAATATATTTTAATAACAAACAAAAATACTTTTTATTCTATACTGATTTTTATAGTATTTTATATTATACATTATAGCTATCTATACTATTTAAAATGTGCTAAGAATTCTAAACATGATAATTCAATACTAAATTTATAATTCTTTTGAAACTATTAAATTAAATACTATTACTGAAAGACTTAATCATTTTTTGTTACTAGTAATTTGTTTAAATTTACTGATTATTTAAAATAATTAAAAAGGTGGCTTTTTGATTAAAATGGTTTCCTTGGCAACTTAATGATAATTTTCGTGCCTAATTTAATGTCTTATTGTTATTTATAATAATGATATGCATCAACAAAACTTGTTTTCTCGAAATAGATCTGAACTTTCTCAGTCCATAACTGAGCCTTTAGTTTTTCAGTCATCATTTACATCTGATCAAAACAATGAAGTCACTGGAATAATTCGACTTACAGGAGCTTCTTCTGAAAGAAGAGTAAGATTTGATGAAACAGCTATTGATAATGAAGGAATGGGAAAAAAAAAATCTAAAAGTTCTCATACTATTTAAGAATTTTTGTATAAATCTAATGTTATTATAGTTTGTTGTATTTATCATAAGCCGCGAGAATATGATGAATCATCTAGTAGCGATACTGATTCTTCATCAGGCTCGGAAAATTATAAAAATTTGGATACGAATAATCATACATGTTTTCATGAAGATACACAAGTTAATTCTGGAAATTTACAGTTATTTGATAAAACAAATAGACATTTAAATGCTTATGAAACATATCCAAAAACTAGAAAAATACCTTAAAAACTATAAAGTATAGCGTTTTTGGAACATACTTATTTTAGAAAGATATTGGTTTTATTATTGTATTTTTTATTTTATATTTTTATTTGTTATTTAATGATACATTTTTTTGATTTATCATCAGAACAAATAGTCATCATAGATTGAATATTTTTGTGTTAAATCTATGTGCTTGACTCTTTTATATATGTTCATCATATTTAACTATTCTATAGATATTTTGTGTTGAGCTTTAATATGTTATAAATATTAATATTTTTTTACTAATATTATAAGCTTCACAAAATATTAACTGTGCATCAAGAGTAAGCCCCATTAGGTTAAATCCTTTTGTAAAATGATAAAGGAAAAAATCGCATAACTATTTACTTTGACAAAAAATGACTCACCATCTATAAAAATTAGTTCTAGATTTTTTTCTCTTGATTTCGTTATTTTTTTAATGGTTTTACAAAAAAAGATTTTGGTTTATAGTATATAAGTTCAAGGCTCATATCTTTGCCCCTTCATTAAGAATAAAAGAACTAAATAGTATATAAACCTAAATTCTAATTTTTCAAACCATAAAAAAAGACGATAAAGAAACAAAAACATATTAGAACTAATAATAGAGAGACATCCAAATCTCTATGTTGAAACGTTTCCGTTTGAACTCTAATGAGTTATGTCCGGGGACTTTTTGGTTAAATTAAATAAATGTAAAATCATATTACCTTTCCCTAAAGTATGATTTATATAATGAAGAAATAAAATTCTTCCGTTTGTAGACTTCATTTGCGATTCTTTGTGCACAGTTGAATTATTTAAAATCTGATCAATGAATTTCTTGACTTTAAAAACATAAAATATAAAAAAAAAATATAAAAAACGATATAGATTTTTGAAAGATATTGTAGAGATTTTAATGTTTTGATGGTTAAGACTTATATTAATAAATTTTAGAAGTTTTTATTTATAAATTTATATTTTTAATACTTAAATATGTGATATTGATTTATTTTGTTTTTCTTTAAAAAAAATAGTTTTTTATGAAATTCTGATAATTAGTTATTTAATGATTTTATAGAAAAATATTATTATTTTATTATGTTTTATATTATCTAGTGAATTATAAATAGGTTTGTTAATGATCCTATTTTTTTTATTAAAAGATATTGATTTATTATTGGAATGAAATCTTTTGCATTTTGAAATGCAAATTTTAAGTATAAAGTATTTTTTATAGTTTTTATTGGCCATTCTAAAAAGAATTGTGTTTTTTCATAAATAATAGTATTTAATAATATAATAAATAATATATATAGATAAATTAATGAAACTGAAGTTATTATTTTTAAATATTTGATATATGTTTTTAAAAAATAAAAAAATGTATATTGTAATAATTTTAAAGTGTAAAATTGTATAATTATCATATGAAATATTTTTTCAAAATTATTGTATTAAATACTAATAACTGTTAATAGGTAAAGCTGTGTGCTATCCTACAAATTCTATAATTGTATTCATTAGTTTTCTTTTTTTTTTGAATTCTAATGCATAAAAACTTTTGAATCTGCAAAAATTATTTCTATTTGTTTATTAAAAAAAATATTTGTGGTTAAATTTTTATAAAATGATAAAATATGCATATAATAAATACTTTATATTTAATAAATGTTCTTAATTTAAATTGTATAGTAACTTTTTGAAATATATTATTAAATTTAATTATAAGCATTTTATAATTATTTTTTTTACCTGTTTAATATATTTAAACAAAATAATACTTTTATAGTTTAAATTTTAATGCTATAGTAATATTTTATTTTGGAATTAATAATGTGTTAGTTAATAAAATGAAATTATTTTCAGAAAAGAATAAAAATTAGAAATATTGTATTACAAAAAAAAAAATTAGATACTTTATTTAAGAAATTTTTAAGTTATTTATAATAAATTTTAAGTGTTTTTTTTTAAATATCAGGATAAAAAATACGGATTTGTTACATTTTTATAGTAATTAGATTGTTTATGATTGAACAAAACAGCTTATTTTTTTTGAATGATATTTCTGAGATGGAAGTATTTAAATATATGATTATAAAATTGTAATTTTTTAAATTAGAAAAATAGTTAACAATTAAATTTGAATATAAATATTTTAAATATTGATTTATGTATATGTTAATGTAATATTTAACATAAACATTTTAATATATTTTTTTTATAAATCTTAGAAAATAATTTTATATAATTGTATTTAAAGTTTTAATGAGAAAAATTAATAGTAGATTATAAAATATTTAAAAGAATTTAAAAATATTAGCTTTTAACGAGTAGATAAAGTTATGTTGCCCTCTCAGAAAAATAAAATAGATTTAAATGTAAGTTTTTTATATTTGTAAAAATAGCTGATTTTTTTTAGACATTAACTGAGGAAGAAAATAAATTATTTCGTTTATATGGAAAATTACCACAGAAAACTGATATTCTGAATAATAAGCTTAAGGTATTTTTATTATTTGTATAGTAATATTATTAAGTAATTAAAGGAGAGGAAATATTTTGATTCTGGAGATTACGCATTATCAAAAGCTGGAAAAGCTTCTGATGTTGGTATAATTAATATTGGATCTCAAATACCATCATTAGAAACGATTTCTCATCATATGAATCTAAGTAGCTATTCTAATTCTTCAGGTGGAAGTTCCATATCCAATTTTTCCGGGTCACCTGTTAAAGAGAGTAGTTTATTGCATTGTAGTATTTTAAGCCAATCATCTTCAGCAAATGACGTTAAACATGACCTAGATACGCCTTTTAATGATTAGATATACATTATTTTTATATTATTTTATGTTAATTATAAATTGTATATTTTTAGATTGTATACACTCTAATAGTTTTTTTTTTGTAATATTATGGCTAATATTCTATCTTAAAAGTAAAATGTTTTAATATTATATACGATATAATATTAAGGAATTAAATTTGTTTTGTTTCTTGTTTTATTTTGGTTTGTTTTAGTAGCCTTTCTTTAATAGATTTTCTAAAGAAATGTTGATTTTAAGATTATTGTTATTGATTCTGAAAATATGATAAAAACATATGAAATAATAAATTTATACTTTTTATTTGTTAAATTAAAAATAATAAATTTCATAAAATTCATATTGTTCGTATTAGACTGGATTATTTAGCACTGTGTAAATAGGGATATTAATGATTATGCAAGTGATTCTTTTTTTATATGAGTTAGCGCAAATATACGTTTTATGAAAAAAATATTTTAATGTCTAAAATATAGAGTTGATTAATGGAAAACTTAATTATGTGTGTTTTATAGTATAACTCTTGTTAAGTTTATTAAATTAATTGTTTTTTAAATTCTCTTGTAAATTATATGTTAAAATATATGATTTTTTTTGACGTATTTATAATTGTGATTAATGTTGTATAGGTTTTATTATAATACAAAATATATACTTAAATTCTTTGAGTTGATGCTTCGAAAATATATATATATATATATATATTTGTTATTTATGATGCAATTAATTGTTGGTTTTGAAAATGGATGAATTATATTGATATTTTTTTATACGTTTGAATAGCTGATATTTAATGATATTAATTAAAAAATATTATTTGAATTGACTAAAATATTGTATATAAATGTTTTGTTTATGTATTTTCTCTTGAATATTTTTTTTTTAAAATGCCTTAGTTTATATTATATTTTTTACTTTACAAGATTGTTTAATTTCTATTTTATCAATCAAAATTAATAATTTAATTTAAATAAGAAAAATATTGTACATAAAAAAAAAATGCTTATAATGAAACTTTGAATTATTTAAGATATTTTGAAAAAAAAAAAATATATTAAAATTAATGAATTTACAAATTATAGTATAAATGAATTTTTTCGATGTTCTTTTTTTTGATGTAAATTTTTGATTTTTTTTCTTTGATAATGAAATCATAAATGTTTTTGAACTTTTTAAAATATCATATTTATCTATTAAATGTTTTCTATGAAAATTAATAACATAAATGTTATTTTAATGAATTCGAGATCTTATTTTTTTTATATATTTTATTTTTTGTTAGTAAAATGTAATAGTATTATATTTATTATAATTAATCATTTTTTGAAATAATATAGGATTCTTAGATTCAGTAGTACTTGATGCTTTGACTAAGAATAAATTTATTTTCTATTATTATCGGATGATAATAGGAAAGATTGGTTTGGTTTAATGATTTGAGTCTGTTTTATTTTGAAACAATAAAATAATTTATCTAAAGATATCTTGTATAATAAAAAAATATATATTCATATATATTCATAAGTGTATTTTTATTAATATTAAAAAACATTCAAGTAATTTAATTGTTATATTTTTAATCTTGTTTTAATTATGCTGTAAGAATATGTATATATAATTATATTTCACATGACAATACAATATATTTTTATATTTTTTTTCTTTTTGATAAAAATTAAATTATTTATGTATTAAAATAAATTTTGCTGTTTATAAATTTAATACCATTTAAAATTAAAAAAAAAACATATAAATGCAAATGTGTTGATAGCTAATTAAGTGAATATTTTGAACACATGTTATGAATCTGATAAAATAATAGTTTCGATTTTATTACTTATACTTTTATTTGTATTTTTTTTGCAATAGAATTGGTTACATGATGAATCGTATGTTTTTGGACTATTTTCTTTTTGTTTAATTATTGTAGGATATGATAGTAAATTTTGAGAATTAACTTCTAGATTTTAATAAAAATATGTTAGATGTATTAATAAAAGTTAATACCACTGTTTGAATATATTGGTAACAATTTCGTTTCTAAGAAATTATCATATGATATACTATCATTATTATTTATTGAAAAAAATGATAAATCTGTATTATGCTTAATATCCGTATTTTTTTGTAATGATTTTGATGAATAAACAGGATTCAGTGCCTTAATATAATGTTAAAAATATCAAAATTTTAAGATTAAATAGTAATTTTTGAAGTACCGATTTAAATTCTGTAATAGTCTTTCTGACAAGAATTGTTTTTTTGACAGTGTTCCATAATTCTTGCGTCAAAAAACATGAATCTTGTGATGAGATCTAAAATAATGAAATTAGCGAATTGTGTAGATTGATATAATAAAACTTTTTTTAATGAATGAAGTTTTCCTTGTAAGCTAGTGCATATAGATCTTTTCGAAATACGATCAAGAGATCTAGAAACGATATTTAAATGTTCAGATGTTTTTTCCGCAATCTAAATTATATAAGAATATTATATATATATATGGTTTTAAAATTCCTCTGCTAAATCTGTCCTGAAAATTAATGGTATATTTCGACTTAGTTTATCTTTAAAAAATGATCGAAATGCTAAGTCTATAAGAGGTGTTAAGATTTCCAGTTCTGGTATAATTTTAGAATGATTATCTTTATATAAAAGATCTTTAAAATTCATGTGAATTTGAATTTCTGAAAGTTCTCCATGTAATACACTTTTAGGATAATGTAATATAGGATATGATTCAGATGGTAAAAGGTTTACTAAAAAATATAAGAATCACACAATATAACGTGCATTTATACGCGTAATATCATTTTCTTTGTCAATTGATTGAAGAATAATGGGGCGAAGATATAATTGTTTCCATAGCTTGGAATTGTCAGATGTAAAATTAATTAATTATTGATGTGACCTCTGCTGATGAAATAAATTGGCCTAGTTTGTTAATAAAATCATGATTTAGATGTTTATTCTTCCAAAGTGTTGTTAATTTTAACTAGTATAATTATAATGGTTTTAAAAAACATAATAAAACTCACATTTAAATCATTACCTTTAAGAATATCATATTTTTTCCATGAAGATATTGCATTTTTGTCTGGATAAAATACAGTGTAACACGCTGTAAAATCCAGTCTAATTTTATTGATATCATCCCCTAGACTGAGAGGGGGTATATAGAATTGTATATTTTTCATATATTATTGAATAGATAAATATTTTTAGATTTGTAGTTTACGATTTGAGAAATTTAAAAATTTAATAATTTAATGTTTTATTATATAATTTAACTAAATAAAATATGTTAAAAATAATAGATAAAAAATGCAAGGTTTACAATATTATATAAATAATATATATATTGGTCATTATTTTTTAGTCATGTAACTAATTGTAATATATGTTATAATCATCTAGTTATTTTTAATACATTTTTTAATGAATTATTGTAATTATGTAGTGTAATAAAATTCCTAGATTTCAATTTTTAAAAAAATATCTGCAAATGATAATTAATGATTTAAAAATCGTATTAATATAAATATTATTTCTTAGAGTAAAATATAAAACAAATAATTATTTTTATATATTAATATTTAATATGTTAAGAATGTAATTGAATAATATAATAGCATTTTATATTTATTACAGTGTTATTTAAACATATTTTTATATTGATATTTTAGAAATAAATGCTATAATAATAAAATTAAATTTTAATTTTTTAAAATTGTCATTGAAACTTTTATTAAGTTTATATTTTTTAATATAATATCTCTGTTTGATTTATAAATTATACACAAAAAATTAATAATTATCACCATAATTATAAAAATTAATTTCTATTATTTATCAAAATAATATAACGTAATTTCCTTATCATACATGTTTTTTATATTAATGAAATACATTTTTTACTATTTCAAATATGATCAAAAACTATCTAAAATCCTATAGTTAAAAAATATTTTTTTAATACAATATATATATATATATTACATTATTATAAACCAATTAAAATATAAATTCATTTTTAAAACATATTCAAAAATATCGTTTTAAATAAAATAATTTTTACAATTTAAGCGTTTATTTTTTCATAATTATATAATATTAATAAAAAATAATGAAAAAAGCAACATTTTCATCAAAATCATCATCAAATGCACAATGTCAGGTATTATTTATATAGTTATATGAATAAAAATTCATACATTAGAAATGTCTTAAACATGGACACTGGACATACGAGTGTAAAAATCCAGTTATAGTTTATAAATCTCGTCCAACAAGAACACAACAATTAAAAAATATAGAATTATCAAAAGAAAATAAAAAAGATCAATTTAATTGACATAAAAATTATATATTTGTCATCACAATAAAAAGTTTAAAAGCGAATAAGTATGTATCTAAAAACAATTTTTAAAACCATATATTTTTTATCATAGCAAAACATATCATCAATGTTAATTAGTAAATAACATAGATTTCATAATTCAAACTTTTTATAAAAAATTAACGTTTTGAATTAATTTATTAAAAATATTTTATCACTCAATAAAACAGATAAAACATTTTTTTCATAAATCTATTAGAATATTATATTTATAGAAAAAATTAATTCAAAATTATTAACCTAACCAACAATCTAAAAAAAAAAAGCTATAATATGCAAATAAATTATATTACATTTTAAAATATATAAGGTATTATACTAAAATTTATTTTTACATATTATTATATTTTCACTAAAAGTCCAAAAAAAATTGTGTATTATTTTATTTTTTATCATATTCTTCATATATTATGTATCAGAAATACTTTTTATTTTAGAATCCTCCATTGTATTTTTCATAGATAAAAGTTTTTCACGAATTAATTTAGAAATTGCATATTCAGTTTTTTTCTTTAAACGTTCATTTTTTTTTAGCAGTTCTCTTTTCAAATCACAATTTATTTTATTAGACTTTAATCCAGAAATATCAAGTTCATTACTATTAAATGGTATTTTTGTTGCATTTGAATCAGTATTATCTTTTAATCGTTGAGCTTCAAATTCAACTGTTTCTTCAGTCCATAATGACGAATTTTTAAAACCCATACGAGGCCCACGTAACTCAGGATCATAATTACGAAATGAAAGGGGCAAGCTATTAAATATATTAATATTATAAATTTTATTAATTAAAGAAAGCTTACTCAGAAATACCTAAATCTTTATTAATTCTAAGATTTTCATCATTAGATAACCCATTCTCAAGACTAGTAACATTTGAATCAGATGCATTTTTTATTTTTTTTAGCTCATTTAATCTTTCTTTTCTTTTCAGTGAAAGTTGATCTAAAGACATTTTTTTACGATAACGAAAATATGTTGAAAATAAAATATTTGTTTAAAATCATATAAATATTAAAAAACATAAATTAAAAAAAAAACAATACAGTCATGCACCTATAAATACATATTATATATATAATTATTCATTATTACATATATAGTTAATTTAATACATTTTTTTAATATTCTACTCTTGTATAAAAAAATCATTAGTAGAACAAAATCAAAATATTTTTTATATTTATAAGAATATTCTATAAATACTATACGTTTAAAAACACTAATTCATAAGTTTTAAAGCCAATATAATAATACAATAATTATTCAATAATATAATTTAACAATAAAATAGCATATAAGACAGAATATACATAATACACTAAAGTCAAAACATACACGTACTCAATAAAAATATATATTTATATTTATAAAAATAAATTTACAATTCGCATTTCAAAAATCACTGTAATTATAAATCAAACAAAAACCATATTTTTATTGGAAAAATTATAAATCGAAAAAAACATTTATCAATTGATTACAAAATAACATTATATATAATAACTAAAAATAAGATAAAATATATAACTAATGACGTTAAATTATAAAGCAAAAATTACCAAAAAAATATTAAAATAATTACATGAAAACAAAATAATATTTTTCAATGCTTTTAAAACTTCATAAAATTTAATATTTCATTAATAAAAAACATTGTAGGCATCCTAAGTACTTGCCCGGCTAGCTCAATCGGTAGAGCGTGAGACTCTTATTCTAGGGATCTCAAGGCTGTGGGTTCGACCCCCACGTTGGGCGTCATTAAAAAATCATAGGAGATGCTTATTTTTTCCCAAAAGTTTCTAAAAAATATGCATAACAATCTTATAAAACAATATTCGCTTTTTCTACTAATTAAAATTATATATGATATTATAATTCATTATCGTTGCCATTAACGTTGTGTTTATTTAAAAATAAGATCGAATTTTATCAAAAAAATAATTTTTAGTTAGAAACAATTAAGAATAACATGAGAATTTTCTTATAAGAAAAAACAGGGAATGATTTCTTAAAATCCATGGAATTTAATTTTTTACAAAACCCTAATGATATTCCGACATGTATTAAAGACTATTGCTTGTTACAAAAGCTTGGACGTGGTGCTTTTGGGGATGTTTTCAAAGCTATTCCATTAAAAGGCAAACTAAAAAGCGAGAACATAGCTCTAAAAATAGTAATTCTAAGAAACTATTTTTAATATTTTTTTATATATTAATTTGTCTTAGATAAACAAAGCAAAATTAACTTCACAAACACATCGTCGTCGAATTGTAAATGAAATTTACATACATTCATCTTTAGAAAGGCATAAAAATATTTTAGATTTCTATACTTCTTTTGAGGATGATCAAAATATATACATTGTCACACAACTTTGCTCTCAAGGATCTCTTTATTCATTTATACAAACTCAATCATTTCTGCCACTAAAAGAAAACTTTGTTAAAAAGATAATGAAAGAAATAGTTTCAGGATTAATATTTCTACATTCCCATAAAATTATTCATCGTGATCTAAAATTATCAAATATTCTTCTAGACGAAAATAGCATAGCAAAAATAGCAGATTTTGGTCTTTCTACAATTCTTCAAAATTTTTCAGACGAAGAACCAATGACATTATGTGGAACACCAAATTATATTTCACCGTAAAATCATTTCATTTGCTTAAATAATACAATAATTGTTTTAGAGAAATCATTACGCATGGACCTTGTGGCCTAGCTTCAGATATTTGGTCTCTTGGATGCATTTTTTTTTGTCTTCTTGATAATTCACCACCATTTCAGGTATAAATAACGGATTATATTCCTCAGAACTAACACCTTTAGTCTGAAAATATCTCAGGAACACTAATGCAAATTACAAATGGAAACTTAAGGCAGCTACCTTCTTATGTAAGCAATGAAGCTAAAAATCTAGTAAATAAAATGCTTCAAAAGGTTGAATTTATTTAAAATCATACTATCATTAATTAACAATTACTAGAACCCCTCAAATCGTATCAAAACACATGAAATTTTGAATCATCCATTTTTTAATTCAACTTTAAATTTAAAAGAGATCATCAAACTAAATCCAGAATTCAAATCAGAACATAAATCAACATTTTCATCAAACTTTGAAAAATTGGAAGCTATTACAGATATTTCAAAACTTATTAGACATGAACCTAATCTAGCTACACTTAAGAATAACAAAGATTTGGAAAAAAGTAAAGAAAATGATAAAAAAGAATTTACGTGCAAAAAGTTCTCAAGTATTTTAGATACATCAATAATTGCAAGTCCCGAAAAAAAAGTTCTTCAAAGAATTGAGAATATCTTAAATGAGAATAAAAAAAATAGTATATACAAGAAAATTAAAAAAAAGGATATGCATTTTTCTATAAATCCTTTATTAAAACATAATTTATCTTCAAATCTCGACGACCTTAATAATAATATAGGTTATATTAGAGGAAAATCATTTACGATTCATTGTGATGAAAATGACATAAGAACATGCAGAGATTATAAAAATTCGAACTTATTAAATACAATGAAAAACAACTTAAACAACATAATAGAAGACCAGAACATCGATATTTTTAAAAACCAAAGAAAAAAGACTCATATTTATGACAATTTTTATAAAAAATGTTTTGACTCGGAAAGCGAATACATTGAAACTCAAACAATTTCATATATTATGGACACCCAAAAATCTACAAATAAATTTGATAAAATTCATAATGAATCACCGTCAAAATTATATATTTTTTCAAATAACTATGATAAACAAAAAACTCGTATGAAATACAATACAAAAGATTTCAAAAACTTGAAAAATCTTTTAAGAAAAGGAACATTAACAAAAAGTGATTTAGATAAAAAACATCAAGGTTCTTACATGGATAATAAATTTAGTTCATTGATTACACCTATATCAGACTTTGCAAAGAAATATCATTTTAATACAAAAGGGTTAAACGTAATAAAGCAAAAAACTAAACATGCAGACATAGAAATCACAAAAAAAGGATATTTACGACTCTCTTTTCATAATATGAGCTGGGAATGCTTGATAAATTCAGATGGTATTAAGGTATTATATATTTTGTCATTTATTATTATTAAAAAAATTAGATAAAAATAATCCAAAGCGATAGGTTACCACAAATGTATCATCTTGATGATTTACCTGCAAAATATCTCAGGGCATATCGCTATGCTTCCAAATTTATTTCTATTTTAAAATCGAAAATACCAAAAATTATTCTTGATACACCATATGCAAAATGCCGTCTATATCTTAATTCAGTATTTGAAATTCGTTATATTAATAGTCAAACAATGATTATTCAACTCGATTCTAAAAAACAAATAGTTAAAATGTTTACTCAAAATAGCACAGAAAACAAAGATAAATTACTTTACGAAGGGGATATTGAATCAGCATATAAAGATTTCCCAGAAATAATCATTGATACAATAAATCGATATAAAAGATGTATAAATTTAGGAAAAGAATCAGAGGATGATATTGCAGATAATTATGCTAAATTTATAAATGGAAAAGGCTGGTGGTGGATTAATAAAAAAATCGGAATAATGATGTTTTTAGATGGTTCACAATTACAAGTATATTTTAAATCCGATGATAACTATTTAACCACACGATCAATTTCTCGTATTAAATTTATTAATAATAATATACATGAAGTTTATGAGCTTAACGACAATAAAGTAATTCCTGAGACAGTAAAAAAAAAACTATTTATTCTAAAGGATTATGGATTGTTATAAACTTTGAATGCAAATGATTATAATCTACAAATTTATGATAAATCCAATTCATTACATTTAATATATTTTATAAAAAAAAATGTAAAATACTATATATTAAAGTATAAAAAAAAACCAATATACAACAGTCCATTTAAGAATAATCTATTTCGATTTCATTTTTTTCAGTTTCGGTCCATTATCATTTTCATTGTCAGACTCTTTGCTGGACTCAGCATTTTCATCATATTCTTCAGCAACATCACTATCACTTTCTATCTGAAAATCATCATCCGGACTCTCATCATCATCATTGCTTCTTATTGGTATACTACTATTATCGTCATCAGACAACTCATCATCTAAAGCATCAAGTATAGCCTGAGACTAAAATACGTCAATTTTTTTTTAGATATTAAACCTACATCTTCATTAAGATCATTTTCTATTTTAATATTTTTTGACTTCATAAAATCTTCAAGAAGTTTTTGTTCTTCCCTAAATAAATTAAAACATTAAAGTTATTTTTTTTAGAAAAAAAACCTATTTATATTAGAAAACTGATAATAAGCACCACCTTTAAGGGAAAAAGTAAGATCAAAAGTACGTGATGCAGAAACAGAAGTATTAATACTATACACATTATATTAATTAATAATAAATACTAAACATTATACCGAAAAAGAGTGACATATGAAATTTCAGATATAGGAATCCAAATCGAAGGCTTAGGAATAAACAAAAAACTTTTATCTAAACAAAAAAGATTTCCTTCACTAGCTTTCATAGAACATTTAACAGCAGCATGACCACGATAACTTAGTTTATATTAATTACATATCTCAAAAAAAAACAAAATATTACCTTCTGAAAGTTGAAGGAGTTATAACTTTTTTACCAGTTAAACCATAAAATATCTGACTTACAACTTCATAGGCAGGTTGATCATACTTCTTTTTCAATTTTTCAGAATACTTTTCTTGAAATTCAGAACTAAAAATAATAAATCACCAATCCAAAACAATTCGTAGTCTATACTCTTCAATATTCAATTCTACCTCCATTTCCTCTTCACGCATAAATTGAATAACCAAAAATGGATATTCTGTTTGACCTTGACGAAGAGGTAGATCCAACCCCATAACAAAAACTATATGCATATCATCAGGCTTTGGAAGAAGAAATAATTTGACAAAGGAAGAATAATATATTTTATAATCATAAGTCTTACCACGTAATCGAAGAAATGATGAATACATATCTACATCATATCGACCACTAATCATGTTAACGAGTTTTTAAAGAAAAAAAAAACATTATACCGAGGAGTAAGAAATAAAACATCAGAAAAAGACACAATGCTTTCACCAGAAACCTGTCCGATATCTGCTTTATCCTTTAAGGTTTCATAAAATAGCTAAAATTAAAACATTTCAAACAAAAAAGCGATAATATTATTACTTACATTTGCATTGTTAACACTTTCACTATTTTCTTGATTTCCTGTAATTGTTGTTCCAGGAATATAAAATCTCATCTCAACGAGTTGATCTTCTTGTACTGCTACTCCTTTTACCAGTTGACTTTCCAATTTTTCAGTATCATTATCATATCTTGGTAGCAAAAACTCAAGACTAACTTCGTTTTTTCCAGAAAGATTAGTGTTAGATATATTTGACAAAGGTATCTCAAATGCCGGTTTATTCGACACATTAAACAAAAGTTCGGAACCAGAAAATTCCGTTTTTCCCCAATTCCATCCTTTTAAAGAATGTTCTCGTTGCTCCAAAGTAATATTAAAATATTTCTTAATAGTCTTACGTAAAGTATCAAGATCCTCATCATCAAATCCATCTAATTGCACAAATCCACCATTACGAAGAGTCAATTTCAACTCATAACCTCGTGCTGCTCGAGACCATTGAGCTTTACGTATATCACTTGCAGGTACTGTATACAGTTCATCTGAATTTGATTCTTTCCATCCAAGTCCACTAGATGCTAATCTAAGTCGTCCCGCAATCTTGCCCTGATTCAAGTAAATATCATCATATTGAATAACCTCTGGCATATTTTTATAATAAATTTAACTAAAATAAAATTGAAAATAGTCCTAAACTAATTATCACGCCAGGCCATTAAAATTTCAAAAAAATAAAATGTTTTAATCAAAAGTTTGAAGTTTCAAACTCATTATATAAAAACATTAAAAAAAACTATCAAAAATTATAAATTTAACTTAATATAAATTCTATTAATAAACGTAAACTTTTAAAAACTATAAATTTTAAAATTTTATAATAAAGACATTAATAATAAGCTCTATAATACAAAAATAGGTATAACAAAATATATATTTTTAAAATTAATCTATTATAATCATAAATATTAAAAAATTTTACAAAAAAATAAAATTGAATCCTAAAATAATATATTTTTATTTTTTTAACAGATCTAATATAATCTTTAAATAATTTATATGTATTGAAGCAATAAATATTTAACTTTTTAAAAACATTCTTAAAAATTATAGAATGGACTAATTTTATATTTATTTAAATTTACACATAAAAAATTTAAATATTCAATACACTTTCAATACAATTCTTAACCACACTATTAAGTTCTGGTACCAAAATAAACCAGTCCAAATATATAAATACATGACATTTAAAGATAAATCATAAAAATATAATTATCTAGAATATAAACTATTTAAACTAAAATAAAATATCATCAATTGATTTTTTACAATGCATATTTTATGCAAAAACTATTAATAATTTATTTAATCAATTATTCAAATATATATATTCATGTACATGTTATTGAATATTATTAATAAATATGGTTTCAAAGAATTAACTGATATTTAAACTTATCATGTCTGTTTAATTTTCATATATGATTAGAAAATTAAATTTAATATAATAACTATTTTATAAAAATTCATATGTTTTACAATTAAAATAACACTATTTTTATTAATTTTACACATTCGAATTAAAAATCATATGTATTTTTATTTGATATATTATACAATTTCAAAAACATTTTAAAACAAAAATATTTAAAGTTTATTATTAAAACATAAGAAATAACACATTTGCATTATTTAAAATGAATATAGCAAAAATTCTTAAATTACTACATATCAAATAATATTAACAAAATTTTTTCATAAATTTAAAAAACTATGAAAACATATTATCTCAAACTATTAAACTAATTTTAAAATAAAACCCAAAATAAGATAAAATTAAGCTTTTATAATAATAAAATTACCAAGACATTAGACTAAAAAAACATTAAATCATTAATTTTAAATAGTTCTTGTAATAAAATTTGTCTGGTAATCAAAAAAAATAATAAATTATATTTAGATTTAAAATTAGAACTTGCAAATTTTTTCATATTTTTTCATAAAACATTTTAATAGTATAATTTTAAAACACCATACCAATTATTAAATATTAAAAATATTTAAAATTCACATGTTTATCGTTTAAAATGTTACAAATAACTACAAAATATCACGTTTTTAAATCAAAATAACTTTCGGAATATATTAAAATTCAAAAATATTTAAAGATATTTTTCATTTTTAATGGCTACTCTTTATTCATTCCAAACAAAAGATGATCTAAGGAATGCACTTTACCAATATATAAAAAAAGCATACAATGAAAGTATCATAAAACATAATAAATTTAATGTAGCTATTAGCGGAGGATCATTACCAAAGATTTTGGGTGAAAATATTGAAAACTTAAATGGTATTGATTGGAATAAATGGTATTTTTTCATAATATTTCAATTAGAAAATTATTATTTATTAGGGAAATATTTTTTGCAGATGAACGTGTTGTACCGTTATATAGTCAAGATTCAAATTACAAACTTTGTTATGATGAATTTTTTATGAAACTACCTATTCCCATGGAAAATATTCATACTATTGATGTGTCTTTATTAAATAATCCAGAAAAACTATCTAAAGCATACGAATCAGTATTAATGAGAAAATTTCCTATTAAAAACACAAAAAAATTTCCAGAATTTGATCTTTTACTATTGGGTTGTGGAGAAGATGGACATACATGTTCATTATTCCCTAATCATAAAAGTTTACAAGAAAACACCTCTTGGGTAATATCTATTACTAATTCACCAAAACCACCATCAACACGCATTACTTTCTCACTTCCAGTTATAACTAATGCACAAAGAATTGCTTTTATTGTATTAGGAGAAAAAAAGCGGGAAATTATGAAAAGAATATGGAATTATATAGAAGAATTACCATGCTCATTAATTAACATAAAAGCAGGCTGTAAGGTACTATGGTTCTCTGATATTTCTGCTACTGAATTGGTTGATGAAAAAATAAAAAAGCAGTTCAAGTTATAAATCCAAATTCTAAAAATTATAGCTATCATATAATTTCAATGTTTCATAATATAAAATCTATGTAATCTTTAAATATTAAATATAATAAATCACATACATACTTATCATTTTAAATAGACAACTATCTTTCAATTTATAAGGGCGTCAAAAAACATGATTTCAAAAAAAATTAAAACAAAAATAACTATAAAGACTTTTATAAGAAATCATTTCATTTCCCTACTTTTTTTCCCAAATCTCTCTACTCTTCTCCGTATTTTTTCATTTTCTACTGAGTTATTTAAAATTCTAGATTTTACAAATTTTATATTTTTTTCAGGTGTTTCACTTGAAAAATTCTTATAATAATCAAGTTTCACAGTATTAGCTACGTTAAAACGAATAGATCTTTCAAGCCTTTTATTATTTTCATTTTCTGAAATTCCAAAACGAGATGCTCTAATCTTACGTTTAACAATTTCATTTTCAATTGATTGCCAATCCATATCAAAAGCATTTTCACTATTTCTTTTCTTAATAGAAGGAACATTTTTCAACGTAGCATTCTCCTTAATAGAAACATTATTTATAGAATCAGATGATGTAGAAAATATAGACGCAATAGAAACAAATTTAAAATTGGAATCTTTCTGAATTTTTTGAGGATTATTTTGTCTGAAATTTTTTTTAGAATTAATTAACTTATCAAAATTATGTATAATTGACGTTTTTTCAAACAAAGTAGATTTTATTGGTATATCAGTAGTATCATCTTCCCAATCAATTTCATCTTCTGGAGGAGCAAGATCACCCAGATCATCCTTAGAGACTTTAGAAAGTCGAGTAACATTAAGCTTATCGTTATCAGATTTATCAGCCTCTAATAAACGTGCGACCATATCTTCCTTTTTACCTCTCACTGGTAAAAATCGTTTTTGTAAAAGTTCTTTAAGTGCAGAAACTTTAAGAGATTTATAATATGTCTCAGAAGACATTCTTATTTATAACATAAAAAATGAGAAATTTGCAATTTATAAAAAATATTACGATCTTTATCGAAACTTTATAAAAAATTAAATTCAAATTCAGATATATAATTATAATAAATGAAGTTTCATAAATCAAATTATATAAAAACCTTTTACACAAAATCGAAAAATATTCTCATTTAATAACTAAACTTATAATATATATATTTAATATATTTTTTTTAAAAATAATTTAAAATAATTATTTCAATTAAAATTATAAAAATAAAATATGGCAAGTAAAAGCATTTAAGGATTTAAAACTTTTACAAAAGAATATGAAAATAAAATTTTTACAAGTATTTCGATCATATTAACATCGAAAATAAATTATCTTTAATCAATTATTTTAATTTATAAAAGAGGGATTATTTACAAATTCTATTTTATTAACAATGACTTCAAACTATCAACAACTAGAAAAACTTGGTGAAGGAACATATGCCACAGTTCACAAAGGTAAATTTAAAATAGATTATATATAATTCAAAAATTTATATTCTAGGACGAAATCGTGCAACAGGGGAAATTGTTGCTTTGAAAGAGATATTCGTAGATGCAGATGAGGGTACTCCATCAACGGTATAACTGCATGTAAAATACTACGGACATATATAATAAATATAAATTTAGGCTATTCGAGAAATATCACTTATGAAGGAACTTAAGCACGAAAATATCGTTGGTTTATGGGATGTCATTCATACAGAAAGCAAACTTATGTTGGTATTTGAATATATGGATAAAGACTTAAAGAAATATATGGATTCTCAAGGAAATGGGGGTGCTTTAGACCCTAATATTGCCAAAGGCTTTATGTACCAACTGCTTAAAGGAATTGCATTTTGCCATGATAATCGTGTTCTTCATCGAGACCTTAAGCCACAAAACCTTCTTATTAATAAACGAGGCCAATTAAAGCTTGCTGATTTTGGGCTTGCAAGAGCGTTTGGAATCCCTGTAAATACATTTTCAAATGAGGTTGTAACTCTATGGTACAGAGCACCAGATGTTCTTCTTGGATCTCGTACATATTCAACCAGCATTGATATTTGGTCTGCTGGATGTATTATGGCGGAAATGTATACAGGTAGACCTTTATTCCCTGGAAGTAACAATGATGATCAACTACTGAAAATATTTCGTCTTATGGGTACACCTAATGAACATACTTGGCCTGGAATTAGTCAATATCCAGAATATCGTGCTAATTATCCAGTATATAATGTTCAAGATCTTAGTCAAATTATACCACAATTGGATCCCCTTGGAATAGATTTATTAAATAAAATGCTACAATTACAGCCTAATATGTAAGTAATAATAATAAATACTACTTCTAATTATTTATAATTTTAGGCGAATTTCCGCATCAAATGCACTTAAACATGCATGGTTTACAGATGTATCATATCCATCACATAATACCTAAATATCATTAATCTAATAACAATAATTTAATGAATATTTTTTTTTGAATTTTAATATTCATATATTTACTATTTATAATATTGAATATTATTTATACCATTCATTTAGAAATATACCATATTATTACATAAATAATATATTAATACAAATAGTCTTTTTCTAAAAATAACTATTATATCAGATTTATTCAAACCCTTATATACTTTATTCTTCAAACTTAATCTTCATAAAAAATTTTTTAAATTTTAAATAACATTTTTATAAATAAGAATAAAAATTTCAATAAAAATAAAATACTAAAAATAATTATAAATTATCAAATTGAATAAATACAGTAATACCGGAAATGTTATTTTTAAGATTATAAAAGCTAATTCTGATATCAATCTTAAACAAGTTATGATACCGTTTTAACATAACTATTATTAAACAAATAATTATAATTTTTTAAACATTTTTAAGAAACAAACTTATAAATGTCTATGCTTATTTAAATATAATAATGCAGAAATTCTAATATAAAGATTAATAAAAAATAAATATCAATATTTAACTTAAAAATTCTAAAAAATTAAAAAAATAACTATCAACCAAAATGTAAAATTTACAAAAATGTACAGAAATACATATAGCCAATAAAACTAGATATCAATATTTCAAAATTTTAATTTTAAAAGATATATTATAGAAAAATAAACATAAATATCTTTGAATATTAGCATTATAATATTAAAAATATATAAATTATTATTTAAATTTCATTTACAACATTCATAAATAACATTCTTAATGCTAAAGGTTTCCAAATATTATAAAAAATCACTAAATTATAATATAATTCATAAATATAAAAACATTTTTTTAAAATTTCCAATATCCAAAAACTTAGCCCTAAAATATAAATAAAACTTAATATTTTAAAAATCTAGTCTCAAATTTTCGAAGTACCAAAAATTAATAAAAAATTTTTCAAATAATTAAATAAAAATGCCAACAAGACTTCATAATACACGAAAACATAGAGGTCATGTATCGGCGGGTTATGGAAGAGTTGGCAAACATCGAAAACATCCCGGTGGAAGAGGACTTGCAGGTGGGATGCATCATCATCGCATCAATATGGATAAATACCATCCTGGATATTTTGGAAAAGTAAGTTTAAAAAATAAACGGTGCCTTATAGGTGCTGCTTCTCCTTTAGACATTACTAATTTTTCATTAGGTAGGAATGAGATATTTTCATAAGTATAATACACCAATTTTAAAACGAAGAAATTTAGCTGATTAATTTTTTGATAAATAGGACAAATAATCAGGTGAAGTTTGAATTGTATAACTTTATTTCCTTTTTATTTACTTCAGAAGTTTTGGAGACCTCCAGTAAATGTTGAAAAATTATGGTCCCTTATTTCGAAAGAAGAAAGAGAAAAATTTCTAAACCAAAAAACAGATACGTCGCCTATTATTGATACTCTTGTTCATGTGATTATATTTTAGGGATGTTATAGTGACTAATATTTTATTTTAGGGATATGGAAAAGTTCTCGGAAAAGGTCGTCTACCTTCTATACCGATTATTGTTCGTGCCCGGCATGTCTCACAAACTGCCGAAAGAAAAATTAAAGAAGTTGGTGGCATTGTTGAGCTGGTTGCATAGTCGAGTAGATAATATATTCTCATCATTTTCAATATTATATATTTTTATGATTTAATATATTTTTATCTACATAATCTATACAATCTTTTTATAGTTTTTAACAATCTTTAAGAAATATACAATAACTATATAGTCATCACGAAAAAAACTTATAATTTGTTAAAAACTATGAATATTTTTAATTAATAATGTATCTATATTATTAGTTAATCATTACTTTTTTATAGATAAATCTATTTAAAGATCCTAGAAATTTAATATAATTCACTACATTATATCTTGCATTTTTTAATAAAAACTAAATTTTAATAAATGATTTCTTAATATTTTAATTCATTTAAAAAGAAATACCTTTCATTAAACAAAGAATATATTCAATTTTATTATAAATTTATAATTAGATAACGTTTTATATTAAAAAATAAACGAATTAAAATAAACTAATGCATGTATTGACTATAATCACACTTTAAGTAGTTTAAATAAAAGTAAAATATTTAAAAGTTAAATTTAATTATTTTTTAATATAAACTTAGATGTCATCTATTTTAATAAGAATTAATATTAAATAATTTTAATTCAAAATCTTAAAATTTAAAAACAATTTTAACAATTAAATTATGTTTTTCTGTAAAATTTAATAAATAAAAACAAAAAAATCTAAATTATTAAAATTTAAAATTAATACATTTTTGAATACATCGAAAATAGTTTAAAATTATAAAACTTCATATTAAAAATAAATTTATAATAATCTTTCATACTTTTTACTCTAAGAAATAATCAATAAAAATTCTATAAAATCTTATTACAAAATAACTTTCATTAAAATATTAACTAATATTCAAATAAAAAACAAAATAGTATATATGAAATCACTGAAAAATCTTAAATAAAATTTACATTTTTAAAACTATTTAAAATATCAATTTATAAATTAATATAAACTTAAATTTATTCTAAGTTTTTTAATAAAAAATCATCAAAATTATAAACACAATGCAACTCCATAAATCTTCAAAAAGCATCCGATCTATTTTCCTTTCAAAATAAAAATATATTTTAATAATACATTATATGATAAATCAAAAGTTAAAAAAAATAGTTCTAATAAAATTATATTTTTAATAAAAACAGAAATAAATTTTTATAAACCAAATCTATATTAATTTCTAGAAATCATATAAAATCCTAGCTTAAAATCATATTACTGTCCAAATCATAAAATTTATTATAAAAATATTATCAATTTTAAATTTATTTTTGGATCCCAATATCTATAAATCTAATAAAAACTATCAACATAAATACTATACACGTAAATAAACAAACAGTTAAATTTACCCTTTATATATAATTAACTCAAAAAACATCATAAAATAAATTATATATAGCCTCACTACAAAAAAAAAACAAGAAATAATGGAATTCATTCTAATATTAATAAATATTACCATAAAATTCATAAAAAACCCTAAATATAGATAAACAAATATTCAAGAACCAAGTTTAATAGTATTATTTTCTATTGATGCATATCTCTCAAATGGACATTTTTTTTCTAAATCGGAATCAAAATTATATGCTCTTTTTTGACAATGTCTATAATAAATCCGTTTAGCCCATTTCCACAATTCCGAAGTTATAATAAAAAGTAATAAACCAGATAATGCAAGGATCCATTCCCATGTAATAGGGGAATGCTTAAAAATCTCCTTATTAATTACTGGTATGTAAATGACAGGGAAAACACTAAAAAAGCCAAAAACTACAGACCATAACAATAATTTATTTCCTTTAAGATGATGATACAATTGAGTATATTTGAAAGGAGATTCTGGATTAGAGTAAAACATAGATCGTCGAAGATCAATCACTTCCCATGCAAGAATCAATATCATCCAAGTAAGCTCAACAAACGTAGTAGACCTTCCTCTATATACTTGTTCACATGATGAATTGTAAAAATCATTGCAAAAAACGCCAAGATTCCCATCTCCATATCCCCAAACAACAATAACATACTATAATTATAAATTTATATGTATAAGAAATCATTATAAACTTACAGATACTAAACAAATTACAGCCTGAATAAAACCATAAACGAAAGTATCAACAATAACTTCATACGTAAATACCCCAATTTTGATCTATTTATAATCATTTATAATTCATAAAAACAAAAAAATAAATACATTATGAGGCGGTCGCTTCATAATATCAGAACAGGCAGCCTCCATACCAAGCCCCATAGCAGGAAAGGCACTTGTTACCATAATAATCCAAAGAATCTCAACTGGAGTCAAAGCAAATACAGAAAAACCACTTTTATCCTGAAATACAAGACCAATTAACAAATAAAGAGCCTGAGCAACATTTGCGGCTAAAAGATGAAGTACAAACTACAATTAATAAATATTTAAATATCTATTGAAATATTTAAAAACAAACTTTCTTAATATTATCAAACATCCTGCGACCCTCTTCTATTGCATTTATAATAGATGCAAAATTATCATCAATAAGAACAATATCACTAGCATTTTTTGCTACATCTGATCCCGACATTCCCATGGCAATACCAACATCTGCATGTTTCAAACTTGGTGAATCGTTGACTCCATCACCTGTCATAGCACAAAACGCTTTTCGTCGATGCAATGCCTCTATCATTCGAACCTTGGTTCGTGGCGCACATCTTGCAATAACCAAAGGTAAACATGAGAGAGAATCAATTTCAGAATCACTCATTTTATCAAACTCAGAAGCAGTCATAATCATATAAGATATACTATTCGAAAATTTGCTCATATTTCGAGGAAGAATACCAATTTCCATTGCTATAGCTTTAGCAGTTCCCAAGTGATCTCCTGTAAGCATATGAACATTTATACCAGCCTGATGGCATTCTAATATACAATCAATAAAACTAATTAAAAAAAAACATAATACCTTTAACAGATGAAGCAGATTCTGGTCTAGGAGGATCATATATACCAACAAACCCAAGCAAATTCATGTTTGACTCAATATCATCCCGAGAAACCTCATCCCAATTATCAATATTCTCAATTAATTGTCTTTGAGCCAATGCCAAGACTCGCAAACCCTGACTAGTAAAAACTTCCATATTCCTAAATACTTCCTCTTTATCTTTTTCACTTAGTGGCTTCATTTCCGCACCCATAGTAATACAATCATGAATAACCTTTTCGATAGCACCTTTCATAAATACCATAATTTTTTTTTCTGTATTTTTCTGAAAAACAACAGACATTTTCTTAATATCACTATCGAAAGGAAACTCAGCTAGTTGAGTCCATAATGAATTAAACCCTTTAGATAATTTATTTTTCCCCCTGTTAAAACGAGATGCAAATACTTGCAACGCAATTTCGGTAGGCTCCCCAGTTGCTTTCCACCGTTGCTCATTATCTTGGTGAATAGTTGACAAATTCGCCAACGATGCAACATTTAAAAACCCATCCAACTCTTGACTTATATTAAATGTTTCTAAATTAATTTCTACCTTTTCTCTATAATTATCTTGAATATATTCTAAAGGAGTAGCATTAACAAAAACTACAGTCCCAGCAGTAGGATTCAATGGCTCATTATTTTCTGATACCAAAAACATACCAAATCCACAAATCCAAGCCTGACGAGCTATCATTTTGCCTAAAATACGTTTTAAAAACCAAAAAAAAAAAATATGACTAACCTTGTGTTAAAGTACCCGTTTTATCAGAACAAATATCAGTAATAGCACCGAGAGCTTCTAATGAATCAAGCTTACGAACAATTACATGACGATGAACCATTCGTTTTGTACCAACAGCCATAGTTATAGTAAGGACAACAACTAAACTCGATGGAATCATCTAAAATATTAGATCATAATATTCCGAAATGCATAAATACATACGGAAAGGCCAGTAGCTATGGCATAAAGGACTACTTCATCTTTAGTCACAAAACGGTTTGCAGCAAATACAATTAATGCAAAAAGTGAAGCAATACCAAAAAGACCAATAGCAAGAGCAGATAATTTTTTTTGCAATGGTGTTCCAATATTAATACCTAAAAAGCGGCCAATACCATCTAAAATAACCATTCCACATGCAATAATATATGCATGAGGACTAGTCTTTCCCTCTTCATTTCTCTTAATAATTTTTTTCTTTTGAATAGACTTAGCAATAGTTCCAATTTCAGTAGCCATTCCCGTGAATACAACAATGCCTTTTGCGCGTCCCTTAGTAACACTAGTAACACTCCATGCCATAGTAACACGATCACCAATTGGAATATCCTCATCGGTGAATTCCATAGTAACAGACTTACTTACAGGTAAAGACTCTCCTGTAAATAAAGACTCATCAGTCTCAAAGTTCATAGCTTCAAAAAGACGTATATCCGCAGGAACAGTATCTCCTGTCTTTAATTCTACAACATCACCTGGCACAATCCGAGAAGAAGGAATCGTAAAACTAGAACCATCACGAACAACATGTGCCGTTGGAGACGATAAAGAACGCAAAGAGCTTACAGTCTTTTCAGCATTATATTCCTGAAAAAAGCCTACAACAATATTGACTATCCAAAAATTAAGATGTAATCTTAATATATATATATACATACTTAATATGACGGCTGTTATTACACCCCCTTCAATCCAATCTCTTATGCCTAAAGATACAATCATTGCAGTTATAAGAACCTATCAGCAAATATATATATGGTCAAAAAAATATATTATTATCCTTACAAGCGTCATAGCATTAGCAGCTTGTCGTAGAAGCACCGCAATAACAGATACACCTCCTTCATTATTTAAAGAATTAGCCCCATATTTTAAAAGCCGTTTCTCAGCTTCTTCTGAGTTAAGACCGTTTTCCATGCTCGTAGAAAGCACCTCCTCTATATATCTGGGAGAAAGTAGAAATGGGTGTTTTGGATATTGAAATACTTCAACATGATTTTTGGACTTATTTTTATAATACATAACTTATTTTTATAAAAATAGTCCTTAAATAAAGAAAAAAAGACCCTATTTCCAAAAAAGATTCTATATTATATAAAAAATAAATTATATAAAAATCTAATACAATTTAATATTTAATATTTAAAATTCTGACATTCCCGTGTTGAGTCAAAAATCACCTTTTTAATCATAGAAAGGGTTAGGGCTAATTATACATAAAACCGTAAAAGTTGTGAATAGCAAAAAAAGTCAATCCTATACATACTAAAATCTTAATTTATAAAATTTTATTTTTTTATAATTAATTTCTAAAATATTTTTTCATTTTAGAAAAACAAGCCTTTTAATTTTTATTTTTTCAAACATTTTTCCAATTATATTTATATTTTTAAATAAAAAATATACAAAAAAAATTTTATTTAAAATCTAATTTGATCGAAATTCAAAAAATAACATTAATTTATAAACTTTAAATTAGATTAATAAACCACATTTTCTGAAAAATATTAAAAGAACAATTAGGTCTTTTTTAACGCATGAAATATTAGAAAAATTAGAACTTAAAAACAAATATTATGAATAGATTATAAAAGTATTTTAATAATTAGACTATAAAAAGAACATTAACGTTTTTTTTCCATAAATATTGTTTTCAAGACAAAATCTAATCTATAAATTTATCTATAAAACTTTTGAAAAAAATAGCAAAAAAAAATTAAATGAAATTTCTAAAAATTTAGAAAATAATTAAAAAATTATAAACACAAAAATAAAAATATTTAATTTTTCTAAATTAATATTAGAAATGAAATATTTAAAGCTAAACCCAATGTAAAATAAAAAATCACTATTTAAAAAAAATAAAATTCAAAAATCCCAATATTCATTAGAATAACTGATGGGTAGAGGAAGTCGCCCAGAAAGAGGCGGCGATGGCACAGCCGGTTAAGAGGCAAGCAGCAGGACAAGCAGCAGGAAATGATGAGATTAAGGAGGAACAGGTTTTGGGTTTAATTGTGAAAAGTTATTATAGTGATGATAATAAATGCAAGGCAAACCTCAAACAATATTGTGAGGAATTGAAGAAAATAGATGGAAAATTGGAGAGTGTGGATGTCAAAGTTAAGGGACTTTGTGAAAATGGAAAAGAAGGAGAAAAATGCAAAGAATTAAAGAAAAAACTTGAAACTGAATTGGGTGCTTTTAAAACAGAAGTTGAAAATGCATTGAATAACCTAACAGATGAAAAATGTAGAAAATATGAAGAAAAATGTCTATTATTAGAAGAAGCAGATCCAAATAATCTTGAAGAGAAGTGCGTTAAGTTGAGAGATAGATGTTATCGACAGAGACGTCAAGGAGTGGCAAAAGAAATTCTTTTAAGAGCTCTTGAAGGGAAAGTTAATAATAAAGATGAATGTAAAAAAAGAATGAAAGAAATTTGTCAAGGATTAAGTGAATATAGTGATGAATTAGTGTTTTCATGTTTTAATTCAGATAAAACATGTGAATACCTTCAAAAGAATCATGGAGATAGTTGTAAGCCTTTAGAGAAGGAACTTGAAGATAAAGAATTAGTGGAAAAATGTCAAGAATATCTTGAAAAGTGTTATTTTTATGGATCAAGTTGTAAGGATACAAAATGTGATAAAGTCAAGAATAAATGTAAGGGAAAAGGGATTGAATATGAAGGACCAAAATTAGATTTTAGTCCGGTTAGAGAAAAACCAAGATTTCCAGAAAAGATTGAAGTGGAAAATCTTTATAAAAAAGAAGAAGCTAAGGGAATTATTGTTGGAAAACCAAAATATAAGACGTTGCGAGATTTAGCATTATTGTTGATCAAAGAAAGGAATGGAAAAGATGAGGGAGAAAAATGCAAAAAAGCGTTAGAAGATTGTGAATCTTTTAAACACCTAGATTATGGATTAGAAGAATTATGTGGAGATAAAGATAAAGACAATAAATGCAAAGAATTAGTAGAAGTAGAAGATAGATGTACGAATTTTAAATTAGAACTTTACATAAAAGGATTGTCTACGAAATTTGAAGATATAGAATCAGATTATTTTTCATGGGGACAGGTATCAAAATCGGTTAGTAGGGAAGATTGTATAAAGTTTGAATCGGAATGTTTCCATTTAGAAGGTGTATGTACGAATAAAATTGGAAAAGCATGTGAAAATGTAAGAGTAGCATGCTATAAAAAGGGACAAGATAGGGTGTTGAATAGATACTTTCAAGAAGGATTGAAAGGGCTTATTGGTGATTTAGAATTGGTTACTGAGAATCTTGAAAAATGTCAAAAATCGGTAGTAGGTAATTATACAAAACTTAAGGAGGATAGAAGATACTTTACAAAGTGTCATCGACCGACTGAACTATGTTATGAACTTTTAGATGATGTAATTCTTCAATCGGAAGAATTAGAAGTAGTTTTAAATTTGAGAAGAGATTTTCCAAGAAAGGAAGATTGTGTAGAATTGAAGAAGAAGTGCAAAGATCTTGAAAGTGATTCATATTTGAATCATGAGAAATGTAATACACTGAATAGACGATGTGAATATTTAAAAGTTACAGAAGAATTGAGAAAAAGATTATTAAAAAGAGGAGATGATGCATTAAGAACTCAAGGAAATTGTACGGCAGTATTAAAGAAAGAATGTGAGGAATTATCTAGAAGAGGAAAAGAAGATTTTAGTGTTTCATGTGCTTTACGAGAAGAAACATGTAGTTTTATGGTAGAACAAACAGAAAATGAGTGTCTTTTTTTAAAAAATAACATGGACATTGGAAAAATTATAGAAAAAATTGAAAATGGAAAAAGAAATGAAACATTGGTTGAAGAACTCTGCACGTTGTTTGATCCATATTGTCATCAATATATAGAAAATTGTCCAGATAGGTTGAAAAAAACAAACAATGCGGGTAGAAAAGGAGTCTGTTTAGAACTAGAAGAGAAATGCAAGCCATTCTTTGAAAAGTTAAAATTGGAGAATGAGTTGACGCATAAATTGAAAGGTAGTTTAAGCGATGAAACTAAATGTAAAGAAACATTAGGAAAACATTGTACTGAATGGAAAAAAGAAGGGAATCAAACATTGAATAGTCTATGTGAAGATGCTAAGAAAGAAGAACTTTGCAAAAAGTTGGTTAAAAAAGTAAAAGAAAAATGTCCAACCCTAAAAAATAAACTGGATAATGAGAAAGATGAATTAGAGAAGAAGAAAGATGAATACGAAAAGGCGAAACAGGAATCAGAAAAATTTGCGAAGGAAGCTAAGTTAGTATTATCAAGACCTGAACAAGATGGACAAGGTGGAGGATCAAAGGCTCAAGATGGCAGTGTTCCTAAACCAGTGGGACCACCGGTACAGCCACCAGCACCAGCACAACCAACACCAGGAGGCGTACCAGTACCAGCACCAACACTAGCACCGCCAGCACAACCAACATCAGGAGGGGCACCACTACCAGTACCACCAGCAGCACCAGGAGGAACACCAGGAGGGGCACCTGTACCAGTACCACCACCAGCACCAGGAACACCACCAGCAGGGCCAGCAGGGCCATCAGGGCCATCAGGAGGAACACCAGCAGGGCCACCAGCACCAGGAGGATCAACACCAAGTGGAACGACAAACACGAGTAATGTTATACTTGTTCGGAGAACATTTGTAAGTGGAGAAGTATCAGAACCAGAAAAGAAGGCATTTGTTGCAACGGCGAGAGCATTGGAATTGTATTTAGAATTGAAAGAGAAATGTAAAGGTTTACAAGGAGACTGCGGGTTTAGAAAGGATTGTCCAGGGTGTGAAGCGGCCTGTAAAGAAATAGACAAGTTGTGTGAAGGAATAGAAGGATTAAAAGTTACACCGCATCATACGGTGATATCAACGGCGACACAGACAACGACGACGACAGCAACGACAACGACGACGACGACAACAACAACGACGACGACGACGACGACGACAACGACGGCAACGACGACAGAGTCGGTAGATGGAGGGAAGGTAACGGAAGAATGTACATTAGTTCAGACGACAGATACATGGGTGACGAGTACATCGTTGCATACGAGTACGTTGACAAGTACATCTACAGTGACATCAACGGTGACATTGACGTCGATGCGAAAATGCAAACCTACGAGATGTACGAGTGATTCAAGTAAAGAAACAGAAACACAAAAAGAGGAAGAGAAAGAGGAAGAAGTGAAACCGAATGAAGGAATGAAAATAAGAGTTCCGGAAATGATAAAAATCATGTTGTTGGGAGTGATTGTTATGGGAATGTTGTAAAAAGAATGAAAAAAGAGATTAGAATGAAAAAGTGCATATATCCATTGTTTATATATAATATAGAAGAAGATGTAGAAGAATGAGGTGTAGATTTTTAATCTAGAATAATGAAATAAAAATTGAGAATTGCCGTTTAATTATAGGAAAAATGGAGAAAAAAGCCCGAGAGTTAGTGGAGAATTGTTAAAGATGATAAGAAAGTTTAAAGAAGTTTTTATTAGAGATGAGATTTTGGAAGAATTTATTGAAGATGATAGATTAGGAGGGGGTTTTTATTAAATTTAAGAGATTAGAAGGAAGTTTAGAGAGATATTTATTGGAAATGAGATATTAGATAGAGATTTAGGGTTTTTTTATTAATAAAAATGATAAATGAATGTTTTGG